AATAGATACGCGCACGTGACTTTTCTTAGATTGCTTACGTAACTTTTCTGTGACGGCTGCAAAAGGGAGAAAGTCGAATATAAGAATGAAGCTAAAAATGTTTATAAGGATACAGAAAAAAAGAGGAATTATGGAAATGAATTTGCAATCCTATAAATGATACTCGATTAATCTTATAGGTTCTTTAATCAAATCATCACCCCATACCAATTTTATGACATCCCAAAACTCATTGGCATAATTGACTTTAATACCATACTTATTGGCAAAATACAACTCCGGTTCGTTGTTTTCAAAATCGTATTTCTTTTCATCGTCTTTCAATATAGCATTCAATTGACTGTCATCATTAATACTTTTGATATATTCCTCAATCAAATCTTTTCTGTTATTTCTTGGAACAATCATTCTTTTAATACCGGAAAGGTGAGCTCCCAACATCTTCTCTTTTAATCCTCCGATAGGTAACACCATACCTCTCAATGTTATTTCACCCGTCATGGCAATATCTTTAGGAACTGGTTTTTCCAAGATCAATGATAAGAAAGACAAGGCCATTGTAATACCAGCAGATGGTCCATCTTTTGAAATGGACCCCATTGGTACATGTAAATGTATTTCCAAATTTTTGAATCTTTCCATTAATGCCTGTTGATTCTCGAAGTTTAACAAACCATTGTAAATAATTGATTTTATGAAAATCAAACCTATCTTTCCGCTCTCCATGAGTACTTCTCCCAATCTTCCGGTCATATTCAAGGATCCTCCCTTTTCATTGTTAACAAATCCGATACTTTCAAAACTCAATACTGAGCCACTTCCTTCACCATTATAGGATAACCCGTTTACAATTCCAAATTGATTAGGAGTATCATAGATTTCTAAGGACATATTTGGTAATGGGATTCCGAGGTATTTCGGTAAATCAAATTCTTCAACTGCTGATTTATACGAATCTCCATTATCTAAAGACTTGGAATATTCCACAGCTTTGTATCTACATATTGTTCCTAATTTTCTTTCTAAATTTCTTACCCCTGCTTCTCTAGTATAATTGTTGATGATCCTCTCCATATTTTCGTCAGATATTTCGATTAAAGAATTTTCAGGTAACCCATTTCTTTTCACTTGTCTTGGTAATAAATATTTCTTACCAATAATTAGTTTTTCATGATAATCATAAGCACTCAATTCAATCATTTCCAATCTATCCAATAAAGGTCTTGATAAGTTATGAGGTTCATTCGCTGTACAAATGAATATAACTTGAGACAAATCAATTGGGAATCCAAGATAATGGTCAACAAAAGAAGAGTTCTGTTCAGGGTCTAAAACTTCCAATAATGCAGCTGAAGGATCTCCATTAAATTTGTTGGCAGTATTGTTGCCTCCAATAACTTTGTCAATTTCATCCAACAATATCACTGGATTCATAGATTTAGCCTTTCTTAAACTTTGAACAATAACTCCGGGCATTGCTCCAACATAAGTTCTCCTGTGACCTCTGATTTCTGACTCGTCTTTGATTCCACCTAAAGAAATTCTTTGAAAATTTCTACCCAAACTTTTGGCAATGGATTTAGCTAGTGATGTCTTACCAATCCCTGGAGGTCCTGCCAACATAATGATTGGAGATTTGTTGCTTGAAGCCAATATTTTGTTCTTATTATCTGATTTTACTTCATCGTCAACTTCTTTGGAATCTTTGAATTCTTTCAAATCTTTGGAATCCAAATCTTTGAGTTGCTTGATTTTGGCATTATTGTCATAGTCGTCGTTGATTTTTTTATTCAATAACTTCAATACAACTAAATATTGAATCAATCTCTTCTTTACATTTTCTAATCCGTAATGATCATTATCCAATTGACTTTTAGCTACATCAATGTCGATTTCCAGGTTATCCTTAAATTTGGAAATATATTTATCCCACGGTAAATCACTAACAATATCGAGGTAGTTTCTAATAACGTGGAAATCGCTGTTCCCAGGACTAGATGATTTGATTCGCTTATAATCTTTCAAAATCAATCTTTTCGAATCTTCGGATAATGATATATTGGGTAAAATTTCTTTAATGAATGTGGTGATACCTTGAAGATCATCTTCATCGTCATCATCATTCATGTTGCCGTTGTTAGGTCCGGATCTTCTTCCATTTGCATTCCCAGGATTTGTGGTGGTGTTGAAATTGGATTTCTTTCTTATCAATTGTTTATTATTCTTATCCTTTTCACTGATATTATCCAATAAAACTCTGATGGATTTCAATTGGCTGGCAACAACAGCAGCTTTTTGTAAATTTGTTGCTTCATTGAAAAACCAATTACTCACGAAGGAGTCATCTTTTTGTAAATTGGTTAAGATATCTTTGAAATTCTTGATCATTTCATTTAATTCCAAAATTCTCTCATTGATGCTGAACTTACTCAAGATTTTGAACTTTTGAATTACAGGGAATGGTAAAATGGCTACAGCCAAGTCAATCAACTTGGATAAATTATCAAAATCTTTCAAATTGACAGAAGTTACTAATTTTTTTAATGATTTATAAGCTTTGTTGAAATCATTGGCAGTTGATAATTGCAAGAATAAAGAATTGGCTAAAGGATTTAAATTCAAAAGATTTTCGGTGCTCTTATAATCGATTAGGAAGGAATCGATTTTACCAAATAATGACAATAATTCAGTATTCAACTTTTTGAAGTTTGATAAATTATCAGAACTGAACTTAATGTCATCAACCCTAATCAAACTCTCATTTTTGAAATCTTTGATTCTTTCACCTCTACTCAAAGCTTGGAAAGTCAATCTAATGTTACTATTCTCATCATTGATCCCAATAACTTTAACAATAGTGACAACTCTATTCTTACTAACTTTCATTTTTTCAAAATTTGGGGTGATCCCTAACACTAGCCAGTCAAAATCATTCTCGATTTTGTTATAGTTTTCAATTCCGTGGATGGAATCTTCTGATAAATAATCATCTTTATTAAATTCATATTCACTGATCAAATTGTTGACCATTGATACAGACACCTTGGATTTGAATCGAGATAATAATGCTGCTGCTTTGAAACGTGAAAAGGTTACATTATAAATAATGCCTGGTAATAAAACAAGATTGGAATCTAACTCATAAGTTGGTAAAATGAATTCTTTGCCCTTCATGGTGTAATATGGAGATTAATCTGAGGATTTCGCATTCAAAATGACTGCAAAATCACAAGATAATCTTAGGACCGAGCATATGAGGGAATGCTCCCCATCTCTCGCTAAATGCTGAATTCCAGCACGACAGATTTGCAATCGCGGTACTAATTTTCACTACAATTTCGGGGTGTTTGATTTTTTTTTGGGGAGAATTAACATAGAATCTATTACACAATTGAAATATCAAGATTCACCAAGCTTCTCCTTTATACACCCAACAGCTTGATTTGTTTGTGACTATTTTTTTTGCCTACTATTAAATTTATCTTTATAATTTATTTAAACAATGTGTGAAAATCACAATAAATCTTGAAAAAATATAGTCAAAATAGTGACTAAATTTTTTGAGGCAGAATTTGATTATTCGAATAGACTAGAGTTGCTGAATACATCAAAACGAAGGAGACAACCAATAAATTCTTGGTGTAAAAATGCATCTTTGTTCGAAACATTTTACAGTGAGAAGTGAGACAAAATCTCAATATCGATTTGTAAGAGATGCTCAGCACATTTAGGAGAAGACTAGCAACAAAAGCTAGCAATAGTCAGTTTAATGTCTTTGACAGAAATGCCAAATTGGTCCAAAGAAATAGGTACATCAAGAAACATCCAGAAGAAACCAGGAAAGTAGAGTATCTTAGAGATGAAATAGCTAAGAAAACTATTGAAAGATTATCATTTATTACAAGAGATTTGGACAATTTGTTAGATTTTGGTTCCAACAGTGGGAATCTTTTGAAGCAATTGTGTTTAAACAATGATAACTCATTACAAGAGGATAAAGACAAAATCTTACCCAAGATTAAAACCTATAATATGTTTGATTCATCAGATATTTTATTCAGAGATCAAAATGAACCTTATTGGAATAATTTCGAAGGCAAGATCAATAGAATTCAAAATGACGAAGAAGCATTCAATGATGAAATACTAAAACCTGATAGTTTTGATGCAGTGATTTCCAATTTGTCATTACATTGGATTAATGATTTACCTCAAACTTTAAGTAATATCAACAGAATTCTCAAACCTGATGGTTTATTTTTAGGTACATTATTGGGTACCGATAGTATTTATGAAATGAGAACATCCTTGCAATTAGCTGAGTTGGAAAGAAAAGGTGGTTTAAGTCCTAGAGTAAGTCCTTTAGTTCAATTAAATGATGTTGGATCGTTATTAAATAAAGCTGGATTCAATCTTTTGACCATTGATGTAGAAGACATAGTTATTGGTGGATTTCCTGATATCGTATCAATAATGAATGACTTACAATTGATGGGTGAACAGAATGTTGTTTTGAGTAGATCGAATTATTTGGATAGGGATGTGTTGTTATCTGCTAATGAAATTTATAAAACTTTACACGGTGAAAAAGGTGAGGATGGTGAAGTCACTTTACCCTTAACCTTCAATGTTATTTTCATGATCGGGTGGAAAAATAGTCCAGATCAACCTAAACCTTTAGAAAGAGGATCTGGTCAAGTAAATTTGAAAGATGTTTTATAAATTAGATCCCCCCCTCTTTCGATAAAGTCAAAAATTTCGTGGCACATAAATTCTTGGAACCATGAGATTTCAATGCCATGCTTTATAGTTCCTAATTCTTTTGTATATACAATGTAACAATAGATCTTCACCCGTTATCCGAGAAATTGCCTTTCGTTTCACGAACCCAGTAAAAATTTTTAACCCACAGACTTTCAAGAACTTTACCATACTAGAGGATCTGTATGTTTCAGAAAACCCCATAGATCACCACAAAGTAAGGAACAATTTCGTTCTCAAGTATGGAAAATATTTTGGAAATTGAGACCAAAAAGAGGTAAATCTCCTTTTGAAGAGGATCCCCCATGACTCGATTAAGTATAGTTCCCCGTGAATTAGGTTCAAGTTGAGTAAAAACAAAATGTGGAGTACATGAATTGGGGTCATACACGGTAAAGTTAGTTTATGTCGCCTCGCACAAAAAGTGGATGTCATAATTTGATAGACAACCTGAGGTGGGGCTATCTTATTTTGGCATGAATAATTCCGGGTCATTAACGTCCCTAACAATAAACAAAATAAGATTTGATAGCAACTAACAACACAACCAATTTGTTATGATCGAAACAAGATGTCAGAAAACCAATCAATTAAAGGATACCACATGATATGACTTTGCAATATATCCGAAGATGTATTAGATCCCCCAAATTATTCAAACCAGAAATTATTTAATAATACGAATATTTTTCACCTCATCCAAGAGGAGTAAAAAGCACTTCAGTCTAATGTTCTGCAAAGTAAAGTTTTTTTTTTAAGACATTTTATCTATGAATTCAACTCTATAGGTCATCAATACACAAGTTCTAATCCTAATCAATATCCACAAAATATCATTCGATGATATTATACAATACAATTGACAATAATAAAGTCATTCAACTTTTTATCCGGAGATTTCTGCTGGATCTCCTTCGGTATTCACCATAAATTCCTCAATACTTTTTTGTGGGGTAAAGAAAATGAATTACCCATTGTGCATAAATTGCAATCGCGAGTTTTGCAACCATGCGACAAACTATAAAATCAGGGAGAATTCTTTGTAGTTGATTATCTTTTTTAGATACCTTTGTTCATATAATGAGTGATTCGAGTGATAAAATCCAAATTGAGACTTTTGGATCGGAAGAGAAAGTTGAGAATTATATCAGAACTGATAAGAAGTGGTGGCAAGTACCTCATTTATTGAAATTAAATATCGCTGTTGCTTTAATTACTTTTGCATCTTCAACTAATGGTTATGATGGTTCTATGTTGAATGGTTTACAAAGTTTACCAGTTTGGAAAATCAAAATGGGTTTAATTCATCCAGACACTGGTGAATTAACTCATAATTCCAATACTAAATTAACTCAATTAGCTAATGGTACTATTTATGGAAGTCTTTTAGCTGTCCCTTTTGCCCCTTATGTTTGTGATCGTTATGGAAGAATTTTCACTACCGTTCTTGGTCAAGGTATTACTGTTGTTGGTTCAATTATTCAAGGTTGTGCTCCAAATTATGCTGCTTTCTTAATTGCAAGAATGATTTTAGGTCTCGGTACTGGTTTTAGTGTTGTTTCTTGTCCTTCATTAATTTCAGAAATTGCTTTCCCAACTCATAGATCTTCTGCTACTGGATTTTATAATACATGTTGGTATTTGGGTGCTTTAATTGCTGCTTGGACAACATATGGTACCCAGTACTTACATGGTGATAATGCTTGGAAAGTTCCTTCATTCATTCAAGGGGTTCTTCCTTTGATTCAAATTGTTTTTATTTGGATGATCCCTGAAAGTCCAAGATATTTCATTTCAAGAGGTAAACATGACAAAGCCAGGGATATGTTACGTAAACATCATACTGGTAATTCTGATGATCCTCAAGATATTGCATTAGTTGAATTTGAAATGAAAGAAATCGAAGCTGCCTTGGAAATGGAAAAATTAAGTACTCAAACTTCTTACAAAGATTTTATCAACAAGAAAAATTTCAGAAAGAGATTATTCCTTATCATGTATGTTCCATGTATTATGCAATTATCAGGTAACGGGTTGGTGTCATATTTCTTGAACAAAGTTTTGGATTCAATTGGTATAACTGATGCTAATAAACAATTACAAATTAATGGTTGTCTTATGGTTTATAATATGGTTATTTCTATGGCTGCAGCATCAACATTCCAATTCTTTAAAAGAAGAACATTATTCTTAACTTCTATTTCTTGTATGTTGGTCTGTTACATCTTATGGACTATTTTGTCCGGTTTAGCAGAAGCCAGAAATTATCCACCAGCATTATCCAACGGGGTTTTAGCATTCATTTTCTTATACTATGCTTCATATGATATTGGGGTCAATGGTTTACCAATCTTATATGTTACTGAAATCTTACCTTACACCCATAGAGCTAAAGGTATGAATATTTTCAATTTCACCCAAACTTGTACTTTAATTTTCAATGGTTATGTCAATCCAATTGGTTTATCAAATGTTCATCCAACTTATAAATATTATATCGTTTGGTGTTGTCATTTGGTTGTAGAATTAACCATTGTTTACTTCTTCTTCCCAGAAACTTCAGGTTATACTTTAGAAGAAGTTGCCAAAGTTTTTGGTGATGATATTAAAGAGGTTTCGTTTATCCAAAGATCTGATTCTAAAACTAAAGAACAATTTGTTGAAAACGTTGAATCAGCTTCAGTTTAGTTTCTTTATTAAACTGATTTTTCAATTCTTGAATAAGAAAAGTATGTTATCCATCAGGAAATGGATATTGTTATTTCCTAGAGGAATTTCAATATAGTTTAATGTATCCAATGTTTAATAACTCGAAAACTCTAAAATTCCAATTACAAATTGCTTCCATAGCATAGTTGGTTCTCTGATGATTGATACGGTTGAGATGTTCACAGTTAACCATTTTGATCAATGACACATGTCATCCTGCTTCCATTGAAGCACCACCTTCTTGGTGAGCAACAATTTCATGAGGGGCTGGAAATTCTCGGAAAATAAATCTGTACCCCAGCTTTCCCCAGTGCTCATAAAAGAAAATGATGGGTTTATCTTTGGAAACTGAGTTTTGGGTTTTAACCAGAAATGTGAGAGAACTTTATTAGGAACCTTATTAATAAAATCCCCCCAAAAAAGCAATAACTTTGGACAATTGTAAAAAAAAAACACCCCAATTATTTCCCAAGAGCCTGTTTATCCGGGGATTCATGTAAGTTTTCCCAGTCTTACCAAAGATATCTTTAGGGTTATATGCTCGCCAAGATTATTGGAGTTTAAACAAATGACACGATTATTTTTTGATTCTCAGGCTGTACCTAACCTAACTCCAGGACCCCCCTCCAGGATTTCTTTTCCTCGCTCTTGACCAACTGACGGACAAACATCTCCACTTAAGATAATAGAGATTGGAGTAAAGAAATCTAAACGATCTACACGGAAAGGACAATGTGATCTCCGAGTCCCGAACCGAACAATTCAACGGTTCAACCCCCACGAAGAAACATGGCCTCAATGTCAAATATATATATTTAGAACTGAACTAATTTTGAAATGATTGAGTTGAAGTAGCGAAATATGTTCAGCACACAATGCTAAACATCCTCTGATTTCATTTGTACGTGATTAATAGAAAGTTTTTCAGCAGTCTCAACTGCAATGTGGTCTTTTGTGGAAGCTGCAGTAATATCACCGAAAATTCTATCCATTTCTTCCAATGGAACACCTTTAGTTTCAGGGATAAAGAATAAGGTATAAAAGAATGCCAAAACTGAAAATGCTGCAAAGAAAATGTAAGTACCAAATTTCAAGGTGTTAAGCATTCTAGGGGTAACGAGACCAATAATGAAATTGAACATCCAGGTAGCTGAAGTGGTAATAGAAATAGCTTTTGATCTAATACCAACCGAAAAGATTTCTGAAGGTAACAACCAACCGATAGGGGCCCAACTATAAGAGAAATTTACATCATAAATGAATATGAATGCAATAGCAGTTCTTCCTGCAGTAACGTATTCATCCAATTTTCCTTCGTATTTACCAACAATACCAGCAACGATAATCAAGGAAATAAAACAACCAGCAGCTCCACACATCAAAAGAGGTTTTCTACCAAATTTATCCACAAGGAAAATAGCAGGAATTGTTGCCAAGGTATTAACAATACCATAAAGACCAGTACCTAACAAAGAAGTTGTGTTACTGTTTAAACCCAATTGACTGAAAATTGTTGGTGCATAGTAGATGATAGCGTTACAACCTTGCATTTGCTGGTACATCATAACAGATGAACCCATGAAGACTCTTTTCAAATTTGATTTAACAGAAACGAGATCCCAATATCTTGCTAATTCCAAACTAATACCAGATTTGCCTGGGAATTTAGTCATGGTGTATTCTTGTTCAAAAAGAACTTCGGATTTAATTTCAAGGAGTTCTTCCTCAACTCCTTCCTTTCTTAATCTGGTAAGCACGTCATGAGCTTCATCTTCTCTACCAACTTGAACTAACCATCTAGGACTTCTTGGACAGAATGATATACCAATTCCCAAGATCAAAGCAGGTAAAATTTGAATACCGAAAGGTATACGCCATGAAGCAGAAGATTGTCCGTAACATCCACCCTCAGGGACGTCAGTATAAGGATTGAAAGTTTCCCCTTGGTATGGGTGATTGGGTGCACATCTGTGACCACCAATAAAGTTGGTTCCATAAGAAATCCAATAAGAAACTAAAATACCGATAGTTATACACAATTGTTGAATAATTACCAAGCCCCCTCTGATTTTGGGAGGTGCCAATTCGGACATATAAATAGGGATAACCATAGTTAACTGCCCAACAGCTACCCCAGCAATACCTCTACCTGTAAATAACACAGGTACGCTGGTACCTGCACATTGTAGAGACGACCCAATTACGAAGACGACACACGAAGCTATCACACTATCCCTTCTACCGAACTTGTCGACGATTGGAGCATTTATTAAAGAACCAAACCAAGCACACAACAAGAATGTAGAAACACACCAACCTTTAAAATCAGCATCCATATAGATACGAGGGAATTTTGCTGCAAAAGATTCCATAGTCAAAACCCCAGATACAACCCCTTGGTCATAACCGAATAATAAACCACCAATAGAGGCAAAACACACTATTGTAAAAGCTTTTGGATCACTCCAGATCTCTTTAACCAAACCCATTTTTTTGTAGAGCAACTTTCCAGCCGCTTTGGATCTATTTATACAATTTTCCGAAAGTCTCAATGGAGAAATTTACTCCAGTTTTTTGTGTCGCGAGTGTGGGTTAATCCGACGACTTCCAAAAGGGGAACACAATTCCACCACTTTTATGTAGGAAAATGGAGAAAATTGTACCAAATCCGTGGAGAACAATAGAATATGGATAAAAAAATCGTGGAGTGGGAAGATCATGGAGCAATCCATTCCGATGACGTATCAAAATAGATGAAATACGGACTTTAGTCGAGTAATCGGGTGATAAAATTCTTCATAAATATCCATCCCCACCACTGAATTAATTAGAAACATGACAGTAGAGGAATATAGTAGTGATGATATTGACAACTTGGTCAATAAAATCATAATTCAAAGTACTAAACAGAACCGGATAATCATCGCTATATCTGGAGTCCCTGGGTCAGGTAAAACCACTGTTACATCTAAGATTTATGATAAGTTATCTAAACTGGTATCCGTTAAAATACTACAACAAGATGGATTTCATTACTACTTGAAGGAATTACACCAAATGCCCAATGTTGAAGAAGCTTTAGAGAGAAGAGGAGCTCCCTTCACTTTCAATGTGGACAAACTATTATCCGTCGTCAAGGCCGTAAAACAGGGTGATCGCGTGTCTTTACCAACCTTTGATCATAAGTTGAAAGATCCTGTTGAAGATCAAGTTACCATAGGTGATGAAAAAGTAATCATTCTCGAAGGAAACTACTTCAATTTGAATCTTCCGAAATGGAAAGATATCAACAGTTACATTGATGAGAACTGGTTCGTTAGTACGACCGTTAGCGTAGCCAAGAAAAGATTAATCCAAAGACATTTAGATGCTGGGATTAGTAGAAATGTCGAAGAAGCTACAAAGAGAGTGGAAACAAATGATCTTGTCAACGGACAATTTATTATACAGAATCAAATTAAACAACCTAATGTCATAATCCATAATTAAGGTATTCTTCATTCAAAATCAGGTGCTGGGTTTTCATTAAAATTGAAGTCAAACAAGTCGTCGAACTTGTTGAACATTTCAATATCATTTTTATAGTTTATAGAATCTTTTTTACCGTACAATAATAAATCAATTAATTTGATGAATTTACCTGCCAACTTATTGAATTTTCTTAGCTTAGTGAATGTCGCTTTTGAAGTCTCAATGTATTTGTACAATTCCTCTTGTTTAAATTCAGAATCTTTGACATCATTTGTAACATTTTGGTCGATAACTATCTTTAAGATGGGTACTAAAATAGCTTGAAACAAGAAGTAGGTAGCATACCAGGATGACAAATAATCCAACTCATTATTATTCACAAAACTATCGACAATACGGATGGTCTTCAAAGAAGCCTCAAAACAAATCTTTCGGCATTTTTTGACCAATCCTAAATAAGTAATGTCCTTGCCCCTCTCAATAGTTTCCCATAAAATATACCGAAAAATCAATATTTGTAGATTTTTATATCGGGCAATCAATCTAAGTCTTGATAAGGCAAACCATTTGGGCACTTGTTGATATCCAGTTTTTAGCACTTCTTGAATACTGATATTTTCATCTTCGTTATAAAATGATGGTAAAGTGCTGACAAATGTATCTAACAAATCATTCATATCCAACAAACCAATCATTTTCGATTTGTCGTTCTTTAATTTCAAAATGGTGGAATTGTAATTATAGATCCGAGTGGAAATTTTTGTTAATTCCGATTCATAAATCAAGGTGGTATATATGGTAGGGTAGTTCACTTTAACTTCATCTATAGGCAATCCTTGCCTTAATAAGTTGTCATCTATATTTGAAACAGGTTCCAAATCAATAGTACTTAATGGAGGTATAGTCAAAGGTCTTCCGAAAGTCAATGTCGTTCCAACATCAAAGAAATACATGCCCCACCATTGTCGTTTTCGTATTTCTATTTCCTCAAACAATTCCAAATTCATGGGTTGACTTTTATCCACTTTCACTTCCTTATGTAATCCAAGACTTGTAGCAATTCTTGTGGCCATACCCAAATAATTCCAACAAGTATTTGGTTTATTGGTCTTTTGCACATAATTACTCAATAGTACAAAACTGTCCAACAAATGAGTATCACTATATTCGAATATATTGATTTGTTGGATATATGATTTAACTTTTTGGTAGTAGAATGTATGTAACTTGGAGTTTTCACCAAATTTACACCACAAACCTATAGCTAGTATGGTATTTAACAATATCAAGAAACTTATCATTTTACTGTCGTTGAAATTGATAGCATTGACATACTTATATTGCTCATAATGTTTCATGAACCTTTTTTTATTGATGATAGGGTATACTTGGTAATATGACCCAAAGAAAGCTTCGATCATCAACGACTGAAAATTGGAGTCATTCAATAAATCTTCCAACCTTCCAGAATTTATACTGCTCCATATGTTACTAATTTCCTCATCCAATAAGAAGCCCATCTCGTACTCTATATCTTCTAATTCATTATGAAGATCTTCATTACCTCCTTGAGTCAAATCAAGTTCTATTATACTATTACCGTTTTTCTCTGATTTTAATTGTAAGAATTTAAGTAATCCATTACTTGAATTAATACCAAAATACCCATTCGAGCTATTAACATCGAATCTTAATCCCGTGTCATTGGATAAAGCTGCCATTCCATCGATACTAGAATCATAAATATTCATATTGGCATCATCATAATTGTCATCTCTTTCATCGAAAAAATTCAAATCACTTTGTTTAATATTGATGAGATAGTCTTCGGGCTGGAATTCTAAATTCTTGACAGATTTTTTAGATTTAACATCATACTTTTCACCTTCAGTAATTTTCTTATGACTCAAAGCATTGATTTTCTCTAAAGTTATTGGCCCGTTACTTAAATCATTAGCAGTTAAGTTAACCTGTTTGAAAACTTTTTGATGTATTTGATCTAAAGTAGTTTCAGTTTCTTTGGATTCGTTCTCCACAATCCTCAATAGTTCTTGAACCTCGATATCTTCAGGTAACATCCTTTTCAATAACTTTTCCAAATTCTCTGCCTTCTTTTCAAGCTGAGTCATATGGGCTCTTGTTAATGGGGATCTAACTACCTTGGGGGAATATACACATTTCCAATTATGTTCTTTACATTTGACACAAGTAGGGAAATCCTTGGAACATTTCATCTTTCTGAGCCTACATGAATCACAAGCTTGTTGTAGTTGTCGCTTCACATGAGGTGGTGGTGAAGGAGTTGTACCAGAAGACTCCATACTTTAATCTCACTATTCGCATTATTTTTTCTTCTTACATATATCATGACATCGTTTCTAAAACGACAGTTTTTCTCAACCAACAATGGATTAAGGAGTCTAGGGACAGCTTCAGGACATTTGAAGAACATCAAAGTACAAACAAGCAAGAAGGATATATCGAAACCTGTTAATTTAGCTACAAAAATTAAAAATACTGCTGATGCAAATGAGCTCTTGAAGATTACCAGATCTTTAAGTAAAGATTCCAAGGTAGCTAGTGGCTTGTTTTACTTGATACTAAAGCAATTACAATCGAAACTGGATCTCGGTATTCTCAGTCACTTGAAAGATATCTGGACTGGCAGATCCGAACATAGCACATATCAGGTTCAATCTGCATATTATTCGACTTTCATTCACATATATTTGAACCTGGATCAATACCTCATGGCTAAGACTTTATATTTTCAAACGTCTGATGCTTTGAGTACTACTAAGGATCTACCCACGATCAAGTTATTGAATATTCTCCTGAAGTATAAAGACCTTGATGGAATTTGCGATGTTTTAGAGATGGTGTCTTTAGAAGACTCTTCTGTGATCACTAAAGCTACTTGGATATATTATTTGTCATTGGCATTTGGTGAAAATCACCACAGGTTGGTGAAGACAGTTTATGATCATTATCTTATGAAAGATCTGAATTCATCTAAGCAGTTCTTAGAAACAAATATTTCCAATTATTTTCAAGACAAGGGATTAAACGACTCCATGATATTTCTAATGTTGCAATCGCTATCATCGCACGGAGATGTTTCTAGGTCTTTATCATTGATTGAAAAGTTCTATTTCGAAAGATTGATGATCACAGGACAATCCTTGAGTAAAGAGTTAGCCATTTGTGTCATTGAAGCTTATTGTTTTACCGATGCTGATGATTATCACCAATTGAATCCTCTGGAGTATAAAAATTATCATGACACAAGTGTAGAAAGAGTACTTGATGTTTTAGGAAGAATAATGGAACGATCAGATGAGATACTTACATACAAGGATATCAGTCATTTTCTATCCAACAAATTCATGAATTACAGGATCTATGATAAGAACGCCGACGAAGAATACAACAAGAAAGAAATCATCCATCAACAAAGAGGTAAAGAGGAAATGAAAAGATATAACGAGAATCTTGAGAGATTCACCCAAGGTAACATTATGGCCAATTTACAAAATCTACAAGCATTTGCATCAAAACATATCAAATACATACAAGAAAAGAATTATCAATGTTTAACATTATTTATAAATTGTATGTTGAATCATATAAACTTATATCAGAATTTTTCGGGGATGGTGAAACTTTTGAGTGGTTTAAAAGATTTGAACAGTAATTTTGTAGACGAGTGGCTTGATCAACACCTGATAAGCATCATCATAAATTGTATCGGTAATTCCAATGCCAAGTTATCCTCATTACAAATATTCAAATTCATGAAAAAGTCGAACCTCCAGATCACGGAAGAAAACTACTATGGTTTCATTTCTCTGAGTCTTCGGGGAGATTTCCATTCTCAATTAGCATTTTATTTGTATAACTACCTTCAAGATTTTGGTTCCATAGGTATCAGAGTTAATGAGTTACTCGAAGAACTACCATCTCACTTAGCTCCGGATATAGACAGCCTCGTAGAAGTAGAGCCAATAATAACAGATCACGAGTTACAAGATTTTAATAGAAGATACGATTACCATTTGGATTCAAGAGATTGCGATGTAATCAAAAATATATTCATGGTATAAGTAATGTACATTAGTTTAAAAATTCAAACCTTCAAGAATTGTTCTCTTAGCTTCTTTATCGAAGAAATCTCTACCTTGCATGTCTTGACTGAAAGAATTAGAGAAACTTGATGAAAAGCTGGAATTGAAAGTCGATCCTAACATGGTGGAATCAACTGCCATTCTCATAATATTATCAGCATGGCAAGCGAGATGGTCATAATCTGATTCATCATAATCCAAATTATAATTTTTTGGTTCAGGAATTGGCTTAGGAATAGTAACTAATGAAGCTTGATCCATTTTCAATAATTTTTGTTTCAAGTTCTTGGAACTCTTTCTTCTCAATAAAGTTTGTAAATCTTTAGATATTGGGGTTGAGGATCTTTTTCCCTTTCCAGAAGGTGAAAAGAATATGGTTTTGTTAGTAATTGGGGTGGTTTTTCTAGCTGTTTGATCATTAATGATATTCTTTGGTTCTCTTTTATTGATTTTGATAGGTGTTGCAACTTTAGTTTGAGTTGTGGATAATAAGTAATTATTGATTTTTTGTCTACTCTCATATAATAAATCAGCTAAAGGATCTTTCCTATAAACTTCATCATTATGGAAAGATCTTGAAATGGGTGTATTAGATTTTAATGGTGGCTCTACATTGTTAAATCTTGGAAGTCTTAAAGTTTGACCAAGAAGAACATCCTTTGGTACATTGGGTACAACCTCAACGGTTCTATCATGAATTGGAAATGTATAGTCTAAGGATGTGTAATATGCAATTGAAGCAAATGACATAATCTATAATATTCGTGGATGCAAAAAAACAGGACAAGATGCAGTAACCTAAAAAAAAAATTGACGAAAAGATGGAATGAACCCTTAGTGATTGACGAAGGGACTTACAAGTTTATATATCGGGAAAGGGGATGTTTCAAACAGCTGTTTTTCTATTGTAAATAGATAATTACTTTTCCTAAATTGGACCAAATAGCCTAATTAGGTTTGTTAATTGTTTTTATTTACTTTCGCATCCAAAAGGGTAATTCACTAAAAGTGATTTATCCGGGTGGTTTTTACATTGATGATCGAGGTACTATGTAGGAATACATGAATTTAAACAATAGATTGATAAAGCAGATACCTATATTGGAAAGGGAGAATAATTCCTTGAATTAATGATTGAGAGTTGCTTGATTTGTAGAATTTACAAATGGGGACAATCTGTTTTGAAAATCGTTACAGTTAAAGATAAGGTAATTAAAAGGACGGATATCCACTGATAGGGGAATGTTTTGTTTTCAATCAAATCAAGTACATAAATTTATTTTATGACAGGTTAATTGAATCTGGAAAGATCTTCTAAAAATACTAGTGCAAAAAAATATCTCTGAACAGGAATCAATAGGAAAAATAATTCATATGAGGCTGATGCATTATGGTAGACTACGTTGATCCCTGACTTCTTCAATGACACAATTCACCCTCTATATTCGAAAAATGCCATACCAGTTGGGATTTTGATATATGACAAGTGGCATTAGTGGAATACCGGTAGATAATAAGACTTTAGAGCAGGGTCTTCAGTGGGAGACAGGTTTCCAAAGTTTGGACGTTAATTTCTATTATATATTAATGCTAGTGTTATTTACAGGTGAATACAAACAAATGAATAATTATTTTGTAATTCATAATTTATTGTTTATAGTTTCTATTATCCTTATGCTATCGTAATTAGGTTTAAAACCAAGTTATCATCAAAAGTTGTGAAGTATCATGAAATGTTAGTTCGTTAATTAATCGGAATGTTTTGTTAAATCATTAAATCATCTAATTTTCTTCTTTCTTCATATCTTGAACTTGTTTTAATTTTTCATCAATCACTGACTCATTTCCATAATTACCATCTACTGGACATGGAAGGATGGAATTGGCACTAACCAATGCAAAACAAACAGCAAATGTGGAGCTAAATAAAGATTTTGGTACACCTCTAACAATGAACATTATGTGATATTAGATAGGTTTTTTTCAAAGTTTGAATAAGTTTTGTTGGGAAGTATGAATATATATGTGAAGGACCGAATATATGGAAGTCCCCTAGTGGTATGTATGTGAATTATCTAGTGAAATTCTCTATAGTTAACTCCTTTCAAAGGTGATAAAAAAGATCTGATGTTTTTTAATTTTTCAGTTTGGTGGTGAGGTGCGAGATGAGCCAATCAAAGAGAATGTTTTTGTAGTATTAAGAAAAATTTAATATTTAACTTGTTCCTGATCTTTTTGACTTCTTATTGAACAAGGGTCTTTATGTATATCATGGAAAGTATTAAGTCGAGTTTGAAAGGAAGAAAATTTTTTTTGAAAGAGAAAATATTGAATTTTCGAAAATTCAAAGAACGTCCCACAAAATCCGTCATTAAGGTGTTTGAATGCTCAGAGGCACCATCAGTACGATAATGGGGATGATTTCCCATTTGTACCTGAATCCAACCATATCTCTATCTCTCATAACTGGTTTAAAATGTTCGGACTTCAGCTCCAACATTTTATTACTGAAGTGACATGCTACTACTCGAAGAGACACAAGAACTTCACATTATAACGTTTATTACCCTTTTATATACATCAGGAAACTTGGGAAGGTCTCCTGAACCAAAACCTATTATTATAACCTGTTTAATCGTATTTTGAAAATGCTTTATCTTTATTTATCACGAAACCTGCATCGAACTTTCTTTCTTTAGCTAATTCTTCAACAGTCTTTGGAGTATCGACTAAATCAACTTTAACTATTTCTTTGACTTTAATTAATCTATGGGCAGTTGATGGTGAAACTTTTTGGTATTTGATTTGATTTCTTTTTTTCAAACCTAAAGCTTCCATATTTTTACGAACAATAGGTGAAAGTCCTATGGTTGATCTGATTTGTTGGATCTTATAGTACATTGTCTTTGCACCATTAGTGACTGGAGTAGACATCTTCAACAGTTCAAGCGATGAAAATTTTCAATGAGAACAAATTCGCGAAATCTCAAATCATGGAGATTGATTTTGAGGTTGGTGATAATGGTTTCAGTAGAATATCTGATCAATTACTCGAGAAAATCGATTCTTTAATAAGTGGAATTGAAGAATATCACTCGCCACATACAATTGTGAAACTAAGTAAACTTATAGGGCAATTTGAAGTATCTCCGGGCCTTTTAGATTCCAAGTTGTCAGACTATATAACCCAGTTGAGTGGTAAATTCATTAAATTTCAAGAGAATGAAGGTAGCAATAGCATCACTAATGCAATATCTAACGTGGTATATAACTTATCCAAAGTAAGGGGTTTTAAAGTCATCACAAATTTCTTCGATAGCGATATTGATTTGATAGGTAAGATGATAAACATCTTGAAGAAAGAGAGAAATGATGATGAAATTTTCATGTGTTTGATATGGATGTGTACTTTGGTACTTATACCGTTTCCATTGGAAGATAAAATGATCCAGGAGATCATGCAATTAGGTTTAAAACATTTGGGAAAGTTTTCTAATGGATCCAAAAATCAACAAGTATCACTGATAATGATATCGAGATTCTTGAGTCGTCAAGATATGATGGTCATAGAAAGACAATACTTTGATGGTCTTGACTGGTATGAAATTCAGGAAAACGAGAAGTTGGGTCATTTAATGGTTATTAACAAATTACTTAAGATTAAGAATATGGACGAACATATCGACAAAGTGAATCAATTCATTAGGTTTGAAATGGTGAATATGAGAATAAAATCTACCAATACACTCAATGTACTTTTGATGATTAAGATTTTGGGGAAAATAGGTGATAAGTATGCCATTAATGATGATTTCATTTCCTTGGAACAGGTGGTGAATAATTTGATCAATGGCTTCATGATGTATTTGAATGAGTCTTTTCAGACTCCTTTGAGGTATGCTATGGCCAAATCTTTGAGTAGAATAACGACTAGACTTTCGAATATTCCGAATTATCAACAACAGGTCATTTTATATCTACTTGGTAAAATCGATTTGCAACCATCAGCCTTCAAAGAACTTGAAGTTAATGCTGATACAATTTCTATCCCTAAATATCACACCATTCTATTGTATATCGGGTACGTGGCACTCAACAAATCGTTGCCAACGAATTTGATACCCACTATTTTGAGTGTAGTACATAAAACACTTTTTGTACGGCAAAATATCAATGCCACCAACCAATTGAAGGACACTTCTTGTTTTATAATTTGGGCAATACTTAGAATGGTGGGAAAAAGGTTTAAAGAGTTGAACGACCATTCAATGTTTAATACCATTCTAAATGATTTAGTTGAAGCTAGTATTTTTGATAAAGATTTGATCATCCGAAGATGTGCTGTGGCTGTAATACAGGAGTTTGTTGGGAGATATGGTCAACTAGTAATAGAAGGAAGCCCTGAATTCAAGGGTAAAAAAGTCATTGAATTGATCGAAATCTTCACTTCAACTTCAGTGAGTACTTTGGAAGTATCCTTTGACAATCTTGATCGCTTATTGGAGATTGGATACAACAAGGGTTTCATAATCAATATGTTACTCAGAAATTTGGATGAAGATTTCAAATACCAAAAACTCGTCACCAAGAAATTAAACGAGTTACTTAAATGGGAGTCCAACGATGAATTGAACATCGGTATCAGCCGCCCAGTTGCTTTAATTCCGGAAATAATGACCAAATTTGACAAGTTGGAACATTCTTTATACTTCAAAAGTGAATTGAGTTTAAATTTTGGGGTGAACATTCAAACAAAGGAATTTAACGAGGAATTCATTACTGATCACATCAAATTTTTGGAAGTTTGTTGTCATAATGACACATTTAACGCCTATGAAGCAATATTTACTCAAATAATACAGAGCCGTAAAGAAATCAGTAGAGAATTGATGGTTTTGTTTGGAGTTATGACAACCTATAATTATTCCTTTCCTCATAGTTCATTCAAAACTTTGAGCCATCATTTTTCATTATCAGTAGCAAAGAGTATATTCTATCTGAACTTAACCCGTGATCAAGTCAATGCATTAGTTGATGTAATCAATTCTGAAATTAATTTTGAGGTAAGATTTAATCTCATTGATTGTTTAAGAGTAAACATCACCCGATTTTCAGTGAACTATGATATATTGGCTAATTCTTTGAACGATTATACTATAACTGAACAGGGTGATGTGGGAAGTCGAATTAGAGGATCCATAATGGAACTCATTGACCAGAATGTTCAACATTTTACCAAGAGTACTGCTGACTTGATCAGAATTTGTGGTGAACCTATCAGTAAATTGAGATATCAAGCATTTCGGATCATAATAAAAATGAAAAATTTGCATATTGACCTAAAAGATTCTGAAGATCAACAATACTATAATCATCTTTTCAGTATCTATGATATTCTCAGTCAAGAAGAAGTATCCCAATTCTGGAAAGGAATTGTCTTGAGCATAGGAGGATTGACAGGAGATAAATCCAACTTAACATATTCTTTCAGAGAGTTTTTAAGATTTTTCCACAAACATGATCAAAAGGTTATACTTAAAGAAATTTTCAAACTACTCACCAAAAAGACTCAAGAACTGGCCAAAATCTTGAAAGAATACAACCAAGCACTCAATTTGATAATCAAATTATTTGAAGTATCAACTCCATTCCCTAAAGAATATTTGAAACCATTATATGTGAAATGTTACAATTTACAAGTGAATACCAGTAATATTCAAAGAATCAAATTATCATTAAAAGTTATGCAATATTTAGCATTGACACAAGAGAAAGAAGTTATTAAACTTAGCATGAAGAGAATTCAAAATCTTCTCATAAATCATAAATCTCCCATAATAAGAACCGCATGCATGGAAATCTTATATGAAATAATGTTAGAAGATCCAATAAGTATTCAAATAGAATCATTAGATATAAATGATATCAACAGAATCAACAGCATAAATCAATATATTTTGAATAAACTACTACATAACGAGTCATGAAATACATAAAAAAACTTTTAGCTCTCACTAAAAATCATCTTCCCAGTAATCTGGAAAGGAACCAATGGACTTTACTTATAAACCAACCATTAAATTATCTGAAGAACCATGGAATTTAGGCTTGAAATCCTGTTTCAAAGCAACTAAATTCTTATTGATTGGTTTTGTTTCAACAGCTTCAATTTTATCTATTTTTAAATTTTTTGTTTTATCATTAGTAAATTGTTTTAAAAAGTTATAGACCATAACGGATAATTTTATTTGGGGGCAGAAAACCACAATTTATAGTTTTCTGAGACCTGACGTCGATCCCTGTGAAAAAACTGTGGGGAGCGTCATTATATGCAGGAGATAACAATTGAATGATTTCTGATAAGATCATATCACCTGATGATTTAATTGGCTGATTTATGGAATAGGAGAGAGTGGAGAGATAAATAATGAAATAAATAAATTATACACTAAGGGTGTGTTTCTACCATGTACCTTAAAGAAGAACCCCCTTTTTTTTTGGTTAGGTGTTAAAAACCTTTCACTTACAGACTAAAATTAGGGGTATTTGAATTACTATGGCCCCTTTTTAAACTCATAAGGTCGTTCACAGCCAACTTTTCTCTTTTCAATAAATCTTCTTTCTCCCTATCATTAGAAGTTACATAATTCATACTTCCAGTTAATGTGTGAGTGGGAAAATTATCTTCAGGGATAAGATAATCTAATTTGGTGATGGATGGCATTTTCAGTAATGAAGGTGCAAATTTTGGAGGTGAACTACTGAAAAAGTTCGATATCGATGGTGGTGGAGGTAAATTAACTGATCTTCTTCTTTCTTCACTTTTAGGTGTATCTACAATTGTATTGGATTCTTGTGGTTTATCTCTTTGTTTTTTCTTACTAACTTCTTTGATTTGATTCACTTTATATTTAATAAATTTCAAGATTTTAAGATATTTCAAATCTTCATCCATTTCTTCATCATCCCAATCAATTTCATTGATGTTGTTGAAATTATTAAAATTCAAATCTTGGAAATTATAATTATAAGACAATTCATCATCATCATCTCTTGGTTCTTTCAAAATTTGATCTCTTAATTCGTCATTGATTAATTTTTTGAATAATTCATCTTCCTTTGTCTTATTTTTGAAGTTACTATTAGGTTTAGCTTTAGTATTGACTTCGTAATTGATGAATATTTTTATGAATAATTCAATGCTTAGATTAATGGTTTCAACAATAGTAGGATCAATAAATCTATTCTTTTTGAAACATTTGAGTAAATAGATCAATGAATATAACATTTGTAAAATTATCGTTTTCTTCAAATTAATATTAGTGATGGATAAACTGTTCAACATATAATTAAAAGGAGAATTAGGGATCTTCTTCACTTTGGATTCGATATTATTAACCATATGATTAGATAAACGTCTTCTTTTAGCAGAAAAATCGTTGATAACGAATCCTTCATCATCAACATCTAATCCTAAACTATCCAAAATTACTGGATTAGTACCTGTACTATGAGGATTATGATGAATGAAATTTTTCATATTTTGATTTTCATTATTCAAATCGATCTCTGTTGATTTACCAACATGATTGAAAATTATGATGAAATATTGTAAGAATTCTTGACAAATAAGAATCAATTTTTCGAAATAATTGTTATTTAAATCTTTATCAACAATAAAATTCAAGTAATTAACTGATCTGATCAACAAATAATGGAAATTTAATTGAATTTTAATTAATTTTAATGAAGTATCAACATCTGGTAATCCAGCATTGAGGTAATGATTCAAATTATCCATATTGATATCGAAATTCTTCAAATCTTTTATGGATTTAAGTTCAATACTATGATACAAATTATCATCTTCATTTGAATTAGTTAATTTCATTAACCCCATTTTAACTTCCAAAGGTAATAAATTCAATTTTTTCAGTTTCAAAGATTGTCTCCAATTAGATAAGTTACTATCAATAGTAACGAATTGAGTGAAATTATAATTAAGATTCCCATCATTACCATCCCCATCACCATCATTAAGAATCCAATCGAGGTTTTTGGGTTGTCTTTTTGGATGTTGTTGATGATTTTGATTGGAATTTTTAAGATATTGATAATAATTGGGAGAAAATGAGGATGGAATAATGATATTGATCAAATTCAAAAACTCAATACTAGGCACTAGAAGAGTCTTGAATAATTCATCAACATTTTCATCATCATCTTGTTTATCATTGGTTTGAAGTAATGAACTTAACTTTTCTGGAGTCAATTGGAAGTATCTTTCAATGGTAACAGGGTTAATAACTGTAGTATTAATACTTGGTTTGAATCCAAATTTTAAATTGAAACATTTTAATAATACCTTGAAGACCCAAAATATCTTAACTCTATCTCTCTTTTGTTGAATACTTAATGATAAATCATTGAAGAATAAGTTTTTGGAATTCAAATTTATACCTAGAATACCAATGTGGGAGTTAATCAATGATAATAAAATCAATGATTTCTCCTTGTTGTTAGTCAATAAGGAGAAATATAAGAATAATAAATAAGTTTGAAGTTGATGAATTGATACATGGAATGAATTGAAATATGGTAAGAAATCATATAATGAAGTTAAGATCTTCTTATGTTTATCAGTTCTATCGAAAGAATTCTGGTATTTGGGGTTTAAATGATTTAAAAGTAAATTCAAATTCGATATAGGATCATTGATCATAATGATGGCATAAATCTGGATGACAACAATCAAATATTCATTGACAATGTTATAATCATTATTTGAGATATTAAACCCATTAATCGTAGCATCATCATAGGTGAACATGAAAGGATACATTGTATGGAATGCATCATAACTTTCCATAAACTTCTTATAATCAAATATCGGTATGAGAATGTTATAATTTAAGAAGAAATTGACAATCTGATTATCCAATTCTTTCTTATTATTGAAAAGTTTCTTGAAATTATTGATCAATTTGATGAATAAATCATAAATATCCATAGGTAAATTATGATTAGTTAAGTTGGAGAATTCATTCAAGTAATCATCGTGACGAATATTGTTGGACGTTAAAGGATTATAAATGATATCCAAATCCTTGTTATGTAACTGATTATATAATGTGGAAGATGGATGATATAAATATTCATTGGGATCATTAAGTAAATAATTATGACTGTTGGAAATTTTCAAAAATGGTAAATTCAAATTGATCAATAAATGATTAAATTGGGACTCAAAGTTCAAATTATCATTACCAATGATTACACCTTTCTTATTCAAATTGAAGATTTGATCTATAGGATTATTTATCAAGGTAGTGTGATTCTTACTCTGAGGTGAAGATATTTGAATTTCAGTCGTGGGTTCTTTTGATGGTTCATCATCTTCGATTGGTTCCCCGGCTTTCATTTTCAATCTCTTATTCTCTTCTTCTAGAATCTTCACTCTGTTTTCCAAGTTTTCAGTATAACCTTTGGGAAATGCTCTTCTAGTTAACTTATCACTGGTTTTACAATCAAACCCAATCTTGGAACAATTATGACATGGAGTTAGACCATCACATTTAATCTTTTTAATTCTACATCGATCACACGCTTGACTTACTCTTATACCACTAGTGGTATTTATTAGTTTCAAATTGGCTTTAGCTTTATCTTTCTTCTTCTTTTCTTCCACCATTCTAGTAATTGGTCAAGTCAGTTTAATTAATGTTACTATGTAAATTCCTGGTATATTTCCTCAAATATCAATTTCCAATGTATATTATCACAAAAAGACTTGTAAAAGAATAAGAATAGTTTGTTTATTTAAACTTCCTTTCGTACTTTTTTTCAATCAAAAATCAGTGACGGTCAAAAGGAAAAATGAGAATCCCCAGATTTTACATTTTGGGAGGAACTCGGTGAGAAATTCATATGATGATGTCACGAAAGCAAAGGTTAAATACTACTATTAATAACTGATAGAAGAATTGTTGAAGGAAGTGATTATTAATCTCTGGCTCTACCTATAGTATACATCGAAATCAGATTCTAAAAATCACAAGATTAGAGTAAACCGGAGAATTTAGGAAGAGTTTTTGAATCATTGTGGAGATACACTTAATTGGTGGCTCGTAAAGAAAGAAATCGCAAACGCTTAAACTTACTTAAGGCTTAGAATAATTCAAAAGTTCATGTGACATAGCATTGTTTTTGAAACATTTCCATGTTACGTTAGAATGTAGCAACAGTGTATTTCTGGTATTTTCAATTATTTGTTGCACCAAGATATCAACTTTGAGACTAGAGTTGAAGTAAAGACGTAATTTTCATGTAATATCTTCAATTCTTCAAAGAAAATCTTCAACCAACACTGTATTAAGATGATTTATGTGTTAGTCGTGGATTTGGCGAAAATTCGATGATATAAATCAACTCACGCAAAAACAGACACAAATTAGCCTGGCTAGCTCAATCGGTAGAGCATTTGACTCTTAATCAAAAGGTTGCGGGTTCGAGCCCCGCGTTGGGCTTAATTTTTTATTTTTGTTTCTGTTCGGTTTAACAAAACTTAGTTTCCACAAGTTTTTCATATATCATTTACAAGTTGCAGAGAATAAAGAATATAAATACGAATATGCATATGTATATTTTTTTAGTTTACCGTTTTAAAAGTCATTAATATTTTTCCTGTAAATATTGAATAAATAGTTTGAAGTAAATGATTCTAATGTTTACCACCAGTTCTTTGGTTTCTTAATTCTTTTTCTTGTCTTTCAACTTCTTCATCGTAAACGATGAATTCGTCTAAACCTTTACCGGCTGGAACCATTGGTAAAACAGGAACTTTCTTTTCAACAAGAGCTTCCATTAAAACTGGTCCTTTACAATCTAAGAATTTTTTAACTCCTTCTTCCATTTCACTTGGTTTGGAGATTCTGATACCTTCAACACCCATAGCTTCAGCTAATTTCATGAAATCTGGATTAGATTGATGAGTATGAGCATATCTGTGTTCGTAGAATAATGATTGCCATTGAGTAACCATACCTTGTTCTTCGTTATTTAAAACTAATACTTTAACTGGAGCACCAGCTTGAACAGCTGATGATAATTCAGTCAAAGTCATGTTAAATGAAGCATCACCATCGATATCAATGACAATAGCATCTGGTTTAGCAATTTGAGCACCAATAGCAGCAGGTAAACCAAAACCCATAGTACCTAAACCACCTGAAGTAATCATAGTTCTTGGTTTGGTCCAAGTGAAATATTGAGCAGCCCACATTTGATGTTGACCAACACCAGTAGTGATAAGAACATCTTTACCATAAGTTGAAGATTGTTTTGAAATTTCTTTTATTAAAGTTTGTGGTTTTATCTTTGAACCTTCAGTTTCTTTCATATAATTGTAAGGGTATTTATCTTTCCATTCAAAGATTTTATTCATCCAATCAGATCTATCTTTAACTTCATTGATTAAAGGTAAGAATTTTTTCAAGTTAGCAGTAACATCACCTTCAACAGCTTCAGTAGCTTCAACAACTTTATTAATATTTTTAGGACTAATTTCGAAATGGATGATACCACCTCTATTTTCTTGAGCAGCTAATTTAGCTTCTGGAGCAAATTTATTAATATTTAAAGTAACTCTGTCATCAAATCTAGCACCTAAAGCAAGAATTAAATCAGCATTTTGAATAGCAGTGTTAGCAGCAGCATTACCATGCATACCTAACATATCTAAAGATTTTGGATCATTTTGATTGAAACCTCCTAAACCTTGAATAGTAGTAGTGACAGGGATAATGGCTTTATCACTTAATTCTTGAATTAATTTTGGACCATCTGGGTGGTTTAAGATACCAGCACCAACATATAAAACTGGTTTTTTAGCTTTATTCAATAATTTAGCTGATCTTTTGATAGCTTCATTAGTGAAATCATTGGCGATTTTTTTGGTCATTTGTGATAAAGCATTTGATGGTAAAGTAGTATTGATTGGGATAGCTTCTCTTAAGATAGAAGCAGTAACATCTTTAGGTAAATCAACCAAAACTGGACCTGGTCTACCGGTGGTAGCAATTTCGAAAGCTTCATTAATTCTTCTTGGTAATTCAGAAACGTTTTTAACCATAACATTCCATTTAGTACAAGATCTTGAAATACCAATAACATCAGCTTCTTGGAAAGCATCAGTACCGATAGCAGTGGTTGGAACTTGACCTGAGAAACAAACTAAAGGAACTCCATCCATTAAAGCATCAGCTAAAGGTGTTATAACATTAGTAGCACCAGGACCTGAAGTAACTAAAATAACCCCTGGTTTACCACTAGCTTTAGCATAACCTTCAGCCATATGACCAGCACCTTGTTCATGTCTTGGTAAGACGAATTTGAATTTATCTGAATTATAAATAGCATCAAATACTGGTAAGATAGCACCACCAGCATATCCAAATATGGTATCAACGTTATGTCTTAACATCATTTCATGGAAAATTTCACCACCAGTTAAACCGATGAAAGAATCATCCATAATACTTTCAGGTTGTTTTTTAGGAGTAATATCAGGTTGTTGATTAAAAGCTGGAGCTGGGGTAGGTCTTGATGAAGAAGCTGTCATGGTAGCTTTTGATAAGTTTGATTTAGTTAAAAATCTAACACTAGATTTCATAGTGTTAGACTTTGTAACATTCTTTAAATTTCGATAAAACATCTTGATTTTGGCTTAATCTAGGTGTATATTGATCTTATATGATTTGAAAAATTTTCAATGAGTCAATTATAGCGAAACCGCAGCGACACTGCGAACGAACGGATGTTCACATGGTGCGACATTTCCGCAGTTTCTTTTTAATTTCCCCAGAATTTGAGAACCCTCACAGAAGAAGAGATTAAGGAACACACACTCTATATATACATTAAACTTTTGAAACTATAATTTCACCTTCTTCAACGTCAGGAACGTCAGAAGTTTTCTCTTTATTTTGACTTTGATCATCAATGATTGAAGCATTATTAGTATGATCAACAGTTGGGTTTACTGTTGGATTCCCCCAATCTAAGAAATCTCTTCTTACTTCAACATAATCATAAGCAAATTCACCAATTTCATATTCATCAAGACCCATTTCTTCAGCAATATAATCTGCTCTTAAGTTAAGACCAGGAATTTTATTCATAATGAAACAAATCACAAAAGTAACTCCACAAGAATAAGCAGCAGTTGCTAAAATATAGGCAATTTGAATATATAATTGTTTCCAATTATGATCAATCCAACCACCAGCATGATCAGTAACCCCGTCATATCCAATGACAGTGGAAGAACCGAAAACACCATTGAAAATTAATCCTACAATACCTGCGATTCCGTGCTCCGCTAAAACATCTAAAGAATCATCAACTTTTAAAAGGTATTTAATTTGAGTAGAAAAGTTACAAACAATTCCACTAACTATACCCAAAATTACTGATGCCCATAAAGGAATAATACCACTAGCAGGAGTAGCAGCAACTAAACCGGAAATACAACCAGAACAAACACCAACCATTGACCATTTTCTTTCTAATCTATAATCTAATAAACACCAAGTCAAGGCACCAAATCCAGCAGATAAATGAGTATTTAACATTGAATAAGGAACTTTAATTGAAGCATTGGCACAACTAAATCCATTAAAGAATAACCATCCACAGTATAAAAGACAGGTACCCAAGAAAATAGTTGAAATATTATGAGGTCTATAATTAACCATTAAAGTTTGATTTCTTCTACCTAAAACAGCTGAATAAACAAAAGCTGAGAAACCAGAAGCAATTTCAACTGGACCACCACCAGCATAATCTAAAGCACCACCATTCCAAGATGATGCCCAACCACCACCCCAAATCCAATAAACTAAAGGACAATAGACTGCGGTAGCCCAACAAAACATGAATACTAAAGCAGGTACGAATCTACCTCTTTCACCAGTTAAAGCACCAGCAATAATAGCTAAAGTAACTAACATGAATTGCATTTGAAAAATTGAAAAGGCAATTTTTGGATATTCAACGGAACTATCGCCTTCACCAATGATTGTTTTAAAACCAAAATATTGTAAATTACCAATAAAATTATTAGATGATGATGAAAATGCTAATGAATAACCCCAAAAATACCATTGAAATACCCCTACAAATGATGAACAGATAACTATCCATATCATAGATAACGCACTCTTCCTCCTTGCTAAACCACTATATAAAAACGCCAAACCTGGTACCATAATCCAAATTAATGATGAAGCTACTGTGAATACTAAAACTAGACTTGGATCATATTGATCATTTTCTGTGAATACATCTTTCTTACTTAACATTATGTCTATTGTGTTATGTGATGAGCTGCAAAAAAATTAATTGTTACTTAGCCTCAGTATTTATAATAAATAATCAATGTTACAAAGAATGATAAACGAAAATTTTTTTCACAACTGTGATTGTAGCGTTTTATCAGTATAAATAAAAGGAATTTTTTTTACAGTTTATTTTCCTATCTTTAACGAATAGAAAACTGTGCGTGAATCATGTGTTGCGGCAGGGCTGAAATAGGCTTTGAAGATGAGTTTTTCAATCCAGGGTTTTAGTTAAAATACCAGAGTTTACAAGTTATAGATGGTGTTTATCGATAGATTGTAGTGTTTAGATTATAGAATGATAAGCTTTGATAGGTTTTGGAAGAAATTATTAAGGTACAGATGACTCAGAATCATGATGTGATTTCATTGGTTTGATAACTGATAAAAATTGCCTAAGCGCACATTAACCGTTACCGGATGGGGCGAATATATTTACAGCGCAATTAAGGAACTATTTACAAAGCCGATGGGTCGTTAAGAAGAGTCCTTTCGTTAAAAGCATGTTGTAGGTGACGGGACTTATGTTGAGCTGACTACTCAAAAATGAACTTATACAGTTCAAATATCACTTCAACAGTAATTAACACTATAATGGTCCATTCTAATGTTGTACTCTTCTTTTCATTGACAAGACTTAAGAAAACTCTTTGTTCTTCGGTTGCATAATCTAGCTTTCTATTTAATATGGAGATTCTGGAATTTATGTCTAAAGAAGTCGAAATCAATTGATAAATTTTTTCCAAAGTTGGCTCACTCCAATATAAATCGGGAGTATCAATCAATTCATTATATAAATTTAATTTCCCTCTTAATAAGAATAACTTCCCTGTAGCTTTTATGATATCCTTTTCATTGGTGGTAATCTTTAAACCATTAGCTAAATTTTTGGAATTTTGCTTGGTTAATTTCAAGAAATCTTCTAAACTGTTTTCAAGAATTGATAATCTTGTAGATCTAGAAATACCTATAGAAAAGGCAATCTTGTCATAAAGTTTCTTAGTTCGAGATTCATTCTGTATAACTATTATATCATTAACCATATAAGAATTACCATTATTCTTAGCATTTTGAGGTAATTCATCGATTTCAATATAATCAAATTCATCACTTTCAAATTCATATTTTTCACTTATAGATCCATTGAATATTGGTAGTAATTCAATCAATTGTAATTCATTAAAATCCCATCCAATAATTGTCCCATTTGATAACACCAAGATATCTTTAGACTCATATTTAACTCTTATGACTTCATCTGGAACTATGACTTTGTGACTTAAATTCTTTTGGTTTAATTGATCCATTATCTTATTGAAATTTATTGAATCACTGATGGTAATACTGGTGACTGGTTTCAAGTATTTGGAGATTTCGTTAGTGTCATTGGTGTTAAGTAATTGAAGTATGTTCTTTTCATTTTCAGGATGATTGGTTGATCTTCTAAACCTCTCAATAGCTGATATCGGTTTCTTCTTCTTGATAGTGGAATAAAACGACACCGATCTCCAGGGATTGACTGGAGGTAGACGGGGTCTAAATACTTTTAGTATAGATAACATGGTTATTTTCTGAGTGAGGGATGAGCCTATTATCCGTGGAGAAGAGAACACAAGAGAAGACTCGCTAGAGGAGGATAGTAAGGATTAGTGATTGAATAGCGAGTCAACAAACAGCGAGTCAATGATCATTGTGCAGTTAATTAACAGTGCACGATCAGTTCAACGAACAGTTATTAAATAATCATAGTGACAAGCCTCCTTACGCCAATTACATACACCAATTACATCATTAACTTCATTGCATACACTTAATGCAAACATTAAACACTAATTATAGATTCCAACAACAACACCAAGCCACGTCTTTTGAGCATCTGTTTCATAGTTGTCTGTAAATCTCTAAAACCTCCTTAATTTCATAACCTCATCAGGTTCATCCACGAATAGACCATCCACGAACTCACCGACAAACATCTATTAAGATAGTGGGGCAATATTGGAACCAACGGTTGATACCAAAACAACAATAATCCATCCTTCGCCTAGTTGGTCTTGACTCATAACATCAGCAAAACCCTTACAATGGAAAAACTCTAAGAATAAGGAATATCCTTAATGTTTTCAATTAATCCCAATCGGGTAAACTAATTGATGGAATTTTTCCACGCCTCCAAATGTTTTGTAGTCATCATGTTAGTTTCCAAAATTAACTATCACACCAAAGGTTGTTCTATTCATCACCTCCGAACTACCATTAGTTCACAAATCTCACCAATAACTTCAAATATACTGTCGTTCTTCCCCCAATCCCCCCCTCTTCACATCTAGATCACAACGCGATCCCATATATACATTCCTGAAACTTATAACCCTAACCCTAACACACCTGATTACCTAATCGGAACACGTAAAGAACATAAAAACAATTTATATTGAAACTCTCTCATCCAAAAAAGGAAATTATATTGGAGTTGTTTACACTTAAAAATAGAGATATATTTTTCGAGAATCCACAAGACAAATTTTTTTAATCACAAAATCAAATTATGTGTGGTATATTTGGATATGTTAACTTTTTAGTAGATAAGTCAAGAGGAGAGATTATTGATACTTTGATTGATGGATTACAAAGATTAGAATATAGAGGATACGATTCAAGTGGGATTGCTATTGATGGTGATAAAAAGGGTGAAACATTAATTGTTAAATGTCCTGGTAAAGTTAAAGCTTTGAAAGAAGAAATTGAAAGATTAGGAGTTGAAAGATCAACCATCTTTGATAGTCATGCTGGTATTGCTCATACAAGATGGGCAACTCATGGTCAACCAATGGTTTCAAATTGTCACCCTCATAGATCTGATCCTGATGCTGAATTCGTAGTTGTTCATAATGGTATTATCACTAATTATAGAGAATTAAAGACTTTATTATTATCAAAAGGTCATATTTTTGAAAGTGAAACTGATACTGAATGTATTGCCAAATTATTCAAACACATTTATGATACAAATTTAAAAGCAGGATTTGAATTAGATTTCAATGAATTAATTAAACAAGTATTATATGAATTAGAAGGTTCATATGGTTTATTAGTTAAATCCAAACATTATCCTGGTGAAGTTGTTGGTACTAGAAAAGGTTCACCATTATTAGTTGGGGTTAAGACTGATAAAAAATTGAAAGTTGATTTCGTTGATGTTGAATTCACTGATCAACAAGATTTTTCAACAAGTTTTAATCAAGATTTAATGGGTCATGATAATTTAAGAACTTCTCAATCAAGAGCTTTCTTAGCTGATGATGGTTTACCAATGCCTGCTGAATTCTTTTTATCATCCGATCCTGCTTCAGTTATTCAACATACTAAAAAAGTTTTATTTTTAGAAGATGATGATATTGCTCATATTTATGATGGTGAATTACATATTCATAGAGCTAAAAAGAATGCTGGTGATTCAACCATAAGACAAATTCAAACTTTAGAAATGGAATTGAATGAAATTATGAAAGGTCCTTATAAACATTTTATGCAAAAGGAAATTTTTGAACAACCTGAATCAACTTTCAATACTATGAGAGGTAGAATTGACTTTGAAAATTTCAATATTAATTTAGGTGGGTTAAAATCTTTCATTAATTCAATTAAAAGATCCAGAAGAATTATAATGATTGCTTGTGGTACATCATATCATTCATGTTTAGCTACCAGATCAATAATTGAAGAATTATGTGAATTACCAGTTGTTGTAGAATTAGCTTCTGATTTCTTAGATAGAAAATCTCCAGTTTTCAGAGATGATACCTGTATATTTGTAAGTCAAAGTGGAGAAACTGCTGATTCAATGTTAGCTTTACAATATTGTTTAGATAGAGGTGCTTTAACTGTTGGTATTGTTAATAGTGTTGGTTCCTCAATGTCAAGACAAACTCATTGTGGGGTTCATATCAATGCTGGTCCAGAAATTGGGGTTGCTTCAACCAAAGCTTATACTTCACAATATATTGCTTTAGTTATGGTAGCTTTATCATTATCCAATGATTCTATTTCAAAACAACAAAGACATAGAGAAATTATCAACGGTTTAAAGAAAATTCCTGAACAAATTAAACAAGTATTAAATTTAGAAGATAAAATCAAACAATTATGTAATGACCATTTAAACGATCAAAAATCTTTATTATTATTAGGTAGAGGTTATCAACATGCTACTGCTTTAGAAGGGGCATTGAAAATTAAAGAAATTAGTTATATGCATTCTGAAGGGGTTTTAGCTGGTGAATTAAAACATGGGGTTTTAGCTTTAGTTGATGGTCAATTACCAATTATTGCTTTTGCTACTAGAGATTCTTTATTCCCTAAAGTCTTAAATGCTATTAACCAAGTTGTTTCCAGAGATGGTAGACCTATAGTGATTTGTAATGAAGGTGATGATGTTTTAAGTAATAATGAAGCTTTAGCTACCTTACATGTTCCAAATACTGTTGATTGTTTACAAGGGTTATTAAATGTTATCCCTGTACAATTAATCAGTTATTGGTTAGCTGTTAATAGAGGTATTGATGTTGATTTCCCAAGAAATTTAGCCAAATCCGTTACTGTTGAATGATCCCCCCTCCTTTCGAACACTTATTTTGATTCCTATTTAATTTTATTATATATATATATATATATGAATACCGTATAATTATCCTCTCACATACATTAATTATTTACTGAAACTGGTAATTTGAAACAGAAATCCCCATTATTTAATCCTATCCATATCCTGAGATAATAAACTCTTCCCATATAACAACTTTGGAAACTTGGTCCTAAGTTGAATTCTTTATTCCCACCTAATTCGGTTAAACTGTTTAAATCAAGACAAACCTCAAAATCTCCTAATTTAGGAAATTTAACGAGCTCTCCATTTTGCATTATTTTGGGTTGTTTGAAGAGCAAGTTGATGGTTTTATCTTGAATTTGTGCTGCTGTTCTTAAATCTCTAATCAAGGATTTTTCAAATCTGAAATTTTCAATATTTGTCTTTTTGCTTAAATCTTTGATCTTATTAAATTTACCAACATAATGGTCGGTGATGTTATGCTTGAAAATATCCATATCGTTGAAAGGTACGACATTATAATTGTCATTTTTGAATATTAAATCGTGACTTATTTCCAATGGGATGGTGTTTAAAGATCTATAAGTCACACAAGCCAATTCAAATCTAAGGTTCTTTATCTTGGTGTTATTTAGATTTGATGATATATTAAAAGGAATTGAAAAACATCCCTTCAAGGGAGTTTGGAAATTATATGTGGTTAAAGGAGTGATCAATTTGACTTCTCCTGATTTAAGAATTGAACCTGATTTACATGTTAATTCTAAATCTCTACTAGCAGCTTTAGTATCTGGAGGATAATAAAGTTGAGCCACTTTATTTCCTTGATCATTTTGAACTTGTTGAGTAAAATTTTCAATGATTTCTCTAACAACTGCTGGTTCAAGACTATTTGATTCTATCAATGCAAACTTTTCCATTATCTTGATCATTTCTTCAATTCTCTTATTGAAATTTTCATTAACAAGCGTTTGATAAACATGATCAACTGTTTGTGATGTGGGTGTAATATGAAGTGGGTGATGGGTATCTTTCAAAATAACGAATTCATCCCCCTTTTTATTGAAAATTTTAGCATTCTTTTGTGTAGGATTATAATTATAGTATTTGGCTTTACCTATAAAGATAGTAGAAACTTGATATTTGATCAGATCTCCCATAGGACTGAAATCTTTAGTATTACCCACTGTTGGGATAACATTTAAATGGGTTGGTAAATTATGATCACATTGTTGATCTAATAATTGATTAGGAATCTTAAATGAAAAGAACCGTTTATATTTCCTTTTAGCTTTAACAACTCTCCCACTGAATGTGTTATAATGTCCATCTGCATCAACAGAATCTGGACATGTATGAGGTGGGATATATTCGGATACCAATCTACTGACATGACCATCGTGATAAGATCCTATAATATCGAACATTTCCAAGAACTTTGTGTTTCTAGTGGTTTTACCATCTTTTAAGGAGATAATCCCTTCCAACAAAATGTAGAATAAATTAAATCTGATATCCTGATCTAAAGTATTTTCGACGGTGATGAATCCGTTGATACTATCACCCTGTTTATAAGCTTTAGGTTCAATGATTTCAGGCTTTACATTGGTTTCTACTAAATCTTTAGTAAAGAAACATTCCACTTTTAAGTGATTTGTGAACTGATTATCAGTTGTAGTCATATTATTCAAGTAATCGACATGATCTAGTATAGTTTCTCTCCATTGTTGATTGGAAGCTTCATCAATTAAGATTCTTTCGGGATCTGATGATTGAGTACCAACTAACAGACTGGAATTGTTAGTAGCTGTGGTTAAACTTAAAGAATCTAAAGGTGTTCTTTGTAAAGATGAAGTGGTAGATAATGATACAGAAGAAGGAGCATCATCATAATGTGGAGGTTCATTACTTTCCATAAATTGGTTGACAAAGAAATCATAACTTGGTAAGATATTCCATAATAATTGATCATTGGTTAATTTCTTCTTGGTAGATTGGGAAATCTTAAAAGCTTGCTTATCAGTAAACGATTGAGTAGTCAACTGAGTCAAATCATCTTCTTCACTCATATTATTGTTGATAAAGAGTATTAAGGGATACGAAGCTGGTTATATATATATTCCGTGAGTCATTTTCGTTTCCGAATAATTTGTCATCAATAACTTCTGAGATGTTCTTAATAGATAACACTTTCTACGTTTTTTTAAGAAAGAGTCATATGAGGAACGACCTTATTGGATGGTTGAGAGCGGAATTATATGTCGGCCATTTGAGGTGCAAAAACACTGTACAATGACTTATTCAAATTAGCCATAGAGTGCGATGTGAATGAGCGGCATCAAAACTAAATCACAGCCGTTGAAGTGGATAAACCGCATTGACTATTTGGAAGCAACGGTAGAAGGAGGTTACCCCACTGATATTCCGTAATTGAAATCTACCTATCAAGAAGTTAAAAGTTTGTTTATTTCCATCAATAGTAGTGAGGCAACATGGCCCAGAAATCATGAAGGTTTTTAGAATATAACATCCCGAATAAACATCATTATTGGTTAGCTAGGGGACGAGAAATGTTGGTTTAACTCCTCTTAAGCCTTGATCTTGCAGGGAATTTTCCTATTTTAGAGTTCCGTGATAAAGGAGTAAAAATAACACGGTCCCTACCTCCACATTCTCCCGTCCAATGACTCACGTCAAAAATTTACGAAGGTTCTAGAGCTTTAGTCACTTCTGATATCATTATATTCACTAATTAGCCTTATACCAAGTTCATCTACGTTTGAAATAATCTGATGATGAACAATAAGCAGTTGAGTAATCCAATATTTTTTCTCCGATATCTAAGTACATGTTACTATAATATTGAATATCTTTAGATTGACTATCTAAATTTGGAGTTAAACCGCTACTTCTTTTCAATCCTGCCAATGCAGTTGAAACTAACACTAAATCTGCACCATAATGAATAAGTTTACCGATCTGTCATTAGTATGTTTGTTTGTTGGTGTTAGATGTGTTTAAAGATGTCTCTACGTACCATAATAAATAAATTCCACACGATAGGGAGTCGCACCAAAAAAATTGATGATGTTGACTACTTTTGTAGTCCAAAAGGACTGGTGAGTTTGTATGAAATATTGTGTGATTTGTAGGTTGAAAGATACTAGGATATGAAGAAGATTGTGAACTGATGGAAAATGATTTCTAATTGATGGAAAAGTCCATAATTTGATGTTATACAGGTTAGCTCCTTAATAGAATTTCTTAGATGAAAATTTCAAGTTCTCTTCGGAACATGGAATATGATTGATCTCAAAGTTTGGTTAATGATTAACCCATTCAATAGGAAACTGAACCTAAATCCTGCTCAAGCGTTCAGGAGACAATGTTAAGAAAGATCATAGTTGATGAAAAAGAAGTATGAGTCCCCCATGACGATTTCAATTTGGCGAAAGTCAACTTACATTTGGAATTTCAAACAATATGATATCCCCCAATGATAGCAAATCCAAACTACTTCTAAAATTATTGTGGTTTCGTGTTCCATCATCGATTGCTGATTGTGTTGCTTATTTCTCTCTCTCTGGTTAATTGCCATGAATTTAAACTGATTCATAAGTTCCTCAACATACCATGGATAATCTTGGTTTGAACTATTATTTTGACTTCAGAAAAGGACTTTCAGTTACCGTTTAATTACATTTGGACAGTTAAAGAAACACCCTGGATTGTGTCCGGGTAATTTACAACCTCGCAGTTTTATCAAAAATTTTCTACGTTATAACAATATCAATGACAGATAGATATAGACCTAATAATTCTAACAACGGACCTCCTACAGGTCCTAAGAAGAGTTACAACAACTACCAAGGTGGTAGAAATGACAAGCATCAGGGTGATTGGAAGAGTAAAGATTTCAGAGGAAACAATAGGAACTATAAAAGTGATCATTACAGACCTGGTCAACCAGCGAGTAATCAATCAGCGCCTAATAATCAATCTACTGGTGGTAAAGGGTATAATAATGGGAATTATCACAACAATAGTAATAGAAATAATAAAGGGGAATATTATAAAAAAGATAGCGAAAGAGGTCCTCCACCGGCTGGTCCCAAAGGATCTAAAAGGCCTCTTGATAGAGGATCATATGAAAAACAAACTAGTAGCTATGTTCCAGGTCGTAACAACACATATGAACAGAATAAGAAACCCAGATTTCCTAGTGGACCAGGTCAAGGTAATCGATTCCCCACAGGACCTAGTAATTTACCTAAAGGACCAAAACTGATGGAAAAATCCAAACCTTTACCCCCAAGACACCTTCCAAGACCTACCAAATTAACCAAGAACCAAATATATATGATAAAGACCAACAAACCAGAAATTTTTGAAAGATTTCAACAAGTTGGGGAAGGTACTTATGGAAAAGTTTATAAAGCTAAGAATTCTAATACCGGAGAAATAGTTGCATTAAAGAAATTGAGATTGGAGAGTGAAAAAGACGGATTTCCTATAACTTCTATCAGAGAAATTAAATTATTACAATCATTTGATCATCCTAATGTGGTTGGATTATTAGAGATGATGGTTGAACAAAATCAAATTTATATGATTTTTGATTATATGGACCATGATTTAACAGGATTATTGACTCATCCTGATTTAAAATTGGGTGAAAATCATAGGAAATTTTTGTTCAAACAATTAATGGAAGGTTTAAATTATTTACATCTCAAAAGAGTTATCCATAGGGATATCAAAGGATCGAATATTTTAGTTGATAGTATTGGGAATTTAAAGATTGCTGATTTCGGATTAGCTAGAACAATGAAATTATTAAAAGAAGGTGAACATCCAGATTATACTAACAGAGTTATCACTATTTGGTATAGACCGCCAGAATTATTATTGGGATCAACAGAATATGGTAGAGAAATCGATATTTGGGGGGTTGGATGTCTTTTGATTGAATTATATACTAAACAAGCCACATTCCAAGGATTCGATGAAGTAAGTCAATTGAATAAAATTTTCAATATTATGGGGACACCTAATTTTGAAAATTGGCCAGAAATTTCCAACTTACCTTGGTTTGAAATGTTGAAACCTAAAGATAATAAAGTCAATCAATTCAATGAATTTAAAGCTAAAATGACAGATGATAGTTTTGATTTGGCGGAGAAATTATTAACTTTAAATCCTCGCAAAAGACTCACTGCTTCACAAGCTTTACAACACGAATATTTTACCAATGAACCAAAACCTGAACCTTTATATTTCTTAAAGGAAGTTAAAGGAGAATGGCATGAATTCGAAACCAAGAAAAGAAGAAGAAAAGAAAGGAAGAGATTGCAAGATGAGAAAAAGAGAGATATTAATGATAATATTGCCCCATCAGCACCAAAACCTGAATCTATGGCTCCATCAACGTCAAAAATCAATGACAATGAAAGTTCAGTATCACCTAATCAACTATCTATTAGTCGTCCTCAATCGATAAGACAAACTGAAGAGCCAGAAGAAGCTCAAGATCAACAAAAACCCGATGGTACTGTTTAAAGGTCACACGACATCTTAAGTACACAGTACGCAATGACGAATAATGAATGTACATATCGTAATTTACGAGATGCGATGCGATCACTCTTACTTGGCAGTCTCTACCCCTAAATGGTGAGTTATACAATAACATAATGTCATTAATACCTTACTCCCTCTACAAAATGACATACCAGCTCAACCTATACCTTGTTAACCATATTCATCACCTCTGTTCCATCATCTTCTACCAAACCCCACGTGTAATCCTCATCTCAAATCGCGAACTATAAAATCGTTATCATCTGTCACTCGCCTGTCAATATTTCATCATGGCAGTACAAAAGGAAATTAACATAGATAAACCTGTGGAGATTGAAAATCCGACTTTGTCATTCACTAAATTAACTCCAGAACTTTCACTTTCTGCTTTAACTTTACAGGGGGATTATTATTCTGACTTACAAGCTAAGTATATGAAAACTTTCCTCTGGAGTTTACCTGTTCAAAGTACCATTGCTGTGATTTTAGCTGGATATTATTACTATGTTTTGAAAGACTATATTGAAATCTCCGAATCTGTTGGAGAATTCTTGAGATTAGTTAAGAATTCAAGTGATTTAAGAGTTTCCTTTGTTATCAGTTTTGCTGTTTTAGCAGTATCATTAGCAGTTTTCGGTGTTATTGGAATGTACATCACTGATGAATTTAAAATCATCTCCAATAATTTATCAGCTAATTCATACATCCAATATATCTTTGGATTTGATCTTCATAAATTTTCCAAGTTAGATAACGAAAAAGTTACCAACTTGAAAGAGAAGAAATTATATGATCAAGGAGAAAATTCACAAATTGTTTTATTCAAAGAAGATCCTATTGGTATAATAACTTTAACTCCACTTTTCGATAAATCATCAGATTCAAATTTAGTAGTTAGAATTTCTGGATTGAACGTTAGAAAAGCTTTTAGAAAATATGATTTTGAAAGTTTGTTATTAGATTTTGCTGTTGAAAGATCAAAACTTATTTACAAGCAATATTTAAAAGATAAAAAAATTAAAAAATCCAATGGATGTAAGATTACTTTATTAATTGATGGCTATTCTTTCGATAAAGAATTCCTTGAACCAATCATTAATCATAATTTCAGTGAGGTTGATGCCACTTACCAATTAAATCCTTTAACTGACAAAACTGCTTTCTTAAAGGGAGCTGTTAACAAGTTCTTGGGAATCACTAGAAAAACTTTTGGTGTCCAAGTTATTGATATGAATAAAGATTCTAAATAGATTTATTATGACGATATAAGACTTTAATATATAACTAATCTAAAAGTCCAGTGGTTCTAGGTTTTTTCTTATCTCTGGAGATTCTGAAGATAATAAATCCGAACCAAACCCCCATTACTACCAATAATATCACCAATAAGTATTTGATGAGTTTCCAGATTTGTCCAAGAATATGTGTGAAAATATTAGCATCTTCATGGCCGTATTGTTCCTTATTTCTCTTTTTGGTGTTCTCTTTAATCCTTTGTTCAGCTTTCTTTAATCTGGAGATGGATTTTCTGGTCTTTTTACTTGGTATGGGGTTCTTATGTTCAGGATCATTTTCAATATCGTCAGTATCTTCCATCATTTGTTTCAATTCTTCAATACTTTCAATAAATGATCCTTGAGGTTTATATAATGCAAAAATCTTATTCTCCAAGATATCGACATTTTGAGTAACTTCTCCTGTTTCTGATGATAATCCCAAATACTTAATTGGTGGTAATATCACATCATTCAATGTTACACAATTAGTCCATTGATTATTATTATTATAATCAAAATCCAACGAGAAATACCCATTCTTGATATAAACTATTCTGGCTTTAGTTAAACCAGATTTAGGGTTAGTTACCAGTTGAGCCACACAACTGGCCAATCTTGTATCATAACCATCAAGAGCTTTATCATAACCAGTTTGCCCATTACCCAACATAACGTTCACTAAGGGAAATTGACCTCGTTTACCGTTCTTAAAAGTATCAATCATTATACCTAAACCGTTGAAATAATTCTTTACTCCAAAAACATCACCAATTTCGGATTTTTCATCGATGAACCAAATACCTAACCCATCAGCCATCATTGCATTCTTGCTATGGATGTGGAAAGTTAATTCCATTTCAAAACTTTCAGCTTGAATAGGTAAGGTTGAAAATATACTACCAACTTGATGTTGATTATCAGAAGTTAATCTGATGAAATCATTATTTTTAATGATAGTATTACCTTTCAATTCCCAATTCTTGATCTTATAACTATTTGGTTCAATGAAAGGTTTCTTCAATTTTTGGGTTAAAAGTTCAATCTTCTTGATTCTGACAGTTTCTTGATCTTTACCTTGTAACAAAGAATTGATTTCTTCTGGTGAATATTCATCATTTGATGTCCAGAAAAACCTTACACCGAAAACCAAAGTTATCAATAAAAGAATTCCAACCCCTAATTGTCTTAGTTGATGAGGTTTCATGATTTTTCAATCTTTTTCTAATGACGTGGAAATTGAACTACCTTATGCGGATTTTCTTTACATGTGGTACAAAAAATTCCTCAAATCTCCATCCAAGTAAGCTAAAAGACCTAAAAGAGTTAGGGGATTTATAAAGCCTCGACCGAATATAAATTAACTATTTACAATGAAATTTATTTACCAAATACAACTGTTCTGAATGCAGTGAAAATATTTTCTTTACTTTCACCTTTCAATTCATTCATAAGTCTGGAATAATATTGGGGGTTTCCCTTTGGAACTAACAATTTATCATCTAATTTGTAATAGTTCTTATACTTATCATTGACTAAATCTCTAAGGGAATTATATTGTAATTTTAAATCTCTTTCACTTATATCATTGATTTTATCTGATGAGAATCTTTCAATTTGAACTTCTTTGAATGACGCATAATGTTTGATTCTGTCCTTTGGTAATGTTTTTAACAATGCCAATATCTTATCCCTGATTTCAGCTTTGGCCATTTTTCACGATAAAATCTATGCAATCTGGTGACGGTAAAAATGATTTAGGTGATGGGAAAATTTGAACAGAAAAAAAAATCGCACTATGGTTAAAGCTCCAACACCTAGAGTTATCTTTATCCGTCATGGACAAACTGAATGGTCTAAATCGGGTCAATATACTTCAATTACTGACTTGGATTTAACAGAATTCGGTGTGAAACAAATGACTAATACTGGGAAACATTTAATTGGAAAATCACCATTCCAATTAATTAAACCTGAGAATTTGAAGCATGTATTCACATCACCAAGATTGAGAGCTAAACATACTGTGAAGTTATTATTGGAAAATGTGGATGATTTAACAAGATCTAAAATTCCAATTCAAGAAGAAAATGATATCAGAGAATGGGAATATGGTGATTATGAAGGTTTATTAACTAAAGATATTATAAAATTAAGAGAATCAAGAGATTTAGGTTCAGACTGGAATATCTGGAGGGATGGATGCGAAAATGGTGAAGTTCATACTCAAGTTAAAGAAAGATTAGATAAAGTCATTGGTAAAATCAGATCAATTCATAAAGATGCTCTTGAAAACAATGAAGCTTGTGATATCATAGTTGTGGGTCATGGTCACATTTTAAGATGTTTTGCTGCTAGATGGGTTGGTAAAGAAATCAACGTCAACCCTCAATTCATGTTGGATGCCGGTGGTGTAGGTGTCTTAAGTTATCAACATCATAATATTGAAGAACCAGCTTTGTTCTTGGCAGGTGCCTTTGTAGTTCCTGTTGAAGAAGAAGGTGGTGCTCTTTAGTTCAGAAACACCTTGTTCAAAGTTAATAGAAATGTTGGTCATTGTACCTCGTACAATTCTTCCGTAACTCTTTCCCTCAAGTTTCTAGGTCATGTCTACCTCCTCTTCTCTTTCGTTTCGTTTAGTTTTTCCCTTGGTGAAATGCGGAGAATAATCCGATCCGACGCGGATAATTTTAGTGAAAAATTATAAAAGACCTGGTAGTAGCCTTTGCATTTAATTTTCCATGACTATAGATCAAATACCCGTCTGGTTAGATTGTGATCCAGGTACTGATGATGCCTTTGCAATCTTATTATCTTTACTTCATCCAAAATTCAATTTGTTAGGTATATCTACCGTTTATGGTAATACTGATATCGATAATACTACTCATAACGCTTTAGCATTATCTGATCTTTTAAATAAACCTGTCCCTGTTTATAGAGGTGTGAATCATCCTTTAGCAAAACCTCCAAGATATGCTGCTTATTGTCACGGAGTTTCAGGAATGGGTGATGTTGAATTACCTAAAAATCCAAGATTCAAAGAAGCCACCGATAAACCATATCATGAAGCTATTAGAGATGCTATTTTAGCTTATGAGAATGAAATATGTCTTGTGGTTGTTGGTGCTTACACAAACATCCATATCTTATTTTCGAAGTATCCAGAACTTAAATCCAAAATCAAATTAATGTCAATGATGGGTGGAGCTTTCGATTTCGGAAATATCACTCCACATGCTGAGTTTAATGTTTTTGCTGATCCTAAAGCTGCCAATGAACTCATCACTGACCCAGAATTGATGAATAAAATCATCATTAATGGTTTAAATTTCACTCATTCAGCTGTTGCTACTAAAAAGATTCGTGATTCTTTGTTCAGTAAAGGTACACCCATAAGAAAAACATTTGAAGACATTTTGAACTATTATAACAAACATCATTCAGAGAAATATAAAGACTCTGAAGGTCCTCCAATCCATGACCCATTGGCTGTATTTACAGTCTTACCTTTCTCATCAAATCCTGAGGATTATGGGGTTGAATATGTTAGAAGAAGAGTTAAGGTAATTGAATCAGGGGAAATGGAGGGAGCTACTGTATTTGTAAATGGCTCAAAATTGACTGATCCAGGCAACGAAGAAGAGGGTTGTATGGTTCCATATAAGATTAACAATGAATTATTCTATAGTTATATCGGCGAGGCTTTAGATATCGCCGATAACTTATCGTTAGCATAAGTTCGATTGTAAAACATACATTCAATATTAAAATACACCGTAAAATAAGAATATTGTAAAACATAGATATAGTAAAAATTTATATTAAAATACATATTAGAATTGAAACTATTATACAATGTCTTTGAGTATGGGTAACAATTTTTCACCTATTTGTTTTATCAAATCATCAGCCCAGATGACATCGAGATGATTATAATCATCAACTTGGAAAATATGCAATGTCTCTCCTGATTTATACAGTGGTTCAAAATTCTCCATGTGAGTTTTGAGTCTATGAGGGTCAACAAGGTTATCTACATCTCCGTTGAAAATTATCATAGGAACAACGGAGTCTGTGAACCATTGTTGCTTGAAGGGAAAGAACGTTTGGGAGTCATCAACATTGAATTCAGCATCGTCCATTATTCTACTATTGTGACCTAATTTGAATGTCTTCTTCAGTACTAATTGATTTCTGAAAGAATCAGGACGAAATTGACTTGTCCACCAAGTGAATAATTTAGATGAAACAAAGGATACGTTAAAAATGAAATGCATATGCCAGATTTTTTTATTTTTATTCCATTTCTTCCCACTCCATTCGAATAAATAATGGAACATTAATGTAGATAGTACTCCATATAACTTCCAACTGTGGATCAAGTTTCTAGCTTTAACGAGACTATTAAGGAATGCACATACTCCGAAGAATACATTATACATAACAGGTGACCTATTACCCATGAATTGGATGAATTTTCTTTTATGGAATAAAATTCCTGGAAAGATAGCAGGAGCTAACCCAATAAACCATTCGATCTTTTCGTGAATATGGGACATTTCAGGATTTTTCAACATTAAAAAACTTTGAGTACACCCTTGCAGGTGACCAAGAAGAATAAGTTTCTTCAGTTTGGATCTGGAAAGTACGTTATTAATCAAGCACGGAATGTCATACAAGGCCAAGTTGTTTATATCCCAATCCCAATATTCCTCGCTATGCATTAAGTTACCTTTTATAGTGCTATGCAAAGGTTTAAACCCAGATCGATTGTTACCTAACCACACATCATATCCGTTTTTAACAAGGTAATAAGGTAATGAACGGGTTCCAGGAGTGAGGAAAGCACCAGCAGATGACAATAATCCATGTTGGAGTAAAATAGGTTTCAATTGATCTCTCTTTTCATCTGTTACTTCAGGGTCCTTTAACCTGAATAGTATTAAAATATATCCATCATCAGTGGTGACCTTGAATTCTTCAAGATCTAGACTCAATTGTTTGGCATAATACTTCAAATCATCAGTGATCTTCATATTTTTGATATCTGGGAAACATTCACTACTGTCTTCAGTTTCGGGTAAACTAGAATCTTTCTCTCCTCGAAACAACTTCCGTAAATGATAAAAGATCCCACAGATGAATAATATAGCTACGAACCAAAAGGATAAGAATCCCGAGGTGAAGATATACCAGTATCTGATGAATGTCGAATGGTAATTCTTCTTCGTCTTTTCTTCCATTGAAGTGTAAATAAATATTAGACTGCGAAAAATGTGTATATAAGTGTGTTGACCTATTGTCCGAAAGATGGAACACACGGGTGATAAGATGAAGTTAAAAAGATGATAAGTTCGGATAAACTTGACAGATAATAGCCAAGAAATTTAATTCGAATAATCATTTTTATCCGATAAAGGAAGTGTTGATAATTCTATGTTAATGATGAATTTGGCTGCCAGAGGGGTTCGAACTAGACAATATTACAAGTCGCAGAATGTCGGAGCTTGAGTTTCGTCTATATGGCGTAGTGGCTCAGACTTTTCTCGTAACTGTTCGTATTTACCCGTCTACAAAAGAACTTCGGTTATTAAAAACGGGTGGGAAATTCGGTGGTTCACTCCATTCAATTCATTATGAATTAACATTTGCTCTTGAGAGTTCCTGGCGTGAAACGCTGGTTGGTAGCATCAGAAAACAACAGATTTATCTGTATGGGAGCTACCAATGAATGGTTGACCTTCATGGTTATTAAGTGCAATATACGGACTTCATTTGAAGAACTCGATACCGATCATAGTTATGAGTTTAGTTTTTTTTAAGGTGATGAGTTGATATTGAATCGCGAACCTCAATGATCATAAATAGTATACGGAGGATATTCCTGTCATTTAGAACGGAAGAAGAGGAACGTTACTATTCCCGTACAGCATTTTTCAATTTACTTGGGTTTTTAGGGTCATGTGTTTTATTTTCATTTGTTGCTCAAAGGTTATCTAAGCATCCACGAGAAATTGCTCAGATAGCTAGAGCTAATGCATTAATTAAGGCCATCCTGAATTAGGATATAGTTTTGTTGAGTTTCATCTGGATATGAATGTTTGTATTGATTTGTAAGGTAATTGATAAGGTATTTGACAGGCTGTTCTATCGGCTAATTAAGAAGAATTGACAAGCTATTCTATCAGCTAATTAAGAAGACCCCCATCACAGCAACACACTCATCCACCAGAGAACTACCCAGAGTTATAACCTAATTTATATGTAATATATACAGAACTAATACCTCTAATAACACACAATCTACAACATTCATAAAATATCATTAACCGTGAACAATATCAATTTTTCAATAAGATTTCCTTAGCCATTTCATAAGCAGTCCATGAAATAGCAGTTCCAGGAGCATTGAAAACGATTCTTGGTTTCAAACCTCTGGTAAAAATCTTTAAACCTCCTTCTTTGTATAATACTTTGATAGCATCTTTGAAACCTTTAATCTTTTGTAAGGTTGGGATTTGTGATATACCTCTGGTTTGTAATGCAGTTTTAATGACATCAAAAGGATTGGTTAAAGCAGCAGCTACACCTCCAGCAATAGCACCTGAAACACAATGTAAATAAGGATTATAAATATTGTCAGGATTTAAAATTGATGAACTGTATTCATAAAAACCAAAATTGAAAGCAGAAAATGGTATTGAAGTGAATAAAGTTGCAGGATAAGATATATAAAAAGCTGATAAACCTTCAGTTTTATATAAATTTTTAGCAGTTTTGAATAATTTAACTGATTGAGTATTTGATGAAGAATTTATTGATGTATAAGCTTGCATTCTTTGTTTTAAAACATCAAAAGGAGTCATTAAAGCATCAGAAGCTACAGTGGCAGCAATACCAGCACCACTAGCAATCAATGGATGATTTTCATCGGTGACTAATTTATTATTGTAATTTTGAGCAGTTAATTGATTGACTAATAAAGTCTTGGTAGCTTCAAAAACTGAAAAATAAACAGCATGAGCAGGTCCAGCACCTAAAACAACTGATGAAACACCTCTCCATAAAGCATAAGCTCCTTCACTACTACTAATTTTAGAAATAGAATTTATTATTCCTTTACTTAATTCTTGAGTATTTGAAATAATTTGCATTCTGGTCTTAATGGAATCAATAGGATACATAACAGTATGTTCCATTATCCCAGCAAAAGCTCCAGCAGTTAAATGTGCTATTAATGAAGCATTTGGTGGTAAAGCTTCATAATCAATTTCTATGGCATCATGACCAGGAACAACTCTTGGTTGTGATGACTCAACTTTATTAGTTATATTGGAAACTCCTTCTTTGTTACCACTATTTATAGGGTTAGGAAGAATAGAATTAGTTGCTTGAGTTAATACCATGATGTTAAAAAATGTGGGAAAACTAATGGGAAGTAAGTGAAAAATTGTCTAGGAAACAAAACTGGGGAAATGACCTTTAAAAGTATAGTTCTATGTTAAATTAAATGAATAATCAATGTTTTAGAAGATTTTTCAATAATATCTATGATAATCTCTCTTCAATGATTGGTTTTAAAATGAAAACTATTTGTTCAATGATGAATTTAATATCTCGGTAGTCTTCTGAAAAATTCTTGCTCGAAAAATTTTTAGATTCTGGCCCTAACAATAATTTGTCAAGATCTCAGGTTAAGTTAAATGGGATGAATAATTCAAAGGAAAAGTAAGATTTTGAACCGATGAATTCACTGATGAGGTGATTGAGTATTTGAATAATTTATTCAATGATGGTGAAAATTTTTTTAAACAATACAAATTTAGCCAGTAAGAGTATATTATTATCGGACAGATTATTGGGTATGATAAGATTTTAAGCTAAAAATAAAAAAAAATCTCTAAGTGAACTCTAATAACTGCTTTTTGTAATGTTTTTATGAAAGTTGACAATCCAAGAATATTTGATGTTCTTAGGCTAACACGTTTTAAGTATCTCTTACTTGAACGGTTTTAAGATGAAATTGATAAGTGAGAACAACACCGGACAAAAATACCGAAGTGGTTAGATGAGTCGAAGGAAATAATTCGATGACTAATTGACGAAAGGCTAAGAGAATGAACAAGGCTAATGAAGGTTATTTATATGAATAACTAAAAAAGTCATCCATAAGTGGTAAAGTATACGAAGTGTGTAATTCCGTATCGGTTTCGAGATTTTTGAATTTTTTTTTGCAGCCGAACCCGATTCCGATTATTTTATGACACATTTTTTTAAGACTGGTGACATCAAGCGGCTTATGGCTCGTGACTTTTTTGGTAGAGTTAATGTTAAATATCTATTTCTATCAAATTAATGCTTCATGTTTGAAATCAACATTATACATTTCAGGAACCACAGTTTTAACTTTACCAGTTTTTAAGAAAGTTTCAATATTTTGAATAACGAAATCTTCCATTTCAACTTGTGATTCAACTGTATGAGTACCCATATGAGGTAAACTGACACAATTAGGTAAATCTAATAATTCTTGATCAACTTTTGGTTCGAATTCAAAAACATCAGTACCTAAGAATCCAACTTTACCTGATTTCAAATATTCTGTTAAGGTCTTTTCATCAATAACTGCACCTCTAGCGGTGTTAATGATGATAACATCATCTTTCATTTTATCCATAGCTTCCTTATTAATCAAATGGTGAGTCTTTTTGTTCAATGGAACAGAAACAATTATAATATCAGATTTACTCAATAAATCATCATAACTTAAATATTTACAATCACCTTCTAATTCCGGTGATAATTTGGATCTATTGTGATAATAAAGATCTTTAAATCCGAAAGGTTTCAATCTATCACGGATACATCTACCAATTCCTCCCATACCCAAGATACCTACAGTTTTGTAACTTGGTAAGTGACCATATTTAGCACCAGCTGATTTAACACCAGTTCTTTCCCATTCACCTTTCATTAATAAATCATGACTTTCTTGGAAATTTCTTAATGCTGATAAGAGAAGGAAAATTGCAGTATCAGCAGTTGGGGCTTCTACGGGAGTAGTAATATTAGATAATTGAATATTTCTCTTTAATAATGGTTCAACATCAACTTGATCATATCCAGCACCACAATGACTGACAGTTTTAACTGATGATGGGAAATGGGAAACCAATTCTTCATCAAATCTTCCTGTAACGTCCAATTCAGCTGTTCTACCAATACTAACAACATCTTTATATTTCCCCTTTAAATCATTGATAAATTCAGATCTATTTTTTGAAGTACAGAATTGAACATCAGCAATTTCTGACAATTTATCCCATGAGGCTTTGGCATGGGCTCTAGATCCGATCCATAATACTTTTGGCTTAATACTCATAATTTTACTCATTTTAAAGAAATTATCCTTAATTTATATTTCTCTAACCTTTGAGGATTTGCGGGCCTCCACCACGACGTGGGGGTTGGGTGGTGGATGGATTTTCGAGGGTTTTGGGTACTTAACAGTGCGACTCTTTCGAGGAAGGGTCAATAATCCACCGGATTAACTTGTCGTTATAGGAATATAAAGGCATATGTTGATCATCGGGAAGGTTTTTGCTTTTAACATCCTATTATAGTATCAACTCGAGAGACTGTTCCATCAGAAATAAGTTGAGAGATCATCCCGTTAAGTATAGAGATAAGAGATAAGGGAAAAATGATTTATCAACTTAATTATAAAAATAAGTCAAAATTCTATCAATATGCTTCAATGCCACGGAGGGCAATCCTAATTCAAAAGGTTTTCAAAACAAACTTTTTTAATAAACAGCAAATGAACCTCTGTATTGGAATCCCTTATTAATAGAATTGATTTTAGTTAAATCTCTTTCTGGGAATCCATCAAAGGATTTAGCAAAAACAGCAACAGAATGAGCGATTAATTGAGTGTTAATAACCCAAGCTTCATAATCAGGGTTGCTTAAGTCGTCACATAATTCGTGGTAACATTGATCGAATTGTTCACCAGCGACACCACCGAATTTTTCAACACCTTCTTTGGTCTTGATACCTTCAGCACCGGTAGCAATACCACCAGCTGGGATACCATTATCAATGAAACCAACATAATCTGATCTACCATCGAATGGAACAAAAGTATAGTTAAGACCTTTGGATTTATACCAATCAACATATAAATCTTTCAAGTCACCTGAACCATTTGGATGGTCCTTATTGTTAGCTTCGTAAACTTGATACTCGTAATTTGGTGAAGCCATCATATCGTAATCCATAAATAATCTAACTTTAGAGTTTTCTTCAGGAGTTAAGGAGTCAGCATAAAAGGTTGATCCTAATAAACCTTCTTCTTCAGCAGCCCACCATGCAAATCTAACAGCATTATTAACTTTGAATTTAGCTAAGTATTTAGCAACTTCTAATAAAGAAATTGAACCTGAACCATCATCGTTAATACCTGGTCCTTCAGTGACAGAATCAGAATGAGCACCTAAAGCAACTACATTATCATGATCACCAAACACAGTTTCGGCAACAACATTTAAAGTTGGAACATATTTAACATAAGAATCAACATATAAAGTGGTTTCAAATTTGTAACTTGGATCTTTAGTTAATTTTTCGACGAATGGTTTAGCTTCAGCTTCAACAATTGAGACAGCTGCAACTTCTTTACCAGTTGGTTCACCTAAAGTTCCATGTAAATCATCTTTATCGTAAATAATAACCCCTACAGCACCGGCAATACCTGAATTGGCAGATTTGTCACCAAATGAACATTCACCTCTTGGTACTAATACAATATTACCAGCAGTTAAATTGGCAGGGTAATCTTCTAATGAACAACCAAAGTTTTTGGCTAAAACTAAGTTTCCATGAACTGGTTTGGTATCTTTAGTTGGTGGAGTTAAGGATAATGGTTTTACAGATTTTGGTTGAACTCCATCGATTAATAATGAATAAGAATTAACTTTTGAATCCAAAGCTTTGAATTTTTGAGTCTTAACAGTATAGTAACCACCCAATTTTCTTAATTCAGTGGCAATGTATTGAATGGTTCCCCAATGACCTGATGATTTAATAACTCTGGTAGGGTGACCATATTCAGGGATAGATTGTTCGGCAATGGAGAATAACTTTTCAGCTCTATCTTTCAAACCCTTTTCATTGATCAAAGCTTGTAATGCATCAGTATCAACTTCTGGTAATAAATCGTATTTAGCTTTGAGTAAAGTTCTAGGGTTAGGTAATTCCTTAATTGAGTCATGGGATAAATGTTCTTCTAAATCTAAAAGGAAGTCAGATCCTTCTAAATGTAAATCCAAGATGGATTGTTCCAATGGATTACGGAGGGGAAATCCATTGGCAATGGTAGCTAATAATAAAGCACTGAATTTCATAGCTAACGGTCGGTTTGTAAAAAAATCTGTCTGTGAATTCTTGAGATATGCGACTGATAACGCTCTGACTAATCGGGTCAGTTTACTGCCGTTTATAGCGAGGCCAAAATCTCAAACGGGAAATTCATATCTTTTTCGGGCTACCGGTCGCTAATAGTAAAAATTTAATAATTTAGAGTAACTTAGTACGGGTATTGTTATATACATATCTAATTTTGTCTACGTTTTTTAAAGTTTTTTTGGAACTTAACTTTTGGTCCACCATCAAAACCTCCGAATTGGAAACCTCCTCCACTGCCGAAATTGAATTTAAACTGGCTTCCTCCACCAAAATTGAATCCTTGTCCACCTTGGAATGGATTAGGTCTGGATTGACCTGTAGGATCATTAGGATCATCACCTCTATCATAGTTTGCTCTTAAATCAGGATCGGATAAAACTTCATAAGCTTGATTGATCTCTTGCATTTTACCTTCAATTTCATCAGCTGTTAAATCATTACCCTTATACTTATCAGGGTGGTATTTGAGAGTTTGTGATCTATAAGCTTTCTTAATTGTCTTTTCATCAGCATCTCTTGCAACATCAAGAACCTTATAATAGTCATTTTTAGGTTTCATATTATGTTGTTGTTGCTGTTGTTGTCTTTGCTGCTGTTGTCTTTGTTGTTGCTGCTGTTGATAAAATCTTTGTTGTTGTTCTTGTTGTTGTCTATGTTGTTGTTCTCTGATGTAATCTTCAATTCTTGACCATCTACTCTTATATAATGCAGTTTGACGAGTATTCACAGGAAATGATTTCAAGATTCTTTCAGCTTCTTGATAATTTTGCTTACTTAACAAAGAATCAATCTTAGGAATCATTTTAGGAAGAAAGTCATCTTCGATTGAATTACAAATTTTGTTTTTGATTCCTAATTGGATGGAAGCTTCACAATACATTTTATTCAAATCATTGAAAAACTTCAATTTATTCATTTTTATTCCAGATAAACTTGAAAATTCCTTCATTGAATGAATCAAATAATCATAATTGTTCGACACGGATAATCCTTGTACCAATCTCTTATTGGGTTTTTCATTCAAGAAATCATTAACATACTTGAAATCGATCTTCTCTGACAAATCGATATCATTAATGGATGGTTGATTACTTTCAGTAATAAGGTAAATATGACCATTTTCGATTGAATATTGTTCAAGTAATTCCAAAAACTTTGAAAATCTACTGAAAAACTTTGATGTTTTCACACAATCTTTGAATTCATTATCGATTCTTAAACATTGTTTGATAGTGGAAAAGGCCGTATTAAAGTTCACAGCTGTGTATAAAAGATAGTTTGACAAATTGTGGAAATTGCTCAAATCTCTTTCTAATTTCGTTAACTTACTTAAGGCCATTGTTATATTCTTATTACTTTCATCATTAAGATCTTCATGAGCACAAGATATCTTGAGTTTATATAAAACAGGGTTCATGGGTGATATTGAGACCAACTCATCAAGGTAATGGCATTTATCATAGCTCTTCTTTGATAATGCAGATTCTAACTCTGAAAGATGGTTATTGAAAGTGCTGATTTGAGCAGTAATGGTTGGATCAACAGTCTCAAATATGGCATCATCGAATAAGGAGAATTCCATCAATAATTCAACCAATTTTTGTTTGGCTGGGGTTAAATGAGGATCCAACAGTAAAGTTGTTTTCAAATCTCGTATGGCATCTCTTTCCTTACCCAAATTCAATTCAATCAAAGACTTCTTGAAGTATAATTGTGATAAGTTACTATCATTATCATCAACAGCTTCAATATCTTTGATTAAACTTGAGAATTCCCCCAAAACTTTATTACTAGGACCTTCAGATAACAACAAGCTTTGTACTCGTTTAATATCACTTTGAAATGCCGATACCACTAATAATAACGCTAGTATAATGAAATTCATGCTTTCGTGTTAATTCGCGACAAGGCTGCTTCTTTATATCATGGGCTGCGACACACTCAGACATTAAACGACAAAGAATCATAGAGAAGGAAAATTTATTTGACTGTAATATTGGAAACTATTTAAATAATTTAGCTAATGAAACAGCACCTTCATCATTCTTGGACATAACTTTAGCTACAGCTAATTCGAAATCTTCTTGAGTAACATGAATTCTTCTTTCTCTTAATGCATACATACCAGCTTCAGTACAAACCCCTTTAACATCAGCACCTGAACATCCATTCATCTTCTCAGCAATCTTTCTTAAATTTATACCTCTAGTTAAATTCATAGATCTTGAATGAATTTTTAAAATATCAGTTCTAGCATTCAAAGTTGGAGCTGGGAATTCAATTTTTCTATCAATTCTACCAGGTCTTAATAAAGCAGGATCTAAAATATCCAATCTGTTAGTAGCCATAATGATTTTGATATCTTTAGAAGTTTCAAATCCATCCAATTGATTTAATAATTCCAACATAGTTCTTTGAACTTCAGAATCTCCCCCACTTGAACCTTCAACTCTAGATGATCCAATAGAATCAATTTCATCCATAAAAATGATTGAAGGAGCATGTTCTCTAGCCATAACAAATAATTCTCTAACCATTCTTGAACCTTCACCAATATATTTTTGAACTAATTCACTTCCTGAAACTCTTATGAATTTACAATCAGTATGATGAGCTACTGATCTGGCTAGTAAAGTTTTACCAGTACCTGGTGGTCCATATAATATAACACCTTTTGGTTGAGCAATACCTAAACTTTCAAATAATTCAGGATGTTTGACAGGTAATTCAATGACTTCTTTGATTTCTTTGATTTGTTTATCTAATCCTCCTACCATATCATAAGTTGAATCTGGAACTTTTTCGACCATCATCAATGAAACTAATGGATCAATCTTATTAGGTAAAATCTTATGTAAATCGTAAGAATCAGCTTTAAGACAAACTCTTAAACTTGGAGTTAATTTTTTGATATCAATATCCTTAGTTACATTGACGATATATTTCCCTTCAGGATTGATTTTCACCAACACTTTCTTCAATCCCATGACTTTAACTACTTCTCCAACGTATGAACCTGGTTCTTGTAATAATCTCAATTCATCTTTCAATTGTCTAACTTTATTATTCAATTTATTACGTTGAGCTTCTAATCTTCTTAAGTTCTCGGTGGTATTTTGAACTTGAATCTCAGTATCTTGAATCATTTGTTCAAAATATGGTTTGATCCCACCTTCATGAACGTATGGTTTATCGATTGAAGTCATAGTGTTTGCCTTCGATTTTCGCGATCACCAAAAAAATCCTAGGTCTCAGATTTTAGATTGTGGTAAACCAGTGATGAAGATTCAGTATTTGATGGTGCTACCGATGGTGTTCGCCTATCAGAAATACTGTAACTGTGAAATTCCTGATAAATTGAGTATTCTCGAAACTACCGATTGTGATATGTGTACAAGGGAATTGTGCATTAATCATGATAAGATATTTGATGATGTGAAATTGAAATTGAAATGCTATCAAATTGAGTCCACTAAGGAAGCTTTTATAGTTTACCCATTCATTTTGATTGTATTAGCATTATTTTTCTATAGTTTCAAAAGATGAAGAGCAATGGTAGATCGATAAGTTAAAGTAGTTGCATCAAGAAGCATTAGATCATTTGAATCAAGTCACAAGAAAGGGAGGTTATTAAAGATTTTAGCCGTTTAACTGCTCAATGCAATGAAAGTTTGTCACAAATGTTCAACAGATGATCAGAAAGAGTCAGAATGACTCTAGATTTCCACATCAGTAGTCTACACATCCAGATACTTACGAAATCACATACTCACACAATTAGCAACCCACGTAATAAGTTGTATTCGCCTGATACTCAGCACTTACTTAAAACATGATCTGTCTAAAGAAACTAATAAAACCCCCATCAAATACCTTCAACACCATAAAACTCCATATCTGACATACTTCATTCCCCAAATATCTCCGTCCGTATACCATTCATCTCCCTCCAAATCCCAAACACCACCATATAAAAACCACTTTTACTCCTCAATTCCTATACATACATTGATATACATCATTCTTCGTCATCATTCATTATCTCGCCCCTCCCTACCACCCCTCCGTCTCTACTCCATATCGTCTTACCCTGAGAAATGGGCGCCGCACGCTCTTGGTAAATCAAGCCAAAATTGAGAAAAAAATTTTTCAAAATCAAAGGTAAAAATAATCTCCCTTTGAATATATTTTTGGTTTAAATTTAATCTTAAACCAGTAAAACACTAAACAATTAGTGATTATATCAATCGAAGAATCTATTCAAGTTATTAAAATCCATTTTTTTTAATCTTGTAAGTTCTTCCCCTTGAAAAAAAAAACTTTCCACTAATTAATTTTCTGTTGGAATTTGCTTATAAACTTGATTGAATTTTACGTGATTTGAACATGTCTAAGAATACTAAGGTTCAAAAACAAAATGATGGAGGTAATGAAAGTCAAACTCCTTTGAGTACTTCGAATTTACAACAACATAATTCTCAATATCAATCATCAACTCAATCAAATCAATCACCTCAACAACCTTCTACCACTACTTCAAATAATGGTAATCAAAGGTATAATTCCAATTATAATAAACACTATAACAATAGATCTAACCAAAATAGACAAAGTGGATACAAAAAGAGTTATAAACCTAATCATCATCAAAATCAATATGATTATAATGCTGCTGCTGCCGCTGCTTATCAACAAGGTATGATGTATCCTTATGGAGGTTATACTTATGGTTATCCTATGATGCCTATGGGTTATGCTCCAAATCCTAATAGTCCAACCACTATGTATAATGGAATGAACCCAAATCCTCAATTATCAGCATCTCCAACTTCAATACATTCTTCAGTTAATGGAACTCCAAATTTACCAACTTTACCTTTGAATAAAAGTCCCCAAGCTTTTGTTCCTGGTAAAATCAAAATTACTGATAAAGATGGTAAGCCTGTTGAGTTTGAAGATAAAAAACTTAAATCTTCCACTACTTCACCAATTGCTTCCCCAGCAAAATCATTCGCTAGTCCTATCAGACCAAACACTTCATTGAACAGTCAACCAGTTCCTAATTTAGGTAACACTGCTAGTCCAATTCCAAAACAACCACTTCCAGTATTTATTCCACCAGCTCAAACTACTACTCCAGCTCCACCAAAACCTCAACCAAAACCTGCTGCTAGTACCGGTAAGGATACCGTCGTTCTTGAAGATTTCAAAGCTAAAATTGCTAGATTAGCTGCTGCTGCCAAATTGAAGAAAGAACAAGAATTGGCTGCTAAAGAAGGAAGACCAATTCCTCAAGCTGAAGAACCAAAGGAAGAAACTAAACCAAAGGTCGAAGTTAAGGAAGAAGTCAAAGAAACTGTTCCAGAAAAAGAAGCCAAAGAACCAGTTGTTGAAACTAAAGTTGAAACTAAAGAACCAGTCGTCGAATCAAAAACCGAATCAAAAGATGTCGAACCAAAAGTTGAATCAAAAGTTGAACCAAAAGCCGAACCTGTCGAATCAAAAGAATCTGAATCCTCAGAAATACCGCCAACTAAATCTGTTGAAATTCAAGAACCAGAAGGTGAACAAGATGATGAAGACGATGAAGATGACGATGAAGACGATGAAGAAGAAGAAGAACCAGCACAACCTGAAATGGACTTATCTCAATTTTTCGATAAAATAAAAGACGTCGATATCATTGAAGACCCTTACACCATGACATACCCCGAACCATTAGTAGGGGTTGATCCAAAATGGAAGATTGAAGGTAAAAAATTCAGATATGATCCTCAATTCTTGATTCAGTTCCAAAATGTTGTTACTTTCGAAGTTGATGAAGAATGGAAGAATAAATTGGCTGGTTTAGGAATTGTTGCTCAATCTAATAACAGAAAATACCCACCAAATATGCAAAGAGGAGGTAGTAAAGGTATGGGTAGATTTAATAATTCAAGTAGAGGTGGATCAAATGTTAATTTCGAAAATGTCAGACAAAATTCCAGAAATGGTAGTAAAAGAAGAGTTGGTAGTTCAAGAGATAAATCTAAGAGAGGAGGACAATCTAAAAGAAATAGAGATGGTAAAGATGATCAAATCACTATTCCTCCTGAAGAAATTAAACCATTGGAAAAATCAGCTAATAGATGGGTTCCAAGATCAAGAGCTAAAACTGAAGAAGTTAAAATGGCTCCTGATGGAGTTACTCCAATATTAAATGAAGAAGAAATTGAAAGAAAAGTTAAATCATTATTGAATAAATTAACATTAGAAATGTTTGATCCAATTACTGATGAAATTTTGAAAATCATGGATCAATCTAAATGGGAAGATGATGCACAAACTGTTAAACAAGTAATTGGTTTAACATTTGCTAAAGCTTGTGATGAACCTTATTGGTCATCAATGTATGCTCAATTCTGTGCTAAAATGGTTACTAGAATCACTGATGAAGTTACAGTTGATGATGGTCAAGGTGGTAAAAAATCCGGTGGTGATTTAGCTAGAAGATTATTATTAGCTACCTGTCAAAAAGAATATGAAAAAGGATGGTCAGATAAATTACCAAAAGTTGAAGATGGTAATGTTGAAATGATGTCTGATGAATATTATGCTATGGCAGCTGCTAAAAGAAGAGGTCTTGGTTTAGTTAAATTTATCGGTCAATTATTCTTATTAGGAATGTTAAATGATAAAGTTGTTTTCTATTGTTTAACTAATTTATCTAAAAATACTGAAGATCCTTCTGAAGATAGTTTAGAAAGTTTAGCTCAATTAGTTACTGCTGTTGGACCAAAATTCGATTCTCATGAAAGAAATAAATTTTTCTTATCAAATATTTTCGAAAGTATTCAAACTATCTTAGATAAAGTTAAATTACCTTCAAGAATTAAATTTATGTTAATGGATTTACAAGATTTAAGAAAAGCTGGTTGGGTTTCAAATAAAGGAGATGAAGGACCAAAAACTATCAAAGAAATTCATGATGATGCTGAAATTAAAAGATTAGAAGATGAAAAAGCTGCTATAGAAAGAAGAAGAAAAGGTAATAAGAATTTAGATTCAAGGTCAAATTCTTCAAGAAATAATAATTCTAATTGGGGTTCAACACCAAAAAGAGTTGAATCAAGTTCTAAATTACCAATTAAAGATTCAAAAGGATTCCAATCAGTATCAAGATCTCAAAGTAATAGAGTTGATTCAAATTTAAACAGAGAAAATTCTAAAAGAACTGAATCAACTCAATCAAATATGTTTGCTGCCTTAGGCGGTGATGGTGAAGATCATGATCATGATCATGAACAAGATCAAGATAATGATGAAAAGGAAACTGAAAAACCTGGACCCATTGAAATTTAGGTCTTTTTAATTTGCATTCTTTTTCAACATTTGTAAATATCAGATATGAGTTATGATAAAACTACCAACTAATTGATATCTTGTCAATTATCGTCATTTTACCTTTAAAAGTTAATTCAAAAGAATTTTTCTATTGTCATTTATAAAAGAAGGAAGATTCTCATTATATTGTACAATTTATATATTGAATCTAATACATGTTAAGTTTACTTATCTCTCAATTGGCGGGATGTCCCTCAGGACTTTCAGAAATGAACTAGCCTTCCAGAAATAAACTTTGGTAACCAACAGTTGCCCCTTTTTTGACGAATGTCTCGATTGTTTCCACTCTACAACATCACTTTAAGATTGTTTGAATTCAACTCCTGGCATGCAAGTCATCACCATGGTTTGAAATAAGGGGTTTTGGTTCCCCTGAATTATAATCTGAAATTTGCGATTTTTACATTTCTATTTACTTTGGTATTCTATTTAATCATCAATTTCAATTACCTCCAGGGATTGAGCTGATGATTCTAACAAATCTGGATCGCCCAAGCCAATATTGATATCAGCATCATTGAAATCCAATTCATCAATTTGAACCGGAGTATCGATAATTTGAGTTTGTTTGGGTGCTTGTAATAACCGTTGTACTTCATCATCGTCGAATGATACTTCTGGGGTGATAATACCTTTTCTAACGTTTTTTGACTTGAGGAATTTCTTTGCTGATCTCAATTTGTGTAATGGAAACCTTCGTTTCTTCAATTTAGCTAATTTATCAACTAAGCTGCTTAAGCTTTTGGAAATATTAACATTTGTGGTTCTTATAGATTTCAACAAACCCATGATCTTAAACAAGGAAGAATCATTCCAAATATATAACAATTCAAATAATAATAACCTCCTTATAATAATTTCAGTGGGAACTTGGTTGTGAATTAAAACCAATAAAAATCTTAAACACTTGACAATTTGAAATCTAGAATTTGTTGGTTCAATACTTTCATAATCCAGTTCTGTATCACTCAATAAATTCCTGAATGTTGTTTGTGTCTTATCATTATAGGTATAAGGTATATCGTCAAATTCATTATCACTAAATTCCATCTGTTGAGCATACTTTGGATTGGTATCATTGGGTTGAAGGTAATAATTGGAATCATTACCATAAAAATTATCATTATTATCATTAATTACCCCTTGACGCCTCGATTTTGTATTTTTAAATCTTTTAAATCTTACGTTTTCAATAGCTTTAAATAATTCTCTAAAAGTTTCCTTCAGATCAAAATTTCTATCAATGGCAATAAGATTCTTTAGGACTTCCACTACTTCATCAGTTGTCAAACTATAAGGATCACTGGCTTTAAATTTTGAATGTTGGAAATTCACACTCAAAACTTCAATAAAGTTTATTAACCTTCTAGAATCTCCCTTACATTTATCCACCAAAAGATCCAATGTTTTATTATTATAAAGAAGGAATACAAACCCTTTGGATTTTCTTCTAATATTCTCAAATAATACCGCTTTCTTAACTACCTGAGTTAATTCTTCTTTGGTTAGTGGGAGTAATTGAAATACCTGACATCTTGAAAGTATAGCTCTTCTCAATCTTACATTTGGCCTCACCGTAGTAGCTCCGATGAATACAAACACTCCTGATTCAATCAATGGTAACAAGAAATCTTGTTGTAATATAGTAAACCTATGAATTTCATCAATAAATACCACTACCGAAAGATAATCTTTCTTATCACGATAACGTTTCAGATTCTCAATTTTGATGATTTCCAGTAATTTCTTCAAATCTCCAACCGTAGCATCAGTAGCAGACATTTCAACCAATACATAGTTTGTTTCAGTAGCTAATATCGAAGCAATTGTGGTTTTACCTACACCTGGAGGTCCATATAAGATCATTGAAGGTAAATATTTCAATCTCAAAAAATTACTAATTTGACCATCTTTATGAAGAAGATGTGATTGACCAATATAATCTTCAAGATTCTTAGGTCGTATTATCTCAGACAATGGTTGGTCCCAATTATAAGTTTCACTAATCAAAGGACTTTCATCATCATCATCACTCATAGTTGAAACGCGAATTCACCTAAATATACATATATAAAAATACACTAAGTACTATACGAAAACTAATTTACAGTCCAGATAGGAAAAAGTCTGGAGGATTTTATATAAAAACTTTATAACCGAAGAAAAGTTATGCCATACTCGTAGAAATTGGAAACGAGATTTTTAAAATGAAATTGAAATGAAGAGATTATTTTCTTCTCTTAATGTTTGTATCAGGAACCAAAGGGGATCCTGCTGAGCTGTTCATAGACATACTCATCTTTCTCTTTTTGAATTTGGAATCATCATCTACCGTTCTTGGTGATGGTGAGTTGTTATTGCTATTATTTTTTTGAAGTTGTTGTTGTTGTTTAGTACCAGGTTTGGATAAACTGTTCTTTCGTTGCATACCTGTTTGCTGTTGATTTTGTTGAGTTTGCTGTTGTGCCATGGCTTGAGCTTGAGCCTGAGCTTGAGCCTGTGCTTGTTGTTGTTTCAAAAATTGTGCTTGATGGTTATTGTTAGCGGTCATGAATAATTCCAAAGCTTTAACAGGACTGTTCAAATTATTGACCATAGCAAATCCCATCAATGACTTTAAGTTAGTCATGGTATCACCAACCTGTAAGATTCTCATGGAGTCATTATCAATACCAGAATTAACACTATATTTGTAAGATAATGAATTCAACTTGATGTGATTCAAGAAATCTGATTTGAACTTAGTTTGATTACTTTTACCATTGAATTTAGTTAAATTGAAATTGTTCTGATCCAAGAATTTCCCTAAAATGTTATCAAAATTTGATAAATCAAGGGAACTTTGATATTGCATTAATTTACAATCGATCCATTCAATTCTAAAATCTCTATTCATTAAAATTTTAACTCCTCCTTGCACATAAGCAATTGATCCATCATTAAAATAATAACTCAATTGTAATTTTGATATTATGAAGATTGATCCATTGTTCATTACTTGAAACTTAATTCCTGGTAAAGCAATATTGAATTTGTCGATTTGACTGGCTGAAATCAATGATGTGAAGAATCTAGGAGCAGTTATAGGGTTCAATTCTAAAGGTTTAGACTCTAAAGTCTTTCCTTCATCAATGCTATTAGATAATAAACCGGTAGATAATTGAAACTTGAAATGGGAAGTGGGTGTAAAATACAGTTGAATGAATTTTTGCCAATATGATAATGTAAGTAATGATGATTTAGATTCATTAGAAATATGCTCTACAATATCTAAAATCCGTATAACTCCAGCATTACCTAAATTACGTTTGAATATCTTGATACTCAATTCTGCTTGATAATTGTCTGGACGTCCCATAACATTGACCATTGGTTTACCCATTCTATTAACACCTTGTTGAACTGGGAGTTGTCCTTGTTGTAACGGTACTCTCATTTGTTGTTGGTAAGCATTAGCCATAACTCCTGGAGGTGGTTGGGGACCGGGTGTATTATTATTTCCTGAACCTGCATTTGGGGGCAAAGGATTAGGGGCACTATTTGGTTGATTGGGAGTCATTTGAGGATTAGGAGTCATTTGGGGATTTGGAGTCATTTGGGGATTTGGCTGATTACCCATTTGGGGAGTTGGATTCGACGATGATGGACCCAGATGAGAATTGGAGTGAGCTGAATTTGGTCCTGGAGGTATTATATTGAATTGTCCATTAGAAGGAGTCTTTATAACTTGTTGTTGTGGAGGTCCATTAACATTGATTTGTTGCATTGGTCCATTTCTTCTATTCATTGGTTGTCCATTTATAACTTGACCATTCATTGGAACCCCCATTTGTTGCATGAATTGGGGGTTCATTTGATTCATTTGTGGTTGATTCATTTGATTCATTTGATTCATTTGATTCATCTGAGGTTGATTCATCTGGTTCATCTGTTGAGGGAATTGCATATTGGGGCTTTGAATAAATTGTCGTTGATTAGAATTATTTATGGGTTGACCTGGTGGTATATTAGGGGAGTGTTGATTCATGACAGGATAATTTTGCATCATATTTATATTAGAATTCATGGAATTCTATAGTATAAGTTCCAATCAATAACACTTTTAGCGTTGAATTTAAACTGTGTCAGATTAAAATTTACTTTTGTATGTACCTCGTCCTTTCGTCAATCTTTATCAGGAAAAAAAAAAATTTTTTTCCACGCAGTCACGTGACAAGATAAGTTATTGTTAAAGGACCCTGAAGTGTGAAGTATAGATGAGGAAGAGGGGAGAGGTTGATGTGAAGTTGATGTGTTGATGTGTGTAATAAGCATCAGAGAAGCAAGATAAAGTAATGTAGATAGGTGACGGAAACGAAATATAATATGGTGGGTTATATAATCTAAACATTATAACTCAATGTACTATTTCCATTCAATTGAGTGGTGTTATTAATATATCTGGACAATGCTGGATGACCTCTCACAGGTCTACGAGGTTTTAAAAGGTGTTTATCATCTTTATTCTCTTCTTCAATATCTCTAACTTTAGTAGCTCTTCTTTTTAATAACTTATTCAAAGTATCTCTTTTTTCTTCTTCTAATTGTTTATTCTTATAATCATTACGTCTTCTTGCGTTTTCAGCCTTCCTTACAGCTGCTTCTTCTTCTGTTTCCTTTTTAAGTTTTTGTTTCTTACCATTGCCTAATTCTATGAAATTGGAATCTTGTGCTTTTCTTTGTCTTTCCGTTAATCTGTTTTGATGATTCTCTGGATTATATTCAGTTTCTTCATCAGTTAAAATCAAATCTGGATCCAAATCTTCAGGTCTTTGATTCTTTATTATAGTAGTTTCTGGGGTATTCTCTAAAATATCACTTTCATTGACTTCGTCTTCTTCTTCGTTTTCATCATTCATTTCATCTTCTTCATAATATGTCACTCTACGTTTAGATCGTGGTGGTTGTTTGGAATATGACACGGGTACAATAGGTTCATCGTCATCTTCTTTTAATTCAAGGTCATCATCAATTTCATCAGGATCTTCTAAATTATAATCTTCCTCTTCTGAGATCCCAGCAATTTCTTCTTCTTCATCTTGTAAGTCGTCAAGGACTGATAAGTCGTCCATTTCTTTATCGGAATCCGATTCGTCTGATATAACTGGAGGCATAGTTGGCGAGCGTGAGATTTTCAGAGAAGGAGAGAAATGTGTTGATGTAGAAATCTTTTGTTTATTATTACACACATGGCGCTAGAGGGTTCTCGTGGTAATTGAGCTTACGGCATGTGATCATATCCCTGATATTTCACATAGTCATACCACACATAGTATCATTCATATTGCACATTACCTTCGTAGTCTTCACCTCAACCTCATATCTGTCCACTCATATATAACCCTTTCATACTTCTTATATCATTTTTACTATCCACCACAAGGTTTCTCTTCCCATCACTGTATAAAGTGTCATAATTGAATAATTTTGTATCGATATCATGTTGAAATATCTTCAAATCATCTCGGACAGTCTTATAATGGGGCATTTCTTGAGTGGAATACGAACTACAACTATTCAACACTTCTGATAATTTGTTCAACTTTTCTGACAACTTCTTTTGACTCAATTTATCTTCTTTATTCAACATCTCCAACTTCTCTTCGTTATTTAATTCAACTGTTTTCTTCAAATATGATTCATCAGTTTGAGTAATCATATCAACGACCACCTTTTTATTCTTCTTGATACCAACAATTGGAATATAATCAACCAGACCTATCAATTTCAAGTATGTGTCTCTTATTTTGTGTCTATACTTTTCTAAGATTTCTAGTCTTCGGTCATTCTTGGTTTCAAGTAAAGGTTTAATGACAAAATACCCCACAATGTAAGCTAAAATCAACAACAAACTCGATCCATTAGTTAATCTTACTAAATATATGAGTAAAGATGATCTCCTATGAGGAGTGGTATAGATGGAAGCATCATAAGATGTTTCAGGAATGGTTAACTTTGGTACCATTTGTCTTGTGAATTATGGAGATTTTTCTGTGAGGGTTTTAGTTGTGAGGCCTACGGTATATATTTACAGGTTAATCAATCATCTCATCGAGTGAAAGGTGTGGTCTATTTACAGTTCGTTTAAGTTTTCGTGAATGTTTGGATTGAGGTCTTGATCTTGGTCTCTCTTTATTTGAGTTGAAATTTTCACTTTTGGATGAAAACTCCGTTTGCCTTTCAACTTTCCGTAATCTTCTCTTCTCTTCCCTTTGTATTACTTTATCTACTTCATCATCGGTAGGAACCCATTTAGATTTCAAGATTCTTCTGATGGCTTCGGGTGATACATTATACATGGATGCTAAATCAATAGTTCTTAAATGAGGCATCAAATCAGCTGTGGTACGGAGATATTCTATTTGTTGTCTGGTTAGCTTTTTGGTGGGATTCCATTGTCCATAACGTTGTTTTATGGCTTTATCTCTTTTGGCCCATTCAGGTAAGTTTTTCATGTACACTGCATGCTCTTCTTTAAGTTTTTGTTTTAAGTTGGCATTCGAATTACTGTGTTCTGAGGGCTGAAGGATTTGTTCTGGTGTTTGCAGTATTTGGTCTGAAGGTTCCTGTATCGATTGTGAAGGCTCCATTACTGATGATACCACTGGTTCAATATCAGCATTATCCTCTACATGTTCTTTATTCTTATGTATGTCTGGTACTTCAATCTGAGAAGAGGCATGATCTTTCAAAACTAAGTCCTGAAATCCCTCTTGATTTTTACTACTATACCATCGTATAACAGGTATCATCGGTGTTGTATAAACCACATTTCTCCTTACTAATGGTGTCAATCTACGTGATAGTATCCCCCACCTTGTAATCATTTGAGATGAGATATTCCGCGAAGTTTTAAGTTTGTATCACAAAACAATCCCAACTGTTAATACATCATCCAATTGTCAATCACAATCTATCAGTAATTGAGGTTGATATTCTGGATAGGTAACATATTGGTATAGTTTGATAGTATTGATACACTGTTTCAAGTATAATTATAGAATCAATGAACTTTATCAGGAAGTTTATGGGATCAACCACCACAGATGAATTATCATCCATTCAACAAGGGAAATTCTTTCTTACTAGATCTCCTAAATCACCCAAGGGGTCATCAGAGTGTCTTTATAATGATGCTTTGATCACCATCAAAAGAACCACGAGGGAATTTGGTTATTCTATAGTAGTTACAAGAATTTATGAGGAAGGAGAATTGAATTTGAAGCAAGATTCTGATGATGAAGACGAGGACCCTCTTGATGGAGGCAATAAGGACGAGTGGGCATTCATCATATCCCCAGACTTGGCAATCCAGGTCATTAATTGGAATGGAAGGAAGATTGTTTGGAATGATATTGATGGTGATGTAGGGGATAAATTTGAATTTGTGATTGACGAGGAAATCAGATCAGCCCAAGTCAAACATTTTGAGAAGACTTTGAAGAAGATTAATTATGAAGTGAAGTATTTGAAATCCTATGATTCTGATGATGAAGGTGAAGAAAGTGAAGAAGAAGAGGAAGCTGATTATAGCATTGATGATGTTAAAAATGATATTTTACAATATAATAATTCATTTTCTAAAGAGAATGTTTCCAGTAGATCTGATCAACCTGGAGAAGTCAAAGGAATCAAAGAGGAGGTCAAAGAAATTAAGGAAGTTAAGGAGGAGAAAGAACCTAAGTTTCAATTGGTTGACACTATCACGTCAGGTCCTTCAGTATTCACATCTAAATCTAGTTTCCATGTTTACGATGCTCTTTCATCCATTTTTAAATATGTTGACGATGTTGAAGTAAAAATCATTTCCTTACCTCAATATCAATACTGTTTACAAGTGAACAATGGTGATAATATTAAGTTTGAAACAACTTTATCTTCATCAATGAATCCAGTGTTCAATCCCGAAGTCTCATCATTTGTCTACTCATTCTATAACTTGAAGAATGACAAATTATCAGCTTACACCTTCTTGATCAAATTTAATGATTGGAATAAATTCCAGACTTCTTTCATGACTTGTTTATGGGAATCTATCAATGGAAGAAAACAAGGAGAAGAAAAGAATGATTTCTTAGTTGATAGTTTCAACAACATGGCCATTGATAGTGATGATGACTATAAGACTCCTCCTGAGTACAATGATTCTGAAGAAGATGACTATGATGACGATGAAGAAGAAGAAGATGGAAGTGATGTAGAACCAAGACCAGGTAAAGTTGCCTTTAGTGTTTCCTCAGAAGGTATGGGGGATTTCAATTCAGGAATCAATGTTGGATATACTAATGATAGAAGTTACGTTGTCAGAGGTAATAACTTGGGTATCTTCAAAATGGAAGACGGTGGAGATGTTGAATTCCAAACGACAATCAGTAATCTTAAGAATAAACAAGGAAAACTGATTATTCCTAAGAAATTAATGCTTCATGATCGTGATCAACATATGGTGTTGAAATCTGATGATGATAAGAAAGTCTATAGAATGGATATGAACAGGGGCCAGATCGTTGAAGAATGGGATGTTAATGAAGTTGTTCACTTCGAACCTTCAAAGAAATTGGATCCATTAACTGGGAAGTCTGTCTTCAGTGGTATTTCGTCACAAGCTGTGTTTGATATGGATCCAAGAATCAAAGAAATTGTCACCAACAATGCTAAGAACTATAAAACCAAGACGGATTTCTCCCATTTAATTACCACCGAATCAGGTCATTTAGCTATTGCTTCCAAATCAGGAGAATTAAGATTATATGACAGAATTGGAGTCAATGCAAAAACCTTGATTCCTTCTTTAGGTGACGTACCTAAAGGTATGGATATTTCCAATGATGGTAGATGGTTATTAACTACCTACGATAATTATTTGTTATTAATGGATTGTAAAATTGGTAAAGGACAAAGAAATGAAGGAAAATTGGGATTCGAAAAATCCTTTAATGCCGAAGCAAAACCTGTCCCCAGGAGATTACAATTAAAACCCCAACATATGAACATTATCTTAAATTCCGAAGGTACCACTTCGTTAAACTTTACAACGGCATTTTTCAATACGGGGTTGAATCACAAAGAAACTCATATCATAACCAGTTCCGGGAAATATTTGATATCCTGGAATATCAAAAAGTTTTTGAATGGTAAAGAACCAAATTATTTGGTTAAGAAGTATAGCGATGCTATTGTTGGTAATAAATTCAAATTCAATTCAGATGAAATCGTAATCGCTTTAGAGAATGATGTTGGGTTAGTGAATAAAAATAGGTTCAGGCAATTTAAATAGGTTTTTTAGTTTAATGTTTAATATTCGGCAGTTACGAAATAATTATAGTTGTGACATTTACTATATAACTATTTATGCGTTTACTACAATTACGCTAACAAGTGCGATAAGAAGGTCGGGAACTATGCACCTTAAGAGTTCCGCCGACTTTAGAAACGTTTGTCATCAACAAATTTCACATTTCTTATCTAGAAACGACATTTTCGCATATCCGTTATATCCACTAGTAATAATCTCCGATGTTAGGGGTTGATTGTCAATACTACTCAGCCTTGATGAGGATGTCAGCTTCATTCATTAGATCGGGAAGTTGCTTGTCACTATTCGTTTGTTGAAACCTAGATAGTATTTAGGTTGTTAAGTGTATTCTATCTGAAAAAGTTCTTAAACTCATCGACCCAAATGATTCTAAAAGCATTGAACTTATCACCAAATGATGGTGTATATTGCTCCCTTATGTCCTGCACCCGTATTCCATTAACTTTATTATATACTCTGGTGACAAACCGGTTGAATCCAGGGGATTTAATTAAGGTGTTATATAAGAACTGTTCTACGGGTGACATGTCATAAATGCGAAGATTTCTTGATGAATTATTGTACAATTGAAACTTCGTTAGTTGACAACACAAACCTTTGTAAGCGAAGTACGGCAATTGAGTTGAAAGGAGATATCATCTAAGAGATCATCGACAGATTCTAAAAATAACCATGCAGAAGTAGGTTCAAGCCACCTATTCTAGGTGTAGGTCAGGTATATTCTCTCGATTAGAACCCACCAATTCCTTGCGTTACTGCTTGCCCTATTCAATCGACTCTATAGTTCCTCTTCTTAAGATTTTTTATTTACAGTGTGTTTGGGCCGGCTGATGTGTAAAATAATTACGTGGTTCGCGAAAGTGTCCAATTTACTCAACGATGATATCTGATACAGAATTGAATTCCATTGCTATTGGATTTGGTATTGCTTCTATAGTAGGTATATTAGTATATTATTTAATCTCCGTTAACGTAAAAGAAGAAATTCCTGTGAAAAAAGACCAATAATTCAATGATTAACATCCTTCAAGATTTATATAATGCATGTAGTAAATAAATATAAACTCCATACGACTTACCATCCACCATTCAATACTACAGTTGACAACTTCTTGTAATCCAAATCATTCAACATTATCGTTAAAATTGAAATTTACCACGAGGTCACGTTTTGGATCACATGACCAGTTTTAGGATTGGAGCTCTGTTGTTGTTAAGAGTAGTACCACTGAGGTGGAGAGCAATTAAGTTAATCTTGTCTCAAATCCCCATAATTCACACCCCTCATGTTGATTTCTAAGTTACATTTTTAAACTGTGTAAAAGGGGGCCTGTGACAGTGTGGAGAAGACATGATCAAAAATGGAGAGATGGATTGGAGTTTTATGTCTTTAGGTACCTTGTGAATTTTCAAGGTAACGGACTTCCAAATGGCAACCACATATATCAGTTACAAAACACTCTTGGATCTTGGACAATAACCCAAGATAAAATTTATTGACAACAGATCAGCATTAAACAATCAGCATTTATAACCGACCTATTGAATTATGGCCGATTTAAGTAATAGTAAAGGAACTGAATTGGGTAGGTAAGCGATGTCGTCTGTGTCCTTTTACAGTTGCACGTTAACGGCTTTTGTCGTACAGGAATAAAAATAAAAAAACTGTGTCCCCGTATCACGACATTTTCCGTTTCACCATTTTTAAAAACTTATAAAAATAAATATCCCCCTTCTTTAATCTTTATACATTTTTTGATAATCGACTTCTAAACTTCGGAAGTTCAATAGTTGTTGAGTACATTTAACACTTTAGTTTGGGAGGATAATAAATCATCCCCCACAACATTTTATTTTTTTTTTTATACACATTTCCATTTACACATTTAACAGGTTCCCACACAATAATTCTGTTCATTGATTGATAATGTCAATACCCAGTTTACAAGATTTAATCAATGATAGTAAAGTGGACCCTAAAATAAACAAACACAACTTCGTCAGATATTTAACATCAATACATTGTTTAGAGAATTTTGATTTCATAATAGATATCAATAAATATAATAAACTTACCAATGATAGAGATAGAATAGCTAAATGGAATCAAGTGATTAAAATCTATCTACTTTCAGATTCTATGAAAGAGATCAATTTACCTCATCAAATCAAGAATAGTTTGTTGACCAAGAATCACGTTCCTAATGATAATAATGTTAAGAAAGCTTATAAAATCATCCATGAATTAGTTTCAGATAACTATAACCAATTTTTAAGTATGATTAAGAAACAAAGTCAAAGTCAAAGTCAAAGTCATTCTTTACAAAATCATCAATTAAATAGTATGGATAGAAGAGGAAGTGTTAGTAGAAGAAATAGTGTAGATGTTTCAAGTAGGCGAGGTAGTTCATCAACAGGAACACTGGGATTTTTTTCAAATTCTCATTCCGGAAGCCACTCGGGTAGTCATTCTGGTAGCCATTCCGGTAGTAAAAGTAGTAGTAGAAGGCCTAGTGTTATTGAATATCCAAAAAGTCCTATTAATAATCAAACTAATAAGAATTTAAATATAACTAAATTACCATCACCACAACTGGATGTCGAAGGTAAAAAGAAGACAACAGTTTTTAACATGAAAAAATTCAAATTCAGAAGAAATTCTAATGAAAATTAACGAATAATGTGTTTATAGATGTACTTATAGATTTTATGATAATGAACAAATTGTATTGATCTATTGATCTCTCACTAAAACAATACAATTTAAGCGAGAAACAATTTTTATTGTTTACTCCAACTGGTCTTTTCTACTATTCACCAAACCATCAGTAAAACCACGTTATCTCTATAACTACTATAATTAGAGTTAAGCTTTGACTAGTCTTATCAATTGAAAATAAAAAAATGCATGATCATATGGACGACATCTTCAAAACCGTTGTCGCAAAACTTCGATACTCGTTGTCGTAACAGGTTTTTGTCGGCCGCAAGTGTCGTGAGATTTTATCTTGATTAAGTATAAGTAGTGAAATTTCTTATTGTTAAATGCCAACAGTATTTAACTGCATAATTTTTACTATTACATCACGAAGATTAGCTCCTGTTTGGTACATATGGCTATTATTAATAAATTTGCGCTTAGGTGATTTTCGACAAAACTTCCTTCGCTCGGTTAAACTTTACCATGTTAGATCTCATTACTAAAAAATATTCGTCTCTATTATTAAAAACATCGATTGCCTCATGAACGATAATTAGTACATGATAAATTTTTTGGCCGACCTTCTGTTCTAAATCTATGTCACCACGGACTTTAATAATGTCAAGACATTAAGAACTATCATTTACAAACATACCAGTAATTATAATCGTGGCTTCTAATCTTAGGATTTATCACTGCCGATCTTGAATAATGCCTTACCAAATTCTTGTCAAACTCGTACTTTTGGAAAGTTAATTGGCATGGTACCTACTGAATTCGTAAACCCACCTGCGCAACCAGATGAATTTTTTGGTCAGGAATTAAACCCATTACTCCGTTACCAAAATTACTTACTTACCTTGTTACGGTTAAGTAGAATGGCTTATATTTGGTGAAATTTTCCTAAACGATTCATATTTTCACGTGAACTTGTGAGAGGTGGTAGATTGACTGTAATAGGAAGTAGTTAAGATGATTAACGAGATTAAAAACCATAATACTGGCATTAACTTCAAAGGGCATTAACTCTAAAGGGCATTAACCCCCAAGGGCATTAAATATTGTATGGGAAGGGCATTTGGATTTAGAAGACAACGCATCAATACGACTTATCAGGCTGATGCATCCATCCTTAACAGTATGAATTCTATTTGGTGTTATGAATATCTTCGGCTGTAAATTCGACCGTTCGGGAATTATTGTATTAAATGTAAAGGCGTATAATAAGGCGTAAGAATTCTGTTTTATGATAATTTTCTAACTTGACTTGTCGTGTTACTGGTGATGTAACTGTCTTTATGTACCAAAGAAGGTACTTAACCACTAATTATGTAGTTTTAATTCGTCATAGTGTCTCAGAATTAAGAATTTTCCATCACCGGACTTCAAACCAAAAGTCGTCAGTTAGAATTCAACATTAGAGTCAATCGATCCCGGGTCAAAGATGTTTGGAATAATGTTCTGATATTCAAAAGTCACGGGATTTATTCCTTCATGATATCAATTTATGGGGTTTTTCTTCATTCCATGGGGTTATTTCCTTTAGAGGAAACTCATTCCATAGTGATAGATCATACTGTCAAATTCCATCACCTCAACCATTAATCTTATATGTCAGTTGCTTCAAAAATAGTCAAGATATCATCTCCTTCAACATCTGCATCATTCACACCACATTTACTCTTATCCGAGACTACTCGTAGCCATCGATACTTCTCATCTCCTGTAGTTGCAAAATTCCGCGATACTTCCTTCTATACATAATCAGCGAAAAAAACATCAATGGTTAAATATGGATTTGTCTCTTTTATCAGCTATCAGTAGATATTCGGGATATTTATCCTTTACCATATGGTTGTTTGCACAACTACCGCAGATCATTGAAAATCATTTAAATCAGTCAGTTGATGGAGTGAACTTGATGTTTTTAGGATGTTGGATTATGGGTGATTTGACTAATCTTATAGGATGCATATTAACGAGAGCCATGACTTTCCAATTACTTATAGCTTCATATTATTGTTTCATTGATATAATACTTTCCTTCCAATTCTATTATTACACACAGATTTATCCATATCATAAAACACCTCATAATTTACTCCAAAGTCCCAACATGGTCAGGCATCAAGGCAATTTAAGTCATGTTTCACCAAATTTACTCAAATCTCATAAACCTTCAGGTATTATAAGTAAACTCATAACTACTTCAGTCATGACAAGGAAAAAGGCAAGAGCTATGGTGGTTGATTTGACAAATATGAAGTCATCGGATTATACGAGAAATCCCCCCTCAATTGGTTTAGGTATATTAGGAGCTAGTCTCATCCCGATTTCCAATGAACTTATAGGTCAAATACTGGCTTGGGCTTGTACTACCTTCTATGTATCATCAAGAATCCCTCAAATCATCACCAATTATAAGAAGAAATCCACTTCAGGGATTTCTCCGTACCTTTTCATGTTTGCCATGTTGGGTAACATTTTCTATCTGATCTCCTTAGTAGTGGATCTTTGCATGAATTACATTGAAGGAGGAGACATCGAAAGTTTATTTTTCAATCGATTACCTTTCTTATTGGGTAGTGGAGGAACTGTTTTATTTGATACCATTATCTTATTCCAATGCTGGTATTATCAACCTCAAAAACTTTTAATTGAACCTTCAACTACTTATGGAAGTTTCCAACAACCTGATTGGTACACCAGTAACTTCATTTATGAAGAAGATAACAATGAAAACGAGGAATTTTATAATCATAGTAATATCCTCAATGATTCAATTTATAATTCCCCACCCCATCATTATATTTCCCGTTCCCATACCCTGAATCAAAATCAACATACTCCATATCAAAATTCCCATAATCAGTTGACTAATTCCTTAAAGAGGTCATCCATTAGGTCAATACCATCTTCAAATTCCTATCAATCCCCCAATTTACATACATCTTTAATTCCTTCAATTATTAATAGTTACACTTCAGTTAATAAGAAAATGGCCGATGAGAGAACACCTTTCCTGCCTTCAGATTTCTTGAGTGATGACTTCCATACCCCTATAGAGAATTCCTCCTTCTCCTTAAATAACTAATCTTTTTTTGCATATATTTAAATACATAATTCCTTAATTCCTTAATTCCTTAATTTCCAGGCACTGCTTGGAAGTGATTGTAAATATTCAACTTTTCTTTTGACCCACATCAAGATCAAGATCCCACATCCTACACAAAAGAAGTTTGTGTAATAATAACCATCTCTTAAAATTTCAATACTCCCTCCTTGACTTTTACAACTTTCTTTGTCTAGTTCCAGATTCATAAATTTTTCAACACCAGCATTGATACATTTACTGATAGTTAGTTTATCGATCATATAGAAGATGATTAATCTTGGCCAAGTTCCTCCATAGTTAGATAAAGTATTCAATGTTGTCATATAAGTACCTCCAATACTAGGATCGGCAATTTTAGTATGAAAAGCACACAATGAGACAAATTGAATGGTAGACATAAAAGACCCAAGTAAATGTTGTAAAATGATCATAAGGAAATATCCAGCACTTACCTCACCTTTAGGAAAGAAAAATACTACCAATTGAGCTAAAAAGGCTGCAAATAATCTACCAGCAAACCCAATTAACCAAGGTTTCAAAGGTTTCTTCCCTGTTGACCATCTTCCCGCATAATATCCGAAAACCATTTCAAAGGGGAAATCAATAAGAACTGTTATACTCAAATCTTCTTTAGAAAGTCCCTTTTCAAGTAATTTCAAATTAGTGGCAGCTTCGTTGACTTGGAATCCGAATTTGGAAATCAACAAGATTACAACAAATGTTTGAATATTGGGTAATTTCAAGATTTCATACATCGACAAATAAACGTCAGATGAATTCTTCAATACATTGGTCAATTTGGATGAAGATTTGTTATAATGACCTTCTCTTTTCAATTTTTCAGCAGCTAATTTGGCTTGATTTTGTTTAGCTAAATGAGGAGGATCTTCTGGGACTAAAAAAATCAAACATGTGACAAAAAGATACATCCAACCCCAAAATCTAAGGTATCCACCCATAGTGAACAACCCTACATCCAATGGTACTGATCTCAAATACTTGTTGGCAAAATCTGGTGAACTAAGGGCTAAAAATACCGTAAAAGATGAAAAATATCCAGTATTTATACCAATAGTTTGAGCCGTGGAGGCATAAGACAAACTATCTGGAGACAAACAAGTCAAGGCCCAACCATCAACAGCTATATCTTGAGTAGCACAGAAAAATACCAACACGAAAAAGTAAAATGTTATAGTAGATAAGTTATCTTGAGGATGTTCAATCAAATCATTGATCACGTAACCAAGATATATCAATGTAATACCACTTAGCGTTTGAATGGGAATAATCCAAGATCTTCTTCTACCCAATTTTGGGGAATATATAGCATCAACTATAGGAGACCATAGAAGTTTCATTGAATAAGGGTATGCTGCTAAGGAAAACACCCCCACTTGAGAATATGATAATTTTGTTTTCAACATAAATGGTACTGATCCAAAGGCTAATCCAACTGGAACACCCTGAAGAAGATACAAGATCACCAATATTATAAATGCAGGTCTATCGATTTTGGCCAACGAGGAGTTTTTGGTAGACCTAGGAGTTAAAGATTTCTCCAGATCCTGCTGAGTTACGGGAAGTAACCCATCATTCTCTAATTCGAACCCCGTCCGATTGAATTGATCGGTGGCTCTCTTATGAACAGTTGAATCTTCCATAATAAAAAATTCGCGGTGTGAGAAACTTAGGTGTCAGATTTAGTTGATTTCAGGTTGAAGATATTTAAGATTTTAGATATTCAGTTCGAGACATTTGGGTGGCAGATGTTGACCCAGAGACATTCGGGTATCAGATCCCTGCCATGGTGTTCAAAGGTAGAATATGAGAGAACTTCATTCAGTTGTTATGACTATTTCATTAATCTATATGCGTTTATAAACTTAAGACTTTTTTACAGGCTCTAAGAATAGTTGGAGGATCTGGGAAAGCAAAATCTTCTAATTCTTTAGCATAAGGAGTTGGAACTTCAGCACCAGTAACTCTTTCAACTGGAGCATCTAAGTAATCGAAAGCTTCAGATTCCATGATTTGAGCAACGATTTCTGAACCAACACCGAAAGCTGGGAAACCAGCTTCAACGGTAACTAAATGGTTAGTCTTTTTAACACTTTCAACTAAAGTTGGAACATCTAATGGTTTAATAGATCTTAAGTTAACAACTTCAGCTTTAACACCATATTCTTTTTCTAAGATTTCAGCAGTATCTAAACAGAATTTAACATTTCTTGAGTGAGAGACTAAAGTTATATCAGTACCTTCTTTTTCAATTTTAGCTTTACCAATTGGTAAAACGAAATCGGTTGATAAACTTTCTTCACTCATTTCGAATGTATCATTATAAGAAATTTCATTTTCTAAGAAAACAACAGGATTTGGATCTCTAATAGCAGCTTTGATTAAACCTCTGTAATCTTCAGCACTGTATGGAGATAAAACTTTTAAACCTGGAATAGAACCGTACCAAGCAGCATAATCTTGAGAATGTTGAGCAGCAACACCGGCAGCAGCACCATTTGGACCTCTGAAAGTAATGTTACATGGTTGAGTACCACCTGACATATAGAAAGTTTTAGCAGCTGAGTTAATAATATGATCAATTGATTGCATAGCGAAATTAAAGGTCATGAATTCACAAACTGGTTTTAAACCAGCTAAAGCAGCACCAACAGTTAAACCGGTGAAACCCATTTCGGTAATTGGAGTATCAATAATTCTTCTTTCACCAAATCTATCTAATAAACCTCTGGTAATTTTATAAGCACCATTATATTGAGCAACTTCTTCACCCATGATGAAAACATCGTCATCTCTGTCTAATTCTTCAGCTAAAGCAGAATTTAAAGCATCTCTGACAGTCATAGTTTTTGGTCCTGATTCGTTTGATGCTAATCTAACTCCACCCATACCCATTCTTAAAGCTTGAAATTGTCCAGCATTTCTGATTGATTTGTTAACAGAAGTAGTTCTAATAGCTTGAGCAGCTAAATTGGCAGTTTTAGCAACTGATGATAATTTATTTGAACCCATTAGTGGTATAACTTTTCAAGTTTTTCAATTGAGATTATCGAGAAAATCGGACAGATGAGGACCATTCGCGGGAATGGGACACGACTCGGTATTATTAGTCCGGGTTGATCTAATGATAACAAGGGAGGATAATGGGCCGATGTAGTTGATTTCTATGGTTTGTTTGGTAGGAAACTAGTCGGGAGTTGGTGCTGGAGTGTATGAGGACTACCAAAACTTTCATTTGGTCAATTTAGGAAGTTGGTTCGAAATAACAACCTTTTTCAACTTCGCATTTACTCTATAAACATCGGGGATATGTGGGTATAGATCTTTGAACTGGGAGCTGGTTATAAGGCTACGGATGTGTATCTTTGGCTCAACACTGCTGGTGCTTGAGAGTTCATCATTCTTTTGGAGCAGTCTACGAACTAAAAACTTCTCCAAAGGTGAGTGGTTGCAAAATTTATTAGAGTGAGAATTGTGAAAATCACCATAAATTGCTGATATACTCTTCATTACCCAACATGAGTTTGAATATACCTCCATGACTCGAATTAATTCATCTAAGCATTCCTTTGTTCATCTCGGAAAAATCGTTTCCTAGAATCCCCCTCTGTTTGCTTCCCGGTGTAAATCGCTCACCCAACATTTCCCCGGTGAGTGCAGGAACTGTCGTTCAAATTCACCACCAAACTTTTGATTACCACCAACAACATTAATCTACCCCCCTATCGATCGCCAATCTTTGATGTATATTTGTTGGCCAAAGTCCAGGCTTGTATGGGTCACATGATTTTCGAAGTCAAGAATACCGGAAATGTCAAATTAAACACAGTCAAAGTCGCGTGACGTTCCGGATCTAGGACCCCTCAATTCTTGATATATAAATCTCAAATTATCCAATCTTTATCTCAACATTTCTAATGATAAGAATTGCCAAACCTATTCGATCAATCAACAGTTGTATCGCTCCAGCTTATAGAATCAGAGCAGCCAATGTTACCGGCTTAAGGTATCAATCTATAAATTTTCACAAATTTGATCAAGCAGGTTCATTCGATGCTGCTGATGCTGCCGATGCTACATCAACTATATTAGCTGATCAGAACGATAAAAAATTGCCCAATAAAGTTACCTGGATTGAAGCATTGACAGAAAGAGAGAAACAATTGAAAGAAGGTAATGTTTTAGACAGTTATTCTTATAGAAGTACAGTTACCAGCGATATTATTGATAAACCAAGAGAAGATAGTTTCACTTATTTAGTATTACCTTTCAAAGATGATAAATGGTTATGTGATAGTTACATCAATGCTTTAGGTAGATTAAGATTTGGATCTTTAATGCAAGATTTAGATGCCTTAGCTGGAAGAATTGCTTATAGACATTGTTCACCATCAGAACCTGTCAATGTAACAGCATCAGTTGATAATATTGTGAATGTTAAGAAGATTGAAGAAATTTCAAAATTCAATTTCGTTCTTGCTGGATCAGTTACATGGACTGGTAGATCATCAATGGAAATAACTGTTAGAGGTTATGCATTTGAAGAAGATGTTCCTAATGAAATAACGGAAAATTCTTTACCTCATGATAATATCTTTTTAAGTGCTAATTTCACATTTGTTGCTAGAAATCCAAAAACTCATAAATCTTTTGCTATCAATAGATTATTACCAATTACTGAAAATCAATGGTTAGATTATAGAAGAGCTGAATCAAGAAATAACTTAAAGAAATTAGCAGCTAAAAATTCCACCATGTTAGAACCAACTGCTGAAGAAACCAAGTTAATTCATCAATTATGGAAATCATCCAAAAACTTTGATATCAATAATACCAAATATAAGAATGTTAGATTTATGAAAGATACTTCCATGACATCGACATTATTTATGCAACCCCAATACAGAAATAGACATAGTTATATGATTTTTGGAGGTTATTTGTTAAGACAAACATTTGAATTGGCATATTGTGCATCAGCAGAATTCTCATCTGCTGGTCCAAGATTCGTATCTTTAGATGGTACTAATTTCAAACAACCAGTACCAATTGGATCAATTTTAACCATGAAATCGACTGTGGTTTATACTGAACATATTCATGAACAAGCTAGTGATATTGATAATGATTCACCTTTCACTTTCAAATTACCTGCCAAAAACAAGTTAAATTCCGATCCAGAAACTTTCTTATCTGAACCAGGTACTTTAATCCAAGTTAAAGTTGACACAACCATCAAAATGATTGATAGTGGAGATAGCAAGGAAAGTGGATCATTTGTTTATTCATTCTTCGTTCCAAAGAATAGTCATGGTGAAAATAATCCCGGATATTGTTCAGTCATACCTCAAACTTATGGTGAAATGATGGAATATATGGAAGGAAGAAGAAGAGCTGCCGCTACGGCTAATTATGTTGATCAATTACCTGGTCATAAAGAGTAGTATTTTAAATTATTAATATATTAATTCGGAAAAACTATTTATATAATACAGATCATTACTTCATTAGGGTTATTTATAAAGAATCAACATCATCATTATGAATTTGAACCTGTTCACCTTCATAAGTATAATTTAAGTTTTGAGCTGATTCTCTTAAACTGCTTCTTCTAGTAAAATCTACTAGTTTAGCCTTTTTACCTAATGAAGAATTCGAAATTCTGGAAGGATTTTCAGGTCTTTCTATAGTGTTGTAAGTACCAATAGAATTTTCTGATAATGACATATTTAAAGTTTTACCATTATTTAAAAATTTATAGGTATCTTCATCATTAGAATCTACCCATTCGAAATTCCCGTCTCCTGTTTGTGTAGCTTTAAAATCATCATATAAACTTTGTTTAGATTTTTTACTTGATAAACTAAGAATATTTGATGATTCAGATTTACTTTGAGGTAATCTTGTTGAATGGTAATCGGAATAATCTCTACTGTTTTCATTAGAATGTTCAACGATATTTTCCAAATTAGCACTTGGAGATCTTGAAAGGGGTTTTCTGATAGAATTCATTGAATTAGATTGACTAACAATATTTCCATCACTATCCAATCTTTGGAAATTACCTGAATCATCTCTTAATAAAGCATTTAATGAGTTATTACTTATGAATTGTCCTGATGCAAATGATGATTGATTACTGTTTCTAATGGAATCATCTTCCACTAATCTTACAGAAAATAATTGTTCTGTATTAACAGTACTTAAAGAAGCGTCTGATTTTCTGAAATTTCCTGATTTACTTAAATTACCAGGAGTTTTGGCAATATCTGAATGATCATTAGCTCTCCAAGATTTCAAGGGTTTGTCATCAGCACCAGCTATACCAGCGGCACCCATGTCATCTCCATCAGCATCAAAGTAATTAGAACTATCACTTTCAACATGAGTAATTGAAGATGAAGTACTTTGTACATCATTTTCAATTTTACTGACATTATTATTGGCTAAATTCTTTGGTCCTGCTAACACTCCTCCTCCTACAATATCTTCTTCATCTAAAGTAGTATCGCTAGATTTTTCTCCTTCATCGGATTTTCTTCTTCTGAGACAACAGCATAATAAAAGACCAGCTATAAGTAAAAGGAGGGCTGGAATACCCACACCTAAACCAATAGCCAATTTCTTACGTAAATCTTTATTTTTGTTGTGAGATTTAGTTACTGGAGCTTCACTTGAAGTGGCAGCTTCAGTTGATGATGATGAGCTTGATGAACTTGAACTTGAAGATGTAGCAGATGAAGATGAAGAAGATGAGGATTTAACACTCTTGCCATCAACACCCTTGATTTGGAAAGATTTGGATTCTTCATCAAATGGTGAAGAAGCTTCGATTTCAACTTGCAAATTATCGAAATCTTTGGGTGTTGATCCAGTAAAAGTCTTGTTATCATCATGATAAGTTAACCAATCACTTTTAAAATCAGCAGTAACTTTAGTTTCATTAACATCAGTGAAAAAGCTATCCATTAATGAATATTGGAAGAATTCTCCTTTAGTAGCATTCACTTCAGGTAAGTTTTTAAGAGTAAAAACTGATCCAATGGCATCAAACAGATATGGTAAATCAACAGAATTACCGAACACATCTTTAATAGTGATGGTAAAGTTATCAAAAGTACTATCTTCAGGGAAATTACCAGTTAAGGAATAATTACCTTGATTGAAATCAACATAAGAAGGTAAATCATTAGCTTCAACTGAACTAATGTTTTCACTACTAATGATAGCATTATCCAAGAAAACATTAGAGAAAATTGGTACGTCTAAATCAAAGAAATTACCAAAAGTTCCATTAACTTTGATAGTTTCATTGATGTTAGTACTCAATTGATGACCTCCAACAACGATTTTGAAGATTCCTTCAGCTCCAGCGTATCCATAATAATCACTACCAATGAAACTAAAACCATATTCAAAAGATGGAGCATCGGTGGAAATTACATGAGGAACAGTACCGGTGAAAGATAAATCATCGGAGTTAAAACTAATCCAATTAGGTAATGAAGATCTATCAGCAGATCTTCCGTAGTAAGCAACAATTGGTCTATCGGAATCAGGTTTGGATTTAAATACTGATGAGTCAAATTTAATATCAATTTGATCACCCTCTTTAACAACTAAACCATCAACACCATTGGTTTGACCATATTGGGAGATTTCAACAAAAATAACATTATCACTGGATAATTCCAATCCAGTATCATTAGAAACAGTCATAGTGTAAGTTTGAGTCAAAGACAGACCAGAATCTTCACCAGTTAAATCAATTTGGAAATCTCCAACATTTTCATTCTTTGGAGTACCAGTAAAAGTTCTTGAATTAGAATCAAATGATAACCATGAAGGTAAATTTGAAGCAGAATAAGTGACTGTTTCATCATTAGACGATTTATAAGTTGAATTTGACATTGTGAACGTATAAGCTTCATCAACTCTAGCAACATTAGGCAATTGTTCATTGAATGGGAATCCAATAGAAACATCACCTAATACTATGTTTATAAATATTAGAAATAACCACCACATTTATGGATTTTTTTTCTTTCAGGATTTAGTGAATTGGATATTATATTGAATGAATTCTGGGGGGTAAATAACTTTTTAAATCAAACAAAATCTATCGTTTAGGAAAAGAATGAAAGGCAAAAGTAAAGAAAACGATAAACCAAAACCTATGAAGTTAGTGGAACAAAAAAAAAACTATATTTTCTAACTTCAATTCGAGGCAGATGCCATATATAAAAATCACCAATGTTTATACTCCTACCACCTAAACAAACTGTTTAAAATTCTTAAACAACTCCCCCTTATGTTGACGGATTTGTATGTGTAGACGATAGTTTTACGCGAAAATGCGCGAAACTCTGATTTCAATACGCGTTTAGGAGTGGCTGCAAAATGGTGGAACAAAGGTATTCGATGAGTAGTGTAGGGGGTAAGGAACGAGAATTTTATGAGTTGTTAAATTGGGAAGGGTTATGGAACAAAGGTTTTATTATTTTACGACAATTGCGATTCTATTATTTCACTCATCAACTAAAATTTCTATATATTTTTATCTCAAAATCTAGGAACTAAGTATAATCCTAAAATGGCATATCCGAATAAAAGTCCGACGAGTTTCTCTAAAATCGAATGGAAATAGATATTGGTCATCAATAACATGAACCACCAAAGTCCTATTAACCAAATGACCAATATACTGGGGTTTTTCAATATGTAGTGATGGAGGGTGAATCTACCAAATTTAATATCGTGAGATAACTTTTTAATGTCAGATATCAAAACTGACCACCCGGGCCAAAATTGACTTATTTCAAAAAATAAGTAAACTGACGAGTGAATAAGTAAAAACACATGTCCTGAAGGATCATGGCCTCCAACCCAATGACCCCTTAAACTTCTACATACACTTGATGAGATGATCTTAGATTCGTAAATGTCTTGCAATTCATCAGTAACTGATTTGGATAATAATGACACTAAATGAGGTTTGACCTTTGATGGATGAATATTTGTACATTTACCTCCAGTATATATGAAGATCTTATCCATAATAGGTAAACCAAAACACCATTGAGTGAAAAGAATCCACCATCCAGTAGCAATGATATACTTCAACACAGATTTTTGAATGAATTGGAATTTGTTTTGGATTTTAGGATGATTCTTGGATAACAAGATTCCATAAAATGCTACCAAGAGTATAGTAGTCCAAAACCAACCCTTTTTAACAAATAACTGATTGAAAATATTATTCTTATCATTATAATAGTTGTATACTTCCTCATCAGTTGATGTTAAATGGATGGTTTTCCCTACTATAAAATTGATGAGAAATGACCCTAAGAACCAGAACTCTCCTGAAGTCACTCTTAATTTCCTGGTGATGCTTTGAATTTGTTGATTGACCATATTTAAATGATTCTTATAAGTGTCATCGTTCGTCATGAATGCGAAAACCTGACAGATAATGATTTATGCGTTTGGTGTACGGAAGTAAAGACAAAAAGAGATTTCAAAGAATGTATATTTACAGGAAAGTCAAGGTGATGAGTCAATATGAAATGGGCTGTTTAAGATAATGCCAGTGATGTTTAATATGTGGGATATAAGTGAGAATAGGATCACTTGATTAAACTGACATTGAAATATCATTGTCTTCTTTTACCCCGTTACCGTTACCATTGATTTCAACATTGCCATTAAGATCACCATTGATTCCATTACCATCAACACCATTTTCACTCACCCCATTTTCATTACCAGCATGTCCATTTCCATTAGTAGCATTCTCGTTAGGTAACTCAAATGCTTCGATATCATTATCAGACCAACGTTTTACCATATCATTCATCACTGTATTCATGAATTCAGGATTCACTATATTCTTCCTAAACTCTTCATTCTGTAATAATGTCAATATGTGAAGACAATTAGGATATACTAGATATTTTACATATTGAGGTTGTTTCCAGTAATTAAGATAATTCAAATAATTTAAGAACTCTGGGTTAGTCAAGTAATTGTTTTGTGCAAGATAGTTCAAGTATTGGATATTGGATAATGATTGGACGAACTCTAATTCAATCTCCCATCGAGTGGGTAGTTCATCTTCCATAGTGAGTGCTAATGAGTGGGAGAAAATCGCGACTACTATTTATTATGAGCAGACAAATAGCTTTGGAGAAAGAGTTAGAACAAATCAAACAGATCAACCAGGTGGTAGGAAAGGTGGTACTGACAGTGAAGAAAGCTCATACAGATATCATTAAGTCCAATGAATCAATTGAAAACACCAACAAATTGGTGAATAAATGGATTGATATTTTATCACAGAGTGATTATACCAAACATAGGATCCAAAATTATTATCAAGATGATGACGTGGTACAGGAGAAGTTACAAAAGGAACAAGAGATGATGAAAGAGTTAGAGAGATTGAAGAAGGAGAACGAGGAGTTGACGAGGAAGTTAAAATAGTGTAGATTAATGTATATTAGGAAGTGTATTATATCGGGACGTATATTGGGAACTGAGCTCTAGCTGCACACACATTCATTATGTTTCTCTATAGGAATATATGCGCAGGTTTCTTGCCTATAACCGTAAGTTTGTTGCCTATATCCGAAGTTTGTTGCCTATAACCGTAAGTTTCTGGCCCATATTTGTAGATTTATGAAATCTAAGGTGCAATGACTTCACGTACAGTAAGAGAGTACTACAACTTCTCAGAGAACACCACTTCTCCTATAAAACAATATATTCAATAAATATCTATTTCAAAATACTAGTGATTAAATCATTAGCATCGACAGAATCACCTTCTTTAATCATTACTTCACCAACCTTTCCACTAACTGGAGCAGAAATCATCATTTCCATCTTCATAGCAGAAAGAACAGCGACTGGATCACCTTTCTTAACTTCTTGACCAGCTTTGGCTCTAATTTCGATAACAACCCCTGCCATTGGAGCTCCAATATCATTTGGTTGAGAAGCTTTAGGTCTGGTTTTGGTTTCAATTGAAGCAGTTTTATCTTCAACAGTAACTGATCTCATTTCACCATTCAATTCAAAGAATACTTCTCTAGTACCAGTTTTTTGTGAAATTTCTCCTACAGCTAAAAGACGAATGATTAAAGTTTTACCTTGTTCGATTTCAACTTCAACTTCTTCACCAATAGCACAAGGTTTTAAGAAAAATCTTGTTGGTAAAACAGATAAATCACCGAATTTTTCTAATTGTTTCTTATAAGTTTCGAAAACTTTAGGGTACATTATATAAGAAGCAATATCACATTCAGTAATATTAGTACCGAATTTGGTAACTAATTCTTCTTTGATTTGAGGGAAATCAATTGGAGGTAAGTTCAAACCAGGTCTTGAAGTTAATTTAATACGTTTAGAACCTAACATATTAGATCTTAAAGGTTCAGGGAATCCACCATATGGAGTACCCATTAAACCTTCCATGAAATCAAGAACAGAATCAGGGAAATCTAATTCAGCAGCTAATCTGGTAATATCTTCAGAAGTTAAATTATTAGAAACCATAAATTGAGCTAAATCTCCAACAACTTTTGAAGTTGGAGTAACTTTAACAATGTCACCTAATAATTTATTAGCTTGAGTATAAGCTTCTTTGGTTTGTAACCATTTAGTACCTAAACCTAATTGAGAAGCTTGGAAAATCAAATTAGTTAATTGACCACCAGGAATTTCATGGTGATAAACTTCTGGATCTGGACCTTTCAAATCGGCTTCGAAACAAGAATATAATAATCTCATTTGTGACCAATAGTTATCTAATTGAGTAACTAAAGAAACATCTAAACCAGATTCAATATCACCTTCGAATGAAGCTAAAATAGCATTGATTGAAGGTTGAGAAGTCATACCAGACATTGAATTAGATGCAGCATCAACTACATCAGCACCTGCTTTGGCACAAGCAACCATACTAGCAACACCAGTACCAGCAGAATCATGGGTATGAACATGGATTGGTAAATTAGGATATTTAGATCTAATAGCACCAATTAATAAGGTAGCAGCCTTTGGTTTTAAAGTACCAGCCATATCTTTGATACCTAAGATGTGAGTACCCATTTCAACGATTTTATCAACCATTTCAATATAATAATCTAAATTATATTTCTTACCAATTTGTAACATATCACCAGAATAACAAACAGTAGCTTCAACAACCCCACCGGCTTTTTTAACTGCATCCATACCGACTTTTAATTGATCTAAATCATTCAAAGCATCGAAAACTCTGAAAATATCAACACCATTTTCTTTAGCTTGTTCAACAAATTGATCAATAGCATTATCAGGTAATGAAGAATAAGCGACCCCATTAGCACCTCTTAAAAGCATTTGGAATGGAATATTTGGTACTAATTTTCTTAATTTTCTTAATCTAGCCCATGGATCTTCATACAAAAATCTCATAGCTACATCAAATGTAGCACCACCCCAACATTCTAAAGCAAAACATCCTGATAATGCATGAGCAGTAGTTGGAGCAACATTTAATAAATCAATGGTTCTAACTCTAGTAGCTAATAATGATTGATGAGCATCTCTCCAAGTAGTATCCATAATTAAAGTACCTTTAAAGTCTCTAACTTTTTTAGCAAATACTTCTGGACCTTCATCAACCAAGACATTTCTCCAACCTTTTGGAATGACTTCATTTTGAATATCAATTTTAACACCATCTCTTGATAATTCAGGAATTAAAGCTTCAGTTTCTAATTTAGGTAAACCAATTTGTCCCTTAATTGAAGAACCATTAACAGCTAAATCAGCTAAATAGTTTAATAATTTAGAAGCTCTGTTTTGTGAAGAAATCATTTGGAATAATGATGGAGTATCGTCAATGAAAGTAGTCCAACAATTACCAACAATGAAAGTTTCATTAGTTAATAAAGCTAATAAGAAAGGAATATTGGTTTTAACACCTCTAATTCTGAATTCAATTAAAGCTCTTAACATTTTTCTTCTTGAAATTTCAAAAGTTGAACCAGAACATGAACATTTAACCAACATTGAATCATAATGAGGTGAAATAATTGAACCAGCGAAACCATTACCACCATCTAATCTAACACCATTACCACCAGCAGATCTATAAACTTCAATTTTACCGGTATCAGGGGCAAAATTCTTTGAAGGGTCTTCGGTAGTAATTCTACATTGAATAGCAAAACCTCTAGTAGTAATTTTATCTTGTAATAAACCTAATTGTTCTAATGAAGCACCAGCAGCAATTTGAATTTGAGCAGCAACAATATCAACTCCAGTAATTTCTTCAGTAATGGTATGTTCGACTTGAATTCTTGGATTAATTTCAATAAAATAATGACGATTTTGATTATCGACTAAGAATTCAGCAGTACCAGCATTTCTATAATTAGCAGATTTAGCTAATTTAACCGCATCAGTTAAAATAGCATTACGAACATCTTTTGGTAAATTCTTAGCTGGAGCAATTTCAACAACTTTTTGATGTCTTCTTTGAACGGAACAATCTCTTTCAAATAAATGAATAACATTACCATAATTATCAGCTAATAATTGAACTTCAATATGTTTTGGTTTGTCTAAGAATCTTTCAATAAAACAAGTACCGTTACCAAAAGCAGTTTTAGCTTCAGAAACAGCTCTTTGGAAAGCATCAGCTAAATTATCACCTTCTCTAACAACTCTCATACCTCTACCACCACCACCAAATGCGGCTTTAATAATAACTGGGAAACCATATTTTTCAACGAATTTTTCAGCTTCTTCAACCGATTCAATTGGTCCTGGAGTACCTGGAACAACTGGAACTTCATTTTGAATAGCTAAAGTTCTAGCACTAACTTTATCACCAACAGCATCAATGGTTTTATGAGATGGACCGATCCAAATAATTCCTGCTTCTTCAACTTTTCTAGCAAATTCACTGTTTTCTGATAAGAACCCGTAACCTGGATGAATCATATTAACATGATGTTTTAAAGCAATGTTGATAATTTCATCAATTTGTAAATAAGCTTGAATTGGAGTATATTGACCCTTTTCTCCAATAACATAACTTTCATCTGATTTTAATCTATGCATTGATAATCTATCTTCATGACTATAAATAGCTACTGTTTGCATAGATAATTCATGAGCAGTTCTAAAAATTCTAATTGGTATTTCACCTCTATTAGCAACTAAGATCTTATTCATTGGTCCTAATAAAGTAGAATCTCTTCTCATCTTATTAATCTTGTGTTCATCAGAAACAGTCCCTGCTAATGATGTCATGTTTAACGATGTTTCAAACTATGGTTAAACTAGTCAATTGACAAAAAAGATTGATTGAAAAAAAATTTGGGGGTGAACAAAATTTAAATTGAATGAGATTCTACCATCCTGCATGTAACAAGGACTGATTTTTATAGTCCGAAATCATCGAAGACAATAAATTCTGGAGTTAAAAGTTGGAGTTTTTTAAGGGTCTAAAGAGTAGAATGATATTAATTGATTAACGGAAGGTCATAAAGAGGTCAATTGTAGAGTAAAAATCCAATTTTCTGCTTTTAAAAACAATTTTATCGTGGGATTATTCAAAAAGAGTAACATTGAGTCACCTGAAAATCCGAGGAAAATGATTCAAAAATTGTTGATGTAATATCCCAAACATCAAATCTGGTTAAAAGGATATTTGCTTCGGAAAAAAATCACCGATCGTTTTCGATACATTAATCATACGACCATTAATAAACTTTCTACTTTTGGTTGTCAATGGATCTGGGTAAAAGGATGTTGTTAAACTATATAATAACCCTTTCATCCCCAAATTTTCTCTCTCTCATGAATTCTTCAATCGGATGTTAATATCCAGAAATCACGAGATCTCTAATAAAGTTCTTATCATTTTCATTGGTGCGATTGACTTTGATTAGTGAAAAATTTTTTTTCTTGTAAATCATGTGATCCACGATGGAAGTATTACGGTGGGAAAATGGATCTAACGTATTAACGTATTAGTGATTTACCTTTATTTTTTTCCTGAAATTTTAAAGGTCAATTGATTAAAGATGAGGTGATAAGATGATTTTTCCCCATTTATGGGGATTTAATTATTTATATATTATGGAATATTCCTAATATTCCCTTATAATCCCTAAAAGTTCCTAATTATCCCTAAAAGTTCGGACTTCAAGGGATATGGTTACCCGCAACCAACCTATATCGGCCACCCTACGGCCCTTTAAACTACTCCTGCGGAATTTCCAATTTTTTTTCGGGTTCCGTTTTTTGCAACCATTCGCTAGATTTTGAACCTTTAACTGAAACTCTTTTTACTTCATCTATACTTCGAAACCTTATATGGGATGACGCGTTGATCCGAACCATTATCACATGTTAATGTCATTTTCTGCCTGATCTCTAACTCTAGAGGTAAAAAAAAAACCCACTCTCAATCACGCCATCTAATCTTATCGATATAGGAGGTTAATCTCCGATCAGATGATTTTTCTCTATATAAAGATTTTAAATCCCCTATAAAGAAAATTCTTCATTTTATTGATTAAATGTTCAAAAGATTTTTTAATACTGCTGGTAAATTACAAATTCAAAAGACAAGTCAAAAAGCTATCAAGAAACAATGGATTGATACTAATAGTTACAAAAATTTCAAAGAATATAGATTGAAAATGGTCAATCAAAGTCCTTTGAAAAAAGAATTATTCAAAAATTATCACCAAACCATTAATTGAGGTGATAGTGTTATGACTTATGACGGGACGGTTATAGAATATATGTTTTCTGTGAAATACTCTTTCTCTAATACTGAAAAATTTTTCATTGAGAAGTCCGATGTGGGGATTGAAATAAACACCGATCCATCAGACCGTTATTTGTAGGATGAATACGGTTGTGTCGGTTGTAGAGCATGAGATTGAAGTTCCATTTTGAAGACTTTACAATCCGTAACTTTTTTAGTCCTAAGATTATATGGTTTCGAGATTATTAGAGTCTTGCGAGAATCGTGTTGTGAGTACACTTTCCATTGATACTAGAGTCATGTGAGTACACTTAACAGTATACTAGAGTCACGAGAGTACACAAAATGTCAATACTGTACATTAATCGTTCCTTAAAATTCTTTCCTTTAACCTTTTCAATTCATTATCGTTCTTCTCACCACTTTTATCATTGATCACTTTCCTTAACAACTTGTTCTCTAACTCTAAATTTTCAATTTTATTTTCAAACTTACTTATCAACTCTTGTAAGTTTTCAATCTTTTCTTCCATTTGTTTTTCTTTCAACTTTTTCTTAATTCTGAATCTAGCAGAGGCAGCCGTATTCCTTCTTCTTTTATCCAAATCGTTATCAATTTCGGCTCCTGAATTATTACTGCTGTTGTTTTCCCCTGAACTGTTCCCAGTTGCAGGTAAACTAGAAACATTTAATGCATCAGCTGTACTACTACTACTACCAATATCGTTGGAGAACTCAGAATTTGAATTCATTTGCATAGGATTCAAGAAATTTTCATTCATGAACCCTGGTGAAGTTTGATTGAATGGAAATTGATTATTTTGTTGAGGTTGTAAGAGCAGAATATCCTGGTTTTGCTGTAAAAGGTCTTGACTTGACTGTTGTGGGGGTATTCCGGGATTTTGATTAGGATCTTCATCCTGTTGTACCAGCTGATATTGAGCTATCAAAGCACTCAATAAATCTATTTGATTTTGATTCAAACCTGCCTGAACCAACGAACTCTTAGCCCCTGGAGGAACTGGGAATCTAGGTAAGTTATTAAGATTATTGAACTGACTTAAATCGATTTTATCTTTATCTTTATCTTGTTTATGATCATCTTTGGGTTTATCTTCATCGGCAAAGATGAATTCATCATCGGCGAAAGCACTCAAATCAAAATTCAAGTTAAGATTATTATCATCGATGAAGTTATCGATGTAATTTAACTGCTCCAATATGGCATTATTTGTTTTATCCTGATCCATTTTAATTGATGACCTTGATACTTTACTATTTTATGAGTTTTCTTCAAATTTAAATATCCTGAATAGCTTATAACTTTAACTGACTCAAGTACCGTTAGATCAAGACCGTTAGAAAGCTATTGTTGGAGTTTAATGTTGAAAATTTAACTGTGGACTGTGATAAAACTTTAGTTTAAGGGTTTGACTTAGGTCAGGTGATTTTGTGCGATTTTTGTTTTCTATCCACAGCCCAACATCAGTACACCCACAGAGATTAGATAGCAAAGATAAAAGTAAAGATGGAAAAGATAAAGTACTAAATAATTTTTGTTATTAATAATCATTTCTAAATTTCGACTATTAGTTTTCTATCAACAAGAAATGACCGGCATTATAATACATTAATTTAATTTATCTATCTCAACAAGAATGCAATCGTTAAACTCGTTCATTGTGGTACAAAGTACCTTTCATGCATACTAAATTCAAAATTATATTAAACAGTTCGTAAAACAAAAATTACCAAAGCTGAATAACACAATAAAAGTTGATAACATGTCAAGTTTATCGGAATAATTTTGTAATCGGAATAACCATTGAAAGTCATTCGGAAAAACTTGACATCTTATCGGAAGAATTCAAATCAATAATAAACTCCTTCAAGAGGTTTATAAAATTCCAGAAGAAACTCTGGATCAAATAAAAGGATTAATGACCTTCGTCACTAGAACCTGAACCTTCATAATGTTCAATTCTTTCCTTTTCCAAATCATCGTCACCCAAAACAGGAACATTAGGTTCCCATTTGGATGATCTCCAAGCAGGAACTTTTTCATCCCACATCATACCAATTTCTTCTAATCTCTTTCCTTTAGTTTCTGGGAAGAAGAAGAATACGTGGATAAACTTGGCAGCACAGAATACCCCAAAAATGATATAACTTTTCCAGGTAATATTTTTGAAAGCCGAAGGAACAAAAAGGGCCAAAGCAGTATTGAAAATCCAATTACAAGCAGTTGAAACAGCAGCACCTCTTTGTCTGGAAGCAGAATCTCCATAGATTTCAGAACAATATAACCAAATACCAGTTCCCCATGACATACCAAAGGAAATAACGAATAAGTAACAACATGCAATAACACCTTTTGCGGCTGATGATTGATCTTGTGGGATTTCAATTCTTAAGGTATCATCACCATCAATGTTATCAACTGGTTTACCGTATGTTGCTAAAATACCTGCTACAGCAAAATGTAAGGTCATCATGGCTACAGCTCCAGTTAATAACACTGGTCTTCTACCTAACTTATCTAACAAAAACAAGGATGGAACAGTTGCAACAACGAACAAAACATATTGAATTGAAGAAGAAACCAATAATTGATTACCTTTGTAACCTGCCATTTGGAAAATGTATACAATATAATACATCATAACATTCATACCAGTCATTTGTTGCCAGATTTGTGCAAACATACCGGTAATGGTTCTTGGTAAATACTTCTTAGTAAATAAATCAGCATAAGTAAAAGCTTTGGCATCTTTATCAGTTAAGATTTGTTCTTTGATTTCGGAAATCTCAATTAAAACATCAGGATCTTCTCTGTTTCCTTTAGCGAATATCTTAGCTACAATTTCTTCGGCATCTTCCCAATATCCATGTTTGGCCAACCATCTTGGGGATTCAGGGACAATAAAGATAGAACCTAAAATCAATAATACCCCTGGAACAATTTGTAAAGCCCATGCAACTCTAAATGAAGCAGTACCGTCAATTTGAGCACATCCATAAGAAATATAAAACATAACCATGATACCAATGGTAACAGCCAATTGGAAAGAACCACCAATAACACCTCTGATACGTCTAGGACATAATTCTGCCGATAAAACGGGAGCTGAGGAAGTACCAAAACCAACACCGAGACCAGAAACAATTCTACCTCCGATCAATTGACCAACACCATGAGTGGATGCTTGAATTATAGCCCCTACAGACCATAAAAGACCACAAACAATTAATGAAGGTCTTCTACCCAAAGGTTCTGAAACAAAAGATGAAGCTAAAGCTCCCACGATAGATCCTATAGCCATAGATGCAGTAATTACCCCTTGCAAAGAAGAATCTGGAGCATCAAAGTATTCTCTATATTGAGAAGTACCGATAAAAGCTGACATGGACGAAATATCGAACCCGAAAAGCAAACCGGCTGAACATGTTACACAAGCGATAACATAAATGTTGTGAACATTAGGAAATTTATCTAAGAAAGATCTTATTTTTAAGGCTGGGCCCACCAATTTACTTTCGTAACCCATAATTTTGAATTAAATAATAATAAGTTTTGACTACAATCTGGGCAATCGGCTCAATATTTATACCACCAGATGAATCCTTGGTGGATTTATGCGTGAGGGGCAATGAAGTTACAATTGAAATCTTAACGCAACATTGAGCGCTTCCCAAGAACTGAGAAGTAGTGGTTCAATCAGAGTGTCTCGAATCTCCGGTTTATAAGTACGATTAATCCTACCCACGAGAACTAATATCATTAACTACTTATCTTTATTCCTTAAGAAAAAGAAGCTAAAAACTCCTAAATTCAGGTGGAGACAAGCGGTAAGGTCAACGGTTATTGTTTCCAATTTTTCCCCAGAAAAGTGGTGAAAATATCTCAAATTGAATCAATTTTGATTTTTGGTTCACTATGTACCCCAGTTTTTACCCCATGACGTAGGAAAATAATTTTGCGAGCATTAGATTTACAAGGGTTTGACTCGTACCTGATGCTTGACAGCACATCTCTTTGACAGCTTGAATTATATTTTCAGTAGATCAAAAGGTTAAAGATCAATAAAACTTACTTAGACTACCCCCCACTGATTGTAATGTCCCGTACATCTATCAACTCTTGATTATTTGTGGAGATAAATTATGAGCAACCATACAACACGGTTATGGCACTACCGGTAAGGATTTCCACCAATAAAGGATTATTCCTTAAAAGGACAATCAGAAATGTCTCCAAGATTTACATTGCTAATGTGCCGTATCAAAGGTAACAGGAAGATTAGACTATTATGTAATAACTGAGCTAAAAACCATGACCAATAACGATTGAAATCTTGGGTTGCTTTTGAACGTCGTGTTTTGTAGATAACCGATCGATTCTATTGTAAAGCCCTTATTTTAGTTATAAAGGTCCGTTTGAACACTTGAAACCACATGACAGCGTCTGTTTACACCGGATATACTTCAAGGACAAGCGGGGGTTTGGAAAAAAATTATAAAGCCGACTATATGGAGGACCTTCTATTAATGAATCCAGACCAGAATGCTTCAGGTGGGAGAAATTTACGATAAATAATCTAGAGTCAAGAAAGATATAGAGTCAAGAGAGTCAAGCTAACATTAATGGTATATTACTACATCATAAAATTCCTAAACAGTTTGTTGGTTTTTTTCATCAACAGAATTTTCATCAGATTTCATTAACTCTGATTCATTTTCTTTGTGTTCGTATTTCATCTTTGAAGCTAATTCAGCGTCAGATAAGATAGGAACAGTTGGTTGCCAGCTAGCAGATCTCCAAGCTGGAACTTTTTCGTCCCACATTTGACCGATTTCTTCTAATCTCTTACCTTTAGTTTCTGGGAAGAAGAAGAAAACATGAACAAACATAGCGGCACAGAATGAACCGTAAATACAGTAAGTTTTCCAGGCAATGTTTTCGAAAGCTGGTGGAGTAAACATAGCAATGGCAAAGTTAAAGATCCAGTTACCAGCGGTAGCTAAAGCAGCACCTCTTTGTCTTGAAGCAGAATCACCCCAGATTTCAGAACAGTATAACCAGATGGTAACACCCCAAGATGGAGCGAATGAACAGACGAATAAATAACAACAAGCAATAACAGCTCTAGCAGCAGGTTTGTGTTCATCTGGGATGGTAATAGTAACAGTAGAATCAGTTCTTTGATCAACTGGAATTGGATCAGAATAAGTAGCTAATAAACCGGCAACAGCGAATTGGAATGTAAACATAGCAGCGGCACCGGCTAATAAAACTGGTCTTCTACCGACTTTATCTAATAAGTATAAAGCTGGAATAGTAATAACAGTGTTTAAAACGTATTGAATTGAAGAAGAAGTTAAAACTTGATCACCTTGGTAACCGGCCATTTTGAAAACGTAAACAATGTAGTACATCATAACATTCATACCGGTTAATTGTTGCCAAATTTGAGCGGAAACAGCAGTAATAGTTCTTGGTAAATATTTCTTCTTGAATAAATCAGCGTAAGTGAAATCTCTGACATGTTCGTCAACTAAGATTTGTTCTTTAATTTCAGAAATTTCAATCAAGACATCTGGATCTTCTCTGTTACCATGAGCTTGAACATCAGCAACAATCTTTTCAGCATCTTCCCAGTAACCGTGTTTGGCTAACCATCTTGGAGATTCTGGAACGAAGAAAGTACCAATGAATAAAATTAAACCTGGAATAATTTGAATACCCCAAGCAACTCTGAATGAACCAAGACCATTGATTTTGGAACAACCGTATGAAATATAGAACATTACCATAATACCTAAGGTAACGGAGAATTGGAAAATACCCCCAATTAAACCTCTAATTTTTCTTGGTGATAATTCTGAACCGTAAACTGGAGCAACAGATGAACCGAAACCAATACCAATACCAGAAATTAATCTACCGATAATTAATTGAGCTCTATCTTGAACAGATGATTGAATAGCAGCACCAGCCATCCAGAAGAAAGCACAAGTTAATAATGAAGCTCTTCTACCGAAAGGTTCTGAAATGAAAGTTGAAGCAATAGAACCAAAGAATGAACCTAATGACATAGAAGCAGTGATAAAACCTTGGATATCTGATGATGGATGATCAAAGAATTCTTGATATTGATCAGTACCAATGAAAGCTGACATTGATGAAATATCAAAACCAAACATTAAACCAGCGGTACATGCAATGGAAGCGATAACATAAATGTTAGTGATGTTTGGAAATTTATCCAATAATAATCTAAATCTTAAGGCTGGGCCTACTAAACTACTTTCGATACCCATCTTAAAAATATGTCAAATATATTAAAAAAAAGTATATAAATCTAAGTGATAGAGATTTAAAAAGTGGGAAAAAACTCCATTATTTATAGTTGTAAAATTTTTTTATTGTTTGGAAGTTTCCTGTTTGTTAAAATTTCTCCAGACAATTTCTCCATAACAATTTTTTTTTACGACAAACCATTGCCGAAACGAGTTTTTTTTTTTTTTTTGCTAAACTGGAATAACCTGATGGAATGACCTGAGGTTTATTTTTCTTTTTGAAAATGTGGGACGTTTTAAAAAATAATGGAGTACATGGTCTTAACATTAACACCGTAGATAACACCGATAAGTTATGGTGTGATAGTAAGATAATTAATGGTGATTCGTGCCTGGATGTGAAAGTATAACAATCATGGAAAGAGGGAAAAAAAGACCTGGTGATGCCGTGTCGTGCATCGCCCAATGCTGGGGATGTGACATTTTTGCTAAATCTATGTAACCTAATTTAAAACATGGGGAACTCTGCATGATAGAGATGATCAAATGCCTTAAACATAACGATTTACTACGAAACTTTCTATCCAATAATTCCTTTTTATTTCGTACGATTGTGGGGAGACTATTTTATTTTCTTCTAAACCCGTACCTATGGATTAATTTTACCTGTCAGGAATAACCAGTAAAAAGTCGCGACAAGAATTGGGGCGCTACTTTTTTTTCATAACACCTGAAAGCGGGGGTGAAATAGACAATCTCGGATAATAAACTTAGAAATAATTCCTTGACATGACGTGAAATTACTAATATTCATTATTAAGTAGAACTTTAATGTTAGTAATTATTAAAATTTCTTCAGCTCTTCAAAGTTTATCATTTATTATGAGTAACTTTAAATCCATCTTACACTCAGAAAATTTTACTAATTCCCCATGGGACAATCCATTTTCGGAATTTTTGCCAAATGTCGTCTGAGCATCTTATTATTGACCTGCAGGACAATTTTATCCGATTCTGGATTCTATGACATGTTTTTTTTTGTCAAGCCATTTTAAGCCTGATGACTTAAAATAGGCTACTGTAAACAATCCAAGAGATTTTCTTAGTAAGTCAGCATGACCGTTGAACGATCCATGCGTTGATAATTTTAAACTTTTTAAACAATCAGGTGGTGAAGTTAAACGGTGTTAACTGAAACTATCGTAAGTTGGGGTTTGGGGGTGGGCTGACGACATAAAGATTTTCGTTTCTCCTCGTCCGCTGGAATTATATCCATCGAATGTCTATTTTTTATGAAACGTTACATCATAGTAAGGACTTCCTTGAGGGGGGATTTTCTTGAATTTTACCAAAATGAGGTAATTTGGCGTATCTAGTGGTTTTAACTTTTGGGGTTATCTATTGTTGATAAGTTTCGTACTTTAAATCTCCCCTTTTCATTGTAACGTTCCAATTTTCATTTATCAGTGTGGGTGAGAGATCTCAATTCGGAAAAAACGTTTTATTCTATTTTTTTCTTTACTTAAAAAAACATTACACCTATTAAACAAAAGAGTATTTAACTTTTGAACCGTAAGATTGGCCCTTTTTAACAATTACTTGATTGGCCCATTCTTTATGGTTGATAGCATCAACAAATCTAGCATTTTCAATACAAAATCCACTTCTTGGTTCAAATCCTGGAGTATTGATACCAATACCAGTATATAATTGGAATGAAGGATCGGTGGTTTCTGCAATGAATTTGATGTTGGAGTTCGGATGAGTAGCTTCAATCACTTGCTTCAATTCAGAATCTCTGGTATCGATACCACTTCCATTCCCATCAACAACGAAACAATAATCAAAGGCACAATCGGCACTTAAAGTGGTTGGTTTAGTGATGTCAGTATGAGTTGGGACAAATTTCCCGGTTGGTAATAATTCATCATTGACTTCCAATTGTTTGTTGGTGATGGCTTTGATGACAGTACCATCAGTGGACTTGGTGTTTGAAATGTTGAAATATGAGTGATTGGTTAAGTTGATAATGGTTTCCTCAACTGGTGAGTCTTTCAAATGTTCACCAACAAATTCAATGGCTACAGATGAATCATCAACAGTGTATTTGATAGTACATTCAACATCACCAGGGAATCCATTATGACCATCTTTATCGACATAATTGAATTCAAAAGTATTGATGATTTTATCATCTTTTTTGAATTGTTTGGCAACAGGACCAAAGAAGTATTGTTTATCATAACCATCTAAACCTCCATGTAAAGTATTGGATGATTCATTGGATTCTAAAGTATAAGTTTTCCCATTCAACTCAAATTTAGAATGACCGATTCTATTAGCGACTCTACCAACAGTGGTACCAAAAAATGGGTTGGATTTTTCAATGTATCTACTTGGTTCATCAAAACCACAAACAACGTTGATACCATTCTTGACAATCTTTTGAATGATAGCACCTCTATTAGCAAATGACACTTCGAAATTATCGTATTTGACAGTATGTAATCTGTTTCTATAATCTTCTTTATCATCACTGAAGACTTTCCATTCATAATTGTCAATATTGAACCCGAAGGGATTTTCGGTAGTCCATTTCCATAAATCTTTACAGGCATCTTCAATAGTTAATTTAGCTTCCCATTTCAATTCGGTATTGGCTCTAGTAGCATTGGCAGTTAAATTTAAAACATCTCCACCTCTTCTACCGACAACTTCATATGGTAATTCTTTACCAACAGCTTTACAGAAAGCATGGTAAACGTCGAAAACAGTTGATCCATTACCAGTACCTAAGTTCCATTCTCTGTATAAACCACCATTCAAGTTCTTTAAGTAGTTCAAAGCAGCAATATGACCTTTCGCTAAATCAACTACGTGAATGTAATCTCTGATTGGAGTGCCATCGTGGGAATCATAATCATTACCGAAAATACTTAATTTTTCTCTTCTACCAATAGCTACTTGAGCCAAATATGGTAATAAGTTATTTGGAATACCCAAAGGATCTTCACCTAACAATCCTGAAGGATGGGCACCAATAGGATTGAAGTATCTTAAGATAGCTGTTTGCCATTGATTATCAGCACCATAGATATCTTTCAAAATGTGTTCTATCATGAATTTGGTTTTACCATAAGGATTGGTTGGATCATTAGGACAATGTTCTGGGATAGGAATCATATTTTCAAATCTTGTGGCATCACCGTAAACAGTAGCTGATGATGAAAATACAATGGTTTTAACTTCATGTTTTTGCATAGCAGTTAATAAAGTGATAGTTCCACCAATGTTATTATCGTAATAAGCCAATGGAATCTTGGTTGATTCACCAACAGCTTTCAAGGCAGCGAAATGGATAACACCTTTGATAGGAAATTTGTCGAAAACCTTGTTCAAGCTTTCTAAATCCCTCAAGTCAACATCAAAGAAATCAACTTTTTGTTTGGTGATGAACTCCACTCTGGCGATGGCATCATAACTTGAATTACATAAGTTATCAACTACCACAACTTTATACCCATTGTTAATTAATTCAATAACGGTATGGGATCCAATGTATCCAGCTCCTCCAGTAACTAAAATGTATTCTGACATTATAGATTTGTTAATTCGAATGTTCGATTGAAAAAAAAAAATGGAAAGATTAATGGAAATCTCAATTTATTTATACTTCGCGGTGTTAGATCGTGGGGGATTATAGAACTATTTGATTAAAGATGAGCTAAACCTTCCAAATGGGGAATTTTTAGAAGCTCAATGGAATTATATGAGCCTTTGTTTGGTATTTGTGAAGCTTGAATGGCTTTTCCGGCTCTTTTGGCATTAAAAATACACATAAACCCCAGAGTCGTAAAATTCACTAACATTTAGTGAGAAAAGAAAAATGTAACGTTGCATGAAGAAAGAGCAAAAACATGGAGGAAAAATTAAACGTCTCGGATTTTCTCAATGCCACCTTTATTTTCAGGATCCCCCAGAATTTCTCCATACGGAATGAGAAATTTCGTGGGATGATGGATTTATCATCAAAAATAATGATGAAACTATGGGGCAAATTGGAGGAAACTCGGGACAACCTCAACTCGTACATTCTATTGAATGATCATATTATCTCCAAAAGTGAAAAATAAGTGATTCGATAATAAAATAATCCTATTAAGTAGTTGCGACATAATAGATTAACATGATCTCATACATACCGCTAATTGAAAACAAATATAACGTGGAATTTTACATGGCCTTTTCGGGACGTGGTTCATAATATTCATGTATCAATTCTAAACTCGTTCTTAAAACTGTCATTTGTCGGTGTAACGTTACAGATTTTACTAGATTTCGAGGATTTTAATCTCGAGATGGAGTTTCCATGATTTTTCAATAAATAAATGAGGATTTCTCATATTTTTCAAATTTATTACCATAATTATAAAATAAATAAAAATGGGTGATATTCCAATTTATAAGGATTTATCTTTTTATCCAAACTCTGATAAAGCTAAAACTAGATTTGATCATATTTTCGGTAAATTCAAACAAAGTTTTGGTGATTATGAATTTATAGCTAGAGCTCCAGGTAGAGTTAACTTAATCGGTGATCATATTGATTGTTCATACTTTTCAAGTTTACCTATGGCTATTGAAACTGACGTTGTTGCTGTTGCCAATTTAACTTCAGACTTGTCAGTTAATTTGATTAATTTGGATTCTAAATACGAACCAACAAGTTTCCAATTACCAGAAAATAATGAAATCTTAACTATTGATAAATCAATATTCAGTTGGGCCAATTATGTCAAATGTGGATTTTTAGTTGCTCAAAAGTACTTAAAAGAAAACCATCCAGAATTAAGTGATTTCAAAGGGGTTAATGTTGTTTTTGATGGAACTGTTCCAACTGGTGGTGGTTTATCTTCATCTGCTGCTATAAGTGTTTGTTCAGCTTTATTATTCTTAAGATCTCAAGGTTTGAAAGAAATTACTAAAAAAGATTTAACTGCTATTACTGTTGTTAGTGAACATTACTTAGGTGTTAATACTGGAGGTATGGATCAATGTGCTTCAATTTATGGTGAATTTGGTAAAGCTTTATTGGTCCATTATAAGCCAAACTTATATGGTGAATTATTTTCATTCCCTAAAATTCAACCTCATGATATGGTTTTATTAATCTCCAACACTTTAGTCGAAGCTAATAAATTCGAGACTGCTCCTATCAATTATAATTTGAGAGTTGTTGAATTTGCTGTTGCTTCAGAAATTTTGGCCAAGAGATGTGACTTAACTTTGGTTCAAGATAGTAACTTAAACACTGGTACTTTAAAAGGTTTCGTCGATAATTATTGTGAACAGAAATTAGGTTGGGATCATTGGGATGGTCATAATATCGAACAAGGTATTAAGTTACTTAACAAAGGATTAGAATTAGTTGAAACCTTATTCACCGACGAAGAAAAGGATGGTTTAACTACTGAACAAGCTGCTAAAGCTTTAGATCTTTCCGTTGACCAATTCACTGAAAGATTCTTACAAAAATTCCATGTTAGATATGAAAAATTGAAATTATACAAAAGATCAAAACATGTCTTTTATGATTCATTGAATGTTTTCAAAGTATTGAAATTATTATCAGCTCCAAGTGATGACTTCTTAACTGATTTAGGAAGTATCATGAATGATTCTCAACAAACTTCAATTGAAAATATTGAAAACTCCACTAACGAAATTAACGATGTTTGTAAAATTGCTTTAGCAAATGGCTCTTATGGTTCAAGAGTTACTGGTGCTGGTTGGGGTGGTTCTGTTGTTCATGTCACTACTGCTGATAAGATTGAAGGGTTATATGACGCTTTAAAAACTCAATATTACCAAAAGAAATTCCCTAACATCACTCAAGACGAATTAGAAGCTGCTTTGGTTATCACTCAACCTTCTGCTGGTGCTTCTTTAGTCGAATTATGATTCTCGATGTATAAAGATAAAAATGTATGTATCATATATCTCGCACTCTATCTATCACACCTCATGATTTGTATTGGCGATTGTTTGACTAGCTCTGATGGTGATTTATATCAAGTCACTGGAAGCGTTGGAGAGGAATTGTCAGTAAAGCTTGTTGGTTCTAATTGGTCATATGTAGAATCGGTGAGTGCTACAGATATTGATGTTTTTAACAATCCCGATAAGGAATTCATGGATAGCCTTGTAATTCCTTTTGTGCCTTCACAGTTTCCTTTACAATTTGCGTCTGTTGGGAGTGAATCGTGTGATTTCACAGCTTCAACACCTTCGACACCTTCGACACTTCCGACATCTCCTAATTCAAAGTACTTTGAAATCTTAAATATTTTCGAATGGAAATTGGTAGAATTGAAGGAAAAAAAATCAAAGATGACTACAAAGCAGAAAAAGTATCATTTGAAACAGTTCTTGAATCGACATATCAAGCAAAGCTTCAAACTCAAACCTTTCCTCCGTCCCAATACCAATCTACCTCCCTCAGGAAAACCCATGAGATTGGTTTTCGAAGAAATCATCAATAAAGGCTTAAATATTAGATTGGTTTACTTCCTTTGTAATAACCAGTATGACAGCTTATTGGAATTTGTACTCAATCAGCTAATAAGGGACTCTGGGCCTTAGTCATGTACATATGTGAATTAAGTGTTTGGATTTTTACTGTGCTTCGTTCCTCATGGCCCAATGGTTAAGGCGTGTGGCTACGATGTAGCAGGAAACCACAAGATTCCAGGTTCGAGTCCTGGTGGGGAAGCACTTTTTTATTGGAAGTTTTTTTTTAGTTGAGTACACAATATTTGGCTATATATGCTGGCAGTAGACTCTATGATAATTGCCATTGATTTTCGTCTCTTATTTCCTCATTTCGTCTACTATCCAAATGTTCACCCAAAATCAAAAACCTCAGAGAGCGTGAGAAAAATCAATGATAGTGTACTCGGTGTATATTTTAAATAAAGCAGGTGGATTGGTGTATCAGAATGATATCAACCCTGGCTTGAACAGATTAAGTGCTAACGATTACCTTGTATTGGCTGGTACATTACATGGGGTCCATGCAATCACTTCCAGATTCAGCCATTCAATGAAGATTGAACAGAATGAAATCAATATGAATAATAACTCCAACATTTTGAGTACGGGCAAGTCTTTAAACCCCAATACCAACAGAACTGGTCTACAAAGTATTGAAACTGATCATTTCAATTTATACATTCAACAAACTTTAACGGGGATCAAATTTATCATCATAACGTCTCCATTAAAGACAACGCCCATGTCTAGAGGCCAATTGAATAATGAGTTGGACTTAGTCAATTATCTATTCAGACAAATCTATATATTGTATGGGGATTACGTATCGAAAGATCCTTTCCAAGCAAGTGATATGCCTATAAAGAATCAATTATTTGATACTAAACTACGTGAATTGGTGAATCAATAGACTTATCCATTGATTAACATATTCAAACCTTGTTCAAGATTGATCTGTGGTTTCCATCCTAATTGTTTGAGTTTGTCATAATTAATGGAATATCTAGAATCATTATAATTTCGATCTTTGATAAATTCAATATTAGGTGTTTTACCCATTATAGAACCAATAAGATTAACCAACGATAAGTTATCTATTTCAAAATCACACCCAATGTTGAATATTTCACCAACATTCTGACCAAAATTATCCCAAATTATCATTAATGCATCTATAAAGTCTTTAATATATAAATATTTTCTTTTATTTGATCCGTTCCCATGGATAGGAATACTCTCGTCATTCTTCAACCTCTGAATGGTCACGGGGATTATCTTCTCGGGGTACTGGTTAGGTCCATAGATGTTATTGGCCCGCACAATGATGATAGGTAAGTTGTATGAATATTGATAGGATTTGATTATGAGATCTATAGATGCTTTTGTGGCAGCATAAGGATTTGAAGGATTCAAGTTATCATTTTCATTGACGTCGTTATCATCTTGTTCTCCATAAACCTCGTCTGTAGATATATGAATGAATTTGACACTATAAGATAACTTTCTAATCACTTCCAATAGATTCTGAGTTCCAAGGATATTATTAGCGGTGAAATGTAATGGATCTTCAAATGACCTATCAACACAGCTTTCAGCTGCAAAATTGATCACGGTGTTGATTTTATTCTCTTCAAACAACTCAGTCAAACCCTTGTAATTCTTAGATAAGTCCATCTTCACAAATGTTATCCTATCCATAGGTAAACGATTGGTATCACTGGCATAGTTCAACATATCAACGCATATTATATGATAAATGGTATTATTAACTAGGTAATTAATGAAATTAGATCCTATGAAACCAGCACCACCAGTTATTATTATCAGTTCTGAAGTCATCCCAACTCACTGATAAGCAAAATATAATTAAGCGGAATCGACCAAGACAAGGAAATAATTAAAGTAGCAATAATAAAAGTAACCTGATACTAATAAGATTCACACGTTTGACTACACGTTTGAATCCACGAGCTGTATTTTATATTATATTGATAAAATCACCTTAAGATGATGTCGCAACAGTCAGTTTAAGTTATGTACAGGTGAGATTTTTCCTTCTTCAAACCTCGCAATATTCGATGTAACGTTGCATTTATTTATGTCTAATGATTGAATTACTGCAAAATTTGAAGTTTTACCTATAATTCCGTGACGATATGACTTGGTTTCCAGAGAATTTAGGTATTATTAGGGTTTCTGGATATGTATAGATTGGTTTTGGGTTCGGATAGTGATAAACACTTTCATAGTGAACTTAAAATACTTAATGTATTACCTATTAGAAACTACAAATATCTTCAAGATTCGTAAAAACCACAACTGACGCACTTCAAATGTTTTCAACCTCAAATCTTCTTACTTTATTGCCTTATTCATCTTCCCGACCAACCAATAGGATCCATTTCCACTGCAAGTTGTTTATTTTAAGAACAAAAGCATCTAGCAGCCATCCGGATAAAAAAGGTCATTTTGAATAACAAAAAAAGTCGCAAAGTTCGCCCAAACAACAGGGATCGTAACATGAAGTGAGATGTGAGAAACCTGACAATTGAGAAAAGCCATTTGAGAACTATTTAAACATCAAGAATTCGCCAGTTTTTAAAATGAAAGTAGAGTTGAAAAACCTATTAAGTGAAGAATATAAATATCCTCATAAAGCAATGAGTCAATTTGATTTTACTGATCATTCCCATCGTCGTTATAATCCATTAACCAACACTTGGATATTATGTTCACCTCATCGTACTAAAAGACCATGGCAAGGAGCTAAAGAAGAAATTAAGAAACCTAGTTTGTTGGAATATGATGAAAAGTGTTATTTATGTCCAGGTAATGTAAGAGCTACTGGTGACAGTAATCCAAAATATGAAGGTACTTATTATTTCTTGAATGATTATCCAGCCGTTAAATTAGATCAACCTGATTACGTCGGAGATGATGATGAAAAAAACCCTTTAAAGAAGAAATTATTGAAAACTCAAGGTATTAAAGGTAAATGTTATGTTTTATGTTTTTCACCAAATCATGGTTTAAGTTTACCATTAATGAAACAAGAATCAATTGAAAAAGTTGTTACATTATGGCAAACCTTATATAATGAATTAAATGAAGAATCTAAAAATGGTGCTGGACATAAATATATTCAAATTTTTGAAAATAAAGGTAGTGCTATGGGATGTTCTAATCCTCATCCTCATGGACAAGCCTGGTGTTTAGACACTATTCCAACTGAAGTTAATGAAGAAATAGAAAATATGAACAATTACTATAAAGAAAATGGTACTCATTTGTTGGGAGATTATGTTGAATTGGAATTACAAGAAAAGGAAAGAATTGTTGCATTAAATGATTCATTTATCGTTGTTGTTCCATATTGGGCTTTATGGCCATTTGAGACTTTATTAATTTCGAGAGAACATTTAAGATCAGTAGCTGATTTCAATGATAAACATAAAGCTGATTTAGCTTCAATCTTGAAAACCTTAACCATTAAATATGATAACTTATTCAACACTTCATTCCCTTATTCAATGGGTATTCATCAATCACCTTTTGAAACCTGTTCCCATGAAGAAAAAGATAATACTTGGTTCCACATGCATTTCTATCCACCATTATTAAGATCAGCTACCGTTAAAAAATTCTGCGTTGGTTTTGAAATGTTGGGTGAAGCTCAAAGAGATTTAACTTCTGAACAAGCTGCCAAAAGATTACAAGATTTATCAGGTGATGACCATTATTTAACAAAATAGATGTAATGATATGTATAAAGAATTTAAATACTCTAGTAGGTGCGCAGGGTATCAAATTTGGTACCGCACTAGACTCTGATTTAGCTCCATCTCTCGGTCCATTTTTCCCCCTCCACATTCTCTTATCTGATGAGATGCGATGCGAATTTTCAATAAAATTTCATTATGCCTGAAGAAATCCCAGTTGATACAAAACCTCCTTTGGATACCAGAATAGGGAAAGACGATCCTTTTGTCTTTGGACAAAGATACTTAAACAACAAAGACGAAGTGTTCAATCACAATGCTTGGGATAATGTAGAAATGGATGAAGAACAAATTGAGATGGCTAAAGAATTGATCGCTAAACAAGTGGAAAATCCAGTTAAAGATTTCGAAAAAACCTTATACAACGCTAACCCTGCTAAATATTGGGATATTTTCTATAAACACAACAAAGAGAATTTTTTTAAAGATAGAAAATGGTTACAAATCGAATTTCCTTCATTATATGAAGTCACCAAAGAAGATTATACTAAACCTACTACTATTTTGGAAATAGGTTGTGGTGCTGGTAATACCATGTTCCCAGTTTTAGAACAAAACAAAAACCCCAACTTAAGAATCTTCGGATGTGACTATTCCAAAGTTGCCGTTGATTTAATCTTAAGTAATCCAACTTTCAAAGAAAACAGTGAAAAAGGTATCGCATATTCATCAGTATGGGATTTAGCTAATGAAGAACACAAATTACCTGATAATTTAGAACCAAACTCTTGTGATATCATCATCATGGTTTTCGTTTTCCTGGCCTTACATCCAGATCAATGGGCTAATGCAGTAACAAATTTAATGAAAGCTTTAAAACCTGGTGGTCAAATATTATTCAGAGATTATGGAAGATATGATTTGGCACAAATTAGATTCAAGAAAGGAAGATTATTAGACGACAATTTCTATGTAAGAGGTGATGGAACAAGAGTTTATTTCTTCACTGAAGAAGAGTTGAGAGAAATCTTTGTTAAGAATGGACCTTTCAAAGAAACCAAAATCGGTACTGATAGAAGATTATTGGTCAATAGAAAGAAACAATTGAAAATGTATAGAATTTGGTTACAGGCGGTATTTAGTATATAAATAATATAAAACTTCAGTACACCACAATGTATAAAAAGTCATCAAGGTATTTAAACATTTTCCAAAGATCAAGGATTTTGATATTTTCATTAAGTGATATTCCATGAACGTGAAATTGTGAGTTGGGGAAATCTTTTGTGATAGATTCAAACGTCAGATCAATGTCTGAAGGATAATGTAGAATTTTTCCTTGGGCAAATACTTTTACAGGTATTCGAAGCATTTTTGTGGATGTGAGCTTCTTCTCTATGGTGGTATAATAATTGAGATCATGATCTTTGATGGCATTCCATAACATTTCTGAATCGTTCTTACTTAGATTCATCACCGCCTTCGAGTTCCCGTTTACAATGAAACTACTCTGCTTCAATTGGTTGAAGAAGTTTTCACTTATGGATCTTTCATAGTTGATAGTATCATCAGGGTATCTATAAATGAACGGTATGATATCAGGATAATCACCAAATTTGAAATCTAGCTTCCATGGGTCTGAATTTATAGTTGATGGTAAGTGCAAATGATCATATAGCAATCCTACAGGTTGATTCCATTTAATAGGAATCAGATTATATTCTAACCAAAAGGGTTGTGTGAACTCTAGGAAATTCTTGAAATACTTTGCAATTGACTCATAATAAATAGGTAGGTAGGAAATTCTCGGTACAGTCAACAAGTATTCAATGGAACTATCGTCAGTGTCTAAGGATATTATGATGTTAATGGACCCATTCCATAGTTTATCTTTGACTTCGAACTCCATGACTGCGAAAAAAGTTGCAATCGAGAGCTTATCTTAGCAAAAAGGTAGGGAGGGAGAGAAAGAGAAAGGGAGGCAAGAAAGAGTAGGAAAACCTATAAATATGCATTATTTCGTTAAATCCTTCATTTCAATGTCCTCTTCAAAGGGATTATAATCTCCATGTCTTTTTCGAGTAGTTTCTTGGAACCCATCAAATGTATCTACACGATAATGATGAGGTAAAGGAGAATAACTTTGTTCATTGACCACTTTTAAGGCTTCTTGAGCAGTCAATTCATGTTCTTTCAATGATTTTAACGTGGTGGTCGTTTTATTCCTTGATAATTTGGTGTTTAATTGTCTAACTGAAGATTTTCTCGATAGACTTTCTCCCAACTTCCTTAATTTACTTTGTTCCTTATCTTGGTAATTGAAAAACTTATCATTACCATAATTATCATAATCACTAGCTCCTGACTCATCTTCGGACGATGTGTCATATAATATTTTATCTTGAGGTCTACTTTCGTAACTCAAATTACTTTCAACATCATTACTACTGGTACTTCTTTGACTTCTTTCACTTTGTTGGCGCCTGATTTGAGTTTTGGAGAAACTTCTCCCATTATTTTTGAAATCTCCTGTTCTCTGATATGTATAACCTTCAAAATATGCTTCATCGTCAGGATGGTTCGAGCACCAAACAGGTAAAATCCACGATACCATTAAAATTAAAGCAGCGGAAAACCCAATCCATGTTAACAAAAACCACACCCTTCCCAATTGTAAATTGATCCCGAAAGAACCTAAACTGTTTTTCACTTCTTTACGAGTTTTGAGTAATAAGGAAGTGGCAACACCCGTAGCTATGGCAATAGCTAGGAAGTTCATTACTGTTATTATGGTAACTATATGAAGCAAGAACACCGGCAAATTACTCAAATCTTGAGCATCTCCTTTGTTACTGTACAAAACATACTGGAAGAGCAATAATCCTCCAGATATCACTGCTGCTATAGTTAATGTTATGGGAACCACTGAGTATCCCTTATTTCTTTGGTCTACTTCCTTACTATAATGTGAGTCATCATACGAGCCTTTGTCAGCATAAGCCAACACACTTTCCATATTATGTTGTCTCAAGGCCATTCTATAATTAAAAACCGTCTTCAAACCTGGAGACCTCACACACGTTATGGTATCATCGTGTTTGATATATTCAGGTTGTCCATTCTTATTACGTCCCAAGGTTATATTATAGTCACCCGTACATGCTTCCCATAGAGACACTAGGTAGTATTGAGGAGCGTTGGCTACTTGTTCTTCAGCATACTCACTTAATATGGATATCTCACTATTAGTCAAAGAATCATCAATAGGTAACTGACCATTTATTTTGTCGTTTGAATCAGACGGATGGGACACTGAGTTTCTTAATGATTCATAAATCCCTTTGGATACGTCTAAATGTGAACAGTTGATTCTAGCGATGTAAAATTTGATACTGAAAAGGGGACCTAGTAACGAAACCATTATCATTACAAATGCCACTATAGTACAGAAAAACCTGAATATTTGTATAACCCTTGCTTCCAAAGTTAAGTTCTGGAATGCTCTTAGCAAAGGAGCATTTCTGTTCACAAACCACATGAAAAATAGTATTACTTACAGGGAGATCAGGGTATAATGGTTCTTTTACTAAAAATACTTTCGCGGGCTAGCCTTACGGTTTAAGCCTGGTCCTATTTAATTATAACACCGCCAGGAGGCTGAAATTAAGAGAAATCGACTGTTTTTCGGTGCCCGGTTTATTGACTGTGGTCAAAGCAGAAAAACTCTGCTAATTATAGAAAAGTTGGAAACCATTAAAAACATACATTAAACCAAACCCATTAAAAATCTTCATTAAACTTTAAACACCCATAATTATCATTGACCGTATGAACGGCAATATCTCTTTGATACTCATCTTGTTGAAAATCATCATCTCTATCCAATTTCCTCTTGTTTGAAGTAGGTAAAGTCATAACTGGAGTTTGAGTTTGTTGCCAATCGCTAATACTTGAAGTTGATTCAAAAGTAGAAAATCTATTGGTTAACGAAGGTGGTCGTTCAATATGATTTGGTAAAGGCATTCTTCTTGTTGATGGATTAGTTACAGGATTAGGATCTTGATAATTAACATTACTATTATAAGTAAAGGTATTTGCTTGATTAAACCCTTGGAACTGATTACCGGTATTATATCCTTCAGCTACGGCTTTTCTTATTCTCATACCAATGGAAGCCAACGCATTCTCTTGTTCTGATCTATGGTCTGGTTGGATGGTTGTTGTAGCGACTCTTTTATAACTCATACCTGATCACAGAAAGGTTTTAATTCGACGATGTTTCGCGATAGCGTGAGATAAGAGTAAAAGTGAGCATTGAAGGAATCAGGAAACGAAGGTAATGACGTGAACATCGAGCCAGAGCAAGATGAACCAGTAAATGAGAATCACAAGAAGAGATGAACCATCTATAGACATACCTGATGGTTCAGCAAGAAAGACTCATGGACAAGCATCAAAGATCAAATTAATACGAAATGTGATACATCAATCTTCTACCTCTATAAGTTTCCTATAGCACCAATTACCAAAAATTTCCATATCTACAATTCCATTATCTACAATTCCGTCTCATCTGTATCATCTTTAAGCACTCTACATAACCACCGTTCTTAAATGGCCCACAATTCCTTTCAAATCTTCCAATCAAAAACCCTCTATGAGTTTCCGTTTTCAGAAGTTTTCATGGAATTAATGATGCACTTGACTTGAAAAAAATAAATGGAAATTTCTAACGACAAACTATTATAATATAAACCTTGATTGATTCCCACATTTTTCCACTAAAACAATCAGCAATGTCAATCAATTTCAACATTTCATCAAAGGAAACTCAACAATACGAATCTGAATATTCTGCTCATAATTATCATCCATTACCTGTGGTATTCTCCAAAGCTAAAGGTGCTAAAGTATGGGACGCGGAAGGTAAAGAATATTTAGATTTCTTATCAGCTTATTCTGCTGTCAACCAAGGTCATTGTCATCCAAAAATTATTGAAGCTTTGGTTGATCAAGCTTCTAAATTAACTTTATGTTCAAGAGCTTTTTCATCTGATGTGTTCGGAGTTTATGCTAAATATATCACTGAATATTTCAACTATGAAATGGTCTTACCAATGAACACTGGGGCCGAAGCTGTTGAAACTGGTTTAAAATTAGCTAGAAGATGGGGTTATGTTAAAAAAGGTATTCCAGAAAATGAAGCTATTATCTTATCAGCTAAAGATAATTTCCATGGTAGAACTTTAGGAGTTATTTCAATGTCAACTGATCCAGATGCTACTACTAATTTCGGTCCTTATTTATCAGGAGTTGGTCCACAAATTCCTGGTGAACCTCAAGGTACCATCTTAAGATATGGTGTTATTGAAGATGTTGAATTAGCTTTCAAAAATGCTGGTGATAAAATTGCTGCTATTTTATTAGAACCAATTCAAGGTGAAGCTGGTATTGTTGTACCACCAGCTGATTATTTAACTAGAGTTCAAGCTTTATGTAAAGAACATAATGTATTATTAATTTGTGATGAAATTCAAACTGGTATTGCTAGAACTGGTAAAATGTTATGTTATGAACATTCTGAAAATGTTAAACCTGATATTGTTTTATTAGGTAAAGCTATTTCTGGTGGTGTTACTCCAGTTTCTGCTGTTTTATCATCAAAAGATATCATGTTATGTTTAGATCCAGGTTCTCATGGTTCTACTTATGGTGGTAATCCATTATCTTGTAGAGTTGCTATTGCTGCTTTACAAGTTGTTAAAGATGAAAATTTAGTTGAAAGAGCTAATACTTTAGGTCAATTATTAACTGAAAAATTAAATGGCTTAAAAGATAAATTCGGTGGTATTATCTCTGAAGTTAGAGGTAGAGGTTTATTATCAGCTATTGTTATTGATGAATCAAAAACTAACGGTAGAACTGCTTGGGATTTATGTATGTTAATGAAAGAAGAAGGTGTTTTAGCTAAACCAACCCATGATAATATCATCAGATTAGCTCCACCTTTAGTTATTGCTGAAGAAGATTTATTAAAAGGGGTTTCAGCTATTGAAAAATCATTAGAAGCTTTACCAAATGCTCCAAAAGGTCATGGTCATTAGAGGTGATAATCGCCGGGAGTTTAAGAGACCAAAGTAATAAGGGAGATAAAAGAAAAAATAAATACTTGTACATTACTATCACTTCACTCTTTATTCTTCTTCATCATCATCATCTCTTTCCATAGTGGTATGTCCCAAGGCAGCTAAACGTCTAGATCTTTCAACTGCAGTTTCTTGGATATCTGAATCTAACGAAGCATCTGAATCTTCAGTAGCATCTGAATCGTATTCTTCATCATCATCATCTTCTTCATCATCATCTTCATCATAATGATCATCAATATGGTGTTCTTTAATGGTAGGAATTGGTAATTGAACTGTGTTTCTATCTTGACTAATTAAAGTATTATTAAGATGGGTCTCTAATTTCTGTTCAATCTTCTTATTATTCAAATGAGGATCACCTCCATCATATTCTGGAGTTAATACCGGCTTATTACTTTCCAAATCAGGTTTGGCTGACCTTTTAATCCCAACAAATGATAAGGCCTTATCCATAACTGAATCAGATCTACCTCTTTTAGCATGACGATTGACTTTATAACGTCTAATGATCTCACCTTCTTCATTTTCAATTAAAATCAAATCATCAATTTGATGAGCATAAACTTTACGTTGACTTGGATCATCTTTCTTATAATAAGCTTTACGACTGTTGGTAGTAATCGATTGTTTATCATCAGAAACTCTTCCACTATGGTTAGAAGCAGAAGAATATTGAGTTAAATGACGGTTTAAAGACGTCATGGAATGAAGACTTAAATTGTCTTCAAGTTCTGCCGGTGTATGTTTATGAGGTTGTTTAACTTCTTCAATAGGCAAAGTTTCGATGATTTCACCATTAGAATCTTCAATAATGATCTTATCACCTTCTTGGAAAGCTGTTGTACCATTATTAACTTTTTCATCCGTTTGTTCACTTGATGAGGGTGATTGGGTATCAAAATCAGGTTGGGTATCTTCCTTACTGATAGTAGGATTAATAGGAGAACCTAATTGTAAGAATTGAGAAGCCGGTCTTTGTCTACGTTCATCTTTCAATTCTTCATCATGAGTATGAGATCTTGACAAGGTTTGCATAAGTTTACCTGGACCTTTATTCTTTCTTTTACTTCTCTTTTTACGTTTAGCTCCACCAGCTGGTCTATATTTGAGACCACTAGTTTCGATAGTTTCATTTTTACCTAACGGTACTCCATTATCGTTCAATGTTGTAGCAGCACTATCAACTCTATGTAATGAGAATGAAGTAGTAGTTCTTTCCAATTTTTGTAAACGTGATAACCAATTACCACTTTGTTCATTTTGTGTACTGAATGACATAGTAATGGCCATTCTATTCAATCTTTTACCTAAAGTTAACACAGCTACTGATGAACCATGAACTACAATTGATGTGATGACAATAAAATTCACAATGGGCCATAAAGCATTCAATAAATGATAATGAGGATATGATTCTTTAGCTTCTTCATCTAATCCAACAGATTCAATATGATAATGTTCTTCCAAATCCCTTCTGGCTAAAATGACGGCGAAAATTGCTCCAACACCAATAGGACCAAAATGACCACAGAAAAATGCTTCCCTCCAAGATTTTAAATCAGGAGTGAAAGGTTTCAATGCTACAACTGCAGGGAGTCTTCTTAAAAAGATAACAACAAAGGCAAGAACAATTAATCTCCAGATATTTAATCCATAAATCCCATTATTGAAATCTTCCCATGGAATAATGGCACCAAAATAAACGAAAAATGCTAAATTAATAATTAAATCTATAACGGTAGAAACATGAGATTCTTCTGTCTTTCTGGCAAAATCTCCATTCCATCCAAAAGCGGTTCCAGCAGCAAATGAAACCAATAAATCATCAACCCCTAAAACTGATCCTAAACCAGCTGAATTAAAGGCTAAGAATATGAAGAAAGCTAAGAAAGATTCTCTATCGATCAAATTCTTCTTTTCAGCGAATGCAACTAACTTTCTTAATACAAATCCGATAACAACACCTAAGATTATACCAAAGAAACATTGGTATAAGATAGTTATCAAGAACCATTCTTTAACGATTTCACCTGAATGTCCGGGATGGATTAAAATATTCAATGCTAAGAAAATAAAAGGGAATGCCATCCCATCATTACACCCAGATTCGGCAGATAATAAATTCCTTAAATGACCAGGAACTCTTTCGGCGAACTTCCCTTTACCTACAACAGCAGCAGCTAAAACAGGATCAGTGGCTGTAACACATGCACTTACCAATAAAGCTTGACCAAAAGTGAAATGTGGAATCAATACCCATATAAATAATCCTACAATTAACCATCCAGCTGTCATCACTGGTAATAAAAATATAGCTACTGATAACCAATGTTTCTTCATATACTTTCTAGGTAATTCTACCGCCACAGCAACAATTTGCACACATAAAACAATTCTACTGATTTCCAAAGTAATAATTTCACTGTTCCCCCAAGATAATGGGTCAAACCAATTTAGACAATGGGGCCCTAGGATTAATCCTGCTATAGTTGCAACGGTTGCTTCACCTATATATAATTTTTCCTTGACAAATAATGATACCAATGAAAATAACGTACTAAATATCCCAACACAAGCATAAGCTATATGGGGGTCCGTTAACTATAATAAAGTTAGTATGAAAATTTCTTATCATTTGTGTTACACTTTCAAAATGTCTTGTAGAAACAGGGTTTTCTTTTAATAAAGTGTCCAGTAAACTTCCTTGGACATCAAGGAACCCATGAGTCCCACTGCATGCTAATTCTAACGTACCTCTAATTGTGACCAAACCATAATCTATAAATTCATAAAAGATCGTGTTTGGATTAATGACAAGAAAAACTATGTGAGTATTTACAATTTAGCGAGATGACAATTGTCGTTGAGCAGAGGGTTATGATCTTAAGCATTTAGAGGATTTCGGTAGTATTTCAGGTCTTAAGATGTTTGTGGAAGGTTAAATAAGTAAATAAAGATTGTTTTTGGGTGGAGGATCGTTTCTAAATCACTAAATTCGTATAACCCTTATTTTTAGAGATAAGGGACTGATTATGTAATTCTCAAAAATTTTCAGACATTATGGAAGGAATGTGGATCATTGGATATGGTTCATTAATCTTTAAACCTCCTCCTATATATTCATTCAAAGTCACAGGATACCTTGAAGGATATATTAGAAGGTTTTGGCAATCATCTTCCGATCATAGAGGTACTCCTGAAAGTCCAGGGAGAGTGGTGACATTAATTAGTTTACAGGATTTACTAGAAAACCCTAAATTTCATAATGATCTACAAATGTATGAACTTAACCAGTCGGAAATCACCACCAAAACTCATAAAATAGATCAATTAGCACCTAAAGATTTGAAAGTTTGGGGTTGTGCTTATTATATTGATGGTAAAGATGTTGAAGAAATGAAAGAATATCTTGATGTTCGAGAACAAGATGGTTATACCACTCATATGGTACCTTTCAGGATAACTGAAGTCCCACAAGATGAAAAGGCTCGAGCAGTTTTGGAGAAAATACCTAAAGATGATAATATGTATTATATCAAATCATCAGTTTATATTGGTACCATAGATAATGAATCATTCATCGGACCCGAAACCATCGAGGATACCGGTAAAGTAATTAAGCATAGCAAAGGACCCAGTGGTGAGAACATTGAATATTTACGGAACCTTTGTCATAGTGTAAGAGATTTAAGTGCTGAATCAGTAGATTTGTATTTAGAAGATTTACTTTCTCTTGCTAGTAAATAGAAGTAATAGAAAATTAGCATTGCACCTAACTATCGGCCTCCTCAATAGAGGTATAAATTCATTTAACATGATTACGGGACTCTTCACTAGGTTAACATACTTTTGACATGGTAAAAAAAAAATAACATCTCCCGGGGGTGAGTCGAACACCCGATCTCAAGATAACTGAGGTTAGAACTTTACAGTCTCGCGCTTTAAACCAGCTAAGCTACCAGGAGTTGTTGACGAAAATTGTGAAAATGCGCAATATAATAACGTTTACTGCAGTACACCACGCACTGTCATATATAATTTGCTAGATTGAAGAGTAAATAAGAGTTGAGAGTAACAAAAAACCATGTATCCCCTAATATGCAGTGAATTCTCGTGCTGAATATTCAATAATACCCGCTAATTCATCAATGTGAAACTGAGCTCTACCAAAATCTCCCTTATCAACAAAATCTCTGATCAATGGGAAAGTGTTCCAATTCCATTCATCTTGAGATTTTACCGGGGCATTGAATGAGGTACCGAACAACATGTTCAAATATCCTGGTCTAGCTTGTTGGATGTCTTTGCTTATGAAATGTTGATTGAATTCTACCAAACAATCATTCCATTTCCATCTTTTCATAGCCAATAATGAGGGTTCAATATCAGCTGATTGAACGATGAATTCATTCCAACTATGAACCCAATTATCAAAGTCAGTAGCTCCTTCTTTCAATACATTCAATGCTTTGATCAATTTATCGTAATGAACTTGAGGTTTGGACGGATGGGTATCTTTTTTGATTTGTTCATCAATATATTTAGCCAAATTGACTTGATATTCAAATAATCTATCAACGAATTGAGTGAATTTGAAGGGTATAACTGCTTGTTCAGCTACATTTAATACTATGTTACTCAACAATTCTACTAACTGACCATGTTTCTTCATAGAAGGATCAATCTTAGCTTTATCGAAATTATCATAGTTATCATAACATGAATGACGAGCATATTTAGTTCCTTTGAATTTAATTTCCATCGATGGAACATTCAAGATATTGATAAAAGGTATATAATTCCTTTCTTCAATAAGATCATTGGAAATAGCATCCAGACCTTGGTTTTGTAATTTATAAAGTTCGTATAAATTAATGGTTTTATCTTTATGTTGAATTTTTGAATTCCTTTTACTTTGAATGGATTTACTTCCTACATTCTTAAGACAATCCTTGATGATTTGATGTAAGAAAGGGTTGGCTTTGATTGATAAGTTATCACCCGAGACAGCATCACTAAGATCTATATATGTATAAGCTTGAGATCTTAAAATCCTCTTGTTTTCTTCAACCCATTCAGTGGACCCAGCCAAATTATAATTCGTACCATCAAAAGAAATAAATTTAATAGTTCTGGAAGGTGTCCAATTGTATTTTCTTTGCATGGTAGTGAAGATTTTGATCATTTCTAATAAAACAACTGACCCGGTATTACTTCCAACAGTACCAAAACATGAAGCATCTCTTGCAGCCCCAATAATAATGGATTTATCATGTTGTTCTCTACCTTGAATAGTTCCAATAACATTCCAAAGAGCATGAGTATCTCTCTCAGAATTGGATACATGGATTTTTAGTTTCTTAGAATCGTCATCAGTAGGACCAGAAAATGAATCTTCTTGGAATTTGATTCCTTTACCATTGAAGATTTTGATCAAAGTTTCTCCATCTTTGAAAGAAATTGGAATAGTAGGGATCTTAGGAGTGGTTTTAGATTTCATCCATAATAATTTACTACCATAACCTTCATCACTTGACCATCCTGGTGTTAAAATATCTCCCAGACTATATCTTGATAATCCGACATTTTCTCTTTGAATAACATCATCATATTCAGCAACACTATCATCTTTACCTATTGAAATCTTTCTGGAGATGAAAATTACTGCTTTTGCCCCTTTATCTTGAGCCATTAACACTTTATTGGATTCGATGATTCCTCCACCATATCTCATCAACAAGATACAATCTTTAACATCAATATTTCCCTCTTGTAATTTCTGGAAATCATCTTCAGTACCAAAGTTAACAAACACCATTTTTCCTTCAATTGGTTGATCAGTTTTCAAAGAATTTGGATTATGAGATAAATATTCAATAGATTTCTCATCACCTTCATGTAACTTGGCTTCGAATGAATCATCAGATAACTTAACGAATGATTTGGATCGAGGATAGTTGGTATAACTTTTCAATTCAAAATTTTCAATGGTTTGAACTCCATTATTCTTCATGTATGTCTCAATATATTTAGCTAAAGCCAAATCCCCCGAAGTACCAGCTAAATGGGGCATGGAACTGAAATATTCCAAATGATTTTGCATATTGCTCATATCGATATGATCTTCAATGATCGATGATAATATATCGATATCATAAAATTTCCCACTAGAAAATGCTCCGCCACTCGTTCCATTAACTCCTTCGTTTATGGTATAATGGGATACCAAGAATACTATGAAAACCATGAAAAACACATATAAAAGTCTCTTGACCACCAAAGGATTACCTACTTTCAAGATAACCTTTTCATATTGCATGTTTAAGAACAGTAATCCTTCATAAATGGGATCAATCATTTTTGTCACTTTATTGTAGGAATTACTTACTCCCATAGCTAATTTCTTCGTTATCAATGAAGCTCTAGTTAAAAACCCATCTCTTTGTACACCTTCAACGTCAAAATCATCTATTTCAAATTGTTCCATTTCATTAGCATTGCCTACGCGGGTATCTTCGGACCCATCGTATGCTTCATCATAACTAGGAGGTAAAAATGGCATCGATACTGAAGAACCAGTGATATTATCACCTCCAGAGTCATTTGCCACCCTTTCATACCCATTACTTCCTGTCATAATTGGTTAGATTGTGGTGTCTTTATGTTTCCGCACTGTAAATAATTTTAGAGACCTCACCTCATTGATCATTGATCCTTTGGTGAACCTAACTTTTTTCCACCTTCTTCCTTTAATCTTAGTATTTAGGACGTCGGTAAAGCTTCCTTGGACTATTGTTTGGTAGATTCAAAAAAACCTTTGGCTTGGTCAGTTTAATTTACCACAATGAAGATGAATCAAAACATTGCAATGGATCCTTCATCATCAGCTTCTCAAAACCATAAGAATTTCCATGGAAATCCAAAGGGCAAGAAAGCTAAAAAGTTCAATGAAAAGGAAATTACCAATCAATTTGAACGTCAATTGAATTTGGGCAAAAAAGGTAAGAAGAATCAAATTTCTCTCAATCATTTGTTACATTATGAAAGTTATAGAGAATCCGATGAATATAAAACAAGACAAGCTACCAAACCCAAGAATAGGTCCAGGACTTCGCGTGGTTCTTTTGATTATGCTCCGGATAAATATAAGGTACCGTTAACAGGGATGTCATTCATTAATTTGAATTATAAATTTGTGGTGGATTATAAAGGTAATTATAAACCTCAAGAACTTGATCCTAATGTTCCAGTATCAAGAAAGGATATCATTAGAATCATTGCACCAAAAGGGAATTCTTGTCCGATTTGTTTATCTGATGAACCTATAGCTCCACGAATGATCACCGCTTGTGGTCATATATTATGTTTAAAGTGTTTATTATCATTATTAGACACGGAAATTCCTAGTTTCAAGAAGAAGGAATCATCTGCTGTGGTGGAAAAATATAAGGAATGTCCCTTATGTACATGTATCATAAGGAAGAAAGAATGTAAACCTGTTTTGATCAATAACATCGACGAAAGATTTGAAACTCCTAAAATAGGTACTGACGTAATAATGACATTAATGAGTAGACCTCATAATAAGTTATTTTCTGTACCAAGATCGATTGAAAATGTTCATTATCAAATCAAGAACTTCCCTTCTGTTACTAACACCCCGGATTTATCGTCATATTCAAGATTATTCAAAGCTGATTTGAAATATATCTTGGATATGTATACTGAAGAGAAGAAGCAAATCTTACAAGCTTATGAAGAAGAAAAACTTCTTTATGATGAAGACAGTAAATATACTTTAATGGCTATTGATGAGATTAATAAAGAACTTGATGATTGGACCAATAGATATAATGAAGATTCCACTGAATGTGAATCTATCGCCAGTAATGATAATATGAATGCTGGGAATAGTTTCTTTTATTATGAAACAGGCTTCAACACCAACACCACTTATGTTTTATCTCCTTTAGACATCAAAGTATTAAAAACTAACTATAATGATGATTATGGACAATTACCTTCAACCATTATAGTCAAAATTGAAAACATTCAATATGAAGAATTAACTCCTGAGAATTCCATGAAAAAATATAAATACTTATCCCATTTACCATTGGGGACTTCCATTGGGTTCATTCAATGTAATTGGTTCAAAAATGATTTCATTTCCCAAGACACTTGGTCTACTTTCAAAGCAGATTTATCTAAGAGATCTAAAAAGACATCTCAGAAGTTTGAACGCGAAGACAGAAATCAGAAACGGGCCCAGCAAGAAGAAGAAAGAAGAACCAAGATGTTCTTTGAGCAAGAAAATCATAATTTCCATAATTCAAGTAATCATCGATCAGATAATTTTACTGAAGAATATTATGGAGCCTCAGGAGGTTTAACAATTGTTGATAATAGAGAATTACCTTCCTTATTATCTAAAACAGAAAACACCGATTTCGAAGAGCTAGATACTGAACCTTCAACATCATCTCAAGAATTTCAAACTACTGTTTGGGGTACGAAGATTCGTAAAACTGAAGAAGCAGTTGAAGAAGATTTGGAAGCTGAAGAAATGATCAGAAAAGCTCGAGAAGAAATGGAAAAAAACCAACCATCAGGTAAAAAGAAGAAGAAGCTGAAGAAACTTATACTTCTTTCATCCAATAATTACCTGTAGTTTAATGACTATCATGAAAATACATACATTCTCAACCTTCGCTTCAAGTAGGAGTAGGTTCTTTTTCCCTAAGTAGTTTGTGACTCGCTTCCGTACATTAAGAATTGTATGAAGTCTAGTCTCTCAAGTAATTGAAGTCCCTTGTTGGGTCCTCTTGGACGACACCGCTAAACAACGCTCGGCACTACCATCTTCACTAACACCACAAAATCTGATACATAACTTTACTCGATTTCGCACTTAAACACGTCGATTCAATGTCTTCTAAAGCTAACTTATAGTATGTAACACAAATCATCCATTCCCCCAATCATTACTAACATAACAGTTCGGTTACTCAATTACGTACCATAGCTGATGAAAACTTATCAGAAGTTTTTGGAAGTCTTGGATATGAAGAATCTTTCACTTTTACTGATTTCAAATTAGGTCTCGGTTTGATAACTGTTGCATTAAGTGGAGGTTTATTCCTTATTGAGAAGAAGATCAGTTTCAATGATTCTTATTATCCAACAATCGGTATATTGGTCCTTTATTTCATCACCAGTGGGATTTTATGGGTTTTTACTCAAAGTTCCAAATATAAAGATATTAAATTCATTGGTACTAATGATGCTAATGAAAAGATTACTTGTCTCACATCCACCACCAAATATGATCCTATATACAATATTGAATTACAATTCGGTGAAGAACGTAAGAAAACCTCCATTGAATTCATGAAAATGTTTGATGATTTTTCAAACTTCCATCCTGATAACTTGACTGAAGTTTTGAAGAAGGAAATAGAGAAAGTAGCTAAGAAGGACCAGTAAATATACATTCAGTTTATCTTCTCCTGTGTTTGCTTTATAGATTTTCAAGATCTTTTGTATTTCGTTTTATCGTCTCATGTGGTTCGTGTTACTTGTGGCTCTCCCTTATCTTCTGCAATGCCAGATCGTCTCTATTCATCTATTTTGACCTTCTCGTCCATTTGGGAAAAAATTCTACACATCTTCACCATAGAGTAAGGTAAGACCTTCACTAATGGTAGAAATCTACCATACAAAGGTCTACATAGAACACCGCATTGTCCTTTATTCACTGCTTGTAGGATATCTCTAGCCAATTGAATATGATCCACTATAGGTGCAAGAAATTGTCTAGAAGGATTAACATCATCAAACATACCCACCCCTAATTGTCCTGGTAGCACTAACAAGCTGTTGACCATGGGATACTGTCTTAATTCCAATTCTAAACCTTCATGAACTTGGGTCAATGCTGCTTTGGTGGATGAATATATGGACAAATTTCGAGGTGCTAATATCCCCAATACAGATGAAATCGTTATTACGGATAACTTTCTATTCTGAACTTTCCAATGACTCAAAAAATCGTCTAAAATTACTCTTATTCCCCATATGAATGAAAATAAGTTCACGTTATACAATTTTTCAATGTCAGTATCTTGGAGCAGGAGAATGGATTTATGATGTCTAATCCCTGCATTATTGATGAAAACACTGATATTGTCCTCATTCTCTTTACATTCTTTGACTATCCCTTTGATAGTTTCGGTCAAGTGCTGTTTATTCCCCACGTCACAGTAATAATATAACACATTCTCCTGTGTATACTCTACAGGAATTATATCAAGAACATATACTTTTTTCACGTGATATTCCTGAACTAGTTGTTTGACCATCTCACATCCTAATCCCTTTGAGCCTCCCGTTATAAGAGCCACATCCTGGGGTCCTAATCCTTTATATTGTGAATTTGTCTTGACTTTTCCATCTATGAGCCTAAATAACTGTATGGCACCTAAACAGAACCCTATAAAAAGCCAATATCGGCTCCCTTTGAGTCTGGAAAGTTAATATCAAATCTTCAAGCTTTATATAAAAGTAACATACCCTAAACCAATACATAAAAATAGTATGGGATTGAGGAGTCCCTGTATTGTTCCTACAATACTATCAATAGACATTAGTCTTCGCGCTGCGCTGCTCAGAGATCAGAGATCAGAGGATGAAGACATCATTATATACATGAGTTACTTATTCTTCCCTATTACTTACATCAAATTGGTAACTTCTGGCAATACCAGCTGTACCTTCTTCAACTAAAGCCCCTTCACTATTATATTCTTCTTCATCATAATCGGTTCCCAATCCTTTCCAGGTTCTATCTTGCAAGGAAATGGCTGCAGTGGAAACAGTGTCTCTTATCACAACGTCAGTTGAGAATTTTTTTACCAATGAAGATTCATTTGATTCGGTATTATTTCCATCGTTACCTTCATTAGATATTTGAAGATATTCTTGCCTTCTGAGAGGTCTTGAATTACTAGTTAATTGACCAGTAATAGGATTGAATACTGGTTCATCATTGTATTCTGCAGGTTCATTATTGTCTTCTTCTCCCAAGTCTTCTACTAACTTCTTGAAATCAGTTTCCCATTTTCCTGACCATGATAATTCTTCATTCAAAGCTAACAAAAGTTCGAATGGAGTAATGATAGGTTTATAGTATTCATTGTATTGGTCAATGATAATTCCTTGCTGGTCACATCCTAAAATACACCATGTATCAATGGCTTCAAAATTGGCGAGTTTGGCGACATTTGGTTTCCCTACGACAAACATATAATGTTTCTTACCTGAGGTTTTGATCTTTTCTTTCAAACCATTTAAAAGGGTTTTAGTGTTCGACAATGATAAGGTGTTAACTAACAAACCAATAGTTCCTGCAGATTTGGCCATTAACATATGTTTGTATCTTCTCATCAAGTTAGGGAAAGGACCAGTTATGGTATTTTCAGCTTCAGCATCATACAACACTACCGACTCAAAGATTGTGGTTAATTTCAATAACCTGGGAGTTTCAGGTACTCCTATATGAAACAATTTGTATTGTCCTAAGGTCTCTTCCGAATCATCAGAAAGTCCATGGAAACTCCTATTCAATAATTGGAATGACGGAGCTGGGTCTGGGGTGTAACCTATTATTTTAGCACGCGGGAACGCTTGTGACAGTATATCTCCATAAGCGATATTGTGTTGAGTTAATCTTTCTTTCAAATTCTTTAAAATGTAACTATGTGGAGCATCTGCCATAAGAATGACCTGGTCTTGTTCACTAAAGCTAGCTTGAAATTTTTCTATCACTACATCAAGATCTATATCAGGCTTACCGAACACATACCCAACTTCAAGTTTGTCTACGGGATTCAAACAAGCATCACCAAAATGTATCACCATTTGTCCTCCGATATGTTCAGCTGCAACTTCATCTACACAACAAGGAGAATATGAAGTATCAGCAAGGATCCATACGCTCTGATCCTCTTCAGCTTTAGGTTTGATATTGTTACAGGTTTTATCACTTTCTTTATTACAGCCACATCCACCACAACCAATTTCCACCTGTTGCTGTTCTGATTTTCCCAACTTCTTGGAGATTTCTGTGGCTACTAATGTTGAATCACCGACCAAATGATCAGGAAATTGTAAAGTTACTCTCTTACAATGAGGTTTACTCTTTATGTAATCGACTATGTCATCGATGTTATAGTACTTTCTCATTAACTCCGGTAAAAGGTTCTTGTCAAAGGGGTTCCTCAGGAGATGTTTATACGAAACCTCCTGCTCAACCACTTTATCAAAGGTGAAGGTGCTTTCATCTTGATAAGTTGAAAGAGAAGGTGCTACTGCTTCCATTGATCTGTAGATTTTTGTGCGATGGTCTTCTCACAAGTAAAGAAAATGGTGATGGGACCAAATAGCGTCAGAGAAATTTAATGATGAATGGTACTATTTAGTGCGAACAAGCCATCAATAATTCATAAATTTATAATTCACCTGCCCAGGCAACAGGCATTGGTCTATAACAGAATAATTTACCCTTTTTCAAGTTTCTGATGATAGCTTCACCATTAACAACTTTTTTGACCCCATTGACGTTTTGTTCGGCAATGAGAATTCGATCTCCTTCTTTACCTAAAACCACTGAAGTATGATCAGGGGCTCCAGCAGTAGAAGTGACTCGAGTAGCTTCATTATAGAACGTACATGTCTCGTACTGTAATATATCACCTCTTCTGACCTCATCATACTGTCTACCAATTGGTTGGATAGTTCCATCAACTCCTTCAATTTGGAGTATAGGGAACCCATGGATAGTGTAATTCGAGATGAAGGCATGTTTGCCACATCCTTTAGCTAAAGCATCACGCGCAAGGTCCCAGCATTCACCTCTCCCTACAGTACGACCCATATTATGTTCACACCAAGCGGCTACATGGTTACCAAATTGTTCATTAGCTTCTAAGAGCTCCTGGTTAGTGATGTTGTTCAATGGTGAAGGTACAAATTGATCAATGGTAGAAGTTGCATTGGTGACGTCTTCATTTACCCAGGATATCTTATATCTTACTATTGACAAATCCTTGCAACGAAGACTTATATTCCTAGTGTGGAACATAGTGTTGGTACCATTGGAAAATTGGGATGACATGGAGTATGATGATGTGTAATTGAGCCCTTGGATGTCCTTAGGGAGGGACAAAGGACTGGAAACATTAGCAAACCATCCCGTAGAAAGTTCGAGATTATGTTTTGGTGGTCCCGTGTTTGTTCCCATAACAGAAGCCTTAGAGTAGTTTCTGGATGGTGGTGGAGGTGGGGCAGGTGATGGCGAAGCTTTTGGTGAGGGTGATGCTTTAAGTACAGGTGGTTTGGGTTTTGGTGCTACAGGTTTTGGCGCCACCACTGGCTTTGGAGCTACCACTGGCTTTGGAGCTACCACTGGCTTTGGAGCTACCACTGGCTTTGGAGCTGGTTTTGGTACTGGATTATTTGGTTCCACTGCTGTATCCACAGTCAAGACTGGTTTGGTACCTATTACAGGCTTGCTACCTATGACAGGCTTGCTGCCAATCACTGGTTTGGTTCCAATGATTGGTTTCGCTCCAATGACAGGTTTGGGAGCTGGCTTTGGAGCTGGCTCAGAAAACGGTTTATCAGCTGCCACAGTTGGCAGTGTCTCTTTACTTTTCAAAAAGCTCTCAGGTAGAGAAGATCCTGATGGTTTCAATCCCCTGGACTGCAAAGCATTTTCCAAAGCTTGTAAATGAGGATCAGACCTTGGCTTCACCTCCGGTTTATCACCACCGATGGAAAGGTCCAGAATATCGGGTGTTTCTACTCTTTGTTCCTCTTCTCTGTAAGGAGGTGGTTCCTGAGGCATACCAACTCCAGGTTTCTTCACTGGTTTGGGAGGTGGTTTCTTCCCTGTTATAGAACTTGATGAAGTCCTTGAAGGTAGTTGGGGTGGTGCAGACGATATTGGTTCTACGCTATTAGTGGTATTTTGACCAGGTCTTGGTGGTGGTGGTGCAAATTTTGAGATTTCAATTCCTGGGGCAATAGCTGGTACAGGTTGTCTTTCAGGTACTGATGAATTTGGTGTTTGAGATGGATTTCCTGGGACAGGGCGTGGTGGTGGTGTTACTCCTTGAGGCAATGAAGCTGGTTTGTCACCATGATATACCTTGGGAGGTGGAGCGAATTTGGTAACATCGATTCCTGGAGCAATTGCTGGAACTGGTGATCTAACTTTTTCTTGGGGAGATAATGGATTTGGGGTGACGGATGTTCCCGAAACTTGTGACTTAACGGGACCAGTGGGTTGAGGACTCTTGGAAGTCCTTTCTCTACGAACAGGTGGTGGTGCAAATGTAGATGCATCAGGTAATGGGGCTTTAGGTTTAGTTTCCTCGTCAGAATCAGTTCGTACACCGTAATTGAACTTCTTCTGTTCGACTGGGGTACCTGGTGATGCTATTTGAGGAGCTGGAGTGGAACCTTGTGAGATTGAGTTTCTTGCTGGTGGGGGAGGTGGAACTTGTCTAGATGATGCATCATAACTAGGAGGAGGGTTGGATGGAGGTTGGAATTGGTCAATTGGTTGAACAGGTTGTTGATACACTTGTTGTGGCGGTTGTGGTTGTTGAGGTTGTTGGTATGGTTGAACAGGAGCTTGAACTGGAGCTTGAGCCTGTGGTTGAGCCTGTGGTTGAGCCTGTGGTTGAACTGGCTGAGGATAAGATACTTGACCAGGCACAAACGCTTGAGTAGCAACATTTCTCTTTGGAGGTGGAGGCATAGAATTCAATTGCTCCTTATTCAATGGGGTACTGGGCCCTAAAGGTTCAGGGCTGGTTCTGGTTGTACCATCATCATTGAATTCTGGTGTAGGTAAACCTTTTCGCTTTGCTTCATTATTCTTGTAAGTTTTATACCCGGCATTACCTACTGCTTTAGCACCTCTTCCTAGTCCTACAGCAGCAGATTTGCCGACAGCTTTGAAGGTGTCTTTATTGTTATCCCAAAAAGACATTACCAAGATCAATGAATTAATGAGAAATCTGGTGAGCGTTCTGGAATAGCGAGAGTTCTGGTGAGAAATCTGGCTCTGAGATCTCGTTGCCCCGCCAGTGTCTGGTGCGAGGAAAACGGAGTTATCAAGAGTCGGGCTATGAAAATAGGCGTAGAACTTGAAACCAAGTTAAATCAAACACATGCATTAATTAATTAGTAAAACTAAAAGATAACTGAATAAACTACCTGTAGCTAAACCAATACTAAGAAAGACCGTGGTGAACCCTCCTGCGGCTTCCTTCTCTTCATCAGAATCACAAAAGTCTCGGACTACCATGAAAGATGATGTAGATAAGATCCCGTTTGTTAAGCCAAATACCAATTGTAAGAAAATGTACCATAAATCGGAGTTTATCAAGGCACTAGAATATCCTGAGGAAGTGTACGGGTGGATATTACAAGTTAAGAATAATGGAATAAATATTAATCTTGATAACGAATAGATAATTAATTTCTTGGGATCTTTAACTAGTAAACGAGAATTAGGGGTACCACAAAAGATCCTTCCAAGTAAGTCTCCCAAGTTCCAAATTAGGTAGATAAATGGGATGTAGATGTCTTTTTTGAAAAATTTATGAGGAGAATCAAAATGAACTGATTCTACAGTGGAAGCAAATACTGGGAAGATTAAAGTAATACCAAAGGTGAAGAAGATAGTCATTACGATTAATTTCAATTTCTTCCATAATAAACCAAATGGAACATGAGTTTCTTGAACTGGTGTTTCTTCATCAACTAAAGGACCTTGAGATTCAGTTGAAAGTCTCCCTTCCATGACTTCATCGATTAATCTATATTGGTTTTGAACCTTCTGGGTATTTATCAAGTATAATGATGCCATAGAAGTAATGGATACTAAACTAGCCGTGATGTAATAAACAAATACTCCATAGTTTTTCTCAACATACTTTTTATCTTCGGTTTTAATTTTATCGCCGACTAACAATATAGAGATAATTAAGGCTACTGAAGGTAAAACCCCAGCAATAGCTTGGCCTACCATCACCGCATTGGCATAAATACCTCCCAAAACATTCACTGTAGCCATAGTACCATTTTGAGCATAACAAGTAGCTAAGGACGAAATAAATACCATAAACATAAGTACAATGAAAAATGCTAAATCGTTCATTTTAATGAATAAGAATGAAACACATGAAAATGCCATTATAATAAATACAATAATTGTCAAGATTAAACCAAAATTTAACCTTAAATTATAGTTAACACCTTTTTGGACCTGAGATAAATAGTAGTTGAAGATGGTGGAGGTTAAGGTTGATACTGACATCATTGTTGAGGAATAGATTTTGATCAATGAAGTAGAATTAGCAAACCTTTCACCATAATAAGCAGATGCTGATAAGAAACAATTCCATGGCCATAATAAAGCTATACCCACCAAAGTAAAAGTGAAGTAACGTAACTGAGATAAGGTGATTTGTATTGATGATGTGATTCTCAACACTACAGGGTCATTAACAACCGTAGTGGAAGAGTCATGATCTATATCAGACTCTGTAGATTGATGTTGCGTCATATCCTCCAACTCAAAGGACCTATTTCCATTCAAAACGGCAAAATTATCGATAAATAAAAACGCGGTGAGATTCACACGATAAGATTCAGGGCTGCAGACCCGTCCGGCTGCACTCATCGGCTGCAAATTTTGTATGAGAGTAAGATACCATTTAATATACATTAATATACAAAGTAGAGGTTTAATCTTCTTCTTGGCTTTGTAGTCCGTTTTCTGGTCCATTTTCTGGTCCATTTTCTGGTCCATTTTTTGGTCCGTTTTGTTGTCCCACCTTCAATAAATCCTCTAATTCTTGATCAGATGTCTTAATCAAAGTCAAAAGTTCACTTTCTATACGGAAGAATATCCTGGAAATGAAATAATTTGGCTCTTGTAAAGGTAATCTGAGGGGAGAATCATCACCTAGCCAAGTCATTGGCGAGAATTCGATATCTTCAAATTTCTTCAAGGTTCGTATAAGCTTACTCCATTGTTCATGATCATATTCCATTGAAGGTGTATCCAAAGTATCTTCAATTAAAGGTTTAAGCTGGTTTAAGAATTCAAGAATGTTTACTAGACCTTTTCTGTGAGTTTTTACCTTTTCAGCAAGACCAACATCGGAAAAATCGCTAAGAGAATTCTTCCAATGGTTGACTCGATAGATTTGACTTGTACCATCTAAAACATCATCAATCCCAGGATCGGGTTTGATTTGGCTCCCTGAACTACTTGATGATTGGAAAGCCTCTAAATCATGGATAATGGGATCGCTGCTTAAGCTCTTGGTGGTGGTCGACAATAATGATTGGATCAGATATTTGATTTCCAATATTAATTGTTTCACTCCTGAAGTTCCAAATAAAGTGTCACCCATATTGGAAATAAGAATAGTCATCAACGGAACTGCTGATATGGCCCAAGTTATAAAGAAAACTCTTCCAAGAGCTGTCTCTGGAGCGAAGTCTCCGTAACCAATAGTGATCAAACAAAGTAAGCAAAAGTAAACACTTTCAAAATAAGACCAATTTTCAATATAGTGAAACACGCAAGCTCCTATGAGCCAAAATATACAAAACACTAGCAAAGTAACCAATAATCCATACATCTCCTTTTCAGCTTTCAGCTTATGATCAATTTTTCTCATGATTTTGAATGCATCTTCATTAGTTAGGGTGTATCCACGCTTTTCTATGATTTTTAGCACCTTCTTACGCTCAACTTCCATTCTGTGCCAAAGAAAAACTGGTTGTTCGGTGTTATGCAGAACTTGACGAATCATTGATATCACAAGACCCAATAATATCACACCAACCAACGAAAATATAAGTATGAATGCTTTGGCTCCATCTTTTCTAGGTAAGATATCTCCCAAACCAATGGTGAGAACAGATACCATACAAAAATATAATCCTGCTCCATAACTTATATCCACCACAAGATGTTTCACCACCAAAGCCCCTATGACCAACCATAAGGCCAAGCAAGCCGTATATATCATAAGCCCTCGTTCACTTTTGTTTAAATTGAGTAAAGGGGGATACTTCCCCATGATAAACCCCATACAGTTCAATGACATGGTTACAGTACACGAGAAATAAAATACAATAGTAAACCCCGATAACCAATAACCTTCAGTGGCTACCTGAGTGTCTGATATCTCCCGATAAGCCAATAGCAAAACAGCTATTAGAAGTAATATACATGCCATTATCCAGGAGAATATCGATATTGTTTGGGCAATAATATACATCTTAGTGGTTCTGAAATTGACAAATAATGATATATTCCCTATCAAACCGAAGCAAAGACTCAAGATGTTTAGCACTCTTAAATCAGCAGGGTCACTAATGATTTTCCCTGTGGAGGTATCAGCTCTCCAAGATTCGGCCAAACCAATAATTGAGATCATGTTAGCTATTGGAGCCACACAAGCAGATATCAAAGGTACTATTGAGGAAGTTACGAACCAAAATATAAACCCATCATCTCCTGGCTGAATGTTTAGATTGGCTACCATAGAAACCGGAGCATCCAAGATCTTATCAAAGGATAAGGGAGGTACTAATTTGATTTCTTGTTCAAGATTATACTTATTATACCCATGATTTAATAACGGTAGCACATTTTCTGAATTAATGACATTGCCTACCACTGGTCTACCTTTGGAATCGATCAACCTCGATCTATCATAAGGTTCTACAGTAGACATCGCCTAAAACATTTATTACTGTTTATTCGTTCTATATACAAAATGCGAATGAGACATCGCATGAAATATGTACTGAAGTTTCAGACATGATCAAAATCCAGATCTATGAAATAAAACTAGAATTATAAGCTGACAGGGCATTCGTTTTTAGGATCCAAAATGAATTTTCTTAATAAATTCTTTTGAACATTCGGTTTTAAATCTTCAATATCTTTTTTAGATACTTGAGTTAAGATTTCTACCTTTTTATCATTATATTCGGGACTCATCAAGGTTTCTAAGATCTTATGTATGTGGGTGTATCTATTTTCAATAATCGATAAATCTTTGGAAGCTTTGGAAATGTCTAAATCCAAAACTGGTTCAACATTTGGCCATGATTTAATATTATACTTTTGCTTTATATCATTAATTTCTTTGACTAAGTTCTCTCTGTCGGTTTCAGAACTATTCTTAGCTTTGTTCACTATTCTATCTAAGATCTTAAGGTCTTCGACTTTGTTTATGGTGGTTTCTAATTCATTTCTTCTATTTATGAATTCATTGACTAAAGACTTTTCTTCTTCGGCAACCTTCTTTTTGGCTAAGGTTTCATATAAGGCAAATTGTTGACCTTTATCGACTTTGATTTCAGCAATGGCAAAATATTTTCTGGCAGATATTTTTGGTATAGCTTCAATTCTGACAATATCACCTTCTTTACATAAATTCCCTTCATCATGAACTAAATAATCTTTTCTTCTCAACACATCTTTGTTGATCTTTTTATCGTAGGTTTTACTTTGCACTCTGACTTTGACAGTCTTATGCATTTTCCCTTGGGAAACTACCAACCCTATGAAATTTTGTCTAGCCATACTCAAACAAAAGTTTTTCACTCGTTTGATCAGAAAGTGAAAATTTTTGAGAAAGTGTTACCCGGACATTAAAAGCCTATGGAGATATGGGATAAGATAAGAGTAGAGATGAAAGGTGGGGGGAGCAAATCTATCTATATCTATGAACGGTAACCTTTTAATACAGCTCTAAATCTTTCGATCAAAACTTCATTTTCTTCTTTGGTACCAATAGCGATTCTCAAAGCACCAGTACAATTTAATTCTTTACCTCTGAACCTAACAACGACTTTTTCGTCAATAGCTAATTGTTGATAAAGTTTGAAGGCCACCTCGTTGGATGGTTTGTTATCTTTATCTAAGATTTCCATTAAAATGAAATTAGAATCCAAACCACCAATATTTTTACCTATACCTTCAATTTTAGATAATTCTTCAATAAGTTTCACTCTTTGATTATTGATTGAAGTCACAGCAGATTGCATAGATTCCAATCCAGATGATGTGGCTCTTAAGGCAACTGCTGAAGTTAAAGATGAAATATTATATGGATATTTCATCAGGTTCAAGTAACGTGATAATCCATCACAAGCGAAAGTAATACCCAATCTAATACCTGCTAATCCAAATGACTTGGATAATGTTTGTAACACCACTAAGTTCTCATATTGATTGACTAATGTGGACATTGATTGACTGTGTTCACCTTTGATTTCGGTGAAATCAATATATGCTTCATCAACAATTACTAAAACATTGTTATTACTCAATCTTTTCAAAAGGTCTATAATTTTATCCACATCAAGCAATTTGGCTGTCGGGTTACCTGGGGATGTTAAATAAATCAATTTGATGTTACTGTCAGCTTCAACAGCCTTAACAATCCCATCATTATCGGCTTGGAAATCAGGATAAGTCAATGGAACATTAACTAATTCAACATCATTCATAGTAGCACAAACTGAATACATCCCGTAAGTTGGAGGACATACCAATAATTTATCTTTACCTGGTTGACAAACACATCTCAATAACATATCAATGCTTTCATCGGAACCAACTCCAAGACAAAGATTAGAAATCTTTAACCCTTCACCTGTTAAATGGACGTTTGGTTTGGCATTTCTAAAGTCGATAATGTTTTGTTTCAATTCTGGTTGATGAGGATCAGGATATCTATGTAATTCTAGATTCTTTTCATCCAATGAAAGTTCAGTTAATGCTGGACCATGAGTATTTTCATTGGCATCCAATAAAATTCCTTCCTTGTAGTCATCTCTGGCACATCTATAAGGTTCCAATGATAAGATATTAGGTCTTATAATCTTTGTAAAATCGACCATGTTGTAAATTGTTAGATAAGATCTGGGAAAATGAGTCAAAAGAGAGCGGACGACAAGACAGTTGCAAAACGACATCGCGACATTACATTTCCATTATACAAAATATATATATATATAAACCATAAGGATCAACCTTCCACTGGTGAAACAAATCTAACATGCGAAGAATTCTTTCTATTGAATGTGAAGAAGCTTCGCATCTTTGGTGATCTTTCAGTAGACTTTATTGATGGAGGTTGAGAGCTTGATGATATGGGTGCTAAATTAGGTAAATTGAATAAACTCGCTACTGTTGAGCTACTTCTTTGTCTCCTTTCTCCTAAAGATGATTGATCTAATACTTCCTCTCCTTCTATTTCAGATATAGCTGGAACATCACTTATTCTTCTTCTATGACTATCGGGACTAAATACTTGATTCTCTAACTCCGCACTTTCACTATGAGGTTTGAATTTGTACCAATTATTGAAAAAATTCTTTAAAAATGCTTTAGTCTTTTGTGATTTCCTACTATTTGACTTACTATCTACTTGGGTGTTTGTTTTTACTTCCATTGATATTGGAAATAGTGGATCAGTTTTTGTAAATATAGCGTTTGAAAGTGGTACGACTTTCTCATCATCCAATTGTTCCCTGAATAATAACTGCAATTTTACGGGGCTAAAGTCATTGATTTTGGAATTTGTCACGTTATTAGGCTTATTGACTGCATAATTTTTCTCCGTTGCAGGTTTGTCGCTTAAAAAGGTTTCACTATTATTTAAGGGGTCTCTCTTTAAACCCTTTAATGATTTAGTGTGAGGTAAAGTTTTCACCTTGGTAAATAATTTAAACTTATTTCTCTTTCTGGTGGTCAGCAATTCCTCTTCAGCGATAGATTCTTCACTACTAACTTCGTTGTCTGCCAAAATTCCACTGTCTTCTGGGGGAAAATCAGGGACAATTGACATTTCCGAATCAGGTGATGAAAATTCCCTCAATTTATTATTTGGTTGGGAACCTTTAAAAATGTTATCAACCTCCGTGTCATTCCCTTCGTTGACTAAGTCATTGAAACTGGAATGTAATGATATTTGTCCTAGTTTTCTCTCCTTCTGGTGGAAGAAACTTTCATTCGAAACGAGACCTCGTCTATTTTGAAAAACCTCCCCTTCATTTTCCCCCAAAAGTTGATTCCCAGGTTCCTCCTGGGGCGACACTTTGGGTGACCATACATTGAAGTAACCCATGAAGTCTTTGAGGAATGAACTACTGGTCTTTTGTGAAAACTGGGAAATAAATGATACTTCGTCCAGCATTTGTAATTTAGAGCCACAAATAATCTTATGAGAATTTTCATGATTCGAATAAGAATGTGTAGAGCAGAGAACTTGCAGACATAATAAACTGGCTACTTTTGTACCATTACTTGAAATTTGTGAAATTCACAGATTTGGGAAACAATGAACTCTCAGATTTAACGTTCACGTTGGATATTCTTTACCACTCTAATCTAATCCAATCTGTTCCAATAAACACTTTCGTAAGATATCTTAACACATCCAATACACTTATTTATCCCTAGAAATGTACCTGAACACCATATACCACAAAGTAGTTCAATCTCAACCACATTCATTTGCAGCCAGTCGTGTAGAAACTTTTCGCAGGCCACGTCGAGAAGTTACTTGAAATCACAAAATGGAAGTCACCCTTCAATACAACAATACTGACAAAAAGATATCAACTCCCAGCACAGATGAAAAGCTTCAGAAGGAAATAGACCAATTAAATACCTTGACATCAGAAATCATCTCAAATGGTTCAGATGTACCACCAATCGCTACACCTGAAAATTTTAACAAAGATTTAAGTAAGATGATCAAAAAATTATACGAAGGTGGAGTTCAATCATTCAAACAAAACAAGTTCGAAGAAAGTGTCAGGCAATTCACCATAGGTATTGAAATGATCAATAGAAGACATAAATTCGAAGCATTTCAAGGTACTTTACAAGAATTAAGTATGTTCTTGATGTCCAGAACAGATGCTAACTTGAAAACTAAAAGGTATTTAGATGCCTTCAATGACATCGACATGTTGTTAAGTATGCAAATGTGTACACCAGAAAATTTCTTGAGAAGAGGTGTAGCCAATTATTTCTTAGGAAACTATGAAGCTGCTAGAGCTGATTACCAAAGAGGTTTGGCTTATGATCCAAATAACAGACGTTTACAAGATGAGTTAGAAACTTGTCTTGATAAGATTTTGGAAGAAAACGGTGACTATCTTTAGGTGAATAGTGTATGTATAATAGAATTTCATTTATGTGAAGAGTTTTGTAGTTGATCTGTAGAACTTGCATTTGATCTCTATGAAGTAATGGATAAGTTGAGGGTAAAATAGGCTCTATTTTCAGATATTCTTACTTCCCATCGCTGCAGCAGCTCCAAAACCTCTTATCGGTGATTTCTTAATCTCCCTTATGATCTATCACAAAGAATCGCGTTTTTATACTTAAAGGTAAGATGGCAACGATTGATCATCTAATGTCAGGAGGTCGAAAAAGAGGACTTCCTGACGGACTGAACTCACAGGATATGAACAGTAATCCCAAGGAGACTAAACGTCGTTCAAAGCGTTTGGATTCGCTTTATTCCAATCAGGCAAAAAGTATGACTCAAGAGCCAGAAATTATTGTGTTATCCAGTGAAGATGAAATAGAAGAGAGTGATATTTCTCCTGAAGAAGAATTACAACAACAGCAGAATGGGGAACCTAATGATAATTATGGAAGTGAAGATACTGATGTTTTTCATGATGCACAATCTTCAGTAGCCAATACTATTGACGAGCCTCAAGATATTACGAATATTGAATCATTATCAGACGATTCAGAAGACTTAGAAGGTCTTGAAGAGAAAACCTTACCAGAGAACGATGAAGATCTGGAAACGGATCATGAGATCATACCTCAAGTAAATAATGGGCAAATAAATCAGGGTTCAACTCAACCGGTTTTTGAACAACAACAACCACCACCTCAAATTGAACAACTTGCAGAACAACAACCACCAACTGGAAACTCGTTTGCACAACAACCAACATTTGACCGTCCTTATGTACAACAGCCACAAGAAGAACCAGTTTCAGTAGATGATGATTATAGTGATGATGACCTAATGATCATTTCCCCAGAAGAAGCCAATAAGTTGTCGGTATTTAACAAACCCAAATCATTACAGGCCATTACTCCCCAACCTTATGATATTCATGGAAATCCTGGTTTCAACCAACCTGCACCAATACCTCGATATGGTCCTGATGCTTCTGAAGAGGCACGTAAGAGAAGATCTGTAGAGCGAGAAATCAGACTAAGAGATTTGGCCTTTGAAAGAAACAGAAGTATTGTTGCCAGGGATAGAATTCAGGAAAGATTGCAAGATATTAAAAGAATCATCGCCAACCTTAATGCCATCAGTAATTCAAGTGGTGAAATGAGTGCAAGTTTGGGCAAAGAAAGAAACGAATTTATCAGATTAAATCATCAACATGATTTGTTGGTCCATGCGATAAGAAATAATGAGATGGACTCTATGGCCTTATTAAGAGAAAAAGAACTCGAAGAGAGAACAGTTAAAGAAGAACAATATGGTCAAAATTCCCAAAGAACTCATCAAACAGGTATGCCACCACCTCCTCAACCATCTGTTTTCAATACTTTGACAGATATGGGATACCAGATGTATAATCAATTCAAAGACAACTTCCAACCACTCACCACTGCTTTACCACCAGGGACAACCATAGGACCGACGACGTATGACACTTCTCAAGTGCATTTAAACGATCTTATCGATAATATAGTCGAAGAAGAACACAATACTGAAGGAGATGATTTTGCTGCAACACCTTCAGGCTTATCAACAGTATTATTAAAACATCAAAGGATAGGTTTGAGTTGGTTATTGAAAATGGAAGAAAGTAGCATCAAAGGGGGAATTTTAGCTGATGATATGGGGTTAGGTAAAACTATTCAAGCACTCGCTTTAATATTGGCCAATAAATCCGAAGATCAAGAATGTAAAACAACATTAGTCATAGCACCAGTCTCATTGTTGAGACAATGGAAACAAGAAATGCAAGATAAAGTCGATTCATCTTCACAATTGAGTATTGGAATTTATCATGGAAAAGAAAAGAATATGATGAAAACACCCAATCAGTTCAGAAAATTCGACGTTGTATTAACATCTTATGGAACTTTAAGTAGTGAACATGGGAAGCATGGGCTGAAAGTTAGATCAAGACAATTTTATTCTCCATTTTATCACGAAATGAAGTTTTTCAGGATTATTCTTGATGAAGCTCAAGCTATTAAAAATAGGAATACCAGAGCATCCAAAGCTGTGGCTGATTTGGAAAGTGTCCACAGATTATGTCTTACCGGTACTCCTATGCAAAATAGTGTCAATGAATTATATCCCATCATTAGGTTCTTGAAAGCCCGTCCTTATAATGATCTTCAAAAGTTCAATCTTTCCATATCGGGACCAATCACTTCGCAAAATGGTAATAGAACTAAAGGAGTGGAAAGATTACAAGCGTTGTTGAAAGCCATTTGCCTCCGTAGAACTAAAGATAGTTTAATTGATGGGAAACCTATTTTACAATTACCTGAAAAGCATGTGCATATAGATAGATTGGCTATGCCCACTGACGAAAAGGATGCTTATAAAAGTATTGAATCAAGGACAGGGAAGAAAGCTAAAAGACTTTTGAGTTCCAATGGTAGTTGGTCACATATTTTGGTGTTGTTAACGAGATTAAGACAAGCTTGTTTACATACATACTTATGTGAATTAGGATCCATTGATGCTGCTTGTAGATTCAAAAAAGATTATTGGAAGATTCTCTTACGTACCGTAGTTGATCTTGATGATGTGAGTGTTCAAAAGATTAAGTTGGAGATTAACAAAGGTCATTTTGATAGTGAGGATATGAAAGATATTCATGATATGGATTTAATTCAAGAGGACAAGATAGTGATATTGTCCGATGAAGAAGATGAAGAAGAGGAAGATGCTGAGACGAACCAAGAAGAAGTCAAAGAAGAAGATAAACAGGAAGTAAAGGAAGAAACCAAACCAATAATTGAAACTAAGGAGAGAAATGAACTTTTCAAAACTGAGATTAATCAGATGATTGGAAATGAAGAAAGTTTCTCATTTACTTGTCCGATTTGTGTTATGCCAGCCAATTGGTCAAGTATACTTAGATTTCCTTGTGGTCATAAGATATGTGATGTTTGTATTCAAGAATTCTTCCCAAATCTTGAAGAAGATGATATAGATGCCAGTGAAAAGTGTAGGGAATGTCCACAACGAGTGAAATTAGGAGATGTGGTAGATTATTCGATTTTCGCTAAAAAGTATGTTGAAAATTTGGATATCAATACCATTAAGAATCAATTATATTCTTCATATAATGATAAAATGACCAATCAAGACAAGATATTGAAATTAGCTGAAAAATATGATGGGTTAGAACCTTCATGTAAAATGTCGAGAATTATGGATTTGATTGAAAAGATTTTTAAAGAATATCCTGGAGAAAAAATCATTATTTTCAGTCAATTTATTGGATTTTTCGATATTTTAACATTTATGTTGAAAAGTAGTAAAATTCCTTATTTAAGATATGATGGTTCAATGACTGTAGATAAGAAAGATTTTGCGGTAAAGCAATTTTACCAAAGTGATGTTAAAATCATGTTAACCAGTTTAAAAGCAGGTAATGCTGGGTTAACATTAACTTGTGCATCACATGTAATATTATGTGATCCATTTTGGAATCCTTTTGTCGAAGAACAAGCTATGGGTAGAGCTCATAGATTAGGGCAACAACGAGAAGTTCATGTTTATAGAATATTAATTGAAGATACTGTTGAAGATAGAATTGTCAAGTTACAACAACAAAAGAAAGAACTTATTGAAGCCGCATTAGATGAAAAGGGTATTCAAAGTGTTTCCAAATTAGGAAGAAGAGAATTAGGGTTTTTATTTGGTTTAAACGGATTAGATTAATGTAATATAGAACTAATATGAATTAGGGAGATTTCGCCCCCAAAATGTCTCATGTCGCGGTAGTCTCTAATATGGTTACTTAGTGAAGTGTTCAATGGAAATTCTTTACTTTTGATAAGTTCCCTAACCAATCACCTTCTTTAATGACCTCATGCTTATATATCAATTCCCATGTAATGATATTCTCGAAATTCAAATTATACTTGGATAATGACTTACATAAGTAAATTATTTGTAAGATAATTCCATCTAGTTGATTCTTTATATCTATTTGATCTAAATCTTGACTTAAGATCTCAGGGAAGTATGTTTTCAATTCAGTTATCAAGAGATAACTTAAGTTCTTAACAAATTGATTCAAAAGTAATAAATCTTCATTTTCATTAGGTATTAAATTCAATGAATGATTAATAATGGAATAGAACATCGATACTGATTGATAGATTTCACTTCGAAATACCTCAATGAATCTCTTAAGGTAACTTAATTTATTAAATTTGATTAAAGGTGTGAGGTTGGAAATTTCATTAGTGATGAATTTAAATCTAGAATTCAAGTAAATGATTTTAAGGAACCTCGTCTTTTCGATACTTTGATTATTACTGATCAAATCAATAGATGTTGAATTATCATTTAAATTTACCAAATCAAGTTGATTTAAAATATTGAAGATTTTGATCAAATTATTCTGTTTAAGATTAGTATTCAAAAGTTTGATTAAATTCTTAATCATTAAATTCAATTCCTTATTAATTTGATTATTTATCTTTTGGAAAATCGATATCTTAGGGAACTTTGCTATCAAAGTCTTTGCTAACATGGAAATATCTAAAGATTCTTGATAATTCCCTTGTAAGATACATATCTTACATAATGTAGGTAATTCAAGTAAATCAAGAATTGAGTCTATATTCGATAACATTGAAGTGTTGGTTTCGATTGATGAAGTTAATTGATCACTAATATTGATTTCATATTGGAAATTATCCATTTCTTTAATCATTGATTCAACTTTATCTTTCATTTCTGTTGTTATGGTTTGATTGATATTCTTTAAATTTTCACTGATTTCAACGATAGAATCTCTATTTTCATTGGTGATATCACTTAATTTTATATCAGCATTTCTTTTATATTCATCTAATTCAGCAATTTCCTCAGTTAAAGTTTTAGTTCGTTTACTATCAAGATCATTAGTAGTGGTGAATATTTCTGTTGATATTAAATTTTCATTTTCAAAAAGATTTTGTAAATAATCTTGAGACAGTTGCCGTATCTTCGGATCCTTTTCAATATAAGATTTCAAATGAGGATCTAAATCTTCAATTAATTTATCTAATAGGATCTTACTCATGATAGGTTTTGGATGAAAAGTTGATATGTCGCGCCTCACTCGAAAGTTCGCACTTAACACCCCCCCACGACATCTCTTGGAATTTACCGAAATCTCAATCGTTGATAACTTCATCTATAATGGAAGGGTTATTATTTAATGTTAATAACGGATATGTTGAAGGGGTTGTTAGAGGATATAGAAACGGATTGTTAGTTAGTAATCAATATTTGAACTTAACTCAATGTGATAATTTGGAAGATTTAAAATTACAATTATCCTCAACTGATTATGGTAACTTTTTAAGTCAACATAATGGACCATTATCAACATCTATCATTAGAGATAATTTATCCAAGAAATTATATCAAGAATTTCAATATTTGAAAAAACAATCAAGTGGTAAATTATCGAAATTTTTAGATTTTATTACTTATGGATATATGATTGATAATGTAGCATTAATGATTACTGGTACAATTCATGAAAGAGATAGAAGTGAAATCTTAGAAAAATGTCATCCTTTAGGTTGGTTTGACACTTTACCTACATTATCAATTGCCACTGATATTGAAAGTTTATATAGTACTGTTTTAATTGATACTCCATTAGCACCATTTTTCAAAGATTGTTTATCAGCTGAAGATTTAGATGATTTGAATATTGAAATTATTAGAAATAAATTATTCAAGAATTATTTAGAAAGTTTTATTGAATTCATTGAAAAAGAATTTGGTCAACCTGATAAGGAAATAATGTTAAATTTATTGAATTTTGAAAGTGATAAAAGAGTTATTAATATTGCTTTGAATTCTATTAATAATAGTGAATTAACTAGTGATATTAAATTAAGTTTATTCCCACAAAGTGGTAAATTATATCCATTATATCATAATCAATTATCAAATATTGATGATCCTGAACAATTGAAAACTATCGTTTCTTCAATTTATGAATATAAAGAATTATTCAATGAAAGTCAAGATAATTCTGGATCTTCAAGAAACTTGGAAGATTGGTTTTATTTATTGGAAATGAAATATTGTAAGAATGCTTTCACTCAACAATTTACTTTATCAACCATTTGGGCTTGGTTAAGATCAAAAGAACAAGAAATCAGAAATATAACTTGGATTGCTGAATGTATTGCTCAAAACCAAAAGAATAGAATTGATAATTATATTGCAGTTTATTAATGTACATGGACCTTTAACATATCGACCTCAGGCATATTAATCTCTAAGAAACTGACGTTTTGATGTCTGACCTCAAACTGTTGAAGATTACTCCAGATCGCGTTTTCAATGAATGTCACCTTTACTGCTTCTACTAACCATATAAGCCATTTATCTGATATTTTTCAATCATTATCAAGCATAAATTCCCAAGGGTTGGTCATCATAAACAATGGAGGAATTACAATATACTGTGAAACCAATCATATAATGAATGGTCAAGCCATTATAGATGCATCGTTGTTTAATACTTTTAATATTGTAGAAGGTAATACTCAAAATGATAAAGAAATACGATTTGGTATTGATTTAAACCTTATAAATTATGCCTTTGATAACTTATCTGCCAGTACAGTATGTTATTTGAGTTACAATGGGGAAGGTAGTCCATTTATTATAGAATTTGAAGATAATATCATGAGTGAATCAATAGAATTCTTAACCTTTTATCTTGATCTCACTTACCCTTATGATGATATTGATAATGATGATGAAGGATTTGATTTGGTGGTGGACTATAACGAATTACAATATGAATTGATTCTAAAAAGTGATGTGTTTGAGAACTTATTATCTGATTTAATCAATATTAATACCCAAACTGTTTATATTTATCTTTCTAATTACTTCAAGAACGAATTATCATTCATAAGTCTTGGACCTATTGGTCACTCGAAGCTAATTTATCCTTCAGAACGAAATATACTTGAAAAATTGGAGATTCATAGTAAAGAATCAAATGTTGTATCGAGTTTCAAGTTTCAAAATTTCATAAAAATCTTCAAAAGTGTCAAATTACTGAATAAGTGTAAAATAACTAAAGGTCTTAATGGAGTATTTGCTTTACAATTGATTTGTAAAGATTCAAATAATAATAATTATGTGGGGACGTTGATAACTATTAATATGTTGGAAATAGATAGTGATTTAGATATCAGCAATTTGAATATTTTTGATGAAGTTGAAGTTCCAGTTAAGCGTAGGAAAGTTAATGAGATAGAGGTACCTTTGTTTTTGTGAGGTAACTTATCCTTGTTATTGCGAGATTGGAGGTAGAAATGATAAGACCCTTTGAATCTGAGCGTGGAAAGTTTAACGACCTTTGTCCTTAGAGTCAGAGTGAAGAAAGGTTCTTGACGTATCTTTGTAATATATAAACTATAAGTAACTGATCTTAAAGGCCATTTTTAAAGTCTCTTTCAAACTTTGGCCAATATTAACTTTCTTAACTCTCAAAATTCTAATTACTATCAATAACATTATCACCACCGCTGCAAGTATAGGTGAATTATTCTGTAAGTAATTTCTTGTCAATTTCAATTGATATAATAATTTATCTTTCAATGTTTCGATATCTTTGGTTTGAGGTTCAGGCTTGACTATTTCTGAACTTTCTCTAATTTGTTTCAATGACTTATATTTTAAATCTTTATCCAATTTTGCTTGGGATTCTTTCTTCTTTTGATCTCTTGTTCTCTGGTGTTTTAAGTTTTGCTGTTTTTCAAATTCTAAATCTTTCTCCTTCTCCAATTCTTGTAATCTGTCTAACAATCTCTCATCAAGATTATTCTCCCTAACAAGTTGTTTCCCATCACTAATCTTATTCATTCCTGGTAAGATCTTCAAGATTAATAACTCCAACCACTTTTGCGTGTATATGTCATTGATTTCCAAGTTAGGGTACATTTTCATGAATTTTTCATAAGCTTCTTCAATATCTAACCCTATATAAATGGTGAGATACAAGTTGAATATGGTTTCGGTAGGAATTTCATCTTGCTTGTATTTCGATAAGTTATTCAAGATAACATCATTTTTCAAATCATCAACAATGGTTGTCTTCTCTGATTTGGAAATCTTAACTTCATTAGATAATAAAATCATTCCAACTATTATAAGATACAAGTCAATTATCTTATAATATAATTTCTCTTCAATAATCTCGGCCTGGTAATTATTGAACACATTTTGATATTGAACTTTTATCATTTCAAAAGCTTTATTGAAGTTCTTGTTCATAAAGAACTTCAAAGCCAATTTATATTCACTTTCTATTATAGTTGATGTACTGACAGACTCATTCATTATCCCCAACTTTCGCACAAGATTTTTGAAGCGAGGTCTAAGGAAAAGGTCTGTGAAAATATGCATTAGAAAAGTTTTTCTATAAAATAATATACACCACCCAAGACAAGAACACCCGTACCAATAACAGGGAAACACCAGTAAGGTATTACCAGAGCAATTGGTGGTTTGACGAATGGGAATAATGCCATGAATAAATTTGCAGCTAAAAATGTAATGATACATACCCAAGGAGTTGAGAATCTAATTCTTGGTTTGGGTGACAATAATGAAGTCAATTCTTCTGTATTCCATGAATCGTCCTTTAATTTCAAGTAAATAAGACCTAATGTGAGTAAAATGTTGATCCAAGTACCAGGATAGATGTATAAATTGACAACGAATTCATAGATTTCAGTTGATGGTGGGGCCACTAACACAACAACAGTTACTAACCAATGTAAAAACATTGACCAATTGAAATGTTGGAAGTATGAAGAAAAAGGTACTAAATTCTCTAAAGCTAATTCCTTATTAACCATGGAATGAGCGTATGAAACAGCCAATACATTACCAAAATTAGATACTGAGATGAATAATGGAAGTATCTTGGAAGTTATGGTTTCTCCGAAGATTTTATTGAAGAAAATACCTGCAATTAACACTCCACTGGACATGATTTCGGTTTTGGGGATAACTACCAAATAACTTAAGATGACTAAGAAATATAACAAGGTAGTCACAACAACTGCTAATGGAGCTGAGCGAGTCAATACTTTATAAGGATTACTGGTCTCACTCAAAACATAATTGGCATTTTCCCAACCTTTGAAAGAATAAATAATCTCCAATAATGCAACTGATATGGAATAATAATTAGTTTCATATTGTGATTCTAACATATTGGTGAAATTACCACTTCTAGGTACTTCTATAATTCCGAGCCACACTAAGGCACCACAGAATATAATCAACATAAGGATAAGTATTTTACTTATACCCAAGATATTGAAGAATAAGTTTGATTGTTTGTGATGGACGATATGTAAATAACAACAGAAAGATATACATCCAACACCTATCAACTTAACATATGAATCGTTGAATTGTTGGTCTCCAAAAATCGAAAACAATACATATTTACCAAATGCATAAGAATTACCTGAACTGAAACCAAGTAAAACTATTTGGAACGAATAAACAAACCCTATGAATCTTGGATGATACACCTTTTGTAAGTAGTTCTTTTCTCCACCGTTCCTTATGGGTAAATTTAGGGAATATTCAAGATATATTATCATCCCGCATCCTATTACTAAACTACCTAAAACCCAAAGAAGCAAATACAATGAAATATTACCACCACAATATTGGAAAATGATTGAAGGAGTCAGAAATATACCTGTCCCTATCATCTTGTTCACTATCAACGACATGGCTGATAAGGAGCTTATCTTTGCCATAATAGATTGTTTGATATAAAACGGTTGCGAAACTTTTATCTGAGAGGCATCTATAGAGTGATTGCGCGTGATTTACAGGTGATGTAAATTATACTAAAAACACTAAAAACATAAATGGGTGGAGTTTAAAAAACTGGAGAAGCGTTAGAAATTTTTTACGTATGTATTAATTAGATCGTAACTTCGTGTAATAAGAGAATCTTAAGCAGTTCTTAAAATTAAATGAATTCCACTATCACTTTCAACTGGATCACTTAATTCTCCAACATGTAAACTGAAAGCAGCATGTTCGAATGATGGTTGCATTTGGCCTTTACCGAAAAATCCTAAATCTCCCTTCTGGGCATGTGATGAACAATCGGATTCAATTTCAGCTAATTCTTCAAATGATGTTTCTCCCGATACTATTTGTTTTCTGAAATCTTTAATTTTGGTGATAGCTTCTTCTCTACTAGTGGTGATACCGTCTGGAGATTTCCAAGACTTAGGTCTTCTAACATTACTATGTTTAACCAATAAATGCGAAGCTCTGACTTTACCATCTTTAACTAAAGGTTTGAAATGATTCTTTTCAATATTATGCAAATATACTTTTAATTTAGATAAATCCGTGCCCATGGGAGGTTCCCATTGTGATTCCTCGGTGGAAGTGTTATAATAATACTCTCTGTTATGTTTGGATGATACTTTAATGGTCCAATTTGAAGGTAATCCACTTTCCATCTTAAACGTTGATATTAAAAATCTCAATGATTAGAAATGCGACTTTAAGAAAACAGAGAATCGGTAAGTACACATCTATTTAAATATCTTTAGATTTCAAGCCTTCTAAGACTTGACTATAAACAACGTCAACAGGAGAATCACATCTTACTTTGACGACTTTTCCTTGTTTTTCGTAATAATCCACTACAGGCATGGAAGTTTCAATGAAAGTTCTGAATCTCTTCTTTATACTTTCAATATTATCATCAGCTCTACCACTGGTTTTACCTCTTTCTAATAATCTATCCAACATTACCTTTTCTGGACATTCAAAGAAAAGGGTGAAAGCTGAAGGAACAATTTCATCTTCAAAAGTAATAGCTTGATCCATCTTTCTTGGGAATCCATCCACTAAGAACTTCTTATTACCTTTATCATGATTTTCAGTAATGGCTTGTTTCAATAAAGCAACTGTGACTTCTTGAGGAACGATTTTCCCTTCTTTAATGTAAGAAGCAATTAATTCACCATATTTTGAACCTTCTCTTTTTTGTTCGGCTCTTAATAAATCTCCGGCACTTAAATGTACAAATCCTTTTTCATTAACCAATTTGGCACATTGAGTACCCTTACCGGCACCTGGACCTCCCAAGACAAAAACGACCGAAACTTCATCTTTGGTGAATGCAGATCTTACTGGTTCGATGGCAGATTTGGGATCATTCTTTTGATATAAAGTAGCAGCGATTGTTGAACCAATTGCTAATGCTCCTAAACCAATTAGAATTTTCCCGTTATTAGATCCACTATTTGATCCGGTACTGTAAAAACGGGACTTAGAAATGATTCTAAGGTTTGATTTCAAAGATATTCTTAATTGTCTATTTAAACTATTTGAGAACATTATGTTGATTGAGATATTTTTTTTTCAGTGAGCATAGTCTTTTAAAGCTTCATCACTATAACGTAAATATTTACCATTGATGGCAGAATCCCAACCTTTTAATACTAAATTGACGTAGATAGTAGCAGGAACATCAGGAGTTAATAATTTGTTATCGTTTTTCAAATCAATAAATCTTTTATGAGCTGCTTTCATTTGGTCTTTATATTTACCTCTGATATTGTCTTGCATTGAAGTATCTACAACTCCTGGAGCTACAGAAATAGTTTGAATTTCTGGTTCGTCATCAGCTAAGGTTAACATTAAATGATTCAAAGCAGCTTTGGAAGATCCATAACATCCCCAACCTTTGGTTGCACCAATTGAAGCACCTGATGAAACTGAGACAAATCTACCTTTAGATTGTCTTAAATGAGGTAAAGATAATTTAGCTAATTCAACAACTGAGAAGAAATTAATATCGAAAGCTTTTTTCCAAGCATTGATATCTAAATCTTCAACACTAGTAACAGGTTCTAAAACTCCAGCATTAGCAATTACAGAATCAATTTTACCAAATTTACTAATAGCTAAATCAATACATTTTTCCGTGGTTTCGGTTTTGGCTATATCTCCAACAACTATGCCTACTCTTTCTTCACCAAATTCTTTAACCAATTCCTCCAAAGGACCTTGAGATCTAGCTACAGCAATAAGCTTAGTTCCTTCTTTACTCAAGTAAATCTTAGCAATTGCATTACCAATTCCTGTTGATGCTCCGGTCAAGATACACACTGACATTTCTCACTTTTTTTTTTTTACTCCGTCTCAATTTCTCAATTGATAACGTTAACCATAATCACCAGGTTTGTGATCGTTTATAATTAATACCGAGGAATAACTAATACATTGGAAGAATAGTCAAGAAGGGATATTTTGTTTAGTTTGATTGATTTATTAGGGGTGAAAGTTTAAAGAGTTTTTTTTGTTTTAATAGTGCTTTTGTTTTGATATCAAACATGAATATTAATGTTGATTCAGCAAAGGATACTCTTTGTAAGAATATTTTAATCTATGGATATTGTAAATATGAGAATAAAGGATGTGCCTTTAGTCATAAAGGTAATAAAAAGGAACCTATTGCGAGTCCTCAACCAGGTAATGCAGATTTAACCGGGTCAACTCCAACAGTTTCAACCCCCACTACAAATAAGAAGAAATTCAATTTAAATACACCTTCATTTCAACCTAAATCAGGCAAATTCTCCCCGAAATTGGATAATGTCGCTACTTTCGTCCCACAAGATTATGATGGAGGAATTAATAGTATTTCAATAAGTAATGGAGGAAAGAAATTTAACACTTCGGCCAATGCATTCACTCCTAGTTCTTTGGATAATCCTTATACTCCGCCAATAAACCCATCCATGAGTACCACATCAGTGAATTCACCTATCCAAAATCACATCTTACCAAATCTGGCAGGAGGACAATCAATAAATTCAAATAATGGTGAAATGTATTATAATCAAACCAATTATCCTTTAAATTACCATTTATATGCCCCAGCTCCACCACCAAACTTAAGAATTCCTTTACCACCTTATGAAACTAATGCAAATGATATGTTTATACCAAATGATTTAAGAGAATCATTAACTAAAAAGAATGCTGCTACTTTAATGACATTGAATAGAAGTAATTTACCGGAAAATATTAATGTTTATCATTCTTTAGTACCATTAGATTTAGAATCCAAGTCTAAAGTATGGAAATTGAATAGTGCTATTTTCAAAGTATTCTCAAACATTGATGGTAATGCTTATACTTTAAGAAAGATCGAATTTGATTCAACAATTGATTCAGAGAATTTTAAAACCATTAAACGTTGGAAAAGTATCAAAAATAGTAATATTGTCAAATTACAAGATTGTTTCACTTCAATAGCATTTGATGGTTTAAATAGTAAATTAGTAATGATTTATGATTATTATCCTGAATCTATGACATTATTAGAACAACATTTTAATAGAAAATTAGGTTATAAGTTAGAACCTATTACTGAAGATTTATTATGGATTTATATTATACAAATAACTAATGCTTTAATGACAATACATGAAAATGGTTTAGCTGCTAGATCATCCTTATCTTTAAGTAAGATCATTGTTACTAATAAAAATCGAATCAGATTATCATCAGTTGGTATTGATGATATTTTGAATTATGAAAATGATAAAGGATATAATATTAAAACCATAATGAGTAATGAACAAAAACTTGATTTAAAAAGATTTGGTGATATTCTTATTGAATTATGTAACTTATTATTACCATTAACTCAAAGAAATGATTTGAATAGTTTGAAATCAGTTATTTCTAATGATTTATTTGAAGTTATATCCAAATTAGTTAATGATTATGAATTGATTAATCTTGAAAAATTCAACCAATTTTATTTGAGTTCCAAAACCATTAGATTAGTTAACAATTTACAAGATTCTAATGATTATGTTGAAAGTCAATTAACAAGAGAATTGGAAAATGCTAGATTATTCCGATTAATAACCAAAATCAATTTCATTATTGATTCTCCTGTTTTGAACTGGGAAGAAAATGATAGAGTTTATTTGATTAAATTGTTCCATGATTATATATTTCATAAAATGAGCGATGGTAAACCTGTGGTTGACTTATCGAGAGTTTTAGTTAAATTGAATAAACTTGATGTGGGTATTGAAGAGAGATTCTTATTAATATCCAAAGATGAAAAATCTTCCATATTGGTAAGTTATAAAGAAATCCGAGATTTAATTGATTCTGTATTTAGAGAATTAACCAAATAGACATTTGATGACTTACTCTGAGTTTAACCTAGTTCAATAACCAAAGATTTGATTACTTACTCTGAGTTTAACCCAGTTCAATAACCAAAGATTTGATTACTTACTCTGACTTCAATCTAAATGACTTGGCCTATGGTGGGCAAGGAAACTACTGCGGCTCTAACTAAAGCGGACTATGGCTCCAAACATGACTATTTTAAAGGGTCATCCGCTCAATCACCTCATTTTTATCGCCTCATCACCATCCTCTCGTCCCATGACTAATTCGCAGCCATTCTTATCATGGCCTACATCGGACCCTGTGACTGAACTGCGAAAATGTCGTCGGAAGTTCATGTCGCAGATATGACTAAAAACTGTATGAGTCAGTCGCGAGGGATAAATACTGATAATAATTTCCTTGAAATTGTTAACGATCTGAAGAGAGTTATTAAAAGTTTTATTGTTTACATTCCATTGATTACTTCATAATATTCATAGTAGTCGGTGGTGATTTTTTTTGGTTTTGATATTGATTTATCAAGTTGCATTTTATTTGAGATTTTACATTTAAATCTCATTTGGTTTGGGGTCATTGGTTAAGGTTTTATTTGTAAGTTAGTTCCAGCGTTTCTGCGTTTATTTGTATTGATAGTTGGATAATGGTTTTCTAAATCTTACGCTAGGCGTAAGGTATTTTGTATTATTGGAGATTTGATTCTCAGGTGTTATTGTTAAGTAGTTGTATTCCAGTTTTATTGTAACTGTAGTGTTTTATAACTGTACTTTATTATTTACAGTTTGTTAAATTTATTTTGAAAAAAAAAAAAAAGAAATAGAGGAAAATGAGTTCAAATTCATCTCCAGAGGATATTTCAAGTCCTATTAATGATGAAGAAATTTATCTTCCAAATGATTTTAAATATTATCAAAATAATCTTGATAAATCTCAATTTAATTTAACTTTGATCAATTCATCAATTTTCTTAATTAAATTGTTATATAAGGATCATGATGTTACTATTAATTCATCAAATTTAAGATTCTTTATTATTGAAATTTTGAAAAGATCAAAAACTTCAATCTCAAATTTACAGATTTGTTGTTTTTACCTTTTAAAATTGATTAAAAGTCATAATGATGATATTATAAAGGATCCAAAAAAGTTATTCTTGGGCCTCATTATTTTATCTTCTAAATTTAGTCAAGATTGTACTTATTCATTTAAGACATGGATTAAATTATTAAATATGAAACCTGATGATTTAAAGGATTTGAAGTCCTTGGAAATTAACTTATTAAACCAATTGGATTATAATTTATACGTTAATGAAAATCAATATGAAAATTGGTGTAATATCTTATTAATTTTTGGTTATGATTTCATTAAGATTCAAAAGATCATTAACTTAAAATCCGAAATCCAATGGGAAAATAAGGATAGTGAAATTAATAACAAATTATCCAAATGGTTTTCATTCTTTAAGAATTTAAAGGTGTCAAATTTAAATGATAGTCATATTAAGATTAAGTTTACTAACTATTACTTGAATCAATTAAATAAGAAAATCTTCATTGTTCATTCATTATTTGAAAAGAGACATTATCACGAAGATTTAAATGAAAAGGTTAAAGTTTCATGTAAGTAATATATTATACCTTCACTCTTGCAAGCACTGTTCTCCTTTAATCTTAATTATTCACTGTCCCTCAATCCGAATTATAAAATGTCCTTCAATCTAAATCATACACTGTCCTTCAATCTAAATCATACACTGTCCTTCAATCTAAATCATACATTATTTACATACATATAAACATCCATCTGATCCCCATTTCCCTTTAACATTAGTCAATGTGAGGAATCCTTCATCATCTTTATTGGCCTTAGTTTCGATTGATCCTTTACCAATAAGATAGTTATTTACCTTGCCTACATTATAACCACGAATCATAATATCACCATAATTCGTTGTTGATAAATTGGCTAGTTTAACTTCATTACTTTGACATATACATCCATTACCAGTTAAATTGGCTTCCAATTTACTTGAAAGAATTCTATAATCATAGAAATCAGAAAGTATCACTGGTCCTACGATCGACTTGACAGTGTTCTCCACAATTACTCTGGCGTTGAGTATTGATCTCAATCTATTCAAGCTACTGGTTGAAAGCTGATTGTCTTTGTTAATGGATTTACTAAGATATAATAATCTTAAGGGGGAATTCTTCAACTTACTGAATTTACCTTTAGATAAAAAGTATTTGAGTGTCTGATATTTCAATTTGTCAAGAACAGATGAGCTATAAACCAAACTATCAATCACTTCGTCATCAACAACATCACTTGATGTAAATATAACTGAAGATTGATAAGTCAACAAGTCCTTTAATGACTTGTCTTGAACTATAGTTATATCAGCATTAGTGACCAATCCCACTAAAACCTTACTCAATACATTGGTTACAGTCATATTATTAACAATTAAAAACTTATCTTTGGAAGTAAATTTTTCTGTCAAAGGTAAGTGCTTAATGGCTGCTGCAACTGATGAAATGAAATTGATAGCTACATAATCCGTATGACTTATGATCTTACTGCCACTTTCACTTATCCTCAATCTAATCCCTTTATCTTTCTCAAAATCATACTCATTTGTAAATGCTTCCAAAACCAGAGTCTTCAAACTGACAGGAATATCTTCAGCCAAAACATCAACATCGGCATCTACGTCATAGAAATTGATAAGTGTAGCATTAACAAGACATGCTAACACTACAGTTAAGTTTTCAACTGATTTAAGGAATCCATTAATTTTAATCCCAACGGATTTAATCTCATTCTCGTTTAAGTATTTAATGACTTCATGAATATTATAGTTCAAAACCCCATAATTGACCTTTTCACCATTCAATTTGAGACTCTTGTTGTTATCTTTGTTCCAAGCTTTCATAGCTATCTCCCAAATATCACAAAAATTCCCATTCCTTAACTTATAATGATCGTATCTTATATCTAAGCCAACTCTAAGACCGTTATAGTCTAATTTACAAGATTTATAGATTGGACTTTGATTTTCCAAAGCTGTGGTTTCAATAGTCGACTGTTCATTCAAATATAATTCATTTACATCCTTAGTGACATCAATGTAATGAGTGAATATGAAATGAATTAGTACCACCACTCCAATGGCTGCTAGTATAGTACTGTCCATAATATAAATTTCGCGTTCTCATCTGGTGACATTATAAATCCTCGTATAGTTTGATCCACAGAGAGTACTATTCGTAAAGTGGAATTGACAGCATCCGACGTTTCCCTAATAATTCTTATAGCTTAAGTTATTATCGGCCACAAAAATGGTGGGTGTTAGATTGAAATCTTTCCATATGGTGATAGGCGGTATTTTAAGTTTATGGATCGTTACTTTCTTTATTCATGAAAAGTTAGTTCCTATTTTAATAGCTCAAGAATGTCATTGGTCGGGACTGATACTTCCTGAAGGGGTTGATGAGACAAAGGTTTTATTCATAGCAGATCCCCAACTTATCGATAACCATACTTATCCCAATCGAAATCCTTTATTATTGAAATTGAGTCAACACACAGTTGACGTTTACATCAAGAAGAATTACAAAGCATTGATGGGTCATTTACAACCCGACTATGTGTTCTTCTTGGGTGATTATCTAGACAATGGAAGATCTTCGGATGATGAATATTTCAAGTCTCAATATGACAGGTTCTTTGATATTTTCCAATATACCAAATATGGATTTAAGAAAAATAAGAATTATTTTGTCAGTGTTCCTGGGAATCATGATATTGGAGTATCTGATGGGGTCAAAAGACCATCAAGAGACAGATTCACAACTTATTTCGGTAAACCAAATGATAAAATTACTATTGATGGTGTGGAATTTATTACTTTGGATACTCCTTCTTTGATAGCTAAGGATGAAGGTATAAATTACAATGCTAATGAATTTTTAAATAATAATTATAAACCTGGTAAGGAAAAACTCAATCCCAGGGTTTTAATGTCACATATTCCTCTTTTTAGAGGTGCAGACAAAACTTGTGGTCCCTTGAGAGAAGCGGATTTCAGACCCTCCAAAGGATACCAATATCAATCACTAGTTGATTCCGACATCACAACTGATTTATTAGAGAGGATCAATCCTGATTTGATCTTTTCTGGTGATGATCATGATTACTGTGATATCAATCATTCTGCTAATACAAGGGAAATTACCGTCAAGTCAATATCAATGGCCATGGGGATCTGGTATCCTGGTGTCCAATTATTGACATTTTCTAATTCCGACAGATTCGTGTATGAGACTAAATTATGTCTTTTACCCACACCTTACGTAAATGTAGTAAATTACATAATAATAGCGGTCATAAGTGGTTTAACTGTGTTGGTGTGGAACATCAAGCAACAAAGGTACAATTATACTGTTTTACCCGTTCTGAATATCAAACCTAAAAACATCGATGATATGTTAAACAATGACAAGCCACACCCTTTACCTAATTACACATTCAATGAGAAGCCTACCTGGAAGACCAAAGTGGGAAATCTATGGAAGAAAGCTCAAGTGGGTCTGATTCTTAAACAAATTTCATTGTTGGGATTAGTGGTGATTTTCATTTATAAACTATTTATATGGAGCATTTGAAACTTTTATAACAATATTGAATTTGTATCTCCAACGTCTCTTTGATATTCAACTATCTGGTCTCTATGTATCAGAACATAATGTGTACATGATAAGAACTAAAATGTGTTAAAAATCGTGCGGCTTTACTAGTTGCGAAAATATTTTTTGGTTAGATATATTTACCTGATAAATGCTGTCAAGGGGTGACTTTTTGACTTTTCAGACACTTTACCTGGAACTTCTGGAGCTTCTAATCATCTTTGTATAATAATAAGAATAACATTTTTATTATGGGATGTACTGCGAGTGTAGCTGTGGATGAAGAAGATCCTTTTCTTGCTGATGAAAGGATTAATGATGCTATTAATCAAAGATTACTGCAATCCAAAAAAGCTCATAAGAACGAGATCAAACTTTTATTGTTAGGGGCTGGAGAAAGTGGGAAATCCACCGTTCTTAAACAGTTGAAAGTTTTACATAAAGGAGGTTTCACTCAACAAGAAAGATTACAATATAGTAATGTCATTTGGGTGGACACTATTCAGTCAATGAAAATCTTGATTGTTCAAGCTAAAACATTGGGTATTCAGTTAGAATGTAACAATAAAGATAGTCCGTTGGCCAAGTATAAAAAAATCATATTGAAAGCTAATGCGCTACAACAAATCGATACCTCAATTGCAGGTGGTGATAATTTCCTAAATGATTATGTTGTAAGGTACAGTGAGGGTAATAAGATAAAACGACGCAAAAATAGTACTGGGTTAGCCAACAGTTCATTTTTCACCCAAGATAGGGATGATGACAGTAATATCTTGGATTATAATGAATTAATTGAGAATGGTGAAGATTTTAGTAGAGACGATGTAGCTGAAAGTATCGATATGTTATGGAAGTATGATACTGGAATTCAACAATGTTTTGCCAGATCCAATGAATTCCAATTGGAAAGTAGTGCCAAATATTATTTCGAAAAAGTATATAATTTTGCTAACCCTGGGTATATTTGTAATGATATAGATATTTTGAAAGGAAGAATCAAGACCACCGGGATAACAGAAACCAATTTCAATATAAATTCTTTCAAATTCAAAGTTTTGGATGCTGGAGGTCAAAGATCGGAAAGAAAAAAATGGATTCATTGTTTTGATAATATTACTGCCATTCTTTTTGTTGTAGCTATAAGTGAATATGATCAAATGTTATTTGAAGATGAACGAGTTAATCGAATGCATGAAGCCATCATATTATTTGATTCTTTATGTAATTCACGGTGGTTTATCAATACTCCATTTATCTTGTTCTTAAACAAGATTGATTTGTTTGAAGATAAAATCAAGAAGAGTCCTCTTTCTTTTTACTTCCCTGATTTTAAAGGTAACAATGATAATTTTGAACAATGTATCAAATTCTTCGAACAAATCTTTATGAAGATTAATAAAACCCAAAAGCCTATTTATGTTCATAGAACTTGTGCAACTGACTCCACATCAATGAAATTTGTGCTTTCAGCAGTAACAGACTTGATCATTAACGAAAACCTTAGGAAATCAGGATTGATTTAGAGATTCTTTCTTATCGATTATAACATTTTTATTATGCAATTTACTATATAAATTATTCTATTATTTGAATTCTTTATCAAATATCTACCATCTTAACATGGCCATTTGGTTTCTCCATTTACTGTAATCCATTAAAGCTTCAGTTTGACCAGTTGATGAGATAACAATATCTTTATCCCATAATGCAACCTTAGCCCAAGCTTTAACATCTTTAGTTTGAATAGAATCAATCTTTGATAAAGCTTCAGTGATAGAATTTCTGTAACCTGATAATAAAACTTTATTACCGATATCAGAAACAACTGATTTAGTTGAATTTAATTCAGCTAATAATTGTACTTTAGTTTGTTGTTTAGCTCTTTCAATTTCAGCATCGGTGATTGAAACAGATAATCTGTTCCATTCTTTTAAGGTCCAATGAATGAAGTCATCAAGTAATTGAACATTCGAGACTTCACAACTGAAACCCCATAAACCATTATCAGAATATGAAGTTGAGAAATGTTGGAATTTATCAACTAAATGGTATTCATGAACCATTGATGATAATTTAGATGAAGTTAAGGTAGCATTGGTAGCTTTGCTGTCGAAACTACCGAAAACATTAGCAGCAACTTTGGCAACATAATAAGCTGGGGAAGTGAAACCTTCACCTTCAACACCAATAGATACGAAAGCTTTTGGTAAAGTATCATCTCTCATTCTAACTTCTGAACCTAAGAAAGAAGCTGGTTTAGTGATTGGTTTATGACCTTGAGGAATATTTAATGATGATTCAATAGTTTCAACTAATTCATCATGGTTGATGTTACCTGAAGCTGAAATAACAACATTTGATCCAACTAAATGCTTTTCTAATAATCTTTCAGCATCATCAACTTGTAAATCTTTAACTGATGATGAAGTACCTAAAGTTGGTAAACCTAATGAATAACCTTGGAAAGCACTAGCACTTAAATGTTCTAAAATCATTTTTTGTGGGACACTTTCTAATTGTTCACCTTGACCGATTAATTGTTTCTTGAATAATTCGAATTCAGAACCTTTAATGATTTCTGAAGCATTTGAACCAATCTTAGCGATGATTTTGGAAGCTTCAATAATATTATCATTGGTGGTTTGGGCAATAATACCATTGGTTTCTTTACCATTTTCACTGGTTAATAAAACACCGTTTTCTAACCCTGAACCTAAGATGTTGGTGGTTAAAGCAGAAATACCATTACTGTAAGCATGTTCTGATCTTGAACCGGCCCCATAAAATAACCCAATACTTGAGACTTTAGCATGAGGATTAGATTCAGTTGCAATAGTTACACCATTGGATAAACTGGCATATTTGGTGGTAGTGTTAGCAGTAGAAATAAATCTCTTATTACTTAAAGCTTTGATGTTTTTAATACCACGAATCATTTTAATGAAAAATTGTTGATGTTAATTCGTTCTCAACTTTTCTCACGATGATTTTTAACCAATAATATTTTTGGTAATTGAAAATTTATTTTCTACCGAAACCTTCGCACTGCGCGGTACCATTTTTTAGTACCATTTTACTACGAGGACTGGTACTATGGGGTGATTTTAGAAACCATCAATAATGAATGAATTGCATCTTCAAAGTTGGTTGGAGTGTATGTGGAGTGTGTAGAGTGTGGTGGGGAGGTTAGAATTCTAGTTAATCAGTATAATTATACATACTTATTACATCTTCATAAATCTTACTATTGACAAAATCTGAGGTAAGATTAGAGAACTCTTCGGCATTTACAGGTGTTCCACCAGTTGATAACCTTGCTGCTGATAAAGAGATATCATTCAATACAGTTTTCCAAACCTCTTTCTGCTTGATACTCTGTTCACGAAGACTGCCGTAAATCATTAGATCCAGGCCATTATTCGAGTATACTGCCTTGTTGGGATTCACAATCGATGGAAATGTTCCTTCAGCGTATGAATGTCTTCTGAAGTCATTTTTCAAAGGTTTTTCACTAAGAAGGTTCTCGATCGATCCCAATAATTTTTGTGGTAGCTTATAAGGTGAATTCACTGGTAAATTTTCATCATTTTCTGTCTGATCCTGTGGAGTAACTAAAGCACTTTCTATTTCAATTATTGGCGAAGGCACCAATATTCTGGTCAACCTTTCTGAAAAGTTAAAGAACCTTTTCTTTCCTGGTTTCTGTAGTTTTGCATCAATTTCTTGTCCCACGCCATGGCATTCACATTGACAACCTCCAGAAGTATTTAGTTCAAATGGTTCATGAGATTCGTGTGATTCGAGTGTTTGCTGAGGTTCAAGTGGCTGTGACTGAATCCGGTACCTGAGTTCTATCTCCTCTCTAGTCATCCCCTCCCTGGGCTCTGGAGGAGCATCAGGATTCAGAACTGAGCTTAATATAATTGAACTATCATCTAAATTGATCAACTGAATTTCATTACCTCCTATTCCATCCTCTTCCTTGTGTATTCTCAAGAACTCTCCTTGCTTACTCCTATACCTGTCCCTTGGAAACATCCTCAAAGAGGTCAACTTTTTAGTTAATTTATTCTGAATTATTCTAGGTTCTTTACTATTACTATAATACTTCTGTAGATATTCAATGCGATACAATTGAAGCTTATATTTGAACCTATGGGCGTAATAATCTAACTTGTCCATAGTGAAGGAGAAGAATCTTGAAAAGAATTTTGTTTGTAAAAATTGCAGCCAAACACAAAAGAGATGCGGATTTTGCAACTTTCACAATTCCTTCAACAATTACTCCAATCCACACCCCACCACTAGTTTGAGAGAAGAATGAACACTTTACGTTGATTTTTATACTATTTACAATTATAATCTAACATAAGCTCTTTGAGCAGTTGCAGTTTTATGCATTTGAGCTCTCTTTTCATAACCTGAAGATTTACCTTCGTAACTATTTATTATCTCTTCAGCTAATCTAACTGAATAATCTGATGATTTCTTCTTGGATGCACTATCTAACATCCAAAGGAATGCATATCTGTATCTTTGCTTTTCGCTTAAAGGATAAGGAACAATTCTATTCTTAGCGGTACCGGTTTTCTCAGTCTTGGTAGCTAATAATGGAGATAATTGTTCTAAAGTGTCTTTCAAAACAACAACTGGATCTTTTCTCAATCTTAAATATACGATATATAAAGCTCTACTAACGATTCTTCTAGCTTTTGACTTTTTCCCATCTCTCATGATTAAATTAACTAATTGATCAACTACTGGGATTGTTTCAATAGGTACTTGAGTAGTTAAAAATTTTTCTTGTTCCAAAATTTGTTGTTCATTAGGAATAAATTCTTGTTTCAAATGGTCTTCGGTTTCAGTTAATTCTTTGATATAAACTTCAGTTTCATTATCAGGAGAATGTCCATCTCTTAATCTTTTTAATGCTAATAACCAATCATCAACATCTTTTTCAGTGATTTCTTCCTTATTAATGGGGTATACTTGATTGATTAATTTATTGTTATACTTTATCGTTGAATAACTTATATGTTTTATAGGTATTAAAGTTGGTCTGGCAACGGTTCTTAAACTGTTAATCAAAGATCCAAATCTTATCATTGTCAAACTCATTGGAAAATTTTCTTCAGGTATCTTGTGCGCGTTAACTGTGAGGTTTGTTTAGGTGAAACCAAATATTGAATATTCAAATACTTCGGTGATTCAAGTCATTGTTGACTCTCCTTTATAGAAAAAAGGTATAGAATAGATATGGTGAAAAAACAAAAGAAAGTGAGTGAAGACAAATTGGAATCCTCTTTACAAAAGATAATTCAAGATAGATATTATAAACAGAGCAATTGGCTGGAGATTTTACCATTGATAATAACAAAACTTCAACAGTATGAATCCTACGAAGAAATTAAACCCCAGGTCATTAAACTAGTCGATCATTTGAATAATTATTTCCACGAAAGCCCTCCTTTTACCATTTTGAGATTGAGTGAACTATTAATAGACCCAACTAAACAAGGTTATAAATTAGATAATGAGAGGAACATCAAGAAATATATCAATTCGTTATCCAGTGTCATAGTGGTATCGTCCACAGTTAAAGATTTTCCCGATCCAGAACCTAAGACTGATGTTAAAGAGCCCTATGAAGATATTCCATTAATCAAAATTCCATGGTTAGAAGAAGCCAAAGCCAAAGAGAAGGCTAAAAAGCTCAAGCAGACAAAGGGAGATTCAACTCCCGATAAAAGATTATCTGATAGTGAAGAACCACCACATAAACGAAACAAACCTGATGATTCCATAGACTCTTCTATTGATTCATCTCCAGTTAGAGGAGATTCCGATATGGAAACAAGCGATATCAATGGATCGGAATCACCTAATCAAGAATAACCCTGTCAAAAAGCCCTCCTTCCATAATTCATTCAATAAAAAGTCATAGCCAACATAGATAATGATAACGATAATGTAGATTAATGTAATATATAATTAATAACTATTTACAACTAACTACTCCAAAATTCCGAAAGTAAAGAGAAAAGACCATTATGATCGGTTTCCAATAAATATATACCATATAAGGATACCGTTGAACCTAATAACAACAATCTGGATGCAAATGTGTGCCAAACACCATAAACTCTTTTAGGAATATAATCAATAATACAAGATTTCAAACCCATGTGGCAATGGGATAACACAGCTACACAAAATGAATAGTCTATCATAGGATCGACAAAACCTAAGAATGGAGCTATGGTTAATGGAACTATAGCACCTGTAACTATTTTTTCATAAGACCAATGATGACCTCCATGATAGAAATTAGGTGGAGGTGGTACATAAGCTTCATTGATAGTTCCAACAACAAATCCAGGTGGTTGCTCTTTCAACTTGTATTTGGAGAAGTCAGGCTTCAAGGATATCAGCCTTATACCCCTTTGTTTAATACCTATTTGTCTGATAGAAAGCATTGAAAATTTCGCACCTCTACACCAAGAAGTATCAACATCACCAAAACCCAACCCCAAAGGATTTGGATTCCACGGTGAAGAGAGTTTCATGAAAGACAAGATTACGTGTTCATTATATCTATTTACAAAATTACCAAGAAGCCTTTTTGACTCCAGGAATAATACCAGCAGTTGCTCTATCTCTGAAAGCAGTTCTGTTTAATTTAAAATCCTTGATAACCCATTTACCATTACCTGAAGCAACACAACGGTCTCTTATTTGTGTTAATGATGTATATTTAGGCATGGAAGATAATTGTAATTGTGCTTCTAATCTGACATTACCAGGTAATTCAGTATTTCTTGCGATGTATTTCAACGCATTTCTTTGGACTTCATGTTCGGCATATTGTAATCTTTTGAATTGATCCTTGATAACCCTGGCGTTCACGTATGAATGTTTGGGTATTTCAAACTTTACTGGGAATCTGAATGGCATTTTCAACAGTATTATTCAATGTTTGATGTGAACCTTTTTGATTAAAAATTTTCAGAGTGAGAAAACTGTTACCCGTCTTTGAATTTGTCATTTTAGTAAGTGATCTGGAGATTTGGAAATACTTACGATTATAAACGGTTCAAGGAATAGCATACAATTAAAGGATGTTCACTGGATTAGTAGAAACAATTGGTACCGTGTTGTCATATAGTGAAAACGATTCCACCACTTCAGGAGGTAATGGGGTATCCATGACTATAGGAGATTGTCAAGAGATCTTGATTGATGCCAAACTTGGGGATTCCATATCAACAAACGGAGTTTGCCTTACAGTTACAGAGTTAAATGATGAAAAAACTTGGTTTAAGGTAGGTATTGCACCAGAAACTTTACGTCGTACAAATTTAGGTGATTTAAGAACAGATTCCAAAGTGAATTTAGAAAGAGCTGTCACCAGTGATGTCAGAATGGGGGGCCATGTAGTACAAGGACATGTTGATACCATTGCCACCATAACACAAAAGAAACCTGATGGGAATGCTATAGTATTCACCTTTCAATTACGTGATAAACAATTCATATCGTATATTGTTGAAAAGGGATTCATTTCAATCGATGGTACTTCATTAACTGTAACCGATGTGGATTACAAAACTTGTGAGTTCTCTATTATGATGGTTAGTTATACCCAAAGTAAAGTTATTATGCCAATGAAAAATATTGGTGATACTGTGAATATAGAAGTAGATTTAACAGGAAAATTAATTGAATCCCAAATTGAAGCCAATTTGAATAGTCAATTCGAAAATCCTGATAGTTTATTGGTCAAATTGATCGAAAAATTAGTAGATAAAAAGATTGAAGAAGTAGTTAAGAGTAAATTAAATTAATATATGGATGTTAATACCATTTCTCACTAATTTCCTACCGGCTAATGCCTGCCAACATACTGCCAAAGCGCCACCAAACGCTACCATTGGATTTCCCCCAATATGTTCGCGGATGGCAAAATCTCACTGAAAGATTTTGATACAACTGATATATCCTATATTGAATTAACCTAATCAGCTTCTTCAATCAAGAGTCTTACAGTTTATAATATATCATAAAAAATGGATGTCGTATTAGGAATCAGATTAAAAGATTGTACACTTATAGCTACTTCAAAATCAGTCACTAGAGGGATTTCAGTATTAAAGGAAGATGATGATAAAACAAGAATATTAAACGAACATAACTTAATTGCATTCACCGGAGAAGCTGGTGATACTGTTCAATTTGCCGAATATATCCAAGCTAACATTCAATTATATTCAATGAGAGAAAATGATATCGAATTATCACCAAAGGCAACTGCATCATTTGTAAGAAATCAATTAGCCACATCATTAAGAACTCGTAAACCATATCAAGTCAATGTGTTAATTGGAGGTTTCGATACGAAAACCGGTAAACCAACTTTGAATTATATTGATTATATCGGTACTCAAGCTATATTACCATACGCAGCCCATGGATATGCAGCATTTTATTGTATGTCATTATTAGATAAACACTACAGACCAGAGATGGAATTGAATGACGGTTTAAAATTATTGGAAATGAGTATTAAAGAATTACAAACAAGAATGCCAATGGATTTCAAAGGTGTTATTGTTAAGGTTATTGATAAAGAAGGTATCCGTAAAATTGATGTGTAGAAAATGATAAAATATTTCGTACTAACAAGGTATTGTCCCGTGAGGGCCTTGAAACAATAATAGCTCTCCGAGGTCTCGTGTGAGGACTTTAAACTGAGACCTTCTGTAAATGTCTAAAATCTCATTGACGATTCGCGTATCCTTAAGTTTCCCTAAAGATGTCATTTAAGTTCCCATCATTAAAATCTATTCAAGATACTATTGCCAGTTATGATTTTGAATCAATTTCTAAACAAACTGGTAAAACTTATGAAGAATTTTCCAAAACCATTCAACCTTTCACTCATAAAACCAGTGAAATGTTAACTACTCAATTGAATCAAATTCAACAATTTGCTAATGCTAACCAAAATATTGAAGTTAGTGAATTACCAAAAGATTATTTAGAATTAGAAGAAAACTGTGATCTTTTATTGAACTTATACACTGAATTGATTCATTTCACTAACGATACTTTTGCCAAAGTAAGTTACGATTATCCTCCAGCAAACGGATCATTAAATAAATTCAGAGAAAATGTTTTGGGTAATAAATTCAATCAACTCAAAAGTGTTTCATCTCCACAAGAATTAGAGAATTTATTATTAGGTAAAGATGAAAAGAAAGAAGAAACTGCTGAAGTTCAAGTTGTTCAAGTTCCAAAAACTTTATATGGACAATTATCCAAAATTTGTGAAAAATATCAAACCGAAATGAAAAATTCAGATTCCCCTTTGAATTTCGCTTTATTACAAGTTTCTTCTACTTATTTAGAAATTGCTCAAAGTAGATTAGATATGGATAAAAAAATTACCAATGATTTAAACTTGAAATTAGTCGAAGCTTTAAATAAAGAATTTATCAAAGTTAATGAATTAAGAAAGAAAGTTTATTCTATAAGATCAGAATTTGATTTAAAAAGATCTAAAATCAATGATGAAGAAAATGACGAATTGATTAAAATTGAAGATGAATTAGTTAGTGCTACTGAAGTTGCTGTTACCGAAATGAAACAATTGATTCAACCATCAAAATCTGTTAACTTATTGAAAGTCTTTGTGGCTGCTCAAAAGGAATGGTTTGAATTATCAGCCAAAAAATTGGATTCCTTATTAACTTCTTTAGATAAGATCAAATTCGATTAATCGCGTGAATATATATTTTAGTCTCATCTCATCAACAAACCTTCACATGTCAGATAAAGCCGTACTAAATAAATCCTACCTTTTAGAGACTATCATACGTAATAGAATAAAGGATTCGGTGTTTTATAAACAATATCTTTTCTTAACCAATGAACAAACCATCTTACCTGTAATTGTGGATCATGTTCATTATATCAAAGGTATGAATTCAAATAGTAGACCAAGTCCCTTCATTTGTTGTTTACTTAGATTACTTGAAATAAATCCATCATCGGAGATTTTGAAGATTTATTTGAATCAAAATAAATTCAAATATTTAACGGCATTGGTGTTAATGTTCATCAGAATGACAAAGAGACCAGAAGAGGTATATAATTTATTTGATAACTATATAACGAATTTTTCAAAATTGAGAATCCAATTGAATGATCCACAGTTCATCAATGGCATACCGAAGAGTTTCTCACTCTGCCATGTTGATGAATTCGTTGACGATTTGTTAACTAAGAAAAGAGTTGTGGATGTAATTCTACCAAGATTAGTGCCCAGACAATTTCTTATAGATAAGGGAATTATAGGTGAAAGACAATATCTTGTCACCTCTTTGGATGAAGATGAGGAAGGGAAAGAAGAGCCAGGAAAAGAAGAAGAAAAGAAAGAGGATGAAATGGAAGAAGAATTTGTCAGTGATAGTGATTAATCAATGTTGATCAATTCCGCTTGATTCTTCCACATATATAGGATCAATGTGTAGCATCCCGAGGTTGTGAGTGACAGCCTCACATTTTACGAATATTACGATAATGCCTAATCAATATCTCTCACCTACACGTAATCTGACCCTCAAATTTCACTTACCTCCGTAATTGCACCGCAATGGCTATAATTTCACCTATCACCAAAAGAATGACAAGACTGAGGTTTCGCAACCAAATTTTCAGTTTTGACTCTCATTAGCAATCGTCAACACGTTTAAATTAACATTGAATTGTCAATAAACTAAACGTCAAATCAATTACACAATGAGTTACAGTACCAGTATTAAGAAAAATGAATCAGCTATTGCATCTGATGTTGAAGATTTAACAGATTCTGAAATTCCAAATCCTCCATTGAGAAGATCATCATCATTATTTTCATTATCATCAAATCAAGAACCTTTACCAAGACCTGAAGTTCATGAGTATACTGCTTTCATTGAAGATAAAAGACATTTTTCTTTGATAAGAAATTTACATATGGCCGATTTTATTACTTTGTTAAATGGGTTTTCAGGTTTCTATTCTATAATTAGTTGTCTCAGATATGCTTTAACTGATGACTTGAAATATGTCCAAAGAGCTCAATTCTTTATTTGTTTGGGTTTATTCTTTGATTTCTTTGATGGTAGAGTTGCTAGATTAAGAAATAAGAGTAGTTTAATGGGTCAAGAATTAGATTCTTTAGCTGATTTAGTTAGTTTCAGTGTTTCTCCTGCTACTATTGCTTTTGCTATTGGATTCAGATCAACTGTTGATGTTTTAATCTTAACCTTTTGGGTCTTATGTGGATTAACCAGATTAGCTAGATTTAATATTTCAACTAATAATATTCCAAAGGATAAAACTGGTAAATCTCAATACTTTGAAGGGTTACCTGTTCCTACCAATTTACTTTGGGTTGGATTTTTCGCTTACTTGACTTCAAAGAAATTGATTTTGGATCAATTACCTGGTGGTTTAGTTTTTGAAAACAGTTTCTTAGAATTTCATCCTGTAACTTTATTATTCGCTTTACATGGATGTGGAGAAATTTCTAAATCCTTACATATTCCAAAACCATAAATGTGATTCATCGAATTTATATTAACGTCATAATCTCTATTTACATCTGTAATCCTCTATTTACATTATTCTTCTATTATCTTTTTATATTCTTCTGGTGGGAAATTCTTAGGATCAAGTAATCCTATATTTTCATAATTTATCCGGAGTTTATGATCATGTTGACTTATGTCGTTGACTTTACATAATTCCCAAAAGACATGGTGTAATTGACGGAATTTCAACATCCTCGTATAATATTTATATCTATTATCGAACCTTTGTGATACATCTTGATTTATACCTATAGCATTTAAATCTTTCAAGAATTTCGTTAGTATAACCTTAATTTCTGGTTGTTCCTGTAATCTGGTTATCAATGTTTGGATCTTTACCACATCAGACGTCTTCAGTAAGGTTTCATAAGTTTTGTCGATATTATTGAATTTGGCAACATTTCTACTTAATCGTTTAAACATATTGTTCCGCGCTATCATCGATTTGAAAAATTTTCAATGTTAGCAAGACAACTATTAAGGTCTAAGTTAATTAGTCCTAGTACATTAGCTACTAGTAGATTAGTTACTAGATCATTCACTAATGGTTTAATAAGATTAAATGAAAAGAAAGATAAAATTCTTACTGATGACATTTTAGCCAAAGCGGGATTCGAAGAAGATATTAATGAAAAAAAATCTGAAACTGAAACTGAAGAATCAAATGGAGGTGAAAAAAGAAGTAGAAGAAGAAGAAACCAAACTTCTAAAGATAAGCAAAGAGAAAAAGCTGCCAACTGGTTTTATATTTCCACTTTAGTAGGTACTGTTTCAGGATTAGGTTATTTAAGTAGAGATTGGGATAATGAAGAAGAACAAAAACAATTAGAAGCTTCTAATATCGATAATGGTTACACTCCAACCTTAATGTATGAAAGAATGAGTAGAAGATTATCATCATTATTCACATTTTTCAGTGAACCAGTGTTTGAAAATTTATTACCACCACCACCTCCAGAAGCTTATAGAAGACCATTAACTTTAGTCTTAACTTTAGACGATTTATTAATTCATTCCGATTGGGATACTAAGAATGGTTGGAGAACCGGTAAAAGACCAGGTTTGGATTATTTCTTAGGATATTTATCCCAATATTATGAAATTGTCATCTTTGGATCAAATTCTCAAGTGTTCAGTGAAAGAGCTGCAAATAAATTAGATCCTTTACATGCTTACGTTTCTTATGCTCTTTTCAAAGAGGCTTGTAGATATAAAGATGGTAAGTTAATCAAAGATTTATCATTATTGAATAGAGATTTATCCAAGACTGTTATTATTGATGTTAATGAAGATAGTTATTCTTTACAACCAGAAAATGCTATTCCTATGAAAGCTTGGGATGGTAAACCAGATGATAAATTAATTCAATTAATTCCATTCTTAGAATTCTTAGCTAGTCAAAACTTTGATGATGTTAGACCAGTTTTAAATTCATTTTCTAATAAAGAAAACTTAGTTGAAGAATTCCAAGAAAGGGAAAAGAAATTGAGAGCTGAATGGGAATCAAGAAACAAACATTTATTAAATCAAAAATATAATGCTGGTAATTTCTTAGCTTCATTATTAGGATTACCATCATCATCTTTCAATAAAGAACCAAAAATGCCATTAGACATTGTTAGAGAACATGGTCAATTACAATATCAACATTTCCAAAAATACTTGAAAGAAAATGCTCCTAAGATGTTAGAAGAAGAACAAAAATTAAAAGATGAATTTGGTAAAATCACTTTAAATAAAATGATAACTGAAGGACCTCCAAGTGCTGAAGAAATCGCTAGAATCCAAAGTGAAAGAGCTGCTAATGGTAATTAGTAATGTACATAGAGATCAAAATTTCTCCTCTCTTATGTCTTCAGGTGCTCTGATGTCTACCTACAGGTGATGCCAATGTCTTTCATCTTATGGGGACATTGAATAATCATAATCTCTATTGATCAATTGATTGATCAATTATCGTTACATGGATAAAACATGACTCATGGACCAACTAAACGCATCACGTTTATTTGTCAAATATTCACTAATCCTCAGGACCCTTCTTACTATAGTATATCTCAAAAGTCCGGTTTCAGGAGTTTTATAATCCAAACCCGATTTTCCGAAAGTAGTTCCTCATTGGTTAAACTGATCGCACAGATAATTTTTTATCTAAAAAATCAGTGGAAAAATTTTCCAAAAAGTATACCGACATTATATTGTTCTGCAGCGATTGGCTAATTCATAATATTACAGCCTTTTCTGAAATAAGATTGAAAAATTTCAACTTAAATCATTTCCATTAGTTTAATAAAACTTTTGTCAGGTCAGTCAGAATTAATAATATACCTAAACAATGAAACCAAGTATAGCTCCAAGGTCTAATATTGCCCCTAGTCCAACATCAATAGCTTCGCCCCCAATAATTAAAACTTCAACTCCTCCAGGGGGTATAAGTATGTCTAAAGAATGGGTTTTGCCACCCAGACCTAAACCTGGTAGAAAACCTAGTGTTGATACTCCTGCAAGTAAGAGAAAGGCCCAAAATAGAGCTGCCCAAAGAGCTTTCAGAGAAAGAAGAGCAACGAGAGTTCAAGAACTTGAACAAAAATTGATGGAAATTGAAAAGGAAAAAGATGTCAAGGAAATGGCTTTAATCAACACTATCAACAAATTAAAAGTTGAGAATCAATTCTTACTTAAAAATGTGGATCAATTGAAAAATGAAGTCAACTTCTTAAGAAAGAATCAAAATTCCGGTCATATGACTACCACACAAACCAGAAATTCAAGTATGGGATCTCCAATGGCTTTGAACTCCAATTCCCCAGCATCTTCAGTTTATTCTGTCCAACAAATTTCTCCTGCCCCATCAGCTGATTCCCCTCCTAAGAAAGATGATTTTGATTGTGGAATATGTCTTAAGGATGAATGTCTTTGTGAAGATGTTGGTATCAAAGAAAAATCCTTACAATCTAAAATTTCAAGTTTCAAACCAATGCAAGCAGTTTCATTAAAAAGAAAAGCTCCAGTTGAAGAAGTTGATTTTACCAAGAGTTTTACTAAAAAACCATTACCTGATTTCAAAAAAGTTAAATCTTTACCAAGATTCAATAAAATAGAGCCAGAGCATGTTAACATACCGTCAAATAATCATGAAAAATTTGACGAAGGTTCACCTGTTGACAATTGTGGATTCTGTTCAGATGACACTCCTTGTGTTTGTAGAGAAGCAGCTAAAGAAGCAGCTCTTTTGTCACAGAAATTAAATGATGAACAAAAGTTTGATGATCACAAAACTGAATTGCCTCCTATTCAATCTACAAATGTTCGTAAGGTTTCATTACCAGTAATGCATCCAGGTCCTTCAGTTGAAATAAGAGAGATTTCAAATTTAACTCCAGGAGCTGTTCCTACAGTAACAACTCCAACCACAAGAAATACTGAATCTCCAAGTAAATCTTTCGATTGTACAGGAAATCCAGGGACATGTAGACAATGTCAAATGGATCCAATGTCGACATTATTTTGTACAACAGTTGCTAACAAAGGTAAGGATGAAGATTCAAATTCTTCAGGATCTTCAAAGGTTTCAACCCCAGCACCAATTATTGAGGAAGAATCCAATCAATTACCCCCAGTTCAAGAAATATCATCTTCAGTTAGTTCCACATCATTGAGTTCTACTGATATGTTTATTCCTTGTGCTGATGCTTATAAGACTTTATCCAGACATAAGAAATTCAATTCTGTGGATTTCAGTACGTTAGTGGGTAAGTTAACTACCAGAGGTATGCAAGTTGAAGTACAATCGGTTGCAAATGTTTTAAGGGAATTGGATAGAAGGTTATATAATTAGGAATGGATAGGTAATGGGTTATTTCTCTGGCTTTTCCTTCTTTCTCTGGATACACTTGGACTCTCACAATTGGTGGAGTACATCCACTCTTCTCCGATAGTTCTACGACCTGTTTTGCTAATGGAGTAGTGCGCATATCGTTGGATATACGAATCAAGATTCTTTCGACTGGAAATATCACGATGTCAGGTTATCAAGAGCTTTATCCAGAGGAAAGTCCCATTAAAAAGAGAGTCAATTTCAAAGATACTACCGAAACTAGGTTTTTTCCAAAAGACAGAGAAAATTCAGATCTTCTAGCTAGAGCATCTGGAATGAGTAAGATCTTGTTTAAGATTGTTTTGTATGGGGGTGGATTAATCCTAGGAATATATTGTGCTTATCTTTTGTTGATGGGAATAATTTTTACCTTCTGTTTCATGTTGATATTCTTGATTAAAGCAACTGGTGGGTTTTTGGGTTTAATAAATAAAGAAAAGGCTATAGAGAGTATCGACAGATTTGGATATTGGATAGTTGGTGCTTGAATGATGAGTCGATTTCCTCGTGAGTTTATCTTCCTATACTCAAGGGTCAGTGAATAGTTATATCGGTCAAAGACTATTGAGATGTGGGGCCTATAGAATTATAATTATGAAGACTATAAGATTCTGAGGACCATTGAATTATGAGGACCATAAAATATACACTTTCGGATTTAATCTACAGATAACTTCCCCTTAAGCCTCTCAATGACAGCCTAATATCTGTTCTGCTCTTCCAATGATGCTTTGTCATCCTATTCACCAACCAATTATAGCCTTATCACAATATCCCAGTTGTCATCTTTACCAGTGCACCTAAGCCTTTTTTAGTGTGCCATACACAATTATATATTTACGAACTTCTATAAGGACTACTAAATTCGCAGAAGCTATCATCAATGGGGGATTACCATAAATTACTGAACGGTATCGAGTTAGACGAAATCGAGAAGAATATAGGTGTAGATAGCGTACCAGTGGTCAAAGACGACTCGTCTCATAATGAGGCCAACTTCCACACCAGAATTCATGTACCTGAATCGAGGAATAAGTTCAAGGTTAATGCCCCCAGTAAATATTTGAAAGCAATAGAAAAATATTTCTACAAGGGCTGTTGGTTATTTGGATACATTATAGGAGCCACAGTTGTATTTATAGCGTTGATCTTCGCATTCGTAGCCATTTGGTATTTGTTTTTTGGAGTTGTTGGAATACTAAACCAGGCTACCGATGGCTTCTTTGGTCTATTCGATGTCCAGGATGCGGATAAAAGCATTCACCATCTAATGACAATATTTGAACTATCAGAATAAGCTGCATCAGCAAATAAATGAATGTGTATTAGGAAAACCAAGTCAAATATGATATATAGTAGATATGAGATTTATGTAAAATAGAGTGAACTCCCTGGATTATTGGCCCCACATAGTTTTATTTTTGATCGAATTTTCACCTCTAAGCAGTCTCTTCCATCATACCGTGCTCCCTTTTGGTACCTGAACTTTCATCTAATTTATAGTGTACCTGATTTTCATGACATACAAAAGTAGTGTGCAACAGAATTATCAATTTACGAATTTTCTATACCAAACTGAGCCCGCAGTTCTTTTTCAATCTTTTTATGGGTTATGAAAGACTACCAAAGATTAGATGGTGATGTGGAGTTATCTGATATGGAGAACAACATAGGGCACAATCCCACTTTTGGAAAGATACCTACCCACTCCTCGAAGTTTGGGAATTTTCTCAATCACAATCTCCGTCAGCTTGGGGATATAAGAACACAAGATTTGAAGGATCAGTTTAGATCCATAACAAGGAAAGCCAAATCTATCACCATTGTGTTATTATGGTTCTTTCTATATTTCATGATTGCCATTTTGGTGTTTTCCTTAGCACTGTTTGTGGGGATAGGAATATGGATTGGATTCATATTGGCTGTACGAGTGGTAGTGATAGCTTCGAATGGATTTTTTGGAATTTTAGATCGTGACAAAGCAGCTGATTACCTTGCTCACCTACTTGATTTCGTTAAACAATTGCCATAATAGATTGTAGGATGAGTGGTTTGGGTGATATTTGAAGTTCTACAAAATTGGTATAGGCAAACAATAGATGTAAATGAAGATAAAAACAATTTCAATTCAAGGACTTGCTCCTCAATCTATAATCTATAATGATCAACGGTTAACTGTAACTTTAGTAAGATATATTTATCTTATCTGTATAATCTACCTATCTTATCTATAGAAATCGCTTAGAGTGAGAAACCTCATCGCAATGAGACAGTTTGATAGATCATTCCATGTGTCGTTAAGCTTACACAAAGCGATCAAAGTCACCCCTGGACGTATAAATCGAATACTAAAGAAGGATATTAATATCTCCGAACAGGATTTAAAATACGCCAATGACAATTATCCATTAACAAAAAAACCAAACGATACACACAAGCAGAATCATGTCAAGCGCAAGGTTAAGAGAGGGATACCTCCTAAGATTCTTGAGTTAGCTTCTCGAAAAGGAAGCATATCATCAAATGTTAAGGATCCTAGTGGAAAGACAAAGATAAATATACTACAACATGTCAAAAACCTCGATAAACGAATGGTAGGTCATAAGACTAGAAGACCAAATCAAATCATATGGAGCAAACCAGGAATAATAGATACACATGGAGAATTGCAACAAGTCAAGAGTCCAGAGAGTGACAAACTCCCAACATTAGCACATGAACTATCAGATATCTTGAAGACTAATGGTATTCAATATCATAGGCCTGAAGCTGATAATATCAAAATAGATTACTTAGAGAAGTTTAACCATTTCAACGAAAGTTTCATTCCACCATCCAAAGATTCCAAGCTATTTGACATAACTAAAGAGAAGGGTAAGACGTATTTTTCATCAACATCATCTATGACCTCCACATTATTTACTTTCTACAAGTTAATTAATCATTATTCCCCAGATTTTGATCGAAGATTTAAATTCAAATTCACTAATTTGATGACAAACTTACCAACTAGTTTCATATTGAGTAGAAAAGCCCCAGAAACATTTGCCGTTGAAAGTGATAAAAGTGGTGATAGAGAAACATTTTTAAGTAAATTTGGTCATATTTCTGAAGCATTATTGACTAACGAGACCAAGGAAATAGAGAATTTCAAAAGAATATTCGACAATAATCTCGATGCCGATGCTTCAAAAGGATTGGTTGATAAGTACCAGAAGTTTTCAAACCCGGAAAATGTTTATAATATGGCAATTTATGATAAGTTTTTGATGAGATCACAATTGGATTGTTTTGATGTTGACCTTCCTGGAAACGGAACTTTCGATTTAAAATCTAGAGCTATTGGGGAAATAAGGTATGACATAAGTAATCCTGATATCAAATCCACCACATACTCTGACAAGTTTTCTCATAAGGATGAATTCAATGATTTAATAAGAACCGGAGGATTATTCAAATATTCTACCCAAGCAAGAATTGGTCAAATGGACGGTATATTCATAAGTTATCATAATCTTCGACATTATTTAGGGTTTGAATATTTGAAAATTGAAGATATCGATAAGATATATTTCAATGACTCTCCCGTATCAAATGGCATCGGAGATATTCAGTTTAAGGTTTCGATAAAGATATGGGGGAAAATATTGGATTCCATCCGAGAAGATTTGAATTCAGATAATTATAGAGTACTTTTACATCATAATTTGAAATTTGGTATTATGGAGATATTTGCTGTGCCATTGACCACACAACAAGTTGACCATCTTCAAGCAATTTCCAAAAACTCACAAGGATCTCCTACAAAACATCAAGAAGATCTCGTAGCATTCAATGAATCCACATTAGATTCTAACGTATTGAACTATGAATTATCCGTAAATAGTTATGAAGGAGGAAAATTATTATCCCCAGGGATTTTACCCCAAAATCTTGACAATTACAGTTTCTCCTATAAAATTTCCAGAAAACAGCCAAATATTAACCATTATAATAATTTACTATACAATTTTGTTAAGCCATTACAAATATCGGATAAACGGCCACAACAATAAGGAACAATTCACAGCGAAAAAAAAAACCAATTGTTCCGCACGTCCTCATCACCAAGAGTTCCTTTCATCCATGAGTTAGTCATAATGATATTACTTAAAAGAGTTGATGTACATAGATAAATTGATACACATTTTTATTTATTAAAACACACGTTTACTTAACAAGCCCAAGAGTTCGATAATTTCACTGACCTTCTTACATCATAGAAAAGGTCAATTAATCGCATTTTACGAGTTGCATCACGAAACGCACAGGGCATAATTTATTCATCACGCAGGGCATCGGTGATTTAGGTAGAAAGTTTTTCCATAAAAATTCAAATTAATTCACCATTACCAAAAAATACAAATCAACATCCAAGATGTTTCAAGGTTCTAGCAACTCCTTATTTTCGTTAGTTGATGATTTAGATACTTTGAATAATATCAAGACTAACGACACGTCCACGTTTGTATCGAGGTCAAATTCAGTTAATCTTCAAGATTATAGTCATCAAAGTCAAAGTAAAAATATCATCTTATTAACTGGATTACCAGCCACTGGTAAAAGTACCATCAGTAAACAACTTACTGAATATTTGAATAGTTCAACTAATTTAAAGACCAAAATTTTCAATTGTGGTGATAAGAGAAGACAAACATTTAAAAAATTTAATAACTATGAATTTTTTGATCCTAATAATGAAATCAGTAAGATGAAAAGAGATTTAATAGCTATTGAGTCATTAAATTTAATCATCAGTGAATTAAATAATGATTTAAATATTGGAATCTTAGATGCTACTAATACCACTATTGAGAGAAGATCAAATTTAATCAATTTAATTAATAAAACCATCAAATTAGATAATTTAATCATACTAGATATCCAATGTAATAATGAAAAATTGATTAATTATAATATACAAGCAAAAACCAATAATGATGATTATAAGAATTGTGAATTCAAAAAATCCATTGAAGATTTTACTAAAAGGTTACAAAATTACCAAAAAGCTTATCAACCAATAACCGATGATGAATTAAATAATTATGATATTTCCAGTTATATAATGATTGAAAATGCTGGAGAAAATTTCCATTTTAAGAATTTTACTCATTCATTATTGATAACGATTTTGAATGATTTCTTTAATGAGTACTCCCAAACTGAAACTAAAAGGTATTTTGCCAAAGTTAATGAGTTTTATAATGAATTATAATGAATAGATGATATTTAAGTACTTTGTTCGTTTAAATTTAATCCTGGAATTCCAGGTATTCCTCCTCTATTATTACCTGTAGTTGGTTTGAAAGTCTCTGGTGGTGCTATAACAGCATTAATATTATTATTGGCTTGATAGTACCATGCACCATTCTTATCATTAGTATATAAAGCATCTTGGAATGCCATTGGATCATTAGGTCTAGATCTAGACCAAAATCTCGCTGATCTATCAGTACCTGCTGAACATAATAAATGTCCTAAAGGATGATATTCTAAAGCATTAATAGATTTTTCATGAGCATAAGGGATTTTATGGATAGGTTGGATTTCATTTACTGATTCCTTAGTATCATCAGAAATATAAGAATCTAATGAGTAATGGGATAAGGTCCCATCATAAGCACCAACGGAAAATACTGATGCATGAATAGGATGCCATTCAACACATGATAAATCACTTTCATGATTCCTTAAGATCAATAAATCTTTCATGGTTCTTAAATCGAAAATTCTACATGATCTATCTCTTGAAGCTGAAGCTAATAATCTTTGCATACCTGTGGGTTGAAACCTTGTTTTAGCAATGGTATTCTTGAACCCATGTAAAGTATTGATACAATTAGGGGATCTTGGATCCCATAACTTAATAAGATTATCTCTTGATCCACTGACTATTAACCCTAAGTTAGGATGCCAGTCACTGGATTTAATATCCCAATGATGACCGGTGAAAACTCTTTCTTCTTTACCATTATTGAAATTCCATAATTTCATTGTAGAATCATCTGATGATGTTAAGAACTTTGAATCATTTGGACTGAAAGACAAATCTCTGATCCCATCGTTATGACATTGTATTATATTAACATTGTTGAAATTAGTTTGCCAATATTTCACTACTCCATCTTGATCTCCTGATAATAACCAATTATCGTTATGCAGATATTTCAACGATAAAATAGCTGAATCATGTGCTTGGGTGATGGTTTCGAAATTAAACGTCATTCCATTCCATAATGTGAATTCACCTCCATGACTGGCAACTAATAATCTTCTTCCTTCTGGTGTCCATTTCACTGTACTGATAGTATGTTTCTCTTTATTTGATGATAAATGTACGAATTTGGTTTGTGAATCAACGATAGGTAAATTATTTCTGTTTTGATTGATTTTGGCATAAGCTGGGGATGGTAATAAGTCAATTAAATATGATGATTCTGGTCTTATTTCTCCTATAGCTTGGTTGAAAAGTCCTAACGATCGTTTAATATACCAATTGGTCATATTATTCCCATGATCAACAATACGTCTATGTGGTTGTTTCTTGCTTTGGGATGCTAGTTGTTGCTCTATGTTCTGTTGATAGGCCAACATTCTTTCATGGTCAGTTCTAGCTCCATACATGTTGGGTGAGATGTTTTGAGAGTGAGATTTATTGAGATTTTGGAGAGGTTGGCAGGGAGCTGGTAGAGAGTTGTTAGAGAGTTGGCAGAGAGTTAGGTACAGGCGATTAGAAGAAATCTTGAATTGCAGGTCAGCTCGGTAGAGTTCCATTTTGGAAGGGTTTTGTTGCAAAGAGACTATCGTGTTGGAAGTGTCTCTAAGTGAAGAATACTTTCATGAATGTCTTTACCCCAACTATCAGAGCTCACAAATAACTAAGGATGATTATTCAATGATAGATACCATAAGCTTCTTTCAAGAACGTAACTAATGTGGACTACCACCCTGCCACTATCATACACATCACTTGAATTTTTAATATCACAGTACAATCTTTCGATACGTCACGTGCAAAGATATATCCTTCCCATATCTTAATAAATTCCCTCTACAAGTGTCCAGTACACCTATAACACTATACCCGGGTTCCGACACTCCCCTGATACTAACTGACACATCGTTAACAATCACCTTGCCCGTCACCATCTCTCCACTGTAATCAATCACGCGCACGACCAGTCTCATGGTTAAAACCCACACTTTTATTAATTGATCACTACAAAATGGTTGCTTTCTTTTACCACGACGATAAAGATACTGCCGATAACTTCACTGAAGAACATAACTCAGGTGTAGAAGTCACTGAACAAAAGTTAAAGGAAATAGGAGTGTTATATTTCAACATCGAAAATACAGATGATTTGAATTCTTTGGCTTCAGAAAGAAACTATAAGAATAGAGATGAAATAACTTTGAATTTGAACTCTTTCAATGGTGATATTGATGCCTTCAATGCTAAAATGGCTCAATTTTATAAAGAACACTACCATGAAGATGAAGAAATCAGATACATCATTGATGGGGAAGGTTACTTCGATGTTAGAGACGGTGGTGATAAATGGATCAGAGCCAAATTGAATAAAAATGATTTATTGATTTTACCTGCTGGTATTTATCATAGATTTACTTTATCAAGTAATCAAAGAAATATCAAAGCTGTCAGATTATTCAAAGATGAACCTAAATGGGAAGCTATTAACAGAGAAACCAATAAAATCACTGAAGCTAGAACTGAATATGTTCTGTCTATCAAAGTATAGATCAGTAATTATATTGGCTAACAACTAGTATATAAGTCAACCGCTAGTATAACTATTATTATGTATATTTATCTATTGTCTAACAATCTTAATATTATTAGTCTTGATGAAATCTTCCAAACCTTTTCTGGTTGTATTCAAAACCTTTTCAGTCTTTTCTCTTTGATCCTTTAGTAATTTAATATCTTCATCCAATAACTTTATCACATCATCCACAGTTTTTTCAACTAAAACTCCACCTATCATCTTGAAACATTTACGATCTGATCTTTGGGATGGATCAATTTTACTCAATGTTTGATCAACTATAAAGTGTTCTTGTAATTGTGAGGAGATAGTTCCTACTTGTTCAGTAAGTTCGGTTATATCACTTTGGAAAGAATTATATTTTTGTTGTAAAGCTGCCAGTTTAGCTTCGTCAGTACTCATTTTGATTATATGCTCACAAAATTTCTCATTCTTCCCTAATAATGGCATAGATTTTGACTATATAAATACTCTGAAAAATTCTTACAATGGGTAACCAGGATGTTACCACTTATAAGCTTGTTAAGCTTGACAGTTGGATTCCCAATTGTCAATACTTCTGTTGAATCACTTTCGTTCATCACCGACTTAGGTCAAGATGTTTTGTTTGATCATATTTTGAATACCACTGTATCAGTGTACGAATTTTATCTTTACAATACAATTGATTATTTGGAAGTAGATACATTAGAAGAAGCTCAAAGGACTGTCAATAAACTTAATGGTTTACTCATCAAACCTATATTGATCAAATCAGATCAATCTATTCTTTCATCTGTTCCCAACGATTATAAGAATGATCATATTCCTAGTTTCCATGAAGCATTGGACAACACACCTTCAATTGAAGATGCTATTGATCAAACAATTGTTCCTCGTGGTATACCTTTCTTCAAACCAAAAGTAACAACTGGTAAATCGGATATTGAGAGCTCAGTGAATGGTAAAGGAACATTCCTTTTGACTAAGGTAGATGATTTGGTTTCCAAATTCATCCCTGAAGAAGTCCCCATCACTCCATGTTTGGATTCAACTTTTGGTGATGGAGGATCTATTTCTTTCTCCGTAGGTAATTCCCAGTCAATATCTGCTTCCTTGGAAGGAACAGCTGCCATAAGTTTCATGGTAACTGCCAGTATTACCCAGAAATACGAGAAAACTGTCTCAAAATCACATTCCACCTCTTTTGGTCTTAATATCCCCCAAGGTTCTTCTGGTCAATTGTTCATTCAAAATCCCAGAATTCTTTCAGGTATTGCCAAAACTACCATACTCAAAATGACCAAAGGATTATGGGAATTGGGAACTTCAGCAACACAGAATATTGATGTCTTGGACAGTAGCTTGGAGTACAAAATTACATCTAGAGTTTTCAGAAGTGAGCAAAGACCATTACATTGCAAAATTCCTTATTCTTTATTATAAGTTATATATGTGTTATGTAGTTTAAATGTTTTTTCTTTGTGAATCATCTCTACTGACATAAATGAAGTTAACAACAAAGATTAACCATCCAACAACAACAAACATTGCACTAGCAATATAATACCATGCATTGGTAATTTCCCATGATCTTTTGAATTCATCATTAGCTAAATGTCTAACTGCAACAACTTTCTTGTCAGATAAGTAACTTAAACCGGATCTTTTGTGATCTAATTCAAAAGTGAACATACCATGCTGATCTGGTATAGTGAAATTAACAAAATATGCAAATGTATCTAAAGGACCATCTTCGGTAGATGATACTTTACCTAAAGGTTGTAAGTTCAATCTTTGATAAGGATCCAACATTTTGAAACTCAATTGTAAAGCATCACCTTCTTCAACTTCGTATGGTTTCCATTCGTTATCAGCCAATTCACTGACACCAATAGTATAGATTACTTGATCACTGACTCTGTATAAAGTACCATCAAGTTTTGAAGGTTCACTTTCTTTATGATGTTGAACAAATTGTAATTTTAAGATGTTTCTGAAACCTAAAGACCAAGACAAGATTTCTTCATCAATTAAATCATAAGATCCGAACCAAGTTAATCTGGATCCACTTAAACTTTGTAATCCCACAACAACAAAACTTTGTTCACCAATTCCCCAAGTATTATCGTTATCGATGGAATTAACATTATCATTAGTTGAGAAACTGGTAGATGAAGCTTTGACAATTGGAATTAAGTTTTCATTGTTATCAATAATGGCAGATTGACCATCATATACTTTATCAATGGATGATAAAATCCTGGAACATCCAATATTTTGTTTAGTTAATTTGACTTTATCATCGGAATTGAAATGATCAACTAATTTATAACCTTTTGGAGATGGGTAAATACCAACTTCGTTCAAAAAGTCTTTGATATCTTCAGGGTAGTTCTTTTCATGATCTCCAACAACAACAATATCAACATTCTTTTCCAACAATTTAACTAAATTTACCTTATTTAATTCTTTTTTGTTGAGAATCTTCTTGGAAGTAGTAGGTAAGATGAAAATCTTGTCAACAATACTTTCTTCACCAATGAATATCTTCAAATCATCGTCGGTGTAACCTCTAACGACGGTTTGGTTAAATTTCAGTTCACTGTACCTAACAATTTTCAAAAGTTCAGGGGTAGGGTGGTCCAAATCAATTGATTCTGAATCATAGATGATCAAGGACGTTCCACCAATTACCGCCCACACTAAAGAAAGTAATAAAATTAATCTTTGAAAAATCATCGACGTTTAAACACCTGTTCGCGCGCTTTTTTAGTATCAACTATTTTAGGTAACGATTTTTCACGATGATTAAAGTTAAGATAGAATTTTTGGGAGGTTTAGATGTTATAAGTAACAAACAAAGAGAACATAAATTGATTATTGATAAAGAAGAAGGTGAAGCTACTATGAAAGATGTCATACTGGCAATCTGTGAAAAAATCATTGCTGATGAAAAAGATATACCAGTTTTCATTGAAGATGAGACTGTGAGACCTGGAATCTTGGTTTTGATTAATGATACAGATTGGGAATTAGAAGATGGTGAGAATTATGTCATAGAAAGTGGTGATGTCTTCACATTCACCAGTACTTTACATGGAGGTTAAAGTATATATTTACATGAATTTAAATGGGTAATATCTTACACCCTAATAATCCTTTCCCATCCCATTGATCTGTGGGTACCAATTCAACAATGATTCTTTCATTCCTCAAAATGTCTATTTCAATAGCCTCATTTACTTTGGTCTTAACCCTATGGACTAGTTTCATCAATTTATCATTATTCATAGCATTAATATCTTTATCGAATTTGACAATCTTATCCCCTTTCTTCAATCCTGCTTTATGTGAAGGACTTTGATCGATAACTTCATCGATGATGGCAAAAGGTATATCTGAATCAATCTCCACTACTTTTGAAGGTTCCATATCATCTGGATTATTAAACTGATTGATTAATTTCTCTTCAATTAACGATAATAAATATTTATGATCATTTCTTAATCTTATTATTTTCACTCTTATCAATCTTACACTTACAACATCAATATCATCTCTAGGAAACCCATTTATGATCAATGGCGTTTCCATGTCACATTTGAAATCCTGTAATATTTCAAATAATCTAGTAAGTTGAATTTCAAGATTATTTTTGATTATTGATAATTGATTGTAATTTAACTCGTTGTGTATCTCATAAGTTGGGAATTCTTCTAAGTTCAATGAACTCATAAGCCCTTCAAATGATTGTTTCTCTAAGGTCATAATGCGAATTTACAAATGTGTGAGAATTTGCCAGAGATATATGATCTGGTGATAGATCGTTTTAGAAAACTTCTTTTATTACTAATCCTGATTAGTGTTTACACTTAAAGCAAATGAATAATTGGAGATAATTTCAACGTCATCGGTATCACTACCCTCACTGATTTCTTTCCATGAAGCTACGGTTAATAAGACAAAACCTATAACCACTAACAAGTCACCAAAGATTTGTTGACTACTTAATACATTACCAAATAAGATCCATTCAACAACCCCGATCAAGAAGATGGTTAATAATGAACTGACTGATGATAAAACAGGACCAGTCAATGAAATTAATGATAAAAATGATGCAGAAAACATTAAATTGGATACAATTGATCCAACAATGCACAACCAGATCGCCTTAACGTTCTCGTAGTCAAATAAATTGAAACTATGGAAACCAAAAATTTCCACAGCTAAAACCCCAACTAACAAAATAAGCAAGGTGAAAAATCCTAACATGGACATAACAAAATTAGCTAATACTAATTGTCTTCTAGGAGTGATTAATTTGGACAAATGTTCAGGGATACATAAGTATTTCTTATAGAAAACTTCATATAACCCATAAATAACTGCACCCACAGAAATAGCTAAATTCCCCCAAAATCTCAAAGGATATTCTTCATTGGCATCGTCACTACCAGAATAAGCTACTACGAAAACTCCCAACACGGCAATCATAACTGATGATGCTTTTAACCATGAAAACTTCTCTTTTAATAACGGTATAGCGAAAACATAAGCTGTGAAGGCTGAGCAATTATAAATAGCCGTAACATCTGAAGCATATGTGATAGACATAGCACCATACCAAGTAAACCCAGCAACGTTCAATAACACAGTCATTAAGAAACAGTTCCAAACAATATATTTGATGGAAGGAGTTCTTAAAAACGAATCAGCACAAGATATAATGGATTGATTGGAAGTAATATGGGGATGTTTTTCGATTAATTCATTGATATTTTCAGTTCTGTCATCTCCATTTACATTATTTTCATATATTATGATGGAAGTATGATAAACATTATGAAATTGTTTGATGATGGATTTTTTAAAGTATTTTAAATAGTTTATTTGTTTGGGTGGGAGTAATTCAGTATTTGAATTCAATAACTGATACTCATTCTTTTTATCCCTATTCATGAACTTGGTGGTGACTCTGAAAACTGCAAGAACAATCACTTGTAATGGCCATAAAATCCACCATGAACCATGAGTAACTAATAATAATATTATAGGTTCCTTAAATCCCAACAGATATGCTTGAGACGTGAATTCAGTTTGTGATAAGAACGTCGCAAGTGATATGATGAACATCATCACAATAAAGATGACCTTACTCTTAGACTTATGAGTAGTTTGATCTGTTAACGTTATCATGTTAGTATCGTCGAGAAATGACGTAGGGTCGCACTTTACATTCTATTTTGTTTTTAAGCTTTCGTACTTAATCGATTCTAGAGTGAGTTCATAAGTTTTCATATATTTCGTGTGGTTCTATAAGTATAGGATCTATAGGTTTGATGATGTAGACTTAAGGTGTGACCTCTGTATCATGTGTAGGTAAATTTGCATCGTGAACATTGGAATCGTTATCGTCACTAATGAAAAATTTAGGAATTATCAAATTTTCATTTTCCTGAAGGAAATTATTAATTTTGGATGTATTCAAAGACTTTATTGAATCCATAGAATTGATAGATTTAAGACTAGAAATGGAATTACTTGGTTTGTGAACTACCAAGAATTCATTTGGACTTCTAGGACTTCTAGGACTTTGTAAAGGAGACTTGATGGAATTTTGAGAATTGTTAGAAGTTTGGGAGTTTTGACTAAATTGACTTGTTTGACTTCCATGTTGTTGATGTAATTGTTTCAACTGATGGTTTTGTAAGTTTCTGTGACTAATTTCATCTTTAGCCACCTCTGTTTCTTTTAACTTTTGGGTAATAATTTCCTGTTGTTGTTTCAAATACTCTTGTTGAAGTTTAAGGTAGTTTTCATGATTCAATTTATTGGTAAGTTCGGTAATATTTTGATCGATAATACCGGCATTAGTATTGATTGAACTATTGGAAATGGTAGGTACCAATTTTTCGCCTGGTTTATCAGCAAAGGATTGATCAAATGGATTCTTATCAGATCCAGAACTTGAAGGAGTTCTGATTTGAGGAGTAAAGACACCTTGTAAACTTTGATGAGGTAAATTGATGGAACTGGAAGATAATGATAAAGGATTTCTAGAATCAGATCTCAAATCTTGCTTCTTAGCTAATTTCTTTTCAACAAAATCAAATCTTTCCTGGAAATTATCACCGAATTGTAACAAATCTTTAAGATCTTGAACCCAATTTCTAAAATCTTGACTATTGTTACATTTGAATGAGAATGACTTCTCTTCTGAAACCAAATTGAATTTCAATGTCCCTTCATTCTTGACAACAATTTTGAATTCATTCAAACTATAAGATTTTTCAGGAATATCATTATGATTGATAAAGATAGCCAATTTGTTTTTGGGAGAATTAATACTTGGAGTATTAGAATTCTTACTGTCAGAATTAGATCCTGATAATAAGGAATTTGGTGTACTGGTTCCTGAGTTGTTCCCCATATTTTCAATTTTGAATTCATGTAAGAAATTACATGTCAATAAATAATAATAACGATTATAGTTCTTTAATAATTTCAGTTTCTTATAAATAATTCCGAATCTGATACATTTATTATGAATAGAATTGGAATAAGGAATGACAAGATCCTTAAAATGACGAATTTCTTTCTTCTGATTGGTTTCCGTTGATTTATAGATGTTCAAAAAACTATTGCTTGAAACAATAAAACGTTCCCATTCTTTGTTCACGTCAAAATTAAGATTTCTTATCTTCAAACTATTAATTTTTTCGATTTTTTCCATTAAATTGGTCAAGTCCTTCAAAATGTAAGTCAACAAATCTTTAGAAATGTTTTGCAAGTTGATGAATGCAGCAAAAAGATAATTTTCTTTGATCAATTGATTTTTCAATTGATAGTTCAATTTCAATTTGAGCAAAAATGGATCTTCCATGATGGTTTCTTCATCTTCTTCAGTATCCAAAGTAGCATCAACATTATGATAATATTCCACAGATTTGATATATTTGGTCAAAATATTCCCGGTTTTACTGATCTCTTTTTTAATTGAATCATTAACAAACGATTCGTTCTTCAAACTTGATCTGATCTCTTTGATCTTATTTGTCAAATTCTTATGTAAGTTTTCCAACTTTGGAATCAATTTATTATTCAATTCCTTGAAATGCTTAAGGTTGCTTTGATACAAATTATAATGATGGTTTAATATCAATGAATTGGTAGTTTCATAAAACTTGCTATCCTCAGTTATAGCTTTGTCAAGAAACGATTTCTCTGGAGCTACCTTGTCTGTAACACTTCTATCACTTGGAGTTCGTTCAGTGACCTTGTTTCTTGATAAAATTTGGGAGTTCGACTTAGATTTGTTAAGATTAGGTCTTTCTTGCTTATCTATCCGGTTTAAATTGGCATTATACGAATTAAATAATTGAAAGTTCAAATTGGACTCAAACTCTTTGATAAGAGCCATCTCTTTAAGATAATTGATCAAATTCCTGACCAAATATTTATAATTCTTAAAATAAACCACCAATTCATCTATAGGTTTAGAATCTCCATTGGGTAGGTTATTATAAAATGGAGACTTCGGATTAGATGATGGTAATATTTCTTGCTTTTGAAACATCTTTCCAATAATTCTGTACCTCTGAAGCCTTATGAAATTGAAGTAATTCAGTTATTTTGTAAAAAGTTGCTTGGTATTTATTTCCTTCACTTCTTCTGTGCCCCACTAAACTTTCCGCTCTTTTTGATCTGGGTAGTGGAAAACAAAAGGAGTGAGGGTGATGTGATGACAATTCTAGAATGTTACGCCTGACGAAGGAATCGGGTAGTTTGTTAAATCGAGCTAAATATAGACTATTTTTACTTGTTTAGTAAACCTATGTTTTGGTATTAAAGATTGGTGTTGTATCTCGCCCTTGACAGTTGCTATCAATACTTGGTGATAATAATTTATCGGAAAAATTATGGATTAATTATTAACAGTATTCAGTTACGAACTTTAATAGAAATGTTTGCTGCTCCTGGTTTCGGGGCTTTAAATGGTTTCCAGAGATAATGATAGTTTTTACGTGTCCCTAAAAGATTTGTGAGAATGGTTGCAAAATCTCACAATCTATTTGCAAACTATGTTGGACATTGATTTTGATACTGAAAGCTTGAATTTCGAGATCAACTTGTTTAATTATGTTATTCCAAGAGACAAATTTATGAAAAAGACGAAAAATATCATAAAACTGAAAAGTTTCAGACTCAAATTTGGGTTCCATGCTAATTCTTCAAATTCTGTTGAAATCGATAATTCTGAAGTTTCTTCAAATAGTGCAGATGACCTGCTCAAACCGAAGTTAAAGTCGATCTTGAAAAATAGGAATGAAAATTTTGATATCGAATTTCAATCAATGAAGAGAATGGATTCTATCGAGACGGAATCTCAAAATAGTTCCATCAATACATTTTACTAGCTTTCCAGTAATCAAAATTAACCACGGCTTTAAAGGGTAATTAGCTTACTTATACACCATAGCTATATTAATACATAATAGCTTATTATGTCTGAAAACGGTAATGAACGGATAAAAGTTAGTCCCGTCTTGGCCAAACTTAGATTCGTGAAAGCCGAGAGTTTATCAAATTGCGTTTTCTTTATGCTTTGCTCCAGCTTTTAATCTTTACTCTCTTTGCTTTGGCCTTTTGACGGTAACTGCTTATTGTTACCAAACTTATGAATATGTCTTCGTTAATGTCTTCGTCAGTTGTGCGTTGTCATTTACGTAAAATAATAAGCAGACATACTTATAACCCTCAACTCGGCAAACCCAGAACTCAATGTGGATAGTTACGTACCGAATTGCATTTACTGAATTCTTATTCCTTTCAGCCTTGGATTTTCTTACCATCTTGATTCCCCGATCATAATAGCTTGACGTAATTAGGGTGTAAATCTTCACAATGGCTTTAAGCTTAGTATGACCGTAAACGCACGTAATCAGAGTTTCAGTATTATATGTTCATAAAATCGTAATCTATATATCCCCTTACAACTACCAATCAATTTCTCGTACTTTGTCAGTTCCAATGCGTCCAAGTGTCTCCCAATTCATGAGGTATTTCGAACTTCCCATCAGGAGGTTCACTATTGATGGCCAACTCCCAAGTCAGTATTCTCCCTACCTGGTACTCTAACTAACATCACCAGCTATTCTCTCGTTGTTGTAAACTATTTCACTGTAATCAAAGAAGATCTTACCTTTTAAATTGTTCTTGACTTTAAATTTATGATGGTTATCGTCAATAATTCTTAAAATCTTGAAACCAATAACTTTACAACAAAACTTACAACTGATTCGTTTAATGATAAGTACCTTGTTGCATTTAACGATAGAATTGTTTGCTTGAAATTTAACATTGATTATCTTGTTATTTATGATCAAATGGTTATAACAATTTTTACACGTAATCAAGGGTTTATCACCTGAAATGATTGTTTCTAAGGGCATCTGTGGAGTTAATTTTGTGAGTGATGTTAGAAAACTAGGAAATTTCTATTGGAGATGATTTGAAGGATTTCTGAAATTAGTTTGGGTAGAATATCCCACCATTTTTATATTTTATCAAATGGAATTTAATACATTTTAGTAGCTTACTCAATTACATAAATCCTCAAAATTTCTGTAAAGTTTAACCGGGATGAGGTTTTTTAACTTAGTGAGGAAAGTCTTCACAACCTCTTTAAAGAAGGTTTTAGTGGCGTATTCGTATGATTTCTGCCAAATAGGGTTCATATGGTGCATATAACAACGTATTTGCAAACTTTAAAAGACATTGAGAGGAATGATATATTTCTAGTATAGTTCATCGGATATTGCGTCGTATTTCATTACGCAATTTTGCTCTTGATGCGACTGTCAATGCGATACTGTTGACATAGCATTATTGTTTCGGACCAGTACGATCTTGATCCGGGATTCAGGAATCAGCTCATGGATAGTGAAAGAAGTCTAGATTTTAGATTATAAACTTTAAAATGTATTTACACTCACCCTTCTCCATAATTTGCTAATTCTTTTCATCCTGTGGTGGAATAATTGGCCGATAACCGAGACATTTTTTCCGAAAGTGGAAATGTTGAGCATTCCGCAATTTGCATATTTTTTTTTTTCTTGTTAGTAATAGAAATTAGTAAAACTTTAAGTTGAGAGTTTGTCCAGTGTTTTAAAACGTGATGTTGCACGTGATCTTATTCGTGTATGGGTGAAAATCAAATATTAAAGATCCTATAACAGACGTCGCGATTTTGTCATGTCACATGACACTGATATTACAAATAAGTTGCAGCAAAAATTGAAAAACTCTACAGATGATTCAAATAAGTCAAGAACAGTTGGACCATATCAACTTACAATTAGGTAAATTAACTCCTCAAGAAATAATTAAATGGAGTTATATCACCTTTCCTAATTTATTTCAAATTTCTGCCTTTGGGTTAACAGGTTTAATCACCATTGATATTATTAATAAGTTAGAATTACCAATAGAATTAGTTTTCATTGACACTTTATATCATTTCCCACAAACTTTAGAATTGGTCGATAAGATAAAATCTAAATATAATCCAAAATTGCATATCTTCAAACCCCAAGTTAAAGATGTTACTGAATTCGAATCCAAGTATGGTAATAATTTATGGGAAACTGATGATTTGAAATATGATTTCTTAGTTAAAGTTGAACCATTGAAAAGAGCATACGAAGAATTAAAAATCAATGCAGTATTAACAGGTCGTAGATCATCTCAAGGAGGTGCACGTAGAGGACTTGAATTCATTGAGATTGATCGTGATAACAACGTAATCAAGGTAAACCCATTCTTAACTTGGAATTTCAATCAAGTCAAATCATATATTGATGAAAATAATGTCCCATATAATGAATTACTTGATTTGGGATATAAATCAATTGGAGATTGGCATTCAACTGAACCTGTAGGAGAAAACGAAGATGAAAGAAGTGGTAGATGGAAAGGAAAGGCTAAGACGGAATGTGGAATCCACCAAACAAGTAAATATGCAGAATTTTTAAAATCTCAATAATCGTAAGTTTTATTGACCCTATCATGATATATCAATTGAAGTAGTTTAGTTTTAGAGTAGTGTAAAATATAGAAATCTACGCAATCACATCTCAAGAGCGGAAAAGATAAGGAAATCGAAAGGAATCCACTTGCCTAATGCGGCAAGCGCGGAATTGGCGTAAAACTGATATAAAGTAAAACTGATTTCAGTTTCAAAAATTAAATTAATAACTATGTTGCTTGATTTGATTGTTGATGCTTATAACAGTATTGAAGCACATCCATATTATTCCTTGGGTGTGTTCTCTGTCATAATAGCCGCTTATTCATTATTTATTTATCCATTCTATTTATCACCATTTAAAAATATACCAGGACCTTATCTTTTCAGAATTTCCGTGTTACCAAGTTTACATTACCAAAGAACTAATAAATGGGTTTTAAAAGTTCATGAATTACACGAAATCTATGGAGATGTCGTTTTATTATCTCCTAAAGAAATTAGTGTTAATGGAGATTTAAAATACTTGAATGATATTTATACAAAAAATTTCCCTAAATCAACATTTTACCAAAACTTTGCTAATCATGGTAAACCTAATATGTTTGCCAGTATGAGTAATGATATTCATTTGAAGTACAAGAAAAATTTGCAATCAATCTATTCCAAATCTGCTATTTTCAACCCAAAAAATTCTACTAGAATCAGTTTAGTTACCAATATCAGAAAATTGTTGAAGAATATTGAAGATTCAAGTGTTGAAGGAACCGCACCAGATTTTATCAATGCTGCCTCAGAAGTTAACATTCACGGAAAAGGATATCACGAGAAAGATAAGAAATGGTTCTTAGGTGGAAAAACTAAAAATTTACCTATTGAAGTTTATTCTCTTTTTGGATCATTAGCTTTAGATGTTGTTAGTCAATTCGAATTAGGTTTGAAGAACGGTACTAATTTATTAGAAAATCCTCAACAACGTGAAATTGTTACTTATCATAGATATGTTGCCCTGATGGTATTCTATACAACATTGTTACCAAGTCTTTGGGATTATGCTGCAACTAAATTAATTTTAAAATCCGCTCAAATTGTTCATGACTGGCAATTAGGTTTATACGCCAAAGCTGAATTGAATATCCCAAGCTTCAAAGAAGATGAGAATTTGACTACTTTAGAAACTTTAAGAAAGCATGGATTCTTAAAAGAAGCTGCTTATTCTTTCCTTTCAGATAATATCTTTGCTGGACATGAAACTACTGCTATTCAATTAACTTACATCACTTACGAATTATCTAGACCTCATAATCAATACTTGCAAAAAAGATTATACGATGAATTACATGAAGCTTTTTCAGACGCAGAATTGATTGAAGATTTGGAAATCGTTGATAAATTACCTGTATTAAATGCTGTTCTCTTGGAAGCTTCTCGTGTACATACTTCAATTCCAGGGGCTGAACCAAGAGTTGTTGATAAAGTTTATAAGATCAAAGACACCGTTATTCCAAAAGGTACCATTATATCCGGCCAACCTTATTCTTATCATAGAGTTCCTTCAGTTTTCCCTGAACCAGATGTTTTCAAACCTGAAAGATGGTTACAACAAGACGATGAAACTACTGAAGCTTTTGAAGCTCGTACTAAGAAAATGCATAAATACATGATTCCTTTTGGTAAAGGTATTAGAATGTGTTTAGGTATGAATGTTGCTCAAATCGAAATGAAATTAGCTGTTGCTAACATTTATCATAAATACCATTCTAAAATATCCTCACAATGGTGTGATATAGTTGATAAACCAGAAATAGTGAAAATGGGTGACAAATATGTGGGAGAAAACAAAACTGATGTTGAAAAAATGACAATGTTTGATACTTATACCACTAGACCTTATAATGATGAATGTTGGTTAGAATTCTATCGTTACTAAATATATAACGTTATCGCATCACTCTTTAAAAGTATATTCTATTATTAGTACAATCTGATCATTGATATTTTTTGACCATGCAAATTTTTTTCGAATTTGCATCGGAGGTTTACACACCTCAATCACATGAACTCTACCTCTACCATCAATCCTTTAAATATAAACTTCCCCGTACAAACGTGGAAATTGGGCGGATTTAATTTGACTGCAAAAATCTGTGATTTAAAGTGCGCACCACCCGTAATCTCCTATAAAAGGTGAACTATAACTATTTGCTAACAAGTAATTGAATAAAAATGTTACCTTTTGCTCAACTGTATCCTAAAGAGCAAGTACTTGGATTTTGGGGTGATATAACATCCACCATCGATTGGTGTGAAGAGAATTATGTGGTTAGTGACTACATTGCTGAATTTGTTAATACTGTAACTAATTCAATATTTATTATGTTGGCATCATTTGCCGTTGTACATACTTATTTGAATCATTTGGAGATTAGATTTGTATTCACAGGGTTGGGTTTTCTTTTAGTGGGTGTAGGATCTTGGTTATTTCATATGACTTTACAATATCATTTCCAGTTATTAGATGAATTACCAATGATTTATGCTACATGTATTCCATTTTGGTCAGTGTTTAGCGAGTTCCAAAATACTAAAAGTAGTTGGTTCATTGGTTTGGGGATCTTCATGGCTGCTAATTTGTTAACTTCCATTTACCTTTTTGTATTGAGAGACCCTACTTTACATCAAGCCGCTTATGGGATCTTGAATTTCAGTATCATTGTTAAATCATTTTTATTGAGTAAGAAATACGTCAAAGATGATAAAGCTAAACAAAATTTAGATAGTACAATGATAAGAGGGGTTGGACTCTTCTTATTTGGATACTTCTTATGGAATGTGGACATTCATTTCTGTTCCAATTTGAGAAGTATGAGAAGAGCTGTAGGAATCCCTTATGGATTTATTTTAGAAGGACATGGATGGTGGCACATTTTCACTGGTTTGGGTGTTTATCATTATTTGATTTATGAAGAATATTTAAGATGTTTCTTGATTGGTGAAGAAAAATTCTTCAAATTCGAAAGTTTTATAGGTTTACCTATTGTAGTATGTCACGATGAGAAGGGATTGAAGAAGTTTAGAGCTTCCAAACAGAAAATCGATTAGATATCATTTCAACATTTATTAGATTGTAGACAAATAAAGTCTTTTATCTTAACTTGCTATTCTTCCCTCTAAAGTAAAGATATGATCTCTTTCAAGAACTTATCATCATTATTACTCAATTGTTTCAATTTTTCAATCGATTCGTCGACTCCGTAGACCAATTTATTATCCTTAAAACATTGTTGTTTCCAGTCAACCAAGATTTTATTCAAATTCTCAATACCTTGATTGATCTCTTCATTTGAACATTTAGTCTTTTTCAATTTAATATATTCGTCTTGGTTCTCCAAATCATTTAATTCACTGGCTTTTCTTTTAGCCATATTAATGATCTTCTCGGGGAATTTGACCAATTCAGCAACATTAATACCGAAAGATTTTGATGAAATACCTTCTTCAACTTTGTAAATCAAAGTCAAATCATCATTGTTCTCAATCAATGCCTTAACTTGTAAGTTTTTGATAGTTGCATGCTTCTTGGATAATTCAGTCAATTCATGGAAATGAGTAGCAAAAACTGTAAAACATTTCTTTTCCTTGACAATGTATTCCAGGATAGAGTAAGCTAATCCAAAACCATCATAAGTTGAAGTACCTCTACCCAATTCATCGATAATGATCAAGGAATTATGAGTAGAGTTGGATAAAATGGAAGAAGTTTCTAACATTTCAATCATGAACGTAGATAATCCTTTCAATTGGGAATCACCAGCTCCAACTCTTGATAAAATAGAATCAAAAATTGGGAGGATAGCTCCTTCATCTGCAGGGACAAAACAACCAATTTGAGCCATCAATGCAATAACTCCGATTTGTCTGATGAATGTTGATTTACCTCCCATATTTGGACCAGTGATGATAGAAAAGTTGGAGTTTTCGTTATTCATTGAAACATCATTTGGAATGAAATTCAAATCATCTTGAACTTCTAAAATCGGATGTCTTGAATTGACCAAATTAATGACTCTTTCGTCGAATTCCTTATCTTTGCTGGTTTCAGCTAATGGTAATAATTGAGGCTTGGTGTATTGAATTGATGATAAGATTGATACTTGAGCAAAACTTTGAATAACATCCAAATGACATAATGAGATGGATAATCCAGTGAAAATACTTTCAAATGTTAAGGTTACAAGTAAAATCTCTTGAATAATTTCTCTTTGTCTCAAATTATATTCATCCAATATTTGTTGATGTTCTCTTGACAATTGAGTCAATTCACTATTGGTAAAGAACACACCAGCCTTAACTGTTTGTAATTCACGATAAGATGTATTTCTTAATACTCCTGAATCATTTCTAGTAACTCTGAAACACCAATTATGAATTTGATGCTTTTCTAATTTTAATTTCTTCTCAATATCGATTCCTAAATCTTCAGCTACCATTATATGTTGGTTTTTGATTTCTTGTTCTTTAGAGATCAACTGGTTATTGATGTCAGTCAAGGAATTTTCAAAATCGGGGTTAATATTGAAGTCACTGGTTAAATCGTTGGAATTTAATGGTGATAAATCAATTGCTGTTTCAACCAAACCTTGGAATTTGGTCAATTTTTCATAATTATCATTAATAGGTTCAAGCCAATATTTATTGATTAAATCACTCAATTCAGGATTATCATCTTTTGATTCATTAATGGCCATTTGTAACATTTCAATCAATTTCGGTAAAAGCAAAAATAATTGGTACAATCTGATGACGTCTTCCAACTTTTTGTTATCATTTCCGGTCTTTTTGATGTTGTTATTTATCTTCTTCAATAATCTTTTGATATCAGGGATGAAAGCTAAAACTTCTTCAATCAAGAATAATCTCAAACTAGTATCGTTGATTAATTTTTCGACCAAAGTTTGACGTTCTTCAATCAAATTTAACCTTGTTAATGGTTGTTTCAACCATTGAGATAATAATCTTGAACCATTAGTGGTTTTACATTTATTCAATAATTCGAAAATTGAAGATACTTGATTGTTCTTGATGTTCAAATTTGATTGTTTGTTGGGGAAAATGTTCAATGCATTCAATGTTGATGAGTCCAATTTCATATAATTCATTAAATCGTATTTTTCAATAGTAAAATGTTTAATTTCATTACTTTCGATATCTTCATTCAATAAACTTAAATAAGTAATCAAAGCATTACAACAAGCAAAACTCAATTGATAATCATTGGAGTCAATCCCTTTAGAACCTAAAATCAATTCTAAGTTATCTTCATCTTTACTTAATAATTTGATTAAATCTTGTTCGATGTTGCTAGCAGTAAAAACTGAAGATTTCAATGAACTAACGATGATGCCAATTTTATCCAAAATTTGACATAATTTGTTAACATCACTCATTTCTTTAGCTTCAGGATCATAATTTGATGGTAATAAAACTTCCTTAACACCCAATTGAATCAATAAACTCTCTAAATTGGAAAAAATTTCATTATCTTCAAACTCACTTACTTGAATCAAGTTATTAGACAAATTGATAAGACAAATTCCGACTTTCTTATTATTACCTTGACTGGTAAATTTGATAGCTGCAGTGATTGGAGATGATCCATCAACGAACATGTTCTCTAAATCAACGTTATAATGTTGGGATAAATTCTCCAAATTCCCTGGTGATCCCATAACTATTAAATTGAAATTTTTATCGTAGATTTCAACTTTGAAGGTATTTTCAATAAGACAGAACTTCAATGCATTGTTCAAGAATACTTGAGGCGAAATAGTAACGTATCTATTCTTCTTATTTTGATTATATTTGATGACCGATTGCGTCTTATAGATATTATCAGCAATTAAATCAGCATCTTCATCAAGGGCAGTGAAATAATCCTTGTTGTTGTGATCAGTGAATCTGATGGTGTTCAGAGACTTATTGGGTAACTGAGAGTACTTATTATAGTACTTTCTTTCTTCCAAATTGTCACTAAACTTAAGATCAGGTCTGGTACTTGACATTCTGTTTACGCGAATAATCGCGTTGCAGCCATTTTAGTTATTAGAGATGAAGAACGGCGGGGAGTTTAGCATTTTTAAGGAGTCTATGGGTGTATTAATGAGTCTAGTCTACTGAATGAAGGCAAGCTAAGATAACTAACCAGCTAGAAATCTGCCAACATGGCTGAATAGAAAGTTAAGCGTATATCGACAAATATGACTCGTATCACAATTTTAAAAACTCTCGACTGTTGCCTAACTTCACAGTAGCCCATCCCATAGGTAAAATAAGAACATGTCAATACAAAATTCGTCACAAATTTCTAATCAGTTCATTATCAGTAATCTTCGCATCTCATTTATCTAGACTGCGAATTTGACTCCAATCTAATTAATACTCAATGTCATTACATACTACCGAACTCGATGGGATCTTACCTTTAATATCCAGAGGTAAAGTCAGAGACATCTATGAAGTCGACGATAAGACCTTATTGTTTGTTGCCACTGATAGAATCTCAGCTTATGATGTTATCATGAAAAATGGAGTTGAATCTAAAGGTAAGATTTTAACCAAATTATCTGAATTTTGGTTCGATTTCTTAAAGGAAAACATCAAGAATCATTTGGTTTTGTCTGACAACAATGATGAAAACTTATTCAAACACTTACCTGCTGAATTATCTCAACCTAAATATAAAGATCAATTATCTGGAAGATCATTATTAGTTAAGAAGATGAAATTAATTCCATTAGAAGTTATTGTTAGAGGTTATATTACTGGATCTGCTTGGAAGGAATACAAAAAATCCAAGACTGTTCATGGTTTAACCATTGGTGAAGAATTGGTTGAATCACAAGAATTTCCTCAACCTATCTTTACTCCATCAACAAAAGCTGAACAAGGTGAACATGATGAAAACATCTCCCCAGAAAAGGCTGCTGAAATTGTTGGTGAAAAATTGTGTAATGAATTGGCTGCTAAAGCCATTGAATTATATTCAAAAGCTAAAGAATATGGTAAAACCAGAGGTATCATTATTGCTGATACTAAATTCGAATTCGGTTTAGATGAAGAAGATAATTTAGTTTTAGTAGATGAAGTATTAACTCCAGATTCTTCAAGATTTTGGGGAGCTAAAAGCTACAAATTGAGTCAATCTCAAGATTCTTATGATAAACAATTCTTAAGAGATTGGTTAACTAGTAATGATTTGGCTTACAAAGATGGAGTTAGTATGGATGAAAATATTGTCGTCAAAACTAAAGCTAAATATGTTGAAGCTTATGAATTGTTGACCGGTAAAACCTGGAAAGATTAGAAATGTTTTAGAGAAAATATAAATTAAAATGCCTTTATTTTCTTTCTTTTTGTCCCACCTTATTAATACACACAATATGCTAATGACGATAATTTTTTCTATATACTTCTTCGAATTCTGGTACATGTCTTTTTTCGAGTGTTAATCTTTCTAATTCATCAGTGACTCTCTTTTTATAATTATTAAATTTTTGATTGTATTGAACTGGAGGAGAATTCAATTTCTGGTTGTATTCGTATTCATCAAAATCATTTCTGATTTTTAAAGGAACTCTACGATTATTATCATCATGTAATTCTTTAGGTCCTCTTGGTTTACTTGGTGAAACGTCATAATAATTTGAATTTTGATTTTGGTGTAAGAAATTCTTTGCTTGGGTCGTCGAAACATCTTGTTGTTGAAGATTGAAAGTTTTAGGATCAGATTTCTTCCTTATCAATTCATTATTCAAACTGGATAAACTAGTATTGGAATTACTCTTAAAACCATTGTTTAAGATATCTTTTATTCTTTGTTGAACTTCTTGTTCAACTACTAATTTGAATTCTCTTTGATAATTCAATCTTACTTCCTTAGCTTCTTGATCCATTAACTTTTTCCTATTTTCAAATTCTTCAAGTAATTCATTTTCTAAATTCTGTTTCTGGAGATTATATTTCTTTTGTAAATTCTGTAAGTTATTGAAACCTTCCTGTAATTCAGTCTTGGAATTCATGACTTTAGTTTCTAAATTATTCAAATAAGTCTCTTTCTTACTTAATTCTTCACTTTTTGATAATAACTGATTTTGGAAGTTACTTAAATCAACATTGATTTCTTTTAATTCCATTTCTTTTCTTAAAAATCTAACAGGTAAAATTTGTAACAAATCAAAACATGAAGGTCTCAATTCAGCATCAACCGTTATACAATCTTTAATGATGGTAGTTAATTGCTGAGAGTAAATTGATGGTAATTCAGGAATAATTCCTTTCTTGATCTTGGTTTGTAATTGTAAATGAGTCTTGGCTTGGAATGGAGGTTGTAAAGTACATAATTCAAATAAAACACATCCTAATGACCAAATATCACAAACTGGACTATAAGGGTTATCCATCAATACTTCAGGTGACATATAATATGGAGTTCCGACATAAGTCTTTGCAAAATCATTCTGGGAAGTTAACATCTTGGCTAATCCAAAATCTCCTACCTTAATGGTTTTCCCACTATTCAACATAAAGATATTATCAGGTTTAATATCTCTATGAATAATAACTGTTTCTGAGTTTATTGAAGGTTCGATTTCTTCAGTTTGGAATAAATTAACCTTTTTGGCATCAAATCCATAATGACATTTATGTAAAGCTAATAAGGTTTGTACCAAAACTTGCCAAATGAATTCTTCAGGGACTGTTTCTTTATTCTTCTTGAAATTATTGATAACTTGACCTAAATCACCTCCATCACAATATTCCATATATATATGTATGGACTTCTTACTTATTATATGATCGTGTCTACAATACTTCACAATGTTAGGATGATTCAATTCTCTTAAGATTCTTAACTCTGATATCAATTGATTTCTCTCTTGGCTATTCATCGAAGTATATTCGATCTCCTTTCTGACAAACATTTTGCCATCACTCTTTTGTCTGACCTTCCTTACGATCCCAAAGGATCCTTTACCAATAACTTCTAATGCCTCATACTCATCACCAATGGTAGACATTGATAATTAAATTATTCAAAATGAGTTGTTGAATATCAAATTTGGAAATTTATCTCAGATCAAAGGAAAATAATTACTCAATTTGTTCCTTATTGTAATCGTCTATTTCCTCCTCTATGTGGTGTGTGTGTGAAGTTCATATCTATCACTGTTGATAAATTTGATTCTTTGAGTATTTTAGTTGAATATTTACTTATAGTCCATTTTGGGAAGTAATCTCATCGCGAGTGTTTGATATTCCAGAAGTTTAAAACTTAATGTCAGGTACTATAAAGTTTAGAAGACCCCTTGATTCCGATAAATAAACAGAATAATTGTGGCATACATGATTTAACCGAAGGCTCGAGCTTTATCTATGATAACTTTTTTGCGTTTATGCATAATTTACTCCACAGCGCAATTTTGCCTTGATGACATCTATTGGACAAGAATTTGGAATCTGGGGTAGTTATAGTCACCTTCAATCCTCTCTACTACCAATTTAAAGCATTTGCATGAACGGCAAACATTTTATGAGGAGTCCGATTCACAACTTTTTACTTGCGACATCAATCTACCCAACAACTGTTTCTGGTCTGCGGAAATATGCCTACAACAGCGAAATGAAATTTGAAATACCTGAAATGTGGTTATCACCAATAAGCCTTCTTCACCACAGGATCCGCATATTAAGGTTGGTCCATGAGCCTTTATCAACTGTTTATTGATATTTCAAAAGTCTATTGCTAAAGTATGCATGAATATTAGTCCTAATATGGATCGTATTCCATTTCTCTCCACTCATAACCAGGTTAACAATGTAACTCAATTTATTCCCATGAAGAATTGAAAATGAAAATTTTGTTCATAAACAAACCAAGAATTGTATAAATTACCATCGATTATCCTTTGAAAATCTATTCAGTATCAATTCAATCTAATCGAATATGTTACTTAGTACTATAATTCAATTCTTCTTGTTCACCTTGATTCTCGGTGCTCCAGCGACCGTTCAGGTTCCAACCGACGATCCGTTTTATACTCCACCATCGGATTTAGAAAATTATAAACTTGGAGATATCATTAATATTAGACCTGCTCCTGCTCAAATTAGAAGTGTTTATTTTACTGTTAAAATCAAGAACACATGGCAAGTATTAGTGAGATCTGAGGATTCTTTTGGTAATGCTAATGCCATCGTTACCACCATTTTTGAACCTTTCAATGCTGACCCTTCCAAATTAGTCAGTTATCAAGTTGCTCAAGATTCTGCTGAAGTCAATTGTTCTCCAAGTTATGCTTTCATGAATGGTTTAGGTTTACGTACTGTTAGTTCTCAAGCTGAGATGTTCTTGATTCAAACTGCTTTAGATCAAGGTTACTATGTGGTTTCACCTGATTTCCAAGGTTTGAAATCAGCTTTTACTGCTGGTATTCAAGCTGGTCATGCAGTTTTGGATTCAATTAGAGCTGCTTTAAATAGTAAAGACGACACCGGTATTAATAGTGATGCTGCTACCATCATTTGGGGATACTCCGGAGGTTCATTAGCTGGTGGTTGGGCTGCTGCTTTACAACCAAACTATGCTCCAGAATTAAAATCTAACTTGAAAGGTGTTGCTTTGGGTGGTTGGGTTACCAACATTACTGCTACTGTAACTTACGAACCCGTTGTCAATGGTGGTCTTTTTGCTGGTTTAGGTGCTGCTGGTATTGCTGGATTATCCAATGAATATCCTGATTTATATGAATACTTGAAAACTGCTATGTATGAAGATAAATATGAAAAATTCACCCAAGCCTACGATCAATGTTTAATTGATACCATTCCAACCTTTATACTTAATAATTATTTCACAGGTCCTAACAAATATTTTAAAGACGGTTTGGGTGCTTTAACTGAAGAACCAATTGCAACTATTTTAGCTAACAATACTTTAGGTTTAATTCCTGAAAACATGCCAGAAATTCCAGTTTTCGTTTACCATGGTAAAATTGATGGTATAGTTCCATTCAATCAAGCTGAAAGAGTTTATGATATTTGGTGTGATGCTGGTATTTCATCATTAGAATTTAATGCCGATGCTACTGCTGGTCATATTTCTGAAATAATTCAGGGAAGTGGTGCTGCATTTGCTTGGATTCAAAAAATCTTCAACGGTGGCTCTCCAGTTAATGGTTGTAAAACAACCACTAGAGTTTCCAACTTATTATACCCAGGTACCGATCTTTTCATTGGTAATTTCTTAAACTCCTTATTCAACAATATATTCGGTATGAATATTGGTCCAAATGGTGAAAACTTAGTGTTACAAAACAACCAGTTGATCTCCGAACAAAATGCTACATCTTCTGCTTAAAAATATATGTTAATGGATTATTTCAATACTCTTCTCTGTTTCTGTTGACTTTAATTTGCAAAATTCACAGATTTTGTGGCCATGAAGAGATTTTACATTCAGATGATTTCATACTTAACGTTTCAAAAGAAAACTCCTGTTTCACTTTGTACATCATCCGTACTGCTGGATCACCGGTCTTGCTTGCTTGTGCCTAAACCTTAATGGAATTCCAATAGTGCTTGGTAAAAGTATATAGAAAAGACGTGCACCAACCGAAGATAAGATGTCATTATCGCAGCACTTTACGGCTCCACTCCAGAAATAGTCATCATGAAGTTATCAATATTACTTGCTTTGATACCATCAATCCAATCGTTCCCAATCTTCGACAACCAAATCCAATTGTTTGGAGGTGAACCTGATAGAGTCATCAAGGTCGGCCCAAAGGAGTATAAATTAGTAAATGAAGAACAAAAATTAACTTTGAAGAGAAACAACATTAAGTTCATTGATGTCACCAATTCCATTAACGTCAAACAAGCTTTTGAAGAAGGATTATTAGAAAATGTTCCAACTGGTTTTAATATCCAACTGTTAGGAAGCAAGTTCTTGAGTGATATTGCTCCACCTAAGAATTATACTTATCCTGAAACCATCAGTTACAAGTCAGATGTTAAGGACTTCATTAGTAAGATTGATACCGATAAGATGTATGAAAACTTGAGTAAATTCACTTCTTTTTACACTAGGTACTATAAGTCCGAAACTGGTTACGAAAGTGCTCAATGGTTAGAAGGTAAATTAGAAGAAATCATTGCCCCAGTCAAAGATGTCGTCAATTTGTCCAGAGTTAATCACGAGGGTTGGGATCAATTCTCCATCATTGCTAGTATTCCAGGGAAAGTTGACTCCAAAGTAATAGTTGGTGCTCACCAAGACTCTGTAAATTTATTATTCCCAAGTTTAATGAGATCTCCTGGTGCTGATGATGATGGTTCCGGTACTGTTACTATTTTAGAAGCATTCAGAATCTTGATGGATTCTTATGTCAAAGGTGATTTCAAACCTCACCACACTTTAGAGTTCCACTTTTACTCTGCTGAAGAAGGTGGATTATTAGGTTCTTTCGACGTATACCAAAAATACTACCAACAAAAGGAGACCGTAGTTGGTTTATTACAACAAGACATGACAGGTTACACTGGGAATATGAAAGAAGGAGAAATTCATATGGGTTTAATTACTGATTATACTTCATCAGGATTGAATGATTTCATCAGAGTTATCGTTGATAATTATTGTTCAATTCCATATCACGAAACTTCATGTGGTTATGCATGCTCCGATCATGCTAGTGCTATTGAACATGGATTCCCTGCAAGTTTCGTTATAGAATCCGAATTTGCTTACTCCAGTAAATTCATTCACAGTGTTTATGATACCATTGATAGAATTGATTGGGATCATGTTAAGGAACACACCAAATTAACCTTAGGGTTCGCTTATGAATTAAGTATGGCCAAAGTTGATACCGATATTTGAGTTCAAAAAAATACCGATAAACTTATGTAAGTAGTTTAGTACTATGATTTCGCACCATTTACCACCACCTCTGATCAAACCTCTCACCATTTGTGGTGATACTCACCTAAAAATATCTGACGTCCGCGAAAAATCAAAATTAATCTAGTGGCAATGAATGGTATTTCAGTTGATATTAATCATTTAAAGAAGGGGGAAGTTTCAATGGGTACGTCGATTATGGCGGTCACCTTTAAAGATGGAGTCATATTAGGTGCTGATTCTAGAACCACCACCGGTTCCTATATCGCTAATAGAGTTACAGATAAATTGACTCAAATTCATGATACTATATATTGTTGTAGATCAGGTTCAGCAGCTGATACCCAAGCTGTCGCTGACATGGTCAAATATTATATGCAAATGTATGCCTCACAATTACCAATTGATGAAAAACCTACTACCAGTGTTGTTGCAAATATTTTCCAAGAAGTGTGTTACAATAATAAAGACAATTTAACTGCCGGTATTATATGTGCTGGTTATGACGATAAAGTTGGAGGATCAGTATATTCTATACCAATTGGAGGATCCATTCATAAACAAGATTATGCCATTGCAGGTTCCGGTTCAGGATTCATTTATGGTTGGTGTAATGAAAATTATAAGCCAAATATGGAAAAAGATGAATGTGTCCAATTCATCAAAACTGCATTATCCGAAGCCATGAAATGGGATGGTTCTTCCGGTGGTGTTGTAAGAATGGTTATATTAGACAAAAATGGTGTTGAAAGATTAATTTACTACCCTCATGAAATTAAAGTATAGATGAATATATGATCTTCGAAGAGTATTGTAAAAAGACAAGTAAATTTCTAACTATCTATTTATTTGAAGGTGGACTTGACATATTCCATCATTTCTTGAAATGGAGGATTTCTGACAAAATGGGATCTAATTGAATGGGTTTTAACACCAAGTTTATCAGCCCATTCATAAACTAAACCAGGGTTTGCAATGAATGGTGATCCCACAAAAGCCATATCAATGATACCATCTTCAATTAATCTGTTGACCTTTTCTGGTTCATGTAATTTACAAACGGTTGACACAAGAGTTCTATTACCCACAGCTTTCTTGACCTTTTCAGCAATTGGGACATAAGGACCAAAAGTGGCAGAAGATCTATCAGCATTAGCATCATTACCACCAGCAGAGACATCGATTAAGTCGACTTTATCGGCAATCAAATCAGCCAATTTAGCTGCATCGTCATCAGTCCAAGCATTTGGGGCCCCTTCATGTAAATCTGAACCATGGATTCTTATGAAAATTGGGAAATTTGGTGGAACTTGTGATTTGATTTCATCAACCACTTCAACTAAAAATCTTGTTCTATTCTCGAAAGATCCACCATATTGGTCAGTTCTTTGATTGGAAATTTTGGATAAAAATTCAGAAATGATGTAACCATGGGCACCATGAATTTCCACGAAATCAAAATTTGAAATGGTAGCAGCTCTTTTAGCAGCAGAACCAAAGGACTTTACGAGGTCTTTGATTTCAGGAACAGTCAATTCTTTAGGAACTGGGATTCTACCATTTTTTCTGTACTCGATAGGTGAAGGACCGATAAGTTTAGATTTATCGAAGTTGTCATCAAATTTTTCGAAGGAAATATAGTAAGGTACAGCTAAAGACTTTCTTCCTGAATGATTCAATTGGATTCCAATTCTACCGGCTTGGGCATGAACGAATTCAGTAAGAGGTTTGAAGCTTTCGGCAAGTTTATCATTCCATAATCCAAGATCATAAGCAGAAGCTCTACCAAACTCTTGGACAGAAGTTGATTCAACAACAATCAAACCTGGTGCTCTTTGAGCGAAAGCACCATAATGGACTTTGTGATAATCGGTAGCTGAACCATGATCAGCGGAGTATTGAGCCATTGGTGAAACTCCGATTCTGTTAGGAATAGTCAAACTTCCGATTTTCAAAGGGGTGAAAATCTTAGGAGTGGATTCCAGTAAATCTAAAGCTTGACCTGGGACACCTTCAGGGACAGGGTATTGATAAGAAATTTCAGCATTCAATGGAATATCACCACCGTTAGATTTTGGTAATGAATTGTTTAAGTCTTTGATTAATGATTCGTAGTTCATTTCGAAGTGTTCGATAGATCAGTTCAAATGAGAGGAAATTCATGCTACTTTATACTCGATCATAACTTCGGTAAACGTGTAATTCATGGCTCTAATCATAAGCAGATTTCAATAGGTTCTTACTAAACAATTGGTTATGACACGATGATTGTTCACTTCTGTTCACAAAAATTTACTGTTGCACGTCCATTTACTCAGGAATTAATAATTTTTAACTAGTAGACGGATGCCTAAATTATCCAAACACCGACGGGCGGGATGTAAGTACAATACTGAATACTGAAATAGAGGTAGTTGAAAACAGAGTTGAATGATTACAAATACAATTAATTTATTATTAATATTTAGTATACAGTTTCTTTAACAGAAGAAATTATATAATCTATAGTAGAAAGGTTTACTGGCTAAGTAAGCTTTTTCTTCAGCAATTTCTTGTTTCAAGACATCTAAATCTAATTCCCTTCTACCAGTGTCGATATCAATATCTTTGGCTCTGATGTAAATCTTCCAATTTTTGGTCCAGATCTTGTGACCGAAGTAGAAGAGGATGATGACAGGAACAGCTAAATAAGCGTTGAAGAAATCACTAGCATTTGGTTTACCACCAAGAGGGTATAAAGCAACCCAGAATTGTAAACAAACAACAACAATGTTCAAAGTCATACCAAAGTAAGCACCATAAACCCCAACTTGAGAAGTGAAGGCAATTTCATCAGTGGATCTACCTTGGACATATAAAGCTCTTCTGAATCTAATAAGACATAAATTGATTGAACCCCAGGTGAAAATGGATGATAAACCTGATAAAGCTAATAACCATGAGAAAACTTCACCTGATTTGTCGGAAGCAGTAATGAAACAAATCAAACCGAAAACAGATTGAACGATAATAGCTAATAATGGTCTACCGGTTTTATCAATGTAACCTAAGAATTTTGGAGCTTGACCAGAAGCAGCCAAAGCAGCTAAAGTTCTTGAAGAAGCATAAACTGAAGAGTTACCAACAGATAAGACGGAAATTAAAATAACAGCATTCATAACTGATGGTAAACCTTTGATACCAGCATCTTCGATAGCAATAACGAAAGGAGAAGCAGCAGCATCATAAGATGATTTAGCATCTTCAATTCTTTGTTCATTGTAAGGAACTAATAAACCAACTAAACATAAAGAAATAATGTAGAATAAAGTAATTCTCCAGAAAACTTGCTTAGTAGCAGATGGTAAAGAAACTCTTGGGTTTTTAGTTTCAGCAGCAGCTAAACCAACTAATTCGGTACCAGCAAAAGCGAAAGCAGCAGAAACGAAATTGACACAAACCCCTTTAGCACCGTTTGAGAAGGCACCTGGGTTAGCCCAGTATCTACCACCAATATATTCTTTGTTTGGACCACCACCGGCAGCTAAAATAATACCTAAAAAGATGAAACCAATAACGGCAATAACTTTAACGGCAGAAAAAGCAAATTCGGCTTCACCATAACCTTTAACACCGAAGAAATTAATAGCTACAATAACTACCCAGAAGATAGCCACAAATGCGGCTGAATTAATTTCATCATTCCAATATTGAACAACAATAGCTGCAGCCACCAATTCTAATGGGAAAACAACCAACCATTGCATAGCATAATTCCAAGCCATAGCGAAACCCCAAGATGGATCAACGAATCTTGAATTATAAGTAACGAAAGCACCAGAAACTGGGAAAGTAATAGCTAATTCCCCTAAAGATTGAACGGTACAATACATCATAACCCCGATTAAAGCATAAGCAATTAAAACCCCAGCTGGACCACCATTTCTTAAAGCACCACCGGAACCAACGAATAAACCAGTACCAATTGATCCTCCAATAGCAATCATCTGTAAATGTCTAGATTTTAATCTTCTATTTAATGGAGCATTAGCAGTTTTAATAGCTAATTTTTCAGTTTCAGTCAAATTAGGATCTAAACCTAATTCATCATCATCGACTTTTTTGAAATCATCAATAAATTTAGACCATCCAGTTAATTTTGGTTTAGAGTCTTGAGCATCGAAAGCATCGATGTAAACTCCACCATCTTTCTCACCATCAGCAGCACCTTCTTTGGATCTGATATAATCTAATTCTTTAGCAACCATTGTTAATAAAAGTTATTCTAAAAAAAGATTAGACAAGTAATTGAAAAAAAACTTATGGGGATATCAAGTCTATTTAAAGTCAACGACTGTTGGTGGAAAAAGAAAGGTGTAAATTCTGGTTATCAGAAATATTCTTTTGGTTGGTTAACGACATTTAGATAACAGAAATGATATGCCTTAATGTTTTTGATAAACTTGACGACATTTGGCATGGACCACCAAGATGTTAGTGGAAATCTACCAATGATAGGCTTAGATTGAAGGTTATCAAACTTTGTCACCTGACTTCCGGTAAGTCTTTGCCCGACATCCACCTATCAATAAGAATGATTACGACAAGAGATAATACAACAGACGACATCTTGGGTGAAAAGTGCCTTGAGACATTTTTGCAATTCCTTTTTATGAAATTTCAACCGAATAATAATCATACAATGGTAGTATTAGACGAGATGGTTTGATGGTCTTTGTGTTCATTAATTACATGGTTTTGCACCCGATCAATTGGCAATTATAGAGGTATGATCTAGCTGATTAGATAGCATTATACACTGGGGTAATGTAAGGCGATAAAATCAGTATAGATTAAGGTACACTTGGCGAATCCAATCGCCTTTCATAAAATGCCCTTCATCTTTTTTTTTTATACGAAATTTCTTGTTATAGGAATTTATACGGAAAGTTTAATTGAGATCCTGCTACGTATTTCCTCTTTTTGTGTTATATACCTTCCACTACCTGCCATTTTCGAGGAATTACCCATCAAATTCGAACGTGAGTTTATTTTTTATGGTAATTGCAAGAAATTGTACGATAGTACGATTGATTTTATCTGCAAACTGATAACTGTGGTTTATTTTACTGATAAGGTCAAGAAAATCATTTACAAATGCCTTTCAATTTGATTTCAAAATATCAAATGTCAAGAACCAAAAGAAATTTTTCATGGTTGAGACCCTTGGAAAAATTAAAGAATGTCTTGACATTGACTTTGATTTGTGAAAATCTTTCAACATTAACTGTAACGGCCTCGATGGCATGCTTTTCTTTTTTTTTGCCTTATCTACGGGTAAGATTAATAAGTTTACCATTAAAGTTTTTGTTAGCGGATAAAATCTTTTGGAAAGTATAGCAAAATATCCCTAAGCGCAAATTTCATTTGTAACTGAAAAATTTATAAATGTGGAAAATGTCTCATTTTCGACGTCAAGTTGCTTTTTCTAGCAGGTTTCATAAGTCCAGTTACGCACAGAATGGTGCGAATTGATGCGCTGCGGTAGTAAGCCTTGCGATACCGTCCCTAGTCCGGGCGAGCTTTTTTTTCCTCCAACATTTTTTCCTTCAACAATTTTACCTCTTTGCCAGCGCGGCCGAGAGCTCCCTGGAACTCTGCCACTATTCGCGGCTCCCTGGACCGCACAATTATGATTGATGCTGGTTCGAGGGTTGGAAGGAGTGAAACGCGAAGAGATGACCGCGCGATAAATAAACAATTGATCTTAAAACAATAATAGACACTTTTACATTTGAACATTTGGTTAACTGATGGATGATACAACCGATGTTGATGAGTCAATAGGTCAAATAGGATCCTCGACTCCTACGAATTCATCTTTCTTATCGCCTATCAAAAAGTTTGATAATTTGAACCTTAATAATTTAAGTGATATTTATGAGGATGATAAGAATGATACCAACGAAATAGATAATAGTGACTTTTTAAAAGGATTGAACGCCGAAGTTGATGAGGGGGAAGATGAAAATGATTATTCTAGTGATTGGGCTGGTGACCAAACCATAGAACATTCGACAGATGAAGAGGATTTAGTAGAGATTAAACCAGTATTTTTGAATAAAAGGAAAAGAGACACTTCTGATGTTGAAATGATAACGCCCACATCAAATAACCAATCAGCATCTTCCAATTATGATGATTCTAAGATGTCAATTTGTTCAAATATAACATCCACATCATTATCAAATTTCAAATTAAGTTTTTCCAATTCTGATTCCACACCATGTCCTCCAATGAAAAAACGATTCAAATATGAAACTCCCAATAAGAAAAAATTATTAAACCTATCCAATTCAATCAAAACCAATGTTAAAGAGTTACCCAATTTCAAGCAGAGTGAAATTGAAGAAGATTATCATAGTGGTTCCAGCTCACCAATTGAAGCGATAAAGAACCAACAATCCACGCCAATATCTCAGTCCACGCCGTCTAATTCCCGTGCTCCGTCACCTATAGAATCAAAAGGTACCATAAATGGATATACCATGATAAATCGTGAGATACCTAATGGTGTAGATGTTGAATATGACAATGAAAATATTAATCAACCAGAAGAAGAATCATTTGATATCGGCAATGAAAGGATCAATGACCCTTATCTCAATGAACCCGAAATTTTACATGATAACCTTGAAATACGGAATAATTACATGACAAATAAGTATAAATTACCATTGTTGATTGATCTACCATCAACTAAGAAAGAAATCCTTGAAGTTCTTAACAGCGAAAATATTTATAACTTCTTCAAGTTCATTAAATTGCCGAAAGAATCATTAAAAGACCTTTTGAAAAGAGAAAGAATAAGATGGCATCCTGATAAATGGGTAAATGAATCATTGGATATACAATTTATTTCCAATATTTCATCTTCCATTAACGTTATTATAGAGAGTTACGATTTATGAATTTATTATACAGACTATTAAACAATTTTTGAAACTTATTGAGTATCGATTGGTGTTTTCTCTATTTCTAAATCTTCTTCAATATCTTCTTCAATATCTTCTTCGATATCTTCACCTTCTCCGTCTTCTTTATCATTTAAGGTGGCAGTGTCTTCCTCTTCTTCAGCTTCTTCTTCCTCCTCTTCTTCCTCTTCCTCTTCTTCTTCCTCTTCATCATCATCGTCATCATCTTCATCAACTTGTTGCTCTGGTGGATATTCGTCAGTAGCTCCTTCGTTATCCCAGACGATGTTGAACCTCGTTACTCTTGGTTTTTCAGCTAAGATGTTTCTAACCACATGGTCAACTTGAACTTTTGCTGGAGGATTTTCTCTTAATTCTTCAGAATCATATTCATTATTAACGTAATAACCAACTCTAACGAATTCTCTATCAGCATAAGAACAACTTAACAATATAACAGTCACACTGACTAATTCACTAGCTGGAATCAATTCTGGACTTGGTGGGTCGGCTTGGAATATGAATTTGTTAATTCCAACTGGGACGGGTCCTACCAAGATAGAATCTAATTCTTGATCATGGTCTAATGAATGGGATGAACCAACATATGTCAATTTCCATTCCAAATCATCTTTCAAAGGTTCTAAACATTCGAATGTGATTTCAAACTCATAAGGTTCGTTGAATTTGGCTGGGTTGTTTAAGACTTCGATTCCTAAAAGTGATACAATCGACATGACGCGTTATTTTTCCAGTATCTACAGTTTAAGATGAGTGAGAAAAGTTGAGCCAGTGAGCGACACCAGAGATAGGTGAGACATGAAGAATTTGGTATGGAGAGCAGGGAGGGATACGATAGTTTGAAACCATGGGTATGTAGGAGGATATTGAGTTGAAGGTGGTTATTGAGTTGAAGGTGGGAAGGTGGTTATTGGGTTGTATTCGAGTGTGGATTCTTCTATTCTCTTTATTGAGCATGTACAGTTTGTAAGATATCAATTTTCAAGCTTCAGATTTCAAATTTTGAACTACCTTCACATCCACTCCATCTAATTCCCATAACTGACACTTCTAGTATCATGTGTCTGCCTCTGGAAGTTAGCTTCAAAAACGAATTTCCGCACTCTTATTGAATGCGAACATGAGCTATGATGAACAACTAGAGAAAGAAATTGAAGCCAATGACGGTGATATCAACAAGGTGTTCTTAAAACTTCAAGAAGAATTCTTCATCAAATACAATAAACTGGTTAAATTGAATAATTTCGAAAAGCATCAACTCAAATTATTATCATTCTATAAAAGAAGAAATAATGCTATATTGGATTTATTATCAGAATTCGAACAAGGAGAAGATGTTAATGAAGACAGGATTAGAAATGTCGAAGCTATGAATGAAAGTTTGAAAGGAAAATTGTCAATAGACGATTTGGATGAAAAGAAGATTCGAAGTTTAAAGATGGATTTATTCCTTGATGAATCAATTTCTGAATTGGAGATAGATGATTTGATCAACATTTCTAAGAATCCTCAAGATATAGAGTTCTGGTTAAGAAGAAATCAACCTAATTTGGTATTATCGAGGTTTAAACCTATTGAACATAAGAACAACAAGTTAATCAAGAACGATTCTAATTTAGATAATTTGAATAACAGTTTGAATAATCATGTCAATAATGTGGGTTCTAAAAAGAGAAAAAAGATATGATTGTAATGGGGTTTATGCATGAATATATATTGTACAAGTAAGTTTAAAATTTTCTCTTTTTGATCAAATTATCTAATATATCTTTATTGTCAAGGAATAAGTTGAAAATAAAGTTTCTTTTACTGAAGTTATAACTTGATTGGTCAATGATTTTGATGACTTTCAAGAAATTATCAAAATTAAATAATTCAGGCTCTTCCTTCTTTAAAGTAATGAGTTCTTTGGCTGATTTCTTTTCAATTCTGGTTAAGAAACTCAGAAATTTATAAATCTCCAGTACCACCGGATTACCTTCAATGATCTCTTCATTGATCATATTAATAGAAGAAATGGTAGAACTGTTCTCAGTATTGAACAAATTATCATCTTCAAAGTTAGGATAAGCAAAGTTTGACTTTTGGATTGAATTAGAAATTATCCAATTTAATTCATCAAGAATTTCAATTCCTTCACTATTATTTGAAATCTTCCCAATTTGATAGAAAATCATTCCTTTGATGGACCAATTCTTATTGGATTTCAATTGGTTGATAACGAAGATCAAGAAATTCAAATCAATTAATTGAATTCCATATTTGGAAGAATTAATCTCTCCAAGAATCCATAAACTTTGTTTAAGTTGACGGAATTGGTTAGAATCCAATTTTTCAAGTTTGAGATAGGTTTCTATCTCATGACACATACTTCCAATGAAATCAGTTTCATTATTGAATTTTTGGAAGTATAAAATACCTTCTTTGGTGTCCAATAATTTCTTCAAGAAGAAATTGTACTTTATAGGGTTGAGGTTTTTGAAATATGGATAGAACATTTCATTAAATTTGAACTCATAATATTTAAGGATTTCGAAATTCCTCATATTTTGCAACCATACTTCAAAGTTGGCATCAATATACTGAAACTTTTCAAGGTATTTAAACCCAGCTGATGTGGATAAAAGACTTGAGAGGAAATGACCTCCATAGATAGATTTGTTCAACAAATGCACTGGAGGATTAAACTTCAAAATCTCTTTGGTATATTCAGGATTAAGATCAATAAGCTTGATCATGGATAAGGTGTTTTTATCATAGATATTCTTCATTGCCAATTTGATAATGAAATTTTGATTCAAATTCAATTTAGGTAATAAGTGGATGATTTCTGATTTCAAAGAACTATTTCCAATCATCAAACCAAATGATAATAAGTTCAAACATTTGGAGTTATTATAATCGATGGTTTCAAACAACTTAATAATGAAATAATTATTATATTCTGTAAACTGAGAAGATTCAATGATATTATTGATAAGTTGGAAGAATTGCCAATAATTCAATAATTTCATACCTTGAGGTTTGGTAAGCTTACCGATGAATTTGATATACCCAAAATTGGAGGTTTCCACTAAATTTTTCTTACATAAGATGGGATTATCAGCAATAATCCCACTCAAAGGATCAATTTGTGATAATAATTCCACCATTTGTAATAGAATCTTATTTTTGAATAATATCTTATGACCATTTTCAAACTTCAAGAAAATCTCAAACATCTGTTCCCCTATAAGAACTATTTTATTACACAATTTCGGTTTCACTTTCATATTACAAAACCTGAATTTGAACGGTCTATAAAATGATAAAAGTCTCTTAAAGAATTTGGGTTGTTTCTCTAGCACTTCGTTGAATCGCTTTTCAAAACATAAAGGTCCAAAGAATAATTGGTCAATAATTGTCCAATCCCAATCCATGAATTCTTTAATAGTCAACACTTTGGATGCGTTGATTAAATGTTTGAACTCATTATCATCAACATTGATTGGTTGATAGTTAATCACAGGTCTACGTAAATTGTCTTGCAAATTATATTGAGTGATCTTAATCAAGGAATGGAGGTTGATTTTGTTGGAAAGTTCAATGTTGTACTCTAAAGGTAAGTATGTTTTGGAAAACTTGTACAAGTTTGAAAGTAAAAGAATAATTTTATCATGTAATTCGTTATTCGAACTATTGTTCAAGTTATAGATGAGTAAATCTATTATACCGATTTTAATCAATATCAATGAGATCAACCCTTGATAATGATTCTTGTAGTTGCTGATTAGATGGTTATCATCATCATTACTTTCATCAAACTCTCCATCATAAATAAACTTTTTAGCTCCATATTTGGTCAAAAACTCACCTATAGTTGATGATCTCAACCAAGGTAATGATCTGACTAAAGTTACATCCAAAAGAATGTCAATTATAAACTCTTTCAATTTCGTGTTTGGTTTCTTCAAATTGTTAATGAAGTCTTTAAGAAATTTGAAGTTGTTCAATGAGGTGGAAATTAAACCATTCCAATTTTTCAATAGCACAGTAATCAAAAATGACAATCTTTGGAACTTACCTAAAGGTAACTTTTCATTATCATCATAGTCATTTTCAAATATAGATATCAAGTTAACAAGATTGTACCCATTTCTGAAGAAATTCTTGAAATTCTCCACTTCCAATAATTTAATGATGATTAAAAGGGAATTCAATTGAATGGTCGAGTTAGATGTGATGTTATCAATAACCAAATCAATGAGAAGATTGAAACCATTGGAATGGTATATCAATTCGGGATTCAAAATGGATATTTCTAGTATGATTTCTATAATAAGATTCTTCAAGTTTGATTCATCAACAAGGTATATTAAGGACTTTATGACTCCAATTGAAAGAAACTTGGATCCATTCTTGATGGTTAAGAATTTATTAATCAATTTCACAGCTTGAAGTTTCTCTATATTGGAATTGTTGGTAGATAATGATATAATTATGAAGATCAAGATTTTATGCTGAACTAATAAATACAACGAATCTTCATTGATGATGGAATATCTTAAAATTTTATAAAACAATGCTTTATATTCAGTTTGGCCGATTGCTAAATAACTTATCTTTCCTAGTATAACTCCAAGATTCAAATCATGCTTCAATTCAGGGTACTGAAGTAGAAGGTCTATCAACTTATTACCGTGGGTTAAAACAACATTGGGTTGAGAATGTGAAGGAGGGAAATTCTGAAGATGTTCATTCAAAGTCCAAGTTGATGATGGGGCAGTATCCGTGACATCTTCGTATTGCTTTTCATGATTCAAACTAGCAATAGATATTGATCGTATTCGATTATTCATTAATGGTTTTGTAGAGTGCGAAGTTTGAACCAGTGGTTAAACAGTATGGTCAAGGATGGTGGAGGCGTTTCATGGTTTATGGGGGCCAAATAAGAATCTGAAGGTATAAATATGATCAGAAGTTTGAAACTCTGCGTTGAGAAACCATCCAAATTCAACATCAATCCGTTACACCATCAATTTCGATAAAATCTCATCAAATTACCAAACAAACAAACACTAAACCTAATGTTCAGACCGGGGAATGTAACATGGAGAACAAATACAAAAGGTTACAACTATCCAGCTCGCAATTTAGAGATTCAAACCTTAATTCACCAGCATAAAATTCCCCCGTTAGACATGATTTTTTCTTACCTGCCTCCTACCTGAAACACAAGATATTATTTCCGCTACATCCATAAAATGACCTTTTATTAGAAAGTTGACTTAGCAACTGGATTTATCAAGAATCTCTGAGAACCTCTAAGAACCATGTTCACTTATCACAGTTCAAAGCAAGTCGACCTAAATCCATGATCAATGATTTAATGATTTTCGTCTCTATGATATCATATAGGGTTTATTGGTTTATGTACACACCGGAGAACAAGACATGTCTATTGGATGAGGGGACAAAGATCAAGGTACGGAAGCGAAATATTTGACGAGTATCAAATAACCTAACAATACGAATTATAAAAAAGATGACGAGTTTGTTGTTTATCTGGTAAACAGTAAGATATTATTACACGGGTAGTTAACTGATAAAAATATAAGGGAATCTATCGGGTAACCAAAAAAGGCAATGTCGGGATCCTTATTCTCAAAGAGGTAATTTCAACACATAAATGTCCAAGGTCGCAAATTTCCTAAGGGAACTTTTTGTTAGAGATAAAAGATTATTTAGTGGGGGAAGTAAGATAAACTAATCCGGATGTCGTGGCCGGGTAAGTTCAATAGGGAATTTTCACACAGTGGAAAGTAAATAAAGTTACGGTTATTAAATTAATAAGAAACATAAAAAGTTATTTCGCCCTATTATAAATTACTTATTGATAATTTGACATTAAATCTTTGACACATTGAAATTATTCTCTTAGCTACAACCCACTTTCTTACCCTCTAACAGAATTATGTCGTGACGTTATGGTCATGGAACTATCAATTAACCCGCGACACCCCTCTAGATAATCTTATAATTAGTATAGTGATTAAGTAATCGAGGTCGTGTACGCGAGGCGAATTTTCTTAATCTAAGTTTTTTTTAATCTCCAATTTGCCTCACCAATTTTTTTGTTCATATTTTTTCCCTTAGTTTAGCAGTGAATTCACTAAAGTTTTATCAATAACTTTGCTAATATTATCAATTATCGTTTAAAATTCGTTGGTTTGCCCTGATTATCTATTCCTTAATTATTTTAATCACTTCCCGTCATTAAAATATCATCAAAAATTAATCTAATTGGTTTGAATTTAGTTGTTTAATTACCATTATTTCCAATATATTATTTCGAAAAATTTAAATTAAAAAAACATCGTTATGACTCAAGTAGGTAGAAGAAGATTATCGTTATTCTCATTTGGTTCAAAAGATTCTAATTTAGATCATAATCCATCAACTTCACCTTCGGGATCTCAAGATTATTCAGTACCTGAAAATTCTGAGAAGTTCCCACTTTCAGAAAATGGTGAATCTGATACAAAATCTGACACAAAATCTGAAGAAGATTTACATATCTTCGAAAGATCAGTTCAAGATCAAATTCCTCCATTATTGAATTCGAGAAGACCAACTATGACCAAATTAAAATCAAGAAATTCTTCAATTTCTTTATCAACATTCAAAACTGAAGATTATGTTCCTCCAGCTTTAGATGCCACTACATCTATTATTGCCGATTCTAAAACCAATTTAGATGATGTAGAAATGATTTATAGCTCAAGAAGAAATTCTTCAGTCATGGGATTAAATATGGCTTTGGGTAGATCTCCATCGTCTCCTTCGAGAAAAAATTCTGTTTACTCAATGTCCCAATTAAATAATTTACCTGCTTTGAATGTGAATAATGTCAATCCAACTAATTCAACAATGACTCAATCAAATTCTGTAAATCATCCAATTTCACCAACTTCTCCACCAAAATTAACAAGTTCAAAATCTTCAATTTCATTTTATTCATATGCGGATTTATTGAATAATGATGAATTTGCTAAAAGACCAACTTTCAATAATTCTTATTCTCAAAGTTTTATTCCAACAAGAAAGAGTTCAGTATCATCAAAATTACATTCGAATTCTCATCCTCATTCTCCTTCATTACCTTCAAATCAATCATTTAATAATAGAAAATTTAATTCTTCTTTGAATAAATTTTTAATTTCTCCTGAAAGTAGTGATAGTGAAGATGATAAATTGAAAAATGATAATGAAAGTTTCGTTTCAAGTTCAATTGGTGATTGTTTAAGAACAAACACTGCAGAATTAAATAATTCTCAATAATTTATTATTTCTATTAGAAAGCTTTATGGGGTATATCGGTTGTTTTATGTAAAAATCTGAATTATGAAATTTCAGTGTGTATAATAAAAATATTTGTATTTCAAGGATCTCTATTGTTGTGCTGAAGACTTTCACAGTATCGAGATAAGTCATAGATAAAGCAACAAGCGAAGCTGTAAATCAGCACACGAAGCTGTAGATGAAGCAACAAGCAAAGCAACAGATAAAACAGCAGATAAAACAGCAGATAAAGCAGCAGACGAAACTAAATAACAGCACGACAGGAGCGTACTAAGCTATAGACAAGAGCGTACTAAGCTATAGACAAGAGGTACAAGAGCATAACCAAAAGAAAACCCGTACATTCATAAATAATTCTTTCTATTAGCAGTTCTAATGAATTTTTTCAATTGCCATTCCACATCAGCATCCTTATCATCAACATTACCCAATCTTAATTCAAATAATCTCATTTCAAATCTTGGTCCAACTTCACTGATTTCAACACCGTCTTTGGTTTTAACGTAAACATGATGACGTACTGATATAAAATCATCTTTATTTAAAAATGTAATCACTCTTGATGATTTTTTTGTGCCTGGAGGGAATAAATGTTGTAAAATTTGTACTACTCTATTACCTAATTTGGTAGTGAATCCTTCGAATATTAAATGAGGATATTGTTGTGAAGCAGTTCCCATATCAGGTAAATCATGTCTTAATTTAACATTATGTAAGGTGAACATAGCTGAAGGACCATGAGGGAAATGATTAATCGTCAAAGATGTCGGTACACCTCTATGTTCATGAAGAACTATCATGTCACTATAACCTGACTTTATTGAACTTTGAATCAAATCTGGTACAACGTAACCACCTCTATTAACTTTTCTACAGTTTGGAATCAATAATTGGATTTCTTTGGAGAATTGTAATAATTTAACACTTGGAGATCTGGAAGTAGTAACTAATACTTCAGGTTCTACAACACCACTGGACATGGCGTACTCATCGTCGATATTAACTTGTTCTGATTCATCATATATATAATCTTTGATTAATTGTTTGTCATCACTTAAATCTTGAGGCAAAGGTTTACCACTAGCTAAGTATGCTTTCAACTGAGCTCTTTTCTCTGTAAGCTTAGACTCTTGAAGTTCTTGAGACTTACGGTATAAATATTCCCTTCTTTCTCTAGCTTGTTTCCTAATCATTGAGATGAGATGAAATTTTTTAGATGCGAATGCGACTTAACTATGAGGTGCTAGAGAAGATGAGGTACTGAGTTCTCAGTATTGAGTTCTCAGTGAGATATTCTGTGAGGAAATCTCTTGGACATAAGCAGCGTAACTCGAAGTTCATTAAATTCATCTCACTGACCACATAATGAAAGAATTTTTCACCTCATCTGTCCAGTTATCTGTAGTTCACAGATTTTGCGAATTTTACCAATTGAAAGAACTAATTGGAAGAACTAATCGTAAGGTATACATAAATAATGACTATTTACCGTTTTATTATTTATCGCTGTCAATGCTAGCATTCTCGTTGGGAGTTAAATCAGATAACGAATCTCTTTCCTGGTGACGAGAGTTTTGGAAATGAACAGATTGCCCGAATTGAGGTTGATGAAGATGAACTTCACCATGATTGTTTTGATTTGTATCACCAACAGGTCCCGAGAATGAATTTGGTCTTGCAATCGTAGATGCTCTTCGAGACCTCTCCCTTTCCATAACAAATGTGGATCTTCTTTTCCTTATTTCATCACCTTTTCTACTGATAGCTTTGAAAAGCTCTGAACCGATTCCACCTCCCATTCCTTTACTCGTTGGGCTTCTTGCAGTATTACTAACACCTGAAGTTGTTCCCGTACTCATGGATCTTTCGAGAGTCTCTTGACGTCTTAATTCATGATTTTCTTGTAAATAGTCTCTTCTTGTCATATCGTCATTAGGTAACATGATGGCTCTATCGAGATTATAAGGCAAACCTCTATGCCTTCCTCTAATCATAAGAGCGATGATAATCAATTTTGAAATCGTAGTGAACTCTCCCGACAATGAAGTGTCCGAATTAGGAAATCCTTGTGATAATCCTACTGTACCATAGGCTGAAATAACTTCAAACAATATTGTGAAAGGTGTGAATCTGACATTGTCTTTATCTAATTTGGAGTTTTCTGCAATACAAATGAGGAACAAAGCTAAAAAGATGAACCATAAATCAAAACTAAGTTGATTTCTTAAATGGTTGGAAATGAAATGAGTGGGTGATTTTTCATCATCATCAGCATCACGATCTTTCAAATAAACACCCAAACTTTGTTCTTCATAAACATTGGTACGTCTAATGGAAATAGCGATAGGTAAAACAGAAATATACATCATGATAATATAACCAACTTGAACAGCATAATGTAATTGACTGATATCCACCACAGTAGTACCGGAGGTTCTTGTCGAAACAGCGGTATATAAACCACAAACAACTCTATAACCTGTGGGTATGTTCATTAGATAATCATTATTCAAATCTAAGATAATAAAGAAGATTAAATCCAATCCATTTAATATTATCAAAACTGCCAACAACCACCACGTAGGGCCACTAGGGAAAAGTAAAGTAAAACAACGACGAGGATGATCGAGTAAGAATTGAAGACTCTCTTGGTAAAGAGTAAGTGGCTTGGCGAATTTCAATAAAATCCAAATAATAAATCTTAATAAGACCGGGAATCCAGTGTTTCCGATGACAATGAAAAAAGCACCCCAAATCATAATGTAATAACTCTGGTTATAATCTATCATGGAATTTGGAGTGAGTGTGAAACCAACATCATTGAATTGGGAGGCAGCTGTGAATATTCCCCACCATGATTTATTGATTCCATAACCATGCAATTGTTCTATGTGTTGAGGTTTATATTGAATCCAAATAACATTGACAATAAGAGCGAGTATGTGGAATCCAATGTAATAACCCCAAACAATCTTTATAAGGAGTTTAATGGCTCTATATTCCACACCACCCAATTCAGCTTTTTGATCATCTGTTAAATGGACAAAATTAGAATTACGTCCAACAGTAGGTTCCCAACTCAAGTAGTTAACAGTCTTTGATCTTGATAATGAGTTGGATAAAGTGTTAGATATCGAGGTGTAAAGAGACTCTTCGTCGTCCCTTCTCCTATGAGGATTTAAATGTGATTGGTTTGGCTCGTCTTCGGAATCAATGGATTCTTCCGATCCATTGGACATAGTACGGTTTTTCTTGAATCTACTAGTAACCTTATTAAGTCTTCTCAAAGGTTGGTTAAATTGAACTTTGGTGAAAATTGGTGAACCATCTTCATTTTCAATTTGATTAGGAGATTTTATCACTAAAACTTCACCGTCTTCATCGTCATCAATGATAGCTCTTTCATTAGGGTGATTTCTTAACAACTCAATAGATCTATACATATCAGAAGCTGAAGGATCGGGTCTTTTGGGTAATTGGAATCGTATACCTCTTTCTTCATCATTATTTGCCGTATTGGAGGTATCAACAGGAGTTGAAGAACTGGAACTAGGCTCGGAAATATGTTCCACCGAACCTACCGATGCCGGGTTTTCTTCATCACTTCCCACATCTGTAGAAGTGGGATTATTGTTTGTATTTGGAGGATGAATATTGACCATTGGAATACCCAAAGTTTGATTATTTTCAGTATTTAATTGAGTACCATCTCTTCTACTTCTTCCACTCATGTTGGTCATGGTGTTAGCTAAACTCATAGTTCTTCTCATCTTATTATTCAATTTGGAGCTCTCTTTGATATTATCGAAATACCTTTCAAACCCATACAACCTTATGAACAATAATGTTCCATGGATAAATATTGGTGTAGTAAACATGGGTAATAAATAGATGATTATCTGTTGGTATAACTTCAAATCATTGACGTCAATAGTATTCAAACCTGACTGAGTGGCAGCACCTGAAGAAAAGAATAACATATCGATGAAAGGACTATTTCTTATTGGGAATAGAATTATAGCACCTAGTATAGCCCAGAATAAGATATAAACATAATGAGCGATTTTGAAGTTAGGAATCAATATTGAAATATAAGGATGGATTATTGATAGTATTCTATCAATGAAGGTCCTTAACCTTAACCCAAATTCACCTCTCATTATCGTTTAGACTATGAACAGTTAAGTTCAATGAGATGAAAGTGAAATATCGCGCAGGATAAGATTTATTAGGAAACGTGATGAGTGAAAGCTTTGTGGGAACCAGCGACGAAGGTCAAAGGGACATTAAGAGGAATGGCAATGAACGATTAGGACAAATCAAGAGGGATTGAAAGTTCTTGGTTATGATCAGTGGATGCTGTTTTTATGTGGATTGAATCTTGACAGGTGCGAAGCCGTTCCAGAATTTCATTGTTCTGTTGCAGCGCCTTAGATAGCCATGGATTAAAGGAAATATCCTCTAGCTCGCCCTCTCAAAATTCATGTCTAGCAAACCACGACTTGTCTGTATTGTCTTAATAAAAGTAAGAGTCAAAACCCCGAAAAACACCTAACCTATGAACCGGAAATTGAAGCGAGCTACAATTGACCTCGCTTTATTCCGCAGAGTCATATTGACATCCCCAAGGGACTCTAATACATCATAAAAATAACCCTATGCACGACCAAGATCAAGTAAAGATATTGTCACACGACAAACTCCATTTTTCCATCTATTTTGTAAGCAAAGTGAAATACTTCTTGATATGTTCCGTAAATGATTAACAAAACTCCCGTATTTCAATCTACAACTTCACAGTAGTCATGGCCTTATATTTCATGTTGTTATGGGTCGCTACCATTCGCCATTTTGTGAAAAAATAGGTCGTGTACTCATACGCATATTTAATGACGTTTGAGAGATGAGATGTGTTTGACTCAATTCAAGACATTTAAATAGACTCGAGATTCCCACCAAAAAATCTTCTTTCTTCCTCTCTCTCTCTTTCTCTTAGTAGTAGGATTGAAAGGTATGTCTTTTACTTATTACTTATTCTTATTATGCTCAATGTTATATTTGGTATTGTTAATGATTCAATGATCTGGAACATTCAAGATAATTGATCTTTGAGTCATTTTGACTCCATTTAGTAGATTTTTTAATTGCTTGAAAAATCTATTAAATTGAATTATTTCAACTATAAATCAACTTAAAATTGTTCGAAGTTGGATTATAACGTGTAAACGATTCAGATCATCTTGAAAATCGGGTTTATTGTTATCGGATCAATAACCAAATTAAGTAATAACGAAGGGTTCTTTTTTTTCATTGGAGATTTAACTCCTAAAAGTCATCGCGAATACTAATTTTTATAGCGTTACTCCCCCATAACTCATTCAAATACTTCAAATACTTCATTTCTTTTTTATAAGGTTAGAGCATATAAGAAAACATAAAGAGAAATGTTGTCAAAGCCAATTTCCCCACCAATGAAATCTACTGGTGATAAATTAATGACTTTAGAAACTAAAGATGGAATTTCTTTACAAGGTTATTCTTTCGGTGCTTCAAAGTCAATTAGTGGTGAAGTTGTTTTCCAAACCGGTATGGTTGGTTACCCAGAATCAATCACCGATCCTTCTTATGAAGGTCAAATTTTAGTTATTACTTATCCATTAGTTGGTAATTATGGTGTTCCATCAAGAGATTTAAAAGATGATGATGTTCCAGATTTACCAAAATATTTTGAAAGTAATAAAATTCATATTGCTGGGTTAGTTGTTGCTCATTATACTGAAGAATATAGTCATTATTTAGCTGAAAGTTCTTTAGGTAAATGGTTGCAACAAGAAGGTATTCCAGCTATCTATGGTATTGATACCAGAGCTTTAACTAAAAGATTAAGAGAAAATGGTTCAACTTTAGGTAGATTATGTTACCAAAAACCTGAAAGTTCTCATGATGCAATTCTCGCTGATTCTGAATGGGTTAAACATTTCGATATTCCTGAATGGGATGATCCAAATGTTAAAAATTTAGTTGACAAAGTTTCAGTTAAAGAACCAAAAGTTTATGAACCAAAACAACCAAAATTGGATAAAAATGGTAATAAAATTAGAATTTTAGCTATTGATGTTGGTCTTAAATTCAATCAAATCAGATGTTTCGTCAGAAGAGGTGTTGAATTAAAAGTTGTTCCTTGGAATCATGATATTTCAACTGAAAAATATGATGGTTTATTCATTTCAAATGGTCCAGGGGATCCTTCAGTTATGCAATCAACTGTTGAACAAATCAAAAAAGTTTTAGATGGTAAAAATGTTCCAGTTTTCGGTATTTGTCTTGGTCATCAATTAATGGCTAGAGCTACTGGTGCTTCAACTTTGAAATTGAAATTCGGTAATAGAGGTCATAATATTCCTTGTACTTCAACCATTAGCGGTAGATGTTACATTACTTCACAAAATCATGGTTATGCTGTTGATACTGAAACTTTATCCAATGGTTGGAAAGAATTATTTGTCAATGCTAATGATGGTTCAAATGAAGGTATTTATCATGAATCTTTACCTTTCTTTTCCGTTCAATTCCATCCAGAATCTACTCCAGGTCCAAGAGATACTGAATTCTTATTTGATGTTTTCATCAATACTGTTGTTGATTACAAAAATGACAAAATCTTAAAAGCTGTTGAATTCCCAGGTGGTAAATTAGCTGATAATTTAGCTTTACACCCAAGAGTTGAAGTTAAAAAAGTTTTGGTTTTAGGTTCAGGTGGTTTATCTATTGGTCAAGCTGGTGAATTCGATTATTCTGGTTCTCAAGCTATTAAAGCTTTAAAAGAAGAAGGTATTTATACTGTTTTAATTAATCCTAATATCGCTACCATTCAAACTTCAAAAGGTTTAGCTGATAAAGTTTATTTCTTACCAGTCACCCCCGACTTTGTAAGAAAAGTTATCCAATTTGAAAAACCTGATGGTATTTATTGTACCTTCGGTGGTCAAACCGCTTTAAATGTTGGTATTAAATTAAAAGATGAATTTGAAGGTTTAGGTGTTAAAGTCTTAGGTACTCCAATTGATACTGTTATTACTACTGAAGATAGAGAATTATTTGCTCAAGCTATGGAACAAATTAATGAAAAATGTGCTAGATCTGAAGCTGTTAATAATGTTGAAGAAGCTATTGATGCTGCCAATGCTATTGGATATCCTTTAATTGTTAGAGCTGCTTTCGCTTTAGGTGGTTTAGGTTCAGGTTTCGCTGATAACCAAGAAGAATTAGTTGCTTTATGTACTAAAGCTTTTGCTACTTCACCTCAAGTTTTAGTTGAAAGATCAATGAAAGGTTGGAAAGAAGTTGAATATGAAGTTGTCAGAGATGCTTATGACAATTGTATTACTGTTTGTAATATGGAAAACTTTGATCCTTTGGGTATTCATACTGGTGATTCTATTGTTGTTGCCCCATCTCAAACTTTAAGTGATGAAGATTACAATATGTTAAGAACCACTGCTGTTAATGTTATTAGACATTTAGGAGTTGTTGGTGAATGTAACATTCAATATGCTTTAAATCCTTTCTCCAAAGAATATTGTATTATTGAAGTTAATGCCAGATTATCAAGATCTTCAGCTTTAGCTTCTAAAGCTACTGGTTATCCATTAGCTTATACTGCTGCCAAATTAGGTTTAAACATTCCATTAAATGAAATCAAAAATTCCGTTACTAAATCTACTTGTGCTTGTTTCGAACCTTCATTAGATTATGTTGTTGTTAAAATTCCAAGATGGGATTTAAAGAAATTCACCAGAGTTTCTTCATTATTATCATCATCAATGAAATCTGTTGGTGAAGTTATGTCAATTGGTAGAACCTTCGAAGAAGCTATTCAAAAGGCTATTAGATCAACTGATTACCACAATTTAGGTTTTAACAAGACTAATGCTTTGATGAGTATTGATATTGATGCTGAATTACAAACTCCTTCTGATCAAAGATTATTCGCCATTGCTAATGCTTTCAGTGATGGTTATAGTGTCGATAAAGTTTGGAAATTGACTAATATCGATAAATGGTTCTTAAACAAATTACACGATTTAATCAAATTTGGTAATTACATTAGTTCATTCGGTACCAAAGAAAAATTACCAATGGACACTTTGAAACAAGCTAAACAATTAGGTTTTGAAGATCGTCAAATTGCCTTATTCTTAAATTCTAATGAAGTTGCTATCAGAAGATTAAGAAAAGAAAATGGTATTGTTCCATTTGTGAAACAAATTGATACTGTTGCTGCAGAATTCCCGGCTTTCACCAATTATTTATATATTACTTATAATGCTGATGCATCCGATGTTAAATTCGATGACCATGGGGTTATCGTTTTAGGTTCAGGGGTTTATAGAATTGGATCTTCAGTTGAATTCGATTGGTGTGCTGTTAGAGCCATTAGAACTTTAAGAGAAAGTGGTACTAAGACTATTATGATCAATTATAATCCAGAAACCGTTTCTACCGATTATGATGAAGCTGATAGATTATATTTCGAAACCATTAACTTGGAAAGAGTCTTAGATATTTATGATTTAGAACAATCTTCAGGGGTTATTATCTCCATGGGTGGTCAAACTTCTAACAATATTGCTTTACCATTATACAGACAAAATGTTAAAATCTTAGGTACTTCACCAGAAATGATTGATTCAGCTGAAAATAGATATAAATTCTCCAGAATGTTGGACAAAATCGGTGTTGATCAACCAGCTTGGAAAGAATTAACTTCCATTGATGAAGCCGAAAAATTCGCTGAAGATGTTACTTATCCAGTTTTAGTTCGTCCATCTTATGTTTTATCAGGGGCTGCTATGAATACTGTTTATTCAAGAGATGATTTAGCTTCATATTTATCACAAGCTGTTGATGTTTCACCAGATTATCCAGTTGTTATTACCAAATATATTGAAAATGCCAAAGAAATTGAAATGGATGCTGTTGCTAAGAATGGTGAAATGATCATGCATGTTGTTTCTGAACATGTTGAAAATGCCGGTGTCCATTCAGGTGATGCCACTTTAATTGTTCCACCTCAAGATTTAGATCCAGAAACTGTCAGAAGAATTGTCGAAGCTACTGCTAAAATCGGTAAAGCTTTAGATATTACTGGTCCTTACAACATTCAATTCATTGCTAAAGATAATGATATTAAAGTTATTGAATGTAATGTTAGAGCTTCAAGATCTTTCCCATTCATTTCTAAAGTTGTTGGTACTGATTTAATTGAAATGGCCACTAAAGCTATCATGGATTTCCCAGTTACTCCTTACCCAACTGAAAAATTACCTGAAGAATATTGTGCTGTTAAAGTTCCACAATTTTCTTTCTCAAGATTAGCTGGTGCTGATCCTGTCTTAGGTGTTGAAATGGCTTCCACTGGGGAAGTTGCTACTTTTGGTAAAAACAAATATGAAGCTTATTTGAAATCATTGATCTCAACTGGTTTCAAATTACCAAAGAAGAATATCTTATTTTCTATTGGTTCATACAAAGAGAAACAAGAATTATTACCATCTATTAAGAAATTACATGAATTAGGTTATAAGATCTTTGCCACTGCTGGTACTGCTGATTTCATTAAAGAACACTCAATTCCTGTTCATTACTTAGAAGTTTTAGATAAAGGAGAAGATCAAAAATCTGAATATTCTTTAACTCAACATTTAGCTAATAATTTAATTGATTTATATATCAATTTACCATCAGCTAACAGATTTAGAAGACCTGCTTCTTATATGTCTAAAGGTTATGAATCTCGTAGAATGGCTGTTGATTTCTCCATTCCTTTAGTTACTAACGTCAAATGTGCTAAATTATTGGTTGAAGCTATTGCTAGAGATATCAAATTAGAAGTTACTAACTTAGATGCTCAAACTTCTCATAAAGTTGTTGAATTACCAGGTTTAATTAACATCACTTCATTCTTAGGTGATTTTAATGAAATCGATTCTCAAACCAAACAATCATTAATCAATGGTTTCACCTATAATTCTTATTTACCTCAAACTTTACAAGGTCCAGTTATTGTTGATAGTGAATCATTAAATGAAGCTATCTCAACTGCTTCCAACACTTCATACACTGATTACTCAATCTCAATTGCTGGTTTAGCTTCTAATTATGAAGATGCTGCTGATGCTGCTAGAGATGCTGGTTCATTATTCTTACCATTTAATGAATTTGCTCCATCAAATGTTTCATCAATTTCTGCTCACTTTGGTTCATGGCCTGATTATAAACCAATTATTACTGATGCTAAAACTACTGATTTAGCTTCTGTATTATTATTGGCTTCATTACATTCCAGATCAATTCATATTACTGGAGTTTCATCTAAAGAAGATTTAGAATTAATCAAAATGGCTAAGAATAAGAATTTACAAGTTACTTGTGATATTTCAGTATTATCATTATTCTTATCACAAAAAGATTATCCTGAATTTACTTTCTTACCAACAGTTGAAGATCAAACTGCTTTCTGGAACAATTTAGAACACATTGATTGTTTCTCTATTGGTACTTTACCATATATCTTTGCTAAGGCTAAAGGTATTGAATTCACTGATTTTGGTATTAAAGAAATTTTACCATTATTATTAACTGCTGTTAAACAAGGTAAATTATCAGTTGATTCAATCATTGAACATTTCCATGATGCTCCAGTTAGAATCTTCAACTTACCAAAACAAGATGCTACTGTTGAAATTGATTTAGATAGAACTGTTCAAGTCAGTGAATTTACTGGTGAAAGATTAAATGGTTACATCAATAGAGTTTCTATTCATGATAATACTGTTGTCTTAGATGGTAAAGTCATTATTGCTGAAGCTACTGGTAAATATGAAGTTGAAACTACTTCAAGAGCTAGATTTGGTTCAGTTACTCCTTCTTCACCAATCTTGAATAGAAAAGCTAGAAGTTCATTTGGTGATGGTAGAAGACCTTCAATGACTAGTCATTTCGAACAAGCTGAATTTGAAAAAATCGGTAAAGAATTAGTTAGTCAACCACCAGTTTCTGGTTTAGGTGAAACTAATGCTTTAATTAATTATATCAGAAAGAACAACACTTTCTTAAGAAACAATGTTTTATCAGTTAAAGATATTACTAGATCCGATTTACATTCATTATTCACTGTTGCTCAAGAAATGAGATTATCAGTTGAAAGAAGAGGTGTTTTAGATATCTTAAATGGTAGAGTTTTAGCTACTATGTTCTATGAACCATCAACTAGAACTTCATCATCATTTGATGCTGCTATGCAAAGATTAGGTGGTAGAGTTGTTGCCGTTGTTACTGATGCTTCATCTGTTAAAAAAGGTGAAACTTTACAAGATACTATTAGATCATTAGCTTGTTATGCTGATGCTATTGTCTTAAGACATCCAGAAGAACAATCTGCTGATATTGCTGCTAAATATTCTCCAGTTCCAATTATCAATGGTGGTAATGGTACTAAAGAACATCCTACTCAAGCTTTATTAGATTTATTCACTATTAGAGAAGAATTAGGTACTGTCAATGGTATTACTGTTACTTTCATGGGTGATTTGAAATATGGTAGACCAGTTCATTCATTATGTCATTTATTAAGACACTATCAAGTTAGAATTCAATTAGTTTGTCCAAAAGAATTGGCCTTACCTGAATCTATCAAACAAATGTTAAAAGAAAATAACATGTTAGTATTAGAAAGTGAAGAATTAACTCCAGAAATCATTGCTAAATCAGATGTCTTGTATTGTACTAGAGTTCAAAGTGAAAGATTCTCTGATCCTGCTGAATACAATAGATTAAAAGATACTTATATCGTTGATAATAAGATCTTATCTCATGCTAAACAACATATGTGTGTTATGCATCCATTACCAAGAACTAGTGAAATCAGAGAAGAAGTCGATTTCGATCAAAGAGCTGCTTACTTTAGACAAATGAGATATGGTTTATTCGTTAGAATGGCTTTATTAGCTATGGTTATTGGTGTTGATTTCTGATCTATTTAAATAGAATTATCATTGGGGGATGATAATTGTATATAGTTTTTAAAAATTTAGATTTGTTTATTCTCACGTAGTCATGACTATATAATATACACTTTATTAATTATACACCGTTAAAAGTTCGTTTGGTTAAAGAACATATTTATCTTTATCTTCTTCATTTTCATCGTGATTATCTTCATTAGCTTGAATTAAAGCTCTAGCTATTTCAAGATCTTCTCGATTATCATATTTATGACTAGCAAATTCAACATCAGGATCAACAGGAATATCATTTTGTCTTTTATAATAGTCATTAGAATATTGGAATTCTGATCCTTGAGCTGCTGCTTGAGCATAACTTTGGGGGTTGGCATTTCTTAATTGTGATCTTTGAGCTGCTTCAACAGCTGCAATGATATTATCATCTAATGCGGATAAGTCTTGGGATGATAAAACTGACTCATCACGAAGATGAACGATATCATCAACTTGTAATCTGTTTTTAATAATACGGGCATTTGGATTATTTGGTTGAGATTGTATAACTTTATGAATTCTTCTATTATTAGGAGGATTATTGTTAACTACTGTGGAAGTTGATGGTACAGTACGAGGTTTATTAAAACGTTTGACTATCGTTGGATCTCCTGATTGATCTCTACATTCAGCACAACTTTTAATTGCTGCTGCTACCGTATCTTTAATTCTTGACCAATGGTACTTCTCAGCCACTGCTGATGTAGTCTTATTTATACCTCCATGATTCATCAAATGATATTCAGTACAAATTTGAATTTGTCTGACAGGATCAGCTACTACTTCTTTATCCTTTAACATTAATTTGCCATTCTCTAATCTATAATGACTACTAGAACTTCTTAATCTTGACTTCTCTTGTCTATCTGCCATAGCTGGGTATCTACCAGTTTCAAGATAAAATTTGATCTTATCGAACCTATAAGCACCGATCGAAGGATCTGGATTACTTACCAATTCTCTACCATACATAATAGCATCAACAGCTGTTTCATGACCTTTTAAAATCCCGGCTCCTTTTACTCTCCCTACTCTTTTGAAATTAGTAGATTCTAATACTCTTCTAGCAGGTACATTCGTTTCAAATACTAAATTGAATAAAGAATATGTATAACCTAATCTTGGTGACCATTGAAGATAACAATCAACCATAGTACGACCAATACCTTTACCTCTAATCCCTGCATTGACAATAAAACTTCCGGTACAAATATGACCTGATCTACCAGGATAACTTGGTTTGATATAAAAACTTCCAAGACATTCTTTCTCCCATTGTTTGGGACCTTCTAATCTTGGATTATCACCTAAAATCATCACAGCAGCGAAATGATTAAACCAATAATTTTGGAACAGTTCTAAATCAAGGGGTTCAAAAAAAGTTGAAGTTTCTCCAGCTTCAATCTCCATATTCATTTCATCACAAAGAAATGCTAATAATCCATCAGGCAACTCATTTACCGAAAAAATAGGATAAATAGTAGCTGTTGTTTCACCATCTCTTAATAATACCGTGTATCTGTCTAATTGAACAGGTTGAAATTCCAATGGTTTATAATTGTGTTCTTCGTCATATTTCAGCATTACCTTTCTTTTAAATCAAGATTTCAACTATGACGTTAATTAAGTTACTATAATATTGGCTGCAAAGGGTGTAATCACTATACTGTTGTGTATTTTTAAGTATAATGTTTATCGCATCGCAAAAGTTTTGAGTATGGGACATAAGTCACGTGAGTGAAAGAAACAAAAGTCATGTGATTAGATGAACATTAGAAGAGGAAGGGTTGAACTCTGAAGGCATATTTTATCACTATATCTAAAAAAAAATGAATCATCTATTTGAAATAAGAGTCATTGGGGACATGATCAACGTGTGAAGGTAATAATGGTTGATTTTGTAAGTCTTTACCATACATTACAGCACCAACTAACTTGTTTTCACCTTTCAACACAGCTACATTCTTGACATAACCGATTCTTTCAAAACCTAAACCATCCCAGATCTTCAAACTAGCAACATTGGTTTCAAAGACCAAATTGAATACTGAATAGGTGAATCCTAATTGAGGTGCTAATTCGAGATACTTTCTACCTAAAGCTTTACCAATACCTAAACCTCTTTTGTTATAATTGGTGATAAACCCAGCATTACATACATGTGAACATCTACCAATGTAATTGGATTTAATATAGAAGTTACCTAAGAATAAATCATCCCAGTTCTCGGACCCCTTTAATGACTCATAACTAGTGTAAGTACCTTCGACTAAGATTGCAACGAAATGAATAAACCAATAGTCAATAAACTTTTGTAAAGGGAAAGGTTCATGGTGTGGGTAAGTTTTCCCTTCTTCAATAACATGATTAAATTGTTTGTGAAGGGTCTTTACTAAAGACAATGGGATTTGATCGGCTTTATGTACGGGAATCAAGGTGACTTTTTTACCTTTGAGTTCATAATTTTGGAATTTGGTGATGACAATTGGAAATTTACCATCAGCAAATGGCAAGTCTTTGGCAAGTTGGAAATCAGAAACCATTTTATTGTATGAAAAATCGATTTTGCAAAACGTTCTTTATCTCAGATCTTATATAGGAAATCTACTACCGCAAATTTATCGCATTAAAAAAAAAATCACCAGCGATGATAACGACGTTTAACGACGATAAGAGGCGTTCAGTTTCTGAGAGTATGTAAGAGTCGAGGAATGAAATGGGTGATCATATAACCATAGGATTTCATGAAAAGGACTTATATTAACGAAATTTATAGATATAAGTAAAAAGGATAAAAGGCGTCAACAAGTCAGCTTAAGACTCAATAAACTTGACTCGACGTTTAATATCGAAAGAGAAAACTATTATCGAGTCACCTTACATAACTTACAAAACAATTTGGCCACATTACAACAAGGAGTCAATGAAGAGTTCATGGAAATGAAAAGTGAATTGGAGGTTACCAGAGATTTCGAATTAACTAAATTAAGATTATGGGAAGAATATCAAGTCAAAAGATGTGAAGATGAATATAAATCTGATTTACAAATAGCCAAAGAGAATCATGACAAGATGGTGAAGTTAATAAAGGAAAAATTATATGATAAATTACAGAATGAAATCAAGCAATTGAAGGAAGATAAATTATTACTTAATTTAGTTAATGCCAATAGTTGGGGAAATTCTCTGGATCCTACCACAGTAGCATTGAATTCTATTGCTGGAAGTACTTTGAATGATAGAAGATCATTAAGAAAAAGAGAATTCAGTAGATTCACTTCAGGGGAAGCAGAAGATTTATCTGATGGAGGTAGTGGTAATACTACAAGTGGATATTTCTCAAGTAATGGGAAAAGAAGAAGACATTATGCCACCAGGTATTCATCCAACGATGAAACTTCCAGTGTTCAACATTCACATAACCATTCGAAATTGAATCAAAATGGGTTAAGTAGTGGGAATGATTCTAATTTAAGTGATAAAGATTATGATGCATTGAATAGTATAATAATGAATAATGAAGATGGAGGAGTATCCCTTATATTGGCTGATAAACGTCAACAAGGAAAAACTACTAGAAATAACAATAAACAATTTGTTGGAGTTCAAGGATTGAAGCCTGAGGAATTGAATGATGATTTAAATTTATTGAGAGGTGCCATGAAGTTTGAACATTAATATTTTGATAATTGTTCGTAGATGCTATTGCTAAATATTGTTGGTAAATGCAATGTTTTTTCGTGGCTTGTCATCTCATCACCTAAGCCCCCTATGTATCACAGAACCTGGAGTTATGTATAGTAAATGTAAAGTAATTTTCGCGACACGATCTGACACATTGAATTCTGGGAACATGAGTGTGTTTGACGTCAAGGCGAGCAAAAGGCCAAGAATGAAACGACTAATGAAGTATTTGATAGTTCTTGGTATGATGGTTATACTTTCCACATTATATTTTACCGATATAGATGATGGAGTTATAAAAATGACCGATGAAGAGCTTATACGATATAGATCAGTTAAACTGATAAAGGAAGTGAATATGAGTGAACGTGATCTTTCAACTAATATTGATAGTGTATTTCAAGTGGGATGTAGAGAAATTGATTCTAGTCAACCAAGAGCAAATGCAAGTCTTGTGATGCTTGCAAGGAATCAGGAGATAGATGATGTGATAAAGTCTATGATATCAATGGAAAGGCATTTCAATCAATGGTTCAATTATCCATGGGTTTTCCTTAATGATGTTCCCTTTGAGGAGTCGTTCAAAACTACGGTTCAACAATATACCAAATCACTGGTTGAATTTGGTACTATACCTAAAGAACAGTGGGAATTCCCTGATGATATTGATAAAGATGAGTTTAATGAATTCACCAATTATCAAGGAGACAGAAGAATTTTATATGGGAATAATCCCAGTTACCACAAAATGTGCAGATACTTCAGTAATATGTTCTTTCAACACCCTTTAGTTAAAAAAAGGGAATGGTACTGGAGAGTTGAACCCAACGTTGAATTTTTCTGTGATTTGACCTATGATCCTTTTGTGGAGATGGAGAAGCATGGAAAAAAATATGGTTTCAATGTTGCCATCCATGAATTATATTATACGGTACCAGGGTTATTCCGTGAAACGAAAGCTTTTGTTAAAGAGAAGAACATACAACCAACAAAATTATGGAGGATGTTGGTGAAAAATTTCAGATACAGTGAAGGTGAGAATGATGCCCGTTATGATATGATCAAAAGTCCTCTAGATATACTACGAGAAATCGAATATGAGGTCACCATTAATAAATTATTTAACACGAAACAAAAGGGCTTGGGTGAAGTTGATCCTGATTTAATAGGCAGAATGATTGTTCAAGCAAGCGAAAAGCCGATTTTACATTTGGATAGATTTGATTATGAAGAATATAATCTTTGTCATTTCTGGTCAAATTTTGAAATAGCTAAAACAGAAATTTTCACTTCTCCCTTATATCAAGAATACTTCCAAAGACTCGACCAAAGTGGTGGATTTTATAGAGAACGATGGGGAGATGCTCCAGTACATTCCCTCGCAGTTGCCATGATGTTAGATGTGGAAGATGTACATTACTTCAGAGATATTGGATATAAACATAGTACCATAGGCCATTGTCCTGCCAATTCCAAGCTTGATCAACTTCCTTACCAACCTAGTGATGATAATGTAAATAATAAGAACTTCCAATCATATAAACCCGATAAAGGAGGAATCAATGGAGTAGGATGCAGATGTAAGTGTCCTTTATGGCATGAAGAAATTGAAGATCAAAGTCCCACATGTATAAGGCAATGGCATAGAGTAAGTAAGGACAATTTCAAACCCTTGACACCCGTTAATATTGATTTTTATAGAGCTAAGATAGAAAGACGGTTGAATAAGTTTTTGAAAAGAGGGGGGAAACTTGGTGAGAATCGGATCGCTGAAGATTTAATACGGTAAATAGAAATACAAACAAATCATATAGCCAATAAGATTCTAACACGGCAATTGAGTCACAAGTACATAAGAGAACTAGACTATTCGAGAAATGGAACTACAAAGAATCAGCCAATCAGAGAATTAATAATTGATAATATATTCTAGTATACAATAACAATACAGTGCTAAAAAGTTTAACCACCGAAACCATATAAGGTTCTTCCTTGTCTCTTTAAAGCGTAAACAACATCTAAAGAAGTAACAGTCTTTCTTTTAGCGTGTTCAGTATAAGTAACAGCATCTCTGATAACATTTTCTAAGAATGATTTTAAGACAACTCTAACTTCTTCATAGATTAAAGCAGAAATACGTTTAACACCACCTCTTCTTGCTAATCTTCTGATAGCTGGTTTTGTAATACCTTGAATGTTATCTCTCAAGATTTTTCTGTGTCTTTTAGCACCACCTTTTCCTAAACCTTTTCCACCTTTTCCTCTACCGGACATATTTATTTAATATATTTGATAATGAAAAATAAAGGGAGATTGGGTTGATATTTATATTAATTCTTTGATTTCATTTTGTAAACAATTGAACATTTTGGTGATTCGGTTCCTTACGTGTCAAACCCATTTTGCATCATAATATTTAGATGTGATAGTGACTAAAATTTCATAAATCACCAAAATAAAATGCCATCACATCAACACGATTGTTGGAAAGGCTGCAAAATTCCCAATTTGGTGTCTTCTCAAATCGCGGGAAGTTGAAACTTTGGTGGGGGGACTGAAATTAACTATGAGGGAGAGAGTTTATTTCAGTCTGATGATATTTTGGCTGCGAAAAATCCATCTTTTGTGAGGTACTAAGGATTTCAAAACATTAAGTAAATATCAAATATGATCTTTCCGAGATGGCAGAAGTGACACGACTCGCGTCACTAACCATATCTTATCTGTTTGTATGTTTGGTGTCACGTAAATGGCGTTTTGTTTATACAACGAACATCATCGAACTATTTAAACTTGTTGAAATCCTTCCATTTCTAATTATCAAGTTTATTTTACAATGGCTAGAACTAAACAAACTGCAAGAAAATCCACTGGTGGTAAAGCCCCAAGAAAACAATTAGCTTCTAAAGCTGCTAGAAAATCTGCCCCATCTTCAGGTGGTGTTAAAAAACCTCACAGATATAAGCCAGGTACTGTTGCTTTAAGAGAAATCAGAAGATTCCAAAAATCTACTGAATTATTAATCAGAAAATTACCTTTCCAAAGATTAGTTAGAGAAATTGCTCAAGATTTCAAAACTGACTTAAGATTTCAATCATCTGCTATTGGTGCTTTACAAGAATCCGTTGAAGCTTACTTAGTTTCATTATTCGAAGATACTAACTTATGTGCTATCCACGCTAAAAGAGTTACTATCCAAAAGAAAGATATCCAATTAGCCAGAAGATTAAGAGGTGAAAGATCATAGATTAATTTGACTTAGTCAGTGTATATTAGTAAACGTATTTATGTTTTGATCCTATTGTCTCTTATTTGTTGTTTCTCGATCTGGAGTCGTGTGCTCCTAGTCCACGAATTGTCACGAATGTGAGTGTTTATTAGTGTGTTACGAGAATATCCACGAAATATCTTTGGCGGATGAGATTCGGAAAGACTTTTAATGTTTCACCAGTTACCCTTGTTCAGTGTTAAAATGAAATAATATATCTTAAAGAGATTTGTTATAAAGTGCGGTACACCCATACTTAAGAGTTTCTTACTACTGATTACCTAAAATGGTCAATTAAAAGCTTATGCTTCAATACAGCTTATAAATAATTTCTATTGTTAACATTGAAAGCTTTATTTTCCGGTAACCGTTCCCCCATCCACCTTTTCTACACATCATGAATTCTCGACTCCAAGTTTCATTTCCACTTCGCGAAGCCTTTAGGACCCTATGAATTATCTTGATCAAGTAGACGAAATTGCTAATACTCCCTTCCCACCTTGGTTATTCTCTTCTTTACTTTTGTATAGAGGTTTAACTACCACCAAACCAATTGACATTGTGGGATCTTCAGGTTCATCAGCTCAATTTGCCAAAACATTATCGATTGCTAAACCAACTAAAGCATCATGTTTTACCTTTGGATTAACCCATTTAATTGGGGGATATATGATTTATGATTTTGATATAGATAATGGTGCTGGATTTACCTTTGCTTGGTCAACATTATATTTAATTGTTAATGGAGGGGCTAGTTTCAAAAGTATCTTTAGTGGTAGGATTGCTCCCGCTGGACTTTCATTATTAGCTTTAGGTAATGCAGGAATTTATGGTAAGAAATTCTTTTGGCCATCAAAGAAACTTTTACCATAAAGAGTTAGATAGTCTACCCAAATTGTTTATACCTCCTATTTACTGTCTATATATCATCAACTTTTAATCCCAACTCAAAGGTAGTAATTTGTTATCATTTGCAAATTTCAATATACTATCTTCATTATATAACTCTATGAATTGTTGATCCATTGGCCTTTCCTTTGGAGCGGCAAATTTTCTATATTCATCAAATATTATAGTTAAGGACCAATTTTGTAATCTTCTTAGAATTCCTATAAGACATCCAGTTCTATGTTTACCACGATTACAATGAATTAAAATAGGATGGTTTTCAGGATTTAAAACCACTTTCAAAGCTTCAGTAATGAGTTCATGGGAAATCACTACGAATGGTTCTTTGTTACCTGACATCCCCATTTGGAATAATTTAATATTCTCTTTTTCCAAAAACTCTTTATGTAAGTCAGGATATTCATCTGGGATCAAACAAAGGATACTTTTCAATTTCAACCGTTTCAAAAAATCAAAGTTATTGGCTTGTGGGAATGATGATCTATAAATCTTATTAACAACAGGAGCAAAGTTTTCTGGTGGTGTTAAAGGTTCATTATTCTTTTTGAATTTTGTATACTCATTATTCATTACTTCATGGACTTTAGCATCAAACTTATCATCCAAATCTTCTTCATATTCTTCTTGTTCCCCCTGTATCTTCAAATTCTCTTTCAAATGACCATTTTTATCGGGGAAAGCATTGGTTAAATCTAATTCATCAATCCTTGATCGTATGTTAATTTGGTCTTCGATAAAATTATTGATTGGTGGATATTGTGGTGTAATATTTAAATCCCTTTCATCTAACTCTTCATCCATTTGAAATGGATCTTCGAATTCCGTCATTTCTAGGTATTTTTTGGTTTATTAGCAAGTTGATTACTCGGGTTTGTAATTAATTTATTCCTTGTATGTTGACTGATAATCCACGTTTAAGTGAGAAGAGGTGCGACAAATGACATTGGACATTTGTTAGGGTTTATGCATGTTTGACACCTGCACAGTTCCATCGATGGGAACGGGGAAAAGTAGGTTGGACGGAGAAATGGCTTGGTGGTTTACGAGGAGTTTTTAGTTTAGAATTTCATGGAGATTCAATAAGTTTTGTTATTATGGGACAATAATGGATTTCAAGTTCATAAATTGTTATGTCTACGAGTATTTATCAATGATGTTCAATCTGCTGATACAGTCTGTCCTTCTACAAGAGCATTTCTGTACTTTCGGAGGTAACTGAAACGATACCTTTGAACCAACTCTTTCTCTTCAGGTCGTGTCCTTGATATAAAAGATAAAAAAATGAGAATCGATATTTTCATCACCAAATGGTATGTAAACAGATTCATAACTGGTAAATTGGAGATCTTAATATTGTAATCGTACAAATAGAAGAACACCTCGCTATTTTGTTCCTTCGAAGAAACACACCATCTCCATAATATCCTCCAAATGGACACCTACTAACAAAATAGTCCGCTTTGTTTAACTTCCAAACTTTGATAGAAGTGATTCTATTATTGATTTGTACTTGTACTTACATCCATGCATCATATCCAAGCATTTTAGATCGTAATAAAACTGGATTATTAGGAACCTTCTGGAAATTTGCCAGAATTGGTGAAAGATTGAGTCCTTACGTTTCCCTTGGTTTGATTATTGTGGCCTTCAATAATTTATGATAATGATTAATATATATATACCTATTACACTATTTACATTTTACTTGAACTCAAAAGTTTCATTGACGGAATTACATAAAACTGGAGCTCTTTCTCCTACAACTCTTTCTAAAGCTGCTGCATCCCATTTTGAGAAGATTGCTTTGACGAAGCAAAGATTTAAATCAACCACATTATTGAACACCGATTTACCAATGAATTTCAAATACTCCTTATAGAAAATAGGGTTGTTAGGAATTCCATAAAGTAAAATATTCTTCACTCCTCCAATTTCAAATCTTCTGAAATAATGTAAACGTTCAGTGTAGATAAGAACTTTAGTCTTCCCTTGAATGAAATGATGTCTAGCTCTTGTTAGTTTGGATTGAGGAGTATATTCATCCACAGCATCCCAAGTCAATTTCGTGGTGTGCATAAACTCTTTCACTCTTACATAATCAAAATATGATGAGATGATGATTAAAAGTCCATCATCATAACTGGAAGAATTTGAAAAGGAATTTATGATACTATTAGTGAAGAATTTGAATCTGAAATCAGGATCTGCCATAGGAGATGGTGATTCGAATCTTTGGAATACTTGACGAATCTTCAACCCCACAGAATTCATTATACAGTTACTGGAGTCAATGACCTTTTTGTATTTCAATCTTCCTGATAAATTTGTAGACTTGTTGATGACGCTATTGATATTAGGAGTCAAAAATTCAGAAAATACTAATCTTTGAGTGAAATATTTGGCTTGATCATTGATAGACCACATTCTTATCCTTGAAAAGTCGGTTTCATGGGATTTCTTAGGAACTTTGTTGATGTATTTGAATACAGTTTTAACATGATCCCAATTTTGCATTTCTATTTGATTAGCATTATCCAAAATTACCATTTCAATAGATGACAAGAAATCATATTCTCTTTTTCTTTTATCAGGGTTTTCTAAAATCATTGATAACCCAATAGGCGAAGCAATAATAATGTCTGATGAGTAGAACGATGAATATAACTTAATGGACTTTCTAGTGAATTTCAAACCCAAAGTGAAGTAATCATTAGTATTTCCTTTGAAGTAATACTTGAAATCATCAGGTTTTGAATCTGGTGGATTGGCATCATTGTGAAATTGAGCATTGAATCTCTTCCTGTTCTCTTTCTGCTCTACGGCTGAATATTTGATGATTAAATTTACTACATCATGACATGCTTCCCTTGTAGGTAAAAGTATAAGAACTTTGGGTCTGGTAAAACCTTGATCTCTGAGTTCAAGATCAGGTAAAGATTTCCCTTCTTTAATGGCTTGAGCATGAGATGATAATTTACTGTTGTTCTTTAAAATGGTGTCTCTGGTTTTATAAATATGATTTAATGCATGAATGACGTATAATTTTTTGTATGATTGATTCTTGTAATTGAAATAAGGATAGTTGATATCTTTATATTGTAACATAGCATTCAACAATGTAGTTTCCTCGGTGTTGAAATCATCTTTGATATAATTTAATATTCTCTTCTTGATATGTAATTTTTCAAGTGGTTTAACTGAATCGTTAGTTGGTAATGGTTGTGAAGCTACTTGAAAGATGGAATTATAGCCATTAACGTTACTTTTGGACTTTACAGACCATTTAATATCCTGTTGAGCTTCGAATTCATCATCAACATCAAAATGAACTTTGAATGGATCACTATCATCATCTGAGTCGTACTCTTCAGGTTCTTCATCTTCTTCATCTTCCTCATCATCTTCTAAATTGAGCCCTTCAATTTCTTCATCTTCCTCTTCCTCTGATTTCTTCACCTTAGATTTCTTTGTTTCTGGTTCAGCATCATTATCAAGTAAAGTTAACAATGCATTATAAGCTCTTGATTTATCGGTATCTTCAATTTCTTCTTCTTCGCTTTCTGGCTGTTCAACTTGTTCGTGAGTTTCTTCAACTTCGTCTTCTTCTCTATCTCTTCTACTTGTCCTAGTGACTTTCCTCAATTCCTGTCTACCTCCATGCTTCCTTTTAATAGCCATTGTGATGAGATGAATTTTCGCATCTCTCTTCCTAAATCTATCACAAACTCCATCACGTGAGTGCTCAGACTTATGTCTGGAAATTCATGCGACATTAGTAACAAACCTAATCTCCTTTCCACGACATTTACTATCTCGATATGGAGAATAGGGGAAGGGGACCAATTAAAGTCAGCCCTATCATACCCCACTAACTAATTAAATCATCGAATTATTTGTTTATAGCTCTTGCTCATCAAGCACTTGTTGTAAGGTGATTTCACATTGAAACCACACTGTTGCTAATTAACAACAGAATGACCAGAAGCAATTTCAGTTGAGATTTTATATACATCCTTTTCGGTAAACTGTCACTGGATGGAAAACCTAAAATTTCATCAATTTGAAACATCTTTTCATCTTTGATATTTAAACCTACAAAGATTGTTCGAAGTTTTCAAAGAACCATAAAATCTTTATTATAGAAAACCTATTTTTCATTCTTATAAGGTTATCGCAACAACCCCCGTACACCCATACATCCACACCCACTAAAGTCTTTTGACTATTGAGAAAATTTTTCCTCCTGAGTGTTTATATTCAATTAATTACTTATCCTAATAGAGAATTCATCGGGTATTTATTCTCATATTCAGTTCAACCTAGTTTATGGATTAATTTAATTTTGACATTTTCAACAATTTTTTTAAACTTGCAAATAAATTATCATTAAAATCAAATCAAAAGGCTAGACAATACACGCCAAAAAGATGAATATTCAATTAATACGATTCACAAGACTGATATTGTCTATAATATATCTAATACTAATAATATTATCCATACCCATGGCTTTTGATGTTGGAGGTATAGATTGTGGTTTAACATTTTCATTTACTATATTTTCATTATATTTCATTTTAACTACTATAAGATTACTAACAAGAAAGACAAAATATTTCAGATGGTTTTCAATATTTTACTATTTACAATATATTACAATTCCATCATTATTAACATTATTCTTATCGTATTATAACGGTAAAACAAAACCAGCTAATTTTACAAGTGTTGAGATCTGGAGATTTTTCATCGTTAATTCAACACCAATTTTCACAATTCTTGAAGGATTTTGTTCATTATTATCTATTCAAGCTATAAGTCAAATCATCAATTGGTTGAATAATTATAAAAGTGATAGTTGGTTAATTGTTTCATTGATATTTAGTGGTTCAACTATAACTGGTGCTTTATATTTCTTGTGGAGAATTTATGTTTTACCTATAACCATTGATGTCATTGGTGCATCATTGTTAGGTTCCTTATTAACTTTAACTGTCGGTTTAAGTCTTTATGGAATTTTAAGTAATAGAGGTTCAATTATTGAAAGTTCATTGATTTTTGCTTATATTGTTAGATGTGTTTATGAAACTTTCCCTCAATTAAGTGAAAATGCTAGTCAAGCTATAAATAATATCTTCAACAATACTAAGATTAATATTGAAATTCCAATTTTTAATCCAATTTTATCACCTCATTTGACTAATATACTATCAACTATAGTACCTTCATTAGCAGCTAATTTACCGGGATCAGTTAAAACGATGTATGAATTCTTGAATATTTCAGTAAGAAAATTACCAATCCCAGTATTGTTTAATTTTTCTTATAGAATAACGGTATTTTTCGCCGCTACTAAAATCATTCCTGCTTTATATCATTCAACTTTATATCCATCATCTTCCCCACCAAGAACTCCACCATTAATGAGATCTAGAGATTCCTCCTTAACTTCAATTAATTCCCTTTCATTAACAACATCCAATACCAATTCTCCATCACCCATTACAAAATCAAATTCCAATTCTTCTTTGAATTCTCACATTGAGACCAAATCATTTTCATCATCAAAACCTCCTTCAACAATTGTAACATTGATTTATTCTTATTCACCTTGTATTATAATACCTGTTTATACTCATCTTTTGATGTCTTATAATGGAGAATTAGCTACTCATTTAAAATTATGGGGAGTTTTCACTTCATCTAAAAATTCATTGGAATTACCAATTCATCCAGTCCAATTTTGGAATTGGGTTAATATGGCAACCACTTTGATTTTATATTTGTTAGAATTATTTGGAGAGAATAGTCTGAATAATAATGCCTTAACTAATCATTGGAAAATTGATTAATTGTATAGTAATTTGTATATTATATTTCTTTAGAAGAGCTCTTATAGTTTGAATTTTTTTTTGGCTTGTAAAAGATTTTTTTGGCTTGTAAAAGAATTTTTTGACTTGTAAAAGATTAAAAGGTTTGCAAGTTCAGAATTTGCAATCTCGTCCCCAATTTAATTTTATTAAATTTCAGAGCTTGACTCTATGTTGCTTGATTTTTTCATCATTGTACTCGAAAAACCTCTTAAACTTTTTTCAAATCAAAGCCTGGCATATTTGACTATGCAATCTCAGTCTAAAGTTAAAACCTATAAACTTCAGTACCAGAATTCAAGCTTGGAGACGTTCATGGATCAAGAGTGAGCTCCATTGAGTTAAAATGAATTCAATTGTTATAACTATCGTTTAGGATTAAAATCCCATGGCCGAATGATTAGAACACTTTAACAAAATAAATTTGTTAAACGAATTGATGATTCGTTACGTTTCCGCATGTTAGGCAGGAGACTTTCCCCAAAGCATTTTATTAACTACAAGAGTTCTTTTGTAAGCTTCGAAAACAATTCTTCAACCATGAACGTGAAAAACTTTAGTAAAATTTTCTCACTATTTATATTCGATGCGTCGTGCGACACTCATATATTGACTATTTACAAACACTGTGCTCATATTAGGGTTAGAAAAGAATCCAACTTATGAAAGATGATGGTAAAATACTTGCTAACCAATCATAGGCACGAGCCCCAGTACCACAATAAACAATTGGAGGGTTAATTGATCGTTTGGAATAAACTAAATCGAAGATTACATGATATAAATCTCTTAAATTAGCACCTCTACCAGTGGATTTGATAGGATTGATTCTGAACTGGGATTTGGTGAAATTCATTTTATATAGCGATTTGATATCTTCGCTCCAACTTTGAACTTCTGAATTAATAATGCTGGACGTTTTCAATGTCGAGTTACTTGACAGAACTGATATATTACCTAATTTGATTTGAGTTATCGATAATCCATGCAGGGTAACTTCTCTAGTGAGTGTTGTGAATAAGCTCTGTAATGTATTCTGGAAAATAGCTTCAGGTCCATGGAAAGGTAAATTCAATGAACTGGTTATTGTGGGGGTGATAACTATAGTCTTTGCCTTTTGAGATCTTAAGAGATTGATCAACCCTGATGATACCAACTTGAAATAGGTGGATAATTTTTCCATAAGTTTGTTCCAGGATGCAATGCTAATGTTTTCGATTGGTCCAATGGGGAAGTACAAAGAAGGAGCAAACACAACACCCACTAATTTCAAATTATGTGCTTGTGCTCCAGGGAAGGGCACTACGGGGATTTCCAAAAGATTATGGAACTTGCTTAATTGATATTCAAAACTTTCACTATTGGTCAAATTAAGATAATTTATATCATCGGTGATAGGGTTGGATTCGGTATACTTCAAGTCTTTGTTATCTAAGATAGTTAAATAAACAATAAATCCCCTTCTCTCAAAATCAAGAGCAATCAATCGAGTCATGGGTTCAGTGGGTGACCCAACTATCAATATAATATCTTGCCTTGCACCATTCTCCAACTTGGGTACTCTTCTCCTTGGTTTGGTCCTTTTTGGTTTTCGGGAATAAATCCATAACCCAGCAAGCCCTAGACCTACTCCCACTGAAAACACAGTCAATCTTGTTTTATGGCACTTTATAACTTTCAACAAAGATGTCTTTTCACTCACGATCTGTGGTTCACTACTTTTAAATGGATTATACTGGTAAACATTCAAATCTTTAACTTTCTCGGTCAGATCATAGACATATTTACTAGCACCATCATAAATATATCTTAAAGTGTCGATTGTCGCCAGAACAGGTTCAGCCACCATCTTTAAACAATCAAAAATTCAGGATGCAAGGATAGATCGAATAAGGATTAAATAGTTGCGAAATCATTAAAAAAAAAATAGAATGGAGTAAATCCTGCCGGTCCCAGGAATCGAACTTGGGTTTCTTCGGCCACAACGAAGTGTACTAACCACTATACTAGACCGGCAATCTATATGTGGCGTTTACCTTTTTGAATCCATGAAGTTGTACAGCTTACGTAAGCATTTTCAAATAGCTAATTCCATGCCTGGAAGCTTGAACTTCATTCCTTGGGGATATATACTGAAAATTTATGCTCCTTGATTTTGTCTGAAAGCACAAATGCACCAAATTCGGTGGCATCTTATATAATACATTCGATTTAATCCAGGCTTCTCAACTTTCTTGATAATGATCTTCCAGACACCATCAGAAGATCTTTTACCGTAACAACACCCATAAAGTAGGTAAGTACAACATAGATGTCATGCTTCAACAAAAAGAATTGGAGATTGGATGGACAAAAAAAAAGAATGGAAATAATCCTGCCGGTCCCAGGAATCGAACTTGGGTTTCTTCGGCCACAACGAAGTGTACTAACCACTATACTAGACCGGCTATTTCTGTCCGAAAACGCGGGTTGTGGATCTTGAAACTAAAATCAATTTTAAAGTCCGCTTTTTGGCCATGAAGAAGTCACCAAATGGCTTCAATTCATAGCCCATTATTCTTAGATATATAAGCAGTGATCAGAAAACTGATTTATGCGCAGAAAGGTTAAGCTTGCCTTGAAAGAAACTTCGAACTTTGCTACAACCAAACCATAACCTCATAAAAATTTTTCAGTGCGGAGGTATTCAGGATGTTTAATTCAAGATTCGTTGGTATATTAAGAACTGGTAGAGCCTCTTCAATGGCTTTATCAAAACCTTCATTGAAACCTTCATTATTATTATCGCCTATTGTCAGAAATCACCAAATTTTGAAACCTTCATCAATACTATTAAGAAATTACAGATCCTATTCAACCAAATCAGCACCACCTCCACCTCCTCCACCTCCTCCAACAGGAAGTATGAAAGATAAGAATGCTAAAGGTAAACTTCTTCTTAACAGAATTTCAAGAGCCATAACTTTTTCAGCTTCCTCAGTATTAGTCATAGGTGCTGCAGGTGTCGCCTTGTTGGTAGTATATTTGATATTATCAGAATTATTTTTACCTTCAGGGGATACTAAAACATTCAACAAAGCCATTAAATTAGTGGAAAGTAACGAAGAAGCCCAGAAGGAATTAAAATTTGAAACAGGTGAAAGATTGAAAGCATATGGTGAAGGACCAGCTGGTAAATGGGTAAGAAATAGACCTGTTCAAAGTATCAGAATGAAAGATAAAGATGGTAAAGATAGAATGGTCATGAGATTCCATGTTGAATCAAGCAAAGGTTTACATGGTACTGTTTCATTGGAACAAATTGATCAAACCTTCTGGAGTTCAGAATTTGCATACATTGCTTTAGATATTCCAAATCGTAAGAGAATTTATATAATTGAACCAAAATTCCAATCAAAGAATTATGTCCCAAAATTCAATCAAGATGGGGGATTCTTAGGTCTCAAATGGGGTCCTAAAAAAGAATAGACATTTTCCACCACTGTATATATTCGATTTTAAAATAAATATTTTAATATTGCTAATAAGCCTAATCCAAACAATGAAGAAATGGTGTTCTTGTAAGAAGCGGCTAAGGATTTTGCAATTTCGGTTTTATTTTGAGATTCAAAAGATGCATATCCATCAAATGTAGGTGATACCTTTTGTTGACCAGAATTTTGAACTTCTTTATCATGAGATTCAGCGTCTTTTAACGCATCTTCACATGTTCGTCCATCTCTAAGAAAGATACTTCTTAAGTCTGATCTATCGTTGTTGGTGATCAAGACTGCCCTTTCATTGAAATTACAGGCATCTCCTGTCTTATTGTGTAAAGAATAATACTTGTCTAAGGCGAATGACACTTTCTGGTTCAAACTGCAGTCGGAAAATTTACCATACTGCCCATGGATCCCATCTGCTGCTATTTCCTTGCAATCAATTTTTGAACAGACTTCATTCAAAAGATCTTCTTCACGTACCTCTTTAAATGGAGTTAAAATACATGATAATGAAGATTGTAAACATTCACATTTTCCTCTATCAGGAGTGGGAGGTAATTTTTCACTGGCTTTCCAGTCAGAACTCTGAGGGCATTGTTGGAGGTTAGTTTCATTTGTTTCAGCCATGACGATTGAGGTCTGTTTAGGTGTGTTCAAATTGTACCTTGAACTTAAAATATTGAAATCGTCTAAAGGTACGATTGACCCATTTTTAGTTTCCTTTACAACCCCATATTTGTTACCGTGTTGGAAATATTCATATGCAATACCTCCGGACCACACTTTGGACATAGTTAACCCGTATAAGGCTTCAACTTCAGTAAAAGGTCTCGGGGTCATAGTATTACAACCGAACTCACTGAAAAATACTGGAATGGTAGATTTTCCGAATTCGAAAGTCCTATCTCTGTATCCAGAAGTTGAATAACTTGAGTAGCCACACCATTCATACATGTTTAAACCAAAGAAATCTGCTCTTTCGCTGGAGTCACCACAACTAAAGTAATCGGCCACATTATTTCTAATGTCAGAATCGTCATTAGAAGCATAACCTACAGGAATGTTTCTATACCCTTTACTTTTCATGTAACTTTTGGAATCCCTGATGGCAGCTTTCACAAATGGCGAAGCATCAATGTTGACCAAAGAATTAGAAACTTCATTTCCAGCAAAGAAACCAAGAACATTATTGTACTTGTGCATAGAATCTATGACATACTTGTACCTATCAAACACATCGATATTCCATGTTGGATTGTTTCTATTTATGGAAGTTTCAGGCTCAGCCAAATCCAACAAAACATAAATCCCTTTGGATGCAAATGCATCCATACAAATATCATGATTTTTTGATGGGTCAATTTGATAAACTCTTACTACATTGACGTTCAACTGCTGCAAATATTTCAAGTCCCTTAAGCACGTAGTTTTGTTTGCCAAAGGATCAATATATCCAAAACCGTCGTTCACAAATGAATCATGTTCTTCTCTGTTCCTTTGGTATGCGATTCCTTTTATATAGAATTGGTATCCTTCCGAAGTCACAAACTTATTTCCTTGTATCTTTATGGCTTTCACATTATCATGGCCAACCTCCATAGGTAATGTGGTGGCACGTACATAAACTGCACATATTATCAAAAGAATCAAACACTTGATCATTCTGTGTATTTTGCAAAATTCACAAAAAAAAGTCTCGGAGGTTTTTTTGCAGCCAAAATGTCCTAACATTATTAAATATCTATTAAAACTATTAATACCGAAATAAATTGTTTACATACGTTATATACAATCAAAGACTTGAAGTTAAAATACTTCATAAAGTTCTTTGAATTCCCTTTTACCTTTACATTCTATCATAAATAAATCATCATCTGTAGCATTGATTAACAAACCAGCTTTACCAATTCTTTCGATCCTATCTAATTTCTCATCTTCACAAATTAACCATCCATAATCTTGTTCGTTAGTTTCATTGTTAACCAAAGTGAAACTATAATAATTATTACCACTGAAAGTATCTGAAATAATATGAACACTTAAAGAATACATGGATAAGATTTTCCATGATGATGGACTAGTGAAACTTTCACCGTTATCGATTTTCTTTTGTAATCTCACTGTCATTTGGTTCAATAACAACAATTTAGTATTATCAGGATTATTCAAGATAGTAGCATTATTTATATCGTCCGAACTAATGGAAACCATTGAAAAATCTCTCGTTAATTGTGAAACATATGGTTGTTGTTTCTTATTTTCAACAGTTGGATTTTTTAAACTTGAAGCAACACTGCTCATAGTTGAAGATTTGCTAGTAATACCTCCATCCATGATTGATGAGGCAATTGTTTGTCTTGAATTGCCAATTGAATTAGATGAAGATTTATGCAGTAATTTCTTTGGACTTATAGCTCCTTTGACATTCTTGACATGAGATACGATAGTTTGAGTTAATTCATTGGAGAAACATCTAATCATAACAAGCATACTTTGATTGGTGATACAATTTTTAGAAGAAATTTGAACATCTAAAGCTGAACTTTGAGTAATATCAGTATCTTGACTAATATCCAATAATAAAATTGGTTTATCAATAACTTCATTATATTTATCATCAAATTCTTCTTTGAATACTAACATCCAACTTTTACCTAAATCATAATTAACCACTAATTTTAAGAAAACAGTTTCATTAACAGTTAACATTTCCCATTTACCATATTTTGGTTTCCATTTTGAAACTTTCATTGATTTTGGTGAAGTAGGAGATAAATAAAAATCAATGGTTGAATCATCATTGATAACATCTTTTAATTCTTGAGGAATAACCAAATCCAATTCTTCATGTAAACTACTAGCTGATTCGTTATTAGCAGTGTTTTTATAAGGTTTGAAGAAATAAGTTGATGTTGAAGATGGTAAGGCAAAAGCACTACCTGAAGCATTCTTATGTTGAGTTAATGATGTAGCACTACGGTTATAATTACTGATATCTTGAGAAATAGTAGACATACCAGAAGTGACTGATGAAGCAGATAAAGGAATTGTGTCAGAATCAGACTCAATGCCAGCATCAGTATTGATTCTTAAATTTTTAGGATTAGTTGGTTTGAAAGTTGGATCAGGTAAAATATCAGCTTGTTGAATTTTTGGAGTTTTATTTGGTTTTTTAAACATTCCAAAAAATTTTGATTTAGGTCTTTCATTTTGTTGAATCATTTCATTTAATCCACGATGAACACTGAATGAAGGATTATGACTTTTACCAAAGTTTGAAATATCAATTGCTGAACCAGTCGACAATTGAAAAACTTTTGATTTTGATGATAATTCAGGAACTGAATGATTACCATGATGAGAAAGTGGAGTTGAAGGTTGGAAATTTTCTTTATCTTCAATAACTGAATCAGTTTCAATTTCAGCTGATGATGAAACAGGTCTATCATGAATTTGTTGACTTTCAGAAATAACACCTGAACGAATATTTTGAACATGAATGTCATGTTGTGAAGAAAAGTTATTAATTTCAATTATTGGATCTCTAACGGAAGAAACTGAACCTGCTGAAGATGCAGGTGATGAATTATGAGATGCAATAACTTTAGTTTGAGGTTTAACTAATTCAAAGGATGAAAGATCATTAGATGAATCAGAATCTGGAGTTGAAATTGATGGTGCAACCCATTCATTTGGTTTCAAAGTTGGAGAATTAATAAGTTCTTTGAATGCTGGTTTTTCAGGTGATTTGGTTTCAGATTCTTCCATTTGAATATCTTCAGATGACATATCAATACCTAAACCAGACATTTTCAAATTGTTATCACTTTCACTTAATTTAATCAAAAAGTTTGAATTTAATGGAGATTCTGGATCATCTAATGGGAAGATTAATGACAATTTTTTGATCCAATTAGCTAAGAAATCATCATCAGGACATGAAATGACAATTTTTTCATTAACAAGATTGGAAGATTTAGTAAAATTAATTGATTTTAAGATTATTTGACAATTGGTTTTACTATAAGATAATGAAACTTCATTGATTCTGAAAGGTGGGAACATCAAGTATCTTGAATTACCTGAAATAGCAATTAAAGCCAAAGCATTGAATTGTTGGGAAGTTGAAATAGAATTATTCAAATCTAATAATAATAATTCCACTTCAGGTTTAGATTTTAAGTTTTTAATCACTAAACTAGAACTTCTAGTTCTTTCGACTATTTGAGTTAATTTGAAATAACTACAAACATTATTATTATGTAAGTCACCAAATATTTGCACATTATTGAAGTTGATGTTATTTAAAATTGAATTTTCCATATAATTAGTATAACTATCAACTATTTGTTTACAATCCGATGAAAATTTATTCAATTGTTCTAAGACATAAGGATTTCTTATCAATTTAACTGAACTTTCAATGAAAGAAATATAATTCAAAAGGTGTAAGATTGGTTTATTGAAGTAAGTTGAATCGTGATCAACAAATTCTGATGATTGTAAACATTGACTATATTTTTCAAATAATAATAAAATATCATCATTAATCCATAAAATGAAATCATTAACGAAACTCTTAAATACTTGTTTATCATCATTACCATTAGTTGAATCATCAAATAATTTCAAATTCCCATTTAAAACTTTTAATAAATTTTTATTCTTTGTAAATAAACCTCTAACTAATGAAGTAATTGAAGTTTGGGAAGATTTTGATGGTCTTATTATCCCTAAGATTTGAATTAAATTATTGTTTTCATCATTTTCAAATGATAATAAATCATTTATTAAATCCAATGGATTTGATATAGTTGATTGCAGACTATATTGATTCATTTTATCTTTGACCAAGATGGAAAAATATTGTCTTAAACCTTTATATATATAGATTGATAATGGGAAATATGGAAACTGAAGGGATGAAATAAAAAATATTAAGATCCAAAGGATAAAAAATAATGTTTAAATTTTTGTAATTGGCAGGATCAAAGTAAATATATTGAAATCAATAAGGTGGGCTATTAATGTCTCAGGTATAAATTTTAACTACTGAGACAAAAAAATGGTGTATTAGATTGCTTTATTAAACAGACGATATTTCTAGAATCGTTAATTGTTAAGTAACTTTGTTTATGTTTTAATGCATGAAAGAATTTTACTAGTAAAAATTCACTAATTTTAGTTAAAACTTTGGTGTTGCAGGAGGTGATAGGTTTTGGTGATGTCTTGTGTGTAGAAAAATTAATTCATCGCGTCGTGTTTTTAAGACGTGGTACGTGAATTCATGCATAAATTTAACGGGTGAGATTCGTGTTGTTTTGGTGGCTATACGAAAGGAGTTTGGTGAGGTACCGCATTACAGACCCTGAGAGTGGGTTAAATAGTTAAAAGGTTAATCTCATTGACTTCTATAATTATATACGAATTATGTTAATATTTCCGTTATAGGTCCTGGTAGAATTTCCTCATTTTAGAATTCCTTTAGGATTTCCGTTGATTTGTTCAATTTATCTTGCATGGAAAGGTAAGAGGTTTCCCGTGCAATTGGAGATTACATATTCTTGAGTCGTTTGGGATTCCAGCTCCAACTTTGTCGATATCAAGAAATACACCATTCTAATGCTTCGATTATCCCGAATCCCGTTTTTCCACTTATAGATAATACTTTCCATTGTTGATTTGCCGGAATCTTCTCGTCAACATTAAGTAAACTACTAACCTCGCGTTCAACTTCTTCATAGTCATCCAACAAATCAACCTTATTAACTAAGATCAATACTTTAATCCCCACTAATCGATCTTGAAGTAAGATCTTTTCCTTCAATTCTTTGAATGATTCATTTAATCTTTCAAGTGCTAATCCATCTATAACCCACATAATGGCATCTGTTTTATCGAAATAATTCCCCCAGAATGCTCGTAAACTGGTCTGACCTCCTATATCCCAAATATTCAAATTGTATTCTTTGTATAACACCGTACTTATTTGAAACCCCATGGTAGGTGATACTTTCAGTACATCTTCATTGATGATTTTTTTGACTATAGTTGTTTTACCTGCATTATCTAATCCCAATATTAATATCCTTAGCTCTTTATCTTTAAGTTTTTGTTTTTTTATGATACTAAGTAATCCCATTAACTATCACCAACTTTTTGAATCGCACTTCTCATCGGCTGCGAATCTTTGTGAATATACTTGTCATCAAAGTGGTGGATATTTCACCACTTTAAAAGAGATAACCATGAAACAGACTTCCATATTTGAATATAGATCTCGAAGAGAAGTTAAAACTTTCGAAGAAGTCGTTGATTTGACTTCTGATAATGAGGAGTTAAATGGCGGCAATGATTTAGATAACAAATTATCTATGGGTATAAGTACATCCGATGATATGGATGTGGAATCAAACAGTACGGATTACGTGTCGGCCGAAGAGTCTACAAATATTAACCCTTTTCTAGATGTTTCGAAGTCTTTGATCAAGAATGAAATCGATTTAAAGGAACTGTATAGTCTTGCTATACCTTCAACTTCATTTATATCTCAGATCAATAACGTTCCTGATCTATCTATCAAGGAAGAAGCTAAATTGTTTGTTGAAGAAGAAGGATGTGTGAAGGAAGAGAACTTTGCTGAAGAAAAAGAGATATTTGTGAAGGAAGAAAAGTTGGTAGAAGAAATATTTGTTAGGGAGGATCAGAAGGAAGATTATCAACAAGACCAGACAGAATATGAAATACGTGAAGATAATGCAGATGATGAAATGGAATTAGATACAGCTGATGATACTTTAATGAGGTTCTACGAATCTGATTCTGACATATCTAGTGATGACGATCCAGATTATGAGTACAGAATCATGAACGATATTGATCTTAATTATGCTTCAAGTGATGAAGAACAATATTCGTTCAAGATCCTAGGTGATGCTCCCAAACGATCAAAGCAACAAAATAAAATCAATATCGACAACATATCACATCTTGAGTTAGTTGGCAATGATAAAGATGCATGTCCTGTTTGTAAAGTATTTTTGGGTGAATTAACTGAACAATTCCGTCAAGCTCATATTAAGGGGTGTTTATTAGAGACTAACTTTACAGTTTCTCCAGTAAGAATAGCAAAAGAGAAAGCTGTCCCGTTGGTTAAGTTGCCACTGTACAGAAATGATACCGTCAAACAGAGTCCATTGAGAAAGATTGATCCACCAAAGAATGTAAGTTTTAAATCTAAAAGAAGACCTATACCTGATTTGAAGATCATGGAGTTTCCCGTGAATCCCATCAATAATTTCAAAGTGTCTATGGATGCATTTAACTATTGTCCACATCTAGAAATTGATCATTACTTTCTAAGTCATTTCCATGCTGACCATTATGGAGGAATAAGCAAAAAATGGTGTTATGAAAGAGTTTTTGATTGTGTTGAAGATTTTGAAGATTTGTCAAGATACAGACCAATTATTTATTGTGGTAAAGTAACGGCTAATCTTTTAACCATCAAGTTCGGTATTGATCCCAGATTCTTACAAGTATTGGATTTCGAAACCAAATACCTCATCAAGTCTTATGATAATTTCAAGAATGGATACGAAAAAGTACAGAAGGTTGAAAAAGTTGAATGTCCTGGATTGTATGTAACTTTAATGACAGCAAACCATTGTCCTGGATCAGCTATATTTTTATTCGAATCATTTGGTGACGAAACCGTTAACAAAACTTATTTACATTGTGGAGATTTCAGAATCAACAAGGATATGTTACATCATGAACTTCTCAAACCGTACCTCCTACCCAAAGGCAAATCATTGATCGATAAAGTATATTTAGATACCACATATTTAACATTTCATTACAATTTCCCCAAACAAGAAGATGTATGTAATCAGATCTCCCAAATGTTTGAAGATCTTTCTGACGTACTGGATACTTCTTTATTAAGTGAATGGTTCGGGTTGAATAATCAGTCAAGAATAACGGATTTTTTGAAATCCAAAGCCAAACCGAAGAAGAAATTTCTAATCGTTATTGGAACCTATGTCATTGGTAAAGAAAGATTAGCAATAGCTGTACTGAAAAGACTCAATAATTGTCCCATATATATTCTGAGTATTAAAAGTAGAGGATATCAGTATGAAGTAGTACGGGCATTCGAAGATGAATATTTAGATACCCATTTAACAGAGAATGAATTTGGTAATGATGATTGTCAATGTGTAATACATTTGGTGCCAATGGATATCATTTATACCATGGAAGAATTCAAAAAATATATCAAATTCAATAAGTATTTAGATAATTTTGAAAGATGTGTAGGGTTAAGACCAACAGGTTGGAGTCATACCCAAGAATATCGAACAAACAAAGAGCTAGATATGTTGGAATATCCAAAACCCGTCACTGATAATATGTCAAGAAATCAATTCATTAATATAGTATGTGATATCTGTTTAGAAATACCGGACTTCAATTACAATAATGATATTTTACCTCAAAATAAAAGATATTCTTCAACCAACAGAAGAGATAAAGATTCCTTAAGAATTTATTCATTACCATATAGTGAACATTCATCATATAGAGAATTAACATACTTTTGTTTGTTTTTGAATATTGCAGAAATAATACCTACAGTGGGAACAGAAGAAGATCGACTAGTTGGTAGAATGAATCAACATATTTCATATTGGAATCAAATCAAAGAACTTATGAAATCTAAGGTTCAAGATCCTACTTTAGATAAAATGGTTCATCATAAAATTCAAGAGTTAAATATTGAAAAATTTTAATGATTAAGGGGTTTATTTCTATAAAACTAACTACTAGCAGGATGAAGCACGGAATTATAAAATGCTAAAGTAGCTTCACATTGTTCTTTTTTACAATCAGTCCATGAAACGGTAAAATCACCTTTAACATAATGTAAATGATCACCTTCAGCAATTGGAGTGGTACTATGTCTTGCAGCTATAGTTCTTGCAGGTATAATAGCAGTTTTACTTAATAAGAAAGGATGCCATTGTAAAATATGAGTTAAGGCCGAATCAGGACCGAAGGGGAAATTTGGATATTCAAAGAATAAATCACAAGTCCAAAATTCAAGTATTGATCTTCCTACATCGTCATTTTTAATTATGAAAGAATTAGTTTCAATTTTATCGTTAGATTGTGTTATAATCAATTTAACTGAACCGGGTTTTGATGATTTATAGGTTTTTATTATACCATTTTGAGGATTAATTGGTTGTTCTCTTAACATTATTGGACTTAAAACATCATCTTTTAAAACATAATCTTTCAAATTAATTGATGTATCCATGATTAATCCATCTTCATCAAAATACCAGAACCATTTTGTTTTAGGAAATGCAAACATAGCAGCTCTTAAACAATAAGTTCTAATCCATTTCTTCTTTTGTTTATTATCAAAATTGGAGAAAGAATTTATCCAAGGTAAAAATTCTTCATACCAACGAATATAAACTCCATAATTATGATCATGAGCATAATCAATTCTATTTTGAACAATATTAGTTAATCCACCTAAACTATATTTTTCAAAGTCAATAGCTGTAACAATAACAATTTCAGGATAATTTTTGTCATTTTTTGGCTTATAAACAATTTTATCTCCATTCTTGAAGGTATTTTTGGCTTTAGATAAATCTGAAGCAGCATTTTCATCCTTTTCCTTAGATAATTGAATAGATGGGTCGACATTATCAAAAGCATTCAATGAAACAATCGAACTAACATCAATTTCTGGATGATTAGCATCTCTAACTCTTGATTCTTTAACTAATTTGGATCTACCTAATTCTTTTAATAATGGAGCATGTTCTACTGGAGGGAAAATGTATTTGGAAGTAGTAGTAACTTTATGAGGACTTGTAAAAGGATGAGGTTCCGGATACTTATTGGATGAAGATTTTTGAAATAATGATATTGAAATACCTAAAGGATTTAACCAAAGAATTATCACTATGAAAGTTATTATCCAAAGACTTAGATTCCTTTGTTTCAATTGGATGTTATTAAAAGTTGCCGGAAGGGGTAAATAACCTTTTTTCTCTTTAGGTTTAAAAGACTTTCCCATAGTTGTTGACTTTTGAGATTTGATCTGTGAGAATTTGAGATATGAACCGTGATAGAGATGGGTAGAAATGGTAGTAAAGATGGACTTAGTGGAGGTTTTAAGGCCAAAGGGGGGTTGTTATGGATACAAAAAGAGTCTAGAGGTTTACCAGAGGTGTTAAAATTTGGATTTGAAAGGTAATTGGTCCAGATATATTTTTATATTTGATTTCAGACACGTCTATCGAGAATCTCTAATTCTATCTTCAATCACTTGAAGAGCTACTTGTCTTCTTCTTTCAGCTACAGAATTAGCAAGACTCTTTTGGGTTTGGTTGATTTGTTCCAGTCTTTTACTGGCTCTTATATTACCTTGTTCAATAGAATCATCATTAAATGGTGTAACTATACCTAAGAATACTGATCCTTCATAAAACTTATCAAACACTATAGATAAATAAGGTTTGGTGATATTAGGGAAGAATTCTACCAATTTAAAAGCATCAGATGCATCACCTCTTATGATAGTTTCATTATTATTTATTGGTAATAAAGGATCACTTGTGAATGATTGATAGAATCTAAGATAATTATATGAAACAAGGAAACTTTCAAATGATGGGATTACAGGATATAATGATCTGGATATTATAATTGACCATAAGAATACAATTATAAGACAAATAAAAGGTAAATGTTTGACTCTGAAATTCAATAATCCTTGAAATAATACGATATTATGTTCGGGTATTAATTGTTTTAAAACCACCAAGAATCCAAAGTAATATGAAATACCTCCTCCTAATGGTCTATCCATTCCTACACCATCTTTTCTTACGATGTTTGAAACGATAGTGATAAGAACAGTCAGTAAATTAGTTATGGATCCATTGATGAAAACAAATTGAATGACTTCTCTGAACCCCCAAAATCTTTCAATATATTTACTAGCAACTGTTAACACAGTTCCAGAAACAATAAGGGAGAAAATTGTAGTTTCAGCAAAAATTGATGTAACTATAACCCATGGATAAAAGATGGTATATCTAGGTATTAATTGTAAATAAGGAACTTGAATATCATGGAATTTGATGTCAGTAGTAGCTGATCTGAAATGACCCAATTTGATTAGAAATATCAATGAGGCAATTATTATCAAACAACTAACCAAAACTCTGGTAGAGTTTGGAATATTGTGAAGACGAATGGTAGGCATAATGAAAACACCGCGATTTGAGCTGTCTAAAACTTTTAACCTGAGAACTTTTTAGGCTTTGAGAACTTTTTAGGCTGAGACCTCATGGGAGATGGCGAGATTTAGGCACTCACCACCGCCAATAAGCCTTTAGAGATACCGCGAAGTTTAGTACGAGAAAATTAAATAAAACATATATTTATGAGTTCAACTAAAATCAAACATTTATAAACCTCCAGGAATGAAATTCCTCTACACTTTTGAAAAAGTTCTATAACCTTAGACTTTTGAAGTATAAGCTTCAGTCTTACTTGGTTTATAACTAGCAAATGACCAAGAACTAGCGTAAGCACGAGATGGATTCTTAGTATCATTGTTATCAACTTTTCTTGGTTGGAATAAACCATAAGTAATTTGACCTTTAGAATTACCAATAGTATCAGCAATATCTTCAGGAACAAATCTAGCAGCAACAGCTGGGGCAGCAATTAAAGCAATGAAAATTACTAAAATAACGAAATATAAAGTGGCATATTTTCTAACCATTCTCTTTCTTAATTTAGCTTGTTTTAATGAATAAATTGGTGGTCTAATTAATCTGGAAGGTTTTAACCAGAATAACATGGTTGAGTGCCATCTGTCAACTAATGGAATACAAATAATTGGGAATTGACAGAATAAGATAATATGAGCTAAAATGAAATCACCAGCAAATTCTGACATTTCAATGATTTTAGCACAGAATTCTCTTGATGGTTGAGTGAAAGCTCTCCATCCCATACCAGTATTATACCATTTACCTGTCCAGAAAGCAGTGTTAGCTTTGTCACTCTTGAATTCTCTAGTCAAGAAAGCTAAAGTTAAGAATTTGAATAATAATCTTTGAATGTAAATCATGGTGATCAAACCTAATAACATTCTTGCGAAATTGAAACCTTCTAATACCCACATAACAATAAAGAAAACTAAATGAACAATGACGGCAACACCATGAGCGAAACCAGCTAAAACAGCACCAGTCTTTTTACAACATAAACCTAACATTGGACCAGCACAACAAGCTAAAGCCAAACAAACAGCTAAACAACCAGCATCAATAACAACTGGACCTAAAGCACAAATAACCACTCTTAAAGTAGAATTGACTTCTTGAGGATCATCAGTAACCCCAGTTTGAGCATTAATGAAAGTATAAGCAACGTATAAGGCAGCAGTATAGAAAGCACATGGTAATAAATCAGCAAAGATAATATTAGATCTATGAGCTCTTGTAGCATCACCAGCAGCTTTTTCAGAAACATCACCAGTTAACTTACGTTTAAAACCAGTAATTCTTGATCTAGAAAGACGGATATAACCAATCCATGAATTTCTGTGCCATTTAGTATTACCTCTTGATAACCATCTAATAAAATCACGGTAATCAATGAAATAATCTTCCCAAGCAAATTGATGAGGATTAAAGATAAATGGAGAAAATACTAATGAAGATAATGAAGCCCAGAACCATAATAAAGCAGGTTGCCAATGAGAAACTGAACCGAATAAAATAATCAACATTGATCTAGCACCCATATAAATTGAAGAATCAGCAAATCTTGAATATAAAATGGAGAAAGGAATTCTTGAAGTAGCAAAACCTCTACCAGTTGAAATATATCTAGCACCACCAGTAGTTAAATCAGTGAATAAAGAAGTTGAATAAATTTGAGCAACGAAAACTTCAAACATTGGTGATAATGAAATAATATGTCTAACAAATCTTTGAGCAGCTTTCCAAACACCTCTTTCAATTAATTCTTGAACAGTTAAAGGAATAAATGAAATGAAGAAAACAATGAAAACAGATAAAGTATAACGTCTAATCCAATCAATAACTGGACTTAAATTATAACAACCAATTGGATATAAAACATCAGTAATTGGAGAATTTCTATTATAAGCACAAATAATTGATTCATGAGCTAAAGAATTCAAGTTAGCTAAAACAATCATAAAAGTTTGTAAAGATAATTGAATCAATAAATTATTAATATGGAACCCTGGATGACCAAAATAGAAAGATAAGAATCTATCTAAAGGTAATTGAGTTGATAAATAATAATATTCTCTTGATAACATTTGTTCACCCATACCAGCACCAATTTTAGTAGTGAAATTTAAGATAGATCCAAAACCCATATCTCTACCTTTACCACATTGATAATATTCACAATGTTTAATTCTACCACCTCTTAACATAGCAGTCATACCAGCATAAATATCTTCATTCAAATGTAAACCTTTTTGAGCTTTAGAAACCCCACCTCTAGTTAACATAAAAGTAGCATTTAAGAAATCAGGATGTCCATAATGTAATTTACCACCAATTTGAGCTAAAGTTCTTGCAAATAATGTACCGAAAGTTTGTTCTTTACCAGCAGCAACATCCCCTAAAACCCCGGAATTTTCAGAGAAAATATATTCTCTTGCACCTAAAATAGCAACAGGGAATTGTTGAACATTATTTTCTTTCTTTAAAGTTGGAGCATATGGATTAACATGTTCAACATTTAATTCTTCAAATTCAGCTAAAACAGATCTAATTTTCAAACATTCTTCTAAATAATTATCTTGATTAGCATCAATTAATTGAATATATTCACCTCTGTGGAAAATAATAGCATGATTTTGATTATCAGATTTACCATCACCTAAAATTGGATTACCAGATAATTGAACTCTAAATTTAGGACGTCTTCTACCATTTTCTAACATTTCACAATGACCATCAATCAAAGCGGAATAAACTCTTGGTTCGTCTTCTTCAGTTAAAGCAGGTTCTTCATCTAAGTAAGCAATTTGTAAATCAGGGTAAGCTCTTAATAAGAATTCAGCATTTTCCATTTCATCTTCTTTAAATTTAGCTAATCTTTGCATTGAAACAACAAATCTGAATTTTCTTCTAGCCATTTTTTCTAAAGCTAATTCTAAACCTTCTGGATCACCACCGAAATATTGAACTAATTCAGGATTTTCAACTCTATATAATAATTTAATGGCTCTAGCATAATTCATAAAACCAGAAACTGTTCTATATAAAGTTTGAGATCTTAAAGAAGCCCAAATTCTTGTTCTTAAAGTATATTCAGGAGCAGCAGATTTGAAACCAATACAATAAAATGGTAAATCATCAATTTTAGATTTTAATCCATCTTCACTTAATTTTTCTGGATCATCACCATTTTCATAAGCAGCAGTTTCTTCAGCTAAAATTTTAGTATCTTTAACAAAACAATCCCATTCAACAGGATGTAATTGTTTCAAATATTCTAATAAAGTAACTCTGGAGAATTGATCATCTTCTCTAATAATTTCTCTTAAAGATAATAAAATCTTTTCAGAATAATGAGGAGTGAAAACTGTGAAAGTTGGCATATTATCAACAGGTAAAGGTTCTAAAATTGGAGTAGCTAAAGATTGAGCAAAGAAACTAATTCTTCTTTCAGCTTCAGAATTTCTTGGGAAAAATTCAGTATCAAAATTGTTATCATCTTGACTAACAAAGAATGTTGGAGCTCTTAAAGTTCTTTTACCTTCAACTTCGGAAGGAACTTGATGATACAATAATTTTTGAACATGATCAATAGCTAATAAATGTTCTCTATACATGGAAATAACAATAGCATTCCAAATTTGGGAAATTAAAACTTTTGGTTTATATTTAATTTCCATTTCAGTAGTAGCTAAAATTTTAGAATAAATTCTCTTTGGTAATCTGGTGAAAATATTTCTCCAAGGAGTTAAAATTGAAATACCCAAGTAGAATGATCTACCAATGGAGAAAACACAATTACAAATAATATACCACATATAAGAATCTAAGAAGAACAATAACAAATCAACTAAAAGCATTAAACCTAAAGCAATTTTAGATTGATGTAAACAGATAGCATTACCATACCAAACTTCACCAGTACATCTCATTCTTGTAGTTGATAAAATTCTAATTGGATCAATCATAGATTTAACTAAGAAGAAATAAGATTCAATGAATTTAGCAAAGAAAACCAATACCCATAAAACATATGATAACCACATATCTAAACCATGTAATTTTGAAAATGATGCAGTAAAAGTTTGAGAAGCTAAATATCTTCTTGATCTTCTATTCATGTAACTGGTAAATAATCCACCTAATGGCATAATAGTAAAGAAAATGACTGATACAATAGCAATAACAAAACCAATAATTGAAACAATTAATGCAACTCTTGAAATTGAAGCTAAACCTGCCCAATAAAATGTGAAAACAACCGGAGCTAAATTAGCAACAAAAATCAAAATTAAAAACATTAAACGTCTAGTTAAATGTTGAGCACCTGACCATTCTCTTGGAACGAATAACCATTCACAAACAGTTGCAACAATTTGAATAAATGATGCAATAACACCTCCAATACCTGCAGCAGCAAATCTTGAAGATTGAACTGGTTGATTATTTAAAGTTTGGAAATAATGTAAAGTATAAAGGGTTGGAGAATTCCATGAAATATAGAACCAATAAATACAAATATGTAAAATCCAAATTCTATTATAATTTGTAATTAAATGTAACCAAGTTCTAATTTCTTTATAAGTTTTAAAGAAAACATTCTTCCATTCAACTTCACCTAATCTTAAATATCTTTCTTCTTGAGGAATATCTACTAATCTAGTACCATCTTCAAAAATAATTCTTGAAATACCTTCAGGATACCAGAATAATTGATTAACATCATCATAACCAATAATTTTATTATGATCTTTTTCTCTTTTAACAAATCTACCATCATAAATTTCATAAACTTGAGATCTAATAAATCTATAAATTGGTGTAACAACACGATTTAAATAATCTCCTTCAGGAACAGGTTCTTGTCTTTGTTGACATTGAGGTGATAATAAATAATCAAAAGCTGTTTTATAAATATAACATAAACATTCTGGAGTAAATCTAACTTGATTAGCTTCTCCCCATAATAATAAATATAATGATACATCTCTAACTCTTTCTTCTGGGGTTAAATTATTCATTTTAGCTTTCCATCTAACTTCAGCAGCTTCTAATGAATAATCACCTTCTAATTCATTAGCAATAGCTTCTAAATCTTCACCATGTTCTTCAACAGCTTTTCTAGCTTTTTTAGATTTTTTAGAAGCTTTTCTAGCTTTTTTACCAATTTTTCCCATTGTCATATTAGCAAAACCAATTGAATCATCTAAATCTTGTTGACAAGCAAAATACCATTTTTTATAATTAGCATTATCACCACCAATATAATCAGCATGTAAACTTAATAAAGCTTGAGCTGGTGACATTCTTGAAGCTCTTGAATCTAATAAAGTCATAAAATAATCAAACATATTCCTCATTGAATCTCTTTGGAAACCAAATTTATTGGTTAAATCAATAAAGATATCTTCAATATGTTCAATTTTAATTGGAGCTTGAGGATCAGCACTCCAAGCAGGATAAGGTAAATTTGATGACATTTGAAATTGAGTTGGATCATAATTACCACCATAAATTGGTGTTGAAGCTCCTGATGATCTTGGACCTCCATAACTCATATTACTTGGAGTATATTGAGTACCATATTGATCATAACCAGGAGTTCCTGGAGTTTGACCTCCATAACTAAAATCACTAAAAGCTTCAGGATCTTGATTATAACCTGGTTGTTGTTGATAATTTCCATCTTGATATCCATCCATATCATATGCTTGTTGCTGATATTGCATATTAGGATCATAATAATCTTGTTGTTGATTTACCATGTCATAAGGTTGTTGTTGATAATAACCATCATGACCCTGACCTTGCGGTTGTTGATTAGGATCATAATAGTTATTATGATTATTATCGTTATACGACATCTATTTAGTTAGTAACTGGACGAAAAAAATCTTTCTGATCTGATTTGAATCAATGAAATTTTTTTTTTAGCGAATGTAATTAACCAGCAAGATTAAAATTGTTGAATTTTAATTTTTAAAATAGATATTGAATTTTTTTAAACTTCAACGGAAAAAATCTTTATCCTAAAAAGAAAAAATTCAATCTCTTTTGGGATGGTGGTAAAAAAATTAAATGAAGGCGAATGCTAATGTCTTACTAAATCAATTTCAAAAAGCTATGTTGAAACATTGATTATATGAAGGAAATCCCAATTAATATGACAAATCGGGTATAAGTTGCTAAGCATTAGGGTGAGGAAAAAAAATTTCAAGTCGCGACATGCGACACTGACGGGGATGAAAAAGAAAAATTTCCCTACCGTACACCGGTACACCTACATGGTGTTCAGGGGGAAGGAATAAAATGATTAGATTAGGGATGTAATGGTGGGTAATAGATTCGAATGAAAAGTTATGATGTTTAGTTGATAAGTTTTATATCACTGGAATTAATTTAGGTGTATAAATCACGTCAAACTAAAAATCCGATTCATGATCCATTCAGGGACCCCTATATTCTCGAATCAACTACCTTCCTCAAGGATCCATCCCTATTCAGATATTCCTAATCTATAATGCTTTGATTGCCTCTACTTCCTTCATTGTCATAATAATTCATTTCCTACAGATCAAATCAATATTAAATCACGCTGGTACGCATATGTTTTTTCATCAAAGATCAATCATTTCTTTACTCAATTCAAGTATGATTTCAATCTAACACTATCATAAGATAGTATTGCCGAAATCATACCATCAAACATCTCTATACATACAATTATCTAGTAAAAATAACAATTAGTTTAAAAGTTATAAAAACTGATAAATAATCTTTGGAAAAAAAATTTTTGAAATTCGAGACTGAGAAAAAAACAACGAAATTTTCGAGACACTTTTAATGAAATATCGATAAAGCCGGATTAAATTAGAGAAGGAATTTCGATATCATTCCCAATGATTGATTGATTCAGGTACCAAACCCTTGAATGAAAAGTTTTTCGAGAGGTTTAACATGATTTTAGATATAATTCTATTGACAGAAATCAATTCAATTTCCATGGATATAAATATCCCCTAATCGAAGATTAATGTTACTACTTTCAATCAAACAAAAGATTCGATTCTCATTTCTCATGTCTGGTGGTAAAGTACTGCTGATTGTAAAACTATAGTGAGATCCCGCTACCTCCTTGTCCAAGAGTTATGAAACACGAATTTTAAAGACGCGAAATTTAAGGTGGCAGAGTTCAATGGAATAGGAATTAAAGTTGATGTACCTTTCAAGCGAGATTTCTTGATGTTTCAATATTGTAAATCTTTCCACTCCAACTAATCACCTTATGCTATTACCATCGTCATATTATTCTCATTTGTTGGATAATTATAACTTGAAGTAAATAAAGGCGCAGAAACCTAAAAATAGGTGCGACACATCTTGCAGGTTTAATTCCCGATGAGCAGATTATTCCCGATGAGAGTAGCAAACGAAAAGAAATAGAGAAAATTATTTATTCACTCCAACCTAAAGATTCTAATTCTTTAACAATTTCTTCTTCTTTATTAATTTTAGAAATTTGAGTTTCTTCTAATGATTCTCCTGATGCTTGTTTCATTTTCAAAGTTTCAATGGCTCTTAACTTTTTCAATAATGATCTAATTCGTTTATCTTCAATTGATGAAACACCTCCAACGACTGATCCAACGTCCATAGTTGATAATTTATTAGTAGCTTCATTTATTGGTGTTTGTTCAATTTCAACAGGTGGAGGAGTTTCAGTATCTTTTGCAGCTTTAGCTTCTCTCTTTTTCCTATTTTTGGCAGCACTTTTAGTTTCTTTAACAACTGGTGGTGGTGCACCAACAACACTTCTAACTCTTGGAGTAAATCCATTTTTGGCAGGTTGTCCAACTGATGCTGCTAATTCTCTTTGATATAATGAAGTGGTTTTTTCTTCAGTTGTTGAATTACTATTTCTAGCATGTGGTGGTCTATAAGCACCACTAGGCTTTTTAACAGCAGAATTTACTAATGCTGCCTTCTTAGCTAAGAAATCTTTTGCTGATTCATGACTTTCAGGAATTATATCATTTCTACCAATAGCTGGAAATTCATCAATTTTTTGTGGTCTCCAATTAATTGAATATAATTCTTGATAATCTTTAAAATAAATTAATTTCCCACTATAATGCCAAATTTTTAATCCATTATCAACTCTTAATCTTGGTGAGGTGGTAGCTGTTAAAATATATCTACCATCAGGTGACCATTTACAAACACTTGTATTTGCTGCTTCAAAACTTACTATTTTTTTAAATTTATCTTGTCTATCATAAATATCTACAGTTCCTTGTAAATTACCGAATCCCGCAACTAAAATATATTTACCATGAGGTGAATATAATATAGTATTTCTTGGTAATGTTGGTAATGAATGAATTAAATTACCTCTAGCATCGAAAAAACTAGTTTCACTAGGCATATATCCATATATCACACTGAATTCTCTAGCTGTTGGTGACCAAGTAATATCATGAATTGGTCCAGGTTTAGTTAAATTAATTCTTGAATTATAACTTCCAGCAATTCCTAATAAATATAAATTAGTTTCTCCATAATATGATTTATTGGTAGTATCATGATCAGTAGATGCTAAACCTAATAATGCAGTACCTAAAGAATTCCATTGTAATACACATTTTTCTGCTTTGAAAAAATTCTTTGAACAAACAGGTTGATTGAAATTTGGTAAATTATAAATTGAAATATTGGCTGGTTTACCATTAGCTTCAGGTAAGAAAATTGCAATTGAAGGGTTTAAACCTGGACTTATTTTAAAACTTTGGAATGGTTGTTCGGTTTTGAACTTAAATTTTGGTGATCCAATTGATTGTAAATTATTAGCATTGGTGATATCAAAAAATTCAATCTCTTTGTTGTTGAAAGTCCCTTTAACAAAGAAATTTTCATTTGATGTAAATTGAGGTTTCCAACCATTTTGATGCTTATTAGACCATTCCATTATGATTTTAGTATTGGCGATATTGAAGATTTTAACATTCTTATTCCAAACTCCACTTTCTTTATTAACTAATACTGGCTTACACCACATACATAAATAAGTACCATTTGGTGAAAATTCAATATCGAAAACGTCACTTAATTCAATTTTTAAAAGTATCGACCCTGTAGATGTGTTGATTATTACTACTTCATTGGGTTGGGTATATCCAAAATACTTTCCATTAGGTGAATAAAGGGCTGATCTACATTCACTATTTGGTCTTGGGAATGATTCAAGCGTGTTGTAATCCTGTATTAACTCTACCGATTTCGGTAAACGACCTACAAAAGTTAGTATCAAGTTGAAGACTTCTGTATTTTATCCATTCTTGTTGTTGAATGGTATTTATGATTCAAAGATTACATACAATATAATTGTGTATTAAATGACATGGATGCAACTTAAATTTTTTTTGAAGAGCGTCCATTTTCACTCTCATCAATTGCGAGATCCACGACTAAACTAATGAGACCCCAGACTAAGGGAAGTTTCTTCAGTAATTGTTGTGGTACTAGATGAGTTTGTATGGTAATTTACGTGATATTAGTAGGTTAGCATTGTATAAATTAGAATCAGCACCGGTCTTTGCATGAAATGTACTATGATTTTTTCGTTGTAGGCTGCAAAAATTGATTTCTTCATCAGGGCAAATCTATTCGTCTCTGAAGCTTTCCTATTCTATCTCTCCATTGACGGTAATACCACGATACAGTAATCTTTTCAGCTAATCAGCAGCTTTATCTTATCAATTCATCCTTATCGTGCTCACCAAATTAGATATGAAGCTAGTGCAATTTTAACTTTATAAGATTCATTTACAGGCATGACATTGCAGTAGGTGTTGTGAAAGAACATGGAATTAATCGTCCTAGGTGTATTTTCACCAGAGATACGATAAGTGACTAAAATTCAATTGTGTGTCGAAGCCTGCATGTTATCTATCGGTCTCATAGAGTCTGATAGATCATAAAAGATCCTTATTTCTACATTTCAAATTCAAAATATCCTTGAAGTTTGAAATATCTTTGGGAAGTAAGGTTTTGATATTAAGTATTTCAACAAGTAATGGAAAGTGAAACCCTGCAAACCACTACATCTGATACACCAGATGATTCAGAATTCTATTCCACTGATCTGGAGAGTTGTAACTTTGAAACTGATTCTTCGGCTCCTGAAATTAGTTCTTTATTAGCTGGTCTCCAAATCAATGATACCCTGAGCACGCCCTTAAATGCTGATGTACCAGTTAGCAGGTCATCTAGTTCTGACGAAGGTGGATTGACTCCCCTGTCTGGTAGTCTTTCTGGAGTCAGTGATCAATCCCAATTAGGACTTATCTTACGCAAGAATTACAGTATGGAAACAATAGTCATGGAATCGTTTGCTCAATCCGACCCATTGCAAGAATTGTTATCCACTTGTCAACTGCTCAATTCTTTTGAAGCTGAAGAAATTGTAAAATTTGCTAATTCACCAATTGGTACTTTTCTTGCAAACAACTGGAAAAAGATTTTACAAAACAAGCAGCTTTTTGTGCAAGTAGCAATACCTTGTGCTTACGGTGGTAGAAGAAAGTATCTCTCCATCAGGACTGACACTAGAGCAAGATTTGGAGAAATTTTCCCTGATGCTTTATGTTGTAAAGAAAATCCGAAGAAAAGACAACTCAACGCAACATTGATGGGAATGATAGGTCATTATCTCATCAGAATTGGTATCGACAATAATTATGAAATAATCGGTGGTTACAAGCTCAGTGCTTCTCGACTCAGATTAAATATGGGATTCATTCATCTTTGGCATGAGAACTTTGACCCTTGCCATCTTACCTACGTTAAGACAAAAATCTTACGTCGACTTCGCCATAAAAAATTCTGGCCTATTAACTATGCGTTTATTGAAGCGGTTTTAAGTTTAAGCCCAAAAAATTATCGTTGAATATATAATATTTGTTTTTTGCAGCCATATTGGATAAACGGAAGAGAAAATGTCGTGGTAATTTTTCACAGCGAGGTTAATTGCCAGAATCTCCTAACAAATAATGTCTATGTCGCGCCCCAGTAAATCCGAAAAGATCTGATTGGATATGTCCATTCTCACTGGGGTTGAAAATTTTTATATAAGTATCAATTCAATTGCAAGTTATTTCAATTAAATTTAAATTTATTCAATTAAAATGTTAAGATTCTCAAGATCATTTTCAAAATCAGCTATTAATAATTATAAAGTTACCGTTTTAGGAGCTGGTGGTGGTATTGGTCAACCATTATCATTATTATTAAAATTAAATCATAAAGTTACCGATTTAGCTTTATATGATTTAAGAGGTGCCCCAGGTGTTGGAGCTGATGTTTCTCATGTTCCAACCAACTCAACTGTTAAAGGTTACGAACCAGAAAACTTACCAGAAGCTTTAAAAGGTTCTGATGTTGTTGTTATCCCAGCTGGTGTTCCAAGAAAACCAGGTATGACTAGAGATGATTTATTCAACACCAATGCTTCAATTGTTAGAGATTTAGCTAAAGCTTGTGCTGAAAACTGTCCAGATGCTGCTATCTGTGTTATTTCTAACCCAGTTAACTCAACTGTTCCAATTGTTGCTGAAGTTTTCAAATCAAAAGGTGTTTACAACCCAAAGAAATTATTCGGTGTTACTACTTTAGATGTCTTAAGAGCTTCAAGATTCGTTTCTGAAATTGCCAACACTAACCCAGTTAATGAAAAAATTACTGTTGTTGGTGGTCACTCAGGTATCACTATTGTTCCATTATTATCTCAATCTAAACATAAAGATTTAGATACTGAAACCAGAGATGCTTTAATTCATAGAATCCAATTTGGTGGTGATGAAGTTGTCCAAGCTAAAAATGGTGCTGGTTCAGCTACTTTATCAATGGCTCAAGCCGGTGCTAGATTTGCTGGTTCAGTCTTAGATGGTTTAAGTGGTGAAACTGATGTTATTGAACCATCATTCGTTGATTCTCCATTATTCAAAGATGAAGGTATTGATTTCTTCTCATCAAAAGTTACTTTAGGTGTTGAAGGTGTTAAAACCGTTCACCCATTAGGTCAATTATCTGAACACGAAGAAGAATTAGTTAGATTAGCCAAAGAAACTTTAATTAAAAACATCCAAAAAGGTGTTGAATTCGTTAAACAAAACCCATAAATTTTTTTTGATTAAATAAATATTCTTTCCCTAAGTCATGTGATCTCTCATGCATTATCGATTATATCTTGTTCCTGAATCCCGCAAAAAAAAATGTTCGATACCAAGAAGTCCGGAATTGATAACCAATTTTTTTTCACTATTCGATTCGGCCTAAATAATTGACTATTACCGGAAAACAAAACAATTGAATCAGTGAAGAATTTTAATTTTGAACACTTTTACGTAATTACTTTCACGATATTGACGAAATGTATTTATTATCCGAGATTAAGAAAAAGTAGGTAGTGGGGGAGTCAGAAGTTTTACTTAAGAATGGAGGGTTTATAAATAAATGTAATTAGGAATAGTTCTCTTTGCTACAATCAGGAAATCCTTAAACATCCAGGCTGGTTGGTTTTGATCTATTGAACGTTAAACCTCACCCTTCTCAAATGCATCCATTCGAACGGAAAGCAAATTTCAAACTAAGGAAATGCCGTTCAATTGCGTTTCTAGTTTATTTGACAAAGTATAATTTATAGATAATTAATCCACTTATTAAACCTCTTGTGATAATATCAATTCATTACATAATATTAGTGAAACGATGAAGCTAAAAACTTTAAACTACATGAAAATTGACTTAAAATTTATCATTGACGAGAATGAAACTTTGTAGGTTGAAAAACTTCTATCATTATATCAACGGTAATGAATTTGTTCTCTTGATTAAATCATATGTTGAAAGAGCTAAAATAACAACTCACATAAATTTCAGGATCCTGTGTCAAATCGAAATCCTAAGGCAAAATCAAACTTACAACTAATTAGAGATAAAGTTATCCTGAAAAATCTCCTATTTGAAAAAAGAGGTATTCTGAAACCAGAGGTGCCACGAAATAAATCCTGTATATATCATAACTGTTAAACAATACAATCGATGAAAATTTAATAATGCCAGTGTTGTGTATATTCAAAGGAACCTCCTGACCTATTATCAATGAATACTGACACTTACATAGACGTACATTAACAATCAAAAGTTCAAAGGATTTTTATCACTTGCCAAATTCCTTTTATTTTTTTTCTCTTATTGTTGAGAGCGGAACCGTCCGTCTTGAAAAATTATCGATGCCTCAATACGATGGAAACATATCTGTAAAATGCACATAATGTATATACGGACGGGTCATAACTGCACTTACTATAGAGTCGGATGCCATATAGTTTTCTCTTTCGATTAAAATAAACAGACAACTTTTTATATTATCTCTTGATATTAAACTTTGGTTTTTCCGTTATCCATAGGAAACCCCAGGCCTTTATTCGCCGGAACCAAATTCAAAAGTTTAAAAAATAACGTACCACCAAGATTGTGAAAAATTGGTAGTAAAATTGTGCGGAGATAGCAATGAAAAAACGCTACAGTCTAACCACAATTTAATTAATGGGACATATTCCAAAAAAAAGTGAGACTGAACCCGCGTCTCTAGACAATTTCCTGATATCGCAGAGTTTTAACCCAATTGGGTTAAATTATCATGGGAGATGCGTAATAGATTTTTCATTGAAAATTTTAAAAACTGAATATCAACAAATCTAAACTACTTAATTAAACAATTCGACTTGTTTAAATTATTTTTATTGGAAGATATTATTTGGTTGGATTATTTAAAAAATTCCATTTCAGAACATTAAATAACAATCATTTCCGAGTTTAGATTTGATATTTTAAGTAGAATCTTTTTCGAACAATTTGTTTTAGGGTTATTTTAAATAAGGTGACTTTGATTAAACAAATTTTTATTAAACTTGTTTTTATAAAGAAATTTTTATTGGTTGTTTAGCCTTATAATCGAAACAGAGAATTTCCAATCTTTATTGGAATTAATATTCAAAATATACCTTTCATATAATAATAATATTGGATTATCCAATATGGAAAATTTAATGAGCTCACCCCGAATGGATTATGAAAATGTTGATATTAATTTAGATGATTATCAATTAATGGTACCTTATGAAGAATATTATGATTATCAATATCAATATCAACCAAATTTACCCAATCAAAATTTTCAGAACTTACAAAATTATCAAAATGATGAAATTGTCCCCAAATCAAATATAATGTTAACAGATAATATGAATTTGATTAGACATCAACAAAATTTATCCATTAGTTCAAACCAAGATTTATCTAAATTAGTACCATCAGCTTCAATTGATAGTATACCACAATTAACATCATCAATTTCTAACCAATCAATGGGATCGTTCAAAAATCAAAATCAACCATTAAATAATCAAGTAAATAATGGTATTAATGGTATTTCAATGACACCAAGGAAAACAAGGAATAAATCTTTTTCTATAAGTTCAATGCAAACTCCTTTAAGACCATCAACTTCACCATCCAAAGTTTCAAAAACTCCTTATAGACATTCAAGATCACAATCAAGAACTAAATTAAATCCTTTAATAACCCCCAATTCATTCATTTCACCAAAATATGATAATTTATCATTTGATCATGAAGATTTCCAAACTCCTTTACAAGGTTCAATTCAATCAGCTCCTGGTTCTGTAACTTCAATGACGGTGTTATCAACTCCTTTAAATGGTCCAAATTCTTCAAATATTGAAAATTATCAAAGATCAAAACCCGAATTTTTAAGAAGTCAGTCAGCTTCTCAATCAAATTCTTTACAATCAATCGCTAGTAATTCAAATTTACCTCAATTTAATTTACCTTATTCACCAAATTTAAGACGTCAAAATACTTTAGATTCAATTAAAATTGAAGATCAAGATGATGATGCTTTGAATCAATTAAAAAGAGCTAAATCTTATTCTCATATGAGAGATTCTTCAATCAATTCTTTGAGTGAAATTTCAACCAATTTAAATGACAATAACATCGAACAAAGTTCAAATATTCAATTAATTCAATCACAATTCAATTTAAAATCTTATCCTGCCAGTATTAATTTAGCATCTATTGCAAATAATAAATTACAATCAAGTCTATTACCAGCAATGACTTCCAATCAAATTCAATTACCTATAACGTCACCATCGACTCAACAACATCAAAATCAAAACCAAAATCAAAATCAAAACCAAAATCATAATCATCAAAATCATCCTCAAGATCAAAAATATCCAATTTCATTACCAAATGATTATGGTTATCCTTATGATGATAAAAAGAAAAAAGATTTAAGTCCAGCTTTCATACCTGATTTACCAATCAAAATAAGTGATAAAGCTTCAGATATAACTGATCCTAAAAAGAAACATGCATGTCCTTTATGTTTTGCAAGATTTCAAAGACCTGAACATGTCAAAAGACATATGAAAAGTCATTCAAGTGAAAAACCATTTGAATGTGATCAACCAAATTGTAATAAAAGGTTTAATAGGAAAGATAATTTGAAGGCTCATTTGAAGAAAATTCATAATAAGGTAAATTAGAAGGATATGGGATTAAGTGAATAATGTGTGAAATTATTCAAGGGAAGGCATTTTGCATTAGCATAATATATATTAACAAGATATTTTTATTTCAACCTCTCAATTGTCTTTTTTCTTATTTTCTAACAACTTCGTCAATACTTTCGATAACGTAATCTAAGTTTGCATTATTGAATCCTGCAACATTGAATCTACCATTGTATGGTAAATAAATGTGATATTCATTGATTAAAGTATCAATTTGTTGTGGAGTTAAATCGGTAAACCAGAATAATCCATTTTGCTTTAAAATTGAATCCCAATTACCTGGGGTACCTAACTTCTTGAACTTTTCGGCAATTTTGATTCTTAAATCTGATAATCTTTCATAAACAGCATAAACATCTTCATCCCATTGTTGTTTGAAGTCTCTGAAAATATTGGATGCAATTCTAGCTCCGAATAATGGAGCAAATGAACATTGTGCTCTGAAAATGTTTACCAATAAATTTGAAATGTTGTTTAAATTTTGTTTATCGTTACTTACAACATGTAAACATCCAAGTCTTTCACCATATAATCCCATATTTTTGGAAAATGATTCACAAACAATGAACTCCAAATTTTGTTTATGAAAATGACGAACTCCATAAGCATCTTTATCTTTATCACCAGAACCGAATCCTTGGTAAGCTAAATCAAACATAACAAAAACTCCTCTTGATCTAACCTTTTCAGCTATTTGTTCCCATTGTTCATTGGTGTAATCAGCACCGGTAGGGTTATGACAACATCCTTGTAATAATAAAACACCATCTGTTGGCATAGTATCAATAGTTTTGAATAATGAATCAATATCTGCCTTACCTGTTTCGTTATCATAATGATTGAAAAAGTTAACGTTACTGTTACAACTTTTAATCATACTTTCATAGTTTCCCCATGCTGGATTTCCAACATAGAATTCAGTTAATCCGAGTTCTCTTAAGAATTCAATACCAATATGGACAGCTCCGGTCCCTGAGATGGTTTGAATCGAAGTAACATTACTTTTATCATTTTTACCGAAAACAGTTTCTTGAGCTCCAGCGATGAATTCTGGCCATCCACTCATGTAATGGTATGGATGTCCTTGATCATTCTCAAAGATATCTTTTTTTGCTAACTTAACTGATGGGAAAGTATATTTGGCATCACCATTTTCTGGTTTATAAACACCTATTGATAAGTCAACTTTTTTAGGACTTGGATCATTGTTATATTTTTGAGCAATGATAGCAATAGGATCTAATTCTGATGGGGTTATTTCACTGTAAATTGAACCTTTAGTCATAGTGTATAAATTTTTTGCCAATATATAACCTTATTCATCACTTTATATGAAAAATCTTATCCGCGTCTAACCGCTCCGTTGTAGGAGAAATTGAGAACGACTCTTTCCTTTTGAGGCTTTCCCCAATTTGCTAAGATAAGCTTTAAGTAAGTATTACATTTCGGTGTTAGGTAAGCTTGCCTTACAGTCCGAGCCTATAAATTTAAACCCTTTATAGATTAACTACTAAGGTATGCGCAAGTTTCCTTTTCAGTACAGATGCCATGCATTCACGGCAAATATCTATTGAGTAGCTATTATTTTCTTACATACAACATTAATATCTTCATCTTCGAGTTTCATCAAACTGACAGCAACGAACTTAGAATTGTTTGAAAGAACCTTGAACTGGTTGTTTCTCTCCGAGTTAATTAACAATTCTATTAGTTTTCCCAACTCTTCAATGATCTGAGATCTATACTTATCGATATTATTATTATTCACAACCTTATTATTGAGTAAAATCGCCATACTTTTTAAATTATCCAAAAGTTTATGTGATTCTAAAGGCACCTTAAATGAAGAAATGATAACTTTCTCGTTGACGTCACCTGTAGCATTGACAGCTAATTTTGTCCATATGTCCTCATCGTCTATAATATTCCATATCTCCAACGTGCTGTCATTGGTGAAGGTAGCTAATTTCTTTAAAAACGTAATGAAAACTTGATATATTTCGGGGTAATATGATTTGTTATCCTTCAACACTTTACAGTAATTCAACAAATTCCCTTCATTAATAACAACATGAGCATTGTCTTCGGTAAGAAGATTTTTGATCATATGAATAGATTGGTATTGTACTACATCATTGAAATTGCTCTTGAAATAATCTTCAACCAAGGAATAGTTTAAGACTTGAGCTTGCTTTTCTTTTGATGTTATATAGTTCCCTACTACCATGAAGAATGATGATTTCAAGTAAAGATTTGTGGTGTCCTGATAATGTTCAATAGCATACTTAACTTCATGGAAGTCATCAAAATTATCCATTGATGATAAGTTACCGATGGTTGAGAACAAGTACCTGTTGGGTCTTGATTGTTCGGTGAATGCAAATAATGGATAGATCTTTTGAATTTGGTGACTGGATAAATCATTGAATTGAGTTATATTACATAAAACTAAAGATGCAAATTCTTGGTCTTCGTCATCCAAATCTACAAATCCCTTGATTATTTCATCAATTATACCAGTAGCATGGTACTTCAAAGTATCATCCAATCTCTCGGGGATGATTAGCTCTGATAAAAATTCCCAAAGTTCTTCGAAATTCTTCAAATACTTATAAATATCCAAATTATGGAAAAAATCCATGAAATCTTTAGTTTTCTCACTATTAAGTATGAATTGATTCAATAATATCTTAACTCTATCATTACTATAATCCAAACCCTTCCAAAATTCATCATATTTCAACAATTCACATCTATTTGCATCATTATCAGCAGTGAAATTAACTAATACTCTGATTACCTCATTATTTACTTGTTGATCTTCTTTATACAACAGTAAAACCGTTGGAATGAATTCTAACACCAAATGGTCGGCTCTATTTGTTTCTTCTCGAAGTAAAGTCCCCAATTCATTCAAATTGTCTATTATTTCATCTCCTTTAGAGATTGATTCAAGAACTTGATCCATCAAGAGGGTGCGAAAAATTCCAATCTATTTCTATATAAACTTTTGTTTATGCTTTTTATGCTAATTCAATGTCGTTGCATTGATTTTTACCCCCACGGCTTTCTTGTCTAATCAACTTCAAAAGCTATTCAATGATTTTTTCCCCTTGTTTTAATCCTAAAATGAATCTAACATCAATACATATAGATAAACTTTGTAACATTGGTAAAAGATTTAACAATTCTTTATCACCTAAATCATTGATCCAACCTTCGATTCCTACGGCATTATCTTCATGTAATGCATAACTTATAGGTGAATTATCTAAAATGATTGTATTTTTCAATTCATCAGATTCGAAAAATTTTGATAAATCTTTAATGTACCCGACACCATTTCTATAGGTACAATCATTTCTATAAAACCTCTTTTTGAAAACTGGAGAAGGAATTTCCAGTTCCAACCAATCAATAATTGGATCGGCATATTCTTTAACACTTGCGGTGAAAATATAAAGATCAAACCATTTACTTATTTCTTTGAGAAAGAAGTCGCAATATGGTCTTTTATGAACATGATATAATGTAGCAATATTATTCAATTTGATTTCAATAACACTAGAATTATTATTGGTTAATGTTCTGGGAGACCCTTGGGATAATGAATGGATCAAAGTTTCATCCAAATCCAAAACTAAGGTCTTTCGTTTTATCTTTTGAGGATTCCTAACTAAAGGGAATAATCTTTGAGGTGGTGGTATAATGAATTTTGAGGATGATGAAGGGGATTTGATGTTATTTGATAAAATGTTTTCATGTTTGATCAATTCAGTTTTAGAATTAATTTGATAGTTGTTCAATTCAATACTCTTAATAAGATAATTTATTGGATAAAGAAGGATATTCCAGAAAAGAACTAAAGGTTTTATGAATATCAAATTGGGAATGAACACAATGCCATTGATTAACATGGTAAATATTCCATTTTTTTGATTTGCTTGTTCAGATTCCGTTTGTGTTTCAAAGGATAATCCTAATCCTTGAGTTTGTTCATTATTTTCATTATCATTAAGGTTATCATTGCTTTGTACTTTTTGCTGGTCTTGCTTCTCTTCAAGGTCTTGGCCCTCTTCTTGTTCTTGTTCAGCTCCCTCAATATCCTTCTCTCTGATCATTTCTCCTTCTCCAGTTTCATTGAGTTGCAGATCATCATCTTTACCTTCATTAGGCATTAGATTGTCAATTGAATTCAAAAACACCTTAATGGAATTCATTTTCAGTCCGGTATTTCAATGCAGAATTATCAAATGATATCAATTAGTGTACTATCTATCCTGAGCTTCTAACGGTACGAATCAATCACCAGTAATGATTCTAAGATTAAAATTAACTTTAAATGTATAAGCAATCAATTAATTAGACCCAAGTGCGCTCTTCTCAGAAAATCACACTTATTTTGGGTACGGTCGTAAAACGTTGAGTTGACTTGAGAATAGAAATGTCAATTCAATTTCAAATACTAATGAGTAACAAATTGAATATAATGATTTAATGACAAGTTATAGATCTTTAGAGATTTTCGGAGATTTTGGAATTTTTGGAGAAGTGTCATTATTGATGACATGTTCGTAAAAATTCGCATATGGATTAATTGGGTTATTTTGATAACATTCCATATATTGTTTCCTGGGTAGTTAGGAATGATTGGAATAGATCAATATGGATTCGTTCAAAGTAGGGAAGAATATTCCAACAAACTTTTATCCAAGAATTGATTCAAACACTAAAATGTTGAGGCCCCATCATCTCCAACGGTATTTCCTCAAAAGGAATTTTGTCACTCAACAAAAAAAAAATTTATGTGAATTCACTTATTCTAAGAATTATATTTTTAGATGAAGAATATCGGCCATGTTACATATAAATAATCTTCGCTGGTCAATTAATGACTAATAGGGAAATTACCCAGAACTTTCTTCTTTCGGGATCCGTTATGGACTGATATACTTCCTCGGCTCAACGATGCACCAGGTTCTATTTGCACTGGAGCAGATCTTTACTGATCCTTGCCGTTAGCAATTCCGTTCCATGGCATTGGTGTATATTGTCTAGCAATGGCGTCGTGGGATTCAAGAGGATCGATTCCCTTTTTATTTTTATCTGAGATCTTATGATGACTCTATTTAATAGGTGAAAAATGGATCAGTCAATTAACTGGGATACACTCAAGCCTCTTAAGAGTATAGTAAGCCAATTCTCGTATGTAACTCAATGAGTTTCCAGACTTCTAGGTGATTCCATTACCAATGAACCCTTTGTCATCAGGACTTGGTTCTCCTATTATACTTTCCGAGCTCTTAACCTCACATGATGTATGTACCATGCGCCGTTACAAGTAAGGTGTCTTCTTCAGAATGAGGCGATTCCTTAATTATACCTTGAAATCAGTATTAAGGGGTAACACATGAGCCAGCTTTGCCTCTTTCCCAAAACGTTTCCTATATTCATAACTACAAAAAATAAAAAGTAAACTATTAGTATAATCTATGGTCTATAATTTCCTCCCAATGGGCTAGATTATACTTACTTATCCTTTTTCAATTGATTTAAATACCTCTGTAAAATTGATGGTATAGAGGTATCATTACTATTGATTAATTTGTTCAATCTGAAATTAACAATGTCAACATTTTCCTTTTCATCTTCTTCATCTTCTTCGGCATCATCCTCTTCGTATTCATAGAATTCACTATTATCATTTCTTTCATCTATATTGAAATTATTGCCGAGATTCGTTTGTATGAGCGTCATTCTATCAATTCCTGTATTTTCGTCAACTTGTTCTTGTTGTTCTTCTTCCGGCTTAGTTAATTTCAATTGATTGGTATTGTAACTATTACAATGCTTACATTTCAATCCCAAGATATGATAATTGATATTACTTTTACCTTTACAATCATTACAACTAATTATACATCTCCAAAGTTTATAGGGTAATGGTAATGGTTGTTGCAAAATTTCTTGATCAAGAATTCTAAATTGAGTTTCCATATTAACAATCGTTTTCACACAAATTGGACATTTATAACTATGTTTGATCATTTCCTTATAACAATTCTGGTGAATTGAATGACCACATTTCATGAACACAACTTTCAAAATTGAAGTGAAGAGATATTCTTCACAAATTGGACAATTACAATGAGTGGTGTTGTTCAAACATTTATGATTTTTCTGTAATTCAATACTTAAACAAATACCACAATCATCACAATGGAAATAATCTTTACCCAATCCTAAGCCTAGTCTACAAATTCCACATTTTTCACAATGATAGATATTTTTATTTTCATCATTGTCAAACAATTTACACTTATCACAATAATAATTAGAAATTTCCTTTTCACATTCAATACAATACTTACCAGGTTCTTGAGGAGTATTACAGAACATACATAAGATATGTTTGATTTCATTTCTGATCAATTTGTGATCATTTTCCTGATCATGGCAAAATCTACAGACATACCACTTCAAACATTTAGGACATTCAACTTTACAATTTCTTTGATAATGTTCACATCCAAGGATTCCAAAACTGTGATAAGATGGTGTAGTATCATTCTCTGTGAGAATAACTTCTTCGTCACTTTCATCACCCAAATCCATACCATCTTCAAGAAATTCATCTTCTTCAAGTTCATCAAAATCTTCATCCATGCCTATCTCATAATCAGTGCTTCTAGGACTAGGGCTTCCGTGAGAATCAAATTCTGAACTATATAACTTTAATTCCCCTGAAACTTGTTCGTTTGTATATCTATAATAATTACCCATCATTAATCTTGTCACTAACTTATTCTTATCATCGTCATTCAATCCTAACCTTTGAATCTTTTGAATTTTATTCCTCATAAGATCTTGTTTATAGAAATCTTCTAAGGAATCAAGGTTGGTCAATTCTCTTGTTTCATCAAGACTTAATCCATCAATATCCAAATCACTCATATCTACAGCTTTCTTTTTGGGTTTTCTTTTGAAATGTCTCCTTCTGGGTTTGACTTCAGGCACAATGGGTTCAAAAAATGGTTGATCTTGATCAACTACTTTGGAAATACCTTTAGGTTCAGTAGCTTCGTAATCACTCTCAATATCATCGATAGGTAATATAACCGCTTCATGAATTATATCCCTCAATGGTTGAAGTTTATCAATAGCTGAATTTAATGATTTACCGAGGTTTAATTCAGTAAGTAACGATGTCATTTGTATACGGGATGATATAATAGTCTTTAATGAATTAGCTACGTTTTGATCTGATTCCACTGACGTTGTTACGTAATTCTTCACATAATTACTGATCTCATTACTCAACTTATTGACGTTTCGTATATCAAAGTTAATGTTGGGGAAATTTGGTAGATTAGGTAGATTTGGTAAATTAGGTAAGTTAGGTAAGTTAGGAAGATTGGGTAAATTTGGTAAATTTGGTAAGTTGGGCAAATTAGTTGGAAATTTATTGGATATATCACTTAAGTAGGTAGATAACAATGGAAAATTGTACCTACCTATCTGTTCCAACTGTTCTGTTAGTGAATCGTATGAACTATCAGATTCAGCCATATTTCAGTTCTTAAGTCGTACAATTCGCGGCCTCATCTTATGATTCCTAAAGGTATTAAAGCACCACTGGGTGATGTAAAAGATAATATAGATAAGACTGTGGAATATGTATTGAAGAATGGTGAGTCATTTGAAGAAAGATTGAAATCCAACCCTGAAAAGTTCCCCTTTATTGTCAATGGTGATGAATTTTATCAATATTATGAATGGAAGCTAGGTAGATTACCTCAAGATAATTCGATCAAAGATGCTTCAAATGAGCTGTCCATACCTGTGGAGGAAGCTAAAGAAGAGAAAGTGGAAGATTTGGAGTTTCTTGTCAATAAAGGTACCATACCTCCCATAGATTACGAAACTATGAAATTATCAGCGTTATTTGTAGCCAGAAATGGTCCAAACTACCTAAAACCTTTGCATTCACATCTTTCTGGAAGTCGACAATTCGATTTCTTATCCCCAAATCATTCATACCATCCTTTATTTAAGCAACTTGTCACTCAATATGAAAAAACAATAGATATAATATCAAATCCCCAACCATTACCTAAGAGAGATTTATTCAAAGATAGTTACTTGAGAGCAAAATACAGTAAACGTGATAAATTGAAAGAAGAAAGTGAATCCCAGAAATTCAAAGAAAGACAATTACAATATGCTTCTATTGATTGGCAGGATTTTACTGTAGTTGGAAAGATTGAATTTAATTCTGTAGATCAAGTGATCGAATTGCCTGCATCCTTAAAAAGAGAAGACTTGATAAGAAGATCCTTAGAGGAGAGAAGCAAAGGTTTGGAATTGCAAATACTGACTGCTCCCGCCCCTGAGGAACCCACTGTAGTGACAGAAGAAAAGGAAGATGTTGTTGAACCAGTACCAAAAGGTATAGTACCGGGAAAAATAAGATCAGCCGGAGAATCAAGATTAAAGAAAACCAAAACTAAAACGATCATTTGCCCTATAACAGGTAAGCATATTGAAGAATCAAAATTCGATGAACATCTTAAAATCCTATTGAGAGATCCGAACTATCTGGTTCAGAAACAAAATTATATCAATAAAAATTTTAAATATGGTAGTAATTTGAACGACGATGAAGTTTATGAAAATATCAAAAGATTAACTAAGAAAAGATCTTTAGAGTAATGTAATATATAAAAACATAGACCTAGAGATGATGATAATTCAGTAATATATTAAATACAATTTATAGTATCAATGATTGCTTATTTAAGCTTTTAAAGAAGAAGCTCTTCTCTTTTTGATTTCAGCTTTTTCAGCTTTTCTTTCATGTAATCTTTGAGCTAATAATTGAGCGTATTCGGCAGCAGCATCTCTTTGATGTTGAGCGTTTTGGATCTTTTTAGCTTTTAAGGCTCTCTTTCTTTGTAAAGTTTGAGGAGTAACTAATCTTTGGATTTTTGGAGCTTTAGTATATGTTTTATCACCTTTGGTAACTTCTCTTCTAACAACGAATTGTCTAACATCATCTTCTTTGGTTAAACCGAAGAATTTTCTGATGTGGTTAGCTCTTTTTGGACCTAATCTTTTTGGAACGGTAGCATCAGTTAAACCTTCGATATCGGAATCACCTTGTTTAACGATAGCTAATGATAAAACAGCTAAATCTTGACCAACAATACAACCTCTAACGGATTTTCTTTTTCTTTCACCGTTTCTTCTTGGTCTGTAACATGAGTGACCTTTAGCTAATAATAATTGAACTCTGGTTGGATGCATAACACCTTGTTTCATTGGGAAACCTTGTTTATCGTTACCACCGGTAATTTTAAAGATGTAACCTTTGAATTCATCACCGACTGAATCACCAGCAACTTCTTGACCCATTCTTTTTTCCATAAAGACGGCTAATTTGTGGTCATCATCGATATCGATACTTTTTTGAGTACCGTTAGCTGGATAAGAAATATTTAACTATATTTGTTAGTAATAATTCATAAAAATCTGAATGATTGTAAAAGTTTGTTTGGAGATGTTGTTTAATGTATTTCACTGTTGTTGGTTGCTGAAAATTCAAGTTGAATCTGATTTTATTATCCTTTTTGATGACTTCTTCAAATATCGAAATTAGATGATTTAAATGTATATAATTCATTGATTGTCATAACTGAAATGGTACATTGGAAGGTTTGATGTTCAACAATAATATCTCTTTACTAATTTACTATCTTAATGACTTATTCAACATACCTTCATTATTAATAGTTTATCCTTTGAAAAAATTTACTGAAAAAATCTCAAATTATTTTGAAAATCTTAACTAGTGAGAATTCAGAATTTTTTTTTCATCTCATCAAAATTAAAACCTGTGACTGTCGGGCGCGAGCCCTTAGAAATTTCTCTAGTATACTACTAGTCAATTTATGAATTCGAGACGACACTCTTACTTTAAAGTGTGGGTAAGATTGAAAGAGATAAATTGATTATTTGAAATCTATTGATACACTATTATACAACTATTTTTTAATATCATTGTTGTTAATGAACCTCTCAATGACTAATATTCTCTATTTATTGTTCTTTTCTTCAAATTGATTCATGAACTGAGTTGGTGATGGGAACTGATAATTTACCTGGTTCAGACCTGGAGGTGGTTGATTTTGAGATTGAGACTGGGATCTGAAAAAGTATTGGTTTACGTTGGAATAAGGTGTTATATTGTTTGACCATTCTTGCGGGTAGAACCCTAGAGGTGAAGGAAACATATCCACATATTTGGAAGGTAGACCCAGTACTGGGGTTTCACCAGGTAAATTATTAGATATAATCTGTTGCATGCTTGGAGGTTGACCTGGAATTGGTTGACCTGGTAAAGAATTTTGATGAGATTGGTTAGTTGATGATGATGATTGATTTTGTGCGTTCTTAAACTTGTCAGAAAGGACTTGGTTCAATATGGGGGTTGGAACGTTTTGTTGGTATTGAGTAGGTGAAGGTTGTGGCAAAGGATTGAAGAAACTTGTCATTCCATCTCTTGGTAGAGAAGGTGCAGTGGTTGATGAAGGTGAACTGGTTTGTGATTTCAGTTGAATAGGTAATGGTAAAGTGGTGATGGGTTTTCTGGTATCCGGAGATCTAAAAGTTGAAAAACTCGAAAATTTTGGAGTGTTGATGGTAGGAGATTTCCCATTCTTCAAATCAGTCAATCCAGGTCTATTCAAATTAGGATTTGGGTTGGTATCTAAAGCAGTTAAAGTCCTGGCACTGTCATTACCACTCTTAGAATCGGTTGGGATTTGAACTCGTAATACTGGTCTCCCTGAATGATTTGTAGCTATGGAATCTTGTCTGAAGTGCGTAGCTTCTTCTTCCGGTTCTTCTTCTTTGATAACACCATTATTACGGAAAGAATTGAAAGTTGGAACATTGGTTAATGAAATGTGATTTGGAGGTAATGGTCTTGTTCTGGTTGACATTCTATTAGGGTTCTCTTCTTTCATTGTATCAAAATTTCTTTTTTGTCTCTTTGGTTCAGGAGTATCGGAGTCATAATCACTATCATCGATTTCTTGTTCGGATAAGTCATCGTTTGTTATTTGACTGATTAAATTCTTTTTCTTCTTATAGTTCCCATAATTAGCAGGAGATTTGGATTCATGGGGTTTGGTGGTTTGGTAAGCTTTTATTAATTCATTAGTATCCACTGATGAAAATTCGTATAATTTATTGTTATTTCCAACGATTATTATTGCCAAATCTACTTGACACAATACCGATAACTCATGAGCCTTCTTGAATAACCCAGCTTTACGTTTAACAAATGTAACTGTCCTATTTCTATCATCGGTTAATGGTTGAATTTCAATCTTTCTTCTACCCATTTTTCAACTATTTGATAAATTTTATGAGGTCCCTATGGTTCTGAATAAATGATTGGATTGTTGATAATGTACAATTAGATTACAAGAATATTCTTTTCACTGATTGATGAAATCTGTTGTTATATATTAATGGTATGATCAGATTTTTTTTTTTTGAGATGCTCATTTTCAAAGGAGGTAAACAATTCTAATGTAACCAAAGTTTATTTCAATAGAGACGCAGCAGAAGAATAGGTATAATTGACTTTCATAGAGGAGGTTTTATAATTTTCACTTAAACAAAACTACAAAAGAATCAGACAGTTTTTAAGACTGCAAAAAAATAACCTGGAGACAGCCCCAGAAAATTCTATTTTTAACTCTATTTTCCTTATAGAAGGTATCTCATTATTCACAAATTTGATCAATTCAATCCCACAGAGGTTCTAAAATGAAATGATGATAAAAGGCTGAAAAATAGTCTAAACTCAATTCTATTAGTGATGTTTAGATTAGATGAAGGAATAGGAGTCAAGAGCTATTTCAGATTATGTTTTGAAGTTATTTTTAGAAACTATGTGGCTAACGGTTATCGGAAATCTAGACCAAACACGAGACTTATAAAATTTTCTATTTCGAAATGAATATCTACATGATCGTATATGTATTTACGTAAAGTCCCTTTCAATGGTAGTTGACCAATTTTTTTCAAATACTTGTTGGTCGTTCTCATAAGCGATGAGATGATTTTTCAAAATATAGTTTCCCTGATCTACTGTCATGAGAGAATCGGTTTTTATGAGGATTTCCCAATTAGGTTTTTTCAAGGTAAGTTCCCATTTACTGTTAGTAGATGGGACTCCTCCAATTTTCCATTCGTTCCAATTTTTTGACCCCATAATTAAACCTTCGATTTTTCTTTCCCCTTCATCGGAGAAATCATCGATGGTCCAGATATTATTGACAATGTCATGGACAATATTTCTGCTTCTTGATTCTTCCCTGACAATTTCTCTATCAATAGGTTTGACGGATTCTGATTTTGGAAATTCAACCGATGAGCACTCACCTAAGATAGGAAGTGAAAGACAGAAATCTTTTTCTTCAAACGATAAAGTGGGAGTTTTCTCTAATGGCCACATTGAAGGCCAATCAGTGGTACTTAAGGCGATTCTAATCTTATGACCTTTCAAGAATTTATATCCGATACAGTCCAATTTGATCTCGACATGATACTTCTCACCAACTTTTAATAATTCTGGGTTCTCCATGGTTCCAATATACTTGTTCAAATTCAATTGGCCCCAAGAAACCAATTTACTGGTGTTGGTTAAATCCAATAATCTGACAGATAAATTGGCTAAAGGTAAATCACTTTTCAATTCCAAAGAAACTGTTGGGAATCCAATAAGTTCTACGTCCTCTTCAAGCTCTTGGGAATCAATTGTGTATGATTTAGAATCCTCAGTTAATTGGTTTGAAGCAAAATCCCCTGATTCTCCAAAAGGACACCATTTTCCTCTGTATAACCCATATTCAGGGGTACCACTAAAGGTGATTTCCTTAGAACTATCAGATTTCTCCAAATTCAAAGTTCCGTTGAGATGGAAATCTAATTTATCACCGAAGTTGTCAAAACTTACCCACTTTCCTGGTCTGAAATCGTACTCTTCAACTTCATCAACAGGTTCTTGTAAATATAAATTATATTTCTTCATTGCCCAAACATCAAATTGTTGTGAAACATCATAGATAGGGTCAGATAAGTATTTATGGAACCATGAGACAACGATTTGATTATAACCAATGGTAGGCCCTGGAGTAGCAACATCAGGGAATTCATGAACCCAAGGTCCTACAATACTTCTATTATCTTTGTGAGGTAAATTGTCCATCATTCTAAAGACTGCATTACTATAACCATCTTTCCATCCTCCAATGGCAAGCACAGGAACATCTACTTTGGAATAATCTTCACAAACTGATCCGTGTTTCCAAAATTCATCTCTTCTTTGATGCTTACACCATTCGATAACATTAGGTTCCAAATTCAATCTTTCTAACCAGTTCTTCTTCCAATCAGGCTTGACATCTGGGTCTTGGGGTCTTGCATTATAAGTGAACATAGTACTAGCCCACCAATTCATGTCTGAGGCCATCATACACCCTCCACGGTAGTGAACATCATCAGAATATCTATCATCAGTTGAACAAACAGTAATGATGGATTTCAAACTTGGATGTTGTTCGTAGGCAATCTGTAACCCATTGAAACCACCCCAAGATTTTCCAATTTGTCCAACCTTACCATTGGACCAAGATTGTTCAATAATCCAATCAATGACTTTCAAATTATCTTGTTGTTCTTGGGGTAAATATTCCCCCTCTAATACACCATCACTATCTCCACATCCTCTCATATCCACTCTAATTGAAGCAAATCCATGTCCAGCATAATATGGATGTCTGATTGAGTCCCTGATGGCAGTAAAATCACTTTTTCTGTAAGGTAAATACTCAATAATGGTTCCTACTTTCAAATCACCATCTAAAGCTTTTTTCGGAATCCAAATATGAGCATATAGTTTAGCATCACCAATATCAATTGGAATGTTAGTTAACTTTTGAATTTCAAAAGGTAACTCTTCAGCTTCTACGATCTTTCTCTTGTTGTCTCTGATATTGAACACCATCTGTAAGTAATTCCAACTGGGATCAAGAATGATATTTCTTGAACTCCGCTACACTAAGGTGAGATTTCCGATAAGGTCATGTGATCTGGAGAGTTTATCCTAATCAGACCAAAAAAATTCCGTTCGGGTGCAAAATTTCAAAGAGAAGGTGTAAGAGAGATGTAACCATTATAGATAAATATGTATTGCCAATAATACTATCAAAATATTAAGGGGTTTTTTCTTTTAATTACGTTACAGTTGCATAAATGTTATTGGATCATGAATCTTCTAATTCAGGGTCAATCAATTCAGCAACTTCGTCACTGAATTCCTGTCTAGTTCTATCATCATAACTTCCTCTATGTAACATCTTCATGATCAAATGATTATAAGGAGCTTTATCATTTTCTGGAGGATTGTTAGTGTTGACAATCTTGAAATATTCTTCATAGAAATTACCTTCATAACCACCAATAGCCGAATTAATCATCATGTCACTCAATTGGAAAGAATCAGTTAATGGGATAACATGAGGTCTTAATTCAGCACATAATTCTTGAATTCTGGTGGTGGTTAAGTAAGTCATAGCATCAGGTGAAATAACTGAGTAAGTTAAGAAATTACCTGAGAAAGTTTCTAAAGCAGCAGTGTAAGAATACAATTTGGCCAATTTGTCCAAAATTGGAATCAATGGTTTTTCATCACCTTCTCCCATAGTTTTAACTTTATCTAAGAAAGCTTTTAATAAGAAGAAGTGAGCTAATAATTTAGATAAGGTAACTAAATCAGCACCAATATAATCCCAGTTATCATTTTGGGCTTGTAAAGTTTTCAAACATTGAGCAGAACCTCTGATAATAGCAACTTGTAAAGCAACTAAGATCTTTTCAGTACTGTTTAAATCATCAATGTTTAAAACAACTTCTTTATTCAAATATTTGCTAGAATCATTCAAGAATTCCAAGATACCTGATAATTTTTCACCTTTATTTAAAACATTTTCAATGTTCTTAACTAATTGTTTACCAACAGACATACCCAAAATGTTATTATCACCTTCCCAAGTACATTGGACGGCAAAATCATTGTAAGCTTTACCAAAACCGGAGTATGATGAATAACCATGACCACCACAAGCTTGTCTACATTTATCAATGTTTTCTAAAGTCAACCAAGTACAGGTTGATTTTAATGAACCTGAAGCAACGAATAATGATTTGGTTAAAGCAATACCGTGGTCGATACCAGCTTTATCATCATTAGAAACAGCACTTTCTAAGATATCGTTGGCTTCTTTGGCACTGTCAGCTAAAACATTAGCACCATTGGAGAATGCATAACATAAGGCTAAAATTGGAATTAAACGACGTTGATGTAATGGATAATCCAATAATTGACTTTCTTCATCATTTTCTTTAGCATTTGCAGCTTGAAATTGTCTTCTTCCAACACCATAACGAGTAGCAATGGTGATGAATCTTGAAGACCATCTGAAAGCATCTTTTACCATAATAACTCTACCACTTAATAAGGCACCATAAGATAATTGATTCATTTTTGGTAAAGTAACATTACCGTCAGAATCAACTTTAGCATATTTTTGTAACATGAAGAATCTTGGAATTTTAACATTTGAAAATTGAATCCAACCATTATCAATACCATCTCTACCCATTTTAGCACCAATATCACCAATAGTGATACCTGGCATTAAATCATGGTTTGAGTCTCTCAATGGGACAATGAAAGTCTTGACACCATAATCTTTACCTTTGACAATTAATCTGGCATAAACAGAACAATGAGTGGCTGAATGAGCAGCACCTCCAATCCACCATTTGGTGGCACCAATATGAGGAGTGTTGATAATGAAAGAGTCATTTTCTTCATCAAAAGTAGCAGTGGTTTGTAAACCAGCAACATTTGAACCATGAGCTAATTCGGTCATACCGAAACAACCATAGATGTTTTTGATGAAAGCACTTTCCTTTTCTAAAGCCCAATAATTAACTTGAGCGAAAGTACCATTACTTCTGACACAACCAATGAATAAACCTAAATGAACACCAATTCTTGTATGCAATTGAGGATCAAAGACAGAAATTAAACTCATTCTTCTTTCAAATTCGTCAAAAGTTTCACTTTCAATATATCTTGATAATCTGTTAATCTTTTTGATTGTCAATTCTCTTTGTTCAGCTTTTGTCAAATCATAATAATTTGATCTGGAAGCTAAGATAGGATCTCTTTCCATTTGTTGAATCATTTTTTTAGTTTCTTCTGATCTTTCTTTAGACCCTTCTAAGAAATAATTCATCAAGTCTGGATTGAAGACAGCACTTGATCTTTCCTGTTGGATCAAATTACGAGGATTTGGGGCAGCATCGGAATCAACAGTTTTATTAACATTCATTTTGAAAATATCAATACTTAATTTACTCTTACAGTGATATTTATATGACTTTTTTTTGTGGAGTAATCAGTTCATGTGATTTTGTCGATGATGCGAATTTGGGAACATTTCCATTATCATCAGATTTGTCACTGTTAAAGAAATTTCGCCTCCATTTAACAGGTTTTTAATTAAAATCTATGTAACTTTGAGGGAGTAGTTCTTGTAGTATAGTTTACAGTGTGACTGAGTTTTGAATGTACTGGTCCAAAACTTCAAGAGATATTCTCGAATTTAATCGCCTCGGTTACATTAAAAATATCATATGCACGTTTCGGACTTACTATTTGAAAAAATCATTTTTCATCTGATAATCCACCTTCCAGTAGTTAATGTTCTAATTTTAATCAAACAGAGGTATAAGTTATAAACTTTTACTACCCTTCGTATATAACCCCCTTATCTTTTTATCGTAAAACTCTGAAAATTGCTTGATTGTATTTGACATTACCGCGGACTTAAGATGATTACGTAATGGCTGCAAATTCAAATGCCTAAAAATGTTTGACAGAATAATATTTAGCACAAACAAAAATAGCACGCCGGAGTGATAGAAGGCGATGACAATCCGATTGTTATGTATAACTTTTACGGGGAAATTAAGCCTTCGGTGACAATTTTTTCAAGCCATGAAATCTGCGATGGTAGTTTTAAAACAAGTTATTTCACATTTACCATGCATTGGCAATGATTCTTCCGTGCACTTTTATATGATAACTTCTTGGTTGAAAATCAAATCACTATCAGACATGTTAGGTAAGAAATTAATTTTTTTTCACTATTCGAAACACTACCTTCATTATTTAATTGTCAAAATTGAGAAATCAGGTGATATCATGCCACCAATTTTCGGAAACAAGATGTAACATAAAAATAAAAAAAAAAATCGTCAAAGTATGTGAATTTCACAAAAATGAAAAAAAATAATATTTACTATAAAAAATAAATAAACCCAGTACCTTTCGGTTACGATACTTAGATAAGCAATGGTCAAAAAGAGAAAAAACTTGAAACGTTCACTATCGGATACTTCTCGAAATAAGAGGACCTCGGTGAAGATAAGAAAAATAAAACTAATGGGGCTAAAAGGACTTATCCAGGTATTCCACAGAATGTCTTATAAGCTAACATTATGAGATAATAGCGAAAGCGAAAAAATCTTCCAACTTCCTCATTGGGCAGAGAAGAGCGCTTTCGTGAAGGAATTGAGAGGCAAATAATTATTACTTTTAATGCAAATACCGCTTTGAATAATCGAGGAACAACTTCATCTTCATGATGTGAAATAATAAGTCGAAAAAAAACCTAAATTCAATCGCTCTTTTTTTTAATTTCTTGCAGATATAATTAAATTAAGAGCTTCGCCTACTAATCACCCGAATTTTAACCTAAATGCTGATTTTTGAAAACTAGTTAAAGAAGGCTGATTCTTGAAAATCATTTAAAGAAGTCACATCAATTTCAAAGAATCTAGAACTCTTCCCCTAATCGGTGATTTACCAAAAAAGACGTTGAGATTTACAGAAAATCTTTCTCAGGTGGTGGAAATTTATAGAAAAAGACTTCCTTATTAGTTCGAAAGGTTACAATACCTTTCTTAAGCTCAATGACTAAAATGTAAACAATGTGCAGCACAATTTCAAATTAATTTTACTCCAATTAACGCGTATTACCAAAAGGGGTGCATGGACGGGGCTTCTATATTTCGATTCAATCTTCCTAAAACGAGAACGGCGAAAAAATGAGTGAGTATAAACGGTATTAGAGGTTTAACGCCTTTTAGAGGCTACGTAATTTAGTGGATGATCTGAAAAATATTCCGATGAATTTTATTTATTTCATTTCCCACTATTTCAGATATTTAATATATTTCAATTGAATGGATTGAATAATTACAATTCATACTAATCAACTGAAAATCTATTAGTAGCGTTTGTCCTCACTATTTTTTTTTTTTTTTTTTGGATGAAGACATTTTTTGTAAGGATAGTTTTTTCAAGCCCCCAAATATTTTCACTTAAACTTTGATTTAGGCAATTCTAAAGTACTTTTGGCTCACAGGTAAATAATAGTAAAAAAAGCCCATTGCCCCCTCAAAGTGGAATTATTTGTTTAAAAGAAATACCATTCCGGTAGTGAGGTTGCATTTAAATAGACCACATATTGCATACTATTTGAAACGACATCGATCCTGTCAATAAGAAGTTCCCAAAGAATTTGTGCTGTTAACCACGTAACTAACCCAGTTGTGACCATAAGTGAGAAAAATAGCCGGGTTGCAGGAATTATTATCGAAATTACTTGTCATATATAAACTATAACATAATCCAAAGTATATGCCTATATCATGGGGAAGACTCGTAATAGGGTTAGTTTAGTTTGTTCTTTCTGTAAAAAAAGAAAGATCAAATGTAACAAAGGTCAGCCTTGCTCGACATGTATTAAATATGGCAATCTTGATTGTAAATATGAAATCAATTTGACGAAAGATAAATTAGACTATATCAAAGAATTAAATCAATTGAAAGTGAAATTACATCAATTGAATAATAAAGAGAATATAAGGATAAGTAAAAAATTAGTTAATCCGTATATTTTCCATGAAACTTCGAATCCTAATAATGAATCGTCGACTCATCCTCTTCAAAGATTTCACATCAGTGATAAAATGGATTTGAATAATGTAATACTTGGTAAGAATAAGAATGACAAGATTGATTTGTTTCAATTGAATCGAAATATCAACAGTTTTTACTTTGTTAAAAATTATCGTCGAAAATATATGGAATCATTGAGTTATTACTATTTATGTAGTAATGATGAACATGTTTCATTGATTTTCCAGTACTTGATTAACTTGAAACATCTTCATAATTTCAACTTATACGTTGCTGAAAATGAAGATCAAGCTTTTTTCGAAAAAAAGAGTAATCTTCTACAGTCAAGATTTGAAACTATAAATTTGAATGAAATTCAATTCATGCTCCCAAATTTGGATAGTATACTCAAGATCGTAGATATTTTCTTTGAAAGATATTATTGTATTTGGCCATTCCTTGATGAAGTAGATTTCAAAACAAAATTGAAAACATTAATTTCTCCAGAAGGAATAATCCTTATTAATGATGTATTGGACTATGCCAACTTGGGAATTCTACTTTTGTTATTAAAGATGGTCAATTCATTTGAAAACTTCATGATTATTGACTCTAGGAATCAATATTTAGACATTGCATTGAATATTTATAATCAGAAATTCAACATCATTTCTGATAACAACTTGACAGTTTGCCAATTACTATTATTCATTGAAATTTGTATTATAGTATTACCCATGGAGGGAAGTAGTGAAAATGATTTAAAGCATGTCCAGAGTTCATTAATTGCCATTTGTAATCACATGGGATTTCATTTGGAACCGAATAATTTTCAAGAAATACTTAAGAATGCCAAACAAAATAATTTACAGAGGAAAATCTGGTATTTTGTTGTTTACTTGGAAATCCTTCTATTTTTAACACATGGAAGACCCTTTACCATTCAATTAAATTCTTTCAATGTTGACATACCCCGTTATGAAGAAGGTATTGAAAATGTAGTCGATGTTGATATTGAAAAGAAAGCAATGGCATTTTATAATGGCTTCAAAGAGATCTGGTTCCCAATGATAGAAATTAGTTACAGATTATCAGATATGGTCAACACTTCCATCAATTTTGATTCATTGATATCAATACTTGAAGACATTGAAGTGAATTTTATTAAATCTTTCAAATTAGACAATTGGGAAAATGTCCACCATCAAAATGTTATAACATTCATAACAGTATTTAATTTCTTGATTTCCATTTACTATAACATTTTTATTTATCTAGAAGATAAAAAATCATTCGAACTAGCATTTTTTTATTTGAAAAAAATTTGGATACTAATCTTAAACATTTTTGTTCCGTTTGTTAAAGATTATATCGCCAATGCTCCACCTATGTCGAAACATCACTTTACTCCTGTTGTTAGCAAAGTACTTTCCAAATTAACCGTCATCAAAAATGGTTTACTAATCAGGTTTAAAAGACACCTTATGAGTTCTTTCCAACAAAAGTATGCCATATTGATTGGTTTGATTGTGAAGTTCGACGATTTGTTGAATTCATGTTTCTTATCCTTCCCTGACTATTTCTATGCTTGGAAATTACTTAGAGGTGAAAAGGTGTTGATGAAATTTATTCTTCAAGACCTGACTTACAGTTTAGTCTCCAAGGAAAATAAAAGAATGTCAAACTTCAGATTCAATGACGATATGGTCGATGAACTCGTTTCCATATTTAGTCACTTCAATCCTATCATCATACCTGAACCACGAGATAACATGAATAGTAATGGTGCCTTTACCAAAGAATTTGAAATATTCTGGACTAAAGTTTCAAATCAAACTCCACATTCCATTGATGGCCCCCATAGTGGTAATAAGCATGCAAACAATGCAAATGACCAAGGCATTTCCAAACCAGACGATTACTTAGATGAGCTATTCCTGATAGATAATGTTTTTGACTTCTCCAAATCATTCAATCCTATGCATTAAACATTTTTTAAAAAAAAACATTCACCTTATAATATTGTAACTTAATGTAATATAGCTATGACTACACGATTAAATGAAATTTATTCAGCTATTTACTCTACTGCCTTTGACTACAACAGGTATCATCCCACCAGTGGATATAGTAAAATTCCTATGACCCAATACTGCTAAAAAGCATTTGATTGTACCACCATGTGAAGTAACATTGATAACCTTATCATCAACTTCCCATAAGTCTTCAAGGAAAGACTCTACCCTGATACAATTATCGTCAAAAGTTTCTTCTTCGTCATTGTATAATTCATCCACCTCGGAAAATCCATCCTCAGTTTCAAACCCATATTTACCAAATCTTTCCAATATGGTATCTTTGGATGATCTTTTATTACACAAATGGAAACCAATGATCTCTCTGATCTTTTCTGACACAATAACTTGTCTATTTTCTGGCCAAATATCTTTCATACTGACTACCATTGTCATGCTTGATCTTTGAAGTGGGGATGCGTAATATTTAGTTGGAACAGGACATCCATTCTTAACTTGTTGGTGCCAAACCTGGTTATTCTCTTCAGCCTGAGAGATCCCTAAAGGTGTTAATTCCGGATCTGGTCCATAAATGATATCTCCATCAACTCCTAAATTATGCCACTTATTCCTCCACGCTTCCGATCCATATTTTGACACCACAACGTTATGATAACCTTGACCATGACGAGCTAGGAAGAGTAACTTGTACTTTTCATCCGATGATCCATTTAATTGATTCAATTCATCAATTATCTGGTTCCAAGGTTTCATTATCCCAAAATCATTAGTGGCATAATTAAATTGCAAATCATCAGTATCATTATCCGATTGTTTGAAAAAACCCGGCACCACTTCAAATTTCCATTTGATTTTTCCTTGTTTCACCAATTGATCGTGTTTCTCTTTATAAACAGGCAATCTCTCGTATCCTTGTCTGGCATCCTTATAATCTTGTTGCGTTGGTATTAGAAGAGACATGGTTTAGCTGCTAATTGAGAATTTTGAGAATTTTTCATAATTTCATCATAAGATTATTTAGAAGATGTCGGATAACAACAACGTAGACTCTTCTAAAGTTGAAATTGGAATGGATGGCAAGGACTCACCTGAAGTTTCCAGTTTCGATTTCAAAATTGATTTGGTCAATGATGATATTGGAAGAAATATACCCTATCAGATTTTACACCCAATACCAAATCCCATAGATTTTATTGAATCGAATCACAATATAGAGTTTGGGGCCACCAAAGTTACACTCCCTTTACCTTTACCCCAGTTAAATGACGAAAATATAAGAGTTTCCCCCATGAAACCAATACTACTGGCTTCTAAGGACGACCAAATCACCAATGGTGATAACAAATTGAAGACCTTAAAGAAATCCAATCACAGAAATTTGACTGTCAATGATAAGATAAATAAAGGTGTTTTACCAAATACTGGAGATTTCAAGATTAAATCTGAAATACCTTGTGATATACAGATAAACTATTCTATCAGAAATTTAATCAATGCACAATATGATGGGGAAGGGGAAGTGTTTAAACTTTCACAATTATTTCATGAAGATACTGCCAGTAGAACACTGAATTCTATAAGAGAAATTGAAGGGAAGTTTTGGCAGAATTTGAAAACTCCTGTTTCCAAACCCATTACTTGTTTCTCAACAAGTCTTATTCAACCTCCCACATTAGATGATAAGATTAGAAAATTTTTGCATCCTTGGAATTTGAGGAATATACCATTATTACCAGGAAGTCTCTCCAGTAATGGTTCAATGAAGTTCAACATTGGTAGGACGAATGATATACAAAACTGGTCAATAGTTGAGAATTTTGGTCAGAGCATAAAATACCAGATATCAGGTTGGAAGAAATGGTATATAATACCTGAGTCTGAGTACGATAAATTCTGGAACCTCGTAAATCTGGAGACCGTAGTGAAGTCTGAGGCTGATCTGACCATAAGGCTTCGACATTCGAATTCGCTATTCCAATCGCTTATACAAGACACAATAGATCAAGACTTCATCATAACGCCTGCCTTACTTGATACTCATGGGATAAAATATCACACATCGATCCAAAGTCCGGGAGATTATCTCATTACTTATCCCAAAACCACCATGTTGGGCATATCATTAACTTTCAATGTTGAACAAGAGGTGGATGTTTTTACATCTTTATGGAGCAAATATGCCTTGGATTTCGTAAATAATGAAAGAACTCATAATGAAGTATTCAGAATCGTTCTACTGTCGATTCAAAACGGTTGCGATAATTTATCGGAATTATATAACGAACTTTTGATCAGGGAACTAGATACAAGATCCAAAGTTCGAGAGTTGGGTATTAAAGAACTTGTCAATGATAACCTATCCAAGATTTCAGATGACAATCTTCAGTATTTATATCCTAGTCAAATCCTCATCACTGACACAACCACTTCTCAGAAATTTCAATTATCCATAGAATCATTCTTGAAATTGGATATTAATAGTTCAAATTACGATAGAATGAAATTTGAATTGTTGGTTACTTACAATGATGAAAAATTGAAATCTTTCCTCAAATTATCCAATAATTTGAACGATTACAATAAGTGGATTGATAATTACGAAAAAATGATGGAATCTTCAGATCATTCTTTGAAAACTTATAAAGCATTGTATAGTGATGGAGAAAAAATATTCAATTCATTGACTTCAGTCAAAATATTTGACCACTTTCAAGATGCTTTAGGTATACAAAGATCTAAGGATGATGATAAATGGTTAAGATTTTTGAATTACTTAGATAACTTACAAAAGTTCATAATGTCAAGTACCAAATTTATTGATGATTGCCAATCTATACTATCATTGAAACATCATCAACGTATCAGGGGGTCTGGAACTAATGCTGTGAACATAATGAATGGATTCCCTGATGAAACGACTAACAAAGCTGATGATGACGCTTTGTCTGATCCTGATGTGGTATTACCCAAATTATCTCATTTGGTTTCAATTGTACCAAAGTTGAATTTCAACTGTTCCGAAATAGATTTGATAATCGAATTCTTGAATGAAATCGAAAACTTCGAAAGGTCAGTTAGATTGTTGTTACTGAAAGAAAACCCTTCCATAAACGAATTTAACGAACTCATAAATTTGGGGAAGTCTTTTGGTATAAACTTGATATCGTTAAAATTCATAATAAGGGTTCGGAATAAGTTAATTTGGTGTAAGAACTACGACATCATAATAAATGGAAATGAGCCAACTAATCAGGAAAACAAAAAAGAGATTTTTGATTTACCCAATTTGAAACATTTCTATAATCAGGGTATCGAGATTTTATCTTTCAATGATTCCGACAAGTTGAAAGTTATTAAAAAGATCATTGATAATTCTGAAAATTTCAATAAGAAGATAAATGAATTCTTAGAGATAAAAATTGTCAATGAGGCTATCATCAAAGACTTAGATCTGTTGATAGATGAAATCGAAGATAGGTACAAATTGGATAACGACGAGAGAATATTCGCTCAACTTTCCAGATACGACTTACTCTTGGACTTACGTCAAATGTGTGAAGTGTTCGAAAAATTCTTTGATTTCAAAAATGGTGGAAAATTGTCATTTGAAGAATTAACGAAATTGAAGAAATCTTTGTTGGACACGAAATTGTCTAACAAAGAAGATATCCAGTATATTGATAATTTGATAGATGTTACTAAGTCGTCAATTGACTCCATCAGAGGATTCTTCCAAATTGAGTTGGATGATAAAAAGAAAGAAAATAGCGTAATTCAGTTAATTGACATGATTTTATTATCTATGTCTAGTATGGATAATGATGATTCGTACGAAAAGTCGTCCAGCAAGGCATTCATTGATGGAAATGAAAGTACTGATCCCCGTCAAATTTATTGCGTTTGCAGAAATTTTGAGTTAGGTACTATGATTGAATGTGAAAGCTGTAAGGAATGGTATCACGACTCATGTGTCAACAAACCAAAGGAAGCTGTTGAACCTGATACCGAAACCAAAAAACCCAGAAAGAGGAGAAAGAAGGTCGACAAGGACGATGCCAACAAGGAAGAAGTAATAAAAATGGAAGTTGATACTGATCCAGTAACTGAATCATTGAATGAACCAGCTATCGTCAATAATTCTGCTCCTAAAGCACCCGAATCAGGTTCTGGTGTGAATACTATTGTCAATAAGTCAGAACAGAAATCAAAGCCTCAACCTAAATCAAGATCTAAAGACAAGAAAAAGAGAGAACTTACTGAAGAAGAAGACATATTTGTTTGTCCCGTTTGTAGATTGATAGAATCTCCTGACTTTGTTGACGAAAAATTATCAAAAAATCCAACTTTATTGGACTTGGTAGCGTTGATACAATCATTGAGGACATTGAATGTCCAACCAGCTCAAGAGTTGGCAAAGTTGGTGGAGTTGCAGGACAAATTGTTGTTGTTGTCTCAAGGTTACGTTAGAAAAATCTCCAACATCAAATCCGGTGATTACAATTTGAATCAAAAGTTAGACAGGTTGAGATTTATCTTAAGAAAGTTATATGGATATAGCATTAACATCGAAGACTTATTTTGGGAATGTTTAACATCCATCAGAAGAATGGAGTTCGAAAAGCATTGGAGAGAAAAAGAATTGAAATCAAAAACAAGACCAATTCAAGATCAAGATCAAAATTTCCCACCTGAACCGACGGTAATGAACTCAATAGAAGTAGATGAAAATGGTACCAAAAATACTGAAATTAATGATTTGATCGATACCGAATTACTTAATTTGACAAAGGAGGAAGATTCTTTCGAAACAGACTCTTTGTTAACACATCCAGTCGATGACAAAGCTAATGTGAATGGGAATGTCGATGGTGTAAAACCTCGTATGCATGACACTTCCATGCAAGATCAGAATGTTCAAAAGACAAATTATGACGACTCGATTGACTCCACCGATTTGAACGGTCTTGAAAGTCAATACACTCACTTACCGGACTATACTTACGAGGCGCCTTCTTTGACACCATCAGCACTCAGTCCCAGTGTTACTGAAAATGGAATTAGTGGCATTGATTCCAAAATTGATGCTGCACTTGAGGACTCTGCTTTAGAGGAGACCGCCACCGATGATCGTATGCAAACTGATGAATCTAATAACGTTCAACAAATTCCTGTGGCCAATGGAGTCCACGATTCTGCTCCTGAAGCTATTCAGGAGGAGTTTGCTTCCCCTAAAAAAGACTTGACTAAGATTCCAGCTGAGTCAGACCGTTCTCATGATACTAATCCCCTCACCTCGGATGGAGCATCATTTGAAACCTCGTCATTACAAGATTTGGACAGCCAACCTGCGACCGTAGCCGTAGCTGGAGGCTCTGAGAACCCCACTTTGCCAGTCAATGAAAACCTGCCACTGACAGAAACAAAAGAATCATTCACCGGCGATGTAAAGCATCTGGATTTGCAATATTCTTCTACGTCGCAAGATGAAACCACCGTTGCCAAAGCAGAGGTACCAAGTATTGAACCATTAGTGCCAAGTGTAACCATTATTGAACCGGCAGTACCAAGGGATGAGACAGGGGTACCAGTTTCAGGGTCTAAAGTACCAGTTTCAGGGTCTGAAGAACCTGCAGTTGAACCAGAAATACCAGATCCTTTACTGAATAATGAAAAAGTGCCACATATCGAATCAAAAACAAATGGCGAATTTACCAACTCACATGAAAAGTTAGAAGCCCAATCCACGTTAAATAATGAAATCAAAGATGAAGAATCTTCAACAGCCAATAAGGAACCTAAAAAAGACATGCCTTTGAACCAAAGTAGTTTATAAAATATTTTATTAATAAATAGTTTTGATCGAAAACTGAACTTAAAAAAATCTCTGTAATCTGTGAAATTCGCAAAAATTGGCTGCAAAAAAAACTAGGAAAGGCATTTAAATTGTCATTCAACTTCCAATGAACATGTCTAACATCAGTATGAAATATCAAAGCAGATAAAAGAGCCACTGTGTGTAAATGTAGAAAATTGTCAATGCATAAAGATTTAACTTATCTTACACATCGTAAAAAGTGAGAAATTCCTATAGCGCGTTATGGATATTGATGCATTAGTTGATGAATTATTCACCAAGAGTTGGTCGAAAATCAGTAATGGTTCCAAGAGTAACGAGTTCATATATGCCTCACAGTTTACCGACTTGATGGAAGAAGTGCAAACCACGATAAGTTCAGGGAATTTGTTGAATGAATCAGAAGTGAAATTCTTGAAAGAAATGATAAATAACAAACCACTTTTGAAATTGTATAAAAGTGAATTATCAACATTTTTGTTGAAAATGGTTGGCTATTCCTCATTGACGAAATTCATTACTGACAGGGCAGGTATTTCACTTTTCAATTTGAAATTAATTTTATCAAATCCTTCAAACACTAGATCACTAAGACGAGATATACCCACCGGATCAGAGACGAAGCCCCATTCTGCTCGTCGATTTGAGCCTGATGTCACGTCAACTCCGGTTATAAATAGGGCCAAATCTCATGAAGGAGAGTATAATTCGATTCTTCTCAAGGAGAAACAAATAATACAAAGAGATAATGAAATACTGGTTATGGCTACAGAAAATAAAGTACTTCAAACAGAATTATCAGAGAAGAACAGTAAGATAAGAGAATTGGAGAACAAATATAGAGAACTCAGTTCCTACATAGAGACGTTGGAAATGAAGTTTGATAACAAGAGTGACTTAAGTTCCAATAGTGATAGGCTAATCATAAGGGATTTGGTCTCCAGGTGTAACGACAGAGACAAAACAATTAAACATCTTCAAACAGTTATAGAAGACTATGAAAATCAAGTTCATGTAAACGAATCAAACCCAATAATCACTAAATTAACCAATTCGATAAAAATTCAACAACAGCTTATCGATGCATTAACTGAAAAATTAAATTTAAAAGACTCATCCAAAGAATTGACTAGCTTTGTAACGAAACTTCCATTCTTGAAACAATTCTATATGTATTTCAATTATCAACGTCAGCACAAGAATATGGGTATGATATTCATGAATGTATTGACGTTGTTCTTATCCAGCATTGTTATGATGACAGGATTAAGAATAGTATTCTTGATGGTTTTGTATGTTCTTAGTGGAGAGACCAGATTTGAATATGTTCTTCAGGATGAAGACTATGATAAAATATCTATTAATTGGTGGCAAGAGTTCGAATGGTTGGAATATTTGATGTATAACCTTAATGATTGGCTTGATGGTTATTCACTGTAAAATAATGTAGATAGTAATTTAATATAAAGATTAATGAGAGAAACAGAGCAAAATTAATATTAAGTACAGTGATATTTTATTACACAAAAAACCTAGTTCATTTGTTTAACTAAAGCGTTAATGAATTCTTCTCTGTTACCGGTATCACCACCTTGGATAAAGTGGAAGAATTTTCTAGCTCTGAAACCACCAGTTGGGTTAGATAATTTGAATGGCCATAAGAAGTTGTTAGCTTGTTTGAAGTTTGGACCAACGGTAACAATTTCGTGGATTAAATCTTCAATGGATAAGATACCGTATTTACCTAAAGAAGCTTCAATGATAGCGTTATCGGATAAAGCAACTCTTTGTTTGTTAACTTTACCGAAACCTCTTTTGTAAACTAATTGTCTGATAGTAGCTAATGATGGGTAACCGTAAGCAACGTATGGTTCAACTAATTTTAATAATTCAGAGGTAGCTTTGGTAATTTTAACGAAAACACCGGCATTGATTTGGGTTAATCTTAATAATTGTAAGACTTTTCTTGGTTTTGGTGGAATTTTCATAATACCCTTGATTCTGATAACGAAAGCTAATTTTGGTTGAGCATCAACGTAGTAAGAACCGTTAGCTTTAGCATCTCTTTTAGCAGCAATGATAGCTTTTTCAGCTTCAGCGTATTCTTTGGTGTAAGCAGCGTTTCTTTTGTAGATAGTAGCTCTTTTTTCTTTAGAAGCCTAAATATAGTTAGTATTAAAGTTATTTCATTGAAATATTTTTTCAGTCCCGAAAGATGGTTAACGATTGACAACATCGCCTTAGCTAGCCAAATACAAATGGTGTTCTTCATCTTCAAAAATATTTAAGAACTTAATTTATACATACAACTTTTCTGGCGGCTTTATCAGCAGCTCTTTGCTTTAAGATTTTTTCGTCAGTTTTGTTCTTTTTAATTAAAGTTTCTGGTTTTAAAGTGCTAAAAAATGTTAGTAAATTGAATCAGATAAAAAATTGATTTACCTGTTAACCCCTTTTGAATAAATATTGTAGATGACTTTGAAACGGAAAGTTTCAAAATGATAATAGAACTGAAAAGCCAGGTTCATTCTATATCCATCCAATATTATTAACTCAGAGGAAAACAGATTTATCAGGCATTGGCAATGAGTTTTAAAATTCTGCAAGATAATCTTGAATTCCCATGGTGAATCATTGTTGTCTTGAACTGATTTTATTCTAACCAACTAGACTATTGGAAGATAGTCTGGTGATATAGATTGTATGTTACTCTTGCCCATACCTGGTAATCAAGGTTGGGTATCTTACATACGTAGCCATTTTTGATTAATTATTAAGTTGAAAAAATTATTTTTCAAGATGAGAACTTCTGATGAGAATTCACAATTCAGCAGTCACAAGAAAAATTCTTCTCATCATGTGATCAGAATCTTTATGCGAGGGCATGTGCCCTAAAGAGATTTGGTATATCGAAAAAAATATACCAAATAATATCAAGAATTAGCAAAATTGTTAAGAGTGGGGTTTAACGAGTTGAACCCAACATTCATCAAAGGAGTTGAAAATTTTTTCAAATCTACTGAAGATCTGTAACCCATATCTGCAAAATCTCTACATGAAAGGAGAAATCCACTCATAACAAGAGAATTGATTTGTGTTCATCATTTATTGGTGGAACATTGACGGAGTGAACTCCATTAGTCATTGGACAGATAAAACGCAACCGGTCACAACTGGAAATTCATGTCCGGATTAATTATTGAGATGTCAATCCAGTGCTCAGTTCGTTAATCTTTCGAGCAAAGAATTTCTATAGATCATCCAAACTATGAGCTCAATACCACTGTAGTTGTTACGTCATTTAATGTACCATGTTTGAGCATGATTGATATATCCAACTAAAAGTATAAAAAAAGTTTTTCCATCGAAAGAAATGGACTGTATATAATCGCATAATAGAAACGGTCTCTCAATAGATCAATGAATAAACAACTCTATTGGATAGTCCGAGATTGCAAATATTAGAAGGTCCAAAGATAGTGAAATGATGTAATCATTCCAAAGATCTTCGGAATATTGAAAGGATTATCAAGGTTCAATCTGTGTATTTCAAATGCAAAGAACGATTACTTTTTCATGGGAATTGAAAAATAAAACATCAACAAAAATACCTCATATTATATAATCACAACATATTTTGAAAATTTTAGAAGAGGTTGCAAAAGAAACGGACCGATACATCGAAATAGAGCCTGAAAACAAATACCTGAAAAGTTCAATCTTTATATTTGATTAACCCGGTACATCAATGATCCCTTCCCTCTATCCGACAAAATCTTGCCCGGCATCAACCTACCCCTTAATATCACTTGCTTCCCACCTGAACCTAAGTTTGTTAACTCTGATGATCCAAGACACACTATAACGGAAGTTCCATCGACTTGTTTCGTCCAATAATTGCCAATGTAAATTTTGGCAAAGGAGGGGAAAAGTAGAATTCCCAACTAATCCGGCTCAATTACTGCAGATATTTGTAACAGGACGATTCAACTTGTTGGTTTTAGAGATTGAAAATTCCAGTACCCATGAACTTAAGCCATTATCCAATATGTTACCTCCCCTGTAACTACTATAATTATACTATTATCTCATCCAACCTTTATATGAGGGTTACAAGTGTGCTATTTTATATACAGTCCGTTGCCAAAAAAAATCTTTAATTCGGTGATCGGAGTATTCCCTGTTACGTAATCTATGATACAAATTTACTCAAATTTCCTCAAGAAAATTTCATACTTAATTAATACTTAAGTATTAAAATAGTTAAAGAATTTTGTCGAAAAAGAAGTAATTTAAAACATGGAACCAATTATTGAACAAGCTTGTGATTCATGTAGAAAGAGAAAATTGAAATGTTCTAAACAATTACCTAAATGTGTTAAATGTTCTCAACATAAATGGAATTGTACTTATAGTCCTAGAACTATTAGATCTCCTTTAACAAGAAATTACTTGACCAAAATTGAAAAGAGAAATGAATCATTAGAAAGTATTTTGAAGTTTTTATTAGGAGAAGACATTAGTATTGATAATTTAATCGGAAATTATCAAAATTCCTTGTTAGAGCATAAGGACTTATTAAAGAATCTTAAGATCGAAGAAAGATTCCAAAACAATCTGAATGTAACAGATAAAGAATCTTCCGAATTCAAATCTCCTGATGATGAAATAGATAATAAATTAGGGGATAATTCCAATGAAAATTTTCAATCTGTTACTGAAAGCAATAGTAATAATTTGAGTCAACCTAAAAATATTGGAACTATTAAAAGTTCAAACTCAATTAATTCAATGTATCAATCAACGTCAGAATATAATAGTCTTGATTCAACACCAAATCAATCACCTAGATTAATACCAAATGATAAGAAATTTGAAATGAATGAGATATTAGATTATTCAAATATGAAAGATGAATTTAATTCATTAAGTCAATCACCAACCTATTCGATCTTTTCAAATGAATCAACAAGCTTGAATTTAATCAATTCTAATAATTCTGACGAAATTTTCAATGAATATTTGAATTTGAATTACAAGAAGATTAAATTAGAAGACGATTATTTAGATATTAACACTGTCAATGAGAATTATTAATGTGAGATACATGAAGTTTATTGTCAGATGTTGAAGAAAAGTACATCAGAATAGAGTATAGAGTTATGTGTAATGGGAAATGTATAATAGAGATCATCGCGATATCATCTCTCAATCGCAACCTTCAACGCAATCGAACGGGTAAAGTGGAACATCGGTCAATTGATTTGGAGAAGGTTTAAAAATCTAACTATCAGGTCGGTGATAAATCCTACCTTCAATTGTAATTCTAGTCTTTCAAAAGAAACTCATCCCATGTTTTCAACTTGATCCTCGCACTATAAGCACGAGTTGTTATTTTGTCCCCGATTAACCGATTATGCGATAAGAAAGATTTTAAGTTCAGTTGTCAAGAAAGAAGATAATTACCGAGTGAAGATCTTAAGGGAAGGAGACCTTGTATTTACTGTTTGGTATTAGGTTATGGCATGTTCAATGAGGTATGCAGATATTCTTTCAACAATTAGGATATTCTAGAAATTTAATGTTTTTGCTTGTTCGTTCGGTCTGGCAACACATTTGAACTCTTTCTAGGGACAGAACATTGCAATTGAACATTTTGAATCACTATAACCTCGACGGAACGACATTGTCCCATCACTTTTCAAGATACTGATAATTCTTCATCAAGATAGAAATGTCTGGTATCTTCCGCGATAAATTATTTTATTCGGTAACCTCCATAATCAAGGCAAACGAAATTTTGCCACTACTATCCCTAAATCCGTCAATATGGGACCTAGGGGTAGTATGACAGGATTCCTCATTTGTCATCCGACCCATCTTCTTCTCATTTCGATTAACGGTTGATTGTACGTGCAACTTGTGATGGGTGCAAATTTATGAAGTCAAGATCAATAAGCCCCACAATTTTGCCCCTTTCATCTCTGTTTTACCACTACTAACCACCTGTATTTGAAGCACTCATGGGCCGAATTCACAAGAGTCAAACTACTTCCATAATAAGAACAAACCTCTAAAAAGAAAAAAATTCAAGATCAAGATAAGCGCAGGAAAGTACCGAGACTGAAAAATTTGAGATCTTATCATATATAAGGGATAATTGCCCTCAACACAAATCAATGATTTTCTATTTGTTTGCAGTAGTGGCCGTATTATATGCCATCTACCAAGTAATATCGACGGTTTTGCCTCGATTTTTTGTCGTTCCCATCCAGCATTGGCAAGATAAAATCGATCATGTTATGAACTACCCAAAACCTATTTATCTCAAAGTTGGTTGGAAAAGGTCCAGTTTTAGAAGAAGATTGATCACTGCTTCTAAAAACCCAAGTTACTACAACAATTTCAATAACAACAAGATAAAAATTGATCCAATTGATTGTAAAAATGAAGATGATTTCTTCAAAAATGGTATGAAGAATCGTTCAATTGATGATCCAAAGAGAAAAATCTTGTATGGATTTTTCCATCCATATGCCAACAATGGAGGAGGTGGTGAAAAAGTGTTATGGCAAGCCGTTAATGCTACTTTAATGACTAATGATAATAATATTGCTGTGATTTATACAGTCAACTTCGAAGAACCAGCTAAAATCATTAGGAAAGTGGAATCAAAGTTCAATATCACTTTACAAGGTGAAAGAGTGGTTTTCATCTATTTAAGAAAATTCGGAAATTTGATTGATAGCGAATATTGGAAACATTTTACCTTAGTTGGTCAATTGATTGGATCTGTGTTATTGGCATTTGAGTGTCTTTTCGAATTGGCTCCTGATATTTGGATTGACACTATTGGTTTACCTGGAAGTTACTGGCCAATTTCTGTTGTTTTGAATTTACCAATATTAGCTTATGTCCATTATCCAATTCTTCAACAAGATATGTTCAATAAATTGAAGTTCTCCAAAATGACTGATTTATTCAAGTTTAGAGGTGAAGTTAAAGATTTATTCAAATTTTTTTACTGGTCAATTTTATATTACGTTTACGTTTATTTGGGTTCAAATGTTGACATTACTTTAGCTAATGGAACATGGACTTTCAATCATATGAAGAAAATTTGGTTTCTTAATGAAAAAATGGGTAGTACATTAGAAGTTTTGTATCCACCATGTGCTACAGAATTTTTGAATCCTTATAAATCTAAAGAAAGACTTAATGAAATGATTTATATTGCCCAATTCAGATCTGAAAAAAGACACGATTTAATCTTAACCGAATTTAGTAAATTCTTGGATACTTGTAAAACCGAAAAAGTTCCAATCAGTAAAATACCTAAAATTATATTCTTAGGTTCTTGTAGGAATGAAAATGATACTGATTGTTTAAACAGTATCAAATCATTAGTCACAGAATTGGAATTATCAGAGTATGTTGAATTCATAGTTGATTGTTCTTATGACGAAATCTTGAAACAATTATCAACTGTGAAGTTTGGTCTCAATTCCATGTGGAATGAACATTTCGGTATTGGTGTGGTAGAATATTTAGCTAATGGAGTTATCCCAATTGTCCATGCTTCTGCTGGTCCAATTTTAGACATTGCCACCAATGAAAATTCATCAACAGCAGAGTCATGGAAGAGTGAAACAGGATTTTTCTTCAAATCATCCACTGATCCTGATTTCTCAGGAGAAATGAATGGTGATAATTTAGTTTTTGACAATGGTGCATTCCCTGAATTATCCACTCTTTTATCCGACATTTTCGCCAATAATAAGGTTACTGAAAATGATTTAGATTTCATGAGACAGGTAGGTCAAGGCTTGAGTAACAAATTCTCCAATGATGAATTCAACACCAACTGGAGGAAATATACTCGTGAATTAGCTTCTTTGGAGAAGCATTATAGAGAACAAAGAAAGGAAGTTGAAAGTGTATATTAGATATGATATTATTCTGCTCATTCTCCGTAATATCCTCTATGATCTCCCCAACCCACTAGTTCTATTCTAAGATCCATATCCAATCATGACACCCGTACACCCATAATTAATACGATGTATAGATCGCGTGTATTGACCACCTAAATCGCACAGGTTGAAAAATCGTTGAATCAAGGTCGTCCACCGTGTTAAACAAACAACAATCAATTATCAATAACACAAGATGAAATTGGATGTCATTAAACAATTTTCCACACGTTCGGAGAGGGTCAAAGGAATTGATTTCCATCCCACTGAACCTTGGGTTTTAACTACCTTATATAATGGTAAAATCGAAATTTGGTCTTACGCTACCAATACATTAGTTAAATCAATTCAAGTAACTGATTTACCTATTAGAGCTGGTAGATTCATTGCCAGAAAAAACTGGATTGTTGTTGGAGGTGATGATTTCCTCGTGAGAGTTTACAATTATAATACAGGAGAGAAGATCACTCAATTTGAAGCACATCCAGATTATGTTCGTTGGATTACTGTTCATCCAACTAAATCTTATATTTTAACTTGTAGTGATGATACAACTATTAAATTATGGAACTGGGATAATAATTGGAAATTGGAACAAACTTTTGAAGGTCATCAACACTTTGTTATGTCAGCTAACTTCAATCCAAAAGATCCAAATACTTTTGCTTCAGCTTGTTTAGATCGTACAGTTAAAATTTGGTCTTTAGGATCATCAGTTCCTAACTTCACCATGGTAACTCATGATGCTAAAGGTGTAAATTTTGCTGATTATTATCCTCAAAGTGATAAACCTTATTTAATTACATGTTCTGATGACAAAACTATTAAAATCTGGGATTATCAAACCAAATCATGTGTGGCTACTTTAGAAGGTCATTTATCAAATGTTTCATTTGCCATGTTCCATCCAGAATTACCTTTAATCATTTCTGGTTCTGAAGATGGTACTGTGAAGATTTGGAATGCTAATACTTTTAGATTAGAAAAATCATTAAATTATAGTTTAGAAAGATTATGGTGTGTGTCATTATTGTCTAAATCTAATTTAGTTGCCGTTGGTGGTGATTCTGGTTATGTGATAATAAAATTAGGTAACGAAGAACCATTATTCTCAATGGATTCTAATAACAAGTTGATCTACAGTAAAAATTCCGAAGTTTATCAATCAATTTTAAGACCAAATATGACTGAAGGATTAAAAGATGGAGAATTGATTTCTTTACAACAAAGAGAATTAGGATCAATTGAAGTTTATCCTCAATCATTAAACCATTCACCTAATGGGAAATATGTTGCAGTAGTTGGTGATGGTGAATATATCGTTTACACCGCATTGGCTTGGAGATCTAAAACTTATGGTAAAGCCCAAGATTTAGTATGGAATTCTCATGATTTTTCTAATAATTGTTCATTTGCTATAAGAGAAAGTTCATTATCAGTTAAAATTTTCAAAAATTTCCAAGAAGAATTAACTATTGATTTGATTTATCAAGCTGATAAAATTTATAGCGGTTATCTCTTGGGTATTAAATCTCAAGGATGTATTTCATTCTATGATTGGGAATCAGGTACTTTAGTTAGAAGAGTTGATATTGATGATGATATTCAAAATGTTATTTGGTCAGATAATGGTGAATTATTAGCTATTATTACATCATCAAGTGCTAATGATTCTAATGGTAATTCAAACTCAAGTAAAAAGTCAGATGAAACTTATTTCTTAAGTTTTAATAATGAAATATTCCAACAATCCTTGGAAAACGAAGAATTAGATCCTGAAGAAGGTTGTGAATCAGCTTTTGAAGTTTTATATACTTTACCAACATCAGAATCAATCTTATCATCCAAATTTATTGGTGATGTTTTCATATATACAACAGCTTCAACTAATAGATTGAATTATTATGTTGGAGGAGAAGTTATAAATTTAGGACATTTTGATCATAAATATTATATTATTGGTTATAGATCAGGATCTGAAGGTAAATTATATTTAATTGATAAAAGTTTTAATGTTGTTTCATGGTTTGTAAATAGTGATGTTTTGGAATTACAAACTTTAGTAATGAGAGGTGATTTAGAACAATTTTCAACTAAAGAATTTATTGATGAAGAATCAGGCGAATCATTACCTGATGTATCTGATATTGTTTTAAATGATTTATCAGAAGAATATAGTCAATATTTCAAGAATTTCAATAAAACAGAATTAAATCAATTATCAAGATTTTTTGAAAAATTAGGTTATTTATCAGTATCATACGAATTATCACAAGATTTTGATTCCAAATTCCAAATTTGTTTGAGTAAGAATAATTTAACTAAAGCTTACGATTTATTATTAGAAAATCAACAACAAAACCCTTCAACAAGTTTAGGTAATTCATCAAAATGGAAAAAATTAGGAGATTTATCATTAAAACAATTCAAGATAAAATTAGCTCAAGATTGTTTCTGGTTAGCTAATGATTATTCTTCCTTATTATTGTTGTTATCATCATCAAATAATAAAAGTCAATTAATTAAATTAGCTGAAAAATGTGAAGAAAGTGGTAAATATAACATAGCATTCCAATGTTGGTGGATAATTGGTGAAAAATCAAAATGTCTTAAATTATTGGAAAAATCAGAAAGATTTACTGAAGCTTCATTCTTAGGTAAGAATTATGATATTGAAGGAAAAGAAGAAACTGTTAAATTATGGAAAGAAAAATTAACTACTTTAGATAAATCTAAAATAAGTGATAGATTAATTGTAGAATTTGATGAAGTTAAAATAAATAACGAAAAGGAATTGATCGATTTAAATGGTGAAGAAGTCGAAGCATAGAACAATAAATATACATGTTTACTGAACTTGTCTCTATATACAAAAAATGGTTTCGTTAATTCATAAATATTGATAACTTATCGATATCTCTCTTGTCTTGACAAATCAAGAATAATTCTCGATATTTAGCTACTGATCTAGCTCTATAGGCTGTAGGATCTTTTTGTGGGATGATGTGACTTTCTTTAAGAAATATTTCTAAAGGTTGTGGCCATGAAGATACTCTTTTGAATAATTTTCTACATCTTTGTAGTACTATCTGAAACTCTTCATCATCTTTATCGACAGCTGGTAATCTTAGTACCAAATTACCTCCATTATTAAGTAAATCACTAGTTAAAACTAAGGTTGCATCAGCTAAATCAATGGCACTTTTAACCTTTTCTGTCATAGGTCTATTTAATACTTCATTACTACCAAATCGTAAATACGGTCTAGTATTAGTATTATTAAAATATCCTTTCTCTTGATTGAATGGCATTGCTAAATCACTTAAAATCAATTGAGGTTTATAATCCAATTCAGGTTCGAGTTTCAATTCCGTCATATGGGATTCAATCATTTCAATTTCTGTTTGTTCTTTAACAAAATATGATTTATTCAGTTCGTCAACTTTACTCAAATTCTTCATATCTTCATCTTTCCTTCGAAGTGCTGCATCTTTGAAAAACTGTGCCATAGATTCATGAGATGTTTTTGAATAAATATTCCCTTGAATTGAAGATGTACCTAATGGTGGGGTACCAAATAGAAGATCAAATCCAAGTAAATCACATTTGTCATTGATATCTATCTCTTCTAGACCATAAACACTGCATAGCCTGAACTTAGCAAATTCTAACCAATTCCCTGGTACATATCCTAGATCTAAAACTCTGGTGACCCTATCATTGAATATATTAAACTTATTGTCAATATGATACAACTCACTTTGACTTGTCATGTTAATGTCATGAATCTTTTGTTGCCTCGATGACACCTTTTCAGTATTACCACCCGACCAAGCACTTCTTCTCCATATTCTTAACGAGTCAATTGATTTCTTCCATCGTATACCAATGACATTTAATCTATACATTTACACACCTAAACTTTATAAGATCATGTACACCTAAGACGCGCGCTCGCTTTATCAAGGGCAAAAGCCCTAATGGATCACATGATTTGCACGCTCTCTCAACAGTCCAGTTTTTTTTCTACCAAAAATAATTTCCAGCATTTTGGTAAATACACATCTTTCGATACCTCATCTTCTCACAGTGAAAAATTTAAAAACTTCATCCTCGTCGAATCAGTAATTTACCAAGTATATTGGGAGACTAAATAAACATTCTTAGATATGTCCAAAATTACTTCTTCTCACGTTAGAGAAAACGTTAAAAAATTATTAGAATACTCCGGTGAAACTAAAAAGAGAAACTTTTTAGAAACCGTTGAATTACAAGTTGGTTTAAAAAACTATGATCCTCAAAGAGATAAACGTTTCAGTGGTACCTTAAAATTACCAGTTGTTCCAAGACCAAACATGACCATCTGTATTTTTGGTGATGCTTTTGATGTTGATAGAGCTAAATCAGTCGGTGTTGATGCTATGTCAGTCGATGATTTAAAAAAATTAAACAAGAACAAAAAATTAATTAAAAAATTAGCTAAGAAATATAACGCTTTCATTGCTTCCGAAGTTTTAATTAAACAAGTTCCAAGATTATTGGGTCCTCAATTATCAAAAGCTGGTAAGTTCCCAACTCCAGTTTCTCACTCCGATGATTTATACTCAAAAATCCAAGATGTTAGATCAACCATCAAATTCCAATTAAAGAAAGTTTTATGTTTAGCTGTCGCTGTTGGTAACGTTGAAATGTCAGAAGATGATTTAGTTAACCAAATCTTAATGTCAACTAACTTCTTAGTTTCTTTATTAAAGAAACATTGGCAAAATGTTGGATCATTAGTTATTAAATCAACTATGGGTCCATCATTCAGATTATATTAGGTATTTAAATATATTATAGTATTTTCATTTCCTTTTCTATGGGTCTCTACGTTCATGGTCTTCTTCAGTTAGAGAGAAATTCGAATGCTGAAGAGATATTTAACCAATAAATGCATTCATTACATATCATAAACTAATAAACTAATAAGTTACAACTCTCACCTTTTTTGCAGCTTTTTTATTCTTCTTATTATGTTTTTTACTATTATCATGATTAACTTGATGGAAAGGCTTATTTATAGTACCTGTAATATTATTCATTTGAAAGAATTCATTATCTAAATCATCACCTAAACTTTCTAATCTTGCTTGTTTACCACCATATAAATGACTATCCGATTCACCAGCATGCATAGAGAAATTCAATTTAGATAAATCTTTGGATAAATCAAATTCATCGATTTGGAAATTTTTGTCTTTCATTGATTGTAAAATTTGATTCTTTCTTGATTCGGGTAATGTTTCCAAAGTGTATAATTCTTTATTAAACTCTCTTTGTTCATCAACAGTGGCTAAAGTGTATTCTCCATTAGGTAATTTATTTGGAGGTGGATTGATAAATAATAATTTACCATTGATATAATCTTTCAAAATATATCTTGAGGCTCTTGGTTCATCAGCAGAACCAAAACCTTGAGTCATATAACCTCTGGATCTAGCATAAGCATTCAATAATTCTGCAGCTGTTGGATATTGTCCATTACCACCATCTTCTTTCTTTCTAATTTGGATATGAATACCATAAACAGCTTCAAGATAATATTTAGGTACTCTTTGACAAACCAATGAAGTTGGAGGAATATGTTCTCTTAATTGATCAATTGGCAAAACACCATTACATACTAATTCTCCATTAGTATAAGCGAAATTTGGGAAAACCAAACCAGGACAATCACAAAGTAAAATTGATGGTGATAAATGGATTGTTTGGAAATGTTTGGTTTTACCAGGGGTTGCTGAAACTGAAACTTTCTTGGATCCAACTAAGGCATTAATAGTTGATGATTTACCAACATTTGGATAACCAACAAGACCAATTTGTAATTTTCTGTCAGGGAATTCAGGATCGAATTCTAATTTAGGTGAATGTTTAATAAATAAATCTTCTAATTCATCGATAGTCAAAATCTTTACCTGGTCTTTTAATTCTTCTTCAACTTCAACTTCTAAATCATCAGAAAATTCCCCAACATGATGTTCATCTCTCTTTTTAGGTTTATCTTCTTCAGGTAAATCTTCTTCTAAAATTTGATTAGCTCTAGCAGCTGAAAAGAACACGAAGTTAATCTTCTTATCAATAAAGTATTTAGCCCAAGCTAATCTTTGCTTGGAAGTTAATAAATCGGCTTTATTGACTAATAATAAATTATTCTTCTGTTGGTTATTTTCTGGATCACTTAATTCATCAACATAAGTAACTAAATCAACTGATCTGAAGAACAACGGATTTCTTGCATCAACAATTTGAACAACTAAATCTGATCTTTCGACAACTCTCCATAATTGTCTCCAAACTTCTAAATTTCTTTCAAACGGAGTTAAAATCAAATCATTATTTTCTGTTAACTGAGCAATGTCTCTTCTCCAATCTAAAAAGGATAAATTTTCTTGTCTTTCAATTTCCATCTTCAGTTGATTCTTATTCCATTGTGGTCTTCTAGGGATGTTCAATTTATTTTCGAAAAGCTTATGTTTAATTCTTATCTTTTCCATTTCTTCTGGGCTTAATAATCCATTTTGACTAACAATTGAAGTATTACCAACTTTAATGATTTTAATTTGATTATTCTTATCGGCAGTGAAATCGGTATCAGCTAATTGGGCAGTACTTAAGAATTCATCTAAAGCAGATTCTTGAGTAACTGATCTAAGTTTGACCCAACCAGCTTCTCTTTTATCAGTAGTGAATCTCATCTCTCCATCAGGTAAGAATTCGATTTCATTTTCTTGACGACGTTGATTAGCTATAGATCTACCTAAACCAATAGAATTTTTATTCTTATGTTGGATAGGTTTGGGACCTTTAGGAGCTTTCCATTTCTTAACTTCTGGATGTAATGCTCCTTTATTCATGTTAATATAGTTAAATCTTTAAATTTTTCTCACACTCGATGAGGAACCATCTCGTCACGTGACATGAATCATTGTATGATAAATGATCTAAAATTGTTCATTCAACTTAAAGTTGTTCATACGACTCCAGGAGGAAAAAGTTCTAGAGATTGATAGATATTGATAATGAATTAAAATATATTAAACTAGATATATTTGGATAACCATTTGAAACCTTCTCCGTAACCCAGTCTCATGACAACTGAACACATGAAAACTTCAATTGGTCTTTGACCATCAGGTAATTTACCAGTATCTTTACCAGTAGTATTGAACAAACCTAAAGCGGTTTTTAAATCCATTTCACCAACAGCTTTACTAGAATCAATCTTGTTACCTAAGATGACGAATGGAACATCTTTTAATTCCTCAATTCTGAAAAGTGATTCTAATTCAGCTCTTGATTCTTGGAATCTTTCTGGATCAGCTGCATCAACTAAGAAAACAATACCGTTAACTTCCGGGAAATAATCTTTCCATAATCTTCTGGCTTGTAAATGTCCACCTAAATCAAAAGTGGTGAATCTAACAGTTCCAATGGCAAGTTCTTCGGAAGTTGGGTGTAAAGTTGGTTGTAAAGTTGCTAATCTATCGTTTTTCAACATATGTAATAAAGTAGTCTTACCGGCATTATCTAAACCTAAGAATAATAATTTAGCATGTTTGTTCCATAATCCAAGGGAGGATAAAACGTCTTGAACTAAAAGCTTGTTAGTATTTGTGATATAGGAATTTTTTTTGAACTGAAATAGACAGTAGCAATGCAATGACCGTGGTCATGACATTGGTTAACTACGGGCTTGTTCTTCATCAATTTGAATGAGATTAATCACATACACCATTCAACAATCCACATCGTTGTCGAAAAAATTAATGCGCACAAGATTTGATTGATTCTTTATCTTTATTTGGTGATCTCATGATTTCTTCAACAAAGGAGGTTTGAGCGTTCGACCCGAAAAGGAGTGATAGAGGCGGGATTGTATGGGAACAAGGGAGATTTTCAATGATTATAAGTAGAAGTTATTTTGTTGGGCATCATTGAGTAGTAACAATAGACTTTCGGCTATTTATAGGGTGTTTGATTTCTGGTAGATTTGTACTTTTACAGTGACAAAATGTTCATATTCGCGTGTCTAGTAGCTTTGAAATTATTCTCTTTCTCTCTTTCTTCATTTAAGGATCCTCCTACGAGAAGAATCATACATGGTGACCCAATAATCGCCATTTACTATATACGAAGAGCCCAAGTACCTTTTAAAAGCACCTTTTAAGAGCACCTTCCGGAAGGTCAGTATACTCCAAAACAAGTATTTCAAACATCTAAGAAACAAGACATCGCCCAAGCTTTGCTTTTGGTATGGATTAATATACACTATAACTATGGAACGAAAATTTGCAGCCAATTGAGATAAATAAACTAAAAAAATTCAACAGTTAAACCGTCCAATAATTTCAAACTGGGACCAGAGTTTGTAAGTTCACCACCACTAATCTTTTTTAGTCCTTTGAACATTGTTACTAACTTGACGATGATGTATCTTGATTCTACCAATGATAATTCTTTACCGAGGCACATTCTAGGACCATAACCAAAAGGCATGAATGATTTGGGTTTGATGGTATTCCATCTTTTAGGGCTGAAAGATTCCGGATCGGGTCCAAATTCTGAAGATCTATGAAGCGAATAAATATTGAAAATCACAGTGGTACCTTTTGGAAGGTATGAAGGATTTTCATCATTACCGTGAGGTAAAATGACAGGAGAAACAGTTTTCCTCAAATTTCTAGGGATTGGAGGATGCAATCTTAAGGATTCATTGATGTAATTATTCAACACCTTACAAGTGTTCAAATTTGCGATTGTGATTTCATCAAGCTTTAAAACTTCTTCACGTAGCTCATTGTACAAATCAGGATTCTGCGATAATTCTAAGAATAAATAAGTAAGTAATGATGAAGTTGTATTTTTACCAGCTACCATAACACTTAACACCTGATCTTGTATTTCTTTGGGGCTCAACTTTTGATTAACCAAATCATTGATTAAACCACCATTATTTTCATGAATATAATTTTGTATGAACTTATGAACGGTTTTAATTGCATCACCAACATATTTTGGCTCAAATAATGAATGATATTCACCGAGAACAGTAACCAATATGGTTTTCAAAGGATTATATTTAGCAAGCTTCTCCAGGGCTTTTTCAAAATCCAAATAATCTTGAGATGGATCATTTAAAGAATTAACACTTTGACCAAATAAAAATTCTGAATTGATATCAAAAGCTAATTTTTGAAAAAGTGATTGAAGTTCAACTGGTTGATTGATATACTTCAAGAAATCATGAAAGTGGACATCCAAGTGACTCAATTGTGGCATTTTGAATAAAGGACGTAATAATTCTCTCGAATGTTTCCATTGTTTCCCATCACTTGAAAATACTCCATGGCCCAATAGGGATTTTGATAATTGTTTCCTCAAACCAATGGAGTGATGGGTATTCATCAAATGTTTGATATTGTCTCTATCACATGTAACTACAAATGATTTGAAAAGGATGTATACTTGTAAAGTTTTGGTATCTTTAAAACCTTCATGTTCAATATCTAAAGCTCTGCCCGATTTGGATACAGTAACTGAATTGAAAGGATTAACTATTCGCCTATGTTTTATAGGTTTACAATTGAATTTGTAATTCCAATAGATCCCTTGAAGGTATCTGATAAGAAATATCAAAGGTATTACTAGTAAAACTTGAAAATTCATTGATTATTGAAGACTGTTGCATTCCCTTTTATAATAAAACTTGAAAAGAAAAAGCGCTTAACTAAGCGGCCATTGGTACAGGAAATGTAATCTGATGTACGAAAGTAGTAAGTTACATGGAGGATCAAAGATTTTCATCAACTATTAATAGATCCAATTAATTTCTAAGTGTAATTTCCATAAGTTATGATTCAATTGTAAGTTTTCATCAATGGTTTTAACCCTAGCAGCTTGCGATTTTTTTTTTGCAACAATAATACCTAATACATATTGGTAATGCCACGTCTCACTATCAAAAAGATACCAGATCAGACATTAAATCAAAGGCGTGTCGTACGAATGTCGCGATGTATAGCCCCACGCATTCTGGAGACAAAAATAGCTTCTCCCTAGCAAATTCCCCCCGCTAGCACGACCTATGGTCAGTCAACCCCAACAAACTCCCTCATAATGTCGTTGGACATCATTCACAAAATTACTTGGATGGGTCATATATTCACTAACATACATTATAGTCATACATTATTACTTCACCGATAATCATCAATTTCATGTGTGGGTGGATAGTTCCGTGATTTTTCCCTATGAGTAAAAATTAGTGTCCGAATTTGCAACCATTTCTCAATTAAGAAATCTCGATAATACGGCAATACATTATGCACACCCCCCTTCATTTATTTATATATTAAAGGTTTTTCTTAAATATTTTTTTTTCTTACAACAAACGAGAAAGTAAACATGTCAGATAGGTTTCCAACTATTGAAGTCAACAGATCAAGGTCGTCTACCTTAGATAAAAAGAGACAATACAGTTATTCAATAAATTCCATCACATCTAATGAGGAGTTCGAAGAGAAGAAAAATTTGAATAAGAATAGAAAGTTAAGTCAAGCAGATTTAGAAAACCAGTTGATTGAAACTGCTGGGGGTTCAAGAGAAGACGTTTTCTGGTTTTTTGTTAAATTATTAGTGTTACTCTTATTAGTATTTGGTTCAGGTGTATTGATCTTTTATGCTTTGTGAAGGAGTCAGAAGTAATTTCAGATGGATGAAATTCAGGGAAGCATTTAAAGTCATAAAAAACAAACCCATGGGGTTAGAATTCACAGGAGAGACGAAGTGTGATACCATTTATTTCAAGATGTACTAGGTTTCAAGTAAACTTAGCTTTTGGTGATTTATAGATTTGTAGGATAAGGAAAATATTTTTATGATACTCTAGAAAAGATTCCAAACTTTAAAGATATCTGATATCGCCACGATCTCTAAGATTCAGACTACACCAGATTTGATTTCAATACATCAAACTTCAATGTTCAAGGTGTTTAAGAGAGAGTGAGTTGGTCTAAGGCGGAATAAGAGAAAACATATGCGATTATTCATTAGTCGTTCTCAAATCATTTTAGTACCTGATTTTTGTAGCCTTGGTTAAGATGGGTTTGGACTTCTAAAATTAGATTTATTAACCAGTTAACTCATCATCTAAAATCTCTAATATCATTCGGTTCCTCAAATTGGCCATATCTCCTTGACTGTAAGATAAGTCGAGATTTCGGGATAAATATTTGGCACAGATACAGGTGAAAACCCCACAATCGAAACCATTTAATTGTTGAGGTGAGGCTTTTGATATTAATTGCCAATCATTGATATCAACTTGAGCATTTAATCTGTCCTTCTCTCCGATCATATATGATTGTACGGTTTTCAATACTGGCATATTACCTCGAAGGTTCAATGAATCATAATATTCAATGGTTTTGGTGTCATTATTGATTATGGTTAATGCCCAATGTGAAGAATTAATATTAATAGGAATGAAAATCAATTTCTTCTCAAATATGTTCAACTTTTTTCTTTTACCCCATCTTTTGATTCCATCGTATCCTTTAGATTGTAAAGTGGTGAAAAAATGGGTTGTCCAACAGAAATATTCTGGATGATTCTTACATATCAATGATAAATAATAATCTATGACATTATCATTAAGCCAACGTTTATTCTGAAGGGTTTTTAAGTCTCTTACTGATAAATCAATGGTGAATTGTTTTTTGATGATATCGTTATCTGAACGATTGAATAAATCATTGATTTGTTTCAATTCATCCCGAGTTGGAGGTAAAACAACAACTTTCAATTTGGATATCTCGTCATCTATCTCTTTCAATTTGTCATCAATATCGTACCATGATTTGGGTACTTCAACTTTGGTCGATTGATATTTATTAAGAACAGGCCAATAGAACTGACTGATTTTATACTCATAAGTTTCTGTATCAATGTCCAATAGATTACTATTGAATCTAAGGGTTTTAATATCATTACTGGTTTTGAAATTGATGGCATTATTGAAAGTTGTTCCATACTGTTCTTCATCCTCGTCTCCTTTAGATTCAATTTGATAGTTCTCGAGTTGAGCTACTTGGAGTGAGTCGAAATCTTGGGTTATCTCTTCAACACCATAATGTTCTTCAAGGATAATTATCAGATCATCAGCACTGGGTTCAGGTTCGGGGCTTGATTTAAAGTACTTTAGTATATTCGCTATCATTGAATATTCGCATCTCATCCAGCCATTTTGAGATCGATGGGAGTATGAGATTGATGGGGTGCGAGAGGGTTCAATGAAAGAGCTCATTGGCTACTCATCAGATATGTATCGTTACTAGGAAAAAGACAATGCTAGTCTGATGGAGTTGATAGACGAATTGAACGAATACGGATGTTATGGCGAAAAAGTCACGTGATGAGACAGTAAAAATCCTTTTGTTTGAGTCCTAGTCTTAAATTTTCAAGGTCGAAGAACCCTTTGATTCCGTTTGATCAAACACTAACCGATCAATCAAAAACTTGAACATGAACATCTCGTAAACTGTTGAAAATTCTCATCCCCGAAATCTCCTTATAATTCTCAGTCTCGTTTAATATCGCTTATCGAAGCCAACCTACAGAACATTGTTCTAATCTCTAAATTCTTCCAATACTTCAATATATTCAGCATCACATATCCCCTACCTCCATCAATCATCAATTCATGTTCATCCCATCATTTGATGCCTGCCGTAAAATTACCTAATGGGGACGAAACATTTTATCCTCAAGGGACCACTTACCATTTTAGGAAAGGCTCCAACATGTTTAATTGAGAAATTTGGACTTAAAATTCACATTATATACAGGAGCTCATTGGAACAATTTTAGAACCATACACCTTATCAGTAGCAAACCCTAAATAACTACCAACAATTTACAACACCTCTTTTTCCATATAATCTCTACTGATATATATCTTCATCAACATCCCACAGCAATGCTTATAAAAATTGAAAACTATCTATATCCTCATTCTCATCTCATTCGCAGCCCACGTTGTTTAATTACCTCGAAAACCTCACGTTCCAATCAGTAAAGGCTTTATTTTAATCCGTCCCATTTAGTTTCCGATTTTGCATCAATAATTCCTTCCTCATAAATTCCCAGCTAAACCACTAATTTTTTTAAAATGAAAGAAAAGATGTTGTTTTCGAACAAATTAGATCAAGAGATTTATCAGCCTTGGAAACAATATTATATTAATTATAATAATTTAAAGAAATCCTTAAAAGAAAATATTATCTTAGTTAATTGGAGTGAAAAAGATGAACAAAATTTTGTAGCCCAATTAGATGAAAACTTAGAAAAAGTATATAACTTTCAACATCAAAAGTACGATGAATTAAATGATCAATTAAATACTTTAACTAATAAAATATCAGCTAAAGGTGAAGAAAAGTTTGAATTGAATGACTTTTTAACTAAGTTAGATGAAATCTTAGAATTAGCTCAACAATTAGATCATTTCCAAAGATTAAATTATACTGGATTCATTAAGATTGTTAAGAAACATGATAGATTACACCCTGAATTCTCAGTTAAACCTTTATTGAATGTTAGATTGAAATCTTTACCTTTCCATTCAGAAGATTATTCTCCTTTATTATATAAGATATCTTCAATCTTCCAATTCTTGAGAGAAAATTATGATATTAATCAATCATTGAAGAATTTATCAAGTTTTAATGATTCAGATAATTCAAATTTCCAAAGTTTCAAATTCTGGATTCATCCTGATAATTTAATGGAAGTCAAGACTTCTATCTTAAGACATTTACCAGTATTAGTATTCAATCAACAACCAAGTTCAAAAGATTATGGTTATGATGATAGTGACGATGATGAAGTTTCTGATGAATCACCAAATGATCCAATTATTAATTGTATTTATTTTGACAATTCCAATTTTGAATTATATAATTCCAAATTAACCAAATTATCAAATTCTTCAAGTTTAAGATTGAAATGGTTAGGTAATTTATCATCAAATTTGAAAATTTTAATGGAACTGAAAAATTTCGATCAATCATCCGAAAATTTCAATATCAATGAAAAGGTTATGGTCAAGAAGAAGAATATCAATGCTATAATTAATCATAATGAAACTTTCTTGAAAAAACAAAAAGATGATGATGATGGGAAACTTATTAAACAATTCAGTAGTTTTGTCCATGATCAACATTTACAACCAGTATTAAGAACTATTTATAAAAGAACCGCTTTTCAAATTCCTGGAGATGATAAAGTTAGAATCACCATTGACTCTAATTTATTATTTATCAGAGAAGATAGTTTTGATCAACAAAGACCGATTAGAGATCCAAAAGAATGGCATAGATTAGATATTGATTCAAATTCAAATTTTGAAAAATATTTAAGAACAGGAGAATTTTCAAAATTTCCTTATTCTGTTATGGAAATTAAAATCAAGAAATTTTCTTCTAAAAGGAAGATTTTATGGTTAGATGATTTAATTAACAGTCATTTAGTTAAAGAAATTCCAAACTTTTCTAAATTTATTCATGGTATTGCTGCTTTATTCTTAGAAGATGATCATTTAGATAATATTCCTTTCTGGTTCAATGAATTAGAAAATGACATTAAAATTGATCCAAGACAATATTTCCAACAATCAACCAATACACCAAAAATTCAAAACGATGAAGAGAATTTGAATAATTTCAAGAAACTCATCAATAATCAAAATAATTTAAATTTAAGAAAATCATTCAGTGGTTCATTATTATTAGGATCTGAAGAATTTGAACAAAATAAACCAGTTGAAAATGGTATTGAAGAAGATATCGATGAAGAAAGTGATGATGAAGAAACTTCATCTACTGAAACAGCTCCTTCACTTAATTTATTACAATCAAATAAATTAGATGTTGATTCAGAAGATGATGAAATTGAATTACCTCCAGGAGTTATCAAACCTGAATCTTATATTAAAAATGCTGGTCCATTGAAAATTGAACCAAAAGTTTGGTTAGCTAATGAACGTACTTTTAATCGTTGGCTTCATGTGGTAACTTTGTTATCATCCTTAACATTTATCATTTATTCTTCAGCAAATAAAGCTAATTCTTTTGCTTTATCAACTTATTTAGCTTATATTTATTTTGCATTGTCATTATTTGCAATTTTCTGGTCTTATTATATTTTTGAAACAAGAAGACAAATTATCATGGAAAGAGATGCTAAACATTTAGATAATATGATTGGTCCTTTAATTGTAGCTGTTGGATTGATTTTGGGATTAATTTTCAATTTCTCTTTTGGATTTTCAAGAATTTATCATGCTGTGTTAGAAACTGATAACGAGTTCTATATCAATCATCCGTTCCATCATAAAATTCATAAATTTATCGCTGAATCTTTTTAGATCAGTTTAATATATATTAATGTGCTGTTTCTCTAGTGCGTGAGGTTCAAGAGGGAGAGGTAAAAGTGTAGGCCCCACAAGACGAACCACCGGCAAGACAAATCACTGCCCTGATCAAGTGAAAATACCAATATCGAAAATACGACAAGCGCAAACAATGCCAATACCAAACAATGCCAATACCAAACAATGCCAATACCAAACAATGCCAATACCAGACACTGCCAAAGATAAGAAATGCCAATACCAGTCACGAATCAGGGCCAGCCAGTACACAGAATACACACCTCCAACAATCAAAGAGATCGTTTATTTATATCCTCTTATAAACCTTGTTGTAATCTTTCACCAATCTTCTTTGAAGCAAAAGATAATGCATTGAATAACCCTTTTTCAGATAAATCAATTTTATTCAAATTAATGTCTTGAGCCATAACGTTAGATGGAGGATTGGTAACTCTTGAAACCAACACAGAAGAATCCATTTCCAAAATAATCCCGTCATCTATAGCTTCATCAATACATAAACTTACAATATCGAATTTTTGTAAAATAGTTAATTTGTCAATAGTGTTATCTAATAAAATAGTTAAACTTTCACTCACATTGGATAATAAGGAATAAACCAAACTTTCATTTTCATCCAAATTACTTATAATTATTATAATTACATCATTGATTTGTTTATAAACTATTAATTTATTTTGGTAGATTAAAATATCTTGATTTAATTTATTGACTTTATTGAAAATTTTTAATTCATTTTCGAATTGTTTTTGAATTGGTTCTGCTTGTTGATAGTATTTGGCAAATAATCTTTTACCTTCATGATCTAATATTAAGAATGAATTAATAGTATATAACGAAACATTCATTTTGGACGTAATTTTCGCGATTGATCCAGTTGTTAATTTTCAATGAAAAAGTTGTGCGTGGTGAGGTTATGGAAGTAAAATAGTGACAGTTGATAGTGGACATTTGGTAGTAAATATTTCGCACCAAAATTTCAAAAAACTATATCCATATGGAAGAATTCAATTTTAATTTACTAAGGATATCGATAATTCAAATACTAAAAGCTCAAGGATTCGATAAGATTAAACCTTCAACATTAAATGTATTAACTAATTTATACATTCAATATTTCAAAAAATTGATAAATGAGACTGTTAAATTTGCACAATTGAGAAATGATGAACCTATAACAATGGATATTTTACAAGCAATGGTTCAACTTGGATTGATAAAAGTACCTTTGAATACCTTAGTAGGGAATGGGACCAAAGATATATATAATACCAAATCTTTAGATGGATTTAAGGATTGGTTAGATTCTACAAGTTTCCAAACTACCAAACAAGTGAATCAAGTACCATTAAATTTCAAACAAATCATTTATGAGAATAGAAGTAGTGATAATTCCAATAATATAGCTAAAAGTATAGATTTTGAAGAAGAAGAAAATAAAGAATTCGAAAACTTGGATATTAACTGGTTAAATTATTTGATAGAAAAAGATATAAAGTTTGGTAAAAATAAATTCAACAATACGATATTCTACCCAGAGAATTTAAGCGAATATCTCGTTGAAGGAGGTGGAGTAATGAATGAATACTTACCAACAAATATACTGGATCGGGATTAATGATATTGAAATGAATAATTGCAATGATTGGCTTCCACTATTTCTCTTATCTGTTCTTATCTGGTGTCATATTTTATTATGTCTCCTGTCTCTTTGCATTTGTTACTCAGACACTTCAACAAGTCTTTAACACGTCTGAATTCTAAACTAGAAGGTCTAAACTTTCTATTAAAATCTAATCTTCCCCTTCAACCCATGTTCCCTATTCTATCTTCCCCTTCGATCTCTTCCCCTTTCCCATACTTCCCTTCAAAATTAAACTTTTCTTCCTCACTTCCTCGCCTCCATGTTGAACTCCCAACTACTCTGCCGATCTCTCAAATCACTCCACAACGTTCGCTTACAACCCCCTCCTTATCTTATCTCCTGCCAACGATATGTACATCAACGCACTGAAAAATAGATTAACTAACAACCTTGAAATGAGCCCCAACAAAAATAAGGGACAGCAAACATTGATAACAGCAAATCATTTTTGCATCAAAGTAGCATAATTATACCTTATTACCAAAATAACCATAAATTATAGGCTAGGTAAACAATTGTTGAAGGCGGTTCACCCATTAAAAAATTCAATTATTCATAGTATCGTGCGACAAAGAATTTTACCCCAATAATAGAAAACTAATTGGATCTTAATTATTATAAACCCAACTTTAAACTTTAACAATAACCTAAACAATTAAGAATTTAATTACACAAAATTGGTAATGTAATCGCATTTCTCAAAGAGGTTAAAAGGAGTTTTTTTTTAAATCGCGTTTTTAATCACGAATATAAAGGATATTAAATCTCAACATTTTTTTAATTCCACAGAGACTATATAAGATTATAAGATTATAAAGGATTGATAGATTATAGATCAAGTTATATCAAAAGTATTGTTTTTTTTGTATTTCATTTAAATACTAAATATTTCCAAAGTCTCCATATTTTTCCACCTGTTTTTTTTGAAATAGATAAAAGTCACGTATAATGACAGGTAAAATGCTTAATCAAAAATTGAATTTACATTTAACGTTGAACAAGTCTTTGACGAATTTACAAGACCCTGGTCCTTTTACTCCATTGGATCAAACTTTAAAGACTCCTATAGAACCTAATCAACCAAATTACGCGTATAATAGTTTTAATTTTCAAAATGTTAATACCCCAAGTTTCCATAATTTAAATTCCAATGGTAATGGTAATGGTAACGGTAACGGGAGTGTTTATTTAAATTCCAATTATAACGAAAGTGATGATATTTTAACTGATATTGATGAACCAAATTTACCTTTTAATTCTAAAACTACTAAAAATTATTCATTAAATTTTACACCACATTTCGATCAATTAGTATTATCCATTTATAATTATATTTTATCATTACCAACTACCACCCCATTTTCAGGTAATATTCCACCAAGTGGTTTGGTGTCAAAAGTTGCTAATGAAACTATGGATAATTTAATTAATGAGACTGTTCATAATAATTTCCAAAATTATGACCAACAAAGAGTTATTAATTATGATTTTTTGAAAAATGGAAGTTATCAACCAATTTTCTTACAATTAATAAGGAAAAGATTAATTGAATTATGTTCAACCAAATCTAATAATAAATTACCCTTATCAACATCAATTTCAATAACCACTTCAGGAAATGCAAATAATTCATTTTCAAATGCTTCAAATTCAAATGGTCCTTATAGTGGTAATGTTAGACAATCATCGATTTCTAACTTATCATTAACTGATATTAATATTAATAATTATCAAAATAGATCAAGAAGTTCTTCGAATTCTGTTAATTTAAGAAAACAATCATTAACAAGAAATAATAGTTACAACAATAATTGGTTACATGTTGGTAATTTAAATACTATAAAACAATCGAATAATAATGAATCAACTGATTCTTTACAAAGTTTACAAGATTTTGTACCTCAAAATTTCATTCAAAGATCAGCTAATACTCCAACTCAACCAGGATTTAATCATATGATGATGGATTATCAAACTCCTCCAACTTCCAATAAATCTTCATTCTCAACTCCACCAAATTCGAATCCAAATAATCAAAATCAGAATCAAAATAGCTTTAATTTGATGAATGTTACTTTAGTACAAAATGCAACTGCAATGGAATTTGATGATTTTAATTTTACTAATCCAAGATCAAGATCTTCTTCAAATTCTAGAAATTTCCCCAAACCTTTAACTATAAATACTGATAATGCCAATTTACAAGCTTTACATAATTTACAAGGATTAGAAAGTCCTTTTATGTCAGCCACAACTCCATCAGAAGATTTCATACTGTTTAATTCAAACCAGTCATTTCAAATCGATGATGAAAAAACTATTAAAGTCGATAGAACTTTAAATGAAAAGAAGAGGGAAAGTTTAAAATTGAAAAGAGGTATTCATTAAATGGGGGGTTTTATAAAATTGTACATTATTTTTATTCTCTTAAAGCCGCATCTACCAAATATCTTTCTCCGTGCATTTTTATGACGTATCAGATCTTGATTATATGTAAAGACCCTGTCCTTGTTATACGCCGATAAGGTTTAAGGTTTACGTAAAGCAGAGTAAGCAAAGTAACTCCATTGGAGTGTATTTGCATATGCATATCGGGTTAATGTCTCATATCTTTAGTTTACCAGGAAGAGATAAAATCGCGATGATAGAGAAGTTCTTAAAGAACAAGATCATCAGTCAAAACGAAAAGTTATTGAAACTTTATACGGTATTTGGTCTCCCACCTAGTCAGTTGTTACCGCCATCACGTCCAAGAACTTTGCCTCCACCATTCGAATTCCATTCTTCGAATAACCAAGACATTTCATATATATCCAGTCCGAGATTATCTATTACTAAGTTATTAACATCATCTTGGTGTGAATTACGCGATTATTATGAAGTATATAGTGGAAGCATACGAACAACCAATGAATCATTGAAATTGGGATCTAAATATCATGAAGCTTTGGAACTAGAGGATTTTGAAGTGATAAATATTGATTTATTTGAAGAGTTTTTGAAATCTTTACCTGATATTCGTCGGCCTGACCCCAAAGAACCAACAGAGAACTTTTTTTATGACACAGAATCAAAATTGTCCAACGATTGGTTTGAAAGCATAATCCTACGGTTATTCAATCTTCTCACCAAGGGAGATACAAGAGAACTTCTTGTTCATGATTATTTGGACTTGAAGACATGTCAATTCCAGAATACTGATGATTCAGTAATGGTAAGTGGTATTATCGATTACATCAAACTTTTGAATCCATCGGACCATGGGGATTTTTCGTTATTTGAAGAAGTTCAATTATATCTCGAATTGAACCCTAATTATCGATTGAATACGTTCTTAGATGAAGTTCAAGATTTGGTAACTGATCACAACTATGAATTGAAATTTACAGATATTAAGACACGTCAGATCAATCAAATACCCGCTCAACAATCGGTATTGATGTCAGCTTATCTACAAGTGTGTTATTATAAGTACTTCTTCGAGAACCTTGCACGAGATCCATCAGAAACTTACCAAATGTTATTAAAGAATGCCAGAGTCCGTCATTGTGATCTTGATAAACCAATAGACATACGGTTGATGTTAAGTTTGTTGAGAAAGTATCCTGACTTGTTGCTTGATGACTTTAAACTGTTAGCGAACGGATCGTTTAAATCATTCGAACCTATAGTTGCAACAGACTATGATCTCACCAATTTGATTACTGAAAAGGACATTCAGAATCTTAACGAAATTGACGATTTTGATTACAACAGAATCCTCAATAGAGAGATTCTAACCAAATGGGAAATACCACTTACATTAAGGTACTTCGCTCAAATTAGCAGTAAATTTTATCATGTTTTCAAGCCTTTCAAATGCAAGGACATTTCTATAGAGTATCATAACGTACGAACCAACCTTAACTTTCAAACAGTAGAATATCAATTCGATCAGGCAAAACTTAATGAATCAATTGAATCATCAGCCAAGTTTTGGAATGGAGAGAAAATTCCTAAAGGTGTGAAAAATCTAGGGAAATGTAAATATTGTGATTTCAATACTCGTTGTCCCGTCCCCAATAAAGATTTGAAAAACATAGGATGGGAACTTACCAAGTTTTTAAATCAACCATCAACTTAAAAGAATGTAAAAAATTATCAAAGGATAAGTAATCATCGTCTAATTACTATCCTCTGCAATTTTTATTATTTTTTGGGTTTCGTTTACCACCTACATCGAAGACGTCATGTATGTGGAGATAAAGTCCCAGTGTATATAGTATGATAAGTTATTATAGAATTAATAAGATGATTTCATTTTATTAAAAGTATAGTAAATTATCTGATGAGTTAATGAACAGAAAATTTTTCGCATCTTTATATTAACTATTGGTGTACCGGTGTGTCAAGTGTGTGGTTCATGGATGCAAAAAACAAAAGTATATGGGTAATGGTTGGAAGGTAAATGATGATTTGATCAGTGTTTGTCTCAAATCTTATCCATCAATGAATTGGTGGTCGCCCAAACTTCTCTTTGAATTCTAGACGTAAATGGTCCTTTAACTTGACAAAACTACTACCAAATCCCTGACCACAATGACAACATATGAGTGAACTTTTGAGAATGTTCTCCAATATTTTTGGATCTCTTTCAATCAATTGACTTTTAAAGTTTCCTGAATCATCTGAAGAATAGCTTGAATCTTCTTCTTCATCTTCTTCATCTTCTTCATCCTCTTTGGTCAGGTGTTTAACCTTATTTATATCTCTGCCTAATGGATTCAAATCAACAAAATTGACAAAGAACCTGGAAGTGAATGAATTGTAGTGTTTTTTATGTTTCATACATTTGGATGCAAAATCTTTGGTCATTACATGGACATGAATATTATTCATTGAAGGTATTGAGTGGACTCCAGCTTGAACATAACCATCTAAATCTTTAAAACCATCTTTTTTCAAGTCTTCGATCAACAATTGTTTGGCCTTCTCGACGTATCCCTTCACTAATAAGTAAAATTCATCATCTTCAAAAGCATCAATAGGGTGCTGTTTAGTGAATTTATTTGATTTGGGAATGACTAGGTAATGCCTCAATGATTTGGGAAATTTATCCTTGATTATCACCACGTTATCATCATTGAATACTACACTAGGATCACGAGGATTCTTAATATACGTCTCAAGAGCTAACCTGAACATAAGTGCGAGTTTTATATTAAGTTGAATATTTACATTTATACTTTTCTCTTCTTAGGAGTTGCAACTTTAGCAGTAGCAGTAGTTTTTGATGAAGGTCTTACTTCTTCCTTTGAGGTTTCATCTTTTTTAGTTTCCCCTTCAGCCTCTTCTTTCTCTAATTGTTCATTTTCTTTCAATTTGATTTGTTTTAATTCATTGATGAACCAAATGACTGTTCCGTATAATAATACTGATAATACCAATAAATTTATGAAATGAATTGATCCAGTGACATATACTAAACAACTTAAAGATATTATCAAAGCGATGAAACTAGCATGAGTGGCTGTTATCAAAGCAGGGGAAGTTCCTGGTGTAAACACACTTTCCCAAAGTTCAGTAAAGAATGACATTTATCAATTTATACTATACAAGCAACTTAGTAGTGGTGTCCTGGTGGCGTTGATCTCGTGATACCCCTTGATTAGAAATTTCGCGAAAATTTTTCTTCTTTAGAAACTATGTCCATGATAGATGATAACTTATTGAGCGATGAAGAAGAGGAATTGTGTCCATTATGTGTAGAGGAAATGGATATCTCTGACAAAAACTTCAAGCCATGTCCTTGTGGATATCAAATTTGTCAATTCTGTTATAATAATATCAAACAAAGTCCTGAATTGAATGGTAGATGTCCAGGTTGTAGAAGACTTTATGATGATTCAACTGTTGAATATAAGACCATTAGCCCTGAAGAATATAAAATCCAACAGTTGAAACGTGAAAAGAGAGAAAGAGAAAGAAAGCAAAGAGAAAAAGAGAAGAAAGAAAACGATTTAGCAAACAAAAAACATTTGAGTGGTATAAGAGTTGTCCAAAAGAATTTAGTTTATGTGACAGGTTTAAACCCACCACCCAACAATGGGGTTGAAGATTTAACTAATATCTTGAAAAGTGAAAGATTTTTCGGTAGATATGGTAAGATCCTGAAGATTGTTATCAATAACAAAAAATCATTACCTATCACCAACCCACACCATTCAAATCCTGGTATAGTTGTTTATGTCACATATGTTAAAAAGGAAGACGCCTTGAAATGTATCAACGATATGGATGGGTCTATCTTGGAAGGAAGAATGTTAAGAGCTGCCCATGGTACCACTAAATACTGTTCTTCTTACTTAAGAGGACATCCATGTCATAATCCAAATTGTATGTTCTTACATGAACCAGGTGAAGAAGCTGATAGTTTCACTAGAAAAGATTTAAGTACTCAACAAGGTATCAAGATGATGAATAAAGCAAGAGATGAAGAAGGTGAAATTGATAATGAGGGATCAAGAATGTCAACTCCAACTATCGCTAATTCAAATATTTCTCAAATTCCAACCAATGCATCTAATACTAATTTAGCTAACATTTCAGCATCAGCATCTCAAACCAATTTACCTGCAGCAACCAGTGATAGTGAAGAAGGACCAATGTTTCCTACTGCTAGTTGGGCCAAAGGATCAACTACTTCACCATCGGTTGCTAACGTCCCATTAGCAAATTCATCGGCATTCCCTTCATTGGGAGAAATTAAAGAAAAACAAGTTCCAAAGATTATTAAGAAGAGAAAGAAGGATTTAATTGATGAAAGTGAAAATGATAGTGATTCAGCCATCCAATTCTTGGGTGAAGTTACCGACAATTTAACTAAGTTAACAATCAAAAAACAAGATTTAGTTGTTAAATTCAAAGACAGCTTTAATCAAGAAGGTACTATATTACCAATTTTCAATTTCAATTCTAATTTGAATAGAAAGTTTAATAATATTGAGAAGGATAAGATTTCAGCAAAAAGAATCATTGACAGCATATTAACCAAACCTATCAAAAATTACCATTTAGCTTACAATTTACACCCTATCCACCAATTACAACAACACCAACAGCAACAAGCTCAACAAGCTCAACAAGCTCAACAACAAACCCAACCTCCACAACCTCCTCAATCTCAACCTCAACCTCAAATGGCTAAACCTGAGCAAATCTTGTTACAACAATTGCAAAGACAAAGAGATGAAACCGTTTCACAACCATCTCAACCACCTGCATCTTTACCTCAATTGAATTCACAACAAATGAACCAACCTCCTGGTTTAGGTAAACCAGATTCTTCCAGTTCCCAATTATTATCTCAATTAATGAGTGGCAAAAGATAAAAGATAGTTAGTGTTTGTAGTTTTTGTTTTACCTGGTGTAGTAATCTACTAATATATAATATAATCTGATACGAAACCATCGCGAAATTATGTCTTTTATATCTCACCTTAGTATAACGGGGATTAGATCATTTGGATCAGACCATCCTGAAACCATTGAGTTTAAATCTCCTTTGACATTGATTTGGGGTGTTAATGGTAGTGGTAAAACAACTATTATTGAATGTTTGAAGTATGCCACAACAGGAATATTACCACCAAATTCTAAAGGTGGAGCATTCATAAATGATCCTGTTCTACAAGGTAAACCTTCGACAAATGCTCAAGTTAAGATTGGGTTCAAATCAGTAGCAGGTGAAGCTATGGTGGGCACGAGGACTATGAAATTAGATGTCAAGAATGGGAAACATACTTTCAAAACCATTGAAGCTCAATTAGGTAAGATTAAAGATGGGAAAAAGACTAATGTAAGTGGTAAAGGTTTTGATTATGACACAGAAGTAGCTTCAAGTTTAGGCGTATCGAAGGCCATCTTAGATAATGTGATATTCTGTCACCAAGATGAAAGTTATTGGCCATTGAGCGAAGCTAGTGTTTTAAAGAAGAAATTTGATGAAATATTTCAAGCTTCACAGTTCACAAAAGTATTGGAGACTTTGAAAAATATCAACAAAGAGGTAATTTCTGATAGTAAATTGATTCAAAAATCAGTGGAATATTTATCTAACGATAAAAAAAGGGCTGATTTGTTAAGGAAAGAATCACTAGAATTATCTGACAATGTGAAAGATTTAGAAAATCAAAGGAAGAAAATCAAATATGAAAGAGTGGAGGCTGAAGAATCTTTGAATGAAATCTTCAAAACCAATCAAGAGTTCCAAGCAATTTTGAGTAAATTCGATCAATTGAGCTACACCAAGCAAACTTTGAGTCAACAATGTGAAAGATTGGAAAGCTCTATTGAAATATACCCTGACTCTTTGGAGGAATTGATGACAAAACTTAATAATTTTAGTGACACTTTGGATGAATACAACGAAGAGATTGCTAAATTGAACAATTCTAATAAGAGTTTAACTAATGAGATAACTAACAAGAGAAGTCATTTGAATGAATTGAGTAAATTAGAAGGATCTTTGAATGCAAAGAAGCAAGAGTATGAAAACAATCTTTCGAAATTTGAAGAAGTTACCGGTCAAGATTTGATGACTATAGATAAATCATCGTTCAAATCTGAACTTGAAAATACTGTTACCACAACCGAAATCAATTTAAATTACCATAGAAAAGAATCTGCCCGTCAGAAATCTGAACGTATGAAAATAGTTGATTCCTTAACAGAATTATTGAGTAATCAGAATAATCTCAAACAAATCAGACTTGATATGAAGATCGAGTTGACACAAAAAATCAAACAGCTTAAAGAAAAGATTAATAAGTCCGACTCCAATGAGGAAACTTTGGAGTTTGAACAAAATGAATTAAAATCGTTGCAGAAGAAATACAATGAGTCCAATATTTCTGATTTCGTGGGGAAATTAGATAAAGATGTGAAACAGAACTCTGAAAAGCTCACAAACTTGGAAGACGAGGTTGACCAGCTCAATAAGACCATTCAAGAATACAATAATCAGAAGGAAGTCATGGTCAGAATCAACTACTTGAGAGAAGCCACCGAACAAAAGGAGGCTAGTGTTTCCTCAAATTTGAGTAAGGTCAGTAAAATAATTCCTGTAAATAGAGATAACTTCCAAAACACTTTTCACGAAGAGTTCAACTTGGTAAACACTGAGTATCAGAAGCACAAGAAAATCCATGATTCCAATGTTAATGAGAAGAATTCCTTGGAAGCACAGTTGACTAATCAAAAGTCATTAAAGAAAGATTTAGAAAATCTGTTTAATGTCCTCGAAACCAAAATTTTGAAAGTCGTACCCAAGAGTGAAATTGAAGAATATGACATCACTATAGAAGATTTAGAATTCAATTATCATGATGCTTTGGACTCTTATAATACCTACGAAGCTTCCAAGCAATTCAAAATCAAAGCCATTGAAATTGGGAAGAAATCACATAATTGTTTTATGTGCCAAAGGACTTTCGACCAACCTTCTTTGAGTAAATTTGTCACAGCATTGGAAGCAGATATTTCTAAGTCTACAGATGAGTATAAAAAAAGTCTTGATGCTTCCAAGAAAGAACTAGATAGTTATAAATCGGTATCGGGAGATATTGTTAGATACAAAACTCTCGGCATAGAACTCAAACAGGTTGACTTGAAAATAGAAGATATAAAAAGCAGATTTCAAAAAGTCAACGAATCAGTTATTGAAAGTGATCTCAACTTTCAAGAATCTAGAGATAGATTAGATGAGTTTGAAAGCTCGAAATATTTAATTACAGAAATCCAGAAAGATTTGAATCAAATAAGTACCAATAGCCAAAGAATTGAACTGTTGACTAAAGAAATTGGTGGTAATCCTATAACTGAGTCTATTGATGAATTGAATAAGTTACAGAACGATAAAAGTCTGGAGTTGAAGAACTTAAGAAATCAAATCTCGAAAGATAAAGAATTGAAATATTCTAAAGAGAGAGAACTTTCAAAATTAGAAGGTGCTATAAAAGACAAGGAGATCAAAATCAAGAATATTGAAAGTGGATTAAGTGATATAAAACAATACCAAACTATGATAGACGAGTATCAGAAACAAGTCGCTGAAGTAAATGATCAAATCTCGGAGATTACCAATAAGTTAACTAAAGTATCGGAAGACAAAGAATCTGAGGAACAGATCAATAAAGATTTATTTAAGAAATTGGATACCGACGAAGAAAACTTGACCAAAAGTTATAACGATGCCAAGCAAAGATCTCAAGAGATCACAGCACTTATAGAATCGATACAGTATTTTGAAAACCATGACAAGTCAAGAATCGATGGAAATGTTAAGGACATCGAACAAGCTAACATGGACATTCAATCTTTGGAAAGTTTATTGGATTCTAATAACGAAGAATTGAAATCCTTCGAGAGGAAAGTTAATGAATCATCAAACTTCAAATCTCTTATTAGAGATAACATTGATTATAAGAATTACACTCAAGATTTAGCTAAAGTGGAGCAGGAAATCAAAGATTTGAATGTAGGAGAAGCTGAGGAAATGAAAGAGAAATATTTGGAACAAACTGAAGAATTGAATTCCGTTATTGCCAATTTAAATGCTGATGATGCTGGAAAACTTGGAGAAATTAGACAAATTGATGAACGTATCAAGTCATTGAACTCAAAGTTAGAAACTGATTACAAAGATGTCGAAACGAATTATCATGAGAACTGGATTGATTTACAAACACATTTATTGATTTCTAATGATATAGTGACTTATTCCAAGTCTATAGACAACGCCATCATGAAATACCATAGTTTGAAAATGACAGAAATTAATAAAATTTTGAAAGATAGTTGGATGAGAACCTATAAAAATTCCGATATTGATTATATTGCCATTAGATCGGACCCTATTAATCAGACCAAAGGGAAGTCCTATAATTATAGAGTGGTTATGCAAAAAGGCTTACAAGAGATTGATATGAGAGGGAGATGCTCCGCAGGTCAGAGAGTTCTTACAAGTATTTTGATTAGATTAGCATTAGCCGAATGTTTCGGATCAAATTGTGGAATTATTGCATTGGATGAACCAACCACTAATTTAGATACTGCAAATGCTAGATCTTTGGCTATTTCATTGAATCAATTGATTGAATCGAGAAAATCACAAAAGAATTTCCAATTGATTATCATCACACATGATATGGAATTCTTGAGTCACATGAGGGGTGGTAATTATATCAACAATTTCTATCAGATATCTAAAGATGATAGTTTGTTTTCCAAAATCAAATCATATCCTATTGAAGCGTTGGATGATTTTTCTCATGATTAAGTTTGATAATTTTGTTGAAGAAAGTTGTCTTTTTCGATCCAATCTTTTTCCAACCACCTTTCTAATTTCGGTCTGTTATGGGAGACTCTCGTCAAGTTCTTGAATTTCACATCAATGTTGATAGTGATCTTATCATTGGACCCAAATATTTCCAACAATGACGGCGAGAAATATGTCTTTTCATTATCCTCATTGACTTTATAATAGAATATAGTCAAATCATATAAATTATTGAACTTGTAATTATTTTTGGAATTAATCATGGAGATCACATTAAAAAAACTCGAGAATCTGGGGTACAATACATTATTGAATATAGGTAAATAGAATTTTTCACTTTGTAGTTTCTGTAAATAACATGATTCTTGAGTAAATATATTTACTTCAGGAAACAAAACCAACCATTCTACCTTTCTACTATTTAATAGCTTGTCAAAAAAGATTTCAGCCAAAGAAGTATCTAATTCCCAATTTTCGTCATTTTTTGCCAAATTTATAAGAATTCTTAAAGTTGGAATTTTCCAAATTAAAAACCATGTAAAAAAATTAACCATAGGAATTTCAATATCATTATTAACAAAATAAGAATATCTGGCAAGATAGTTTACTGCTAAGTGGTCTACTAAAGACTGATGATTAGATAAGAATACTGCTGATTCTGAGTTTATTCTATCACCACTGATTGTGTAAGTAATACCGTTTAAATTCTTAAAGTTAGTATTTAAGATTAGTTAAAATTCCAATTTGTAACTTACCATGAAATATATCGTTAGATCCCAAAACCAACTACAAGCTTTTCGTTTAACATTGATCGAAGTTTCAGGAAACGAGTAACTCATTACTGAACACCAAAAAGAAACCATATGATAATGCCATAAGAAGATTATCAACACCATCCATATAAACAATGATCTCAACTTATTCACGGTACTGATTACTGTAGGATCTTGTTGTGGAATCAATCCCAAATGCTTTACCAACTCTTTCATTACCACAAACAAATTTCGCAGCCAAATTTAAGAAAGTTTATCTCATCTCAAAAAATTAAACCATCTCATCAAACATGTCTCGTTTAATTGTTAAAGGACTACCAAAATATTTGACTGAAGAGAAGTTGAAGAGTCATTTCAGTAAACAAGGAAATGTTACTGATGTAAAATTAATGAAAAAGAGAAATGGAGAAAGTAGAAGATTTGCATTTGTAGGTTATAAATCAAGAGATGATGCAGAACAAGCAGTTGATTTCTTTGATCAAAGTTTTATTGATACTGCCAAGATCGAAGTCCAATTAGCCAAATCATTTGCCGACCCTGACGTTCCTATTTCTATGAAAGAACAAAGAAGAATGGATAATGAAAGAATAGCTCAACAAGAAGAAAGATTATTAAAGCAAGATCAAGAAAGACAGTTAAAGAAACAAAAAGTCATTAAATCTAAGATTGATGAAGAAATCGAAAGTAATCCAAAGTTGAAAGAATTCATGGAAACTTTCAAACCTTCAAGTCAAAGTAAGTCTTGGGCAAGCGATTCATTGGCTGATGGATCAGGTGCTCCTTCATCTAAAGATTTAGAAAATGCTTTAGCTGAAAAAGATGGTCCAGTACCTCAAATTCCAAAAAATGATAGTGATGATGAATATGAAGATTTCGATAAGAAGCCTGATGACGATGAAGATGAGGTAATGATACCATTTAATGAACCTAACGAAAATTCTCAAGATGATGAACAATCCAATGCAAAAGCTAGAGACGATAAAATTTCCGATCTTGAGTGGCTTCAGCTGAAAAGGAAGAGAATGATCGAAAATGAAGATCGTATCAGAGAAATTGAAGAACAACAAAGGCAACAAATGAAGAGGAAGGCTCATGCACCAACTAGAATCCAATCAGAAGAACCAGAAGTTGATCCAATAGAAGTCATTATAAATAAGATCAAGGAAACCGGTCGTTTATTCATCAGGAACATTTTATATACTTCCACTGAGGAAGAATTCCAAGAATTATTCTCGAAATACGGTAAACTTGAAGAAGTTCACATTGCTGTTGATACGAGGACAGGTAAATCCAAAGGTTTTGTTTACATACAATTCTCTGATGCAGAAGATGCCGTTAAAGCCTTCGAAGCTTTAGATAAACAAATTTTCCAAGGTCGTTTATTACATATCTTACCAGGAGAAAAGAAAAAAGATCATAGATTAGATGAATTCGATTTGAAGAATTTACCTTTGAAAAAACAACGTGAGTTGAAGAGAAAAGATCAAGCTTCAAGAGCCCAATTCAGTTGGAATTCTTTGTATATGAACCAAGATGCAGTTATGGAAAGTGTGGCTGCTAAATTAGGTGTCAGTAAAGCTCAATTGATCAATCCTCAAAATTCTGATTCAGCTGTTAAACAAGCATTAGCTGAGGCATCCGTTATTGGTGATGTAAGAAAATATTTTGAAGATAAAGGTGTTGATTTGACCAGTTTCGATAAAAGAGAAAGAGATGATAAAATCATTTTAGTAAAGAATTTCTCTTTTGGTACAACTATAGGAGAATTAAACGAAATGTTTGGTCAATTTGGTGAAATCAAAAGATTATTAATGCCACCAGCAGGAACCATAGCTATTGTTGAATTCCGTGATTTACCAAGTGCTAGATCAGCATTCACAAAATTGGCTTTCAAAAGATTCAAGAAAACCATTTTATATTTGGAAAAGGGGCCAAAAGATTTGTTCACCAGAGAACCAAGTAGTGAAGACACCGTTGAAGTCGTCAATAAACCTGATGCTGTTGAAGCCAAAGTCACTGCTAATGATATATTAAGTAACGAACCTCAAGCTGATGTAGAAGAATCAATGGAAGTTGATGGTCCTACAGTTTCTGTTTTTGTCAAAAACTTGAATTTCTCCACAACTACTGAACAATTAAACAACTTGTTCAAAACATTACCAGGATTTGCTGTTGCTTTAGTCAAAACTAAACCTGATCCTAAGAAGGAAGGGTCAACGTTGAGTATGGGTTTTGGATTCGTTGAATTCAGATCTAAGGAAGATGCCGATAAAGCTATTGCTGTGATGGATGGTCATGTGTTGGATGGTCATAAATTGCAGTTGAAATTGTCTAACAGAACCAGTGGTAGTACTAGTAAGAAAGCTAAGAGTACCAATAAATCATCCAAGATTATCATTAAGAATTTACCATTCGAAGCTACAAGAAAAGATATTATCGAATTATTTGGATCCTTTGGTAAAGTTAAATCTGCCAGAGTTCCTAAGAAGTTCAACAAATCAGCCAGAGGTTTCGCTTTCGTTGAATTTAGTTTATTAAAAGAAGCAGAAAATGCTATGAATCAATTAGAAGGGGTACATTTATTGGGTAGAAGATTAGTTATGGATTATGCTGAACATGATGCTGAAGATGCTGAAGCTGAAATTGAAAGAATGACTAAGAAAGTCAAACAACAATTTGAAACTCAACAAGTCGCTGCTCAAAGGTTAGCTGGAAAGAGTAAGAAACTCGATCTTGAAGATGAAGAAGCTTAAATATAGAATTTCGCACCTCTCACTAAAATTCTCACTTAACTATCACCATGAACAAATTTATATTGTTTAAACCCGTAGGGTTAGGCAAGATTGGATTCTTTAGTAATAAGAATTTGATGTTGTTCAAACAAATACCTAAATTGGCAAAATCTGCTGAGGTGAAACCTGTGAAAAATCATTTCCTTAGATCTAATATAGAAATCCTTCAATCATCCTTGAATCCATTTAAAACTACAGGAAGATTCTTTTCCAGTTCAACTAGGTCTCTGATCTTTGATAAGGGAAACGTATGGAAGAACTATAACAAATACTACGGTAATTCTCAATGGGACAGATTAAAGGGTCCAGCTATATTTACGGCCTTATTTTGTGTGGGTACAACTTTATTAGTCCCAGTATTATTTAATTATACACCTTTGGCTATTTATAAAAGAAGTCCTTCGTTGTTAATTTACACAATAATTGGTTTAAATGGTTTGGTGTTTTTGATGTGGCAATCTCCTTCATTTTTCACTTTCCTTACCAAATTTGGTTTATTATTCAAAGATAAGGTATACAGCAATTGGTCAATGTTGGGTTCAGCTTTTTCTCACCAAAGCTTTGTTCATATTTTATGTAATATGTTTGTATTACAGTCATTCGGTACCACTTTATGTTCCATCATAGGTCCTGCCAATTTCCTTATCATGTACCTTAATTCAGCCGTTATATCGTCGTTTATTTCTATATTAGTGCCAACTTTAGCCCGTACATCGATGTCAGTTGGTTCATTAGGTGCTTCAGGAGCTATTTTCAGTGTTGTAGGGACTTTTTCATATTTGATTCCCAAAGCTCCAATTGCTTTGTTCTTTATTCCAATCCCTGGAGGTGCATGGATTGCATTCTTAGGATCTGTAGCTTATAATGTAGCGGGAGTTGCTTTTAGATGGGGATCATTCGATTATGCTGCTCATTTAGGAGGTTCGTTAGCTGGAGTTCTTTATGGATGGTGGTATAGTAAGAAACTTCAACAAAGAAGAGCTAGAGTTAGACACGTTGGATTTTGATGATGTATATAGATATTTATGACCCCTTTATTGTCATTATTAAAACTAGTTATTATATATGCAGTAATGTACAAAAGGAAATGAACTCTTTTAAGCGAAAGAAACAGATTTTTTCTTCTTTTTTGGTTCTTCTGAAGCCTCTTCATCATCTTGTCTAGATTTAGCATTTTTTCTTCTATTAGATCTGGCAACCGATGCTTTACTTCTGATTTCGTTCTTTTTATCTTCTAATTTACTCTTTTTAGCTTCTTCTTTTCTATCCATTTCTTTTCTTCTTAATTCTCTGATTTCTTCTAATCTTCTAGATTTTTCCAATTTACTTTCATTAACTTGATCATATTTATCATTGATAGATTTAACTAATAAATTTAATGTTAAAGAATCTTTATCGTCAACAAATTTTTTACCCTTCTTACCACTTTTGACTTTTACTCCCGGTATGATGGCTTTATTCAAAGTGGGTATGTCTAATTGCTTTTCATTATATTCTTTACCATTCTTTGCACCATATAATCTTAATTTGGCTTGTTGTTTCTTAACTTTTTCTTTGGATAAAGTTCTTTTAGTTGATTTTGGAGTCAATTTTGGTTTATCACTTAATAAATTCCTAGCTAATGAATCAGAGGTTACTTCTGAATCAACAGTTCTGGTTTTATTTTGGCCAGCAGATCTTTTAGCTGTCTTTGATTGTCTAGGAGCCATAATTGATTTTGAGATGAGATGCGAAATGCGAAAATAAAATCTTTTTGGGTGCAAAATTCAGAAGCTAGAGGAATGAAGAAAATAGGAGAAATATATTCTCAAGAGAAGTCTAAGCTAACCTGTTAACGTCTTCTTTGTTAAGATCTTTTAAATCAGCAACTGGTCTTTCAGCTTGAGGAGTGACTCTAACAGCAAATCTGGTAACATCATCCTCAGTTTCATCCCAATCAAAAATAGCTGAATGTAAAACTCTTCTATTATCCCAAATAACCACAGTATTTGGCTCCCATTTAGCTCTCGCTTGGATATCATGGGAATTGTTGAGATGGTTGTATAAGAAATTTAATAAAGCATCACTTTCTTGTTGTTTGAAACCAACGATTTTACGAGAGAATTGGGGATTGACAAAAAGAATTTTTTCTCCAGTGACAGGATGAACTCTTACCAAAGGATGAATGTTTTTCACTGGTTTTCTTCTTTGAACTCCTCCAGATTCACTATAATAATTAGCTTGCTCAACACTAGAATGTTCAACATATAAACCATCAAGTAACTTTTGGAATTCTGGTGACAATCTTTTATAAGCTTCAACACTGTCGGTGAAAATAGTATCACCTCCAGCATCAGGACCCTCTAAGACCGAGAAAAAAGTTATACCAGGAGGTTGCAATTCATAGGTAATATCACTGTGCCAATAGACCAAATTAGTTCTTTGATCAAAAGTTGTATTACCAAATTTAACATCCTTGTTTCTATAAACAACATGGATTTCAGGAAATCCTAAAGGAGCACCAGAAACTGGATGAATATGTAACGGACCATAATATTTACCATAATCTACAGCAAATTGAGGACCATGGGTAGTAAAATCTTGATTTCTAAAGATTAATAACCCTCTTTGAGCTGCCAACAAAGCTAACTCGTTCTTACCCTCATCATTCAATGATGATAATTGAATACCTTCGACTTCAGTACCCAACTTTGGCGTAATTCTTGAGACTTTGATGTCTTGATCCTTTGGTAATAAGTTTGGAAATGCAGGATCTGCCAAACTTCCTTTATCAATATGTTTGAAGAATTTCAAAGGTTCTAACTTCTTGTTCTCCCAAGCTGGGATAAAGTCTTTGAACTTGGTTCTATCAAATTCTTCTTGTCTAAGGGTATAATGATCTTTTTTTTCTACAAAAACTTCTCCTCTACCTAATTGGGCCATTGTGGTTTGAATTTCGGTTGAAGAATTACCTCATATTTATAAACCCCTAACTGTGGATTTTGCAGCCACCACAGATTTTTTTTGGTGCGTTTTTAATTGACAATGTTATGACGAGGGGTTGAACAAAGCTGACTAATTGATTGTTCAAGATAACATGAGAGGAGCTAATCCCACAGTTAGTTCTATGGCTAAAATTCGGGATCGAGGATGTAAAAATATGGCTGAATCTCAGATCTTTGAATCGAAGATATAAGCCCCATGATTTCAGAACATCTTTCATGGCATTCTCCATTTATTTGTTCCAATTGATCAGATTGTTGATTCAATATTAATTCTATGTTCATCTGGACATAAGAGACTATATCAATGTTGCGTAGCACCTGTTCGTTAGATGTTGGAGTTCCTTGTTTATCCACATATCTGGCTAATGCAAAAAACAATCAGTCACGTGATAATTTAGGAGATCTAATTGTTCGCTTATCGCCATTTTCTTATCAGTGCGAGGTTAATGAAGGAAGACTACGATATTTCACAAAAGGTAGACGGAGTAAGCTTCAATTGGAACCTATTCCCCTCCACAAGACTTGAAGCATCACAACTCCTGAGTCCGATAGGATGTCTTTATTCTCCATTGCATAAAAGAGCCGAACAATTTCAGGAAATCCAACTTCTTGACAAACTTCCCTTGCGATGTGAATTATGTGAAAACTTCATTAATCCTTACATTAAGATTGACAGGGCAAGTAGAATGTGGGTTTGTCCATACTGTGAAGAGAAAAGTTCTTTCCCAAGGGATTACGAATTACCCTTACCTGGATCGGATATTGAACAATGGCCCCTTGAATTGAGACAAAGTTCTTCCACTATTGAATACAAATTACCTTCAGATGCATCCATAGCTTCTGACAATTATACACCTACTTATTGGTTTATCCTTGATTCTTATCAACATGTCGACGAGCTTCAAAATGAGAAGGAAGTATCTTTCAATAGCTTAAAATCAAATATTTGTAAAGTCATCGACAAATTACCTGAAGGTACTTCAATAGGTTTGATCACCTATGATGAATTTGTTTTTTGTCATAAGATCAATAAAAGAGATTCCATTGCTATAACAAAGAAGGATATTCATCAATTAGATGCTGAAACAGGTAAAATTGTCAATGAAAAGAAAACTCGATTATTTGAAAACAATTCTTCTTATAAAGTCTTGAAGAAACTAGGTTGCACTCCAGGATTGAGTAGAGACTCTACCTCCAGTCCCTTGGTGACCAATCAGTATTTAACTACGGTAACAAATCAAAACAAGAGTCAGATCATGGAATATATTCAATCATTGAAACCCAAACTTATTAATTCGTTCAAACCTCCAAGATCAACAGGTCTTGCGTTGTACGTGATTTCATCTTTACTCAGTCAAGCATCATACAAAGGATTTATTGGTCATGTCAGTTTATTCTGTGGTGGCCCATGTACGGAATCACCTGGAAATATCATTGATATAACGAAAACTTCAGCTTTAAGAGGACATAATGATATAGCTAACTTCGAAATTCCTCAGTTTTTATCTTCCCTGAAGTTCTACAAAACTTTATCATTGGTAGCTTCAGGGTTTTCCTTGGAGAATGCTGCTTCAGTCTACAACAAATCGTCTGGTAGAGAAACAGATTATCCTGTTGATGGAAATGCACCTAAATGGACATTTGATTTATTCAGTGGCTCACTTGACCAAGTTGGTATTTATGAAATGAAATCACTTTCGCTGCATACTGTTGGAGGTATTTACCTTTTTGATTCTTTCAACAGTCCTCAATTTACCAGTCAATTATTAGATAATTTTGATTCATCAAAGTTTCGTACTTTTAATAATATTTTGACCGTGAAAACTTCGTCAAGACTTAAAGTCTCCAGACTTATTGGGAATGGACATGCTTTACCTTCGTCATATCAGTCAGAGAAGCACTATGAGCTACATCATCAAAAGATTGCAGACCATTTATCTGTCTTTGATTCTGGATTGAAGAAAAAGAGTTTCACCAACCAGTGGTTGTTCAATGTTCTTTCTACTGAAGATACTTTATCAATATTCTTTGAACCTGAAACTGCTAGTACATCGTCTAGACTTGAATCTGAAGGTGCTGAAGATTACTATATCCAATTCCAGCTCAAATATTGGGACCCAAATGAAAAGCTTTGGAAACTCAGAATCACCAATATCAACAGGAAGTCCACTCTTTATTACCTCAAATCGAATAAAGTCAAAATGACTGATGGATCTTATAAGTTGGTGAACAGTAAAAGTAAAATAATCAAAGAGAAAGAGTTACTTTCAAGTTTTGATCAATCAACATTCATGATCCTTCTAGCTAGATTACTTCTCGATAAGATTGACACTACTTTAGGGTTTGAAAAGTTCGATGACATCATAAAAGATATTGATAGAACTGTAATCAAATTACTTTTCCATTTCGGAGGGCTTTCATTGAATATCAAATCAGGGAGTGGTGCCAATCCGTACTCAGGATTACTTTCTGATATTGTTGAAAAGTATGAAATCAACAGGAACTTTACAGATTTACCTTCAATGGCTTATAATTTAAGAAAGAACCCTTTATTGATAAGAATTTTCAATTCTCTGCCTGATGAAACGGCTTATTACCATCATTGGTTCCAAAGAACAAACGACATTTTGTCAAAATCGATCATCCAGCCCAAACTTTTCCAAGTCAATGAACAGAGTGCAAAAGAGGTTTCTTTGGATTCACAGAATGTTCAACAATGTCCTCCTGGGTCATTCTTGATAATGGATTCGATATTCAGTATCACCATTTATAGTAATGGGGAGGATTTGAAACTTCATCATTCCGACAATCAAGGATTGATGTATGATAATAAAGAAATACTTAAGATACCTTTTGATTTTATAGCCACTTTACCTCCCAGGCCGGTGTCTCCAAAATTCATCGTTACTCAAAAGAACCATTCCCAAGCTAGATTCTTATTGGCAAGATTGAATCCTCTGGAAGATACTTTGGAGCAAAACTTTGAAAAATTGTCTGTCAGTAATAAGGGTTTCTTTGGTCTATTCAACAGAAACCCTAAACCTTACACCAATTTATTGACAGATGATATAAGTCTTGATAATTATTATAATGGTTTAATTCATGCGGTACAGAATTATAGAGTGACGGACGAACAACTTATATAGATAATACAAACTTTTTAACAGTTTCTATAAGATCTTCTGTGGCTTGGGGATCATCAACTGTATGATTGGCTTTGAGTAAGACTTTACTTAATTTACTCCAATACTTCTCATCAGTAGCTTTCTGCCAACGAGAAATCAAGTTTTGTTTATCAACAAATACAGGAGTGTATTGATCTTCATCTCCGTATAAACTTAATAATGGCTTTTTCACCTTACCAAAGGAGTCCTTCAATTGTTCATCAGTGATATAAGTTGAGAAGAAATCGTCATCACCAAATTTCAGGAATAATGAATGAAATCTATAAGCAGTTGTTGGATAACCCAATGAAACTCTGGTGAAGTTCAACGGTAACATTTGATTTTTCAACCCTTTGTCAAGATACTCAACCTTAACTTGTTCAACCAATTTATCTAAGTTGTCCTCTCCTACGTCTTCTGCTATACCTTCTCTGTCAGAAACTGGTGCTTGTAAGATCCCTCCATCGATCTCCATGGATTTTTGGAACTTTTCTTGATAGCTGTAATTACAAAGGTATCTTATAGTGTCTTGGCAACCAGTTGAATGTCCCATCAATATAATTTTCTTTCTGCTTCCTCCTTTTTCTGATCTCAAGTATGAAACTAGTCTACCAATTTCAATATTGTCTTGTTGAAGTGAACTTTGACCCCAACCCACGTAAGATGATGTTAACAATCCTTGAATGAGAACCCAATTGCCTAAAGAGCCCAATTTTTCAGCTAATTTAGGAAGATATTGAACTGTCATTAAACCATCCGTTAATCCTCCTATAAAAACCACCACATTTTCAGCTACTTTTCCATCTTCGTTGAACTCGAAGGCTGTTTTTTTGAAACCGTATTCGTGAACTGTTCCTCTGATACCCATGATAATTTCCTAATTGACCGACGTAGTTTAGTATTTGAATGAACCTGATTGTGTGGAACTTCAAACTCAATCAGATCTTATCGCACAATCTTGCATGCATTTATACTTCTGACGTAGCGAACATTTAGGTATCACAAACCTGAATTTGTGTCACTGGAAGACCAATCCCGTTCTTCTGAACTATTTGAACCATCATTTGACGTACAAATTGCCAATGAGCCATCCAAGTAACGGAAAGAAGTGAAAACTCCCAGTATCGTGCTCTTACCGAAAGGTTGATAATTTTGAGGCTCAAGTGAGGGTGGAATTTTAATAGGAGGTGTTTCCAAGGTACATTTATCATTATCCAATTGCAATTACATCATCAATATCACTACTTTAATTTACCATACCCAATTTTTCTTCCAAATTGAAATCCCCTTGCAATCTTTAAAAGCATTTTTCTTCAAAAATTTCTTGAGATCAATAGATCATTGGTCCTGATACTTTTCACATTTGCTACTCCAAAATTTCCAGGAATTTAATATGTCAATAACCACTAATGATTCGTTCTTACAATGGGATCCAGCACAAGTTTCTAATTTCATCAATTCCATAAGTTCAGAAGATAAGTTGGGAACTTTATTTCTAGAGAATAATATTGAAGGTTCATTATTACCATTTATCACAACTGATCATTTGAAAGAGATTGGAATTGAAAGTTTGTGTTCCAGGTTGTCAATCAAGAAGAAGATATCTGAATTAATAAATTCCCATTATGAGAAGAATCCACCCAAATCATTCAATGATCCCGAATATAAATTGAATAACATCAATATCAATAACAATTATATCAATTTTGAAAGTTTGAACTTATCAACAGTATTGATGAAAGATATGATCAAGAAGGTGACTATATCTTTACAACATCACCAATCACAAAGTTCAAGTCCAGTAGAGAATCAACAAATGGATATTAAGAAATTAAATGATAATTTTGTTAGATTGAAAAGTGATTTAATACCCGTAATAAGATTATTGAAAGATTCCAAGCCTTTGCCTACACCAACCTTGGACCCTGGACATGGAAACTTGGCTAATTTGGATTCTCCTACCTATTCAATTTCAAGTAGTCATTCCACTAACAGTAATACGTTGTTGGATTCATTACAAGATGCTTTACATACCAGTCAATCCAATTCGAATAGAAATTCCAATCCTTTACCCAGTCCAACTCAATCAAATAGATTTAGTAGTGGATCATTATTATCTTTAGGTACAGGTAAAATAGCTCAATCAAGTAATGGGTCAACTACCATGTTAAGCAATGTCAATAATTCAAATACCAATACTATTGATTTGAATAATTATACAAATAATTCAAACACCAGTTCCGGAAATATAGTTAATCCTAAGTCAAGACCAAGATTAATCGAAAGTAAATCAACAAGTTCAGCTGCAACTTATTCACAACCTTCTATGACACCAAAAGTGTCAAGAAAACATTCATCATCTACTGGCTCAACATCCTTAGGACAATTACCAACCACATCATCCCAGTCTACTCAAAGTTTTGCTAATGCTGAACCTTTGAAACAATTAAGAGCTTCAACTGATGATTCTTGTTTGAAGATTTTACAACAAGCTATGAAAAGACATCATGTTCCAAGAGATGATTGGTCAAAATATGTTTTGGTTATTTGTTATGGTGATAAAGAAAGGATTCTAAAATTAGCTGAAAAACCAGTACCAATATTTAAAGAATTACAAGAGTTAGGTAAACATCCTGCTATTATGTTAAGACAATTAGCTGAAACTACAGTTGAAAATAATGATAATGATTTATATGAAGATTCCAGAATTGGTGATGATATCCCAGGAGGAACTTTATAATGTACATTTACTTAAAATACTCATATAATTCTCTGTTTCACATATATATGTGAAAAATAATCATAGGATATATTTAGATATGAAGCTTTTAGGGCTCGCGCCCTCGTTCAAAATGTCTCACCGTGTGACTGTCTCAAGTCTTGAGTGGAAAAAATGGTGAACCAAATCGCATTGAAAAAAACTAATCCATCAGAAAAAAAATTTCAATTAGTAAAATTCAATAATTAAAGATGCCTCCAAAATTTGATCCAAGTGAAGTTAAATTCTTATACTTAAGAGCTGTTGGTGGTGAAGTTGGTGCTTCATCAGCTTTAGCCCCAAAGATTGGTCCTTTAGGTTTATCACCAAAGAAAGTTGGTGAAGATATTGCCAAAGCTACCAAAAACTTCAAAGGTATCAAAGTTACTGTTCAATTAAGAATCCAAAACAGACAAGCTACTGCTTCAGTTGTTCCATCTGCTTCTTCATTAGTTATCACTGCTTTAAAAGAAGCTCCAAGAGATAGAAAGAAGGAAAAGAACGTTAAACACTCAGGTAACATTCCATTAGAAGAAATTTATGAAATTGCTAGACAAATGAGAGAAAAATCATTTGGTAAAAACTTAGCTTCAGTCACTAAAGAAATCTTAGGTACTGCTCAATCTGTTGGTTGTAGAGTTGAAGGTAAAAACCCTCATGATATCATTGATGCCATTAATGCTGGTGAAATTGATGTTCCAGAAAACTAAATTAAATTTATTGTAAAAATATATTAAATTGGGTCAAATTGAAATTGGGTCAAATTTGAATCAACTGTTAATGACACAACTATCATAAATATTAAATATAAATAATTATTTGATTATTCCCAATGATTTTCTTAAATGACCATCCCAACAAAGACTCAAATCATTATTGACCTTAAACAGATGTTTGCCGACACTCTGGTGCTAAATCATTATTAATTTAATGTTGTATTTGGTTCCTATTTTGGTGCAAACTAGATTAATTAGCTACTTACTCACCATTGTAATCTATCAATGATTATGATCCGGTCCATTTCACTAGCTTACATCTCTTTGATCTTTTTCCTGATAATAGCATCAGTTTTTGTAATTTGATCTCTAGCAGTGGGGTACATGAAGTATGTCATTAGGACATATTTAATATGTTATTCCAATCTTATAATTTGAACCTTACCATTCATGCGCTTTAACAAAAAATCCTCCCAAAATGGTGGTAAATTTCCCTCCCCATTTAGCGACAACTTTCCCCTGGAGATTCATGTGCATTATTGAGATTACCTCCTCTAAAATAAAGTGAGAAATACGTAAACAGAGATCTGAATTGAATTAGTTTTGTCCTCCAATGTCTGATTCAATAGGTATGTACCATCAAATATCCCCTGCAAGATCAAAACAATGAGTTACTAACTAATAGATCGAGTTTTTGTGAAAGCGATCACAACAATTAGAGCATTATCATCACGTTCTAATTATGGAACTTTACCTAGACCACCAGCAGAAAGCCGTATAAAATTATATGGATTGTATAAACAGGCTACAGAAGGAGATGTTGAAGGGATTATGGCCAGACCAATAGGTTTCACATTAGAAGATGAAGGTGCCAAAAAGAAATGGGATGCATGGAAAAGAGAACAAGGATTAACCAAAACAGAAGCTAAAAGGCGCTATATCTCATATTTGATTGATACTATGAAAGTTTATGCTAGTGGAACATTGGAAGCAAGAGAATTGTTAAGTGAATTAGAATATCTTTGGGATCAAATCAAAGATTTAGACTTCAGTGATGAAGATTTAGATCATGAACCCCATATTTTTATACCCCCACATTCTCCTTCATTACAATCAGATAGATATTCTACAGCCACTCCATTACCTTTACCTTCCACCTACTCAAATAGTGGTAAAAACAATTTACAAAAAATTTATAGTCATTCCAGAAGATCAACTATGCTTTCAATTAATGATTATATTCAACAGCAACAACATCAACAACAACAAAATCCTCAAAATATGGCTAGATCTCAATATTCCCAAACGGGACCTAAGAATGATAAGTTATCTAATTCGATGCAATCATTACCATCTAATATTCATGGATTGACTCCCAATACATTTGAAGACTTTAGAACATGGCAAGGAGAGATTAATCTTATTATAAATAAATTAACCAGAGATTTTTCAAATAAAAGACGTTCATCCGGTAGTGATTCTGATGATGATTATAGTTTGAATCCTGATGCCAAATTAAAGAAAAGACTATTAATCTTGGTTAAGTTTTTAGGGAAGAATATTTTCAGGATATTTAAGAGTTTTTCTATCTCAGTATTAGCAATATTATTCCTTGTATGGTGTGTTAAGAAGAATGTTATAGTTCAAAGGACAATAGTTAGAAAACCTATTGCTAATTCCAATAAGAATACTGAAGAATTGGTCATAAACATGATATTGAATACTAATGATAATAAATGGTTTATAAGGTTATTGAATGTGGTAAATAGTTTTGTAGGTTTTGTCTGATGAACTTGATGTTCATTTGAATTGCATGTTGCCTTAAAATCTGTATCCGTTTCTACCTAGTGGTATGAGTTCTGGTCAATCAAGTTCTGGTTCTAATGCTCTAATATCACCTCTTCTCAAATCGCGATGAAAAAAAAATTCGAGATGAGGTCTGATATGAGTGAAATGAATTTACATCGTTGTAGGTTTGTTGATTATACGCCCCATACCATAACGGCCATGGCATTCTCCCATAACTCATCCACACAAATTGCCTCTAATGATTTGAGATTAGCTGTGGGTAGAGGGAATGGAGATATTGAAATTTGGAATCCAAAATTCAACTGGACTCATGAATTAACATTATTTGGATCAAGAGGAAGATCTATTGAAGGATTATGTTGGGCTATCAATGAAGGAGACTCCCAACCTCGATTATTTTCCATTGGTGGATCAACATATGTTACAGAATGGGATTTAAAAACCGGATTACCTAAAATTAATTATGATTGTAATGTAGGAGTAATTTGGTCAATTTCTGTTAATAACAATGGTAACAAGTTAGCTGTTGGGTGTGATGATGGATCAGTAGCTATAATAGATATTTCAGGAGGATTCGGATCCATGGAACATGAAATGATTTGTCAAAGACAAGAACTGAGAGTTTTAAGTATCAAATGGTTTGAAAATTCAGTTATTGGAGGTTGTGCTGACGGTAGAATAAGATGTTGGTCACTCAATAAAGACGATAGAGGAAGAATCGTTGGAACTATGAGAGTTGATAAATCCAAAACTGAAAGTACATTAGTTTGGTCAATTAACATTTTAAGTAAAAGAAAACAAATTATTAGTGGAGATTCTACCGGATGTATTAAAATTTGGGATTTAGAAACTTTCACTCTTTTACAAAATTTCACTACTCATGAAGCTGATGTTTTATGTATTGTTAATGATTTTAATGAAGAAAAATTTTTCACAGCAGGTGTTGATAGAAAGATTCATCAATTCAATTTGATTAATTTGAATCAAAAGAATAAGAATTCCAAATGGTCTCATACTTATAATAGATTATTACATTCCAATGATGTAAGAACTATGGTAAGTTTCGAAAGTAAAGGGTATAATTTATTGGTATCAGGGGGAGTTGAAAAATCTATAGTAATTCAATCAGTTAATCAATTTAATGATGGTCATTATAGAAAATTATCATTGAACCAACAAATATCTAATATATTGATCAATCAGTTAAATAATTTGATAATAATGTGGCAAGATCAAACAGTTAAGATTTGGAAAATCCAATCCAATACCAAATATAAGTTGGTAGCTAAATTATCATTAAATGATGATGAAAACATTTCTCATGTTACCATTAATGATGAAGGTACATTATTAAGTGTTTCAACCATGAGTTCTGTCAAAGTGTTTGAACTCATTCATAATTCAAAGAAAATCCTAGTACAAAAGTTTAAAGATGAACAATTCAATTCTATCATAAGTTCATGTAAACAATCGATCATTTATAACACTAATAAATTCTTAATATTAACTAATAATGATGAACTTTATCAATTCCAAATTGACATTTCCAACAAAACCATTGAATTAATCAATGAAGTTGAATTTGAAGAATCTTCTGATCAAAGTTTAACATATTTGAATAACATCAAAAACATGAAACTTAATCATCAACAAGATAAATTGGCTATTTCAAGATTTAATGGAATTATTGAAATCGTTGATTTAAATGATTTAAGTTCAATCAAATTAACTACTTTAGAGAATATTCCTCATTTGATTGAATTCTCTAATAACGATACTTTAATAGTATTGAGTGAAGATAATAAGATATTTGAATTTAACATAGAAAAATCAAAAGATTTATTAACTTCATGGTCCAAGAGAAATAGTGATTTCTTACCAAAACAATTTTTATCATTAAAAGATAAACCTGAAGGGATGTTTGTTGATAATAATAAAATATGGATTTATGGTAAAGAATTTTTATGTTATTTTGATTTAAATTTGAATATTCCAATAAGTAAAATGTATAAAAACACTGGAATTTCAAAGAAAAGAAATAGAGATGGTTTAACCATTGAAGATGATGAAGATGATGAAGAAATTGATGATGATTCAATTGAATCTTCATTAAAACAAAATCAAATTAATAGATTAAGACAACAATTTCAAAATGAACCAATACAAGATGATGAAAAACCTTTCTGGATAAATTTGAATTATAGATCAATCTTATTTGTTAACAAATTATCATCAGATCTTATAATTATTGAAAGACCAATAAGTAATAATACACCAGCATTTAATCTACCAAAGATTAAAGTATAAACGTAAATATATAATAACCCTAACTATTTATAAATATTTATTCTTTTAAAGGTTTTTTACAGACGAATAACATCATTGGAGTAAATAATTTTTGTTTACCACCTTCAACTAAATTAACAGCAGCATCTTCTAAAGCAATAGTAACTTGTTTAGTTCCTTTTGGAGCTAATCCAACTTTTTCTAATAATCCACAAGCTTCAGTTGTAACAAATCTACCAATTCTTGAAGTTCTGAAAATTGTGAAATAATCGGATAAGGTTTGAACATATTTAAATTCTCCAGCTAATGGATAATACCAAGGAATTTCATCATTAACATCAGCTAAATCTTTTTCGTATTCGATTTCAAATCCAACATTCTTTAAAGCTTGTTCAGCAACTGATCTTGGATACATTTTTGGAATACCATCACCAACTTCAATACCATAAGCGATTTTACGATGTTCTTCATTACTTTCATCATAATTATCAGTCATAACCCATTCGTAAACACCGAAAGTACCACCTGGTTTTAAAACTTTATAAATTTCAGAATAAACACCTTCTAAAACTGGGGCATGAACAGTGGCTTCAATAGCATAAACTGCATCGAAAGTTTCTGGTTCGAAATCCATTTGCATGAAATCACCTTTAACAAATGATAATTTATCATCTAAATGGTATTTTTGAGCATAATGATTAGCTCTTTCAATTTGATAATCATTATTATTTAATCCAACAATATTACAATCAGTAAATCTACAAATTTCTCTAGCTGGTCCACCAACACCACATCCAACATCTAAAACTTTCATACCTTCTTTAATATTCATTTTATGAGCTAAGAAATGTTCATGTCTAGCAGTAGCTTGTCTGAAAGCTTCACCTCTATAATATCTTGAAAAATGGAATGATGATCCCCATCCATATTCATAAAAATCAGTAACTAAATTATAGTAATGATGAGTTAATCTATTATAATCATCTAATCTTTTATCTTCATCTTCTTTAGCAACTCCTCCATCCCAATGTTTGAAATATCCACTATTAGCTAATTCACTGGCATCTTTACCTTTAGCTAAAATAGCACTTAATCCAGTTTTTTTATAACTTTCTCCATGTAATGCTTTAGCAAATTGAGAATCTTTATCGTTACTCTTTTCGTATAATTTTTGACTTTCCATTATGTTGAAATACTATAAAATTCTATTTGTAGTTTGAATAGTTGAATATATTAGAGAATTTGTGAATTTTCGTGTTTTTATATTTCTCAAAATCTCGTCGTTTATCGTTTAACACGACGCTCGTCGTACAACTTAATCCTGCGCGTCCAAAAATTCATCTATTGATTTTAGCTCCGATTCGATGTCTTGAGAGACATCGCCGACATCGACGTTCATAACATCGGTTTCGTATTTTATGGAATGTTGATCTAGTTCCATATCATCATGTTCTTCTTGTTCACCTTCTTCTTCAGCTTCATCACGGTGTGATTGATGTTGCAGATGATGTTCATCAATTGAATCTTCTTCTTTGACTTCCATATCATTATCTTGTTCTACTTCTCCTGCGCCTTGTTGCAAATCTTCTTCAGATTCTTCGATTTCTTCTACTTCCATATCACCTTGATTAGCTTCATTTTCAAAAGCTTTTTCCTTTGCAGCTTCAACAATATCTCTGAACTTGGTCAAACTCTTCAATGAATAATTATCAATTGAAAAATCAGGTTCTTCCTTTCTATCATCAATAGTTTCAATGGTCTGGTCAATGTCTTCCAATAATTCAGTCAAACTTTCACTTCCAATTCTTTCGTCTATGTGAATTTTGGGTAAATTACTTATAATGGTTTTCTTGAATTGTTTTTTACTATATTCTAATCGAATTGACTCTAAGAACAATTTTGCTTGAATTTGACTATTGATAAGATATTCGTCTGTTTCTTTGTTAACTAAATTTGAAGGATCACACCAATGAATTAATTGTTGAATGATGGTGGTTAAAGATATTTTATCGATTTCATTTTCAAAATCTTCATTACCATCTTCTGATAATCTTAATAAAATATCTGCTGAAATCTTACAAAGATTCTGTTGATGTTTGCCATGACTGAAAGCGTAAACTGGTAAACAGAAAGTCAAGGTCTGTTTGAATTCATTATTAGCTTTATTCTTGGGGTTAAAATATGCCAATATAACTTTTAAAAGTAAGTTCAATGATAAAATTTGTTTAGATTCTTCATCAGCTTCTTCATCTACTAAATGATCATATTTGGAATAATCATCCATGATATCTGCTAAATAAAGCTTACATAACCCTTCAGCTGCAATGGTTTGAATAATTGGATGTTCGGTACTTTCTAAACAAACTACAAGTGCTTTAGCTATATCTTTGCTAGTAATTAATTTACGGGATTCTAAACCTGATTTCACTTCTGTGGGTGTAAGGTAACTGAAATCAAAAATTTTTGATCCGAAAGTGGACAAGATATCAAAAATTGCTTTCAAAGCAACTACTCCTACACTTTGAGGGTATCTAGACATTACAATCATAAAAGTATTAAGTTCACGTATAGCTTCTTCTCTTTTGAAAAGAGCTAATAAAGACATACATCTTATAGAACATTCACCCACTTTTTCATCTAATTTTTGAATTCCTTGCCTGACTAAGGTTTCTACAATGGAATCAACCATATTATTTTGGATTGGACTATCAATTAATTCTAACAAATATTGGAATGTTATCAAACCTTGACTGACTACTTCTTCAGAGAATTCTTTTGGTTGAATCTTTCTACGTTTTCTCTTAGGAGTAACAGAAGATGTAAAATTTTCGTTATCGAAAACATTGCCAATTCGATTGATATTATTAGTATAATCATCTTGAAGAATTTCTTCACCTTCCTCTTCGTCGTCGTCATCATCATCCTCGTCTTCATCATCGTCATCATCAATGAATCCTGAGATAGCTGAATGAAAGGTTTCATCATTTTCGTCTGATTGGGAATCTCTAATATCAGTAATGGCTTCAATGACAATATCTACAAATTCTTTCTCGTTGATACTCAACTTATTAATGATCTTCAAACATAATTCAACGGTTTCATCAGATAAATAATCATTAGTAACACTGGATCTCACGATTTGTAATAATCCTCTTCGACTAATTTCATCACTATAATCATAATTCAAACTGATTTTCAAAAAATTATTAATGATAATTTCCAATGATTTTAAACCGGTTTGGAACATCCTATGATTCTTATAATCAGGTTTGAATTCGATCATTTCTTGTTCCTTATCGGCCAAAATCTTCTGGAAAGTTTTATCCAATTCATTAGCTTTCAATTTAACTTCTTCTGAATCTAATTCTTCATTCTCTACTATCAAACTATATTCATATTCAATATCGTCAAGATTATTCTGGTAATTCTTCTGATTCTTTTCGAAATTTTTATACTTATTAATTAAATCCTTATTCTGCTCAATGATAGAATTCCTTTGTTTGAAGTGTCTAAAGATAATTTCACTCAATTCAATAGGTTCAATGAATTTTTCATCAATCAAACTGAAATATTTGTTATCATTAAGGAATTCAAATAAATTCCTAATGAAAAATAATTTATCAATAGTAGTTTCTCTCCAATTATCGATTTCAATGGACTTCACTAATTCGAAATTTAATTGAAAGATCTCTTTCAATAATTTATCGATGTTCTTAATCTCTTCAGTATTCAATTCTTCAATTGTGAAGGTGTTTATGAAATTAGTGAAATTTTTATTGAAAACCGTTTGAAACCAATAATTAAAAGTTTTGATGGCAGCCAATCTTACTTGATCACTACGGTCATTCAACCCGTAGGAAACGAATTTACTTAATTGAAGGTTATTAATATCTCTGAGATCAATTTCCTTTAAAAATCTGGAATAAAATAATCTACGATTAGTTGGATTGACATCTCTAGCACTTTCGAAAATGTAAGGTAACGTGATTTTATTTTTGGCTACATTGAGGAGAGCAGCTCTTCTTATTTCAGGACTCTCATCTTCATTCAAAGTATCTATTAAAAGTCTTGTTGCAAAACTTAAAGATTGATATTTTTGAAGCCTTTCTTTATGCTGTCTTTCAGATTCTTTGATATTACTTAAATGATCCTTATTCTCATACCTACCGATCTCTTTAATATGTTCATTAGACAAATCTTGGAAATGGGAAATTGCTATCACTCCATTAAGTCTAACATTTTGTTCTTTATCTTGTAAACTCATATATAATCCATCAACAATCGCTTGACACAATCCAAGATCGATGTCTCCAATATGGGCCAAAACATAGGATAATATCTGGACTACCCTGTATCTTACATTCCTATTCTTAGCTCTCATACCAATAGATAAATGACGTAACATATTATCAACTAAATTGGCGACTGGTTCATCTTCTTCTTCATCATCTTCATTCTTTCCTTCATTTTTTTTGGCAATATCTTGTTGTAAGGATCTAAGAAACAGAGCAATGAATTTAACAATCCTATCACCTGCGGTTTCTCCCTTTTTAAGATCTAATATCTTATTGATTAGTTTATTTATTTGATATATGAAACTCTCTTCATAACCTAATTCAACACTCTTATTCAAAATGGATTTCAAATTAACCACTAATTTCCTGTGACCAGAAAGTCCGAACTGTGCTTCCTGGAATACGTTTATTATTGATCCATTCAATGACCTTATATCTATCACCTCCATGATTTGTGAATGTAAACAATAAAAAATGCGCGATCTATAAAAATTGATTTTGTGTAACATCATCATGAAACTGGTATTAATTCTTCATTATGAATCTCTCGTACAACATGGAAGATCATATGGTAATACTTTGGGCTCATTATGGTGGGAGAATAAAATAACATGTGTCTCATCCAAGATGGAAAAGCAAAAAAAATTAAAAAATGAACGGTACGGGAATCGAACCCGTGACGGCTGCTTGGAAGGCAGCAATGTTAACCACTACACCAACCGTCCTAGTAGTTATGTGCTATGTCAGGACTTAAAACCATATAGCTTAAAAGTCATTTTCTTGACAAAAAAGCCATTTTTTCACCTTTAGGATAGCTCATGGTCCCCAAATTTTCGTGTTAATAGATTTTTATTCTGTCAATAGTCGATAGAGATTCATTTCAAGCATTTAAATTTCTCTTTGACATTTTTTTGTAATATTTGCAAAATTTACTAGTCTGATTCTTGTTAACCTTAGCAAATAATAGAATAAAACAGATACCTTTCAATGATTTTCGAACTTATGAATCCTTGGGAGGAGGACTGGCCAACAGAAAGGTATGTTTGCCTCATATGACCATTTAACCTACAATGGCCCCAACTTCAGACATTTCTGTTAATTCTGATAAAGGTGAGAAAATTGAGATTAAGCGATAGTGATATGGTAGGGAGTAAAAGAATAAGGATTTTGGTTTTACTTTCAATACTTCTTTTTATTATTGGCTTCTTTACCTTGAAGGACCAATTAGCAGGTGAAGTGCCTTTGCTTTATGACCTAGATCATTTAGCAAAATTCCCTGGAGCTGATGAGGATTTTGAAAGATGGAGAGCCAAACAATTCAAAGACAAGAGTAAAGATCCGGAAATGGAGGGGAAAGTAGAGATCAAAGAGCAGAATAAACAAGGAAGTAATGATAAGCAAACAACGGATAATACTGAAAGTGGTCAAAGTGTAGCAGATGAAGAAAGCAAGGGAAAGAAAGAAGCGGAAGACAGTAAGGTAAATAAAGAAGAGAAAGCAAGTACTGGAGACAAAGAAGAGAAGGTCAGTCAAGGTAAAGCAACTGATGGAAGCAAGAAAGGAAGTAAGAATTCAAAATCGGAATCTGATTCTATTGATAATTATACTGGACCAAAAGCACCATCCAAACCACACACTTACAAAGTAGATCAACCTAATGATAAACCTCCAACACCAAAAGTTCAAAAGGAAAGCCCGCCTGTAAAAGGTAGTGAAGGAGGACCAGGACAACCAAATGATCCTGAATTCAATGTGGACGAAGCCATGGACAATTTGAAACAGGGAAAACCAAAAGACAACAAGCCAGAAAGTAAGATGGATGTACCTGTGATCAAACCAAATGATATACCCAAACCAAAAACCGCTGAAGAACCAGAGGATGTTAAAAACCCTGGTAAATTCTTAGGGACAATTGAAGAGGTAGATGAATCAGAACGAGCTGCTTCGATCTATGAAGATAAAGATGACGAAGAGTTATTCAAAAATTTCGAACAAACCACTATTGGTGAAATCGAACACGATGATTCAGAATTCAATTTCAGAAATTTAGGGGAAAAAATTGGTATACCGGATCCCAAAAAGTTCCCTGAAAAGGTTACCAAAGCACCCAAAGACTTTGTTAAAGTTAAGGATGACTTTTCCACTCCAATTTCTCCCATGAACTTCAGAATTTATTCTCACAATGTTAAAAATGGGGGCCATGATGATCTTGTTCCTGGTGAAGAGAGATGGGAAGATAGGTATATGAAAATAGCTAATTCAATCAAATTTAATTCTCATTATAATACCATTGTAACTTTACAAGAAGTTTATAAATTTCAAATGCTAGATTTAATGAATGAATTGAATAAATTTTCATCAGAGAAATCTCCAGAATGGTCATATTATGGAGAAGGTAGAATCGATGGTAAAGATATCGGGGAATTTGTACCTATTTTATATAAGAATTCTGAATGGGAATTGATACAGAGTGATACCATCTGGTTGAATAAAGAAAATGAAAGACAATCATTAGAAGGTTGGGATGCAAAATATTTGAGAATTTTATCATACGTAACTTTAAGACATAGAGATACCAATAATTATGTGAATATCTTCAACACTCATTTGGATCATATTGGTAAAGGTTCTAGGATTGGTTCAGCCCGATTGATACTTGACAAAATCAAGAAAATAAACAATTGGCCATCATTCTTAACGGGGGACTTAAACTTGGAGAAATCTGAAAAGACATTCCTTATCTTATCAAAGTCCATGGTCAACGCTAGAGATCATACCACTCCATTTAATGTTTATGGACATACGCAATCAACTGTGACAGGGTTTGAAGGAGAAGTCATAGCATCTGGGGGTCAAAATATCGATTATATCTTTGCCCCTTTGTATACTTCTAAGATAACAAGTCAAATTGATTGTTCTAAAGTAGATAAAACAAAGAAAAGACCCCAAGATATGTTGTATTTAAGATTAGATGGGTTCGGTATGTTACATTCCAAGTTCGATGGAGTTTATATGAGTGATCATAGACCTTTAGTTGCTGATTTCCATTTAGAAGGTAAATGTCAAAATAGTGTGTAGTAATGAAATCTCAATCTCAGAATTTTGCGAATCAAAACAAATCTTTAAATATGGAGAACCCTCATGAACAAACGCAGAATGCTTTGCTTTCTCGTATCATCAACAACATGGTATGTTAATTGGTTACCCTTGTCCTTCAAGAGGGAATTTAATTCGGTGAGAACAATATAAATCCACTGATTTTGAATAAATTAATCGCGTCAGGATACTAACTAAGCAAGGAAACATTAAATGAATCAATAGTTTCAATGAACAAGGCTTTACAAGACATCAACCGTAAGAATTTAGATGTTGAAATGGTATCACATTTGTGGCAACATTACTCCCAAATTTCCAATGATAATTTAGAGACTACTGGAGAGAAAAGAGAGCCACATTAAGGATTTAGATCCACATTCCCATATATCGAAGTCCCAAGACTACTATGATCATGAAACAACAATCACTTTGGGTATTTGAAATCATGAAACGTAATGCCATAATATAATGAAATCCCCACAAAATAAAATATCTAATGCCAATATATTAACTATAACTTATTATACAAATTCACTCCGACCCTGATCTATTGAAACTTATAAAACTTTGATTCAATTCTTGCACACCGAGTAATTAGTTTGAACCAGTTTGAGTTGGTAACATACCAAATCTTTTCTTTAAGGTAACTCTTTGTCTTGAGTATTTATCATCTGGAGAGAATCTGGCTGGGTGGGCAGATTTGGTGATTTCACCTTCTTCAGTGGTTTTCTTTAAGGTATAGATTCTTTTACCATCACTTCCAATAGTATACATTAAATGCATCTTGAATTTTGTTAATCTCTTCTCAAAAAAATTTTCAGATTTTTCTGCGATATTCTGGTGAGATGTCGCATCGATGTCGTATCCGGGTAATGAAAATTTATGTTTTGGTTATTTGAGATTTTATCAATCTTAGTGATCTATTTGGCAGTATTTGTTCATCAATTGTTTGTAAAGCAATAGTTCGAGATATTGAATCATTCAACAAATCTTTTGAATAGTCATATTTGCATAAAGTCTAAGAATTGTCATGGTACCGCCAAAGAAAGATGCTTTTGCTGATATTTTTCAATCTGCAACTAGTTCCAACAGTTCTATTGATAGAAAAAAGAATCTTTCTGATTTACAAAAACTGAAGGTGAATGATGGTTTGACTAGTAATTTAAATAACATGTCTTTGAATGGTTCTAGACCTAACGTTTCCCAATCTAATAATTCAAATTGGGATCAATTTGATATCTTTAATACCAGCTCAGCATCAAGTAATGTATCTGGATCTAAAAATGGATCTAGAGTTGAAACTCCTTTGAATGATCCTTTTGATATCTTCAATGATTTACCTTCCAAACCATCTCCTCCACCTCAACAAACACCTCAGCAAACTACACATTCGATCAATAGCATAGCTCCTCAATCTGGTAATGGAGGCAATTTACTTGATGATGAGTTTACTGATGCTTTCCATCCCGAACCTGTATCACAACCTATAATTGAACCTAAACCTGTTCAGCCTACCTTTGAACCAGAATCCTCCATCCAATATAGTTCAACTTCCAGACCAACTTCTAGACCAACTCCTAGACCTAGATCGAACGAGAAGAAAGATGCTTTGATAGCTCAATTGATAGAGATAGGATTTACTGACGATGTGGCTAATAACGCCATTGATGAAGTAGGTATGGACTTACAAGCGTGTGTTAATTTCATCATGAGTGGTGGTAAACTGAGACCCAACTCCAATCAACCCAGAAGAGACGAAAGTCCCAAAGATCTCAATTTCAATGAAATTTCCAATGATCTTTTCAATAAAGCTTCTTCCTTTTTCAATAAGTCTAAGAAAACAGTCATGAAAAATATTGAACAATTCCAACAATCCCAGAATTTCAATGGATTCGGTGGTTACAATAATAAAAAGGATAACTCCGTTCCTGCTTGGATGAGAAATCAAGAAAAATATAAGAGTCAAGCAAGTGAAAGAAATCCTAATGGTGAAGATTTTGAAGACTACGGTGATGACGAAGACAATATTGATCACGAGGCTATAAAGCACTTTATGGAAGCTCAAAGACTAAAGGATAAAGAAAGAAACAAAGCAAGATATGATCAATTGAAATCTAAAATCAACGGTAGATCACCTTCACCTCAAAAACCATCCGTTCAATCAAACCCACCATTGCAGCCAAGTTCAAGAGTTCATACACCTGTTCAAAGACCATCACCTACTCCTGAACTCAAACATGAAAGCATACCAACACCCAAACTGTCGACACCTCAACAATCAATACCTCAAGCAAAAGAGGCTGACTTGTTGGGATTGAATGAAGGGTTATCTAGAGCACAAAAATTCAAGGCTCAAGCTTCTGACGACATTACTTATGTTTCTTCCAGAAGAAGAAAGCCAGCTTCATCACCTTCACCATCAATGGCTTCCACACAAAAGGTGCCCAGAAAGACAACGAAACAGCCACTTGATCAGTTCAGTCAATCTGATTATGAAACTGGTAAGGAAAAGGCAACAAAATCATTTTCTAATGGTGATTATGATGACGCTTTCTTAAATTACACAAAATGTTTGAACGTATTACCTTCAACTCATGAATTGAGAATAGTGATTTTGTCCAACTTATCCATTACATTGATTAAATTGGGTAACTATAAAACTGCCAGAGATCACTGTGATGAAGGGTTATCGTTGATATCAAAAGAAGAATTATCGGACACTTCATACTTAATCAATGAAAGACCTATCAAATCATGGTACACCAAATTACTTGCAAGAAAAGCTGAAGCATTGGAAATGATGGAATCTTTCATAGATTCACTTGAATGTTACATGGAATTGATCAGACTTGGAGTTAATGACAAGAAAGTGATGGACGCTAAAAGAAGAGTTAATAACATTGTAAACCCCCCACCAAAGAAGGCTAAGCCTGTACCTGTAAGCAAATCAACTTCTGTTAGTTCATCCAATGAAACAGTAAATCGTGTGAAAGAACAAAATAGAAAACAACAGGAAAGAGAATCACAGAAATCTCAATTATATGATGAAGTACACTCAAAAGTTTTTGCATGGAGTAATGGTAAAGAAGACAATTTAAGAACTTTACTCATAGGATTACCCGACATTTTACCACAGTCATTGGGATTCCCATTCTTAACCACGAAAAAAATCTCTTTAAATGATTTGATGTTACCTAAAAAGGTGAAAATCAATTATATGAAAGTCATTAGTTCAATTCACCCAGACAAATTGAACAATTTGAATTTGAAAGTGGAGGAAGAGATGTTATGTCAATCTGTCTTCATAACTTTGAACAAATCTTGGGATATTTTCAAAGAACAGAACGGAATTAATTAATAAACATATATTTATCTAATGCCTTCTTCTTGGTTTTGATTGAGATGATTCCGATGAAGTGGTTATTGGTTTATCGCTATCATCCAATTCAACGATTTTTGGAACCTCTTTATCCTCTTTTTTAAGTTCAGCTTGTGCTGTGCTGATAGCTTGCTTGGTTTCTTTGGCCCAGTCCGTTATTAAAAACGATACGATACTCACCGTACCAAAGAAGAGTGTGAATATGAACACGAACACCCCTGAATATACCACTAATCTCAAAGGATCGTTCATGACCGTAGCGAGGGGATCAGTATTGAAATCATACCACCAATCTTTCATGTTCAACAATTCTCTCTTAAAGACTAAGAAGAAAAATAAGTATACTTGTTGGAAGGTTGAAGTGTTATCATCATTCAAAATCTCCTCAAACGATTTGGGTGGTGGACTGGGTCCTTTGATAGCTTTAGGTTTGTTTTGTTGATAGTTTTCTGACTCAAGATCGAATTTGAGTTTGAAAGTTTCATTCCCGATAGTCTCAGCTTCTTGGATAGAGTGTCCCAAATAGATATTATCGAATAGCACATCATTTTCAATTGTCCATAAATCAAAACCTAAGCCACCAATAGGTTCGAAATTGGTAGGATTATTATCCTCATAATAATGGGGGTTGATGATTTGTTTGGGTGTCCATTCACCTATGAAATGGGGATTTTTTACCACAGGTTGAATCCATGGACCCTTATAATTCTTATTAGGAATCAAAGGTTGATTGAATTTACCACATCCTGGTAAACATTTTGGATTAGGTATAATTGGAGGTTGCCATTTACCATCTTCATCTTCATCCCATAATGCAGGTTGTTCAGCAAACGGATCAACGATAAATTGTGGTTCATCATCTAACCAACCTTCTGGTTTAGATACAGTTGGATCTGGCATAAATGCGTTCAAATATAATTCATCGTAATCTTCTGGCTTGGTGACCGACTCATCTGGAATGAACTCCAATTCTTCCCAATCGAGGGGTTTCGACTCTGAATTATCAATGATCACTTTGGGTGGAGTTAAAGGAGGATTTAAGACCCCTTCGTCGAGAAGGTTTCCATATTTGGCTACACCACCATTGACTCTGATTTCAAAATCATGATTCTTCTTCAAAATTAATGTATATAATGTTGATAATGGACCCGATCTTGTTAAAGAAGTATCCACCACATGCTTCTCTTCATATTCTCCCGTGATGGGATTCAATCTATTCAATATCAACTTCACTTGATCGTTCTCTCCACACTTGTCAGGACCAAACATAAGTTGGAAAGGTGTGCTGGTACTGAAGTTCTCAGGTTCAAAGTCCTTATTCAAAAGTTTAATATAACCACCTCCACATGTTAACCCATTTTGATGTTTAACTTCATATTGTAACACTAAATCATTGTTGGTGTTCTCAAACACCGTTTCGAACTTTCGTGATATAGCATGATGTGAAGCTCCTGATTTCATTACCAAACCATTATCATTTTCGATCCCTGGATATTTCAATGGTGGTTCTATAGACCATTTACCTACGTAGGATTCATCATTATTTTTCTTACTTTTAGAGGCAATCCAATCAGATTCTTCTAAAGTTTTATAACTGAATTGTTCAAAGAACGAATATCTCGACAATACAGATTTATCGAAGGATTGGAAGTCCAATCCTTGAATCAATGGTAGAAGAGCCAAAAGTACCAGTATCTTCATAATGAAAAATCGTGCGAATATGTGAAACTTCCAAATCAATCGAGCGGCACCAAGGGCAAAACATAATGAAATGCACCTTTAAGATCTCAATAATGAGCCAAAAACTGATACCAGGATAAAAATATTAGGATTGAACGGTTAGAACCATCAGATACGTATCGAGGTAGTCATTTGAGATTTTTGATGTGTTATATACTATAGGTGATTGATAGAAGCACAAAAGAAGATTGATCTCTTCATTCTACCCACGAAGGGAGAAAGACTAAACTTCACAAATAATTTAATTATGTGAACTTCAACTCCTCAAGGTGAACGGTTCGATCTCATAAGATAAATGATCGGAACTCGTAAGATGAACGAGTGGATTTCATTGTTACCTAAGAGAACACTATCGATAAAAACCAATACAACCACAAGCCTCAATCTTATCCATGTTACATTTGAAACATTCCAGAAATATGATACTTCCTTGGAAATCTTCATAACACCCAAAGAAGTAATTAACAATCGACTTGCCTAAGTTATTGCGCAAAATGTAACATTCTTATCATACCTCCTATCTAAAATTGGAAGTAACCACTAACTTGGTATTCACCACATTAAACCTCTATCTCCTCTTATCAGCTAAAACATATGTTCCCGTGTAACATCCGAGTAGTTCGGACATTGATAAGCAAGGGAGTTTTGTTGTTTTAGTGATAATTCCGGTGCATATGTTGGTAAATCAGGTACAAAGTGAGGGTCAGTTTAAGGTTACATTAGAATTTGTGCAACCTCAAAATAGCTTTTATTCTAAGGAGGTGGAGATAACATTGTTCATCAGCGATTTCAAGCAATATAAAATACAACAAAGATCTGGGATGAAACTTTAATGAAGCTTTTAAGTTTATTCTACATAAGTAAGTTAGCTTGTGGTATTTTGGTTAACCCATTACCCAAACCAGTATCAATCGAATGGAACGATGAAGGGCAGAAGAAATTCAACACTAATATTGAATTAGTTATGGATAAAGATGATGATATAGTGTTTGAACAATTCTATAAGATGATTGATACCATCAAACTGTTGGAATGGTTCCCTGCAGCAACCGAGAGCCCAAAAGCTGAATATCCACCAGTACCTACCGGACCTCCTAGTAATTTGACAAAAAGACAATCCGTGGAGAGTATTGATAATGAATTGGATCAACTTAGAATCAAGATCAATGATATGGATGCAGATTTACAATTCGGAGTCAATGAAAGTTATCATTTAGTGGTATCAGATAATATTTTGATTGAGTCTGAAACCATTTGGGGCTCTTTACATGCCTTAAAGACTTTGCAACAACTAGTGATTTATGAAGATGGTGATTTCAAGATTGAACTGGGGGTGGAAATTTACGATGAGCCCATTTTATCCCATAGAGGAGTTTTGATTGATTCAGGTAGAAATTTTTTATCTCTTGAAGTTATCAAAGAGAATATAGATTTAATGTCATTAGCAAAATTGAATACTTTACATTGGCATTTAGAAGATACTGCTAGTTGGCCCTTAGAAATCAAAGCTTACCCTGAAATGATCTTGGATTCTTATTCTGCCAAAGAATCTTATAGTCAAAGTGATATCAAAGAAGTCATCAATTACGCTAGGAGAAGAGGTGTAAGAATTTTACCTGAAATCGATTTACCTGGACATGCAAATGCCGGATGGAAACAAATCAATGAAAGTTTGGTGACTTGTGGAAGTGGATGGTGGTCAGCAATAGCTGCCGAACCTCCACCAGGTCAATTAGATATTTCTCAAGATGAAACATATGAAATGATTGAAAAGGTTTTTGATGAATTGAATGAGCTATTCCCTGATACATATTTCCATGTTGGTCATGATGAATTAAACCCAAGTTGTTATAATTTCTCAAGTTCAATTTATGAATGGTATGAAGAGAACAATGGAACCTTTTATGATTTAGTTCAATATTGGGTGGACAGGTCCATTCCAATTTTCACCAAGAATGATTCAACAAGATTGGTCATGTGGCAAGATATTGTTACCTCTGAAAATGCAACCATTCCAAAAGATAAGATCTTGATTCAAAACTGGTTAGGTTCAGAAAGCATCAAAGAAATGGCCAGTCAAGGTTATGATTTGATTGTGTCCAGTTCTGATCATTATTATTTGGACTGTGGGTTTGGAGGCTGGGTCACCAATAATACCAAATCTGCTGGATCATGGTGTGATCCTTATAAGAATTGGCAAAATATCTACAGTTTTGACTTTTACGCTAACTTGACTGATTCTGAAAAGGATCATATCGTAGGAGCAGAAGTTGCTTTATGGAGTGAAATGGTGGATTCGACCAACTTAATTACCAAGATTTGGTCTCGTAGTGCTGCATTTGCTGAAGCCAGTTGGAGTGGTAATAAAGAAAATGATGAGATTAGAGTTTATGATTTAACCCAACGAATTTTCAATTACAGAGAATATTTGGTTGCCTTAGGTTATGACGTCGACCCATTGGCTCCTCAATATTGTTGGAAAAACCCCCATTCTTGTGATATCTCTCTTGAATAGAAATACATAAAAAGTTGCGAAACTTTCTGATCTCATCTATGTGTGGAATACTATCTTTAATATCACCCACATTTATCGCTCATCCCACAAGTCTAGGGAATTGTGCAAATGAATGGGAATGTTCAGACTCGTCTGTTATACGATCAATATATTACCAAGACTTAGAACTATCAGTATCTGACAAAAGGAAATTGGCAAACCAAGATAAACTTAAAGATTTAAACAATGAATTGATCAAATTGGGTAACAACATCAAAGTCGATAAACTGAAGGAAATAGAACAAGTAAAAAGTCAAATTGAAGAGATTGTGGGTAAAGAAACCGAAGAAATCCCCGAGGATCTTGGAAATTCAATAGATCAATTCAACCATCTCATCCCACAAATAACTAGCAGAGGACCAGATTATATTAAATATCAACAGTTTACCCACTCACAACTCAGTTTCCAATTGTTTTCATCAATATTATCCTTGAGACAACCATTTACATCTCAACCAATCGCTAAAGATCAATATGTTCTTCAATTCAATGGTGAGATTTATGAATCTGATTGCGAGTTCACTAATGATACAGAATTTTTGATTAATCAAATTGTTGACCATGGAATTAAAGCTTTGGAAAACATGAATGGAGAATTCGCTTTCGTTTTGCTCGACAAGGAAGAAAATATGGTTTATTTTGGTAGAGACAAAATAGGGAAAAGATCCTTATGTTATAATTTTGATACAGATTTGATAATATCTTCAGTACCGTTACCAGGATACGTTGAATGTGAGGGTCATAGTCTATATAAATTTGACTTAGATCTGTTGAGTATCGAAAAGATTGCCTACAACACTGGAATGAAGTCTTTGGAAATGGGGGACATCGAAGTTGACTCCAAGATAGTCGAAATATATCAAAGATTGAAACAATCAACATTCATCAGACAAGAAACAATATTTCCATTGAATTCCAAGGAAGCCAATTTGGCTGTTCTATTCAGTGGTGGTATAGATTGTACTATTATAGCAGCATTATTGATGGAGAATTTTATTGAAATGAAACAATTGTATAACATAGATTTACTAACAGTTGGGTTTGATAATCCCAGAACTGGTTTGGACGCAGGAAACAGTCCTGATAGAGAATTGAGTTTGAAGTCATGGTTTCATTTGAGTAAGAAATTCCCTCAATTGGATGTTAGACTCATTGAAATAAATATCGATTATGAAAGTTGGCTTTTACATAAGAAGAAGGTAGCAAAATTAATGTACCCTCAACAAACTGAAATGGACTTAAGTATAGCCATAGCGTTTTACTTTGCAAGCAATAAAGAAATTCCTTGCACAAAGATGGAACTTATTGACCATGAAGTAGAATGGGATATATTCCTCAAAGATAGAGCACAGTTCACCAAACAGACCGAATACTTACTGACAGCTAATGTTTTGTTCTCTGGTTTGGGGGCAGATGAATTATTTGCAGGTTATTCTCGTCACGAGTCAATCTTTTCATCACTTCAACCAGGCGTGGACCCTTCTAGCCAATTCAAGGAATTGAGCGATCTGTTAATTTATGACATTGAAATCATCCACAAAAGAAATCTCGGACGTGATGATAGAGTCATCAGTTCATGGGGTAAAGAATTGAGATATCCTTATCTTGATGCCAGTTTTATCGAATATGTTGTAAATGAAATAAACCCAAATTATAAGATAAAACTTGAGTTTTTCACCACCAAAAAGGGAAAGACTATAGCCAAACCCATCAGGAAGTGGATCTTGAGAGAGGTTGCAAAACACATGGGTTTAGAATTTGTCCAGCATGAACCCAAAAGAGCCATTCAATTCGGTTCCAAGAGTGCCAAACTTGAAATTGGCCAGTCAAAAGCTAAAGGTACCGATGCATTATGATACCGATATGATACCGAAATGATACAAAAATGGCTGCAAAAATTGCTCTGAGAAATACAGCTTTTGTATTTAGAGAGAAAATATAATAACAGCGGCATAGGCTGACACAAACTAATACTTCAACGAATTCTAATTGAATATATATAATTTAATAAATAAATAAATAATGACTATAAGTCCTTGACCCATCTTGGTTCGATGACCAAACATTCACAATCTGTTAACAAGTCGTCAGTTTCCATGTTGTAGACAGATCCTTTAATCCAGCATTTTCTTCCAAGTTTCTTTATTACTTCACATTTGATCATGACTTTACTATTAACGAAGCAAGGTTTTCTATAATTGATATTCAAATTGGCTGTAACACCTTTCTTGGAGTGGAAATTTTGAAATGCCAATCTACAAGTTAACTCATCTAACAATGTAGCCAACAATCCACCATGGACAATACCTTCATGTCCTGATAAGTTTGAGCCGAGATGGAAAAATGTAACAGAATAATTGTTATCTTCTTCTTTCAATGACTCTATATCTTCATAATCAGTCAAAAACCGATCGTCAATGAAGAAAAGACCATGGCTCCTGAAATTTATCTTATCATCACCAGATAACGTATAACCAGTAAGGTTGGGTTTTAGATTTTCTTGGATCAAAGTGGACAAATTGAAATTTTTATGAGCAGACAAATGACTTTGGTACACTTTAGACAGAGTTATCATTTCTGCATAGGTATCATTATCAAGACTGGTTCTTGAGTTTACAACAGTTGTTTCATCCATGATAATTTCTGATCAGGTGCGAAACTATAGTTTTGTGGGGTATAGAGTTAAGATCCGTGGGTATCAGGGATCTTCTTATATGGATGACGATTAACGAATTTGTTGATCAAAGATTGGGGGCAGACGGAGAGTGTGGGTTCTTCGGGAGGATTATCATTTACATTAACAATATACATTCATATTTTTTGTGGGCATAAGGATTAAAGGAAATCAAAGTATTTCTTGAAATAAGACTTACCGTCTTCTTCGACATTTCCATGACATGGAATGATAGAAGTGAAATCCCAATTATAGATAATTTTCAAAGATTCTTTAACTTCAGGTAAGTTGGTTTTGGTAATCTTGTTGACCAAATTCTTGAATCTTTTTGAGTCAGGATGGGAGAATCGGGTGAGATAAGATAAACCTCCATGGGGATTGAAATCTTTCTTATAACCCAATTCTTCACTATACTGCTCTAATTTGTTATTGGAAGGACCCAACATTAAAAGTAAATCAGCTTGACATAAGAACTTGGAATTCTTATCAAACATCAATAATTCTCTATTTTGATGTTGTGGTATATAAACAAATTCAAAATTATTCAACACTGCTGGACTTTCAACACCCATTGATGCCAAAACAGATTTATCGATTAATTTATTAGCCAACTTGTCATCAATAACATAATCGACTTTAGTTTTCAAACCATCCATTCCGATGACTTTAATCTTAGGGAATGGTTTTCTGAAACTATCAACAGCCATTGTATGCACAGAATCAGGAATTATGATATGTGTGACATTGAAATTATCTTCAGTACCATTGAGTTGTTTTAAAGCTCTAACCACTTCATCTCCATAAGGGATGGCTGACCAAACAATAATTTCATTATCATATTTAAAGAGGGTCATTCTAGCCCCGAAGTTGAGAATAGACATTCTTGTAAACGGAGTTGAAGCGATTACCACATTTTCTGTTAAATTTCTAATGACAGCTTTCAATGGATTAGGATACATTGTTTAAGTGATTAAAAGATATATTTGATAATTTATATTCCTCACATCGCGCAACTATGTCATTGCACATAATGGTCAAATTCGTACCGATGGGCTACAAAGTCTAGAATTGGTGAGATATTTTTGATGATTAGATATAAATAGGAAGAAGCTAAACGTATTGCATTACTAATTGAATAGTGGAACCATCATTCTTCAAAGAATATTTGATCATCAACTCGGTGATAAATTTCTAGCCGACCAAAATTTAGCCGTACTCCTCGGAGGTTGACTTCAACCATTAGTCAACCGAAAAGTGTCTAGATCACCTAGAGGAAAGAGTAGAATTTCTTCAAAGCCTCTTTACCTTCAACAACATTACCATGGCATGGAACAATTTTGCTAATATCCATTCCATAGATAAGTTTCAAAGCATCTTGCCCTTCTGGCTTGTCAGTACCATTAAGTAAATTAACTCTGTTTTTAAAGAAGTTATATTCCGGTTGAAGAAATCTTGAAAGGAATGAGTTTCCCCAATAACCCCAATGAGGGTCAAATCCATCTTTGTCGACTTCATCTTTGAATTGTTCTAGGTCCTTTCTTGGTGACATATCAATAGTAACATCAGCAGTGAATAAGATCTTGGACTTTTTATCATATAAAACTAAATCTTTGTTTTTGTGACTGACCATAGAAACAAATTCAAAGTTTTTAGATATAACGTCACTCAATCCGATTTCTTTCAAGTCAGTTTCTTTTAAGATTTTGTTACCATAAGTTTTAGGAATTGATTGATCAATAGTAACTCCTTCGATGTTATATTCACCTCCAACAATAATCAAATTTGGATATTTTTCTTTAAATGATTTGATACCTACATTGTGACGCAAGTTTGGAACAATTAAGTGAGTAACTTCACCTTGAAGCATATCCAAACATTCTTGCACATCTTCACAAAAGGGGAAAGCAGACCAAACAATAATTTGATTATCATATTCAAAAAGTGACATACGGGCACCCACGTTTAATCTACCGAGAACTGGAATGGCACATGGTGCTGATGCAATGACAATATTGTCAGCTAACTTACGTTTGATAGAGTGAAGTGGTGTTCTATACATTTGAAGGTGTAATGAGACTGATGAATTTCGGTGCGTAAAAGAGTGGGGGCTTTTTACGGTTAGAAATTTTCGCATATAAATTTACGGCTCTAAATAGCTTAAATAGCTTTGATAAGAACTAAGGTATCACCTGAGGAAACGACATCTCCTTCTTCAACAATGACATCTAAGATTTCATATTTGACATCAGTAACTGTTGGCTTTTCTTTAGTCTGTTCTTCTTCTTCATCACTGTCTTCATCTTCATTAACAGCTCTAACAGGTATTTCCATTTTCATGGCTTCCAAAATGATAATGACATCTTCTGCATCGATGGTATCACCTTTCTTGGCATTAATTTTGAAGATGTTAGCAGCCATTGATGATAAAACCTTGATGGTCGAGGGATCGTTCAAGATATTATCATCAGTAGATTTGGATTGTTTGGCGATTTCTAATTCTTTTAACCATTTGTTTCTGGAATTTTCCTCTTGTTCCATTAAATTGTCAATTGCAAGTTGTTTCTTGTTATTTATTTCAGTCAATTCTTCATCAATACTGTCTAAGAATTCAATGTACTCTTTGAAGTCAAATTCGATATTTTCGATTTCGATTTCTAATTTACCTGCAAGTAATTGATTGTTCAAATCAGTTAAGGTCTTTTCATCAACTTCATAATATTCAACTTGATCAAAAGGTTCGAAAAACCAAGGTTTGGAGTTATCATGATCGGTGACATTCAATCTACTGAAAGTGTTCCAAGTCAAATCAGGTAAAACCATTCCCCAAATCATATAACCCCCAGGTGAATCAATTGAATAAATAGAATGAGCTACAGCTCCACTACCAAAAGCACCTTTTGGAGTGAATGTTCTAGCAGGATTGTATTTACCTGTTTTGAATCTCGTTCTTGGATCTAAATTGACGGATAAGGTATTTGCACATAAGAATGACACGGCTGTAACACATTGTCTTTGGCCAATAACATTTTTCTTGAATTCCTCCATAGTTGGTATGTTATTGGCTTTCATGACAAATTCAGTATTGTTAGGTAAGTAAGGAGCATAAGGTCTTTGGGAATGCATGTAACGTTCCACACAATGTCTCAAAGCACTATGATCAAAACAAAGTGGTAACTTGTATAATTTACTTGAAATCTTAAGATCTTTAGTTGGTGGAATTGAAGATTCAAGTTCAACAATCTTGGAGATCAATTTACTTCTATCAATGTTTTCGTAGATAATACCCATTGCTCCAGTGGAAACCTCAGTTCTAACCAAGTATGGTTTCAAAGCCTCTTCAACTTTACTGTTAAGTAACCTTTGTCTACCATTGTTGACTAAGGTAAAATCTTCAATACCAAAATCAAGAACAATCATTTTCTCTCCAGCTTGTCTGATAGTGAATTCAGGCAATTCTTTTGATACTAGTCTTTGATGTAAAATTGTATTATCAGCAGGTTCGTATTCATCCAATTCATCTTTGAAAGTTGGCAATTCTTTACCATTCTTGATAGCATCTTCTAAATCTTTCAAGAATTTTTCTCTTAATTCACCTAACTTCAAAGCATCGTTGTAACTGATATGTTTGAATTGAATGCTACTACCAACTTTTGCTTGACCACTCTTCCACCATTCACTGGAAATTGGTACAGAAATACAAACAAATCCTGATAATGTACTACCATCAACACCGAATAAAGACATAACATTTCCAACAACACTAATACCACAAGTTGGGTAGGAATATTCTAAAATATTACTTGGATGTGCTCCACCATCTTTACCATTAGCACGAGAAAACACATCAGATTGACCATCTAATCTAGTACAACCACGATTAGAATTCAAATTCACAGTGTAAACGGTTTCATAGAATTTCTTGATCTTTTCAGGAGAACAGATATCAGAAGTATCATGAGGACCTCCAGTACATTTGATAGTCCAAATATCATCGTCACCCAACTTTTCAATATCAGGAGTACACTTTTCAGGCAATTGGAATCCGTAATTGACTTTTTCAAAATTTGGTTGGGAAATAATTGATAAACAGTCACCACCCATGATTGTTCTTCCTTGATGTCCACCCAAATTCAACGTAGGAGTACACGATTTAGAACCTAAATATTCAGCTACACCAGGTAACCCACCCTCAATACATAAATAACATTTAGAACCATGTCCAATAGCATCACCAATTTTCACAACTGACCCTTTAGGAACATCGATAGCAGTAAACATTGGTGCAGCAACTCCATTGACTTTAAACTTGAATTTACCTCCTGTCAAGGCAATTCTGGCCAGGGAATGAAATTTGATGTTTGGACCTTTAAGGGATATCTCCAAACCAGCGACCGATTTGTCATTACCAACTATTAAGTTTCCTAATTGGAAATACAATGGATCAGCTGGACCACTCAAAGGAACACCTGCGCTGTAACTGGCTCTTCCAGGTAAATCTTGGATAGTAGTGTATGATCCTGGAGTTAAAAATTCCATCAATTTAGGTTGGAAGTCGAAAGTTGAATTCAAGAATGATGTTAGTGTATTACCGGATTGGTAATCTTTGGATTTTAAGATTTCATTAAGATAATCTATGTTAATGGTAGGACCACAAATTTCGGTGGTAGATAAAACCTTAATCATTCCTTCAGTAGCAGCTTGTCTGTCTTTACCCCAAACCATAATCTTGGCCAATAAGGGATCGAAATATGGTGATACTTTTGAACCAGTAGTTACCCAATGATCAATACGTAATTTACATTCAGGTAAAGTTTCACCATATTTTACTAAATGCAAAATACCTGGTGATGGTTGAAAGTTCTTAACAGGGTTTTCAGCGTAAACTCTTACTTCGATAGCATGTCCTTTAGGAATAGCAACAGTATCAAATTCATAATCTCCTTCACCTTTCAACACATCTAAAGGTATACCTTTTTCACCTCTAGCTTCATATTCTGCTTGCATCAACATTAACTTCATAAGATCGACATTATAGATTAATTCAGTAATACCATGTTCAACTTGTAATCTTGTATTCATTTCTAAGAAGTAAAATTCTCCTGTGACATCGTCAACCAAAAACTCAACTGTACCAGCAGATTTATAGTTAATTGATGAAGCCAAATCAATAGCACATTTACTCAATTTGACTCTCAAATCTTTATGATTATAAGCAGGCAACAGAATAAATGGAGAAGGAGCTTCTTCAATAACTTTTTGATGTCTTCTTTGAATTGAACATTCTCTTTCACCAAAAGCTATCACATCACCTTTACCATTACCGAAAATTTGAACTTCAATGTGTCTACCAGCCTCGATATATTTCTCCAAGAATGCACCAGAATTGGAAAATAATGTTTTACCACGAGAAATAACTTCTGATAAAGATGAAACCAATTCACTTTCGTTCCATGCTACTTTTAAACCCATACCACCACCACCAGCAGTGGATTTGATCATAATAGGGTAACCAATGGCATCAGCCGCTTTAATTGCGTCTTCAGTATTATCAATTAAATCAGTACCTGGGACAATTGGAACATTATTCTGACTTGCTAAAGTTCTAGCACTGTGTTTCAAACCAAAAGTTTCAACTGATTCAACTGAAGGACCAGCAAATAAAATTCCTTTGGCTTCTAAACTTTCGACAAATTTACTATTCTCAGATAAGAATCCATAACCTGGAACCACGACATCTGCATGAGATTCAACAGCGATTTTGACAATTTCTTCGATGTTGATATATGCATTGGCCCCAATTCCTGGTAACAAATAAGATTCGTCAGCTAAGTATACATGCATGGCATCAGAATCTTCAACAGAAAAGATTGAAATAGTTTTCAATCCATTTTCTTTACAACATTTGATTACTCTACAAGCAATTTCACCTCTATTTGCAACTAAAACTTTCTTGATTTTTTCAAACATTTTTCCTAATTGCTTGGATTGATTGAAAAAAAATTAATTGGGGGATATGGGTATTTTTGAAGATGTTGGGATCGATCTAAAAATCTGATCTAAAAAGGGGAATTGGATAAGTTATCCCGCTAGGAGTTTGACAATAGAAATTAATTCCGCAAGAAAATATACTGATAAGAAAACCAAAAATAAAATCTCAGATTTTCCCCGGACACCTTGAATAATTAACAAATCAGCGATATGGTTGAATATAAACTGGAAAAAGCATTGTCCCCAGAGTACTTAGCAGGAGATGCTAATGATAATAAAGATATTTTAAAAAGATATGAAATCAATTGTGATATGGGAGAAGCTTTTGGCCCTTGGAGAATGGGACCAGATGAAGATTTAATGCCATTGATTGATTCTGCTAATGTTGCTTGTGGTGGGCATGCTGGAGATCCTGGTACCATGGAAAAGACTGTCAAGTTGGCTAAGAAATATGGCGTTAAAGTCGGCGCCCATCCTGGATTACCTGATAAATTGGGTTTTGGTAGAAGAATTTGGTTAATTGCACCTGAAGATATTTATACCATGGTTTTATACCAAGTTGGTGCATTGAAAGCATTTTTAGATGCTGAAGGTATGGAATTGTCTTATATCAAACCTCATGGTGAATTGTACTTCTATATCGAAAGAGATGATGAAATAAAGAAGGCGGTTATGAAGGCTGCAAAAGTTTTTGGAGTTCCATTGGTTGCCGCTAAAAGTGCTCCATATTTGGAGATTATCAAAAGTGAAAATCAGCAATTGATCCAAGAAATTTATCCTGATTTGAATTATAATCCAAAGGGGGATTTGTGTAGAATTAAGGCTGGACCTAAAACTGTTAGAACTCCAGAAATGATTTATGATTGTATTATGAAAGCTGGTATGGCTGATCAATTAGTTGATATTGAAGGCAATACTTTAAATATCAATTACAATGGTAGTCCAATTACATTCTGTTTACATAGTGATATGCCAACAGCCTTAGAAAATGCCAAATTAGCAAGAAAAGCTGTTGATAACTTAAATGATCATTATGGCTTTACCAAGAAATGAATAAGTTGAGTGGCTATCTGATAACCTCTTTTATCTCTGTGTTTACCCTACCCCTCTTATCTATTCTAGATCTTGAATTATTTGGTGAAACGAGGTTAGCGGATGATCCGCTTAGGTACCAATCGAGAAACGTTATCAAAAGGTTATGTACCCGCATTAATTGTTATCGGAATGAAATTCCACTAATAAGGTCTTGTGAATGTGATAAACAACAGTTGCTTCAAGATAGCACAGCGACACGCAGTTAGCGCATTACTGCTATAGGTAATTATTACGTAAAATTGAGAGATTAGTTAAAACTTCACATATTTTTAGAAATTTTATGTCACAGCGCAATTTTGACCCCTAACGGCTGAAACTTTATTTTTGGTCAATAAAATTCTACAAACTCTTACGTGAAGTATACCCATACCAACTACATCATATATACACGTATTTAACAAAATAAAATTGTTTGTCATAAAATATGTAGGAAAACTGCTGTACCTTCCCCGTCGGACATTTTTGCAGCCATTACCCTTAGCCGATAAGATAACAATGTCGTGCGCTCATCCAAATTGGATAAGTGGGAAAATAAAAGTAATCTTATCAATTAATTTATCGTGGGAATCAAATGGCCATTGTTGTAAGATTCAAAATAAGTTAAATTATAAAACTTTGAAAAAATCACTCACATTGTAAAATCAACGTTTTTTTTTATTCGAAAATCCATTATGTCAGAGGTTACTGGTAGAGTTTTCAGCCAAAGTGTTGGATATGGTATAATCGTAGGAGTGGGATTTGCCTTTGCGGTATTAATGGTGGGAATCACAAAATTATTAACGAAATATTTTAACGAAAATCAAGATAGTGAAATGTTGTTGACAGCTAAAAGATCGATTAAGACAGGTCTTGTGGCATCTGCAGTGGTCAGTTCTTGGACGATTGGGCTGACTTTATTACTTTCTTGTACTGCAAGTTATAGTTGGGGATTGAGTGGGGCATGGTGGTATGGAGGAGGGGCATGTGTGCAGATCATTATCTTCTCAACCTTGGCTTTGGAAATGAAGAAGAAAGCTCCAAATTGTCATACTTACCAAGAAATTGTCAGCACTAGATATGGAGCCCCAACACATATTGTTGCTGTGATTTATTCTTTAATTCAAATGGTTTGTTATACCACCAATTTATTAATCAATGGTAGTTCCATCTTCGCAGCCATTACTGGGGTTAATAGAGATGCGGCAATTGTTTTATTCCCCATTGGGGTTATTATCTATACTTTATTAGGTGGTATTAAAGCTACATTCTTAACTGATTGGACCCACACAGTTATTATTTATTCATTATTATTGACATTCATGTTCAATTGTTATGCCACCAATAGTGATATTGGATCTCCCGATAAATTATACGATTTATTAGTGGAGGCTGCTAATATCAGACCAATTGCTGGAAATGAAGGAGGCTCTCTTGTTACCTTTGCTTCAGTCCAAGGTGGATTATTCGGGTTAGTTTTATTAGGTGCTGGTTTCGCCGCTGCTTGTGACCTGCAGTTGTTTCAAAAAGCTATTGCTGCTGATCACAAAACTTTAACCTGGGGTTATATTTTAGGGGGAATTGCTTGGTTTTCTTTACCTTTCTGTTTATCAACAACTTTAGGATTAGCTGCTGCTGGGTTAGAAAACCGGTCTGTTTTCCCAACATATCCTGATCCTATGACAGCCGAACAAGTCGGTGCAGGTTTAGTTATGCCATTTGCTGCTGAAGCTTTGATGGGTAAGAGTGGTGTGGCCATGGTGTTAATTATGGTGTTCATGGCTGTAACAGCTGCTTTCTCATCAGAAACCATCGCTATCAGTGCCATGGTAACCCATGATTTATATAAAAGATACGTCGATCCAAATGCCACTGGTAAAAAATTGGTTTGGGTTGCTGATATTACTGTAATCGCTTTTGGTGTTGTTTGTGTAGCTTTAGGTATTGGTTTAGCTCATGCTGGATTTGAAGTTTCTTTCATTACCACTGCTTCTGGTATCATTGTTAACGTAAATGTTTTAGCCATTATATTTACATTATTCTGGAAGAAATTTTCTGCTGCTGCTTATATCTTTGGTACTATCTTATCAACTTTAATTGCCTTTGCTGTTTGGTTTGGTTACACTGTTTCACAATCAGGTTATATCTCATTAGCTACATTATCTACCAATGAAGCTTTAGCAGCTGGTAACACAGTTGCCGTGGGGGTTCCTATTCTTTTAATGCCTATAATCACATGGCTCAAGCCTGCCAATTTCGATTGGGATGTTTGGTTGGAAATTAAACAAGATGATAATACCGATTTCGATAAAGCTCATGGTTTGACTAATGTTTTATCTAGAGATGAAGCTACCAAACTTGTTCTTGATGAAAGAATCAAGTATGATAAAGAATTAAGAAAACAATCTAAAATTGGTTTTGGTTTCACCGTATTGTTTGTGTTATTTTTCTTAATCCTTTTCCCTATACCATTATATGCAACTAATTATATTTTCACCAAAACATTCTTTAGAGGTTATATTGTAGTGATGTTCATTTGGGGTTTTATAGCTGCTGGTATTATCATTTTATTACCAATGTATGAAGGTAAAGATGCAATGATTAGATTGTTTAATCTTGCTATTCTTAAGAAAGGTGAAAAACCTGCTGGTGATATTTATTTCGTCAGATCATTGGATGCTGTTCTTAAAGAAGATCTGGCCGATCTGACTAATAAAGAGCCTCACAAAGTCACGGTAGAAAAAGCTTAGTAATGTAATATATATGTTAAAGTTATCAAGCACTCTATTTACAAAAAGTCTAAGTCGTTATTTTTAGGTGGTGGAGTTGATTTTGAAGATGGCATTAAAATTGAATTACTGAATCCTGGAGGTTGTTTGGGTACCAACGGACTCATGGTCAGGAAATTCATGGGAGATGGTTGTACTGGTTGATTGTTAGTTGATAGATTATTAGTAGGCTGGATATAATTTGATTGAATATTCGTTGGTTGAATGGGTTGTGAAAATGTTTGAACCGATTTGTTTATTGGTGGTGTGGGCGTTGCTGATTGGAAATCCAGAAATTCATCATTGAAGGTTCCTTCCAAATTTTTGAATAAATTTTTAGTTTCAGTGTTCTGATTAGTTCCAGTAGAGCCAAAAGTCAAAGGTGTAGGTTTAGTCTCTTTTGGTTTTAAAGACAAAGGTTTTATTTGTTTTTTAGGTTGTAAAATGTCATGGGAGTTGGATTTAATAGGAGCTGAGGTGGTGGGTCTGGTCGGTCTCAAAACTTCAGATGCTGGTGCCGTTTGTGTATGTTCCAAGTTACCACTGTTGATAGCTTGGGTACTGATCAAAGAATCAAAGTTGTTCGAAGGGGTTTCAATTCTCTTCTCAGGCTGTTTCGTTGGCAATGAAGGTAATTTCTGTTTAACTAAATTGCTTTGGATTTCATTAATAGTGGCCATATAGGATTTAAATTCTGATTGAACACAATCATTACATCCAAACACAAGTTTTAAACAAATAGGTAATATGAATTCCACAATGGTCTCTAAGTCTAGAGATATCTTATCGTCTTTGGATAATTTGCTGAAGAATTTCAATACATTACCAACAATTCTTTTATCTCTACTTTTCAAATTTTGAAAGATTGGTAATAATTGTTCTTTAACGATGGTTTTATCAATGATATCTTCATCTACCATATTTTCAAACACTTTAATGGTTGATAGTTTAGTTGATAAGATAGTGGTAGTTTTGAATACTTGAATAATCAAAGGAAAGAAGGTATTTTTGATATATGGGAAATCAAATTTTTTCACAAAAAGATCAGTTTTGTTTAAGAAAAGATCTTGTAATTTAGCTTGTTCTTGTTTGTAATGCTGTTCGTTAGATGGTAATGTGAGTATAAGGGAACACGATTTCTTGATCATATCTGCTACATCTTTATCATTGACTTTTTCCACCAAGATTTCAAGATTCTCTATATAAGCTAATCTTACCTTTACAGAGAAATTCATCATCTTATCAAAATAATCAACTCTTTGTTTCTTCCTTAAACTGGAATCAACTTTGAAAATGGAATTGAAGATCTTGTCCTGGAAAGTCAAATGAGAAACTTTGCTACCAATATTAAGGATGATAGTCAAAACGTTACTCACTAAATCAATTCTTGTAGCTTGTCCAACCTCATCTTTTGAGATTCCAACATTCAATTCAGATTTCAATAATTCTATCAATAAAGGTAATAATTTGATGTTTTTGAAATTGGATGGGAAATTATCGATAAACATTTTACCATCTTCTCTAACTTCCAATAAACCCGAAAGAAAGATAAGTTTTTCATCAATTGATTTGGTAGAAAACTCATCAACGAAGAACATGGCTTTGATGAGACTTCCATTGAAGAATTCGGAATCAATGATCTTGTCAATATTGATTCTATCATTAGGGTATCTTGCCATGATCAAGGGGAATAATTGGAATAATTGGTCAGGTACTTGTTTCAAAACATATTTCAAATCACCTAACTTATGATTATAAAACTTAGTTTCAAACTTTCTGAACTCACTCTTATAATCACTTATACTATTGGCATCAAAACAATTTATCAAATAATCACCATTATATAAATAATAGATTAAACAACCTAAAGACCAGATATCATTACCAAACTCTAATCTCAGATGATTGTCAACAATTAGTTCCGGTGGTGTAAAATTCAAATTCAAATTTGCAAATGGAACAATTGAACTATTGTTCATAATGTAGAAGTTATCTCTATCCTGATTAGACATTTCGTTCAAATTTTGTAAGAACTTAAAACCTGCAAGTTTCCAATCACCTTGTTGATTTATGAATATTGATGAAGGTTGTAAATTCAAATGAATGATAGAACAATAATTATGTAAGAATTGTATACCTTTACAAATTTCCAATAATCCTTTTTGTAAACTTAATTCATCTAACTTTTCAATATTAACGGTTAATAGATTATTAACTATTGGTTCAGTAACAAATAAAAATTTCAGTTTAGTCTCTTCCAAAACTTCATAAACAGTTAACAATTGAGGATGTTTCAACTTAGCTAACTGACTAACTTCATACTTAATCAATTCATAACATTCACTTATAATAACTCGAGGGTTCTTGGTATTAGAAATATTTGAACATAATTTTTGAATACTGGCTTCGAATTTAGATTTATCGAAGATGAAAACCGATGCTTGTTTCCCTGTAGCATAGTTCTTGGCCGGGTAAACATACCAAGGTTCGGAAACAAAGGTAGGATTATTCAGAACATCATAAGCTGCCCTGATACCAGATTTAAACACTGATTTAAACATACGTTCCGCGAATTTTTCAAAACTTCTTCATCATTAGTTTTTTCAAGAAGTAATGGAGTTGTTAGAAGAGAATTATGATCATTCAGTCGAGAGATTGGATAGACCTTCCTCATATTTAATCAAGAAGGCTGTTAGAAGACAAAATTTCGAAAACTTGGAGAAAAGTTTACATTCTAAAACAGTTTATGTTGGGAACTTAACTAATCTTATAACTGAAGAACAATTATATGAATTGTTTATTAAATGTGGTAAAATAGAGAAAATCATCATGGGTCTTGATAGAAATAAATTAATACCTTGTGGTTTTTGTTTTGTGATTTATAAAGAAGAACAAGGATCTTTAAATGCCATTAAATACTTGAAGGGAACTATATTAGATGGACAAAATTTAGAAATTGATTTGGATCCTGGTTTTGTTGAAGGAAGACAATTCGGAAGAGGTGTTTATGGTGGACAAGCAAGTCAAGAAGGTGGAAATGGATTCAAAGGAGGTTACAGAGGAAGAGGTGGATTCAGAGGTAGAGGTAATGGATTCAGAGGTAGAGGTAGAGGTAGAGGTGGTTACAACGGAGGTTTCAGAGGTAGAGGAGGATTTTCTAATGGTCCAAGAGACTTCGAATCATAGTTGTATAATTTATTGTATCATAGTATAAAAAAACAAAGCAAACTTTTAATCTAATCATCTCTTAAACATCTAATGAAATCTTCAGACAAATAAGTACCAGCTTCACAATAATTTTGATTATAACACTTATCAGAAAGTTCTCCATCATTATCACATTTAGGTTGTGTTGGGGTGAGTCTATATTGATAACCAGTATACTTTTGGTTGAAATCGATATCGCTAGTATTCAAAAGTCTTTGTAAGACGTAATCATTCCAGAAAGTTGCGTTTAATGGAGATGATTCTGGCCAAGTGCCTTCAGGGTCATAGGTTTCTCTTGGAGAATATTCAAATTTCCATACTGGCTCATTTGGTCCGTTGACATAAGTAGCATTCAATTCAGCATAATAATTATAAACATTCATAACATTGAAAGATCCATCTTCAACTTCGTAATATCTGAATGAAGGATTGTAATTTGTACGGGGAGTAATTGATTGGGATAACCAAGCCATATTAACAACGGATTTTTCCACTTCGTCAGCATTCGAGTTGATGGTGGAGTTTGAAGAGAAGTAAACTTTGAATTGATCTCTATGAGTATGACCAAAGAAGATATTAGCAATAGTATATGGACTGAATCTTTCAACAATTTTGGAAAAGATTTTAGATTGAATAGGTAAAGCATCATTATCGGAGGAAGGAATGTGAGCCATGATCCAAACTCTTTGACCCTTTTCTTCACTTTCAACTAATTCGTTGATTAAGAATTCCCATTGACCAAACGAATCAGGATCATTCTCTAAGTCAATGTAACTCCATAAATTCTTTTGGTAATAACAGTTAGAATTCAAAGAAATAACCTTCAATCCTCTATTAGTGGTGGTAGAGAAACCTGAATAATGAGTTCTGATTTCTTGTCTTTCTTCTTCTGGTAACCACCCGTCATTGATCCAAATTTCACTCATTAAATCACTGTTATATTGATAAGTTCCATTGGTATCATATTTTTGTTGAGCTACTTGACCGTAAGGGAAAGTATCATGGTTACCTAAACTAGAATAAACAGGAATTCCACCCAAATAATGTTTCATAATGTTGAAACCTAAAATTTCGGCTTCTTTGGTAATCTCTGGAGTACAATGAATTTTATCATGATCAACTAAATCTCCAGTGAATAAAGCAAATTCGAAATTCTTATCTTTCATTGAAGAAATTTGTTTAAAGGTATTATTGGTTAACACAACTGGTGCATCACATTTATATGAACCAAAAGTGGAAGCAGGTAAGGAAGCAGAATCCCACCCACGACCAGCTGGAAGATCATAATATTCACCAGAAACAAAGTCATCTTTTTCATCATAATGGGCATCTGGGTAGAAATTCAAGTCAATTGAACTCAAATTCTTATCGTTCTTGAAATATTGACTAGTGAAATTATAATCGGTCTTATTAGGTAAAGCCGCATTAAATGTTTCAACCATACAACAAGTCTTTTGATCACAATCAGCTTCCGAACCAACGACATATCTCAATTGATTATGGAAGTCAGACACATGTAAGACATTGAACAATTCACCTTTAGATTTATATTCCGGCTCACTACAATGCTTTAATTGTTTTTCCGGCCATTTGGAATCAAAATCATAGATCTCATCAATATCTGGAGTTTCTGGTAAATCACAAGCTTCACGAGACTTAAAGTAACAATAGTATTCAATATCTAATTCGTTCTCGAAGTTGAAGTTTCTTAACATATGCATGAAATCATTGTCGAACAAATTGACAGAAGTTTCATCACCAAAACCGGAATCATAGCTATCAATAGGTAACTCAATCAGTTTATCTTGAGTGGTCAAGAAAAAATCACTAGTATCACATTTAGTAGGATCATTTTTATTAGTAGCAAGACAATATTTGAATAAGGTCAAACTAATTAAATGTTGATTTTCAGGTTCGGTATCAACCAACTTTCTAGCGTATTTCATTTTATTCTTACAAGCGTCACACTTAGACCCATTGAAAGATGTTAATTCCTTTAAGTGCTTGTTTATGTAATCAATATCGGGGTAAGGAAGATTGTTGTATACTAAATCAACAAGATCATTTTCGTCTCTTTTACTCAATTGACTGACTATTGATTGTCTACCATTGATAGCATGCCCCAAAACACTGGTGGCGAATAGCAAGCTTGAAATCTTCATTAGTTTTATTGAGCGGAGATATTTATGCCGCTTTATATACTTGGCTGCAAAACCGGAATAGGAGTAAATTGTGAAAACCGTTGGGCCTTTAACGAATATTGCATTCCATTGTTTTACCACGTGCAAGTGATTAAGTTCGAGCGGGATTGCATTCCAACAATCAGAGCAAGACATCCTATTGGTACGTGGTGTTTGTTCGGAAGCGTGGTCGTGGGAATTCAAACTGATTATTGCTGAATTTTCAATATCCACTTTCTATGGAGACAGTTTAAAAATAATGTCTCGTAGTGTCGTGGAGATTAGAGACATTTGTGCAACACGATTTGTTAAAAGGTCAGAGGGAAAGTAGAAATACTGTAGTTCATGTATTCATCGAATCCGAATTGTCTAAGTTTATTACCCAGTTTGTCACCTTTTGATATAATTAACACATTCATTAGCTTCATTATACACCATGACATTTTTGACTCGGCTCAAATCGATATTGGACAATTTAACAAACTTAGTTAATTCCAAGTCAGGTACTTGAAGACGAAGTATTTTGATAGTAGATGGTAATATAAGCTTTTCAATATAGCTGAAAGGAATTTCCAAATTAATTTCCTCCAATTTGAAATCACTGAAATCAAAGGAGTAAGTATCATCGTTTAAAACTCTTGCAAGACCAAATCTTCTCAAACTCTTAGGGAGTTTTTTAACCAATGTTTGATCAACAACACATTTTTCTATCAGCAAGTATAACAATTTTTCATTGAATCTGATTTTTTCTAAATCATAAGCTAAAATTTCCAAAAATTTTAATGTATCTGGTAATTTCAAGAAATCGTCTTTACAAGTTCCACCACTTATAGTAAGACCTAATAGATTAGGTGAAAGCATCCAACCAGGATCGATAGCAATTTCATAAAATCTTATGAATTTAACACTTTCAGGGGTTTTACCCAATAAAAGACCACCACCACCAGGAGGACTTTGAATATTGAATGTTTTCAATCTAGTGTTGAGGTAAAATGTTCCTCTACAATCAATGGATGTGAACAGTTCAACATTAGCTGGAACATTAATAATAGGTTCCACAGTTGGTGCATCAAGTGGTAAAGGATCCCCAACAGCTCTTGTGGATATTATAAGTTTTTTCAATCTTAAAAGATCGCTCATTTTTGGAGCTCCTGTCATATCTTCTTTGGAGAAGTAGATTTCCAACGATTCCAATGAAGTGGGTAATATGAGACTGTTGATAAAACGACATTCATCAAACCTAGCAGTCTTCAAGGTTTTAGGGTACACCAAGTCAAGATTACTCTTATAAAGTAAGACTTCTTCCACCATGGGGGGTAACTTGAATTTTACCGGAAGATTGAACCATTCTAAATTCAAAGATTTCAATTTCTTGGGCAATTCGATCTTATCAATAGTGAAATATTTATTATTCAAGATGGTTAAATTTTCAATGTTATCAGGTAAACTCATTCTAACTTTCTTTAATAAGGATGGACATTCAATCACAATGGATAATTTAGTTAATTTAATCAAATGACTAAGTTTCAATTTAATGGAGGATTCTTTAATCACCAAGGAAAGCTCAATAAGATTAGTGGGAAGGTGTTTATAGTTGGATATTGGGTTCTCGAAAGTCAAAAGTAAAGGAACTTGGACTTGCTTGAACTTTTTAGGATCGAAATCTTCTGTGACTTTACAGAAGAACTTTTTGACTGAATGTTTTTTTATAAGACTAGCATCAAAATCAGACCCCGTAACCCTTAAGAAATCAATGGTTTTCACTTTATTTCTGAAATTATCAACTTTTTTCATGGAATCATAATGAAACTCATTCATTGCAAGACCCAATTCTTCGAATCTTCGATACTTGATCAACGTGTTGAAGTCTTCAGGGGTTTTCAAATAGTAACGATGGAAAAGTACTCCATCGGTCTCATAATAATTGATTTCTTTGGGGAGTTTCCTATAGGGTGGGGTATTATAATATTTGACAAATGCTTCGAAATTGGGGAATGTGGTAATTGGATTGATACTACCTGAATCTTCCAAAAAATGGAATCTGTCAGTAGTTACAAGGAACTCCTCAGTTGTACCAATCTTCACAAGATCTGGGACTTCAAAAGGCTTATAGTAAGGATTCACTATAGCTTTGTTGACTTCGGGTGGTAAATAACCCAAAATAATGGCTATCACTTCAAAAGGTAATTCGATCATAATAATTGAGTCAAGGGGAATAACTCTCGTATTTAAACATCCACTTTCAATTAGATTTTACCATGAATTGATGACGAAAATTTTAGTGATATCAGGATGGTGATTTCGACCTTTCTTAATTGGATGTCGCGATTGCAGGTACACTTCTCAAAATATTATTCTGTCACGATGAAGTGGTGGAAGGGCTTTGAAGGTCATTTTTATTATGTTAGAATGGGATATCTAAAATTGTGATCGGATTTGTTTTGAATCTGTCGGTGTTGTAACATCAGTGACCAGGGGTTCAGGGATCAGTAGCTTACAACTGCTAATTCCAATAGCGAATCTTGGAGGTGATTTTATAAGATCTGATATACATGGTATACCCCTTGCAAGAGAAGTACCTGAGGTATAAGCACCAACACTCAATGTGCCATTGGAATGATTACATGAATCCTCTCAATGTGATTTTCCTCTATTCATTTTATTTGATATTTAAAGTGACAATAAAAGTCTAATCATAAATTTCAAGGTCTCAGAAAATTAGTGATAAGGAATTGATTGGTGTTCAGCTATCGAATGCCCAACACGGAAAGTTCTTTACTGGTTGACAACATCCTTTCCTCTTTCGGATCTGACATCCAACCGCGATTAAAATAAAAATAAGAGAACCTTTAACGAGATCGACAGAACGCTTGGTTTGAGCTCTAGATGCAGATTGTACAATTTCAACTTGATCGATTGTAATTGAGCTAGTTTCAACGCTCTTGTGACAATAAATGGCGGCTTATAGTATTTAAAAAAGATAAGTGGAAGTAACCTCACAATCATGCGGCTCCATTTCAACAAAATGCAATTAAACTAAATGTGTGAATAGGGATCTTCCGATTTACCTGCTGATCCTTATCTTCTGAAAGGTTTCGAATACAGTACGAGATAGTGTTACAATTGAGATGATCAGTCATGACTTTATTGTGGCGTCAGACTTTCGAAATTCCTTGATTGAAGAATCCTAGAAAACTCCTCTCAATGGAACCAAAACTATTTGTCTAAGAGCCATAGACAGTTAATTCAGTATGTTAATTGTATATTTAATAGCTAAGAAGGAACATATCATACAATTCGTCAATATAGATTAAGCACTGACTGCAGAAAATAATGCAAGAACAAAAAGAAAGAAAGGAATGAAACTTATCTTCTTTACCTTGTTGGCTGAATTCTTTTGGGCGTCCATTCTTGGAGCTGGAATGAAAGGAGTACCATCAATGCATTGAAAGGTGGTTTCTGTGGATAAACCAGTGTAACCCGTAGTACCATTTGCATAAGTGCAAGTAAGCTCCCAAGGTGACGTGTCTTCTCTTTTCATCATATTAATGAACTTTGAGGTGGGAATTAAACTCTATTTATAGGCAACCGGGGATTTAGAAAATTTTCGAGAAGTAGATAAGTGATGGCCCGCTTAAAGTTACGGAGACCAAAGAAGGAAATTTTTGAGGTTTCCCACCAGCTAACTTTACTGTTGTGCGGCTCGGCTTTATTAGGCCAAAGCTTCCTTCAGTCATAAACGAGTAAAGTTTACCCGATCAGATATGTCCGGTGATGAGTAGTTTTAGATTTAATTTCACGATATAATAACATATTGTGTTGGGAGAATACTACCTCTTGATATGCCACAAGACATGATTGTGTGATATTGAAGAGATTTTGATTTTGGAATGGTTGGGAAAATGCTTTTGGATTTTCTCTGACTAATTCGGTATAAGAACCATGTCAGGTATCTTATTATCGTAGATATGTGATCTTTTACTGCGAATTCTGTCTTCAATATTTAACTACCGACCCACGAAGTCGATATCTATACAGAGAATGTAAACTGCTGACCTTGATTAATTCCACTCATATAGATGATTGACACACATAATACACCCTAGTAACCAATGTCCATTTTGTCACTTGATAATCGCTTCATCCAAGGTGACCTTTTCTCACAAACTAAGCCATCTGATAGTCTAATTACGAATCTGTGATGCGACATCCTGATCGCAAAGGTTTATTAATAGGAGATTTACGAGAAATCAAGCAGGGGAAATCGGTAGTGGTTTTACCGTTTGGCCATATGAAATTATTAGGCAAACACAAGTGGTAGACTTAACAAAATTGAGTTACAAGACTTTTATGACGAGTTTAATTGCACTCCTGCTTTCCGTTGGACTTTCTCTAATTCAATCGGACATATAAAGTCCTCGAAGTCGACTCCAATTGTACCGTATCCTGATACTGAAGAAGAAAAGGTGACATGCCAACATTATAAGCCGCATGCGGTAGATGCTATCAACATGACTCAAGTTATTTATGACACATTGTTCAGGAGTTATCATCTCTGGAATGAGTGACATTTAGAGGCTCGGTTGGTTGCGACCCCTGATATTTCTGAGATTTACGAAAAAATCGTGGGCGCCGCACGAAAAAGAAAAGGATTTATTGTCTATAAATAAATGTAAACGATTTATCAAGGATTTAACTATTGTCAACTTCTTCGATACATCTGAGATAGTCTTCAGATAAATCAAAATTAGCTTCACAATAGTTTTTCTTCTTACACTTGTCTTTCAATTTCCCTTTCTTGGAAGTACAATCAGGTTTGGTAGGAGTGTTTCTGTATTGATAATCGATATATTTCTGGTTGAAATCAATATCATCATCAGTCAACTTCTTCAATACAAATTCGTTCCAGAAAGTACCGTTTAATGGAGCATCTGATGGCCATTCACCATCCTCATCGTAGATTTCTCTTGCAGAGTAAAAATGATCCCAAACAGGTTCTTTACCCCCACTAACATAAGTTTCATCTAAGTCTGCATAATATGTGTATGAATTAATAACATTGAAGGTACTATTTTCAATTTCGTAATATTTATATGAAGGATTATAATTTTTACGAGGAGTGACTGAAGGAGCTAAATAGGCCATGTTGATGACTTCTCTTTCAACATCTTCAGCACTAGTGGAATTTGATGAAAAGAAAATTTTGAATTGATCCCTATGCGTGTGACCATAGAAAATGTTGGCAATGGTATAGGGACTGAATCTTTCTACGATCTTGGAAAATATTTGTGATTGAATAGGTAAAGCATCTTCATCTGATGATGAAATATGAGACATGATCCAAACTCTTTGATTATTCTTTTCACTTTCAACTAATTCATTTATCAAGAATTCCCAGTTACCAAAAGGATCCAAATCTGTGGCCATGTTGATATAAGCCCATAAATTTTTTTGATAATAAGCATTAGAATTCAAAACAATTATTTTCAATCCTTCTTTGGTAACGGTAGAGAAACCAGAATAGTGACTTTTGATTTCTTGTCTATCCTCTTCAGGTAACCAACCATCACCTACCCATAAATCACTCATTAATTTACTATTATAAGAATAAGCATTTATGGTATCATATTTTTCAGGAGCTAATTGACCGTAAGGGAAAGTATCGTGATTACCCATTGCAGAATAAACAGGAATTCCCCCTAAGAAATGTTTGATCATTCCAAATCCCAATTTTTCAGCGTCCATGGTAGTTTCTGGATTTGCATGGATTTTATCATGATCAACTAAATCTCCAGTAAATAAAGTGAATTTGAATTTTTTATCATCTAAGGTTTTTGCTATTTGTTTCAAAGTATTGTTAACTAAAACGATTGGTGAATCACAAAGGAAAGAACCAAAAGTAGAAGCGGGTTCAATAGCAAAGTTCCATCCTTTTGAACTAGTAAGGTCTTCAGAATCTCCTGAAACATAATTGTTGTTTTCATCATAATGAGCATCAGGATAAAAACTCAAGTTAATGGAAGAAACATCTAAATCAGGGACGTAGGTCAGATACTGGGTGGTGAAGTTATATTTTTCGTCATCATCAACCAGTTCGGTGAAACTTTCAGGTAAACAACAAAGTGATTGATCACATTGACCTTCAGCTCCAACAGTATATCTCAATTGGGTATGGAAATCGGAGATATGTAATACGTTGAAAAGGGAACGATCAGCATTGGAAAAATCCGGTGGGAAATGATGTTTTGATTCCTTTTCTGGCCATAAAGAATCAAAGTCCATAAGATCTTCAACTTTAGGAGCTTCAGGTAAGTCACATGCACCATCACCTTTGTAATAACAATAATACTCTAAATCCAAATCATTTGAAGTATTAAATTTCTTCAAAACTTGAATGAAATCATTATCGAACATGTCCAAGGCACCTCCTGATGGGAAAGCTGAATCAAACACTCCATAAGAGTTATCAGCATATTTTGATTGAGTTGTAATGAAAAAATCGGTCTTTTCACATGCAGTTGGATCATTATCATTTAACTCAAGACAATACTTGAATAATGTTAAACTGATCAAATGTTGAGCATCTTCATCGTCATCAATTAACCCTCTGGCATAAGACATTTTATTCTTACATGCATCACAATCAGAACCATCGAAATTTTTCAAGTTATCAACATGTTTGTTAATGTAATCTAAATCATTAGAAGACAATGAGTCGTAAATGCTATTGATTTCAGCCAATTCGTCTCTGGCAACAATTTTAGAAATTCTATGAACATTCGGAATACTATGACCAATAGCACTAGTAATGAACAAGAGGTTTTGCAACTTCATTTTCCAATTATATGACCTTTTTGATGAAGAATTACGATAGTTTAAATACTTTTACGGAACTAGAATCAGTTCCGTATAATCAAAGAGATAATTCCCAGTTATTTGTTGTTTTTCATTGTTACGTGCATTAAGAATACCAGATTTTGGTTCCAATATTCCTTATTGGTATACTTATGTACCTCGACTAAAATGCCGCCTAACCCACGTGTATCTATGAACAGGAGCTACGTTCCGCCTAACATAACCGATAATCGTGTTTCTACCCCTTGTAGTCTGACTGAAATTGACTGTACGTCATAGGAATCTGAGATTAGAAGATTAAGTGTTGATACATATTTTTCACAATTCCCCGGAAAAAGAAGGGAAAGCGGCAGATCATGAGTGTCATAAAATATGTAGATCTATGCCGTAAAAGGAATGTTCTGTGGGGCTACTACGGAGATGACCAAGAGATTTCTAAATATTGTCAATGATTGGATGTGGGCAAGTAAGTGGTTGGGATGAAATTAAAGTATCTGTTGATTATTGAAGATAGGGATAAACACCCATTAATCTTACAAACTTCAAGTATTTGTGGCATATATCCACAAGTCAATTTTTTACCACACCACATATTCAGAGACACCATTCAGAGGAACGATCAAAACCATTGTACATTAATCTATAACAGTGCCTGCACTATTTAATATCTCCCTTGGAAATACGATACAGGTACATAAATATCTTCTTCCTTCACACCTTTGAATTCCTCCAAGTTCCTAACATGCCATCCTATAGTATCCAAATCATATTTGAGGGCATCGATCTCATTATATTTGGAATCAATTATATATGGTTGTAAAAAGAATTTGGTAGCTAAGGGAGGAACAGCTAATCCTGATAATAATCCTAAAATAATTGGTCTTCTGATGATTGATGACATCTAATTATCAATAGGTTGGTAGTTAAATATTAATAAAAAACTTAAAATAGGGGAATCAATCTCCTTTTATATTTGAATTGTGGGGTCCCCGGATCACGAATGACCCGGCGCGATAAGAGTGGTTGCAAAAAAAAAAAAACTTTAAACTTTAAATTTATATTAGTGGGGGGAGATTTAAACAACTTGTTTACCACCATAGAGAGCTCTCCATTCATCGATTTTCTTTTCATCGATTCTCTTGAATAAGTATTGAGGTTTATCAATACAATGTCCTGGTAATAATAATAATTCGAATTTATCAGGGATTGATAAAGTTGGAGTATTCAAGATTTCATTAATTTGTTTGGTAATATCTGGCATGTAAGGGGAAATAATACTTGAAATCAAATAAACAAGATTCAATCCTACAGCAATAACAGCATCAGATTTATCAGGAGTGTTATCATATAAACTGTTATCCAACTTGTTATCTTGTAAGAATTGATTACCTCTAGCAGAAATAGCCATTGATAATTCTAACCCTTTTCTTAAACTTACACCTTCCATAGCTTCAACATATTGTTTCAATAAATCATTGATTTCAGTTTCAAATTTTTCATAGCCTTCAATATTTTTGACATCATATTTTGGTATTACCCCATTATATTTAGCCACCACGAATTTAACGATTCTATTAACATAATTACCTAAATTAGCTAATAATTCACTATTGTTCTTAGTAACGAAATCTTTCCAACTGAATTGAGAATCACCGGTTTCTGGTCTAATAGAAGCTAAATAGAATCTCCAAACTGATGGAGGAATACCGGTATCTTTGGCATTATTACCGAAAACACCTACCCCTCTACTTTTTGAGAATTTACCTCCTTCGTATTGTAAGTATTCAGTGGTATTTAAATGATGAAGCTTAGTCCAATTATCTCTGGTACCAATTTGAGATGATGGGAAAACAACAGTATGGAAAGGAACATTATCTTTACCCATAAATTGATATAATTGAACTTGTTCAGGATTTTTCCACCATTTGAGCCATTCTTCGGTTTTACCTAAATTCTTGAAATAGTTAGCAGTAATGGAAACATATCCAATAGTAGCATCAAACCAAACATATAAAACTTTTTCTTTGAATTTTTCTAATGGAACTGGAGTACCCCAAACTAAATCTCTGGTAATACATCTTGGTTCTAAACCTTGTTTTAACCAATTATCAGTGATGTTCTTAGAATTCTTAGACCAAACACCTTTAGTTGAAGCATCTTCAACCCAAACTTTCAATTCAGGTTCTAAGTCATTTAATTTAAGATAAATATGAGTTGAATCCCTTGGAACTGGAGTAGCGTTATCTAATTTACAATGAGGATTGATTAATTCAAAAGGATCTAACAAATTACCACATTTATCACATTGATCACCTCTGGCATCATCATATTGACATTTTGGACAAGTACCTTCAACATATCTATCAGCTAAAAATGATTTATGAGTTTCACAGTATAATTGTTTGGTGGTTTTTTCTTCTAAATAACCATTGTCGTATAATTTCATAAAGATATCTTGAGCAATTTCAGTTTGAAGTTCAGTAGTTGTTCTACCAAAATAATCAAATCCTAAACCAAACCATTTATAAATTTCCGCATGTAAAGCATTATATTTATCACATAATTCTCTTGGAGTGACTTTTTCTTCTAAAGCTTTAGTTTCAGTAGCAGTACCGTATTCATCAGTACCACAAATGAATAAAGAATTATAATTTCTGGCTTTAGTATAACGAGCATAAATATCAGCTGATAATACTGAACCAATGATATTACCTAAATGAGGAACATTGTTAACGTAAGGTAAAGCTGAAGTAATTAAGATGTTTCTTTCATTAGGATTGACAGTAATTTGATCCTTTTGTGATTTAACAGTATGACCAGTTGAAACATTTTGAACACCAGTATTGGTAGCCTTTTCTCTTTCAACTTTAGTAACAGATTTGGCTGAAGTGATAGCATCATTAACTTTATCAACTTTAGAGAATTCTTCTGCCCATTTACCAATTTCTGAACCTTCAATATCTTTTAAAAATGGATAAACTGAAGAAAAGAAAATGATTTGTGAAGCAGTTGATTCAACTTTAGTGAATGGTGATTTCTCTCCCTTTAAGAAAGTAATGATATCTTCCTTCTTATTAGCTTTCAAATTAGTATAGATCAAAGTTTCTTCTTGAGATACAATAGAATCATCGTTGAAGTCACCTGAAATATATTTAACAATAGCATTTGCTTCATTTAATTCGAAATTCTTTGATTTATCACTATATTTTAATCCTGAGTCATCCTCATTATCAATGACTAATTTATCGTTGAATAATTTGGTAACGATAGAAATCTTCAAATTATTACTTAAAGCAAGTAAAGTCTTACCTTTATCATTAGTTAATTGTAAAGACATAATAAACGTGTTAGATATGTCAGTGCTTTATCAGTACAAATGATCAGTTGAAAAATTTCTCATCGCACTAATGTTAAAGAGAGTGTTATCACGATCCTACACGACAATTGATCGATGGAATAGTATAATTACCACGATAGAGTCTACAGGTGGGAAATACAAATATGTAGCTAAGGACAATATCTTACACAAGGGTTTAACTACATGTGCATCGGAGATTTTGAGTAATTTCGAAAGTCCTTATGATGCTACAGTAATTGAATTACTTAACAAAGATATGGATTTGATTGGTAAGGCCAACTTAGATCAATTCGGTATGGGTTCAGCTACTGCTAATACTATCTATGGTACAGTTATAAACCCATTATTTGAAGATGATGATTATATTACGGGAGGTTCTTCTGGAGGTTCGGCTGCAGCTGTAGCTGCAAATTTATGTGACTTTTCTTTAGGTACCGATACTGGGGGGTCAGTTAGATCACCTGCTAGTAATTGTGGATTATATGGATATAAACCTAGTTATGGGAGAATTTCTCGTTGGGGAGTAATTCCTTATGCTCAAAGTTTAGATACTGTAGGTATAATTACTCGAGAAATGAATGTTATGAAAGAAGTGTTCACTATTCTTGACCAATATGATGATAAAGATCCTACATCCATGCCTCAAGATATTAGAGACAAAGTTGCAAAAGCTGTTGAGGTCAGAAATCGGGAAAGAAATGGGAAATATGTTTTTGGAATCCCTGAAGAAATTATTGTTGAAGAATTAACTGATGAGGTTAAATACAAGTTATCTTTGGTTATAGAGAAGTTACTTGATTTAGGTCATACCGTGGTTCCAGTTTCAGTACCATCAATCAAAAAACTGATTTCTACATATTATGCTATAGCTACGTCTGAAGCTTCATCGAATTTTTCAAGATTAGATGGTATTAGATATGGTAAAGATCATAATTTTGAAGGAGGTGATGAAACTATTAGAGGTAACAGAAGTAAAGGATTTGGAGAAGTTGTAAGAAAGAGGATCGTACTTGGTAATTATTCAATTTCTGCAGATTCAGGGGATTTTTATTCTCGAGCAGTTGAAGTTCGTCAACAAATTCTGAAAGAATTTAATGAAATCTTTTACTTACCTCATCAAATGACCAATCCTGATGGTTTGTTTGAAGACCCTAGTAAAGTTGATTTCTTGGTAACTCCAGCAACTATTAATAAACCACTTAAAATAAGTGATTATATAAAAATGGAAGAAAATTCCATGGATGAATTAACAAATGATATTTTATCATTACCAATGTCATTGGGAGGACTTCCAGCGGTTTCTGTACCCATCAAAGATAAAGGTTTGGATATTTCTACCCAAGGTATTCAAATCAGTGGTCAATATGGAGATGATTATAGTGTGTTAGATATGGGAGATAAAATCATAAAAGAGATGAATATGTAAATAGATAACTCGATGGCCATATAGATATATATATCGACTATAAATTGTATGAAGTTGAATGTCATAACGTCGTAAAGTTTTAAACAAGGATAAGGAAATTAATGTTGAAAGTTTCCTTTTTAAATTTTTCTTCTATCTTCTTCCTAATAAGGTTAAGAATTCTTCTCTAGTCTTTTGTTGTTCTCTAAAACATCCCAACATACAACTAGTGGTGGTTGAAGATCCAGTCTTTTGGACTCCACGACTAACCATACACATATGAGTTGCTTCAATAACAACAGCAACACCTCTTGGTCTTAACATTTCACTTAATGCCATTGCTATTTGTTTAGTTAATCTTTCTTGAACTTGGAATCTTCTAGCATACATTTCAGCTAAACGAGCTAATTTTGATAATCCCAAAACTCTCTTATTTGGAATATAACCAATATGGGCTTTACCAAAGAATGGAACAAGATGATGTTCACATAATGAATAAATTTCTATATCTCTAACAATTACCATTTCATCATGATCTTCTTCAAACACTGCTCTTTTAATAACATCTCTGATATTATCTTCATAACCTTTTGTGAAGTATAACATAGCTCTAGCATATCTTTCAGGAGTTTCAAGTAATCCTTCTCTACTAGTATCTTCACCCAATTCAGTTAAAATGGTTTTAACTGCTTCAGCGATTCTTCCTTCCCTTGCTTTAGATTCTTCTTCTGTCTGTTCTATACGTTTTCTTGCACCAACTGAAGGCCATGATAATCCATCAGAATCGATAGGAGGATTTAAAGTACATGGAGATGCAACTCTGGTTTGTAATGGGGAATTATATTTAGTCATCTTATTTGAAGATTCTGATCCGTTCATAGCTCTTTTTAATGGCATAACAGATTTTGGTAATTTATCATGATTCTTTTGTGAGTTTCCTTCACTACTACTTGAACTTGTCTCTGAATTAATTGAATCCATATTCATATAATTGAAATCTGAAAATTTTTCGAATGTTTTCGCATTTGACTCAGACCAAGTGGTACTAAATTACGAGGTGCCATTAGTGCGAAATCACGGTACTAACCGGGGATTACAAAGATAAAGGGAAGAGAACTTTTCTTTATTAATATATTATTAATGATATAAAAAACCAAACTAAGATGCAACGATATTTTTATTGGGATTACTGAAATTATGAAGATTCAGCGAATGGATTTAATACTCTGACTGTTAAACATGGTAATGCCATACCAATTTCAGCTCTTAACAAAACTGGTACTTGAGATAATTCTTTTATTTCTTGAATATTATAATCTCCCTCTTTTCTGGTAGTTAAATATTGTAAGTAAGGAGCTAAAGTTGAATTAGAACTTTCAGTAATTAATGAAGATGAAATTGTTCTTGGATTTTTTGGGAATGATGATGCTTGATTTGGTGAAGTTGGCATTGATTTGGTATTAGTATTTTCTAATGAAGGAATAACAACTTTTGGTGGTTGTAAATTTAATTGAGATAATTTTTCAATAATTGATTCTGTCTTATCTTTATTCTTATTTTGAATTTTAGCAGCTTCAGAAGCTGATGTTCTGTATTTATTCTTGATTGAAGATCTGTAGGATAAAGTGGATTTTTCATCAGGAGGAATATAAGTAGCTGAATCAATACCTTCTTCCCAATATAATTCTAAAATTCTATTGGATTTATCAAATTCGGCTTTAACTAAAGGTAATTGATCACCATGAACTCTTTTTTCAACTCCAAATTCTGGTAAGAAAACATCAAATGATGATTCATAAACTTGAATAACTGTACCCATACATAAGATTTGGCCAGCATCACCACTAATATCATTTATAGTTTGTGATAATAATAAATGGATAGCTTGTTCTTGAGCGTTAGCTGCACAATCTTTTTTGAAATTACAATAATCAGTAATAGCTTTCAATGAATCAATATCTGGTAATTTATTAACTTCAACCTCTTCATTATTTTCATTAATGATAGATTTTAATTGTCTATGAACAACAATATCGGCATATCTTCTCATTGGGGCATTGAAATGTGTGTATAATGGTAAATTGAAATAATAATGACCATAACTATCAGGATCTTGCTTTCCTGCAACATAATATTTACCTCTATTCATGCACTTATATAATAAAATTTCCACACATTGTCTTTTAATTGGATCTTCAATGGCTAAAATTGATCTCTGTAAAGTTGAAGAATCAGTCGTATCGATTTTAAAACCCAAATTTTCTGATTTTCTAACAAATGTTTCCATCTTCAGTAAAGTTGGTAAAGGATGACGACGTAATAATGCCTTATCACCTAATCCAGCATGGATTTTGGCTGCGATAGCACTATTAACTTTATGTCCGATTTCAGTGATTATATCATAGGTTCTACTATTCTTGAAAATGTTCAAGTCTAATCTAACTTTTTCATCATCCAATTGATCTAATAATGTTAAATTTGGTACAATACCCAATTCTCTATCATTTAATCTTTGGCGACAAAATTCTTTGGCAATTAAATTGAAAGTTTTAATGTAATCAGAAGTAGCTGATGAGACATTTTCAACAGGTTTACCATCTAAAATAGCATCAACAGAATCATAAGTAACAACTTGATTAGGAACAATTACTGATTCATGAATATATAAATCTTCAACTTCAAAATTGGTAGTATCAATTTCAAAAACTACAGAAATAGCCAAATTCTTTTCATTTTCTTTGAAAGAAATGATCTTATTGACTTCTGGAGGTAATAAATGAGCTACTTTTTGAGGTAAAAACACTGAGGATGATCTCTTTTTAGCTTTTCTATCTAAAACTGAACCTGCTTCAATATAGTAAGTTACATCAGCAATATGAACACCTAATTCAATCTTGGTATTAGATAATCTTTTAACGTGTAAAGCATGATCAACAAATTCATTATTTTGACTGAATGCTATGATATAATCATACAAATATTCAGTTCTGTTTGAGTTTTCCAATTCAGCTGAAATTGAAGGTAAATCATTGAGATAAGAATTTAATATAGCACCACTTTCTTCATCATTATTACTTGGATATTCATCACATAAGAAGTTATTATCTCTTAAAATAGCATCAATTTCAGTTTCAGAATCATCAATTTTACCTAATTTATTGATTAAAGTACCAAAAGGATGTAAAGAAGTAATGGGCCATCTTTTAATAGTAGCAATAAACAAGTCATTGGCATATTTTTCATGATTTTCAACAAAATCTTTAGGAGCTTGTTCTGTTGGAATGGCAATTAAAGGAACTTTTTTATCGGTTGGTTTAAACCAAACGATTTTTGGAGCTCTTGGGGTTTGAACCGATGATTCTTTACCATCTTTTTTATCTCTTGCGGCTTGAGCAGCTTGGGCTGGTCTAAGTAAACCTAAAGTTCCAGCAAATAATTGATTACCAATACGATCCACAACTGCAACCACATGACCAGCATATAATGGTTTAACTTCATCATTAATTTCTTCTTCTTCAACCAATAATAATGATTGACCTTCAACCTCAACATCATCATTTTTCTTCATTGTTGGTCTTTGTTTCAATGAACCTCTTCTATTCAATCCTTTATCGTCATTATTATTGTTCTGATCATGACTAGAAGGTAATGAGGTAGCATCATTATGAATATCATCATTCATTGAGGAAGTATTTTTAGAATAATTAGTATCCTTTCTTCTCTTTTTTTCTTCCTTTTCCTTCTTACCATCCCAAACTTCATCAACTACTAATAATTCAACTGCTACAAAATCAGATTCTAAAGCTCTATTACGATCTTTTGAACCACAAATAAAAATATCAGCATCTAATAAACCATCAGTTGAAACATAAGCATCGGATCTATTCTTTTTATTAACTCTCAAAGTTCCTGTAACTAATCTACCATCGTTAATTAATTCAGGTAATGAAGATTGTGGTAAATATGGAGCAAATAATGATTTACGACCATTGGTATTAGGTTGTTGATTATTATTATTAGGTAAAAATTGAGATAATGAAGAAACTGATGATCCACCACCATATGAACTATTACGAGGTCTATGACCAGGAACAAAAGGTTGAGGAGGTTCTAATTGACTTGATTGTCTTTGATGATTGTTTGGTAATTGAAGATTCGATTGTTGAGATCTCCAATTATTATTCATATTGACATTACCATTAGGATCGAAATTTCTTGAATTTGATCTATAATGACTTGAACGTCTTTGATGGCCATTATTGGATCTTTCAGGACTATGACTTATAGTGAAATTTGGAGTTGGAGGTAATAAATTAGGTTTATCAGGAGGGAATTTGAAAGATTGTTGACCGTAAGCTAAAGATCTTGATCTAGAATGACCTGAAGGTGAAGAACTTAATTTTGGTGATGAGCTGTCGCTATCAACATCTGATCCATTAGCAGGAAATTTAAACGATCCAATACTTTCATTATCTTGATTTGAAGATCCATGATTTGGTGAACCATAAATACTTGAAGAAGGACTTAAAGTATTTTTATTGGTTTGTTTTTGATTGGCAGCAGCTTTAATGGCTTCGTTTAAACCAAGTGAATGCCTTCTATTATGACCTAAAGTATTCGATGAACCTGAACCTGTTCTTCTGTGACCATTATTATTGTTATTATTATTGTTTTGAGGTTGAGAAGTATTAATGGAGCTTGATCTTGAATGGCCTCTATAAGAAGTTGGAGGTGGCATTAAATCATTTCTTTGATATTGATTAGTTTGCATTTGTTGTTGTTGTTGCATCAATTGTTTTTGTTGGGCTTGAACTGCTTCAAGTTGACGCTGTAAATTATACTGTTCAACCATTAAATTAGTTAATTCACTTGGTGATCTTCTATGAGCAATATGTAAGTTTTTAGGTTTCTTTGATGACCCTTTTTCACTGGGAAGATTCAAATTATTACTTTCCATGATTGAATGATAGCAAATTAATAACTAAATGATTGAATTAAATGATTGAAAACTTACCTTAATTGAAAAAATTTACCTTTATTGAAAATTCACCTTAATTGAAAAATTTACCTCGATAACTTAATTGTGTAACTGACTGTGGTTCACTTTTGGTCGATTTTGTTGACAATTCCTTCGTTCAAACTTTATAGTTAAAACTATCCAGTAATACAAATGATTAAGGTTAAATAAAAAAGTTGTTTCTCCAGGTAATTGACAAGTTCCAACCTAACCGAAATGTTTATGGAAAAAGTTTCAAATTAATAAATTACAAAGAATGAAACAAAATCTTTTCAATATTATGATCAGATTAATCAATTGATGGATTTTAAATGATTTTAAAAGGATTGAAATTCCTAAATGAATGAATTTTAATCTTTATCCTTAATGAGATTGTGGGAAATTTCAAATGACTGAGACCTCAAAAAAACTTCCAATTTTGAAAAATCCCACGACTAAGGGGTTTGAGGTTCTATTTATATCCTATTTTCGAGAGAAGATTATAGAGAGATTTATACAAACTCATGAGGAAATGAATTTAATGAAATAAAGAATGGTTTTAAACCATTAATTGATAGAAAGCTGATTATGTGGAATGGATTGAATCAATCGTAAAAAAATTTATCCATTATTGACAATACAATATGGTTGATAATTAATGTACATTAAGTCAATCCTAAATAAGGATTGCTGCATTTATTTTATATAAAAAGTGCATTATTTCACTTATTTAGAGGTTAATAATGGCAATTCTTTAAGGGGCTAAGGTTAAGCCTGAATTGATCTACAAACCTTAATCAATTTGATCTCTGTAAGGAGATGTATGTTTATGTAATTCAAGTTTCAAATTTAATAATTTCAACTGATAAATCAACAGTATCAAGTAAAACTAATTGACCACATTGATTAAATTTTGGTATAGTTAATAATAACATATTTTCATTATTAACATTGACTAATTCGGATTTAAACTCATTTTGATTTCCAATAAAATAAACTTTAGGTGTTTCATTTGTTAATGTGAATGGATCATTATTTTCAAATGGGTAACAATATAAAGTATCAGGAGCTGTTGGAGCAATATTTTGCCAATTTATGGTAGATTTCATTATTTTAAGTAAAATATCTTTATTTTGTAAATCTTCTGGTGATAAATATTTTACAATATCATCGATATTTTGTCCTGATGTACCTAACATTCTAATACTATCAATCTCTAACCATGAAGGATTTGTTAATGATCTAATGTTATTACCAACATAATTTTTATTGTTAACAAAGAATGATCTATGTAATGGTTGTTGAGGCAAACAAATATCTGTTGGATCTGAAGGTCCAGGCATAATTGAAATATTACAATTTGATATTATTTCATTTATAAATACTTCAAATAATTTCAATGATTTATCATTAAATTTAGATATGTTCTTTGATCCATAATTATTATTTGACACGTATTCTTCACCTATATCTTGATCAGTTTCTTTTATTGAATTTCCTGCAATGACAAGATGAGAAATATCTTTGGATTTCGGATTATTTTGAAAGAATTCTTTTAAAAGATCAATTTTAAAATCATAGTTAACAGAATCAGATATCTCTAATCCTGAAACAAATGCTATTTTAGAATTGGATTTGGGATTCATTGGTCTTATGGGAGCTATTTCAGGATGAATTATTTCAATCATTTCAAATATACCTGCTTGTAACTCAATCCCTAATACTGCAACAATAGCTCCAGTAACAAATAGTTGATCTTTAAGTTTATCATCTCCATGTAATATAGCTCTACCACTTTCATCTTCTAGCATGATAACCTTATCATCCGTACCTTCAGAACTTATATAACTCTTGGGTATTTGGGGTAATACATCATCAATACCTTTTTCAACATCATTAAAGATATTCAATTTATTCTTGAGATCAACAAAAATTGTTCCACTGACCCAACATAACTGATTACTAGTGATATTCAATATCTTATCGACTTTACTAATAACTTTATTGTCTCTTTTGATAGTCCCATTCCCCCACTGTTTCATAGCTCTGCTATCAACTCTGGTCTTAAGTTCATTCAATCTTGCTTGATACATTGTGAAAAATTGACGATCATATCTTCTTCCTGAACTTTCCAAACTAAAATCATTCTGTTTATCATATTCACTAACTACAGATACTTCCTTCCTTTCAATAAGTTCATCTTCCACAGATAAATTTATATAGTCTTGATAACCCATGAGAACGCGTCTACTATCTAGAATGAGAAATTTTGAGATGAGGGTGTTTTAAAGTTATTTCATGTTCATTATATACATAATTATTGACGTCTTTGCTTTTTATGTTTCTTTTCAATAGATTTCCCACTAGCTCCAATGGTTATATTAACTTTTGGAGGTACTTCGAAACCAAAAGATTTCCCAACTTTAACTAAATCCAATTTATCAATTTGATAAACAGTTTTTAAATGATGTGATGCATAAGCTTGTAAATAAGATCTATAACCATCTTTAGCTGATTGATGTAACCAATAATTACTTTTAATTAATTTGGTTAATTGTGATTGAACATTGGCTATTTTATTTTGAGGGAATTCATATTCATTTAATGGTACGTTAGCAGCTTTCAAATATCTTAAGAAACCTAATTCACTTGGGGTTAAAAACATTAATGATTTACCTTTACCATTTGAACCTCTGGCAGTTCTACCAACTCTATGAATATAATCTCTTGGATCATCAGGTGGATCAAATTGAATAATCCAATCAACTGATGGAATATCTAATCCTCTGGCTGCAACATCAGTACATAATAAGATCCCTTGTTTAGCATTACAGAATTCAAAAAATGTATTGGTTCTCTTTTGTTGTTTTTGTTTACCATGTAAATCTAATACAGGTAAATCAATGTAATTCAATAATTCACCGAAATATTTAACACAATTACATGATGATAAGAAAACAATTATTTTCTTCTTGACATTTCTCTTCAAGAATGAAAATAATAATAAAAATCTTTTATCGGATTCACAAACAACATATCCTTGTTCTAAACCATCAGCTGTGGATGCCGCGGTTTCTGGTACAACATTAATATATAAAGGACCTGGTCTTAAAGAAATTCTAGCTAAATCTTCAACTTTAGTAGTTTGAGTAGCTGAAAATAACATAGTTTGTCTTTCTTCACTTGGTAAAATTTTAATGATTTGTTTCATTTCATCTTCGAACCCAATTTCTAAAATTCTATCAGCTTCATCAATAACTAATGCTCTTAAATTTCTGAATATAAAACCTGGGGTATTTTGTAAATGATCTAATAATCTACCTGGTGTAGCAATTAAAAGATTAACACCTTTAACTAATTTTTCGGCTTCTTGTCTTCTATTAGCACCTCCAATTACTATACCGAAAGTTTGACTATGATGAGCCATTAATTCTCTGGCAACACCAAATATTTGTAATGCTAATTCTCTAGTAGGAGAAATCACTATAACCCCTGTACCATTTCTTGGTTTGAATTTTAATGAATATAACATTTCAATGGCGGGTATTAAAAATGCTAATGTTTTACCTGAACCAGTTTTTGCTGCTCCTAAAACATCACGACCAGCTAATAATGGTGGAATAGTCTTAGCTTGAACTTTAGTCATAGTAGTGAAACCCATATCTTGGATAGCTTTTAATGTAGGTTCCGAAAATCCTGCTTCTTCAAATTTATCATTAACTTCATCTTCATGTTCTTCTTCAGCTTTTGGTTTAATTTGATTATTGATTTTATGTTCGAGGTCTTCGGATTTACTTTTCTTAGATTTCTTTTCTGGGTCTTTAATATCATCCCCTAATAATCCGGCTATTTCATTAAAATCATCATCTAATTCATTTACTAATTGTTCGTTGTCAGATTCAACATCAGACTCTGGTTGTCTCTTCTTTCCCTTCTTATCGTTTTTAACCATTGATATTTTTTTTAAATCATCTCATCGCATTTTTTTTTAGGGAAAAATGACAAATTCGGAACAACTTCAGTACACCGAGATCTACTCATATTTATATCGCACAGTAATTTGACTTGAATTAAATCATAAAAATGGCCAATTATGATGTTAATTCTACAAAGTCATACATGCAAGCAATGCATCCGTTGATGATGGCAGTAGAAGAATTGAATTCGGATTTCAAACTACCAAAAATGAACAATGAAAATGAAAAGATAACACCCATTAATAAAATCTTATCGAAATTTCAACACATTAACCTTGATATTGTCAATAATTTGAAAGATGAAAAACATTTGGATGAGACCATACTAAGAGACATTGAAAGTGAATGTAAGAGAATCTCTGATGCTAATAATACTGATAATTTGTATGTGAACGTGAAAAATATCTTAGTGTCTGATCCTAGTGATGAACAATTACAGTCTTCTTTGTTTGATATTTTAGGATTTGATGAATTTGAATTGATTTCAAAGATTATTCAGAATAAACATTTGATTATGCTGTCGGAGGAAGTCGAAGAACCCAACGATGATAAGGCTAAGTTCATGACTGCTGAGGAAAGAGTTCAATTCTTGATTGATAACCAACATAAAGCAAAGAATGAAAAATTGACTATGAGACAATCAGGTAATCAATACCCTCATGTTTATAAGAAAGAAGATGTCAGTCAATTTCTTGCAGCTATAGGTAAAAGCTTTTCATTGCCATCAGGTTCGGTTCGTACCTCATTCCCAACTTATGAAGAATTGATTATACCTTATCCTCAAACGCAAGATAACAAATGGATTAAAGATCATCAATTGGTTCAAATCAAAGATTTAGATTTCCTTTGTAAAGGTACTTTCAGTAATTATCAAACTTTGAACAAGATGCAAAGTCTCGTTTATCCCATTGCTTATAATACCAATGAAAATATGTTGGTTTGTGCTCCTACAGGGGCCGGTAAAACTGATGTAGCGTTATTGACCATTTTACATGCCATTGATCAATATACCACTGAAACAGTTGATGAAGATGGTGATTTATCAATCGACATTGATTATGAGGAATTTAAAATCGTTTATGTAGCACCCTTGAAATCTTTAGCAGCAGAAATTGTTGAAAAGTATTCCCAGAAATTGAAATGGTTGGGAATAAAAGTAAGAGAGCTAACCGGAGATATGCAATTATCCAAACAAGAAATAATGAATACTCAAATTATCGTCACTACTCCAGAAAAATGGGATATTGTTACTAGAAAACTGAATGGTGATACTGAATTGGTTTCAAAAGTTAGATTACTTATTATTGATGAAGTCCATTTATTACATGAAGATAGAGGTTCGGTTATTGAGACATTGGTAGCTAGAACATTGAGACAAGTTGAAAGCTCTCAACTGATGATCAGAGTTGTGGGTCTTTCTGCTACGTTACCTAATTATATCGATGTGGCTGATTTCCTTGGTGTTAATAGACAAATGGGGATGTTTTATTTTGACCAAACTTTCAGACCAGTACCTTTAAGACAAGATTTGATTGGTGTTAGAGGTAAAGCTGGTTCTAAAACTGCTAAAGAAAATTTAGATAATGTTTCTTATGAGAAGTTAGCTGAGTATATCAATCAAGGTTTACAAGTGATGGTTTTTGTACATCAAAGAAGGGAAACCATCAAATCAGCAAGGGATTTCATTTCTAAAGCTGCAGAAAATCATGAATTGGATTTGTTTGATTGTTCAGAATCAGATCATTTCGATAAATATAAAAGAGAAATGGCTAATAAGAATAGAAATAAAGATATGAAAGAATTATTTCAAATGGGATTCGGAGTCCACCATGCTGGTATGTTAAGATCTGATCGTAATTTGACGGAGAAAATGTTCATTGATGGAGCCATTAAAGTGTTATGTTGTACTGCAACTTTGGCTTGGGGTGTTAATTTACCTGCCGCTGTTGTTATCATCAAAGGTACTCAAGTCTATGATGCCAAACAAGGGGGGTATACTGATTTGGGAATTTCCGATATTATTCAAATCTTTGGTCGTGCTGGTAGACCACAGTACGAAAAGTTCGGTACGGGTATTTTATGTACTACCAGTGATAAATTAGACCATTATATTTCTTTAATTACTCAACAACATCCAATTGAATCTAAATTAGCTGAAAAGTTGGTAGATAATTTGAATGCTGAGATCTCTTTAGGAAGTGTTACCAATGTTGATGAAGGTATTCAATGGTTGGGTTATACTTATATGATGGTGAGAATGAGGAAAAACCCATTTGCCTATGGTATTGATTGGAAAGAACTTCAAGAAGATCCATTACTTTATAATAGAAGAAGAAATATGATAATCACTGCAGCTCGAAGATTACATGGGTTACAAATGATAATATTCGGTGAAAGCTCTGGATCTTTCATCCCCAAAGATTTAGGAAGAATTGCCTCAGACTTTTATTTACTTAATAACTCCATTGAAGTGTTCAACCAGATGTTAAATCCAAGAGCTACTGAAGCTGATGTGTTATCTATTATTAGTATGAGTAGTGAGTTTGACAGTGTGAAATTCAGGGAAGAAGAAAAGAAAGAGTTAACAAGGTTATTAGAGGATTCAGTACAATGTCAAGTTCCAGGAGAAATTGAAGCTGCCCAATCGAAAACAAATATCTTATTGCAAGCATTCATATCTCAAGCTTCAATCAAAGAATCCGCATTGGTAGCTGATTCTAATTATGTTGCTCAAAACTCTGCAAGAATTTGTCGTGCCTTATTCTTGATTGGTATCAATAGACATTGGAGTGTTTTCCTGAAAGTCTTATTGTCATTATGTAAATCTATTGACAAAAGGGTGTGGGAATTTGATCACCCTTTAGCTCAATTTGATTTACCTGAACCTGTTATGAGAAATATCAGAAGCAAGAATCCTTCCATAGAGTCATTAAGAGATATGGAACCAGGTGAATTGGGTGACCTAGTTCATAACAGTAGTATGGGAAGCAAATTATATCAGTTAGTTAATAAATTTCCCTATGTGGAGATTGAAAGTGAGATCTTCCCTATTTCCTCCAATGTCATGAGGGTTCATATTTTCCTTGACGGAGACTTTAAATGGGATGATCAATATCATGGGAAGAGTCAATTTTTCTGGATATTTGTTGAAGAATCAGAGAATTCCGAATTGTTGCACGTTGAAAAATTGATCATCAGTAAAAGGCAATTATCTAATCATGAAATGGATTTCATGATTCCTTTAAGTGATCCCTTACCAGCTCAGGTGATTGTTAGGGTCATTTCAGACTTTTGGTTGGGTTCAGAAACTGTTCATCCTATTTCATTCCAGCATTTGATTAGACCTACCAACGAAACTATCAGAACTAATTTGTTAAGATTACAACCTTTACCTGTAACTGTTTTACACGATAAAGAAATTGAAGCCATCTATAGTTCTAGATTCAGATATTTCAATCCTATGCAGACCATGACTTTCTTCAATTTGTATAACACCAATAATAATGTGTTTGTTGGTTCTCCAACAGGTTCAGGTAAAACTGTGGTTGCAGAATTAGCTATTTGGCATGCATTCAAACAATTCCCTGGGTCAAAAATTGTTTATATTGCTCCAATGAAAGCCTTGGTTAGAGAAAGAGTTGATGACTGGAGAGCCCGTATTTCAAAGACAACCAGTCATAAAGTTGTAGAACTTACAGGGGATTCCCTTCCAGAAGCTAGGGAAGTTAGAGAATCGGATATAATCATTACTACACCAGAAAAGTTCGATGGTATTTCCCGTAATTGGCAAACAAGAACTTTCGTTCAACAAGTTTCGTTGGTTATAATGGATGAAATCCATTTATTGGCTAGTGATAGAGGTCCAATTTTGGAAATGATTGTTAGTCGTATGAACTACATTGCTTCTCAAACTAAGAAACCAATTAGACTTTTGGGTATGTCAACTGCTGTCTCAAATGCTATTGATATGGCTGGTTGGTTAGGAGTCAAAGAAGGTTTGTTCAATTTCCCCCTGTCTGTTCGTCCTGTTCCTTTGCAAATGTTTATTGATGGGTTTCCAGACAATTTAGCTTTCTCACCATTGATGAAAACTATGAACAAACCAGCATTCATGGCCATCAAACAACATTCTCCGACTAAACCTGTTTTGATTTTCGTTGCTTCACGTCGTCAAACTCGTCTTACAGCATTGGATTTAATTCATTTGTGTGGTATGGAAGACAATCCTCGTAGATTCTTAAAAATGGATGATTTTGAATTGCAAAAAATTCTAGCTGACGTAAAAGATGATACCTTGAAGTTATCATTACAATTTGGTATGGGATTGCATCATGCTGGGTTAGTTGAAAGTGATCGTCAAATATCTCATAAATTATTTGAAGCCGGTAAGCTTCAGATTTTAATTGCAACTTCGACTTTAGCTTGGGGTGTTAATTTACCTGCTCATTTAGTCATCATCAAAGGGACACAATTCTTTGATGCCAAGATTGAAGGTTATAGGGACATGGACTTAACAGATATTTTACAAATGATGGGACGTGCTGGTCGTCCTGCTTTCGATACTAGTGGTATAGCTATTGTTTACACTAAAGAGTCAAAGAAAATGTTTTATAAGCATTTCTTGAATATTGGTTTCCCCGTTGAATCTTCCCTCCATAAAGTATTGGATAACCATATAGGGGCAGAGATCTCATCAGGAACTATTAGATCCAGACAAGAAGCTATGAATTTCTTAACTTGGACGTTCTTGTACAGAAGGGCTCATAACAATCCTACCTATTATGGAATAGAGGATACTTCAACAGCAGGGATTTCATCATATTTGGGATGGTTAATTGATCAAACCATTGAGAATTTGATTGAATCTAGATGTGTGGTTACTACAGGTAAAGACGAATTGAAACCAACGCCATTTTTGGATATTTCATCATATTACTATCTTTCTCATAAAACAATCAGAAGAATCGTCAAAAGCATTACCAATGATTTTGATTTCAGAAATTGTTTGATTATGTTAGCAGGGGCTACGGAATATGATGAACTCGCTACCCGTCATGGGGAAGAATTGATGAATATGGAAATGTCCCAAAATATGAGATATCAAGCTGAAGACATGGAATGTGAATTCATTTGGGACCCTCATGTCAAGGCATATTTATTGATCCAAGCTTTTATGAGTAGAATTGAATTGCCTATTGCTGATTATTCTCAAGATACAATTGCCGTATTGGATCAATCATTACGTATTTTACAAGCTTTTGTTGATGTGGCATCTGAATTTGGGTATTATGCAACCGTTTGTAAGTTCATTCGCTTGATGCACTGCATCAAACAAAGATCATGGTATGATGACCATCCTATTTCCACATTGCCGGGATTATCGATTATTCCTAGAGAAGCTAATTCGAAATTACCCTCATTGGAACAACTAGGTAATATGGGTAAGAATAAACTTATAAACATCGGTGAGAAAATGTTGGGGATTCAAAATGAACCAATTGTGGATATCAGAAAATATGGTGCTTCAAATAAAGCATTGGATCAATTTGTCCATGTTGCTTCACATTTACCTATTTGTGACTTAAAGATTAAACAGGTCAACGATACAGAAATTGAAATCATTCTTGATCATAAAAACTATCCTTTGGATTCTAACTTTGTTACTTACTGTCCTCATTTCCCTAAATCTCAAAGAGAATCATGGTTTGTCATTTTATGTGATGAATCCAAGACTGAATTATTTGTTATCAAAAGAGCAAGCCCTAAGATGGTGGGTAAGAAAGGTAAAATTGTTTGCCAAATTGATATTCCTGAAAATCTCAAGGGTAAAGAAATCAACGTTGTTTGTATTAACGACGGTATTGAACTTCAATATGAAAGTAAAGTTACCTTATTGTAGAATGGATAGAGTTCATTCAGATGCAAATTTTAAAATTAATATACACGCTATGAAATGCTCCTAAAGTTCTTCCTCGAAGAAATCGTCTTCTTCAACACCATCTTCTGCTTCAACAGGTGCATCAATATCTTCTGTTTCTTCATTTTGGTCCTTTTGATCATATGCTATAGACTTACCTTTAAGTATATCATCTAAATTGAAAGGTAATTTGTCTTCTTCTATCATGGTCTTAACCTGTTTCTTGAATTCTTTTCTGGCTTCTTCGGTAGCATGTAATCCCTTCTTAGCCTTTTCGGTTAATTCTTGTTTGCTGTCATCAACATTTGGATATAAAGAAACATATTTCGAGCTTTTGGGGAATAAAATTGTATATGCGAGTTCAACTTCCTTATGTTTATAAACTGTTCTAGCTTTCTTGATAGCTTTCTTATCATCACTCGATTCAGCTTCTTCTAATGCCTTTTTAGCTTGTTTCAATTGTCTGGTAGCTTTCTTCCTTTCGAAAAATCTAACCATATGATATTTCTTTGCTATTTTCTTTGTCTTCTGTTGAGTTTCAACATTTTTCAATTGAACTTTCAAAGCTTTAAGAGTTCTTTCATTATCAACTCTAACATTAGCAGGTAATTTATCTCTTTTTAATAATCTTTCAGTATCTCTTATCTTCTTTTTTATTTTCCCACTACCTGATTCAAACACTTTGGTTAAGTCCTGAGTGGCAGATTTGGGGTTCTTCTTATTATGTTGTTGAGGAGCCATTCGTAAATACTCTGTTAGATCTGCGATGAGGTTCAGAAAGAGTGCGATTTGAGAATTGGTGATAATTGAGAACTTCGTTAAACATTGAATCATGGGTGTTTTAGAAAAAATTGCAGCCATCCAGGAGGAAATGGCCAGAACCCAAAAGAATAAAGCCACAGAATATCATCTTGGTTTATTGAAAGGGAAGTTAGCCAAGCTCCGTCGAGAACTTTTAGAACCTCAACCAGGTCAAGGTGGTGGTGGAGGAGGTCAAGGATTTGAAATTGCTAAAGCAGGAGATGCCAGAGTTTCATTGATTGGGTTTCCTTCCGTTGGTAAATCATCTTTCTTATCCAATGTCACCAATACGAAATCTGAAGCTGCAAGTTATGAATTCACAACTTTAACCTCAGTTGGAGGATTACTTCAATATAATGGAGCAGAAATTCAAATTGTTGATTTACCCGGGATTATAAAAGCTGCTTCTCAAGGTAAAGGTAGAGGTAGACAAGTTATAGCTGTTGCAAGAACCTCGGATTTAATTATGATGGTTTTGGATGCTACTAAAGGAGATGATCAAAAAGAAATCTTGGAAAATGAATTAGAATCTATGGGTATAAGACTTAATAAAGAAAAACCTGATATTTCATTGAAACTTAAAAAAACCGGAGGTGTTAAGTTGAATTCCATTAATCCACCAGTTCATTTAAATGAAAAGATCGTGGCAGCTTTATTAAAAGAATATAAGATTCACAGTGCTGATGTTTTGATTAGAGATGAAAATGTTACTATTGACGATTTTATTGATATAATAAATGAACAACATGTTACATATATTAAATGTTTGTATGTTTATAATAAAGTTGATGTTGTTTCATTAGAAGAGTGTGATAGATTAGCTAGATTACCAAACACAGTAGTAATGTCATGTGAGTTAACCCTCGGAATCGAAGATTTGAAAGAAGAAATTTGGAGACAATTAGGTCTTATAAGGCTTTATACTAAAAGAAGAGGTATTGAACCTGATTTCAGTGATCCCATGGTTGTCAGAAATAATTCTACCATTCAAAGTGTTTGTGATGCTATTCATAGGGACATGAAAAACCAATTCAAATTTGCATTAGTTTGGGGATCTTCATCGAAGCATTCACCACAAAGATGTGGTTTAAATCATATCATTCATGATGAAGATGTTGTACAAATTGTAACTAAATAGAAAATATATTATATTAGGGTAAACCATATTATCTCACGTGCGCGCTTTTAGGGCTTCAAGGTGCGACTGCTTTTAAGTTAGTCGTGGTGTTACCAACATTTGATGTTCCCAGTCTCACTATAGTAAAAGTGAAAATTTTTGAAAAATCTCATCAAATTACTTTGGGTCCATTAAATATTCCTAGCGTCAATTTATAATTAAAGTCGAAATGGGTGGTACTCGTGATAAAAAAGTTGAATACTTTGCTAAATTAAGAGAATTATTAGAAGAATACAAATCTATCTTCATCGTTGGTGTTGATAATGTTTCTTCCCAACAAATGCATGAAATCAGAAAATCCTTAAGAGGTGAAGCTACCGTCTTAATGGGTAAAAACACCATGGTTAGAAGAGCTGTTAGAGGTTTATTAGCTGAATTACCTCAATTTGAAAAATTATTACCTTTCGTTAAAGGTAATGTTGGTTTCATTTTCACTAACAGTGATTTAAAATCAATCAGAGAAGTTATTACTTCTAATGTTGTTGCTGCTCCAGCTAAAGCCGGTGCCGTTGCTCCAAAAGATGTTTGGGTCCCAGCTGGTAACACTGGTATGGAACCAGGTAAGACTTCTTTCTTCCAAGCTTTAGGTGTTCCAACCAAAATTGCTAGAGGTTTTATTGAAATTGTTAACGATGTTAAAGTTGTTGAAGCCAACAACAAAGTTGGTCCATCAGAAGCTTCTTTATTAAACATGTTAAACATTTCTCCATTCACCTATGGTATGACTGTTGTTCAAGTTTACGATAACGGTCAAATCTTCCCAGCTTCTATCTTAGATATTACTGATGATGAATTAGTTGGTCACTTTGTTAGTGCCATTAACACCATCGCTTCTATCTCATTAGCTATTGGTTACCCAACCTTACCATCAGTTGGTCACTCCGTTGTTAACAACTATAAGAACGTTTTAGCTTTATCTATTGCTACTGATTACACCTTCGAAGGTTCAGAAGCTATTAAAGATAGATTAGCTAACCCAGAAGCTTATGCTGCTGCTGCTCCAGCCGCTGCTGCTGCTTCTACTGATGCTGCTGCTGAAGAAGCTGCCCCAGCTGAAGAAGAAGAAGAATCTGATGATGATATGGGTTTCGGTTTATTCGATTAAACAGTTAAACATACACTTGTATTCTAATATAAAAAATTCATCTTTACTTTCATATTCTCTCACTCTCGTATATTTTCTGTGAGAAAAATAGCTGCAAAAAAAAAAGACGTCTCCACAAATGAGCTCGATTAGATTAGGTGATACCAGTTCAGAAGATTCCAATATCGTGACATATTTCCAAACATTTGAACATTACAACTCAATTGTAAATTCCAAAAAACATTTGTTCCAAACATTGTCCAAAATTGATATGATTATAAAAGATGGTATAGACCTTAAGAGTACGCAAATAGTGAAGAACTTAAACGATATATATAATTTGATTGGGATATCGGTAAGTATAGTGGAGACTAATGAACTGTTGTTTGAAGATTTCAAAGATTATTTCATGGTTTTGTGCAACAGATTATTGATTAAATTGTTTGTAGGACACACCTTTAATATGTTCTACAACTTAACTAATGAATATATTGATTTCATATGGCAGGTCCAAAGGCTTTTGAAGACAATTTTCACTTTCAGTTTTACTAATACAGATGACCCAAAACTCATGGATTATAAGTTCCCTGTAGGTGCTGAGGTGGTAATCAATATCTTAAAATTTCTTCAATTACCCTTATTCAAATATATGAGATCAGAAATGGATCATTTCATTTATGAGACCATTGACTCCCATATAGCCAGGCCAAATGAATTCTTTCGAGGTAAAATCAAACGAGGTTATTTAATTAACCAAGAAATCGAACTTCTTGACCAATCACTACTACTAATATTGGAAAACTGTGACTTAAACACCAAGTTATTACAATATTTTCACAATACCTTGACCAACAAACCAACCCATTTCTCCTATGAAGTTTATGAACGGAACTTCAACGTCATTGATCGAAGATTGGAGAATTTAGAACGTTCTAAACAGAACGAACTGTTGTTCACTATTGCCAATACCATAAAAACCCTCATATCCAACGCTATAGTTAAAACAATGTCAACTATATCTTCCAATCGTGGTTTCCTTCATCATTCAAAGACAACTGATACGGTTCAGATACGTCCAAATGGTGACGGAAACCAAGAGATAGTATCTTTCAAAGCACCGAATTGGGTTAATTATATTCAATTTCAAGATATTGGAACCCAGCAGAACTCAGATTATAAACACCCTTCACCACAATCCACATCAAGTGAAACTTACCTTATGGATCTCGAAGCTCATAGAGGTTTCCGTCAAAAACTAAAACATCTTTTCTGGAATAATCACATCAAATAATACCTTTCTTATTTATTGTTATATATACATGTATGAAGTTAGGATATGCTCAAAATAAATTTCTGATTTAACTTAATCTCTCTTTCTAAATTGTTGTTGTTGTTCTTCAAGAACTTCTTCTTGATCTTTGATGATTTGTTTTTGGATATGTTGAGTTAATTTACTTGGTTTTGGCCATTGTTCTGGTAATAATCCGGCTCTTTTGAATAAAAATCCAACTCTGTCACTTACATCTGCACCCACACCCAACCAATATTTGACTCTATCGAAATCTAACTCAATATGCTTGTAAGGTTTGATATTATTGGCTTTTTCATCTGGTGTCAAAGGAATTGGAACAGGGTTATAAGTACCTACTACTTCTATGGGCACTTTATCACGGGCTTGTCTGACATTAGCAACCACTATATTATAAACAGGTTGATGTTTCCTACCAAATCTGGCTAACCTTATCTTTATTGGAGATTTCACAGACATTGAGGTTTTGATGAGATTGAAATTTTTCAAAAACCTTTCAGTCTCACCATTTGGTTACCGCACGCGACTGTTTAGTTGCAACTTTTTCAATTTTAGCTGCAAAAACTTGTAGAGACCAAAAGTACTAAAATACCATGTAATTATAATCTATTTACTTATTTAAAGCTTTCTTTTAGCTTTAAACTTTTGTTTTGGTTTTGGTTTTGAAATTCTGGATTTGTTCTTGAATCTATCAACTTTAGCTGGTTTTTCATCTTCTGAATCAGACCAGTCATCTTCAGCCTTATTCTGTTTGTTTTGTTTGAATTTCAATTTACCCTTTTGACCTCTCATAGGACCTTGTTTAACGGCATCCAAATAAGCATCAATACCTGAACCTTTATTAGCTAAAGGATCGGATTTTTCTTCACTGAATACAAATTTACCATTCTTCTTCTCTAATTTATCAGATAAATCTCTCTTATTAGATTTTTTTGGTCTTGAAGAAGAAATCTTAGCAAAAGCTTCACGATCTAATAAATCCAATGGATTGTCACCTGATTCCATAATGAATTGATCGGATCTTTTGTTGTTGGTGGTTTCTTCTCTTTCATCTTCATCATCTGAAACATCTGAGTCATATAAAGCTTCTTCATAAGCAGAAACAAATTTTTTGGTTTGTTTATCGGCTTCTTCAGTTGCTTCTTTTTCTTTTCTTTTAGCTCTATTTCTGGTCTTTTTGATGTTGGCAACTAATTTTCTATCTTCTTCAGGAATGGCTCTTTCAACTTCTTCAACACCATATTTTCTTATTAATCTTTCAACAATATGTTTAACTTTGGATTTGAAATGACCTTTATGTTCATGAGACCATCTCATCAATTTGGTTAATAAATCTTGTAAATTAGCTTTGATCATATCCTCTGGTAATGATAAAACTTCAACCTTTACAAATCCAATAGCAGCTTTGGCAATTTCTCTTGAATTATGAGTCAAGAATAATTCCACAGTTTGACATAATTCAACTAAAGTATCAACAGGTAAGATATCTTTAAATTCATATATCAAGCAAGAAACAGCTGTTATAGCAGCAGAAATCATATGAGGAGATTGAGCTGCTAAACCACCACTTACCATAGTGAAATATTCAACAATATTGGCTTCGGAATCAGGGGTACTTTCATCAAAACCTGGGACTTTAGAATTAGTGATAATTCCTCCAGCGTTCATCTTATGACCCATTTTAATCAAGATTTGATATGATAATGAACGAGTTCTTTCATTAGTGTCTTTAGTAGACATGATGATTTCTTGTAAAACGGCAGGAATGAAATATAATTGATTGGCAGGTAATAAATCAATCATATTGTTAATTGAAGATAATCTTGTAGCTTTAGCTGAAACTTGTGTTGAATCAATTGAAGAAATTAAAAGACCAACGATTTCATTTGAGAATTGATCAATAGATTGTTGACCAACTTCAACTTCACCTAATTTGGTTAAGATTCTGTAACTTCTCTTTTGCATTAATCCATTAGGATTAGAAATAGTGGTTGAAAAGATTGAAAAAAGGGCATTATGAGATGATTGTGGAACGTATTTAGCCATGGCAACAATTAAATCCATCATAGTCACACTCAATTTGGATGATTCATCTTTTTTACCTTTAGTTGGTTTTTCATTTTCTTCTTCTTCCATAGCATTTTTCAATAATCCACAGACTTTATTGAAAGTATTTTCCAATTCATCTTTTGGAATGATTTGTAAGTAGATATCAATAGTTTCTAAAACAAATCCTCTACTATCAGGGGAGGTTGAACTGAAAACGTTGAAAAGTACTGATAAAATATTAGCAGCTTTCAATGATAAATATTTCAAATTATCTTTGGCAACTTCGATGGATAATTCTTCTTGCATTAATAAATCATCAGCTAAGACACCATCACTATAAGCAATATAAGATTCAGCAATAGATCTCAAAGCATGACAAATGACAACTCTTGAATCAACGTTACTATACATTAAATCAGTTAATTGAGCAGCAAAGTTGTCATCGAATGATTGTTTCAAATCTTTAGGTAAATCACAAAAGTGTGGTAAAAGTGACCAAATTTGATCAATGATTGTTTGGAAAACCTTACCATGGATGGAACCTTTTGACAAATTTGAAATTTTGGTTTGGAAAAATTCAATCAAAGGTAAAATTTCTGATTTATAAAAGTTTAAGTTAGCAAATCTAACATTATCTCTTAATAATGGTAACATCCAAGCTCTACCAGGTTTGGTAGTACTTGATAAATTTAAAGGTAAAACTCCCAATACAACTTCAGGACCCATTACTGAAATAGCTGATGATAAGATATCTTCAGCTTCTTTGTTATGAGAGAAATCTTCAGATTCATTAGTTCTCCATTGACCAATGGTTTCAACAACATTCAAAAAATCTGGATTTGATCTACTTCTTAATTTCAAGATAGCTTCATTGACGAATACCAAAATTTCTTTTAAAGCATGTTGATATTTGATAGTTAATAATTCGTTTTCAATCAATTCAGATAATGAAGTGATTACATCATCCATTTTTTCATAGATTTCATTAGTAATTTTATTGTCATTAGTTGGTTGTAATAAATAATCATCAGGAATAGCTGATATAATAGCTATTAAACAATTTGAAGCTGATGAATAAATGTCTTTGGAATCTGATGATAAGTAAGTTTTAATAATACTGATCACTGAGTCAAATTTCGAAATATATAATAATCCATCCAATCCAGCGAATCCCTCGCAAGCTTTTGCTACTACTGCTAACCATGAAGCAGCTAAATGGGTGTCATTGATTGAGGGTTTTAAATCAAAGATAATATCCAAAACTTGAACATATCTATCAACGTTAATGACATTACTCATAGATTGGAATAATCCTTCAAAAGCTTTGAAAGCAGAAGAAACTAAGAATTGATCATTGGTTTTGGAAATTTCTAACAATGCATCACACAATGGTTCAATTTGATTTAATGGCCATGATCCTGATGAAGTAATGGAACCAATTAATTGTAAACAATGAATTATTTGTGAATTGATTTCTTTATTATTCTTTGATGATTTATTTAATTTCATGATATTAACTAATTTCTCTAATGATAAACTACCACTCAATGAAGATGCTGGATGTATTGGATTAGGTGAAGTTGGAGGGTTCATCAAAATATTTAAAACAGCTTCTTGGGCTCCTTTTCTAACTTTTGGTCTTGGATCTAAAGCTAATTCTAATAAACCTGCCATAGCTCTTTTAGGTGAAATACTATCATTTGAATTCCATGTTTGATAATCTTGTGCTAATAATAAATTTTCTAAACTACCAATAGTAGACCTAACGAGAGGTGCTTCAGCAGTTTCACTAGTTAAAGGAATGGCTAATTTAGCTAAAATTTCACCGAATTTTGAAACTAAAAGTGGTTTAGGACAATATGGTATAACGATATCTAAAAAGTAAACCGCTGCTGTGACTAATCCTTGATCAAGAATATCATCATCTTTGATATTTTGATCTAATAATGATAAAAATGAAACGAAATATGCAACAGGACTTTTATCTCTTTTCTGTTCTTCCAAATTTTCTTCAACTGCACTCAATATAAGGGCTAACTGTCTTTGGTTTTCTAACTTGGAAGTGGTTTGAGTTTTAATTCTAGCCAATTTATCTTCCATGTCGAGGATATCTAATGAAACACCACCATCTGGGTTAGAATCCATTTTGATCTTTAAGTATTTTTTGAGATGAGATGAATTTTTTTTTGAGATTTTCTTATTTTAGCGGCTCATAAATGATGAGATAAGTGGACTAGTGATTCTCCTTTGGTACACTAATTCCAGCAGGGGTTTGATATTGATCAGACTCTCAGCTTTCCTTGAATGTCATAAGATCTTTCAATGTTTTTTTCTGACAAATTTTTTTTCCATTTTTTTTTGCAACTTATTACATTATTTGTGGAAATCGCAAGTTGCAAATGAAAAAGTAAGTGAATGTCAGTACAAAAAGTATTTGGAAGATTCAAAAGAGATCCCAGTAAGAAAACTCATAGCTTGAAATCAATTGTTCGCCATTATAAAGATAGTTGGAGATCCAGTACTATTCTGCTAGATCCAAGCACTTTGAATGATGAATTTGAAGATTTAGAGTCAAAATTTATTCCTGAACTCTCGCCTCCACTTTTCAATAGAACGTTTCATTTTGGGATTCGACGAACATTAAGTCTTGGGAGGAAGAACAAGAGTTTGAAAGAGAACATATTCCAGCACGCACCGGAAGTTCATGAAAACACTGGTGAATATAGAAGTAAACAAAAACCATTTGAACAGGTAGGTACGCATTTCAAACGTTCAAAACCTCGAACCGGTTCAATCCTTACCATAAGTCCAGATTTCCAACCACGAATCGATTATGTCCCGTTGGGGGATATTGATGCTTTCGACAAAGGATATTTGAATGAGGTGAGACAATCTCTAATCAACCTTAGAAGAACTCATCAGTTATCTTGAAAACGTTTCTAATATACATTTAATTTACTAAATTACAAATATTTATCGAGAATTACTTCTGGTTTTGTTCATAGGAATTGACGAATAACTTGAGAATCTTCTTACCAAAACTCTTTTTAGCTTTTTTAGGCTTATTAGTGAACACTCCATGTTTGTCAACAACAACTCCTGGAATATCATTGTTTACGCCTTTATCGTTAGTTGCCAAAGTAGAACGTGAAGGTTGAGGGGATCTGTCATCAGAAGACTCAGTGAGTGGAGCTGAATCATTCTTTTTTGGGAAAGTTCCCTCGGTTGGACTAGCAAATGCACTCGAGGCTTCAACGTCTTGGTTAGTAGTTTGACCAACAGGTTCATAAATCTTAACATTTTTATCACTCACAGTCAAAGGTTCATCAATAACAAACGCTTCACGGTTCTCATTATGAATATTCTCATTATCCCAATCATCTTCAACTCCATGTTCACCATCTTCATTTGGATAATCAGAAATCCTCCTGATAGCGGCACTCAAATCAGCTGAAAATTTGGAGCTTACATCAGAGTCAGAATCATAAGCATTTGGAGGTTGGAAGCTATCATCAGTATCTTCCGTTCTACCAAGTTTGATTAAATCCGATAATGTTTGAGGTTCTTTGGTTCCAATGATATCATTATTAAAATTGGCGAAAGTGTGGACGTTTTTATCCTCTTTGTTCAAAATTGTGTCATCATCACCATCACCATCATCTCCATTAGATTCTTCCACAATTGGTTGTTCCACAGGCACACGAGATTCCTCTTCAACAACAATTTCCTTTGGTGACTTCACACTATTGGATCTAGATACCTTTCTTGAGACAGAGCCTGGACTTCCCAAAACATCTTCATATTCATCAAGGTCAGTATCCACATCGGTTGAGATATCATTCAAAAGAGGTCTTGGAATTTCTGTATTCTTTTCGAATGATTCAAACTGTGGACTGTTACCAATGATAATTGGTGAAACTTCGGGTTTACTTATGTTTGACTTACTTGTTTGACCAGTCAAAATATCAGGTTGCTTAAACTCTGAACTTGACTTCTTTATCACAGTGGAGTCTTTGACACCGTCATCCTTAGCATCGAGTGGTTGGGATTCGAAATTTGTCATCAAATTAGGGCTAGGTAAGGATTCCAAATCACCTCTTGGTAATGGCCTTGGTCTTATGAAAGCCTGGGGAGAGTCAAAAGTCTGTTCCTGCCTAATCTGAGGAGTTGGCATGGAAGGTACCTCAGAGTACCTTTTATTGAGAACTTCGTCAGAATCTTGAGGTTGATCCGTAGTTACAGCAGTAGCAGCTTCCAAAGCCACCTCGCCAACTGCTTCATCCAATGGATCGACCTTTTCATAGATTACTTCTTCACTTTCAACCACCTTCGAATTTCCATTTTTATGGACGACTGGTACCTCATCAAGTTCCCCTACAATGCTATCATTGGCATTATCACTCACTTGTCTTCTTGGTGACCCATCAAGTACACCATCAGATAATGAATGATTAATGGAAACTGTTTCGTCATCCTTCTTTCTACGAGAGAAAAGACCTCTGATAGGGCTCTTCTTTTTATTCTTGGTTTCATTGAGCTTACGTTTTTCTTCTTCTTTTCTACGCTTTTCATCTTCCTTCAATTGTTTTTCATAATCCTTTCTTTGTTTCTTCTCCAACTTAGCTCTTTCTTTCCTTGAGGAAGCTTTCGAATCTTTGTCATCTCTCATAGAGTGAATTTTGAAATCTTTGTGATGATTTTCATAAATATAATTGTCATTAACACCTGAATGTCCCAAGACTTGTAATTTCTTGTCTTGTTTATCTTTCTTGTCAACCACTTTTCGTGGTACCGACTCAATCTCCGGGGAAGGAGCTAATGTCGTTTCGTCCTTTTTAGCTCCATAAACTTTCTGCATAGCGACTTTCATAGCTTTATCATATAATTCTTGATTTGACACTTGAGGTTTCTCATAATGATAAATCGGAATGGTTTCAACATTATCACTGAATTTGATCGAGCTTGCTGAAGTAGCTGAAGCATTGGACGTGATATCTCTTTCTCTAACTGGCGAAGTTTTCTTGGGGATTTGGGGAACTTTGAATTTAGGAGGATCTGATAAAGGATTACCAATAGTCTTGTAAGGATGATTAGGCGAAGAATGTATGGAACCAATTTCAATATCGTCTCCGCCTTCTACTGGTTTCGGACTTTTCAAGATAGACTTTAAAGGTTTATCTTTCTTGTCAGGTGAAATTTGAGTGTTACTATTTAATTTTGGAGATGCATTCAAACTGGAACTGCCCAAATTTGGAGATGTTTGAAGATTTGCAGTACTTATCTTAGGAGAATTCAATGGGGAATGTAATTGTGGGGTGGCATTTGACGAAATATTGGAATTGTTATTAGAATCAACACTTAAATTAACATCATCCCGATTCAATTCCAAATGATCAGGATGATTTAAAGGTAATTCATTATCTAATTCATAATTGTATTCGAAATCTTGCAAGTCTTCGTCAATTTTATGGAGATTATAATCTTGAGGAGAACTAGTTAAAGAATTATTCCTGAAACTATTAGTCCTTAAACTATTATTTCTCAAACTATTTGAACGTGATATGTTTTTGGTGGTAGTTTCAATAATATTGGAACCATCAGGCAAAGTTTTGATTGTTTTAGTTGTTATTGATTGAACCCTACCTTGACTATCAACGACTTTAGTGGTTTGAGTTGTTATTATGGTTTCACCGTCATCTTCATCTTCAAAATGATCTTGTTCCTGATATAAGTTTGAATTCCTTGAATTGTTACTATTCAAGGATGAATGTCTGTTGGAGGAGATTTTCTTTGGTGGTCTTAAATAATTATTTTGAATATCCTGTAAATGATTATTACTATTAGAATTTAATGAACTGAATCGTCTAGCGTTGGGTATGGCAGCCTGACCAGGTGTATATGATCCCTTAGGATGATAAGTATAAGTCTTTAAAGAATTAGATCTTTGACTTAGAGAATTATTCCTACCAATCTTAGGAGGTTGTGGAGGCTTCGTTTGTTGAGGCGTTGAATTTTGATGTAATCTTAAGGCAGCTAAAGCAGCTGATCCAGCACTATTACTTAAGGATTCAGTTCTATTGATCCCATTATTTGGCAAACCGGCAACGTTATTTTCATATTGTTGAACTTCATTTGAATATTTACTAAATCCTTGATAAGTGGATTTCTAAACATACGTTAGTACTCTTTGATTTCGCTTAACTCAGGGTAAACAAATTTCAAGTTGAAATCTGATACTGGAAAAACAATTGATCGACTGAAGCCGATGATTTGAATCGGTAAATACATACTCTACGTGAACCGAATATTGCCATTTTCTAAAGTAATGTCCTACGGTAAGATCAATTTCAAATTAGCAAATATGACCTCTGAAATTAACTTAAGGTTTGTGAAATTTTGAGAATTATCTGTTAACTTCACGAGAAAAGTCATGTGACTCTATTGTATGCGGAAATGTCATGGGTCATCAGGGTGACCATAAGCAAGGGTTTTTGAATAAGGAAATATGAAATACTCATCACCTGAATTATTGAAATCAAATCGGCTTAGTATGATGATAATATCGCTAATTTAACCATCTCACGATATTCCGAGTTTACTTTATCCAGTATTTACGTGTTTCCTTATCGTCAGACACATCCAAAGCATTCCGTGGATATCTGGACGAAAGAACTGTGCACTATACTGAATCCCCTAATAATCTAGTTAAAAAAAATATGGGTCCATAATTTGGCTGCAAATTGGGAAAAGAAATTTAGTAATGGGCTGCGAACTCTTAGTAATAAATTCTGAATACATTTTAACTGGTCACGACACCTTGTTTACGAGCCACCGAAGATCGAATCTGTTGCTTAGAGCAGTGAATCACGGTAATAAAATTTCTGTTTCTAACTACTGTGAATCTCCGTTTAAGACCTAAACTTAGAAAAAATATCTTTTAAATCCAAATACTTGTAAATAACCAACTCCTGACTACTATCATGTACCGACGTCAGTAAACATTTACAAACCTATCAAAAACTAATACCACTATTCGGAAAATTTGTAAACTTTCCAGAAAGTTAAGTCCGGCTTGATTACTAAACTTATCTTTTCGCATAAAGTGTATTATAAATCTGTACTAAAAAAATATTGTCATATAATTCGTTAACTATATAAGTTTTGGAAATCCCAATTCTGTCAGATTATTAGTGACAAGATTATTTTTACCTATCTTTTAATTATTTTGACGTTCTTCGGTTTGTTACTGAAGGTTAAAATCCCCCAACGGTATAGTAATATGGATTCAAACTTAGTTCCTAGAATTAGATGCAAAATTCCATACCCAACATACTTTATCAGTCATGGTGCTCCAACTATAATTCAAGAAACTAACGATAATTTGGCAACTCTTGAAGCTATTAAATCACTTAAAACTATTGGTTCCACAATTACTAATGATTTGAAACCTGATTATATCATTGTGGTTTCTGCTCATTATCAATCATCTTCAAGAAATTTGATTGAAATTTCCATTAACAAAGATACAGATCATGAAAATAAGCTAGTCTACGACTTTTACGGGTTTGATAGGAGTTTTTATACTCAAAAATTCGAATCTCGTAGTAATGTTATGGTTGGATGTATGTTATATGATCAATTGAAGAAGAATGGATTTGAGGCTAAGATCTTTGATAGAGGTATTGATCATGGAGTTTGGTGTCCCCTCAAAGTTATGTTTGGTGAAAAATTGGATATTCCTTTAATTCAAGTTTCCTTACCTTATAGTGAAGATTTTGATGAGAGTTACAAATTGGGAAAGACTTTGAAATTCTTCAGAGACAATTTGATCTGGGATGAAACTTCTAAGTCTGATTTAAAGGGTTTAGTCATTGCTTCAGGATCTTCTGTTCATAATTTAAGAGACTTTAGATTATATTCATCAAATAATAGATTACCTTATGTTGACAAATTTCATAAGCTTATCGACGAAACATTCCAAAAGTCTTCACCATTAACTATCTTAGAGAACTTAAAGAATTTCAAGAAAGATAGTAATTATAAACAATTATTATATCAAGCTCACCCTACTTTAGAACATTTCTTACCTTTAGTTGTTGCTGCTGGTACTGACGATGGTAAGAATGAATTCAACAAAATATCTTCATCAGGTGTTTTAGCATTAGGGTATGGTTATTATCAATTTGGTACATGGGATGAACCAAAGAAGCAAGAAGTTTAGTGATATAGAAAGTAACTGTAAAGTAGCCGGATCTTTTTATTGTAGCATTAAATATATATTTATGGGTCTTTAAAGCAATTTACAACTCTTTAATATGATGGAATATGATTTTCTATAGTTTTACTGATTAATCAGCCGAAATTTTCAATATAATTCTAATTTTTTAATAATTGATTCAAAGCAGTTGAAATTCCTTGTTCATCTAATCCTTCTAAATTAGTTTTGAATTCTTTACCTTTTTCAAATCTAGCAGTAATACTTGGTGGTATACCATAACTTTCTCTGATTAATATAGGTAAACTATTTTTGGTTTGAGTTTTCAAACTTGGGTAGTTGGTGGTTAAGAACTTTCTTAATGGAACAGAGGCTTCTCCTGTTTGTGATAAATGGAATCTTAATTCCCTTAAAGTGGTTGGTATAATGAATTTTGACATCTTTTGATTATATTTGAATTTGATGAATTTTCACTGGGTGAGAATTTTCGTGCGAAATTCCCATACAAAGAAGGAGGAGGGTGGAAGGGGACTGAGGAAGGGGAGTTAAGAAAGAGAGAAGAGTTCGATAACCGAACTGGAGTAACAATCAATGATATAAACACCATCAAAGATTGACCAATTATTACATCCATGAGGTATCATTACTTAATTACTTAAGGTTTAAATACTAAATCCGAGATCATTTATTTAATGAAGAGGATCGACCCGATCTCATGTTATTGTCCATCTCTGAACTACCGTTGGTCTTTTCCATCTTTCCAACCATCTTTCAGTTAGAACTTCCCTCATCTATGTTCTCTCATCTCTGGGGTTATCACAAGCAGCAATTATTTCGCATCAAAATCTCACTTAAACATGAACCTCTCCAGGAGATTACTAACCAGATATAAGTTCTACGATTTGGTGCTACAAACGCCCACACACCCACAACAACCTATTGAATCATCATTGATGACAGATGTAGAGTTGAAAACTTTGAAATCCACGACTAAAACGACGTTTGAAGGGAACTATTCTATTGATGTAGACCCCAAGGAAAGACTATCGAAGCTTTTTGGCACTAGACTAAGCGGAGAAACCAGGACTTCGTCATCAAGACTCACAAGGGGACAACCAAGAACCATAATGGGTGTCAAAGTTCCCGACAAACCTCCAGAACCAGATAACTGTTGTATGTCTGGGTGCATTAATTGTGTATGGGAATTGTATAAAGATGATATTAAAGAGTGGAATGACATAAGGAAAGAAGCTGCAGAAAAACTTAATAAATCGAAGAGTGATTTCATATGGCCAGCTGATTTTGATCCACCGATAAAATTCTTAGATCAACATCATATCCCACTTGAGTTAAGAAAGGAGAAGGACATCAAGAAGATAAAAGAAACCGAACCAGCAGACCCTTGGGACAATGTTCCTGTGGCTATTAAAGTATTTGCTGATGCCGAGAAGAGAATAAAAGCTAGAAAATTAGAAAAAGAGAAGAAATTGAAACAATCACTGATGGCATCTTCTGAAGCTTCATGAATTCTTGAAATACAGAGCAGTAGTGGAAAGGGTTGTAACGACCATTATAGCATTAAAATACACAGCATAACTATTCATCTAAATCAATTCCTTTAGATTTATAAAAAGCTTTAGCTTCATCAATTTGACCTAATAATTCCTTATATTTTTCTGGTTTATCTTTGAATGTTAAAACTCTGTAACCTAAAACAGCTAATGAATAAGCTCCTAATGAAACAATTGCCCACAATGGTAAAAATGGTAAGATTTCATTATAAAAAATTTCTGGAGTTGGAATGACTTTAGCGTAAATACCAAAATAAATTGATGATATAGCAAACACAGTTAACAATGCTTCGGTAGCTTTGGTCATGTTTTATGTAAAATTTAGTTGCAGTAATGTAAAGCAAAGTACCTCAACCGAATGTTTGAAATCTTTGAGAGAGTGAGAATCCTACGTGTTTTTTCCTATTCTATTACATAATCATTACATAATCAGTTCTTGTTTGATAAATTCTGTTAATTTAGATAGTCTATCCCCCATAGACGAATCCATACGTTTGATTTTCAGGATGATTTCATCAGCACTTTCAGGTATAGGTGATTCGGTTTCTGATGATTCTTCATCAATTTCTTCGTCAACTTCAATGTCAACTTCAGGATCTTGTTCATTATCTTCATTATCGTCTTCTTCATCAAGTTCATCTTCTACATCCTTATAATTAGTATTTATGAGTTTCGTTATTTTCGTTCTATCAACTGGCTCTTCTTTGATTAGTTGTTGTAATTTGTACTTAATAACTCTTCTTATCGTTTCAATAGTCTGTCTATTAATCCATCCATCATTTTTCAAGTCCAAATCTCGGAAAAACTCACCTTTTTTCCTAGATGTTTCGATGATTGATTCAACATCTTCATCTATAACATCACCAATCTGATACGTGATTGTCGATGGTAAAACATCACCTTTAAAGATCAATCTACCATCAATTTTAACCTTATTGATCGATGCATTGGATAGTTTAGAAAATTCATTGAAAGATTTGACCGATTGTGGCAACACCCTTTCCGACAGATCTGATGATTTGTGACGGAAATTATATGAGGAAACTCTAAAATATTCACTTTGGAAAATCCAATACTGTTGTGAAGTCTTGGGATCAACTCCTAATTTAATATTACAAAATCTCCATGGCCCGTTTTTGTAGATATAAGTCACGTAAGGTAATGCCTGTTTCAAAACTCTTTTGTGTTCATTGGAAACAATGTCTTCTAAATGCTTCCTCAACCAAATAGGTTTAATTTCGAAAATCTCCTTTAACCATTTAATACAACCTAATAAATCATAGTTGAACGAATTTGGAACCAATTGCGAATTCATCAACTCATTGAATGACTTGACAAGTTCAGGGTGTGGCTCCATGGGTGTGGCAGAATTGTTGACATCTAAAACTTTACTATACAATTTAGGTAATGCCTTTTTGGAAATAACTTTCAATTCACCAGTCTCTGTCTTGATGGTTTCAGTGGATTGATTCTTTGCATATTGATAATCCTGAACTTGTTTTATACTTGTAAACACGGCAGGTGGTGGTAATTGATGATCGCCATTGAAATAGTTTTCAGGATTCTTGTAATCTTGGTTATTCAAAAACTTATCTTCACCAAACAATTCTTTGAATGTCTTAAAACTATAATTATTTATTAACTTATCATTGATTTCATTGACCATTTGATTGTTTTTGGTATTGATTTGGAAATCATTAATTGATTTGAAAGAAAATGTTTTGTTTATAATACTTATAGGTTGAATGTTTGTACTTCCGTTGTTATTTTCATTGATCTCGATGATCTCTCTCAAACTCAAGGATTTGTAGTTGGGTGGCAAATTCTTCTTGGGAACAGTAACTTTGATGAGTAACTTCTCTCTTTCATTGCTTATAGATTGAATAGGATGATGGAACCTGTCATTTCTTAATCTCAATTCAAGCTGAGGTTTCTTATTTTCAACAAAGGAAGTAGGGCCTGCTGCTTTCTTCAATTTTTCTTGGCCACCCAACATATTGACCGCTTTTCCAACATCATTTACTATTAAAGGTAATTCAATCGCTGTCACATGGGGAATATCCATAGAAAACTCTTCAGCTAACTTCTTACTCATATTGGTGATTTCGCGTTTTCAGGATTCGAACTGTGAGAATATGAGAATTCAAAACAGGAAGTAAGGAACAGAAAGTAATTTGATTGCCATTTATTAAGTAAAAGAGTAACCTCTGGTAAAAACTGATTTACTTCAAAGAAACCTAAGAAACTAGGTATTTGAAATGCAAAAAAATTATCAAAAAAAGAATGCCTTCACTCGGATTCGAACCGAGGATCTCCTCATTACTAGTGAGGTGCCTTACCAACTTGGCCATAAAGGCTTGTATACACAAAAAGCTTGATCGACAGTCTAGATTCGCAAGATAAAACTATTCCGACATTGTCGTCATAGTCTCTACAATGTCTCGGGTATTAGTAGATACAGATATATGTAGTGAATACTAGAATAAAAATTCGTTGCACGATCGCCACTGCTTGTTCATTGTTTTATGAGTAGCAGGAATTTCAAGTGGTGTATTTTAATAAGAAAATATTCACAAATTTTAAAATAGATGAAGAATATTCTTGAAAACTGCAAAACTTACCAAATATTCGAATATTTAAGAATTTTTATGATTAATAATTTCGCCTTTTACAAAACATTTAAAGAGAATTCACGAAATAGAGTCAAAAACCATGCTGTATCATTAACCTATTCATCTATCATTGCATCAACATTTTCACCATTATCATTAGTTTCATTATCATCTTTAATACCTAAAATTACATCTAATTCAGGTTTCTTTTGACTGATTAATTCATTAAATTCTTCATGATGTTCTTTCTTATATTGTTCCAATTGTTTAAACTTTTCAACACTTTCCATAAATTTAAGCATGTTAACACCAGAAGCTGCTTCAGCTTCTAAATTAGTATAAGGTTTGACTTTTAATTGTTTAGCTCTTCTTTTATGAACTTTAGATTTTGTATGTCTATCCAAAGATAATTGATTTTCATAATATTTAGCACATTCAATACAATAATATTGTCCTAAACCTGGTAAAGTTTCATCAATTGGTTGGTTCTTTAACTTTTGAATTTTTTCTTGAGATGATAAATCATCGAAAATTAAATCAAGATCCTTCGTTCTTCTTTTAGTTTTATATCTTTTGATACTATATCTACCCATTATCAGCTATTATCAGTTATTAAATTGATAAGATCAAAAACTCAATTATGAGATGAGATGCGAATAACTTTTCTATCGTGAGGGTATAGCCCTAAAACATCACGTGTCATACACTACGCATCTCACCGTCACACGAAAGTAGTGGCGGTACCATTACAAGGAAAATGATTGAAAATTAATCTCAATTTGAAAATTTCTCACAACTTACTAAGTTAATAATCAGTATGTATAACTCAATGTAGGTTTAGTGTTTAAAGGGAGTTAAAATTCAACAAAATTATTAGTCATGATGACGAATACTATCCCAAAGTAGTCAAATAAGTTTTTTCCCGGCGTTTGAAGAGGTTCTATCGAAGATTTAGTGAAGAGTCAAAAAAGTTGAGAATGATTAATAAGCATCGATTGATCATATAAATAATTTCCCCATTCCACAAATTTTTTTTGCCACAAGAATTATTTACTAACTATTTAGAAAATGGCTAGAAGACCAGCTAGATGTTACAGATACTGTAAAAACAAACCATACCCAAAATCAAGATATAACAGAGCTGTCCCAGACGCTAAAATTAGAATCTATGATTTAGGTAGAAAGAAGGCTTCCGTTGATGAATTCCCATTATGTATTCATTTAGTTTCTAACGAATTAGAACAATTATCATCAGAAGCTTTAGAAGCTGCCCGTATTTGTGCTAACAAATATATTACCAAAATTTCAGGTAGAGATTCATTCCATTTAAGAGTTAGAGTCCATCCTTTCCACGTCTTAAGAATCAACAAGATGTTGTCATGTGCCGGTGCTGATAGATTGCAACAAGGTATGAGAGGTGCTTGGGGTAAACCTCACGGTTTAGCTGCCAGAGTTGATATTGGTCAAATTTTAATGTCAGTTAGAACTAGAGATAACAACAAAGATGTTGCTATTGAAGGTTTAAGAAGAGCTAGATATAAATTCCCAGGTCAACAAAGAATTATTATCTCCAAGAAATGGGGTTTCACTCCATTAAACAGAGATGAATACGTTGCTAAAAAACAAAATGGTGAAGTTAAAGATGATGGTGCTTACGTTAAATTCTTATCAAGAAAAGGTAACTTAGAAGCTAACTTAAGACAATTCCCAGACTTCCAATACCAAGCTTAAATTTAGTATGTATTGAATAAATCTTAACCTTTATCTATTTTCTCTATGAATGTTCTTCGTACGGTTTGTGAATTTCTCATAATGATCACTCTAAGCAACTTTTCATCAGTTCTCTACAGGCTCAACCTTCGGACTTCATCCATTATCAAATTCCAGCTAGTCGTCTAAGGATCTTAAGACATAGGCTATAGTTAGTACGACACAGAACGTGTCGTAACAGAAGTGGAACGCGCCAAAGTCGACAAAATTTTCAAAATATTTAAGTACGCCATTTTGTCTTGAAATCGTTGAGCAAAAATAGCTGAAAAAAAATTATAATGTCATTCCAAGATAAAGAAGATCCAAAGACTTTAGTCTTATTCGATGTTGATGGTACTTTAACCCCAGCCAGATTAGAAGTTTCAGATGAAATGAGAGAAACTTTAGTCAAATTAAGAAAGAAGGTTGTTATTGGATTTGTTGGTGGTTCAGATTTAAGTAAACAAGTTGAACAATTAGGAGCAACTGTTTTAGATGACTTTGATTACTGTTTCTCAGAAAATGGTTTAACTGCTTACAGATTAGGTAAAGAATTAGCTTCAGCTTCTTTCATTGGTTGGTTAGGTGATGAAAAATATAACAAATTAGTTAAATTCATCTTAAGATATTTATCTGATATTGATATCCCAGTCAGAAGAGGTACTTTCATTGAATTCAGAAATGGTATGATCAATGTTTCACCAGTCGGTAGAAATGCTTCAACTAAAGAAAGAAATGAATTCGAAATCTATGATAAACAACATAACATTAGATCAAAATTAGTTGATGCTTTAAAAGAAAACTTTGCTGATTACGGTTTAACTTACTCTATCGGTGGTCAAATTTCTTTTGATGTTTTCCCAACCGGTTGGGATAAAACTTATTGTTTACAACATGTTGAAGCTGAAAACTTCAAAGAAATTCATTTCTTCGGTGATAAATCTTACAAAGGTGGTAATGATTATGAAATCTATAACGATGAAAGAACTATCGGTCATGCTGTTGAATCTCCAGCTGATACCATGAGAATCTTAAATGAAATCTTCAAGTTATAAGTTTAATAAATAATATTTCGCAACTATTCCCCCCTCTTTTTGCAGCCATTTTCTATAGATCTCTATAAAACGTTTTATCATATTAAGACTATTTACAGAATTTAAGTACGTTTATAATAAATAACGGAACTGTCACCACATGCTTTGATTGTTTGTGTGACTTGAGTTTTTTTGATTTTCAAAGATTTCAATTGTAATCTATTATTAGGGTCATTGATTTTTCTGGTTAAATTACTGATATCTTTTGATCCCAAATCTTCAGGTTCGATTAATTTTGGAATTGATGAAGGTTTTGAAGTTTTAATGAGTTTCCCATTACCTAATTGACCAAATTCATTATCTCCGAAAACTACCACATCCTTTTGATCAGTAACATTATTGAGTTTCATGATAGTATGGTTTTTACCACAGGTAATTGAATCAACTGAGATTCTTTGAAGTTCTTCCTTTTCCTCATTGAATTCACTGTTGATGATAGATTTAATGATTTTGGGGGTATTGCTAACATGTAAAAATCTATTGATACCCAATTGACCTTTGACCCCATTACCCATGGATAAAACTAAATCGTCAATGTTGTTACCATCTCTATAATTCAATTTGATCAAAGAAGTTTCAGCATTGGCATAAACTTGCTCAACAGAAAAGTTTTCCGATTTAACTTTTGGATATTGTTTTTTACAAATGTAGGTGAAATCATCCAATGATAATATTCTCTCTGGGACTGATTGAACACTTGTTTTGTAACTAACATCTTTTCCACATTGGCCATAAGAATTTTTACCCCACGTCCAGACATTACCATTGGAGTCAGAAACAATGTTGTGATGATTTCCTGAAGCAATGCTGGTAAAAAATCTTGGTTGGATGGATTTGTTTGATCTTGTGACTTTAATTTCATTATTCAATAAGGTCAATTCAAAAGGTTTATTTACAGGTATTTTTGGATCATTGATGGGTGAATATTGAGGTAATCCAAATTGTCCAAAATTATCACCTTCATTTGTTTTCATAGTGAAGACTCTTCCTTTATTGGTCAACATCAATAAATGGCTAATACCTCCAGCAATATCTTGGATTTTTTCACCTTTATTTAACAAATTAATTTTGTCTTCAAAGAATGAAATATAATTATTATCATATTGTTGGGAAACACCCAACCAGTTACGACTTCTAGACCCTTCAAAATCCAAAGATTTATCAATTCTAGGAGTTATGGATAATTCACCTTTGGAAGTTAATAAATAAAGATATTCTGGTGATATGTGACATTTTTCAACTTTAAAAGGTAATTTGATTAATTCTGGTGTCTTTGAACCGGTTGTTTGATATAATTTCCCATAATCATCAATAACTACTAATAAATCATTATCAATTTCAACATCTTTGATGGTCATATCATCAAAAAATGGTATTCTTGTTGGCAATTTTTGATTATTTTGAGAACCAAAAAGGTAAAGTCCAGTAGATGATTCGGAATCTTTACAGTTAGCGATAAAATCTCCCTTGATGATATCTTGTAATTTTGATTTCAAGAAGGAGAAATCTTTGGAATTCTTCTTGGTTTTTAATTTATCTTCATCGATATCGTACCATGATTTGAATACTCTAGCTTTGTACCAATCCCAGTTGAACATGAACTGATGTACCATGACCAAACCTACAGCTACACTTAAACCTCCACCAATAGCCTTAAATTTCTCTCTTCTTTCTTCAGAGTTGTTTTGACGTTCTCTTTCCCTTCTATATTCATGATTGATTTCGTCCAAAAGTTCTTTGTATTCAGGAGAATTAGGTTCAATTCCTTGCAATCTAGGATCTTTTTCTATCATTTCGTTGATATTAATTTGTTCTTCTTGTTCCATAGCTTCATAAACTTTAGAATGAATATCATCACTATTTTGAGTTTTCAAATTGTCAAACTTTTTATTGAAATTATATTCAGTTTTCAGATTATTGAATTCTTCAATGTTCTTATATTTGTTATACTTTTGATCTGAGTATAATCTAAAAGTTAGACGAGGAACTCTGACCAAACATCTTGAAAGAGGTTTGATTCTTAACATCATCAATTTTCAATTTCGCACCAAAAGTTTGAGGATTTATTACCAATGATTAGATTATTGATACCTTCAAGGACATCAATATTCTACCAACCACAAAGTCTTAGATCCACCAGACTTTTAACGTCAATAACCAAATTCGATACAAAGAAGTTCGTTGACAGTTTACAGAATAATGGAGGATTTACACAACAACAAGCAGAAACCGCTGTCAATATTGTAAATAAAGCCATAAATGATGGGATTTATTCAATAACAAGAAATTTGGTCACGAAAGAGAGTTTGTCATCAACTGCATATGAACAAAAAGTTGATTTTGCTAAATTAAAAGGAGAATTACAAACTATGGATAAGTCTGAATTTAATAATTTAAAGAAAGAAACAGAAAACTTAAGAACTGATTTAACCAATTTGAAAAACAGATTGAAAGAAGAGATGACAAAGAATCAAGCAGGTGTTAGGTTAGATTTAAATTTAGAAAAAGGTAGAATAAGAGAAGAAAGTTCCATTCATGAACTGAAAATTGAAGATACTTATACAAGAATTGATGAAGAAATATCTAATATTCAAATGCAAATAAAATCTACAAAAACTCAAGTTATGCAATGGTTAATTGGGGTCGGGTCTGGTACTTTTGCTCTTTTCTTAGCTTTTGTAAGATTTTTCGGTTAATTTATGTAGATATATATATCTCAGGTACCTTATACTGAATGCGCAAACATTTTCTCAACATTGTTTTGACAGGTATAACGTGTCAGTCGCAAACCTAGATGAACTCGTTATATAACCATGGAGTTAAACAGACTCAATTAATTACTAAAGATTTGTCATCATTTGAAAAAAATGTTTCAACATCTCCTTTATCACTACAAGGATCAATCAGTACATCATTAAATGCATTTAAAAAGACTATAAAAGAATATAATGATTTGATAAAACAAAATACTAATGATGCTAATATAACAAAGCAAGAAACTAGATTAGAAAAATTCAATCAGGATTATGCTGATTTTAATAAAAAATTTCAAGAATTAAAACAACAAAGAGAAAGTTCAATTCAAGAATCTAATAGACAAGAACTATTAGGTAGAAGGAATCATTTATCAGAAAATCCATATGATCAAACATCAGGAGTATCACCAAATCATCAACATTATCAACAACAAGACATGTCATATCAAGAAGGTCTTTATAAAGAAAGTAATTCATTAGCAAGAGGTAGTCAACAATTGGATCATATTTTAGAAATGGGACAAAATGCATTTGATGATATTATTGAACAAAATGAAACTTTACAAAAACTTGGAGCTGGATTAGAACAAGGTTTATTGACTTTAGGTGTAAGTCAAGGTACAATAAGGACAATTGAAAGAAGAGCCAAACAAGATAAATGGTTATTTTGGGGTGGTGTAATTTTAATGATAATATGCTTTTATTACATATTGAAATTCTTTAGATAATTTAATACATATTCTCATGCATAGTTAAGCAATTTCATGTAGGTATATATTCTTGATGTCCCCACAAAGTCAAGATTTCGATTCGAGATCACTGATGAGCCTCCAGTAACTTTAGATATGAAAATCCAAAAACTATAATTTCAGAGGATTTTAAGAAATTTTTATACCCCATAGACAAGATTCCATGATTTAGCCCATCAACTTACAACCTAATATTTTCTTTTCTTCTTATAGAAGTTTATTCAATGTTGGACATGAAATTTGCAAGGCTTCTGAGCTTTTAATTCATGATGATCGTAAAAAATATACCTCGTTTACCTAAAAAGGTAATACAGAAGAGAAACGAATAACCTAATTAGGTTAGTAACATACTCCTCATAAGGGCTTAAATCAAATGTCTAATTAATGTCTTCACAAACTATGAACATTTTCCCTATTCAGATCTCAATTAGTGACATTGTTTTGATGAGATTCAATTACTATTCCCGAAAAGGAAATTTTTTTTGCAGTCCAAAAATCATTGAGACGTTTCAGAATGTATGGGGATTTACTTAGTTTTTGTTTTATAAATGAATACTTTCCCTGATTTCGGAAAAATAAACTATAGATTTCATTTCTTCATTTTTAAAATAATACCCGAATAATTTAGTTGAATTCATTCCTTATGAAAGTAGATAAAGTGGTTCTCTTATCTTTATTGATAAGTGGTATAAATGGTGAATTAAGAAAAAGAATTGAATATGTTACTATGGTAACAACTGTTGATATGGCATATTCTGATTATGTTAAAGGTTTAGCTGGTTCTAATCCTCAAGCTAATACTGTAGCTACTCCAGCAACTCAAGCTCAAGTTCAAGCTGCTGCAACTTCAACCCCTGCTTCAACATCAAGATCAGGTGGATTAAGAGGTGCATTATCAGGATTATTTAGTGGTCTTCTTGATTATTTTGATGGTGATGATGACACTAGTAGTAGCGGTGCTAATACCCAACCTGCAGTAGTAGCTACCACTCCAGCAACCGCAGCTGCTGTTGCTTCATCAGCTGCAGTAATTGTTCCAACAGCTGCAACAGTTGCCAGTTCTTCAGAAGATAGTGGATGGATTTTACCATTCACATGGCCTCATAAATCATCTACCACCTCAACAGGTGGTTTATTCACTTCCACTCAATCATCCTATCAAACGGCATCAGGAATTGATGTAGACACAGATCCTGATCCAACTGCCAGTGGAGAAGATTCAGCAGTTATTTCTCAAGTTATAAAATATGCCGAAATGGGAGGAGGAATTGCTTATTCACCAAAGACGAAATCAGGTCAATGTAAATCAGCTTCACAAGTTGCTTATGATATGAAAATTTTACAAAATTTTGGTATCATTAGATTATATGGGGTTGAATGTAGTGGAGTTCAAAATGTCATAAATTCCATGAGTTCATCACAAACATTATTTGCTGGTATTTGGCCAATTGATAGTACTAATTTACAAAATGATTTATCAACATTGAAAACAGCCGTCGAAAGTACAAGTAGAGGTTGGGACGCTATTCATACTATATCAATTGGTAATGAATTAGTAAATTTCGGTACAGCTACTCCAAATGATATCAAAACTGCTTTACAAATAGGTAGAAATTGGTTGAAACAAAATGCTTCAGGATATTCTGGACCTGTTGTTTCTGTTGATACATTAGTTGCAGTATTAGCTAATCCGGAATTATGTGATTTATCCGATTACATTGCTGTCAATGCTCATCCATTCTGGGATGGAAGTGTTAGTCCTGAAAATTCAGGTTCATTCTTAACTTCTCAAATAAGTCAATTAAAGAGTGTTTGTAATAATGGGAAAGACGTTTTGATTACCGAATCCGGATGGCCCACTAAAGGTGATAATTATGGTAGTTGTGTACCATCATTATCAAATCAATTAAAAGCTGTTAAAAGTATTGGTCAAACTTTAGGTGATCAAGTATTAATGTTCACTACTTATAATGATTATTGGAAAGATCCTGGATCTTCAGACGTTGAACAATATTGGGGTATATATGGTGATCCAAACGCTTAATTAAGGTTTCTCTGAATAAAAATATGATTAAAATGAATATATATATATTATATTATCAATGATCTCAGTTATAAAGTATCTCAGTTATAAAGTCGTGGACTTAATCTCGTGTCTGGCTCATGATACTGAAAAGTTCTCGCGGTTGGAAAAACAAAATAATCAAAGATGGCACCAACTAAGAAATTAATCAATAGACTTAATGCCATCGTTGAATCATGTGAACAATTGAAAGATGATAGTGATCAACCGATTTATGAAACTTTCAGGAAATTACCACCCAGATCAGGAAATGCCAATCATTATTATAAAATCATTAAACATCCAGTTTCATTTCATGGTATAAGAAGTAAGATTAAAACTAGTTATTCAACACCTCAACAATTTGTTGATGATTTAGCACAAATGAGTTGGAATGCTAGATTTTTCAATCAAAAAGGATCAATCTATTATAATCATGGTGTTGTTTTAGATAAATTTCTCACATCAGTTGTTATTCCAAGATTCAAAAGTGATAAAGCTATAGAAGGTGACGTTAAATATCCTAATTTACCTCCAATAGAAGATGATACTAATTTATCAAATGTTTTATTATCAGGAGGTTTAAATAGCAACTCTGGAATTCAAACCCCTAATGATAATGACGAAGATTATAATGAAGATGAAGATTATGATGATTTTACTACTACTACTCCTCAACCAAATTATTATAATAGATTACCACCAACTGGTCTTAAAGGTCCAGGGACCGCAGAAACTGGTATTAAAAGAGGTAGACCACCAATTGTTGACAGAATTTTCGAAACCAGAATCAAGTTGATTTTAAAGAACTTTAAGAAATTGAGACATCCACAAGACCCTGAAAGACCTTTAACTATTGCTTTTGATAGATTACCTGAAAAATCAGATATGAGATTCTACAATACATTCCCTGATCCTATGAGTTTAGGAGAAATAAGAACCAAATTAAGATCAAGAAAATATAAAAATACCGATGAATTTTTGAATGATTTAAATGAATTCTTCACCAACTATTTAAATTATTATCAACAAATGCCAAATTCGGCTATATATCAAGATTTATTATTATTCAAAGATGAAGCTGATTCAATAGTTGAAAATGAAATGAATAAAACTGATAAAGAGATTGCTGAATTAACATCTGCAGGAGGTGATGGAGTTATTAGATTACCCCTTGATGAAGTTAATGTTGGAGTTCATAATTATAAAGTTGGAGATTGGGTATTAATAAATAACCCAAATAATCCTGAAAAACCTACAGTTGGTCAAATTTTCCGGTTATGGGTAACTGACAATAAAGAATTCATTAATGTATGTTGGTATTATAGACCAGAACAAACTAGTCATAGAGAAGATAGATTGTTTTATATGAATGAGGTTTGTAAAACTGGTCAATATAGAGATCATTTAGCTAATGAAATCATTGGACCTTGTTTTGTTTTATTCTTAACAAGATATCAAAAAGGTGACTTACCAAGAGATTTCTTACCAGAAAATTGTCCTTGGTTCATTTGTGAATTCAGATATAATGAAACCAATCATGTTTTCAATAGAATTAGAACTTGGAGAGCTTGTCTTCCTGATGAAGTTAGAGATAATGAAGATCCTCCAGTTATTCCATTGGTTGAACCTCGAAAATTGATCAAATTTGAATCTCCTATCAAACACTTATTACCACCAAATGCCAATTACAATATGGAAATCCCTCCAGTTACTGAAGAACTTACATCACCACCTAATGTCGGAAGTGTTTATTCAAGACCTCCAGATGTTGATGATGATTTAGGTCAATATTATACCAGTCCAAATATCACCAGAAGTAAAGAAAATGATGATACATTACATGGTCGTAAAGCATTCATATTTACCCCAGTTTCTCAATCAAAATCTTTTGGTTATCCACCAGTTATAAATAACAATTCAAGTTTAACTAACTTCCAGAATGAATCAAGCCCTCAACCAAGTTATTATTTACCACCATCCCAACCAAGTTATTCCCCTTATAAATATAATAAACCTGAAAGGAAACAACCTACACCAACACCAAATGCTAATTTACATACTTCAACCTCAAACTATTCAATGTTATTACAAGGTGGAATAATAAGTTATGCCAAAGAAGATGATAACCAATTACAATTATTAAGTGATGGTATAATTAAAAGACAAAAACTTGATGGATCTAATGAAATTATTTGGTTTAGAGGTCCTCCACTTAGTGTTCCACAAAAAATCGTATCGACCAAAGAATTCCCTGTGGGTAATTCAGCTAAGTATTTAGCTTGGAAATCAAAAAGACAACAATGATATTGTGGGTAAACTAATGTATAGTAAAATGTATTTTATCTCATCGTCATTCTTATCGCGATTTATGACAGGTTTAAACATTGAAGATGAATAAACTGATGATTGAGTTCCATGAATACTTAAAATCATGCAAACGAATAGTGGCATTATGTGGAGCAGGTCTTAGTGTGTCATCAGGATTGCCTACATTCAGAGGGAGTCAAGGATTATGGAAGAATTTTAATATGATTGATTTAGCAACACCTGATGCATTTTATATAGATCCAGGATTAGTTTGGCAATTTTATTCTTGGAGAAGATATCAAGCATTACACAGTCAACCTAATAATGGACATAAAGCATTGGCGAAATTACTGAAACTTGAAAATATTGATTTTATAACGATAACCCAAAATGTTGATGGATTATCTATACGATCAAATCATGATAAATCCAAGTTATATGAAATTCATGGTTCGTTATTCGAATTGAAATGTACAAGTTTTACATGTAACTATAAAGATCATAATAATTTCAAACATCCATTAACAAATGCATTAAAAGAGACAGAAGAAGAATTTGAAAATGTACGGAAACGGAGATTTCAAGAAGATCAATTAAACAGTCCACAATTTAACCCCGTCAAAGAAATTAATGAAGATGAATTACCTAGATGTCCTATTTGTAATGATTTATTAAGACCTGGAGTAGTTTGGTTTGGTGAAAGTTTATCATTATCGATTTTGAATCAAATTGATAATTTTATTGAACAATCCGTCGACTTGATTTTAGTAGTAGGAACTAGTGGTACGGTTTATCCTGCAAATAGTTATGTTGATAGGGTAATTCATCAAGGAGGGAAAGTGGCAATATTCAATACAGATATTGAAGAAAGTTCATTAAAAGATAATGAAATTTGGGGATTCAAAGGCGATGCAGCGGAATTATTACCCATAGCTTTGAAGCCGTTGATTGACGAGTAAAAAAACACATCGATACGAACAATTCCAAAATTTGCATAGAAAATAATTAAATCCCCCAGGAATTCCTGATCAACAGTGGGGACATTGAGAATCCACAACCGGAGACATTAAGCTGTAGGTAACTACTTAGGTCACATAATAGATATTCTTGGGAAAATATCCCCTATACCTGTTGTTAGTTACGTCCCCGAATCGTTTAACAGAAGATCAAAATGCATAAGGTACCCATCATTCTATACATAGAGTAGAATTGACAACGAGATCGGAAAATCTAAAATAGGAATTATTGGCAGGTTAAAAATACCTTTGATTCAGGAGAGGTTAAGATGGTAGTAAATAGAAATAGGGCCAAAAAAATATAAATTACAGTCTATAATCATTAGTCATTATTCATTAACATTAAAAGGAATTTTCACTCTGAACTTCCTCTTCATCATCATCATCATCATTTGAATTATCGGAATCGAATTTCCCATCTATTTTCCGTCTCTTGGAAGGAGATTCCAATTTATCAACTCTTGATTTATAATAGGGATTACCAAGATTCTTTGAAAAGGAATTTTGTCTCGAACTTCTATTTGAATGGGGTAATGATGGTGGTAACGAATTGGGTAAAGAATTTGGTAACGATCCAGATAATGAATTTGGTAATGATGAAGGTAATGAATTCAATGAACTTAATGAATAAGAATCTTCGAAATTTGGTCTTAAAGGTGGTCTAAAGTTAATATTAAAAGTCTTTTCTTTCAATGCCAATTTTTTATCGTTAAAAATTGGGAACTTGGATAACTTATTTGAATAAGTATTAGTAAAAGTTTGAAATTCATTTTGATCAAGTAATGGTGATGACAATGTTAAGTCAGATTTAACTTCGAATTGACACTGGTTACAAGATTCTATATATCTTAAATCAAACTCCTCTAAAGCGTCAGCCAATTGAATATTCATTCTTTTATTGAATATGATGTGAATAAGGTAAAAATTTAGTGGTTTATATAACTTGTAAAAACTTTGTTGGTTTACAGATACGGATTATCAATGTAAGCAATTAAATGAAAGTAGCAGATATTTTGAAACTTTTTATGATATTTCTCCAAAATATATTGTTTTAATGTCTCCAGTGAATTTGGCTTGTTTAAGTAAAAATTGACAATTTCTCAATACTGAATAAATGGGGTTTTTAGTACAAATGATTTTTTTTTAGTTAAGTATAATTTCACAATTAAGGGAGTTTTCTAGATTAATATATGAAAGGGATTATTTATGATTTTAAAAGGAGTTTTCAAATTGAATGGAAATTAAACTTATCTGTAACGTCCACTACTGAGCTTCCACTACTTAAAAATAAAAAACCCTTATTTCTCAAATCGGTATAGAAAAATTCTGCAATATTGTTTCAATGTTTCAGTAGTGTAAATGGATAGTAGTGTAAATGGTCATAGTTATGAAGAGATATCGTAATTATGATTATTTTTTCCGGTGAAAAGTTCAATTCGAATATAGTGGGAGCACGTACTTAGTGAGATGAAATATCATATTCATGATAACATGATTAACTATCAATGAAAACTTGAATTATCGACTAAAAGTTAATCTTAAAATATAGTCACAAATTGGTCTGTAAATGAAAAAGAAAACTAGACCACTGTCTTTCCACTCCTTTACCCCTTTTGTCTTCATTGGGAAAATTGTCGTTACGCGATAAGGTGGTCTTGTTACCAAAATTGTGTCGGCCTCAATTTTAAACTATTCCTTACAAAGTTACTACTGGTCAATATTGAACAATATCCCTGAATTAATCGATGGTTCGATATGTATTTGATGTTAAAATTACTTTACACCCTTGAATTCCCAAACGTTGTCCACACAATTTCATAAGAGAAACTCAGTGATTCACGCGTTCAACGAGCTTTCCGAAAGGAGTTTAAGTTATAACCATTTTACTTGCCCCCTATAATTGGTTCGTATAACGTAAATGGTCTCCACTTTATTTCTAAACCATCAATTATCTTATCAATGATTTTCATAGTAGAATGATGGATATCGTACATGGCGTAAAATTGCTCTCGAGATAAAGCTTAATTCTTCATTAAGTAATAAGGCAAATCAACGTTTGTGGCATCACAATGTGCTCAGATGACTAGTTGAGTGGAATAATCAATATTTTTTTCAATTTATCTTATTTTTGCCACACTTTAACACTCGGTGCCTTTCAATGAAATTCATCATCAAATTTCATTCACTTACAGGTTGATATTCCACTTATTTTATATGTCGCATCCACTACTTTAGACAATTTTTTAATGTATAGGAGATCCGAAGATAAGAGATGTGGCGAATAGGTGGAAGGTGAACTATAGGGGGGAAATGCTTTGACAACATTATTTGCCAACCATATAATTATTTGGATCACGATTTACCGTTATAATTACGCTCGGCATACATATACTCCAAAAAGTCTAGGTCTATTTTACGAAATAGATTATCCGATGTCTTTTATCAACTGTCGTGACTTACAACAATCTTTGAAGTGATTTTCAATTACAATATGCCACCTCATCATTTACTCCAATCGGCTTACAATAAGCGTTGAAGGGAATTTTCACCCTTCGGAGGATTGTTCATTCCCATCACCAGGGTTGAACATACAATAGAGCCATTTGCGATATGGAAATACACTACTTATATGATTTTTCAAAGACATCGGATTTAAAAGATTGACACTCATCCTCAGATCTACAGATTTTCGGAACAAGCAACCAAAACTTCCTCATGACCCAACATCTGGACTCAAATGATGGTTGAATCACACTATCTCTTTCTTTTAATCATCGGCATCTATCTTGCGACATCCGAAAAATCCCCGTACATCAACGCGTCAAGGCATTTATTTTTGCTGGAAGATCTGTTTGGGAAATGCGTCGGATTTTGCTTGTAATTAGCGGGGGCCGCAGACTCGTGCAGAGACTGAGCCGTAAAAGCATAAGTTCATGTTGAATTAAAGGAGTCAATTGACGGAAGGGGGATTAACATCCATTAAACGAAATTACTGCTTCAGGTATAAACTGGCACTTAATAATGGATAAATGCGTTAATGATTCTCACCACTGAAATTTTCCAACCATAAAATATGTTGATCATGGTTGAATATCCTTCGATGATTCGAGAACAACGATCTACAGTACGAACAAGGCGACCGGTGACTGAGTTATCCAGGCGACTCAGTTATCCACTGAATGTGATCATCATTAATGACCTTGGTGACAAACCATAGTCACCCCGGACATACATCGGATGGAGTGGTTGATCACCTCAAATAATTTACCGCGACAGCTAGGTCCATGGTGGTACTACAAGAAGATTTTCGCAGTTCCATCTTCGACCTATAGGCCCTCTCCCGGTCGTGGCCGAACCCTTCTCACTCGGACAATAACCAACCATCTCTCATCAAATTTTCCCAATAATTAATCATGTTAAGATCTAATTTACAATTCATTAGATTGAATTCAACCAAAACTTTCGATGTTGCCATCATTGGAGGTGGTCCAGGTGGTTACGTCGCTGCCATCAAAGCTGCTCAATTAGGTTTCAAAACTGCCTGTATTGAAAAAAGAGGTGCTTTAGGTGGTACTTGTCTTAATGTTGGTTGTATTCCATCAAAAGCTTTATTAAACAATTCTCATTTATACCATACCATGCAACATGAAGCTAAAGAAAGAGGTATCGATATTGTCGGTGAATTAAAAGTCAACATTGATAATTTACAAAAAGCTAAAGAAAAATCAGTTAAAGGTTTAACCGGAGGTGTTGAAATGTTATTAAAAAAGAACAAAGTTGAATACTTAAAAGGTGAAGGTTCATTCATTGACGAATATAACTTAAACATTAAACCAATCGATGGATCTGAAGAATATTCAATTAAAGCCGACAATATTATTGTTGCTACTGGATCTGAAGTTACTCCATTCCCAGGTATTGAAATTGATGAAGAAAGAATTGTTTCATCAACTGGTATTTTAGCATTAAAAGAAGTTCCAAAGAAATTATCAATCATTGGTGGAGGTATTATTGGTTTAGAAATGGCCTCAGTCTGGTCAAGATTAGGTAGTGAAGTTACTGTTATCGAATTCCAAAATGCTGTCGGTGCTGGTATGGATGGTGAAGTTGCTAAAACTGCTCAAAAATTATTAACTAAACAAGGTCTTAAATTCAAATTAGGAACTAAAGTTACTAAAGCTGAAAGAGATGGTGAAACTGTTAAAATTCAAGTTGAAAATGTCAAATCAGGTGAAGCTGAAGAATTAGATGCTGATGTTTTATTAGTTGCTATTGGTAGAAGACCATATACTAAAGGATTAAACTTTGAAAAGATCGGTTTAGAAGTTGATGAAAAAAACAGATTAGTCATTGATTCAAATTTCAGAACTAAACATCAACATATTCAAGTTATCGGTGATGTTACTTTCGGTCCTATGTTAGCCCATAAAGCTGAAGAAGAAGGTATTGCTGCTGCTGAAATCATCAAAACTGGTCATGGTCATGTTAACTACGGTAACATTCCTTCAGTTATGTACACCCATCCAGAAGTTGCTTGGACTGGTTTAAGTGAAGAACAATTAAAAGAACAAGGTATCAAATACAAATCAGGTAAATTCACATTCGCTGCTAATTCAAGAGCTAAAACTAATAATGATACTGATGGTTTCGTTAAAATTTTAGCTGATGCTGAAACTCAAAGAATCTTAGGTGCCCATATTATTGGTCCTAATGCTGGTGAATTAATTGCTGAAATGGTTTTAGCTATTGAATACGGTGCTTCACCAGAAGATGTTGCAAGAACTTGTCATGCTCATCCAACCTTATCTGAAGCCACTAAAGAAGCTAATCTTGCCGTTTTTGGTAAACCAATCAATTCTTAAATAATGTTATATAGATAAACTATAAATATTCTTGGTTCTCATACTCTTGATTTTTTTAAACTTTTGTACTATGGGTGGATCCAATAACCCGGGAGTCTTCTAGTTTGGGGTCTTGCAGTTCAAGCTCTAATGTCCTAGGTTCTAGTCCTGGTTTAACTCCCGGTCCCAGTAATGCCCGTTCCCAGTAATGCCCGTTCCCATATCTCTGATTCAGGGTCCAGTGCTACCAACACTATGTCTAAAAAACGTAATTTCACAAAACTAGAGATTTTCAGTCTTTCATTTATTTCATATATTTCTACCTGGTGATAATAATATACACAGCGTGGATGATACCTGGAATATAACCTAAAATGGTCAATAAGATATTTAACCAGAAAGCTCCAGTACAACCACTTTCTAAGAATACACCTAATGGTGGTAAAAAGAAAGCACAAATTAATTTAATAATATCAGAACACTATTTAATGTTAGTATAAGAACCATTGAATAAAGTGAAACCATTTAACGTACAGTAACAGCCATTTTATGATATTAAATTTCATGGGGGATTTCTCACCTTTTATAGTCCTGTATGCACGAGCAAAGAAGGATGTCCCAGCAATATAATGGGTGGCTAATTTGACTTTTCGTCAAGGGTTGTCATTGTATTTTTATTGTCGTGCAATATTATTGGCTAGTTAGTTTATTTTTAATTGTGTTTGTTATCTTGGGCTTGTTCATATTGATAACGTGGCTAGTAAGTTTATGATCATTTGTTATTTGGGTGCAAAATGATGACGAGGCAAGATTGCGGTTTTTCTAAAATTAGCAATAGCCACTCAAACACTTACAACTTTTATAGCGAACATGAGGCTGTCACAGAAGGTTTGGTCATTAATGTTAAGGGGAATAGAGTTTGTGAGAGGCTGAAAGAAGTAATTTTTAGAAGTGTCGTTAGAAAGGTTACTTCATCAGGTGATTCTTACATTTGCTACATTTAAAGATAATCTCGATATTTCTTGATGAATGAACATCTCTTGGTAAATGACGATTTCTGATTATCACTTAACCGATATGAATATTCATTCAATAAACAGTAATCTCTTAGTATCTCCCAAACCTTATAGTACAATTCTAATTCTATAATCGGAATACTAGATAAATGGCATGAATAACCCCAGGAATGAAACCTAAACAGGTCAAAATAATATTCAAGAAGAATGGACCTGTACAACTGTATTGCATTAATACCGCCAATGGTGGTAAAATCAAACAAACTAAAAGCCTAAAAATATTACTTAACTAAGGTTGTTAGTATTTTTGAAATTATTACTGTGTTACAAGTCTCAGTTACATACCGTACAAACAAAAACCATTTTGTGATGTCGGAATCAAGAATAACTCCATCCTATTTATATTCTGACAGAGTAGAACAAATCAGCAATTAACGTACTTATCAACCAATGTGGGGCATTGACTGATTGCTGGAAACTGGTTGATGATTCAATCATCTTGCATCACCTATATCGAATTAAAGTGTACCTGATCGTAAAGTAGATCAATATGAAAGCGCTCAAATCACCGAATGACTATAGCAAAGTCAATTCAATACCAGTATAATACAATTGCCAATTGTAAGCGTCAATGTTGATAATGCCGTCCCAACACAATATAGCAATCACTTCATACTGAGGAATGTCAAATTCTAAACAGGAAGTCCGTCGCAGAAACTTGGTTGTGAGTTATATGTATAACAGTTTATAAATATAACGAATTACAGACACTTGCTAATGTCTGATTGAAGTATGTAATAGGAATGTCTGAGGGACGAAGCATCGTGGTTGGGAAACTTACTTTTTAACTGATAAATCTAATTAACCCACATTTCTTATCATGTCAGACGAAATCAACCCCCCCTCCAATAGAGTACCCTAGTGCAACACATTGATTTAACAAACCTTCTAACTCATCATCACCACCTCCGTGCACCCATACTTAATACTATCTAAAATCAAATCGGTTGTTGCACATTTCTCACAAATTTTTTTCATTGTGGAAAAAGACTCATATAATTTTTAATACATAATGGACTTACAATTAACCATATTAAAGACCGTTGACAAATATAATGAAGTTGACAATACTTTAGAATGTCCGGAATTAAAATCTTTTGATATTAATTCTTTACATTCAAATTTAACTTCATTATGGTCAAAAGAATTAATCAACTTTGAAAAAATCGAAACTGAACATTGGGAATTATTACCTGAAGCTAAAGATTTCTTAAAGAATGGATCTCATGAAATCAGATTCTTAGAAGAAGTTATCAAATCTATTGATGGATTAAAATTAAGTGATGTAAATAAATTAGGTCCAGTAGGTAAATTAGGTCAAGGTAAAGCTTTTAAAAATGGATGGATCAGTAAGAATGATGATAAATTAATTTCAAAAGTTGATAAAGTACCAGAAGATTCAGTTGTTAAATATTTAAAAGAAATCGAAGAAACAGGTAAATTAAGTGATAAAAAAGAATTAACAGAATTGAAAAAGAGAAAATTAATTCAATTAAATAAGATTGTTGGTTATAAGATTACTAAAACTGATAAGTTCCAAGTTGAAATTGTTAATTTAGAAACTGATATTACCAGTGATATGATTATAAATAATGAATGGAGTGATAAAAAATTCAAACCATATAATTTTAACTCTGAAGGGGTTTATCCATCATCAGGTTCATTACATCCATTAAATAAAGTTAGAGAAGAATTTAGACAAATTTTCTTCTCCATGGGATTTACTGAAATGCCATCAAATCAATATGTTGATACCGGATTCTGGAATTTCGATACTTTGTATGTTCCTCAACAACATCCTGCAAGAGATTTACAAGATACTTTCTATTTAAAAGATCCTGTAAGAGGTGATGAACCTGAAGATAAAGAATATATGAAAAATGTTCAACAAGTTCATCAAGAAGGTAAATATGGATCTATTGGTTATAGATATCCTTGGAAATTAGAAGAAAGTTTAAGAATGGTATTAAGAACTCATACCACAGCTATTTCTGCTTCAATGTTAAAACAATTAGCTGATGATCCAAAACCTTGTAGATTATTTTCCATCGATAGAGTTTTCAGAAATGAAGCTGTTGATGCTACTCATTTAGCTGAATTCCATCAAGTTGAAGGGGTTATGGCTGGTTATGATATCACTTTAGGTGATTTAATTGGTTTTATGGAAGATTTCTTCGGTAAAATGGGGGTTAATGGTTTAAGATTCAAAGCTGCTTATAATCCTTATACTGAACCATCAATGGAAATTTTCGCTTATCATAAGACTTTAAAGAAATGGGTTGAAATTGGTAATTCTGGTATGTTCAGACCTGAAATGTTGGAATCAATGGGATTACCAAAGAATTTAAGAGTTTTAGGTTGGGGTTTATCTTTAGAAAGACCAACTATGATTAAATATAATGTTTCAAATATCAGAGAATTATTAGGTCACAAAGTTTCTTTAGATTTCATTGAAACTAATCCTGCTGCTAGATTAGATGAACTTTTAGTTTAATGCGACATAAATAGATTTTGTCTTTTTGTCTCTTCCTCGCTCAACAGATTTCATTGACTCTCACTGATCGATACATTTTCCAATACAATAAAATGGATATTAAAGAAGAGAATAATACTGAAGAAAATGATGAATTGATATGTAGATGGAATGATTGTAATCAACCTCAATTCAAAAATTTATCTAAGTTAGTTAATCATTTAAATAATGAACATTTGAATAATAACTTTCAAAAACATTCATATTCGTGTTTATGGAAAAATTGTTCACGTTATGGGATAGAACAACCATCAAAGTTTGCCTTAGTATCTCATTGTAGAACTCATACTGGAGAAAAACCATATTTCTGTCCAATACCTGAATGTGAAAAACATTTCACTAGATCGGATGCTTTAGCTAAACATGTTAAAGGTGTTCACGATTTACATGTACTAAAAGATGCCGTAGCTTTGAATAGAGACAGAGTTAAGAAAGGTAGAATGGAAGCCAATTTTGAAAATCAAGAAAATATAAGTGAAATGGAATTTTTGAAATTAATTGAACAAGATTATAATTTTAGAATCCCATGGTGGTTTTCAAATGATTTTTTAAACATTTTGAATGAAGAAGATGATTTGAAATCTATCTATAAGATTCCCTTAAATGCCAATGAATATAAAATGGCGTTGAACCGTTATAAATCATATTATTCTAATGAAAATTTGGTCACTGATTCTACTGACCCTTTGGCCATTAAATTAAATCAATCAATAACGTCTTTCAAGAAGGAACCAGAAATAGATTATGATAGTATTAATGATATTGAATTATTAAGACAACTAGAAGCTGATTTAAATTCAAGATTATCTTCAAGTCACAAAATGAATAAAATTGTTAAAAATGAATTAACATCCTTATTAAATGAGAAGAGAGAATTATGGGTTAAAAATCAACTCTTACTTGATGGTAATATTAAGTTAAGTATCCCATCAAAGACAGATAAAATTGATGATGAGTTAAGTACAGTTTTAAGTTGATTTCGCGAAATCTCATCACTAAAATTTTCATGTCTCAGGAATCAGAAACAGAAATTGTTTCCACTACTGAATCTATGATGTCTGAAAACAATTATAATGATCTTGAATTAAGTGAATTGTTTAACGAATTAAAGGAATCCACAACCAAAGTTGAAACAGAAACTGATGAATTTACGAAATTGAAGAATAGAGTTGATAACTTACCTAAAATAACAAGTAATTTAGAGAAAACTTTACAAACTAAAACCAAAGATGTAGTTAAGATTAATGACCCAATAGTAATAAAACAAAAGAAAGAAGAAGAAACTGATTCAGGTAAAGAATGGTTTAATATGAAGCAACCAGAATTAACTGATTCAATTAAAAGAGATATGTTAATTATTAAGAATAGAAGTGCATTGGATCCTAAAAGACATTACAAGAAAGAAAAATGGGAGATACCCAAGTTTTTCCATATGGGTACCATCATAGAGGGTAATACCGAATTCTATACCAGACTTAACAAGAAACAAAGGGGTAAAAATTTGGTAGATGAAATTTTACATGATGATGATTCACAAAAATATTTCAAGAGAAGATATAATGAAATTCAACAACAAAAAGTTAGTGGAGGTAAAAATCATTTCAAAAAAGTCAAATCTATGAGAAAGAAATTTTAATACATAAAAAAAAAGGGTTAAATAGGGATATTTATATATATTATTCTTCTAAGCCAGCTCTTCTGAATACATCCAGTCTTGTTCTATCCCATAATAATTTCTTATCCTCTTTAGAAATTTTAGCTTTTTTGTCAGTAATTCTTAATTGACGTTTCATTTCGTCCAGTTGTTTCTTATACTCGTAAGCAGTCGTGGCAGCAGCAGCTAAATTTATTAAATAATTCCGTATAGCTATTTCCTTATATTTGAATTCCAATCCAACTTGATTATCAACTGATATTATAGGATTATTTTTGGTAGGGGAATTTATTTGTAATAATCTTGATTGTTTAACACTTACTTCAGCTACTGATTTCTTAAAATTATTATCTAAATTATGTTCCTCATAAATATTAGAATTATATAGTATATGAATTAATTCTTTATCAGTGATATAAGGTTGAAGAAGAATCAAATGACATTTTTGTGATAAATCTCCCACTAATAATGGTAATGAATTTGGTAAATAGGAGAAATCGGGTATTGATGATATTATGGGTAATTGGGTCAAAAGTAATTTACATCTTGTGACATTTAAATTCCAATCTAATAAATTCTCTGGGTTTTGATAATTCAAATCTGATCCAAGACTTATCTTATATTGTTCTTCTTCAACTTCTTCTGGTCTCATAACGCCTTCATGAATTCTAATTTCGATTTGTTCTTTACAAAAATTTTCATGATATTGAACATCATTAACAAGTTGTTCTATTGTTATACCTATAGGCTCACTATCTTCAGGGATGGTGGCAGTAGAACTTGAATATATTGAAGGAGCTGATCGGGCTGATCTTTTACTGAAAACACTTGAATTCAGGGATTTAAATGATTGATGTTTATGTTGTTGTATGGAAGGGGCTGATCGTATACTTGGAGTTTGAAGATTATTATTGACCACAGGTAATTGTTGATAAATGGCATTTCTGGCTGAATCTTTGAAGTGTGATGGTGGTGTTGATGTTGTTGAACCGTTACTTCTAACAAATGATGATCCGAACATGTTACCTCCTATTGAAAATTTTTTGTTCTCAAAAAAATCCGGCTGACTGTTTTTCCAGATAATCTGACTTATTTTTACTCCGGTTTTTATTATAGAGAGATGGAGTTATTATGATGTAGTTCAATTACGGAGGTTTAGGTCAGGTCATGGAAAAATTATGGGAGCTCAAGGATGGGTGGTTGACTAGATCGTCATATCTCTTTCAATTCTAATGGTAATTCCCCGAAATTTATTTCATAATATTACCCTGGATTCTCTTATTCACCTTGTCTGACATAATGCTCATATATGGCAATAAAATATTACTCTTTATTGAACATCTAAGTATCAACAAAATTTCGCATCGATCAACATATGGAAGAAACATCTGAAGATTTTGGTTTTGCATTATCAACGGAATCTGAAGGGTTGAAAATCTTCGATTCTTTCGGAGATTTTTCAAATAAACCTTATAATCTAGACCTTTTGACTATTGGGAACTTGACAGGAGTAATTGCTTGTTCAAACATTGATACTATTAAGTTTGGTACATTGAATAGTCTCAATAATAATGATGTTGATTCCCTCCAAGGCATCGATATCTCTGATGTCAGACAATTAAAGTTCAATCATGACGAATCAAAGTTGTATGTTCTCACGGGGACGAGTTTGAAGTACGTCGACATCAAGGATATGTCTATTAATGATGTAGACACCAATGTGAGTAAGTTTACTTTAAATCCAAGAGGAGAAGATATAGCCATTATCACCAATGGTATCTTATACGTCAGCAGAGATACCAAGGAAGAATATGAACAAGAAGTAGATGAAGTTTCATGGTCGAAAGACGGACAAAAGTTATATATAGCTAAACAAGATAGCTCCATCAAAGTAATAACTAAAGATAACGAAGAAGTTCAACAATTGGAAAAGTTTGAAGATGAAGCTCAAGTAGTATCCATCATAGAAGTCAGTTCCACCCAAGTATTTGTTGCTTACTGTATTAAGGATGATGATGAAAACATTTACGAAACTAGGTTGATTGATTTAGAAACTAATGATTCAGAAGATATTGGAATCCCATCCAGCTTTGGGTCTGTGGAAAGACTAAATAACTATTATGTACTGGCCATTACAAACTGGATCGAAAACACCGATCTTTTGATCGTTACTGGAGGTAAGGCTACTGAATTAAATACTTTCCAAGTTGATGACGAAGTAAAGATCTTGACACCTATGGAAGATTATTTGTTGGCCACTTTCCCTATTAATGATGAAACTAATGACGATGCTTCTCCTTTCGGGTTAGCCGTGGATTTCTCCAACAAGGACACTACAGCTAAAGATTTATGTAGTAGTTTAGAAGAAGCCACCGGATTACCCAAAATTTGGTGTTTGACCCATGAAGGGAATTTGATATCATGGTGGGTATTTCATATTGGAAAAGTTAAAGCAGGGGAAGTTTCTTTAGATAGAGCTTTAGAAGACTCAAGTGTGAATGCGTCGGTGGAACCTAAACAACCGAAGAATCCAGCAGAACCAGTCACAGAATCCGAATTAGAAACCGTAACAGAAACAGCGGCTGAAAAGGTAGAAGATCCAAAACCTGCCTTTGGTGGTTCTGGGTTTGGATTTTCAACTGGAGGATCTGTGTTTGGAGGATCATCATTCGGAGCATCAAAACCTGAAGCTAATGACACAAAACTTTCTTTCAGCCAGACAGGTTTTGGTTCCCAGTCAACATTCGGGAAAACCTCTTTCGGAGAATCATCAGGACAAACCTCATTTGGATCAACTGGATTCGGTGGTTCGAGTTTTGGTAAAAGCGGATTTTCTGCAACAACTGGAGGAAGTGGATTCGCAAATTATAGTAACACTTCCAGTGGTTTTGGTTCAGTAAAGAAAGAATCTCCATTTGGTCAAGTGGAAAACAAGTCATCTCCATTCGGTCAAATTGAGAACAAGTCATCTCCATTCGGTCAAATTGAGAACAAATCATCCCCCTTTGGTTCGTTGTCTGATAAGAAAGAATCACCGTTTGGTCAAACTGACTCTAAGTCATCACCATTTGGTCAGAGTGAAAATAAATCATCACCATTTGGTTCTTTGTCTAACAAAAATGACTCGCCATTTGGTTCATTGCCCGAGAAGAAAGACTCACCATTCGGCTCATTGTCTGATAAGAAAGAATCACCATTCGGTCAAGTTGAGAGCAAATCATCCCCATTTGGGCAAGTTGAGAACAAAGCTTCACCATTCGGTCAAACTGAGAACAAATCATCCCCATTTGGTTCGTTGTCTGATAAGAAAGAATCACCGTTTGGTCAAACTGACTCTAAGTCATCACCATTTGGTCAGAGTGA